CCGCGGATGAGGAGGACGGTGCAGAGTGTCAGTCGCTGGGCCGCTTTCTATTCGCACATTGTCCTGAGAAACGAATAGGACAGTACAGCTTCCTCTTCTACTCTGGATGTGATGCAACCTAGCCGAGGCATATGCCCTTCCAAGGAGTGATCGGGTAGCGCCTGGAGTCGTTCATAATGGGACACTCGCCGTCTCCTAGCTCTGCCCCCTCCTCGGCTACCAGGAGATGCTGGTTTGTATACATGTCCACGGAGCACTGCATAGCGATAACAAGACGGCGCCATCATCCCTCGAGCCTCCTCGGCTTGTCCGGCAGCGTGCTTCCCGGAGTCCAGTGTGGACTTACCAGATGCATCGATACAGCTGTGGATACCTTACAGCATCGCACCTGACCAGCTCGACGTGCATCCTTTCCCATCTAGAGAGCAGCCCAGCCATGCACAGGAGCTCTTAGCTCCTATCCAGGGCCTGGTTCAATGCTCAGCTGGCTCGATGCCCTGCTGCACCTTGTTGGATGCCGCGTTGAAGCCATCGATCCGGCGATTGCCTTAGGCTCACCGCCTCACATTGCGTTGCCATAGAGTACTAGTCCTCAGGTCGCCCGTAGCCCGTTACGAGAGCTGTGATGCATGATCGCACACAGAGTGCCTGACTTAATATGCACCTGTCCACCGATGTACTCTGACACTTGCTGGTGGGGACGTGTCGCTACAACCACGCAAGTGTTTATACATCCTAGCAGCTCACATGCCATGTAATATAGAACTTTCCTACCTAGCACGGGCTCCATGATACCAAGACTCTGGAAGGGCACCTTGGGCGCCTTCAGTCCTATTTGGAGAGGAGACGTGGTACGAGAGGGCTGGCCGCTTCTAAGCGCTGCCTAGGCTAGTTAAAGGCCCGCATGAAGGCCTCTCACCGCATGATCAGCACGGTGCCCTGCTCCCTGTCATAGATATGAGAGCCAGCCCGCTGAGTCCACATCGAGGCAGAGCACCACCCACTAGTGTGGGCGAGACTTATAACCGTGCCCGTACATGTACACGTTGCTCGACCGGTTGGTTTCCATGCCCCTACGCCCTGCTCCTTCGCTGTGCAATTGCTCTAATCGAGGCTACCAAAGCGTGGGTCCAGTATCCACTATGCCCATTGTACTGACAACGATAGTATACAGCTTGCTGTAGGTGCCACCTACCTCCAGGCATGCCCTCCACCGTCGTACTGCCGCTGGTGTGCTATACGATCTATATAACGCTTCATACTTCAGCAACCACTGGGAGTGTTGTCCTCCTGCCATCTTGACATCGAGTCCAATAACTGCCTGACAGAGCTCTCGGCTTGTGTGACCCTATATGGTAGTCTTGATGGGCACATACATGTGTAATAACTATGTTGAAGGATCCAATAACAGCCACTGGCCACTTCATATTGTGTGAGATACTAGACAGAAGCAGAGGTGGAAGGTCCAAGAGGAACCATATCATTAGATCTGCATCTGCAGAGAGGCTCACCTGTCACTGCCACGGGAACAGGGCCCTATGCAGAGCATCAGCAAGCAATGCCACGGGCAGTACTCTGACTGTGCAGCAGCAAAGTGGCCGATGATATGGAATGCTGACACATCTACTGACGTCATGGATGGACTGGCAGGCCAGACAAGGATGCTCTAGGCTGCGATGGGCTGGCATGAGATTGTGTATAATTAGGGGTCACTTCCTTGTTATGCCTGCTATCGGAAACCAGCTCATGAGATGGACAATTTCAGAGTGATCAGCCCCCGCGTTCTCCCAGACATCAAGACTGTGAGGGTCTCCGTAAGTTCTTATGTCCTCATCCAGTCATGCTGGCTGTTCTCAGAAGCAGTCATAACTGTCGGGCCTGTTCGGATGCCACACCCCTGCAGGCCTCGGTGCTCTGAGCACAGCTTCCAGGCTGCATGCGTGCGTGGATGGACACCAGGTACGTCACTCGCTCCCTACTTTCTAAGCCTGCTATGACAAGGGTAGCTCTCACTAGCTTGAATCAGCTACGCCCCTGGCGTTCTACCCCGGGAGTTGCAGGGCCCAGACAGTTGTCTTATCTACACTATGGTTGCCATAATGACGGGTATATGATCACAGCCCTGATGGGATCCTCTTCGCTGTCCTTAGCAGACCTCCAACTCTTCAATGGGACAGATACGGGGCACCGTCTACCGACACTTCCAACGGGGGTAGCAGGCGCAGTGCTCTCGATACCAATGATGGATCTACAAGAGGAAGTAGATCTTCCGCATGCCCTTGCCAGGAAGTGGCGCTGACGTGGGCCAAACGTATTGTCCCCGAGCTGCGCCTTGGGAGCCGAGACCTCCGCTGACAATGGGTAAGACTTGCGCCATTGGGCGACTCTGTAGGGAGGCTCCAGGAGTTCTTAGAAGCAGCACCCGTGCAGTGAGGCTTCGAGAATCATCCAAGTGGCGCTATCCAAGGACCACTTCCCCGAGGGAACAGAGGGTTGGGGGACCGACTCCCGAAGGGCGCCTTTGCAGTCTACTGGACAGCAGAGAGGGCCAGAAAGCAACAATCACCTCCAGATCCACAGCTCCCCTATCATAGAGACACTGGGATGGTCAGAATACGCCTCTCAAGAGGGACAGGAAGTAACATAGTGGCACAGCGCTGATGCTCACGGGATATGGTCGACGAGCACCTGGCCTCTGCTGGATACGAGGTGTGTGCTGAGAGCAAGGTGTCTGGATTGGGACGGTTATGCCTCTCCAGAGAGGAGACAGGAAGCACCACCATAGATGGGCATGTGCCTGAAGGAGACACACAGGAAAGTGACTGCTTTGCTGGCAAGAGAGGACAATCCGAAGCATGCAGGTCTTAAACAAAGAAACGTGCATTCTGAAGAACTATCGACGCTAAGGAACGAGCCAGTTCTCTGCATCATCCAGCAGAGGAGTATAAGGGCTGCTACTCCCTCCTCAAGCCTTCTCACTCAACTTAGACTTCCCTGGCTTCCAATTACCACATGAACTACTGAGAATGCTAACTGTTCTTCCAATCCACAATAGCTGCGAAACGATAGCAAACTTCGTTTGAGTGCAGTACTAAGCAGCGCAACATATGCAAAGACAGCTCTTAGAAGTCAATGTAAGGTATCATCTTGGTAACGGCAATCACCCTCGAATCAGCCGTTCAGTGGAGACAGGATTTTAATAAGATACAGTTGGGCCATAGACAGGCAGTGGGTGTAGAGCTATTGTAGACAGACGCCGCCCCTAAGAACGCCAGAGGGGAGCTCCCATCAGCTAATGTGTTTCCAGCGCCACGTCTCTAGTGGAGCATGGCCTCCCGCAGTAAGACTTTGCAGGGGTCACCTGTAGTAATTTTGGATGCTTTATGGGGTGAAGCAGCTTATCCACAGACCTCACGAGACCGGGGCTGCCCACATAGCTACTAAAGTGAGAGAGTGTGATTGTATGGAGCAACACTACATCTGCCCCTCCATCATTTGGTGACCAGAGGACTGCTCTCAGACTGCGCCTCTGCTCATAAGTGTCCAAGGGTTCCTCTAGCGATTGTCTCGTTGGCTAGTTAACTATGGCTGCCATGGCGACATAGATCACTAGTGCATACGCTGGGTTACATTTTGCTAGAGCAGATGGAGGCATGACAGATCAACCCAGAAACGTCTTCTCACGTCGCACGAAAACGCGGATCTACACACTAGGGGTACACTCTCATAAACAGCTTCCTCTGCTACGATCTAGAGTTATCAGGCGAGCGGTGGCGCTTCAGAGCCATCTGCCTCCTCTATGCGAGAGTTACCCGATAGACCAGAGTCGCTGCCAGAAGGTGTGCTTTGCAGCAGACAGAGTATCTCATGTCTCAAGCCTGTCTGGCCATACTAGGGAACGAAGCCATGCCGCTAAGCCTCAGGGGATCGGAAAGCACTCCGCAGCCAGTGTGACTCTTGTGATGTTAGCTTCTAGGCTATGGAGGAGCCCTTGGCCTCGTGGTTTTTGCACTACGGCTCTACTTAGTTGGCCGTCTTACTCAGATGAATAGAACGTGGTGCCTTCTGCAAGTCCCTATACTGCGAGTTCACACTAGGATCCACTAATTTCTAACTAGTTTGATAGAACCTTGCTCTTATCTCCGCAGACTTGTTACTACAGACAACTCACTGTATTAACTTTATAGTGATCGTGAGTATTCCAAAGCTGGGAAGCCCTCTGTTAGAGCTACAGGTCCCAGCCTTCATCAAGCCTGCGATTACCTCATCAAAGCCTCCACACACTACGAAGCAGGCTTCTGCCCGTCTGCTGTGTACCAATGGTCTGCCTTAGACTTTGTGTGTCAGAGCCTGCGTTGGAGGATGCGCTTCTACATAGACTAGCCAACGCCTTGCCAATTGGGTGTCTGCTCTCATCCATCTGGATCGATGGGTTGTTTGTGGCTATGCCTGAGTCTGCTCTCTGTTGCCAGGTCCTCTCGAGCTGTGGATCTCGCCTGTCCTCGAAGTGGTGCTACTTCAAGCTGTCACATGTAGGTGGGGGCTCCTGCAGCCAGTGAAGTCAACGTCTTCTAAGCCTGGCATGCACCAGGGCTTCCAGAAGCGACGACCTCCATCTGCCATGGCTAGTAAATGTCCTTCATAAAAGCTATGCGGTGACATGGCCTTTCAAGTCGTAACGCCTAGGGTTACGGATGGATGCAAGCGATTGCTCTAGAGAACCACCGTGGCCTCAGGGCAAGTAAAAGCAACAAGTAACGGCAGCAGACTGCAGAGCAGCATGTAGGAACGGGGCCGGGCAGGCCTGAGGACCGCAGGGACGGCCGCTCCTGCAGGAAGCACCAGGATGCGAGACCGGAAAAGCGCTCCCTGGCGGGCTTGAACCGCCGACCTTGCGGTTAACAGCCGCACGCTCTAACCAGCTGAGCTAAGGAAGCGCGCCACCGAGGGAAACAACATAATGATTATTATATGCATTGTGCACTTTTGTTTGGCTTGAAATGCTTCCAGCGGCCCATGCAGCGGAAGATCTCCTCCTTCTCCTCCAACATCCGGCAGAGCGGAGAATCACCGCTCTTCCAGGATACTCGTGCGTTACTGCGCTCGGAAGACACAGCAGCTCTGAGGTAGTCTTCTGCAGCGAAGAAGAGGGCCAGGTTACCTTTACACCAGAGCGACCGGCACCTCCCTTTTCTTTTCTCTTCTACAAGAGCCAGGATGCAGCCCCTGCTGTGCTTCTAGGATGCAGCAGCTGCCAGGAGCAAACGTCCCTGCTTTCTACTATTCTTATAATTTTCACTGCTGTTTACAAACAATCTGCTCGTTTCCAAACACAGCAACTATACCCGCTTTACGAGCAATTCTACCGCCTACTTCGACTTGACCCTCTACTTGTTCAATCGTCTGTGCTCGTTGACCTCCTTGAACATTCACCCCACATAGACCTTCCTGCGGCCCTAGATGCACCTCTGGTTTACAGATACGAAATGGGGGTGCGCCACTACTTCAGTAACATTTTGCACCTCTGGGCCTTAGAGGCGTCCAATCTCCTGAGCTTTAGCCAGGGGCCCCGTGTGTATGATGGACCCAGCACAAACACAAAGTGTGCATATGGGACTCCAGAATATAGTGTCTTTGTTCCACGAATCAAAAGCTTTATAGACTCTATGCGTAAGCACATTAAACTAACGGGCTTCTCCTATACTGACTGTTTCAATCTGATCATTCTTGAAAAGCTAGCACAAATGCCATCATTGTTTAGTTTTATTCTCACAGGGAGCCAAAAGCATTCTCATCTTTTGTCCATCAAGCGCTACATTGACCAAGCTTTGGATGACAAGACTAGTGTCTTTCACAAGATGATTTGCATCCTTGCCAAGTCCAATTCACACAGTGTTGGCGAATTCAACAGACTCAGCTACTTCTCCCAGAAGCAGGCTGGCGCATTGAAAAGTGCCCTACAACTTGCCATCGCCCTGCTGCCGTATGTGTTGGTTATCCATCGAGTCAGTACTAGTTATTACCATATTGTGCATAGCGACATTCAAGAAGAACTCTCGTTGGATTTGCTTAGCGACGCTTTCTTTACTGCTATCTGTAATAGACTTACTGAGAGTAAGGAGCCCGCAGCCTATGACTTAATTGCTTATTCGCTAGGCTCTGACATAACACTGGCGGTTCAACATGCTATTGGTCCAGACCACTTATTTGCTACAAACATACTTCTATATAGACGGAACCTTGGGTCTGCACTTCGGTTTCTAGATAGACTAGGGAGTGTCCTTCCTGAGTCTCCCAAGCTTACCACTCGAATCTCACAACTCAGGCTACGCTGTCAAGATCTTCTCGACCTCAGTATGTGGCAGTATCAATATAACACTGCATTGGGTATTATCAAAACAAGTGTCTACGAGTTTCCTCCCTCTCTGCTTACTATTCTCGAAGAGACTGTAAAGACAATCCAGCTTTTCATACCAGATTCGTACTCCACATCTGAGACGGAGCCAACAAGCAACTTTACCTATGCTCTAACATTGCTCCCGACCGAGGGTGCCTTTGATTGGCTTCCGTTTTTACTGCAAGGTCTAGGATCGGAGCATGTCGTCTCTGCTTGGCCAAAGAATCTCGTCAATTCATCCTCACTCGATAAACTAAGTGGTTCGGGTTCATACTATCCTATTTGTGGTCGGTATAAACCAACGAACACAACTGAGCAGTCTTGTCAAAGAGCAGTCAAGGCGGCTATTCAAGGAGGAAGGCCTACTCCTACAAGCAGATCAACTTCTGGAAGAAAGAAACCAATCCTTAGACTGACTCTTGATGTAGACGACCTCCAAGCTTCAAACACAATAGGCTCGAGCCTGTCGGTCAGCTCTTTTTCGCATGTAGCTGAGGCCCCAGTTAAATCTATCACCAGAAGAGAAAAAAGCATGTTCAAGTACAACCACCCAAAAAGAAAACTTGTTACTAAATCGCTCACACTCGCAACACTATTTAAGCACAACTTTCAAGTCATGCAGAGTATCATCCACAGGGCAGATTTCAATTGCATCCACAGCATTTCTGTAGGCCTTCAGCGCCTAGCTCCGAGCTTGGTGCCAACTTTCGAAGGTGGCCGTGAGATTCAATCGGCTACACCCCCTATTCTTCCCCTGCATTTAGGACGACACATCATTGCAGTGCGCACGCTACTTGAACGGCAAGCGATCTTTGCAGCACTGTCCCCCTTGCTTCTACAGTTTATCCTTGCCTCTATCAGCTTTCTCTTTTACATCAAGCGCAACGTACTTAAATCATTCTTCAATATTATACATTTGGATCAGTACTACCCATGTGTGCTATTTATCGAACATCACTACAAGCACTGCGTGATTCTAGCATACATGGTTTGTTGTTTCGGAACTGTCCTGTTGAGGTTTGTAGCCTGGAAAGCCACCGAGTCTCCCTTGCTGTCGACTGTCACAGAGGAATTTCTTAGCAGAGTCACTAGCCACGGACTACTAGATGTGATGCTCTATTTGTCCTCTCAGCTTTTGGAGCTATTACGTGTTTCTCTACCAACTCGTACTCATTGCAGACTCGGTGACTATCCATACAAGCATATTGCTTCACTGAGCCAGAAATTGCCGTGTCCCGAATTCCTTACATTTCTATGGCTCTTTGATCAAGTATTTGCGGCATTGAAAGCAATGCGCGACGATTGCTATCAAGCCTGGTCGTCAGCACTCAATCAAACTGCCGAAAAGCTTCACGATATTATGACTTCTGTACCCATTTCTGTAGCAAGCCAGGCCGGTAACTTAGTGAGCTATTCCATTGGTAATATAGACCCGCTTCCGAACTTCATTCGGAGTTGTCATCTGTACCAAGTTAGTACGGCATCTCAAATGTTCTCAAGCTCTGATGAAGGGACTAATGACCATCCTTTCAACGTATTGTATGATCTTCTGAATAAAAAACATGACGAACAGGACAATTTTCAGACCGTACTACTCAACTTTAAAGAAGACTTGCTGAATTGCGGGCCCACAGTGAAGCATGGAGCGTGGATCTTACCTCCAATTTCTCCTCAGCTATCACAAGCCTCGCTTTCGCTTTTTCGGTTCTGTATATCTACCTCCATACTTCACAAGCATAGGCGCCTAGAGTCTTTACTTAATGAGCATCGTTCGCTTTATACACGTCTTCATCAGTCCCACCTATGGACGTTGGTTCGAGAACAGTGTGTACAGGTCGATGCTTTATTCAAGAGTTATCTCTCCAATCCAGCTTTCATCTGGCAGACAACTGACACTATGGAGCAATTTCTGCAGGACCTCAGCGCTTCTATCCAGCTGCTTTCGTCGCAAACCCATACTCTATCTACTATCACTGCTAATCTTCGCAACAGCCTTATGAGCTATGCGCCAGCTTTAAAGAAGCGCATTAACTTGCCAATCACACAGCCCCTTGCACCTGTTTCAGAATTTCTAGCATCATCCCGCTCGTGGTCTAATGACCAACTACCAGACAGCATTGTTGTGCATATTCTCAATGATATCTTGTCACAGGAGTCAGAACTAGGAGACACACCTAAGTATTTCATTCCAAAGTTTGCAGAGGTAATCCAGTATCATGAGTATTTGTCGTTTGGAAGCATGGTCCTGGCAGACACGGACTTATGCAATAATAATACTGACGGTGATGGCCTAAATCAACAAATCAGCTTGTTTATCAATACCTGCAACCAAATTGAAGAGCGTATCTACCTGTTTAAGAGATCTATTGAAAGCCAACTTGATTCTTACTGCAAAGAAGTAGAACTGCTACGCGCCTCTTCTGAGTTATCTGATGAGCTTTTGCTGGCACTGTTTAATGACCTATCTCTTACCTTGCACGAATTGGCTGTTGTGTGGATGCTTTATCTGTATCTTCTCTCTTCACCTAAAACCCCCACCCTACTCCACGTTGCAACGACGCTCATTGGCGACAAGTTATATACAAGTCCCGCCTTAGGGTCACTTTCCGAGATCCCCCAGGCGATAACAGACTTACTCTCACTGCTCTCCCTACATAAGACCATCGATCAGCAATCCATGACACCAGAGTTGCAAAATATTTATAGCTGGGCCGAAACGCTGATCCATGCAGATCCGCTATTACTTCGGCTATCTGAATCTATAGAAGACAGAGCTCTTACTGCAGTACTTCATACAGTCACCGGAAGGTTAGCTATATGGGTTATTAGCGTCATTCAAATTCCCCTCCTAATTGACCGAGTGCTAGAGAAGTTGCCCGAAATGAAGTCTTCGTTCCACAACTTATGCAGCAAATCGACACGGCCTGCTAGATTCGATTGCGAATACTCTGCCCTCAACCAATACCTTCCCCTCAATCTCCTTTTTTCGGACACAAGTATTGTTCATTATTACAAATTTGATGGGCTTCTATTCCACATAGCAAAGCTATTATTTTTCTGTTACTCGAAAGGGTATGAGCAGTTTGATGGTATTACTTCCACAATCTCTGCTAGCCATGCCCAGCTTTCCAATTTGAAGCAATCAGAAGACATTGTACTAATGGACCTACATACACATCAGAGTGCCTCCCTATTTCTGGAGAACTTGCTCGGCTATCTGGGTGACATCTTGCACATACAAGCATCCATAGATCATATACCTAGTACTAAGCAATTTAATAGATTTTTTGCGGAGTTTTTGCGATTTAAGACCTTTATCACGGAAAAGGAAAGCAGGATTAGTGTGATAACTTGCGGGTTGTACCTGCTTAGAAGCACAGGCCTTTCGGAGCCTCTTATTTCACAAGCATCCACCATCGTGAAGGAGCTGTCTTCTCCAATTCTATTCAATCTTTATTCCATTTTAAATCTCTATCTAGACGCGCTGTCCAGGGTAGAGAAGGAGTGTTACACGCATTTAAAGCATGCACTGGGCCAACTTGATGACTCCAGGTCTCTTATCATCGAATACCGTTACTATCCAGTTATCCCATCGACTCTGGAACCGGCAGCGCTGATAAGGACCGTTTATCTTCTGCGGAGTATCTTTAAAGTCGATGCCCTCAGGAAGCTTTACGAGCAGATTAATAATAGGAGTCAGGTTTTGATCCTTTACATGCAGAAGAACGGGATAGATATAGAGCCGGTCTTTAAACAATCCACTGAAAAGATCCTAGCTCTCCAAGGGGCGATAAACATTACCTATGAAAAGGTGAAGTATCTCGTTGATAGCACGCGAGCAAGCCTTCTGGCCTACACTGTGTCTGCTAATGATGCGCTGATGACGGCTCTACATGACTTCCTCAGTTTCAGGGCTCTTGATCATAGGGAATCGTTAAGCCTGGCACTCCAAAGTGCCATTAAGCAGAGAGCGTTGACAGGGGCACACGTCCGCAATCTATATGTACACGGTTCCCGGATCCTTCTCTTTCTAGAAGACTCCCTTGTACGCATCCGGCATGTCTACTCCAAGCTGTGTTACCACTATGAGCTGTGCTACCTTCAGGGAATATACGGTCCTGCTATCTTCGTAAAAACAGCGCACGATATGCTGGGCTTCATCAGGCGGAGTATTGAGGGCACTGAGTTTCCCAATTATCTACGCTTGATCGCCTCATACCAAGTTATCTGGGGACGACTTTGCCAAGTGGCTGACAGACTTCTATATTATGAGGACAAGCCAATAGCCTTGTTCTACGATAGCTACACGGAGATAATGGCTTTGCTTAAGGACAGCTACACACTTCGAAGACAAGTCACCCTTGACAATGCAGTTTTTCTTGAATTCTTGAGCTGGTATGAAGATCTTCTGCATATTCTTCAAGAAGAGCTTCTCTCCATTATCAATCTCAAAGATTTTACACCAGAGCAATGGCAGGACCTAATTTATCACATCGGGCATGTTACTCAAAGCTCTAAATGCATGGCCCTCTGCACTCTGGATAGCGAAACGCAGCTTACTCTTGGAAATGTCCTACTTCTCAAACTGAACACACACCCAGACATACTGAGAGGGAAGATATCTATGGCCTTGGTTAGCTCTGCCGTCTCAACCAAGGTTACGAATGCAATCTCACACTGGTCCGATCTTAATACCACAGATTTCATAGCGCTTGTCCGGGAGTTATCTGACATGATGGAATGCACTGGCTTGGAGCACTGTCTCTTCGCAAACTCTATTGTAAAAGGTAGAGCGGCAGATATTTATGTTGAACAGTACTTTGATGCCCATGACCTTCTTTCCCTATCTATCATCCAGCGAAGCGCAGAAGAACTGGTACGAGGGATGCTACAATCTACATCACTAAAAGCTTCTCACACAGCACTTCTATTGGAACATCTTGAAACCTTCAGGGCTGTTGCAGATATGGAGTGTAGCGAGCGATCATTCCCTATGCTCACGTGCTGCCAGGTGTATCTGCGTACAATTTTAGATGTTGGGCTTGTGAGCGCGGTATTTGTTTCCACTCTGTCTCAGTTATATAATTTTTTAATAGCCTATTCGTATATAGGGCACGAAGATTGCTTAAACCCCTTTACTGCTTGGACACTCGAGGATGAGGTATCCAAGTGTTTAACCGTACTATTTCATATATTGTCAATACACAAGTACATACTTGAATTGTATGACAACAATCTGCAATTCAAACGATACCTATTATCAGATATGATCGAAGACAGCAGCAAAACTGTGGAGGATATAGAAGCTGTACTAGCGTTTCTTCATGGACAGAAAGTGCTCCAGAAGAAGGACCGCTTTTCTGTTGAGAACTTCAATATATTCTGCGGACGTCTTACTAGCTACTTTGTGCCTATAAGGCTGTGTGCCTTTTCTATGCCCCTTTATCAGGCAGAAGAAGCTTTAAAACTTGAAGACCATACTTCATCGCCTTCCCAGGAACCATCCAACAACTCTTCTTCCAAGACTTGCTTAAAAGATGTGTCGATTTATCCACTTATGATTCTACTATGTGTGGCGCTAAAGGCAGTTATGGTAACTATTATTGATTCTGTTAAGGATTCCTTACCACATCCATCTCTAGAGCAGTCTTCAGAGACTTCTTACATAACAGACTATGCAGTTACGGAAATCAGAAAGGCCATTATTCCTTACAATCTCTTCTGCCTGTTTTCGAAGGGTCTTAATGTATGTGTCACACTTAATACCTTGTTATCCCTTTCAAAAATAGATCCTTTACTAAACGGGATTGTATCTGGGGATCTCTCTTTTAGCAATCCCAACCACAAATTTTTTCTTCAAGCCTTATCAGAGGCTAGCGGATCTGAGTCTACTTCAGATGCAGCAGAAGCCGATGTAAGTAACTGCTCCCTCTTCAGAACTGCTCTACTATCAACTTTCTGCAATCCCTTTCTTAAGAGACTGCTCGCCGGATATCAGAAGCTGATTACCAGCTCTGAGGATCAAAACATTATTATAGGCTATTGGTGCGACTTTCCCAGTGAGTCTCCGATGATCTTCTATCAACCTGTCAACCTTTGTGCTGTTAATAGATGGATATGTACCTCTGAATGCTGCAATTTACATCCCTTATGGCTTGCGGTTATTTCTGTTTTTCATGCATACGAGGAAACCTTGCGCATAGGATCCTTGCTTGCCCTCCGTGAGCTTCGTGCACTATGCTCGCTATCTTTGTCGGTGGATCTTTGCACCAACCCATCAGCAAATGATGAAGATCACGCCAAGGGAGTCTATCTTACTTACGGCTACTGTGACCTAGATGCGTATCAATACGAATTTGTTCCTTTTCAGGCCATGTATATCGGTGCGCGCTTGTTTTTGAGCACACTTTGTCTATTCCAACACGATTACACCGGGAGGGCCTCCATCATATCCTCAACAAGCAACGACTTTCTTATCTACATCTGTGCACTAGTACAGAAGCACATGTCTATAATCACTGAATTGCCACTGCAATTGCTTATGCTTCAGAAGGAGGGTAACAGTGAGACGCAGCTGCTTACAAGACTCATTGACCTACCCTCTATGCAGTGGAAAAGTGCCATGCTATGGCTACTCTTTGAAGACTTCTGCGAAAAATTAAAGGCCTCAGAAACAACCCTTCAAGTGCTACGGGATAGAGCCCTTAGTGGAGGAAAGGCTTCCATAGACCCTGACTTCATCGCTAGGGATCTACTCCAGAAGCTGGTAAGCGATAATGTGCTCTTCTTGCAAATGGAGCTCAGCATCTTTCCGGGGCAGGCGATGTCTCTACTAAATAGCCTTGACATCTCTTTCAGTCCCTCAAAAGCAGCTTCTAGGGGTATCATGTACTGTGCTTCTTCATCTCCAAACGGGGTTGTTATCGCCAGATCGTTGTTTGCCCAGATTGCATCATCCATACCCAGTTTACCGATGATAGACTTAATTAGAGTTTACTCTCCAACTTTATCAGTAACACGAAGTTATCTGAATGGTCTGTTGACCGCAGCTTCTTGCCAAAGCATGCTATTGTATGGGCTTCAGTTCATTTCACTAGTTCGTTCAATTTTTCAGACAATTCTTTTCTCTGATGAATCTCAAGTGCATAGAAAGCAGTCAGTCCAGTTCTTCGTCGCTCACCAAGCACAGCAAGTACTCACGGAGATTGCGTCCGTGCTATGCTTTTCCAACACACAAAACAAGCAGCCAAGTGCCTCAGTGTTATCCGCATGTAGCCATGAAGCTGTTACTCAAAGATATTCACTGATTCTTGTCCCAATTGATTCCAAGTGGGAAACTTTTCAACGACAAGATCTCGCTGTCTGCGGATCTGATCAAAGTTTCAATCGAAATGTCTCAGTAGATAAGCAGTCGGATCAGTCGCACATATACAGAGCGTGTGTGGAGATAGCAAACCTAATCAGGGATCCATCTAACGGAAAGGTGACTTGCAGAAATTTGGAACGTGCTCTTGCTAAATTTTTATATCATCTACTTGCTGGAACAACCATTGAATCAGCAGAGAAATTTCTTTATTTATCTATAGACGAACTGCTGCGGACCTTGGCACCACTGTCCTTGATAGGAATTAGACGGGTTGCAGAACATAATACTATGTCAGTACTATTTGATTCCAAGGTGTTTATGATGCATGCACAAAGTATTCTTCAGCAGATGGTGTCTATGGACCTTGATGAGCGGCTTCTCCAGTGTATGGACCCGCTGCTTGACTGGCTGGTTCAACTGGTGATGCGGCTTAGGTATCTATTCATTGTGGCAAGTCCCCTCAACGCTGTTGTACTCTGTGGGCCAGTCTTTTCCTATGTCCACGTCCTTCCGTGGATTTTCTTTCGAGCTCTTAAATCCTCTGGCTTTCCAACTTGTTATTCCTCCGAGCAATCTGAGCACCTATCCAAGGAAGCACAAGACTATGCATTTTTATCCATTCATTCTCTAAGGTTATCATCTGATAGATCTATCAGGGAAGTGATTTCCCTTTATGCTTCAGAGCAACCCTGTTACAGAACTATTCTTATGTTGACAACAGAAAGTCTTACTGATGAACAAAGAGACATCTGCCATCGTTATGGAATTCCGATTCTTAACACAGCAAGGCCCATTGCTGACGCAAATGACTTTAAGCATTTAGAGCTTCTCTCCCTCTATACAAACCTCCATGCTTGGTGCTGCCCAATATATCCAAGAATAAATGGCACTTGGAGCTTCACTCCTTCGCCATTCTCGTTAATATCAATGCGCCACGATACAAGTTCAGCTTTGGAGTCACAAGCAGAGCTAAAAGAAGTGCAGCAGCAAGACCCAGAGTCTATGACGGAATCGTCGGAGCGCCTTCAGAGTATGTATTTGAGTATTAATCATCAGAGGAAGCTCCTTGCCCCCCGAATAGTCCACTCCTTTATAGAATTGTCTGGAGTGTATAGAGATCTTGTTGAAAAGGCTGTATCATCAACCGCGCTTTGCACGTATTATCGTTACCACGCTATAACTGGCGCCTTGTCTATCGTGTTGGCCATACTTGACACGCTTCTGATGGACCCATGCATTAGGGTTAATATTTTGAGATTGGAAACAAAGTACTTTCATGCCATTGTTGTGTTCTCGTGTAGCTGGGCCTACGCTGCCTTGCCAATAAAGTCCCATCGTAATGTAGATCTTAAATCTGACTGTGCTAGTGCACCAGCTAGTCAAGCCGAGAGTTTCCTATATGTAGATTCATCTATCCGCAAAAAATCGCCCCTTCTTCTCAAAACTGTGCCTCGCACCCTGCACACCAGGCAAGCGGTCATCGACTCTGCTCAGATTTCATGGCCTGTGTTTCTTAGCAACGCCTTAGGCTCCCTTGTGCTGACTAAGATAGGATGTCATGCCTCAAACATATATGATTTTGTACCGGCTGTTCGGGTAGAAAACAAAGTGATTGTCGATGCTCTGGTCACCACATCTCTCTGTTTGGAGCACAGATCTTGGCCCGAACTGGCCCAGACTCCCAGGGCATTAGTTCCACAAATCGTGGTGACACTATGTCAACTTTATGCAGGGGAAAGGCTTCTTTCCGCTGACGCTGGCCTATCGCACATTGAATTCTCTGCTCTAAGTGCACACATATCTCACTTCTATTCCCTCGGGGTGTATAGCCTTCCTGCACAGCGCTGTCTCGGGATTCTTAGTAATGTCTTTATCATACCTGGTGCTCAGCCAGTACGTAGAACAGCTACGCCAGAGAGTAACTCCAAGCGTCGGCTTACACCTCTTCAAATCGTGCATTGTGCCTTCTATCCACTTAGTCGAGATCCAACTAGCAAAGCTGGAGATGCTACGAACCTTACATTACGCTCTGGCGACCCAGAGTTCTGCCCCCTTGTTGTGGCTGCAATACCCATCTTTCTAACGCCTTCATCTCAGCAACACAAGGCATACTCTTACGCTAAGACATCAAGTCAGATTCTATATATCTTTGATCACCATCCCCCTAGGCAACACATACAGAGACTTCACCACCCCGCGTCCATGGTTCTACTCCAAGACACATACCCCGGTTCGCAACAAGCAGATTCACGGTTTACATTTATGACCCCGCGGATCAACTCGACTGTGCATACTCTAGTATTTCAACTTTTCCAGCCATTAGCTAGCACCTTACCTCTTTCTTGTGATCAGGATGCCTACATTATCCTGATTCAGCTTACTCTTCAGGCAATTCAGGATTACCGAGGGCCTGCAGAACATCATCACTCTCTCAATACTATGCTAGAAATATTGGCTCCTGTTCAGTCGTTGTTGGAAGGCTTTGTCCTCAACGAGAAAATAACCCGGAACGTATACCGGTCATTAGCGCATGAAGAGCTAGTTTCGACAAGCGAGCCTCTTCTCACGCCCAGTCTTGCTATTTTTGCATGGCTTCTTTCCACTGTCGACTTTTATACATCATGCTTCTCTAAATCATTCTATGATAGTCCAGAACGCAGCAGTTTCAGTGAGCTGAAAGACTTCTATGGAAGCCTACTCTCTCTGGCCTCATTCAAGGCTAGCAAGGTTGCAAGTACAGATGCAGACCCTGGGACCTTCCTTAGCAGCTCTGTAAAGTCTTTTGGCACCATGGAGCTTCTAGAGTTCTACGAGACGTACCCTCTGTTTGCTATTTCGCTCGGACACACCAATCTTTTTCTACCGCTAAGGTTACGGAATATATCCACCTTTCCCATAAGAACTGGCTCCAACACAATGACTGGTATCTTGTCCAACTTCGCGGCACATGCCCAGAAGCTTGAAGAAGTGGTTACACATTCGGTACCCCCGCTAGATTCTTCAATGTTCTTACGTCTCCTCGGTCTCCAAAAGTATCAACAATTTCTTCTGGCAAACAACACATCATTGCCTCTTCCCTGTCCCGTAACTAAATCATCTGAACAGGCAGAGTCATCCACTTCAATTGATGTAGGAACAATTTGCACAACAGCTATCCAATGCATTAACTTTAGAATACTGTGTGATCTATTTTCAAATATACATAAGATCCTGCACTCCACTCCTTTGGATCCGCTGGATGGCAACTACATATACTACTCACATATCTCTATGCCTGCATTTAGAGTCGGGGTTCTTCTTCGTAATCTTTCTCTTTTCCCCGTTACACGTGCAGAAGGCGTCTCATCAATCCTTGTCAACTCTCACCTAAGGCTCTCTCGATTCATTCTCACAGAACCAGGACACTCTCTTAGGGACACACTGGCATATGCTTGCAATTTGCGGGGGCTAATATACCCACTCGAAGTTGTTGGCATACAGAGTACGGAGCAGGGCATCTTGCTGGAGATTGCGCAAACACTATCGCTAGGCTATATGCTGGTTGCGTGGATGCGAAAGCCTGTCTGCATATACATCTCTTCGTATGCGGTTCGAAATGCTAAGATTCTTGCGTCATTGGTTTCACTCCTATGTTACGGGTACTCTCCAGAAATCATGAGCACATTAACGACAATAGAGCAATACGCATTAACTCGAAAGATTCTTGGATTACTCTATGACCCATCTTATGGTCCAGAAAGATCGAACAGTGCAATACTCAAAGACTTTAGCAGCATTGTTGATGGCCCTCTCGAACGCATAGGCATCCTTCAAATTTCTGAGGACAGTAGTCCATCACTTGTCAAGGCTATACGTGCATCTGGTCTCCGGCGCTTTCTAAGTCTTGTTGCGTTGGCTCACTTCTCAATTCCGCCAGCCTCTTCACGTGGACGAGATCCAAATCAGAACTACACGTCACAATTGAAACTAAAACGGACAGGGGATCCTCCTATTTCAGTTCTGAACACATTGCCAGAGCTTCTGTGCTCCCCCATTGATGTTCTTTCAACAACTTCGGCAGACGTATCCCTGTCCTCCCTTTTGCATGTCTATGTGGACGTTCCCATATACTCTGATGTTCATTTGTTTCTGAAAATGGCTCACTATAATCACATATATACCAGTAATTTGGTCTTTGCTATGCCCCCAGCTACAGAGTTCGGCCTTGTCGAACATACCCTTCGCAGAGAGCTGAGTATGGAGACTCCAGCCCTTCTTCAAGATATACTAGACGACCAGGAGTGTCTAAAGCTAGCTAAAGTATATACACACATAATCACTTATCTATCTAAAGTAGTGGATAAACGTTTATTGTTCTACTACACATCCTACTCAACTTGCGTAGAATTTGGTAAAGTTTTCAAGTCTCTGCTCTACCATAGGAGGCACACATTTACTGTTCGTCAGAAGCACTACGATCTTGCACTCACCAATCTTCGACTTGTCCATGAAAACTCTGAGCAGGCCTTAGAATCTTGCAGACGAGCATCCGCAGAGATCCAAGCACACTCACTTGCATTTCAAAACACTAACTTTGAGCTATCACATTTAGAAGAGGAGATTTCGGTAGTCAAACAGCGACTGTGCGTTAGAACTAATGATAAGAGGTATGCAGAAGAGACACTGAAAGAGGCATCTGAACTTCAGAATCAGTACAAGAAACAGATAGTAGTATTTCATAGACAAATGGATAGGATCTCCGATTATCAAAATTCAGTCAATCCCATTTTATTTGCTGCAGGCTGGCAGACGCATAAACGCTTTCAGGAGTGCCTTTCTATGGCCTGCCTACACTTAGCTGCATGTACCTCCAAGAAAGTCTCAGTTTTCGCGCTCTCAGTACCGAAGAAGGGGGCGTCAAAGCATACATCGAAAGAGATAGAGCCATCTCTGGATACATTCAAGCGGCGCGTTAGCAATATTGATGTGTTTATCAAGGAGATGATTGCACCCTCTCCCGAGGAAATAGTCAACTCTCCGCACTATCAGCTTATTAAGGACTATCTTCTGGATGCCATAGAAAGTATTTCCGGCTATAGACATACCGCCTCAACATATCTCGTGCCAATCGAACATGTCAAGGTGGAGAAGGGGGCCCAGAGTGACCTTGCTGTTCTCCCCAAAGAAATATCGACACGTCTTCCACCATTCTATACAAAAGAGAAGGCACGTTATGTTCCATCAACCATGGATCTTTTAAGGGCCTCTGTCGAAGTGCGAAGTGTCCACGTGATTGCTGATATGCTTTTCTGGATCCTCCTTTTCCAGATGGAGCTTAGTACCATGTGGATTAATGGCGCCGAGTACAGAACGGTTATTTCTGATCAGGAAACTGCTATTTCAAACTGCGCAAATGATATTGACAGCCTGGAGCGTCAACTGGCTGCCTTTGAGTCTCGTCTTCTCTTGGGGCAAGAGCGCAAGCAGAATCTTAATGCAGAGCTAACCAACTTACGCAATAAGTATGCAGAGTCCAAAGATATGTTGTCAACAACCAGCAGCATTTTAAGCAGCATCAGCGACTTGAGACAGGCTTGGCTTGGAACTAGTGCAGACCTGAAGCTGAAATTAGACAACATTATGGGAGATAGTATTGTCATCGCCACAGCATATACCATGCTACTCCATGTCAACTCATCAACCCGGTGCAAGCACCTGGCAGGCATAGCAAGTCTCTTGGCAGACACATATGGATACACCATTTCTCCTGTTTGGACCGAGAAGGGCCTCTCTGATAGCTGCATCACTAACATGACCCTTTCAAGTAACGAACTCATGCAAATACAATACGCTGCTTTAACGTCTCACTTCTTTGCCCCACAGGTGCCTCTTTATGAGCGTGATCTGAATATAATTCTAAGCAACACTAGCGTAGAGGTGTCTGGGGACATCAATGTGTCAGAGGACGAGTGGCTGGGCCTAATCAACTGTTTCGGATCACTAACAGAAATCGAAGCAGACATACTCCGCCATGGAAGCACACTTATACACGAGACCTTTGTTTTCTACGTGACTGCACTGCTATTTGGTCACCGTAACACAGCAATTCTTGTCACAGATCAGACAAGATCCCAGGGGAGGCTCCTCTCAGAAATCGTTTCTAAGGTAAGCATATTCCACGCATCTAGCAAAGGCTGTACACGCCCAATATTTTTGCAAACTCTCGCCGATTGTCAAAGATTGTACTCTGTAATCCAGCACTGTATCGTAGATAGTATGAGCACATTAGAGAACCAAGTCCGTGCACACGAGGACGCGATTGCTTCTATCGCTGCATCCTTGCGTGCCGATGCTATTACATCGGACAGCCCACTTGAAACGCTTGAGACCAGCTCTGTTGTTTTTCCAGTAGCCGTAGACACTACTTTTATGCATCAAACGTCTATGCACGATCTCTTATTGGGAGCATTCCAAGTGTCTACCAGTGACAAGGGGAACATCTACAAATATGCTATTAATCGCCAATCATCATGTGTAGAAGCACTCTACAGCAAACCAGGCACACTGACAGCGCACAGCCCCCTGAGGTTGTTTCTGACATCCCTCCACGACAAGCAGGACGTTGTTCTTTCCATCGCGAACAACCAGCTCCTGTCATTCTGTTCACTAATAGATTTAGAGCCCGTTGGGTACCGTGCCCCTGAGATCTCGGAATCAGCTCCTACAGTCAAGGTGGTCTTACAGAGACCTGTCTCGGACTTCACTTATCTTGATTACACCAGCAATCTTATCACAGTGGAAAAGCCGGTGGTCTCGATGTATCGTGTAGACTCAGAGCGTATCTATCAGGAGGTGTCTCTCTGTGGGTATGTCCTTTCCATTGTTGATGAAGCTATAGTTGACTTTATGTGCACCTTACAATCCAATGCCGACGTCCTTAATACCTTGACCAACAAAATGCTCCAACTGGTGTTATCGCCCAATAAGGTGCCGTTTCTTGAAGCCATCGCCGAGGTCCACCAGCAAATGAAGATCGTCACTGCCATGGTCATCCGCCTCAAGAAGTGTCTCTTCTTGAAAATCCACATGCCTAGAAGGTGACGCACATCACATTTACATTATATTTGGAAGCTGTTGCTTAGTAGGATCGATGCTCTGAGGAACATAATTTATAAACTCCTTTTCAGTTAGAGATTGATAAATGAAGGAAGCTGTAAACTTGGTTGGTTGGAGGAGAAAACGTCGTCCAAGAGCGTCTATGCAGTGCTTAATCAGGTCTAGTGCGTCTTGCTTGGTCATGTCTGGCTTCCAGTATTCAGACATGACACTCAACAGGAAGTACATAGAATACCCCTGGACACAGAAGTTGTCTTCTCCCATCGTGCCCAGATAGTCCATGTAATACAGTTGAGGGCCAGCTGCATCCACGCCCCCTGTGATAACGTACACGTTGTACGGGCCCTCACGAATGGCCCGTGCAAGCTCTGTGCGAATAAAGTTGGCTGATGACTTAACTGTTGGCGTGTAGCCTTGACGAAGGGAACGGAGCTTCAACGAATGCTTAATGTAGTCTGTAAATTGAAGGACGTCACCGTCTTCGCCGGTCACAATCATCCCCTGGCCCTCATGGATCTTGACTGTACGATCCGCACATTCCTTGAGAACTAGGATGCTGTGCTTAAAGACCGTGTCTGCAACCAGACAAACAAAATCCTTTCCCTTGAAGCCAAAGACTGAATCCATTGTTTCTTATTTCTCTTCACTCCCTTTAATGTAAATTGCCAAAGTGGGTCAAAACAAAAACCGAACAAAAAGTGCAGAATTGCGCACCATGTTAACCACAACCCTGGCAACCCAAGATTGTAGCCAGCTACAGCGGCAGCTGGATCTCATGGAGGTCGACCTCAGCGTAAATAAGGAAGAAGGAGACGCGGTTATCAGAATGAACGATCAAATTATACGGCAGCTGAAAGCGGAGAATACCACCCTGCGTCAGCAAGCAACCGCCATGGCGCGTTCATTTTCACTGAATGCGAATCCAGAGCGCGTCCAGCGTGAAATATATTCCCTGGCACGCGAGGTAGACAATCTGGGGCATAAGCGCAAACGTCTCGAAAAGCAATTGGCACTTATTCGTGAAAAGGAGCCTCAATTCACAGATGCATTCCTGGATTCCATAACGCCCACGGGCCGCTCTCTTAAGAAGGAAGCAGAGTACATATCATGTGTCCAGAAGGGATGTATAAGACGCAACCCTAATACCGTTGATTTGACATCCAGTGACGTCTTTAGGACACTAGAGAAGCGACGGGACGAAGTTGAGCTGAAATATAGAGATGCAAGGGCCCTCAACGATTTATATACCAAGCTGCGCAGACAGCTGCAAGAGCAATCCGTGCTATATGATAAGCAGATACGGCAGTGTAAGACTGTGCTTTCAAATAACGAGGACGCGTGCCGCCGAATGAGCATAATAGCAGAGGAGGCTGTTCTCTCTTCCTTTGACATGGATAACACTCTCCAGACAGAGAAAATGAACGCAACAATGAAGAAAGCAGATAACCAACAGAAGTTAGAGGAGAGGCGAGAGCAGGTGCGTATTGCAATGGCAAGCGCAATGCCCAGGTCCCCAACCACTGCACGACCGTCCGCAGAGCCTGCAGACGACACAACCATCATCACCATGGAGGAAGAAACGATAGAGGCCTATTGTAAGCGAATGTTTTTGACACGCATCTGTACAGAGACAGGCCTTACGAAGATAGATCGCTTTGCAGAGGTTGCAAAGCAGCAGCAAGTAGAAAATCAAAGATTGGATGCGTTGTCCCATACTCTCAGTGAAAAGGATGATGCAACAAAGAAATCCATCACGACGATCCTCCAAGTTCTCACAGATACAGAGTACATGCTCGACTCACACACTTCCGTGTTGCATGGAAACGTGTCAAAGCTGAGAGATTCTATTGATGCTGCAAAGCATGAGTTTGCCCAGACCAAAGATAAAGCCAAGAGTGTCGATAGCCTTATAAATGCAATAAATACTGGCCTCCAAACGCTTCTAGACAAGCTCCTTTTGGTAAAGGCCCCGCCACTTTCAGAGCTACAGACGAAAAAAGGCTTCGAAGATCTCTTTTCAGACATGCCTGACAATATAAAGGACATAATAGCTTACTACGGGAGTGAAGCAGGCAACGCCGATGCTGCTTTGCTGCTCGAGAACGAGTTCCAGCAGATAGTCAGCATGGCCCTGGTCATCGTTAGTAAGCTGATCACCCTCAAGGAATTTAGAATTCGTGCCGGAAGCAGTAGTTGCGCTGCATCTATTAACAATAGTTCAATCTTGGAGACGCAAGGACTGCCAATGCTGCCTCTGAACTCTCAACTAGTCGCTGATCAAGGCGCAGAGCCTGCAGAGGGTGGACTTTACAAGACAGAGGAGAAAGGCGCTGAAAGTGCTGAAGAGTACTTCAACCAGATCCTTGGAAAAGCTGACGCACAACCAGAAGGACCGGCTGTTCCTGCAGAGGTGGAGGCCTCTCCAGTGAACAACGTCGAGGCTCCCGTACTTGTTCGCACTGCTCCAACCGGAAGAACGCTACTCTCAATAACAAAGGCAGACATTTTTGGCAAAACAACAGATAAGAAACTTACCATGGATACTCTCGGCGATGATGCCTTGTTTGACTCTGATGAAGACGATTATAATTACAACGCTATTGTACAGGACGACTGTACCGGTGATAACATGAAGATAGATCTTCCTTGGGATAGGCCTGCGTCCAAGGCACCTATCCCTAGCAGGACGTCTGCAAAGATCAGTGCCCGCAATGAGAGGATAAGGCGCATACCGCAAGTGTTGCGAGAAAAAGACCCCATGGATCGTGACGTTATTAAAAGGGCCTCTGAGGCTATTGTACGCATGAACATGGTAGCAGAAGAGGATAAGCAAGAGCAGTAGTAGTGCATACTACATTTACTTAGGTCCTGAGAGGAACCTCCCATATGGAATTGCAGGACCACATGACTGCGTCCCGGACAGCGTCAGAATCTATGTTCTGGATTGCCTCACTCATTTCTTTGAGTAAATTGTCCGTGTCCGAAGACTGTTGCTGAGCATCCAGAGCCTGGACTGCGGCGGTCATCTGGGGCGTGAGGTACTCTAGTGGTGATAAATCTGCAAGCGCTCTATGTCCTGTAACTACATAGCCTCGCTGCTGTAGAGCCATATCTGCCGTAACGGTCAATGGAACATCGTCAAATATTACGAAGATAACGTCTGGCCACTCGGCAAAGTGTGCAAGCATCGCTGCAATCCATTGATCGATTGCAACCGGGCCAGGTTTTCCAATCAGAAACTGGTTGAAAATCATTGGTTTTTCTAATTCAATTGGTGGAGCTCTATTAAGCCCTGTGACAGTGGCTATCTCTGGGCCTTGCCTGGTATAATTCGGAGGGAATCCCGCGATGGCTGTCAAAGCAGTCAACTTCGTGATTGACTTTCGTGAAAAGGAGTGCTTAGAGCGTAGCGACACCCCGTACTGTCTGTAAGGCCCAAAGTGCCATTCTGACACGTTGATGTAGATAAGTAAGCGTGAGTAGTCGTCGCTGATGAGAATGTCTTTCGATGAAAGAAAATCGGTGGCGTCCTTCAGGGCATGGTTCAGGCTACGGAAGAACGAGAGGCGCTCTTGTCGGGACAAGCTTCTCGCCCCTGCCGCGCTATTTTGTCGGGCACGACTTAGTTTAAGAGGAATACGAACGTTAAAGGCGGGCACATCGCGACGCCGAAGAGCACGGCTGATTGTCGGAACGGAGATTGGCCTCTGCGCAGCCGCCAAGGCCTGTGATGCCTCCATTATTGTGCCACCAGGTTTCTGCAATGTCTCCATAATTATTCTGCCAGCTTCGTCGTTGATCATAGGACGTCTGCCACGCGTCTTTGGCTGAGTAATGTCGTCACCCTTTCGCAACCGCCAGAGGAGGGATCGGACACTAGAACTCTTGATGTTGCACTTCTTTGCATACCAGTCGAAAGGCTGCTGCTCATGGTATTGGGTCCAGAGCTCGACCAGCTGTTTCTTTGCAGAAATGGTTATTGTGGCCCTACCCGCATCGGCTCGACGCTTCCGTGGAGACGCCTCTACTGCCGTGCTAGCTGTCGGCACCGGGGGTGGAGACGTCCCAATGGACTCCATCGGGATGGAGAAGAGGAGGTCTTGCGCTACTTGGCATTGGATGCCCAGCGGCGATTCACCAAGAGAAATGGAAAGCATGTCCTCCCTTAGGGCGTCTGACTGCAGGGCAGGCTGGTTCGAGGCATGGGCCGTTTTATTTCTCTTTAAGCGATCGTCCATCTGTTGTTAAATATGAACAATGTGTTGGCAATTTAGGCCTGCACACTGTCCAAAATTTTAAGTCCATTAAATGTTATATTTACATACAATTTGAAAACAGGTCTAATTATTTTGAGACCAGCTCTTTGCAATCTTACGTAGCTCATCTATAGACGAAAGGACCCCCGGCTTCAGCCCAGCCAGGCGTTGCGTGAAGCGAGAGGGAGTATAAAAATCGTCCGAAATCAACACGCAATCGAAGTCTCCAAGCGCAGGAGTCCAATAGGCTGAGTTGAACGGACTGGGCTCTGGGATTGCCGAGTCGCCCGTTGCGCGGTAGGCAGCGCTGACGTCCCCTGGCGTAACGCCACCAATCATATAGATGTAGACCTTCTCTCTGCTGCGATAGGAGCTTATCTCATGCTTTTCTAAATAGGTCTGGAGCTCTTTGCCCTCTGGAGACTCTGGATAGTACTTTGCCGCCGCGTTGGACACATTGGAAACAAGCACGTCGCGCTTAACAGGCGCCCCACGTCGCCTACGCTCTACCATGGCCAGACTCTGGTTCTCTGCCACAGGGAAGAGACTCTCGGCTGTCTGTGACAGAGGGCTATCGTTGAACGAGCGGAAGATACACTCGAGGGCGGGGAGGTATCGGGACTCCTCGATTGCTTTGCTTAGAACACCCTTATGAACTGGACTCTTCTTCATCGCTTGCCACAAGTGAATAAAGTCATACGTAACAAAGGTCTGCAGGAACCCAGTCCACAATGCCCGAAAGTCAGCATCCTCATCCAGCCGCCAGAGCCGCGAAACGTTATAGTTAAGGTTGATCAAATCGCGGAGAGGCCTCCCGTAAATAGATTCAGAGAGGCCCCTATCTGTTTGACCAGACTTCTCCAGTATTAGAACAGTGTACATGTAGAGACGAAGGGCAACTGTGGAGTCCGTGCTCGGGGATGACAGTGTCTGAAGGATCTCTGTAATAGAGACTTTCTCTGGGCCAACTGCTATAGAATCCAGGTCAGAGATGCGGTCTCCGTTGATCAGAATGTCAAGCAGGGTAGACTCTGCTGCTAGAAGGAGCGGGAGGTACCCCTTGGCCTCTATTTCATCTGCAAACTTCTTAATAATAGTGAAGACACCATTCATTTGAGCGCTCAGCGTCATATATGGCACGTTGAAGATGGAAGAATCCACCAGGCTATATGACGGGATCTTCATCACTCGACCTGCGTGGCGCCCGTAGTTGACGGGTATTTCTTTGGGCTTAGTCATCATGGTAACTGAGTCTCTATCCAAAGGGTCAAAGCTCCGGAACACCTTGATAATATCCTTCTGCCACACAAGAAAGTTGGCCATGCTCATGAACCTGAAGCCGTTCCAAACGTCCGATGATTCAGAGAGATCTATCTCAATCAAATTCGCAGCCTTTTTCTGAGACTTTGCAATCTTAGCGTCGTTTGGGCTGCACGGCTGGCCAGTTGCGGCATCTGCTAAGTATAAGTCATCATTGATATCTAACATGTCAGGCAGGAAGGAGCCGACGAGTGTGTGGTGAGCAACAAGGGAAATAGGGTCAAACGCCCTGTCTACTATGATTATTGTGCTGTTAACACACGGATAGCTATTGTTATACGGTGCAACTGGGGTAAGTTGCAGCTTCTTGTTTAGGGCCTCGGCGATCTCCTTGCAAAGCGAAAAGTGCGACTCTCGTGCAACTCCTTTATAGTAGCGTACCTCTGGTGGACCCATTTCTAGGGAATTAAATAAAGACCACAGCTTTTCGACTGTAGTGGAGATGTATTGCTTCTTAATAGCCTGATACGTATCTGCATTAAACTTGTGCATGCCATAAGCTATCAGAAATGCTTCTGGCTGGTTGAGATTGATAAACCTGTTCCACCTAACGGTGAAGTCGACATTGAAGCTCATGACACCTGCCTTAGAGAGCAAGTCTACGAGCCCAGACGACTTCACAAAGTTCTCTGCATCGGCTGAAAGCGGACCAGGTGTGAGTATGAACAGACCCTTGTACTTATACGGAAATTGGACCTTAGAGCCTGAGGGGCCACAGCATCCCTTCTTAGCCTGCTTTGCTTCCGCAACACTTGCGCTGAACGACGACACATGGGTGCTTCCATTGACGCCCCAGCCAAAGTCCCGCGCTACCATCTCCATCGCCTCTAGGGTCGTAGAGACCATATACACCCCAAACATGGCTGGCTGTGGAGTGCGGGTCTTTTCCAAAGAATCCTTCAGAACAAGGCGATACTCCGTTAAGATCGAGGTAGTGAAAAGAGACCCGATAATAGGTAACGTATAGCTATCTAGGATCAAAATACCGTAGATGTTATTCTTCTTGAGGAAACTTGCAATCTTCTCAAAGTAATGTATGATCAGATAATCTCTCAAGAGAGGGCGGATCTGTTGTGGATATTGACAAAAGAAGCGAAAGATCGGATGTTCATTCGGGCCTGAGATCACCTCGGCACTCATTTTTTGTTTTGACGAAATGGAAGAGTGTTTTAAGGAAGCGAGCCTTGCACTCGCAGAGCGTGAGGTTCCCGTCGGATGCGCCATCGTTGACAGTGCTGGCCGCATACTTGCTACAGGGAGAAACGCAACTAACAAGACGCGTAACTCCACGCACCATGCAGAGATCATGGCATTGGCTCAGTTACCATCTGGCACAGATCTTTCTGACTGTGTGCTCTATGTAACCATCGAACCCTGCATTATGTGTGCTGCTGCCCTCTCAATTGTGGGCCTAACAAACATTATTTACTTCGCCCGCAACAGCAAGTTCGGTGGCTGTGGCTCGGTACTAGATGTAAATAACCACACAGCACGTCCGTGGACAAAGCTGAATGCCAAGTATGTACCTGACGAGCGTGCAATCCACTTGCTGCAGGAGTTCTTTGAAAGGAAGAACCCTGTGACAGCAGCATCAGACCACGGCATAGATGAATTAGATTATTGTTTGGACAGGGAACCCCGATTGAAAAATCAAAGTACAATTTAGAACAATTGAAATAAAATTAAAATAAAATCTATCAGCAAGAAGTAAGCACCCGTTCACGAGTACTCGTTCAAATCTAACTATATCTAAACAGTGCTAACGCTCTAGCTTATGCTAACTCATAGACACTATACTTTGCAGTCCAGGGAGCAGAGTTGGTTGGCGCGGACCGGGGGCGCGTCTGCTGTGACTTCAAGATACGCTCCCTGTAGGCACCTGGCTTCACCAGTCGGATACTGGCATAATCAATGAATCCACCGGACTTCTCGGCGAGACGGACCTGGCCATATAAGTCATTTGGGACGGCTTTCAGCCGCTCCTGGGTCATGCTGGAGGAACCCTTAAAGTCTATCCGTTTGTGTGGTCTTTGAGAGTGTGATATTACCGCAAGCGCCTTCGTGAATCCATCTTCTTCACCATGTAAAGGCTTTCTGTTGATCACGCTGGCTGCCTGTCGTATCACATCCAGTTTGTTCTGCCGAAACGTTTCGCGGATCTGTTGCGTTATAGCCTCTGTTTGGTGCTTCACCTTGAAGCTGGTATCTCTAAATGATTCCGCACTGTGCCGAGTCTCCTCCTTCTGTCGTGCCACCTTCTCCTTTATGGTACTATCATGTGCATTCAAGATCATTCGCTTATAGCTATCCATCCTCTCAGCCCGTTCCTTTCTCCGCTGCTGAATCTCAGCTTCAAGGTCAGCCTTCAACTTAGCTACCTTAGCAACCCTATTGCAAGCACGTAGGCGCTCGCTCTTCCGCCGGGAGAACAAAGCGTCTTCTTCTGCTATCTTCTGCTTTTTTTGGAGGAGCTGAAACTCCCGTTCTTGTTCAAGATTTTTCATTCGCTTTCTCTGGGCTTCACAAGCGGCCAGGTGGGCATGCAGGATTGTCTCCTTTCGAGATTGAAGCATGTCATTTCTGCGTTGCTCAGCTAGTGCGTTCTTTTGCTTAAGCTCGGCACGCTGCTGCTCTATCTTCTGCAGATGAAGTTGGTCTGCTCGCATAGATGCAGAGATCAGCCGTGTGTTCAGCTTTTCTGATTGAAGCATCCGCTTAGTTTGCTCATTGTTCTGCAAGGTTTGCAAGCGATTGTCGATCTCTTGCTGTCTCGCAAGAAACCGGTCCAACTGTTGCATACGTTCCGCATCCTCTTTCCTCCGCTTAGCTTCAATAATTTGCTGCTGCTTTCTGTGCCTACTAGCCTGCAAGGCTGCTTCCTTACGCCGCCTGCTCGTTGCCTCCTTGAGATTTTGCTCTGTGCTTTTCATTTGTAGCTGGTACTTACGTAGCATATCTAATGAGTGCTCATCAGCAATCTTCTGGGCTTCATTGTATCGCTCCATTGCTACCTCTTGCTTCTGGAGGAGCCTCTCCATCTTCTTAGCTATCTCTTTTTGCTTAACCTGCTTATTCTGATCTACCAGGTTCGCACTTACTGACATGCTCTCGTTTATCTTGTCTTCGTTCAATACAGTTTGTACTATTTCTGCCATGCAACGCTTGCGCCGCGCAACCTGCTTAGCTATTAACCGCTGCTCCATACCGTCCGGGGAATATCGCCGTTGAATGGCTTCTAGAGCATTACAAACCCTAGGATCCTTAGTTCTTGATCTGGGAAGAAGATTGGCAAGCCTTGGAAATGCAATAGACTCGGCTAGCGTAACGCCGTTATCGCAGATCTTTTGGAACTCGCTCAGGCAAGCTGCCAGAGCCATAGCTCTATCCTTTTCATATGCTTCGAAGATGAGTTTGCGCTTTTCCGGATCACTCTCGTTTATAGAGTTTTCTTGGCAAAAATTTAGCTCTTGTGGTAGAACGCCAACGCGCTGGCACGCAAGAATGGAGCGTGGAGAGTCTAGTTCAATGTCATCGATCCGCGCCTTGGCATTTGGGATTATTTGCAAAGATGTTACCCCCTTGTAATCCGCGGTCATATGAATTTTTTGAATTTCTTTTTCAATCGCCTGGTTTGCTTCGCTCTTGCACTCTTGCAACTACAGTTTCATCTCATGTCTGATAGCTACAGTGATTATAGTGATAGCTACACAGAAGATGCAGGATCCAAATCTTCTAGCTTGTCTAAATCGTCTAAGCAGAAGCAAACTCCTGCGTTCACTTTTGCTGACATTCCCGCCGAAGTATCACTTTCCTTGGGGGAGTACTGTACCGTCATTCTAAGGCCTGGAAAGAAACAGTATGTCGTCGAGGTAGCAACCAACTATCCTCGTGAAGCAGCCAATAAAGTGCAACTAACGTTCGGAGAGCACGGGTGCTCGGTGACCCAAGCTGCAAGCTCTATTCGATCTGCTATTTCTCAACCTATCCCAGTAGAACTTCCTTCTTCTGGTACAGATAGGCACGGTCATCCACAGGAACCCACCTCCCTATCGGCATCAACTCTCCCTACACCTGCCCAAGCGCAAGAAAATACTGTAGCTCCAGATGGCACACGTCCAAATCCGCGCGACTTCTACAGAAGGTTGAGAGACTGACGCAAGCATCAAACGAGATGGGCAGGCCACACTGCTTCACCACCATTTACTCCGGATCAGTGTCCTAGCTCCGTAAGGAATATGTTTAGCTTGTCATCAAGTGCTGTCCCCTGCCGAGGAGCCTTGATGGCCACGGCGACGGCTTGCCTCGATATACCCACACTTCGACCTAGTTCTTGGCGCGAGGGCACGAATATGTATGCAATTCCCTTGTCCTCGCAGACCTCGGGAAGATGAAGGACCAGCTCGAGAGGAAGAGCATCTGCGGATAAGACAACGAGACGTGCCTTGCCCTTGTTCAGGGCCTTGGTGACCTCATTCATTCCCCGTGAAATCGACCTACTGTTCTTGGCGAGATCCACAAGTTCGTAGATCCTCTTGGACTGGGCCTCTGAGGCCAAGGGAACAGCGCGTGCATCTGGCATCCTTGTTTCAATTGAGTTTTAATTTATTACATTTTCCACGTGGATATGGCAAGCACGTGGCTCATTAGCCCCACTCCTCAGTGAACTCTGCTCCCTTGCTTTTGTACTGCCTTGTCTTAAGTTCCTCATATTGGGGAATCAGCCGGATTGGCTTGGGCCGTAGCGTTTCGTGTTCAACGTTGTGAGTGGGCGTTTGGGTGATTGCAATCCTTACGCTATGAATTGCAAGCGGTTGCTTTGTTCTTACATATTCTGGCTTCTGGGGCACCGGCCCAGGCCAGTGGTCACATGGATGCAGTCCTTTTTTGCGCAGCTCGTAAGGCCCTGTAAGCGCCTTATCACCATAACTCAGTAGGTACTTGTTTCCTGCAAGTAGCGTTGTAACTCCATTGCAATCATGTATTTCCGCGGGGCTGTATTTCTGAGTCACTGGACGTGGAGGGTCATGGTAACCTTGGTGGACATTGCACGAAAGACCTCTGATGGGCGCTGGAGGTTGTAGTTGTATTGTGGGGGAGTAGAATAGCACCCGATCTCGTGCTGTGTACGGCTTCTTGCAGTGAATAGGAGGAAGAAACATTTTTGCCTTTAGATGCTCCAACTACAGCGTGCTCGACAGCCGAGCCGGTCTGCAGCAAAAGCCATGAGAATATGGAGAAACCGACAAGATGCAATAATAATTCACGAATACTTCAAAAGGTCTGGCGCCCAGCAGACCCAAGAAGGGCGGAACTTTCTACACCAACTTAAGTCGCTCCAGAACCTCTTCCATAGAAACGTATTCTTGGCCTGTACTTATCTCCTGCTGATGCCTCACATCACGACGTAGCAGCTCCACCTCTCGCTTGAGTTCTAAATTCTCCTCCAGGGCCATTCGAAGCTCCTCCTCGATAGACGTCTGCCTTTCTGTTAATTGATCAACCCTGTCGGTAAGATGATTGAGCTTTTGGAGCACGGCTTGAAGCACTGCAAGGTGACCGCAAGGATCGCTTGCCTGTTTATAAGGAGATCTTCTAGCCTTACTAGTGTCGCTAGTTATGTAATCCTCGCTATTGAGAACGGGAGATCTGGGTGCAGCAGAGGCCTTTCCGGTGTCTCTTAAGGTGAGAGACCCTTCTACGTCATCAATAAGATATTCCATCAAGTTTTGAGCTTTCTGAGGTGAGCTCTGCGATGCATGAAGCATCTGTGATACCTGTGTTCCACTGCCACCAGATGCACTGCTAGCCTTTCGGTCCTGTTTAGAAGCACTGGACGGACGCCTGGTCTCCGTTATATGCCTGTCTCCGAGCAGTGGCTGAGAAGTAAGAGGTCTTGGAGCCCGAGACTCCCTCCTGCGCCGAATTTCATCCTCTGTAAGTCTGTACTTGGAATGATCCTGTTGGAGGTCATTCCACTCTGGTTTGACTGCAGATCTAGGCCTCCGCTGCAGAAGGCGCTCAGAAGAAGCAGCAGAGGGGGCGGAGGGAGCGGATCTACGCTGTCTGAGCTCAGTGGGGTTCATGATAATTTTTGCTCTTGGGTAGGGTAGGACTAGGATTGTGCGTCTCAAAGAAAGTCTTTTGAATGAACAAGGAACGAGTCTGCTGGGCAGTTAGTGCCGGCATTGAAGACGCTTGCACATCTGGCTCCATCTTGTAGTTTTTGAAACTGGCAATTCGCGCTGGATTATTTTTCGAACGTAGTGAGGTAGTCCTGGCTTCAGCGTCAAAAGAGAGTATATTTCTACAGGGGTTCGTGCATTCATTAATTACTTTCCTTGCTGGATGAATTGGGGAATATGAACGAGACAGAGACCTCATACTTTTGAAGCCGGCATCGTCCTTGAAGGATCGCGCGTTGAATGAGTCACACGTAGACGGACGGAAGCTCCCAGATGCGCTACGCTGATACCCACCGGAGTGAGAGGAGGCTTTGGGATTTCTATGGCTATATGTTTCTTCCGTCAAAAGCCCTGCAGTCGAGAGTTTTCTCTCTTGCGATAGTGACGGTGACGACGAGGTGATTCTCCTGACGCTTTTATCCGCAGCGTCATGCGGTCCTCGAGGCGTGACCGAGCGTATGCTACGAGAAGTGGAGAAGGGTGGCGAGGGCGATACAACAAGATCTAATGTTTTCATAAGAGACTGACTCTGTTTTCGTGATCCAGATTTGATGGATTTTGTGGGGGTATCGAAGGTGCATGATTGACGCATTCGTGAGATGGCACTAGCAATAGACCGTCTGTGGCTGTCTGTTGATGACACTAGTCCGGATCCATTAATAACATGTTGCTTAAGCTCTCTTATCTGCGGAGAGAAGGTGCACTGTTCCAATTCTTGCCTCATTTTATCGTTCAGATGCTCTGTGTGAAGCTTCTGGATTCGCGTATGCCTAGCCATACCTTGGTCGTATAGCCTAAGAGCAGCAGCATCTTCCATCCGTCTGCGAGCATCTAGAGTGTTAACATTACTAGGCTGAATCCCAGCGACATCAGCATTGGTCTGCTTTGCCTTTTCCCTTTCTTCTTGCTTGGAAGGGCGTCTGTTAATTGATGGACTAAATGTCAGATCAGCTGCCCTCTCTAGTTCCGCCTTCTGCCTTGTCTCTTCTCTGACTTTGTTTCTATGCTCTGTCCATGCATTGACTCGCTTGTAAACATCATCGGAGCTGAGAGATAGCTTATTCCAGTAGGATCCAGATAGAGTCTTTGCGTTATCATTAATCTCAGGCATGAATGAGGGCGCTGCTTTCTCTGCCTGAGTGTGCGTTTGGTTTAAAGAGTGGGCCACATAATTAAATCTAAGTTGAATTGTCTTCTGTGCGAGGGTGAGAAGATTGGGGAGAGTATATCGGTTAATAAGGGTCGGGATATCAAAAGAGCCCTCTTGCATGGAGGGCAGTCGTGTCGCCAGGTAGAGGGCTGATAGGTAGTAAATTAGGATTGATCGCTGAATGACACCTGTCTCGTCTTGCAGTTGCGGTATGACCTTAAACAGCAGCATCTCCATGTTCTTGCTGTTCGAAGTTGCCACGTAGCCTTCTCTAACAAAAAGATTGAGCGCATTTTCGACATTCAAGGTTTGGACGTCGGGGCCCACCTCTTTGTCGATAGCAGAGGAAGCTTCGTTAACAACCATGTTCATGGAATCAATGAACTGCCTATGTGGAGAGTCTTTATGAAACGCGGATTGTTGGACTTGATCTGCGGCGTGCTGGTGCTTCTGATTTTTTGGAGTGGTTGTTAAAGCTGAGCTTGTAAGAGACGGAGTCGTAGCTCCTTGAGATTTATCCGCATGACTCATGCTGTCAAGGTTCTGCTTTGAGGTATTTTTAAACCTGAAGACATATTCTGTTGTACGTAGCTGGAAACCAAGGACTCTATGGCTAATATACAAGGCCGCCTTCCACCATGGGGCGAGCGAGAGCTGTCCGATGCTCAGAGAAAGCAAGCCAAGGCGGCCCTATCCCGATGTCTGGGCTCCGACCACATCAGTACCAGACAGGGGCCACGCAACACGCGGATACCCTACTTAGACGTTTCGACGACAATAAGATTAGCCAATGAAGCATTTCGATACGATGGATGGTCGTCTAACATTATCAGCATTACGCAAGACTTCATACAGGAAGAGCGAGGCATATGGTCATGTTGCTATACTGCTTTGGTCCGCATCACCCTCCCCAACGGCTGCTACCACGAGGGAATTGGGGTTGGTAACGCAGAGAATACACGTCTTCAAGCAGACGCAATTGAGAAGGCCAAGAAGTCTGCTGTGAGTGACGCAATGAAGCGCGCGCTCCGGTGCTTTGGTGAAGGACTGGGGAATAATATCACTTCTGACTCTGCAACTTCAAGGGGCAGTGTTCTTTCAATCTATGAGGATGAATTTGATGTTAAAGAGAACCCAGACCGGGTCATAACAGCCTCAAAAGACGTGGTAGCTGCAGCCTCTACTGCTACCTCTAATGCTGCACCTTTGAATAACTCGAAGCGTCTGCACACGACAGTCTCACCTGTTACCAGTGGACAATTCAACTTAACAGGCACAGGCCCCACTGCCTTGGCAGCTCTACAACTCTCTGTGGCGGACACTCCTTCCAATGCTAATGAGATTGATACCATTGGTAATCTGCCAGCACAACCTTGCAATACAAAGCCAGAAATCAATATCAACGGAGCAAATAAGGCTCCTCCACCCACCAAAATACTGGTCGAGAAACCTTCTTTGTTTCAGATTGCTGCAACCAAAAGACCAACTGAGCAATTCCCCGGTCAAAGTGATCGAAAAACGCTTCACGCGGCAGCACCTGACAGCAACCAGGAAAAGACTTTACCATCAGAGCCATCGCTAAAGCAATCTCATCCCATGTTCAGCAAGGCGCGTCAGTCTATATTTAGCAAATAGTTCTCCATAGATTTTTATTTCTGAACATACTGTTTAGTGTTTACATAGTATTAGCATACGAACCTACTAACGTTAGCTGCAGGTTACTACCCTCTTGTCTCAAGAATAAAATAAAAATGCTGCTACCATCTTTGGCTCTGGTTCTAGCTGCTGCTCTCTCTAGAGTTTCCAGAGCAACTTCTAAGACAGCGTCTATTTCATATCCAGAGTATATTCCCGACGATGCCACATGCATTATTCAGCTGGATGGTACAGTTGATGTGGATACAGTGCTCGGTAGTGATGCGGTCTTCATGGGTATTCCTAATTTCTACACTATTCCTTGCTTCTCTTCAGAAGAGTCTGAAGAGCCAGACATCGATGCATACGATACCACTGACGACAATGAATCTATGACCTATGAGGAGAAAGTTGCAGCGTTAGATGAGATCGCGGCGCGCGCGGGAGTTGTTGCGGTTTATCCAGATATTTCTCTATCCATCAAAGTGCCTGCTACTCTCTCTAATTATACTGCCGCCCCCGCTGCTCAGTCAGGAAACTGCACCTCGCCTGCGCACGACTTGCTTTGGTACATAACTGGCGAGTATATTGCACCGGATAGCAAAAAGAAGATAAAAACGCTTGACATTAATATAACAGATGTTTGGGATAAAAGCTACACTGGGCAGAATACAATTATTCAAATGCTCTTGGTCGGTGGCGTTTCCCAAGATAATCAGGACATCTCCGACAGAATTGACCACACACTCTCACAAAATTTCACAACTGAGAATGCAGATGAAACGTATAACATGGGCACATCTCTAGCTGCTCTTGCTGTTGGGAATATATGTAACGATTATGGCGCGGAAGGCATATCTCCAGAATCTAGTCTCATCGTCATGGCATATAACCAGACAGACGTTCTCCTGTCCGAGCTGCTCCTTGGCCTGTATCCTGCAGCCTATCTCAAGTACCTGAACGAAACAGCATCAGATACAGATGCGAGTTACAAGACATCTGTAATAGCTACGTCATTCCTTCTTGACGGTTGCTCTAGTGGATGTTGTACTATTTTTGACGACATCCCCTGGCTATCTACTGCAATGAGCGACGGTGCCACAACTAATTCCGCTGTTTACCTTTTCGCTACAAGCGACGAGGGTCATACAGATGCTAATATTTATCCATTCTTGAGGAGTCCAGGCGCAATAGTCGTGGGGGCAACGTCTCCTCAAGGAAAACCGGATGATGAGACCACATTTGGGTCTAACATAGTATTTTCTGTGCCCGTCAACGGAACAGTTGACAGCACAAATCTCTCTCTTATAACAAGTACGACCCCCAGTGCATGTAACTATACTGACTCCGATCAAGCAACTGGCTGTTTGGTTGGGGTCAGCGGCCCAGCAGGGGCTCTCTCTATTGCTGCTGGAGCTGTTGCCATAATTGGACAGGTCATAAACAAAAACTACAACGTCCGCGACATCCTACACATCATGGCCGTCAGCTCCCAGACTGTCAACAATAGCACACAGTTTGACGAAAAGAATGGATGGGTCCTCAACGACAACGGATTCTTCTTCAGCAATAAGTACGGGTTTGGCTTGCTCAATGTAACGAAGGCAGTTAGCATCGCCGAGAATTGGCCTGTGCTTCCAGATGCCACCTATGCAACCTTTTCCTACGACGACACCGAAAAACTAGATGCAGATGACTCTATAGATATACATATTACCGTCCCAGAAAAGAACATGATGCGCCTGGAAAGAGTTCAGCTCGCCCTATCACTCACAACCGGATTTGCTGGTGACATTGTCATAGATATAACGTCTCCGGGTGGGACCACAAGTAGAGTTTTGGATGCCAGGAAGGCGGATACGTCAGACAGTTTCTCAGACACCGTCTATCTTCTAACAAACGCCTTCTTTGGAGAGGCTTCTCCTGGAGATTGGAAAATTACAATACACAATAAGCACGCTGTGTCCTCAGCACAAATTACCTCTGTCAAGCTCATGATTACTGGGGTTGCTCAGACAACTCACTTGACATTTGCCAAGTCGTACAACAAGATCTATTCTGATAGCACTGTCCATCTGAAGTGGAGGCCTGCAACTTGCGGTCTTACCTATGCATCCACTGTAGACTTCTGGATCACGGACCGCTTCCACAATCCAATTACGCTCATAGCTTCTAACGTCTCGTATAGCGAGTACGAGTACAAATGGGACGCGTTCAAGATTCCTCTTGAAAAGGATACCCGTGGTTTCTTTATGATGGTGCCTCACAACACTGCTAACATCACGCCGTACCAATGGCTTCCGGGAACCGTTTACTCGCCTCTTGTGCGCTTTCATTTGGCCGATTCAGAGCCTGCCGCCGGAGCCTTCATGCGCCCAAGCATAACAACGGTTGCTACTGTAAGTGCCATTCTGGCGGCAGCTGCTCTAGTGCTCAAGTAACCCTATAGAGGTGCGAACACTTAGCTCAACCTTTCAGCCACAACATACGATAGCAGATTCCCATTGCTAGGGGAAGCCACTTAAGCGTTATGGATTTGATCTTTGTTGGGTTAGTGACCTCCATCAGGCGGTGGACAGCAACAGTGAACACAGGGCAATTCTGAAGCTTTTCTTTGAGAGGGCCTACAAAAGAAAGACCGCCATCGGGGAGTACTTGAGAGATAAAAACAATGTTCTTAAGAATCGTGGCCGGAAAAACTGGCTCAAAAAGAGAGGGGTGCATTTGCACACGAAGATCACCTATGTAGAGATCATCATCTTTGAATTGAAAATCAAGTTTTTCCATTTGAGGACTATAAATCCACTGGAGAAAGTTCAAAAAGACAGAGTAGACTACGCATGTCGGTAGTTCAAATTCATTTTTGATTGCAAAAAGGAGCTTGATTAGAGCAGGAAGATTGGGAATAAAGGCGGTGAACTTCTGCATGTCATAAGAGTTTAGAGTATAATAATGTCCTGCGTACTCTTCTCCAATATCGACGTTGTCCAAAGAATTATCAGCGAGTAACCCTGCTTCAGCCATGGACCGACACGAACAGTAATAGTTGAAGATTTCTGCCGCATTTTCTGGCGGGTCTGGGGGTTGAAGAATACAGTAGTCTGGCAAAAGCATGACATCATATTTGCTGTTAGCAAGAGGAATATAGCCTTTGAGTTTGGCAATGATGAAGGGCTGATACCGTAGATCCATATGAGGGGCATACGTTGATAACTGATCGACAATGCAAATTGTTTTCTTCGAGGTTCGCGTGGTCATAGAGTCTGGTAACGAAGCTGTCTTGCTTATATCTATGTTAAGTTGCCCACATTCTGAATTTCGAGGATCTTCAGCGTCATCAAGGCCGGAGGCAGAGGAGATAGATGAATGTGGAGATGATTGGCTCCGAGAGCCATAGCCTCTAGTAGGTATTGCTGAAGGGGCATCCAAATTTGCGTCCTGAATGGAAAACAAAGAAGGGACAGTGTAACCAGGTACAGAATAAGCTGGGAATGTTCTAGTGCAAAGTGGACCATCGTGCTTGTTAATAACAGGAAGCGTATTGGGCTGCAAATCCTCATCTTCTATGAGGTGAAAGAGAGGATCTGTCTGCTGGTCGTCGAGCGTATCTGATGGAAAGCATTTGGAGGTATCACTGGCAAGATTAACTGGGGATATAGATTCAGAAGCGTCAGCATCAGCGGGATGTACCAAGGTTAAAACAGCACCCAGCCAAGTCGGAGTGGAGTCAGAATTGATGGAGACAGTCACTAGCTTTCCCGTTTGTGAGATGGACACTCCAAATGGTGTACTCTGGTGTCCTCTTATAAATAGTCCCAACCCTTCATTTTTCAAGAATTCTTTCACTGTGGAGGGATAAAACACAATGCCTGTGTTCCTACGTCTATTGAGACAGACTCCCAACCGAATAAAAGCCTCCGTTTCGGACGGATGAATATCATTACCAATACTGATAGACTTCTTTGCCTGAACCATGGCATAATCTGAACTAGCCAAAGTAACGTCCCCGTCTGATTGTGTACGCCGATGATAGGTTTTCTGCTTCTTACTACTCCTTGCAGAGGAGACTAAATTTAAGCCGGTGGAGATTCTTTTAAGCGGGGGAGATGACTGATCCAAGTCCTGGCTTAGATCAATCGCGGGTTGATCCTCCACGAAGTCTGCCCAAAGCATATTGTGAAGGGGGTCAAAGTATGGCGCCTTTGTGTGAAACTTAGAGCAGGGTGCTCGTTTTGTGCAGTACTTTTCTATGTCTGCAAGAGATGCGTTCTTCGAATAGATACCAGCATGAACAGCAAAGACATAGTCATTGATGAGTGCGCAGGTTGGGAGTGCGTCAAAAAGGCGCAGGAGTCTGTCAGTGATTTTCGACGCTTCTACGTACTCATACTTGTGGATGAGCTCTTGAAAAAGTTGGCCACGTTGTAAACATGCACGTGTCTCGTGATTTCCTCGCAGTAAATATACTGCATTTGGAAATAGTATCTTTAGGCCCAAAAGGACAACAAGGCACTCAATGGAAAAGGAGCCTCTGTCAACGTAATCTCCAAGAAAGAGATAGATATGGTCATAGTCCTTCACAATGTACTTCTGCGTTCCTTCAACCGCATAACGAGGGTGAACTCCCCATCCTTTGACTGAAAATGGCTCTTCTGGGTCTTCATAGCCTTCGTAGGATTCGTTGCTCATGGGCTCATCGAGAATAAATAGCTTTGTCCTGATTAGAACTTTAAAGAGAGCCTCAATGTTTCCATGTATGTCGCCTACCACATGGACTCGCGGAGATGCTTCTTCGGCGACTTTCGAAGCAAAACACCACTCTCCCAAGTAATTCTTGGCCAGAGTGCCGGGGCAAGCTGCGCGTGTATAGATGCGGAGGACCCCGGGATCGTTTCCGAGCGCTATTGTCCCTCGCTGCAGAACCCCCTTGACCATTGTTGCACGCAAAACCTGCTTAAGATCAAGTATAGGCTCCCCGATGCGAGATCGCCCGTAGCACTTTCTAATCTCTTTGAGCAGCGTTGCAAAAAAAGACGGTACAAAGGCTTCAACGAACGGGTCCATATGTACAGCAAGATCGGGGCAGTAAAAAGTGAGCTTCAGATTCTAATATAGAAAAGATAGTTGGAAGTTTGTGGGGCCTAACGCTTGAATTTTTAATTTACAAGAAACGATCACACAACTCCCTGCACAATTACTAAGCTTACCTCAGTAATCTCGCAGGGAAAGCTTCCATACAGATAAAAATAAAATACTACGAAGTCTAATCTATATTGAGAATAGACGATCCAATCTTCTCAGTGGGCTCTTTACGATAGCAATAGATCAGTCTGGGCTGGCCAAGCCGCTCATCTGGATGAATTTCAGTGCTAAATGTATCACTCATAAGCTCTGTTAGGATGCGATCTAGCAGGGGGAGCGTTTCTTCACTCGGTCCTACTATCCACTGTAGCGCAAGAGAATCCACCCGGGGCCGCGAGCCCTGGCTAAAGAGGCGCTGACATGCCGTTTGATACGAAGCCTCCTCAATCTTTTCATCCTGGGTGATATTGAAGCTGTAGAGCTCGATATCTCTAGAGCTCTCTAAAGCAATATTAATCGCATCTTGTGTTATGTTGACTGAAAAAGATGTTCCTACAAAGACGATGGCATCTGCTGCTCGCAACCATTGCTCGGCTTCATAGTAACGGTAGAAGTCGTGGCTGACGTACTGCTCGTCGAACATGAGCGCGTGAGGCATGATAGGCGAAAGGCATCCGGGGCAGCGCGGGATCTTAATCTTCAGGTTATTGTTGGCGAGTGAGGTTCCGTCCACGGCGTAAGCGTTCAGATCGTGGAGCTTTATAGAGATGCTCCTAGAATAAGGGCAATCGCGCTGGCGTCCGAGGCCCTTCACATTACCTGTGGCTTGGTTGACGCACTTGTACAGACCTAAGCGCCCGTGTATTTCAACCAATCTATTTTCGAGGGCCCCAGATTTCGTATGCAGAGTGTCTATGTTCTGTGTTATAACAAAGACGTCTGCCTTCCGCATTATCTTGGCAATAGCGATATGGCCTTGGTTTGGCTTTGCATTGATGAACGACGGTATCTCGTGCGTCCTGAGCCAGAAGGAGTTCCAATACTGATCCGGATCTTCTTTGAATGTACGACGCTCTCCAGAGGCCATGACAAAGTTAGACCAGATGGCTTTATTAGAGTAACGATACGGCGTTATCCCACTGGCATAAGAGAGCCCAGCGCCAGTCACAAAGATAACTGCTCGACCAGCTCGCAAGGTTCTAGCTAACTGCAGTATGGCATTAAGGCTGGTGCCACTTTTGGAAGCCGCAGCAGTAGGAGATCCTACCCGCTCCACCTCATCTGCAAATGCTTTGAGAAGATCCTGACGCAGCTTTGTGCTCAGGCCCTCAAATATGACATCTACATCGGGTACCATGAAACGCTGAGACTACTTGTGTCGCCACTTTAAAGTTTTTACCAGTTCAATGATTTGGGTCTCTCTTCTATTGACCCTTGGAGTTGCCTACTTTGGTATCAACACAGGATACTATTTGCGCCGGTCTATGAGTAGAGCTAGGGAGCCTACATCAAGAGTAGATCCCGTCAGCAGCTCAATCAATTCACTTACTAATACTAGTCCGGATCCACACTGTGAGTTGGTGCACTACGTTCCGCCAACTGGGTATACAGGCAATGACACACTGGTGTATGACTTTCGGGCGAGCCATCCTGCCTGTTCGGTTCCTGTCCGCGATCAGGGCTTGTGTAGTGGGTCATGGGCAATAGCTGCAGTCGACATGTTCTCAATGTATCACTGCTCAATGTATGGAGATGAAGCTACCCTGTTTTCCCCTCAATACCTGCTCAGCTGCTTTAGTGACACGGGGTGCTTTGGTGAGGATGCCCGTGCCGGATTTCTGTTCCTTACTGAAGTGGGCATTACCTCAGAAGAATGCTTTCCATTTAATTCCAGCGAGCACGGAGTGCCGCCGGCGTGCCCAAACGCTTGTGTGGACGGAAGCACCCCTTCCTTCAATAGGATTAGCAAAGCTCATATATATGGGGGTAATGCTACCCGCATCGCAGAACTCTTAATGCAGAAGGGACCGCTATACGCGGAACTATTTGTTTACAAGGATTTGTTGACCTACCATGGTGGAATATACAATCGCACAAGCACTGACTATATTGGTACTCAGGCGGTCATTCTGGTTGGCTTCGGTGTGGATACAACTAGGAATGTTTCGTACTGGATAGCGCAGAACTCTTGGGGCTCGTCCTGGGGCGAGGATGGATTCTTTCGTATTCTAAAGGGTGTTAACGAATGCGGCATTGAGAATAGGGTTGTTTACATAGACACAGAGCATAATGCACCGATGTGAGCTGCTAAGCGTGAAAAAGCTGTAGGACATATGTTTCTGTGAGACTGTCAAACTCTTCATAGACAGTTGCAGTGTCAATTGGCTGATTCATTATACAAACCCCAACACTTCTGTAGGGATGGCAAGAGATTACGATATACTGCTTGTCTGGAGAGACAGGTTCTATTGACTGATCGTATGTGCTTACAATGCGATATCGTGGGATCCCCACCTTCATCTTCGGGCACCAGAGACTTACGCAGTATCCACTTTTGCCTGACTCCGGGTGTATGACTTCGTCCACGTGCCACTTTGGTAGCACCCTCTTTCGTAGCATCACTCGGTCTGTGCTACTCAAGGCAGAAGATCCCGGCTGATTCATTGGGAGCCTCGCTTTAGGATCCCGCTCATCACTATCATCCTTCTTACTAAGCTTAAGTTTCTTCGACAGAAAGTGCTGGTGCCGCTTTCCACTCACGTGTTTGGCATACGACTCCTTGTCTACATGTCTAGTTCCGCAGAGCTTGCACTCGTACTTCCCAAGATAGTTTTTAAAACAGAAAGGATCGACGTCTACAGCAGGATCGACGACAATCGTCTCCCTCTGCTTTCTGCGATGTTGACGCGCCTTCTGACCTGTTTCTACCCCTATCTTCTTTTTAACTCCTCGCTCCTTGCCATCTCCGGCCGGCATCTGTGACCGCAGATGAGGCCAAGCAGCTCAAAAGGTTTGGGAAATAATATTTGAAAAATATATTAAGCTATAGTGAAATAAAATTTGAAACAAGACTACACGCTCAACGAGATGTCTACTTGGCTTTGCTGAGTCCCCTCTGGCGCAGCTTCCACAGAAATAGGTGTTATGCGGCAACAGGTAGAGCTGGAAGGAGAAAGAAAGTACCCCGTCAGTGATCCGATAATACCTAAGACAGGGATTGCAATCCAAGGGATATATTTGTACTTGAATATGATCAAGGACGCAAACATTCCATAAACATTACAACTTATGAGACTGATATTGAAAACAACTGCACCGCCGTACTTAATCACTAACGGGAGAACACTGTACATCACCACGAGGCTGACGAGATATCCTATGATATACCACCACGGCCGAAGGGTCGCCAAAATCTGGATGTTGTCTGCCTCGAAACAGAGAAACAGAATAAGCGCGAGAGAAAAGGCGCCGATGCTGAGCCTGGCAAGGAATTGGACAGGTGTATATGAGCCTATGACGAACTCATTTATCACGGATGTGAGCCCGTAGATAAAGGCTGAGGCTACAGCAAGCAAATCTCCAAGCACCCTGTGTTTTGACTCGTCGCCCATAGTGTCAAGAATGACAAACAATATCGCGAACCCCGTAGCGAAGCAGGAAAACATCACTTGCATCCACGAGAAGCGCGCTTTCGTAATGATCAACGAGAGGATCATGGAGAAGGGCGTAGAGAGACAAAGAATGAGTAGAACGGCGCCGACAGATGTGTAAACAAATGACATTATGGCAAGGCTGTTTGCTGTGATATCTAGGATCCCAGATAGAAGAAAAAAGCCTACATCGCGGGCACGGTGGACGAATAGCTTGTGAACGGAAGGCAGTACCCATAAAAATAGAAGCAGCCCGTAGAAGAGCATAGACTGCAAGAAGGGTACAGAGACGTTAATCCCTGACAAAAGGTCGTTAAACACGCCACTTGCAGAGTTCCCAATTGCACAAATCTGACCAAGCACCACCGCTAGGACGAATTTGCGCGAGCACCTGCAAGGCGTGTCGCAGTGCATTTATTATCAAAGTTGCATATTCGTTTGCGAACCCCGACAACAGTTTCAACTACGTAGGAGACTAGCCCACCCTCTTGTCCAAGAATGGTCTCCAGCTCATACTGCATGCCGAGAGCCGCCAGATTCTGGACTTCATTGGCCCACTCGAGACGGCCCAGCGCAGTCAGTCTGGTAATCAGTATATCATACAGCTTCAAATCTGCTGGATCGCAGTGGCGGGAGCCCTTAATTGCTTTTGACGACCGTTGGATGTGACTGTTAAAGACGCCAATTGGCACCAATGACGGTGCAATATAGTGATTAGGGACCACGCTTTTCCTAGTTGCCGAGGCAGAGCCGTAGGCATACGTGCACAGAATGTTCATTCCGTGAGCGTCTCCATCGGCAAGACCGAATATGGGGATTCTGCAACTGTCTAGAAAAGAAACCAGGGCGCGTGTCGCCGCATCGGGGTATCCTTTGCCAGTGATCACCATAAAACTTTGACCCAGCCTATCTTTGATAGCTTCGTAGCTGTCAATAAGGTGCTCAAATACCGTATCCTTTTCTATTACGAGTACAAACTGCGCGTCTGTGTGTATTTGCTGTAAGTAGAAGAAGTGCGGGCTGATGGGCACGGCCACCAAGCTGGAAGCTGTGACTGTTCCTACCTGAGTGACCATAGTACAGTTCCCAAGCAAAAGCCCCTTGGCAGCTGCCCGATAATGCATCATTTCGCGCTCTATACTATATCCGAAGCAAAATTCTGCGATTAATACATTGGATTGTATCTGCGACCCATATAGCGAAGGAGCAGTGTAATACAAACTGCGAATGTTGACAAAGGTCTTCTTAACAACAGCGCATGCAGACTCTGCTATCATACGGAGGGCGCGTGCGAAGCGTAGAGGGTGTCTCTTAAAACTGATACCCTTCTTATCTTGCAAGTCTTGCTCGCTCATTGGTAAGATCAGCCCCGCAGCACTAGACTCTACTTGCTCATAGAGCTGTAATAGAATCCTCCTGTATAACTCTAAAATAGCTCGGTCATCCTGGTGCCCCAGCTTATCAATATCGCACATGTCAGACACCAGATTGTTGATTAATCAATACAAATTTGCTGTAGAAAACCTGAAAGTATCCTGTAGAGTCTCTTGTAACAGACAAGTCAGTGAACAGCAGCTACTAGCACGATGGGTGCAAAGCCTCAATCCAGCATGCATCCTCACAGACGACAACATATGCACTACACTAAGGAACGGGGAAGCGTTACTAACCATCCTTGCTCTAGTAGACAGCGCTCATATTTTAATTCACGGGCAGGCAAAGAAATCTAGGTCTAGAATTGATGCTCTTCGCAATCTTGATGTCGTTCTTCAATACATATACAATGGAAAAGCCCCTCTCTTCGTACATTCAGAGTCCCTCTACACCACGGTGGATCCTAAAAATTGGTGGCACATTCTCTCTGACGCTTTCCACAGACGGGCATATTTACCTCTTAAGCGACGGGAAAGCAATCTAGTGTCGTTGTTCCACCCTGCAGACAAGATATCCTTCCCTCTCAACAATGGCTCACCTTCGCCTGTGGATCCTCAGGTTTATACCTTCTTACTGTATAATTATTTTTTAGTTCCCTGCGACTTCCTTTCCCTGATAACCCTGCGTCCCAAAAATATTAGTCAAATTAAATTAAACTGGTCAATCATCACGCTCGTATTGAATCTACATGGGATTAAGTTAATCTTCACACCCGACGAGCTAACACAATTGCAAATGACAAACGACCGTAGTAGCAATAGTAAGATTTGTGCGTACATGTCAGAATATATGCTTCTCTCTCTGCTCGATACCCTGCAGGCACGTGCGAAGACAGCGCCACCTGGTGAGGGAGAGCTACTTGGGCCGCTGATTCGAAAACTACGGCATGAACATCCTGATAGAAAGTTCTACTATTGCTTTTCCGATTACTTTGTAATTATCCACTTTAATACAAGCGCACGCTCTTCACTAGAATATGTGCCCAAATCTCATAAGCACGTTGTTCTAAATATGCTTTCTCTGAACCGATGCACTAAGTGTGTAACTATCCCTTGCACTGCAGACCATAGGTTCTTCCTGTTCTTTGCAAAAATGGTTCGTAATCCATCTGGGAGCGACTTTGGTACTGACACAGCCAAGTGGACAGATTGCTCCTTGATACTATCCCCCGTGTGCCTGTTGGTGGTGACCTTATTAGACGATATATTTATTCCTTTGGCGTGGATTACACAGATTCGGACAAAATCTTTCCACCAACACCTCTTACTACTGTTCAAAGAAGCGATATCTGGCCTTTCTTCTTTGCTGCTTTGTTTGGAAAGCGGCGATTTCTCGGCCTTGGTGCACCAACTAACTGCTATAATTACTTAACAAGAAACAAAAATTGAACTATGAGTGCCACAGACGAGGAGCAGGAGCTTGAGCTGCTTAGGGAGATGCTACGAACCAAGAAGGCGTACGGATCCATATACCCTGCTCGTCTCAAGGAGCTCAGCGCCCGTGAACTCTACGACCTAGCGAAGGTCGATGAGAGCCTCTTTGAAATAAAGCAACCTCCACCCCTTGAGATTCACACTGCAACTCACGATACAGCGGTCATAGCAGATCTTCTGCAATCCATGTCATCTTACCCTCGCATTCGGGACATAGCATTTCCTACTTCCAGCGCGAGTATAATGAGCTTTCTATTGTCTGATAATCAGCGTCCAAGTGCAACTACTGAGACTCCCAATGAAAACCAGCGGACCAACACGGCTGGCTGCATGCAAGAGAGCGCTGGGATTTAAAATGTTTTCTGCAACTGTGTCTTGCGAACTCTCTCCCGGAACCAGCGGGCCTAAAAAGCAAGGCAGGGCCTGGAAGCACATTAGGCAACAATTGCGGACTCGCTTAGACTCCGCCCCGGCTATTCTTATTGACTGCTCTTATGATGACTTGATGAAGCAGGGAGAGATCAAGTCTCGAAATTCGCAGCTTATTTTTTGCTACGCCACCTCAGTCAAAAAGGACGTGGAGCGCCCTCTGCGTCTTTCGGTGGTTGGAGCGACAGCTTCTTTGTCCGACTTCCTTCAAAAAGTCCAACTGGAGGGGTCCTGGTCTGCGGACATCACCACCAGATCCTTGGAAGACCTTATTGAGACAGGAGAATTAAGTGCCCATAGGTTGGTTTACTTGACTGCAGATGCTGAAGAAGAGATTGATACGTATTACTCAGGAGACACTTACATAATCGGTGGTTTGGTGGATCGAAACCGACACAATGGGATAGCTTTTCGTAAGGCACAGAATATTGGGATACGCACAGCAAAGCTTCCGCTGCACAAATATTGCAACTTGATAGGGAGTGCCGTTTTATCCGTCAATCACATCTTTGCCTTTATGACATATCTGCATTGCGGCTTACCTTTCGAAACAGTGGCAAAAATGGTCATTCCTCAGCGAAAGCTGAAGGTAGTAGAGAGCACAACTGATGATTCAAGAAGCAACTCATAGGGTTACTAAGTGAGCTTTTCTCTCTGATTTGTATGCTGTTGATCGATTATCGTTTCATATACTGGTAACCCAATGTCATTTTCGATACTACCCCTGGATTCGTGGTATCGAGATTGACCACTATTATTGAATGGAAATTCTGTAGGAGCTGTTTCCAGTGCTTCATTGTATCGGTCCTTGTTTAGTGCATTGAGACGAAGACTTGCTGTCCGGTGTTTTTCAAAAGTAGCAAACAGACCTGGGGTGCTTGTAGTGCTGGTGTGCACGGGGCGTATACCATGCTTGGCTTGCAGATGCTCCAGAGAGAGCGCATAGTTATACAGTCGTGTGAAGGCAATCTTAATTTCAGGATGACAAACAGCATCGCTTACGTTTATACTGTCACTAATTCCGGACAAGTGTTCACCCACGTATCCTATCACCTTCCCGTCGTTCAGGTAATCTGGAAGGGCCATTTTCCCCATCTCTTTTTCTGTGAGGCGGGCATTGATCTGTGTCTTAGCGTCCAGTAAAGCGGCCTTAACCTGTCTTAGTTCCTCCTTAAGGCTCCGCTCCTTCTCTTCTTCAACTGATAGTAGAGCCTGAGCATGGGTTTTTTCCTCCACTTCTGCCTCCAGGAATTCCATCTCTGCGATGAGGGGATCAAGATGTCTCTTCATGGTGCGAAGGTTGTCCTCGCGCTCTGCGATGACAGAAAGAAGCTCGACAATCTGCTCTGTCGCTCTATCTGCTTGCCTATTATTGTAATTTATACCCCTATACAGGTATTGCCGCATGTTATCAGATGGCCCATTTTGGATTAGGGTATTTGTTTTAGAGTATAAGCGGAATTGGGACTTTCCGGCCATCCTGTTTATTGCAATGTCTGAGCACAGATCACCCACATATCCATCTATCTTATTCATATATGAAGCGATATCTCTGTCAACTACATTGGGGAGAATCTGACGTAAGTTACAAAGCAAATCTGCGATCTCCATAGCTCGCGACTCGACTGTGATCTGAGCCTCTGTAAGCTCCTTTTTGGCCACGTCTTCTCGGGCTCTGAGAGTGACGATAGTCTGTTTCAGCTCATTCAAGTTAGATGTGACTTCTTCGTATTTCTTCGTGACTATCTCCAGGTCGTACTTGTGTTTGAATGAGATTTTGGGAAGATCTGACTGCACATACAGGTGAGGATGTAGAGATTTGTAGCTTGCGGTAAAGCTCATAGGAGTAAATGGCGCCAAGGGTTGATCTGTGTTTTGTCCAGCCGGACGTGGAGCCGTCCGGCCGGTGCCCGTATTACGCGAAAGTGACCGAGGCTGGCTACTTGTGCTGGAGAGTTTCTGCCTGCTTCGGCTTTGAACAGATGACGACGCGCGGGTAAGCGAAGGTCGTCTTGTCGTCGATGTTAGCAGAGATTTCGGTGTTACTTGCTCCTTGCTGGTGTCGTACTGCTGTAATATCTCGTTGACAAAGGCTTGAGACATCGAATGCTACCTTACTTTAGAATTTAGGAATGGACGTTCCCTTATATAGGCCATCCTTAGACTTTAATTCCCTTTCAGTGCCACCTAACTATGTTCCTGGGTCTCTACGGGGTGACAGAGGCTTTAGGACATCAGCCGAAACGATTGTTGCCACGCCCATCGCCTTCTGTGAATCTGAGCTTGAGACTTTCAAAGAACTTAGCCGCCTTCATGCACCATCACGTCTTAAACCGCAACATGCTCAAGAAGAGGAGCAAATGCATCATGTAAAGGAGCCCAAACGTAAGCGTGAGCACAGGCAACGACCAGTGATGATGCCTGCCGTATATGATCTTAGTCAGACGCAGCGCTTCGAGGCCATTGCAAATAGAGATACCTATAGATGTTACACAGTAACGTACGGTGACTCTGTCACGTCTATTTACTCGCCTCAAGAGAAGAATTATGCCAAAGAGGTTACTGACTTGGAAATAGAGTGTCATAGGAACCCTACTGTTGTATCCTTATGGCTGCGTCTTATCAGTGTTCATTATAACGTGGGTAATGCAAAGCTTGCAGCCCGCACAGCAGTGGATATGTTCAACAATATGGATTGTCTCTGCAACCACACAAAGCTTTGGGACCTTCTTTTATCTGATGATTCTATTGCGATGAAGGTACTTCTAGAGCAGTGCGATCTCTCTTCTATTGACTCCGTATTCCAGCTCATATTAACGGGCTTGAATGCTTGCATACCTGCGGACTACAAGGCGCATCCAAAGGGACACCTCTGCTCTCTGGTTTGCTGCAAGCATATGGTACTCTGTGCCAACATCTTCTGCATCCTCTTCTTTTCCTCCTGGAATGAGCCCAGTTGTGTACAGCTACTATGCAGTAGATACAATGAGTTGCTTGCTAGTTTACTCCAGTATCAAAGTTACAATACTAGTTACTTCCTAGCTGTAGTTGAGATCTTGTACTTGCGCATTTATGGTTCTGCATTGTATCACAAGGACAACATCAATCTCCAATCGTATGACGATTTAATTAAATACAATTATGAGGTGTCAGAAAAAATAATTCTAGAAGACTCACAATCAAACATTTTCCTTGGGGCATACATGTTGGCTGAAGGCATCATATTGCAAAATTCAAAGCATATAGCATTAGTAGCACAGCATGCCATTAATGGTGCATTCAGAGATCCTACAGAAGCAGCAGCAACGACAACAATAACAACACTCCATAGCAAGCAACTAGAAAGGCTCATCTGTGGAATAGGCTCCTTTTCTTTATCAGCTGTTTCCACAGGCTCCGCTGGCGACAGCTTTGTTGATAAGTCACTGCTTCTTCTACAGAAATTAATGTGTAAAGAAGGAGGCATCCATAGCCTGGTTAAAGATTTGGTGAGTAGCGGAGTAGGCGCATCCACCCTGACATCTATTAATAGGGTATTGAAAGACATATCATCAAGGCCTGCAGACGAAAGACTGCTACTTTTGCATATGGGAAGGCGGATTTGTCTTTCCATATTAGAAAACTTAGAACAAGAAGATGGAAAGGGTATGAATAGCAATGAACTGAAAGAGCTACTGGTGTGCATAGAGTACATTCACAAAGAGAATATGACGGTAAAGATGGGTGAATATCTGGTGGCAAACGGCGTTAAAGTATACCATCAAGTTGTCGCCCGAGCGAAGCTCAAGCCCCTTGATAAATTAGAGATCGGTCTGCTGCTTTTATCAATGTGTAAAAGTGCTGAGCTAGCAGAGGATCTGTTTAGAATCTACGAAAAAGCCGTTAAGCGTGAAGAAAGCAAACAAAATAGGCGTGAGTCGCACCAAGCACGTCTCAACGTATTCCCTAGAATAGAAAATATGATATTATATGCAGAGAAAGAACACAGTAAAGAGGCTATTGTGGAGTGCGCTGGTGGGCCTGGCCTTTTATATCAAGGTGCGATTAAAGAAGCTATCTTGGTCACAGCTCGCCACGTGTTCCCTTACACTGAAAAGTTTATAGACAAACTTCTAGCTTTAGCAAAATCGTCCCAGTGGCTACAAACCAGAGTCGACTTATTGCTTCAAGGGGCAAAATATCTGGTGATTGGGGCTGAAAACAAATCTACAGTAGAAATAGCGATATGTCTTCAGAAGTATGCCAAATCTGCATCGGACGCATGGGCAGGAAACGTACAGCTTAATTACATTACTGAAACATTGGAAGTGCTGATGCTTCCGCACCCCGATGGGATAAAAAGATTAAAACAGTGTACAGGAGACTATGTTCAGACTCCATGGGCAGCTTCACTGATGTCGCTGTTCATCTATGAACAGGATAGGGAGAAGGCGGAGTTGTACTGGACGAGGTGGACAGAGGCCCTTCGACGGGGGCAGCATAGTTTGGGCTCTACCAACTCACCAGCCAAAAATGCATTTGATGGCATTTTATCAGAGTGCAGCTCTGTCACATTCAGACAGGAGGATCATATAAGTAGAGGTGATATCATTCTTTGCCTTTTAAAAGCAATCTCAGTGGTGTTATTTTATTCCTGTCAAGTGGATTGATATCACTGAGTAAAAGATGCAATGATTCTTGTATTGTACATGGGTTAGCGTAGCCTGTATTTGTTATCTTCGGTAATCACTATCAGGCCGTAATTAATGAGTCGCGTCAAAGCCATCTGAAACTCAGCATCGGTGATGTGTTCACGAAGAGCTAGCTCCTGTAGTGTGTCGTGGTCGATGGCATCAACATGCTGTCCCAGTATGGATGTAATCACGCGATTTGCAGTTTGCATTTCAGAACCCGGTCTGACGCGTTGCTTGCGCCGTCCCGTATGGGCAGACTTCTCGGCTGCAGCAAGCAAGTCTCGAGCCTTTGCCACATCATCAGCAGAGACACTGTCCGACAACCGTAGTTTAGCTATTGCTTGGGAGATGCGGATCGTCGCCAGGAGTGCACGGGGAGTGATGAATTCCCTCTCCTTTCTGTCTTGAATGTAAGTCATGACATATGTGTCCAGTAAATGCTGTGGGACTGCTGGTCGTAGGTTCTTAGCAACAGCAATGTAGGCTTGCAATTCCTTCTCAGTCAGTATCTTTGTCGATTGAGCATCAGATACTCCGGCAGAATACATGTCATATGCATGCTTGTGTAAATTTGCCACATGTAATGATAAGTTCATATCCTCTTCTTCGTGAATTTTATCTCTGATTACAAAAAGTATATCGAATCTACTAATAAGGGCTTCTGGGATGTTAATGTTGCTAGCTACAGAGATGCTTGGGTCCCAGATACTAAACTTAGGGTTTGCGGCAGCTACAACGGTCGCTCTCGCATTAAGTGTGGCTGTTATACCTGCTTTGGCTACTGAGATGGTACCCTGCTCCATCACTTCGTAGATTGCAGTTCTGTCTGCTTCTTCCAGTTTGTCTAGTTCATCGAGAGCACAGACACCTTGATCAGCTATCACAAGCGCGCCTCCCTCAAGGCTATAGTCTGTTGTTCCCGGAATACGGATGGCAGCAGTGGTCAGACCAGCACCACTGGCCCCACGACCGGCGACGTATATTCCCCGTTCTGCAATTGTACATGTAAACTTAAGGAGTGCGCTTTTAGCACATCCGGGATCGCCTACAAAGAGGGTATTAATGTTTCCTCTGACCTTCATATCAGGGACCACAATCTCGTTGCCGCCTACGAGGGAACAAAGACATGCTAACTTCTCGTCTTCGCGGCCGTGGATCCGAGGTGCAAAAGAAGCTATTAGCACGTGCAGAGGAATAGCCTTTTCACGCAAGACAGAAAGATCAGTGGCTAGAGAAGGCTGAAGTTGAGAACTTTCGACCATAGTGTTTGCAAGGGCGGCAGCCCTGTCCTGCTCGACACCAGATACCCCAATTGCCTCTGCAGCGTTCAGATACGCCCACCCTTCTGCGTAGAAAACAGAATTGATACGGTAAATAGTGTCCACGACGGGTATCGGCATAAGGGTTCCCCAGAGCTTCACCTTTTCGCCGGGACGGAGAGCTACTCCTTCTTTCCGAATATGCACCGTCATAGTGCGAGGCACTTCACCATCAGGTATTTCAACCGGTAGCTCCTGGATAATGGCTATGTAAAGAGAATTAATCACCGACCGCTTAGTGTTTAAGACTGGTGCCTCGTACGTTTTGAGTTGCTGGCAAACCTCTGAGTCACACCTTTGTGGGATGCTGTATTGATCATGAGGAACAACAACATATTGCGAAGAGCCACACACTTCACAGGTGAATGTAGCTATTTCACATTCAGGCACCACCTGACTAATGAATGTCACTATACCTGAAAACACAACTAAGTGGCCAATCATGGATGCAGAAACAGACCTTAGCGTTAGTGGATGCTCTAACATATCATTTTCGGGTACAATCTCCACTGAGAACCACCTTGAAAGACGATATGGCTGATTAGTATACTGTCCTCTCTCCTCCTCTGGAAGAGATGAAATCCACTGCTCAGTCAATACGTCGTTGATCAGCATTGAATAGTGCGGAAAGTTGTGCTTGATACAGGTGGCAAGGTCCACTGGGAGGTCCTTAAGGTATATGTGCACTACGGTCGTTTGGCCACGAACAGGGGTGAGAGCTTGTTCACGAATGAGCTCACGGAAAGCATCAGCGTGCTCACGATACCTATAATTGGAAAATTCCTTGTGTAGGTTCTGCGTACGAGCGGCCTGCATTAAATTGTTTTTAATCCGGCCTACTCACTCTGCATAGCCCGGCTGGCTGCCAGCACAACACAAAGGCATGGAGCATCTTTCTCCAACGACCATTTATTTCCAGAGTCTTTCTCTTCTTGCCGATCACCTCAGAGCTCAAATCAGAATAAAGGATAAAGGAGTGACCATCCTGCTCCAGCCAGCAACCTATGACATCCCCAAGATTCTTCCCTATCTCTTTCCAACGTACACTCATGTTACACCCGTGTCAGCTGAACAAGTATTAGATTATTTAGAGTCATTGCCAACAGCTCTCTCACTTCCTACAAAGACCCTCCTTGTTATTGATGAGCACTCCTCTTCACTCATGCTTAAGATTCGCTCCTTCCTCTTCACTTCCTATGAGACGCACGCATCTGGAGCTGTGTTTTTAACCAAGGACCTACCTCAAAATCTATCCGTTTGCATTATTCTATCCCGAGCACTCATCGAGAGACAGGCGTCTGACACGCAGGTCTCTATCCTCAATCAGTATCATATTTATTCTATCAAGACAGCATCAGTGGGCGAGCCACTACGACACAGAGTTCCTCTGGTGATAGACCTCGGTTGGATAGGAAAGAAGGCTATTACCGATTTAATATTCAACATGCTAACCAGAGATCCTCGTCACGAACCTGCAATCAAGATGGGGGAGAGAAGTCTGTCACATCGTGATATCCAGCGATTTGTTAGTGCAACAAACCCTATATCCCCTTCATCGGCACTCCATAACTTTGTGTTCTATGTCAGCACGCCTCTAAGAGAAGCGGCACTGCCTCAACTATCGAGTGAAACAGACACGCTATACCAACTTATGCGGTCCTTCTTCTCCGCCTCTTTGCGGGATCCCCGTGCAGACATGACCACCTCACGAAGTAGCGCGTTGCACTATATCAGCCTTCGTCTCGTGCGTAACTTGCCCGTGCACATCCCCTCCGCCCACGCTTTCTTCTTCCTGTCAACAAAAAGACTTCCTACCAAACGTAACCTAAATCAAATTTATCTAGATGCGTTACAATCCGATATATCCCCCAACACCATTCTATCGTGGCTCTATGACTATATCTATGACGTATACCACACTGCAGACCAAATTGGACACTTTTGCGAGTGTGTTTCTGCGCTATACAGTACCTCAGACAGACTCCCAACGTACACCAGCGCATTCTCGCTGCAAGTTGCATGGATTGTGCACGAGCTATGTGTATTGAAGTTCACCAAATTGCACTCCCTCCCTCAAACCATGCGTCGGCTGTCAAGTTTTTGCCCTCCTAGACAGCCTTCTGTCAAGCGCATCAATTCACTAGATGCACACGAGCAATATGCGCATCTTCATAACAATCTTGATGTCCTTTCTGCACCAATTGAGCACTTAAAAGAGAAGAGCGGCCATTCTGACAGCCCTGACTCTGAGTCTGAGCTAACAAGTTAGTAATGATGGGTGGATGGGTGTAATTTTCCTTGGTGAATGTGCAGCAAACCAAGCCTTATTTCCACAAACCCCTTCTGGAATGAAAAGCCTCCCTTTCAATGTCTGTCAGTACCTCATAGTATAGATCTGCATTTGGTGGTATATCTTCATCACTTGTGAGCTTCGCAAGCCCATTAGATATCACTTTCCCTGTAATTGAGACTACAACATCAATGGGCGGCTCACTGGGATCATCAACCTCGATGTTTTCTGTGTCTTCGCCAAATAAAAAGACATTCAAGAGACCGTCTCTATCGTATCCGCACGAGTAGCAGATCAGATCAACACCTACTATATCCTGCCTAACGTAGTCAAGAAACTCCTGATTGGCCAGCCCCTTATCTGTTGCCTCCTTCTTGAGAGGCTGTAATAAGGCAAATTTAGCTGTTGCAGTAGTTGGTTTAGAAGTCAGTAATTCGTCTGGAATGGGTGCGTATAGGTTCTGTGCGTCTTTTAGAAAGACACTTTTACCAACGTCCAAGAGGTAGAGCTGCACCCCATTGCTGTTCACATGCTCCTCACTGCCATCTGTGTCGAAGACCAACGACTCGACCCTTGCCCTTAGATATTTGTCTGTGCTTGTGTCGTGATAAATGATGATCTGTTTAACAAACACGGAAGAAATGTCGTGTAGAGCCTTTGTACCAGCCTTATCAAGCATCTCTTTCGTTATTGTGGTCCTTTCACTGTCCTTCAAGCGAAAAACGAAAGTCTCATCGTCAAGAAACTGCAACCCATGAATGCTGTACCTTTCAGGGAAGGCCCAGGAACCAGGATTAGGTATGATCGAGTCTTTATAATCTATATAAAATTTAAACAATCCTATGCGTTTCTTTCTAGCATTACTCTCTAGGGCAGTGTAAGTGTGCAAACAGGCCGACGGAAGTCCACTTTCATTGGCTGCTTTCCCCTTAACAAGCTCACCAAGGCCGCGCTCAAGAAGGGACTCCCCAAAGTCCTTCTCCTGGCCGTCCTTACAGATGACCGAAACTCTAGCGAAAAGCGCATTGGTGCGTTGGTCGACCACTCCCGTAAAAGTCACCTTGACGTCTTTCATGAGAAGAGTGTTTCTAGCATATCCTAAAGCCTCCATACTAAATGCTTCACGACGTTTTACTGATGGCGTTACAATGCCTGAAATAGCAATCATCACCACCTGTATAAATCCACGTTTATTTGACATGTAGATACGGAACCTGTTTCCAGAGACAACTGACTCAACCACAGCCTGGTAGCATCCAGTGTGGTCACGTGCAAAGTGTTGAACCTGCATCTTGCTGTTCCCAGTGGAGGAACTGTAATCAATCACCTTGAGCATGCTCCTGGTGGTATGTGCACCGGACTCTTGGTGCTTCTCTGACTGACTTTCAGACTCTGCCTCAAGCATCAAGGCGTAGTCACGGGACCTATTGGTCTCCGATACGGGGTGGCGTATGACACGGCATCCGGTATTTTTAATCAAGGTGAGTGCTATATTTGAGCCGTCGTCCTGTAGGTATATAGAAAAGTAAGGCCGTGGTAGAAGATTGTCTCTAGACTTTGGAGGGTCGCGTAGATAATCCAGGTGAGCTGTGACGTAGTGGCCAATATAATTCTTGCGAAGATACTCACGAAGATTGAACCCAGCCTCTTCAACCTCCAAAGAGTCCTTTAAAATTACACATTTAGGAGCGAGTAGCGAGGAGAACCATGCCCGCAACGAAGAGCCATCATTGAGACGGATGACAATAGAATCAGAAGACGGCACATCTATCACCATACCTGTATATTGCTTGTTCTTCTTAAGCTCTCCCGCCGAGACTTCTTTATCTATTACTTCTTGAGTTGCATGGTCTGTATTCTTCCATACACCAAGCCGTTTGTTCTTCGCTTGTTCTTCGGCCTTGTTATAGAGCTCCTTAATGGAGCTGGCTGAATCTAGCATCCAGTCCACGGTCTGTGCATACCCCTTAGAGAGCAAGACATGTGCATAGTCCTTATCTTCCACTCCACTGGTACAGACCGTCACCTTGCATAAGAGAGAATTCCCACTAGAAAGCATTGGAGTCACACGAACTGTCTTGCCAGACAAGAGAGTAATGGCAGTATCATATGCTTCCTGCACACACGAGCTGAGCGTATCAGACTCACCTGCGGTCATAACACCAAATGGCTTGCAAGGTACCTTCACACAGGTCAACGGAGCTTCCTTCAGTTGGATCAGAACGATGAAATAGCTTGCATCCTTAACGTATTCCACACTGCCTGAAAGCTCCTGATCCTTGTACTGGGTGAGCAACTGAGCTGCAGAAGTATCTACCATCGCTGGGACTAGGCTCAGATTCTCATCTCCAGAGTACATGCCAGAGTGATGGATGAATCTAGCTTTCAGCTGTGCTTCAACAAGCTTAGTCTCGGTGCTTTTGGGGTTCTCTTGTTGCTCACTAAGACGCGCAGCGCTCAGTACCTCTTCGCCTGTAAGTAAAGAAAGATCAAGCGAACCATTAAGCTGAGGAAGATACTTTTTCACATATTGGCTAGCATATGCGTCAATCACTGTTCCCCAACCTGCAAGGAGGACCTGTTCATTAATGTGTGCTCCCGAAATAAACGCGTTTGCAAGGACACGGCGTGGGCTAGCTTGCAGCTCTTTGGTGATTTCTAAATGTATCCTGTGTCCAGCAAGCCTCTTCCGGAGAAACTCTCTGGCGAAGTAGCCATAGGCCTCCGAGGCCCCAGGGTCTTTGCTGTTATATTTGGGGGCCCGGACACCACACAGCAAGACCGTCATCAGCTCCCCTTTGTCGTCCACAACACTAAGGTTGTCTGCGCTGTAGACTGCTCGGACCCTAACGGTTACCCGTGAGCCTCCCATTTCGTTTTATAAATCACGTCACATGAAATGACGTTTTTCTCCGTGCACAATGTAGACTCACCAATAAACAAGACATGTGCAATTATTGTGTCCTTAGTGAGCTGTGTCAAGAAAAACACAGCTTAGCCCAGGGATAAAAAGACAAGCATATGAGTGGGCTAGCTCACATATGTCAGCAGCTAGAATACGACCGCCATGAAGCCGCTGCCCTGGCTTGGGTGGATGACATGCCAATAATCAAACACTCATTGGAGTTTATTACCTCCAACTTTGTTGTGTTATCGAAGTACGAAGCATCTCTCTTGGAGCAAGTACCTAATGGCCTCAGAGACCTATCTGAGGAGGCCTTGGATCAGAAGATAGCAGTCTTGGAGGAAGAACTGCTGGGCTTTCAGCAGCCGCACGGTGAACTGAAGAGCTCCATTCAATCCGCTGCGCCATATCTGCAAGAGCTAGCTGATGACCTCGGCCAAGCAGGGGTGCCCGAAAAGCTTCCAACTTTGGCTGCAGAGCTTGAGAATTTACAGGTGACACTCAGGCAGAACGTTGTCTCAATCTTAAACACGCCCAAGGATCTACGAGCACAACTAGATGCTCTCCATCAGTTTTTTAGTGAAGAAGTTAAGGAGGAATGCAATCCGCAAGTTTTAGAAACATTTCTAGAAAAAGAAGATTGGTTTATACAGATTGTTTCCGCAACCACTAAAGAGATTGAGGAGAACGTCACATCAATCCAAAGTAGTATCGAGAAGTATTCAGCGGAGTGCTCTGCTGCAATAAATTGCCACAGAGAGTCCGTAAGTATGGTCCTGTACCAAAGACTAGCTTATCTTCTGTGCACCTCACGTCTACAGAAGCTGACCGAAGTGTTGCCTCTTCACGCTGCTGGAAAATACCTCCCACAATTCTCTACAGCCTTGGAAGAGTTTGTTACTGTACACAATGAGTACAAGGACTTGCTTGCCTCATGCTCTAAGCTGGCAGCAACCGTCATCTGTTGCCCAGAAGCCCTCTCTCAGCAGCTTATAGCCGAAGCACTTCTTCAGAGATGCAATGACGCAAAGGGACAAGCCTTTGATATGCTACTGGAGACAATGTCAGACGCAATGTTGCGTGGACAACGGGGAGCGGCTCGGGCTTATGACAAGAACAGGATCATCAGTGCTGTTATGAAAGCGTCTAGCGAACTACTCGGCTCTCTGTCTAGCCTGCAGAAGAACCATATTTCGCCGATGGTGGCGGCGATGAAGCTCGTGGCGAAGGCCAGGGAGGAGTTTGTGCTTTCTCCTATGTCTGCCTTAGGATATCAGGCCGTAGTTTCCGCTTTATCCGGTTCTGCTGTTCGAGGTGCAGCACAAGTGGCCGATACTTTAGTACTTGTGTCGCAAGTCGGTCAATCAAATCGGGAAAATAATACGGCCGATCTATCGGATGTTCTTAGCCTGCAAGATAAATTCATCTCTGCCATAGATAGTGGAGCTGATGGATATGCCCAGTCAGCCGTTCTTACTCGCTTACAGCAAGCCATTCAAAAGACGCAGCAATCCCTTGAACACTACTCTAACGCTTTAGAGCCACAATTGTAAGTACATGACTAATAATTATTTACATTCTATAATTCATGTAAACCTTGGTCAAAAACATTCCAATGTCCTATCAGGATCTGCTCAGCGCTCGCCTGAAGGAGCTCGCCGCTGGGGGCTATATGTCGGCCACTGAAGTAGCTGGAGCAAGAGACCTTTTCATTAGGCATCACCAGGGGGCCCCTGCGCCTGTGGAATGGTGTAGGGTGCAAGCTCTATCGGACTCTGGCTACCGTGCATACGATACCCTCCCCGAGTTGGATGGGCCGTCGCTGACAAAGGCAATGCAAAAGGTCGCTGTCCTCAAGCTTAACGGAGGCCTGGGGACATCGATGGGATGCACGGGCCCCAAGACCCTTATTCCCGTAAAGAACCAGATGTCCTTCTTGGAGATCATTGTAAGGCAGGTCTCTTCCATTAATACAAAATATGGAATTAGCATGCCTCTGCTCTTGATGAACTCTTTCAACACAGAAAAGGATACAAAGGCTGCTCTCGCTCAGATTCACCTAGACAAGCCCGTGGACATCACATGCTTCAACCAGGCGCATTTTCCACGCCTAGATGCCGAGACCCTTCTACCATGCACCCACATCACCCCCGACAATCAGGCGTACTGGTATCCGCCGGGGCACGGAGACGTTCTCAGGTCCTTGATCAGTGAGAGCCTTGTCGATAAGCTTATTGCTAGAGGAGTAGAGTGGATCTTTATCAGCAGTGGAGACAACCTTGGTGCTGTGGTGGATCCGCGAATTGTAGGGTACCTGGCAACTCTTAAGGGAGTCGACTTTGTTTCCGAACAAACAGCCAAGACGATCCGTGACGTTAAGGGTGGTGTTCTGATCAACTATGATGGGACGACACGCCTTCTAGAAACTGCGCAGGTCCCTCAGGAACACATGGGCGAGTTTTGTGACATTACGAAGTTTAAGTCATTTAATGTTAACAGCATCTGGGTCCGCTTAGAAGCACTAAAGAGGCTTGCGGACGCTGGAACTCCAATCGACCTAGACATCATTGTCAATCCTAAAGTAGTTGAGGGAAAGCGTGTCATCCAGCTTGAGCAAGCTGTTGGTGCAGGAATCACATTTTTCAAGTCTGAAGGGTTGCTTGTCAGCCGTGATCGCTTCATCCCCGTGAAAAAGACCTGCGATCTGCTGACTGTTCAATCCGACGTGTACGACCTTGATTCCGAGTATGTTCTTCGAGCTTGTTGTTCGATTCCGACTGTTGAGCTGTGCGCCCCGCTCGAAAAGATGGATGCATACTGCGCCGCTTTTCAGTGTCTCCCTTCACTTCGCGGCGCTGATACAGTGAAGATTCTTAGCCAATGCACTATCGGACCGAATGTAGAGTTTCGAGGGACGTGCACTATTGATAACACAAGTCATCTAGAGAATTGCACTCTGGGACAGTGAACTCGTTGTATTATCCAATTTGAGCGTCGACCACCTCCCGGTAGGATCCCAACAGAGTATAGACCCCGTTGAGGTGAACGAAGGAACGCAGAAGATCTTACATGTGCACTGGACACCTTTCCAGTCATACTCTAAAGCATATGCTTCTGGAGTAGTAGTCTGTGGATGATTACTAACAACTATATACTGAGGCGGCTCATCAAGAACAAAAGCATCTAACTGAAGAGGTTGTACATCAAAAAAGAGGGGTGACTGAGGGCAGAGATGTGCTACTTGTAGAAGGGTAGCAACTAGTGCAGGAACAGTGAGCGACGCAGGAATGAGTGCAGCCAGATATGTGAGAACAGTCCCGTCTATAACCCAGACAAGTTGCTTATCCCTTGTAAGAAGCTTTGCAGGACAAGGGGCGGAAATAAGGGAGTTCGTGAGAGAGCAGCGTGGTAGAACTATACTGGGGACCGGTGCCTGAGGCCAGAGTCGTGGCGTAGGATCACTTTGACCTGGAACAAGGATTGTTGGCCGCGCAGCAGCGACTCGCGCCAAAATTGTATCCACAAGATCGTACGAGGCTTGGAGATCTAGGAACCCGGTGGTTGGGCTCAAAGCGTTTCCCAAACACGCTGCGGCAGCGGGACCAGCATCGACCGGTGCATAGGTTCCTCCACAAAGAACAACTTGCTTGACGGAGGAAAAAGGAGGTGTGCCCAACGCAGTTGCAAAGAGAACAGCACGAGCTGCGTGTGAAGCCTCCCAGCCAAGGTCCATTCCTGCCACAAAAAGGACAAGTTGTGCCATACTATCTGTCCAGAGATCAGGAGAAGGCTGTAGCGGCGTAGTGGCAAAGACCTCCACTGGGTAGAGAAGCTCTTCAATGCTGAATGTATCTGGTGCTACGAACAGGCCGCGCAAGGCAGCGACGGCTCCGGGAACAGGCACGCTTCCGGAAAGCGCCTTGATGTCTAGCTGAATTCTTGTTCCTCCGTCTTCTACGTAATACGTATCTCCATCTGTGACTAGCTTCTCTGCAACCGGTGGTTGGACGGTTGGCTCAAGCAGTGTTCGATATGTTTTAACCGCCGACTTACGCTGCTTGCTGTTCAAAACAAGGATTCCAAAGATGACGACATCTTCCTGCAACGCGTGTTCGTGCACAGGGTTCAGCTCCCCAAAGCTTGGTATCTGTCGGGAATTGGGCCAAAGGCGCGCTGCTTTGAAGACGAGGTGCGCTTTGCGAATCCGGTTGAGACGATCTGCAAGCATTGTCCGGTAGCTCTCAGAGAGAGCCGGTCGATCCTGTTTTTCAGGAAGGGTCAGAGGGAGCGCCATTGACAGTTTCAGTTATAATTTATCCCCTTCGCCAACCAGCGCCAGTGGCCAGTTCTGACGTGCTCCTTGGTCCCGACACAGCTGGTAGTGCAGCTACGCCTCATGGCTTTGATAATTGTCGGTACGACGTATGCTGACCCCACACAATTCTTGGAAGACGACAATCTGCTGCAACACAATTATACTTATTCTGCTATCGCATCCGCGCGCGCGCTTCCTTAGCTCAGCTGGTTAGAGCGTGCGGCTGTTAACCGCAAGGTCGGCGGTTCAAGCCCGCCAGGGAGCGTTTTTCTGCTCTAAAAATGTCCCTCACCATTGCGCTCGAGGAGTCGCGCCAGGCCACCGCGAACGTGGGCGCCCCCATCTACGCAACGGCATCCATTGAGGGCCTCTACCCTCCCCCAGACTACGACTTTGTCTACCAGTTCTCAACAGCTGAGGCATCCGACGCACCGACGTACAGGGTCGTGCAGCCGTACTCTATCGACCGCCGCTGCATATTTTTTTCCCTGGCCCTGGGGCAGCTCTTACTGAAGTGCGAGGTTCGTCTTGCTCCTCGTCGCCTGACAACACCCCTCGACCTCGAAACGTCACTCAGTCAACCCCACATGCAAATGATTCTTCGTAAGCCCACTCTTCTCTTAAACGCACAGGCGGGGGAAACTTCTCCATTTACCAAATACCTAGAAAATCCCATTCTGTCGTCGTCAATTTCTATCAATGTGAAAACGGTCGGGACGCAGGTCCCGCCTTGCATGGTCCCCCTTCCCAATACAATCTCCCCAATATATGTTGTCCCAGAACATCAGGTCCAGCCTATGGCGAAAGTCCGCATTATTATCAAGCCGCACATTCCTGTCCTTGCTGCCAACGCAGAACAGAAAAGGGAGGCTAAGAATAATAACCTCTTCATAACTCCCTCTATGGTCCCTCCTCCAGATCTCTTTTCCGAGGCCGGCTTTTTCACGGAAGCAGTGGCGAGGGATGGAACAAAGAAGAAGGGGCTTTTCTCGGGATCCAAGAAAGACAAGGACGAGCTGGAGATATCATGCAACCTCTGCAAGGGATATATACCGCCCGTTAAAGACCTTGTTTTAACCGAGTGGCAGGACGTTCCCCCAGGGAAGCCATACTTCATTCCTTTGTTTGGCATTCTTCCCAATAAGCTCTACGAGTTCAGACACCAGGTCCTTGACCCCGTTGCTGACAGGCGTTTTGAGCTTAAGGAACCCATCATTTTCCAGGCAGAGACTATTGGCATGAAGTCCTGGCTCGTTCCTTATCAATTTACTCCCCTCTTCGCGAGTGATCAAAATGAGCGTAACTTCTTCGTATCTACGTCGGGCGTTGCAGCATTCAAGGAGTTTGTGGCAATTTCTGGCGAAAAAACAGCATCGGATCTTTTTCTCAAAATAAATAGCTCTGGTGTCAGTGAGGCAGCTATGTATACGCCATACGGGCAAATGATGATCTTCATACACAACTCTGTGCAGCAAGGAGCTAAGATAATTCATTGCCACAAGGACGCTGTGATGACGATCTCTGCCGGTCTCTGTGATTGGTTGCATAATGGTAATTTCGAAGCACATGTTGAGACGCAGGATGACGATGAGTTTGGGGCACAATCAGGGGTGCAGCCGCTTGAGACGTCTGTTCCCGCCCCTTCGTCTGACACCAAGGAGAAGGGTAGAGAAGAACGGAAGATCAAGAAATTAACACCGAAAGGGATTGGCGAGTTGGTCTGCAAGAGCCTTCAGATCTCAAGTGGCACTGACTCCATTTACATGAATCAATACATCTACTCCAGTGCCATTAACGGAAGCCCAATGAGGATGTTTAGTTTGGGATACATTAACTCCTCCCTTATGAGAAAAGCTCTGGCAAGCTTGGATTCCGGTCAAGAGCCAATTCCATATAGGCCGATGGTCGCTGCAACATACGTAGAGCTTCTGGAGAATCGGGAAATAATCCTTGCTGGATTGGCAGAGGTCCCATTCACTCGCACCAACTATCCCGTGTTGTTCGAGAAAGTATCGCAACAGATCAATCATTTGCTCGGTAATATGAAGGCATACTCCGGATCCGACCAGAAAAATTCGAGGAAAGTACTTGGGGTGGACTCCTCCCTGCTGACCGCTGCTGTGTTCCACTTAGATATGAGTGGACACGTGACTGAGACGTTCTATGCATGTGATATGTTCCCTGATGTCATGAATATGGTTCAGTTTACTGAATTGGCCTGGAATAGAAACGAGAAAGGATGCCTCATTCCCGGGTACTACACACAAAGCAAATTCACATTGATCCATAGCTATGTTTCCTCAGTGGACTGTACCCAGACAGATTGCCTACTTGTCTTACCACGTCAATCTTCCCTTGTGAAGCTTACGTATGGGTCTTTCAAATCCACGCAGCCTCGATCCCGTGCAGTCCCGCCAACGATTCCGTTGACACCCCAGCCAAGTCTCGCTACTGCCCAGCCATCAACGCAGCCAAGTCCCCAACAAGCACCTCCTGCTTATGCCCCTGCTGCTGGACCTTACGCATCCATGCAAAGTAATGCCTATAACACCTCTTACAATGCAGTAGGTAATATTTACTCCATGCCCTCTTCGAATCCATATATGTCAGCTCCAGCGTCTTCCTTCCCATCTCAAACTCTTGTACAAAACTATCCTACGGCTCCTACTGTTCCTTCGCAGCTTCATACCCAGGCTCCAGCTCAAGGGCATGCCCCGCCAAATCCATACGCAATAGCCTCTGCTCCCCAGCCCTTGCCACCGGCAGCAAATCCATATCTAGTGGCCAATCCGTATCTTAAGCCTACTACTCAACCCAAGAATATTGATGGGGATGCACCTGCTCTTCTCACTGGTCTGGATGCGCTTAAAGGAGGGGCCCAAGATTCTGTGATACTCTCAGCAAACATAGGCACTTCAACATGCAGCGATTACCTTATTAATATCCTTGGGGTTTGCTATCCTCTTGCTGCCTCTAGAATATCTGGTTCTATCTACATGGTTTGCAACACACCTTCAGCCATAGAGCTTATCGCGTTCTCTACGCCCTATTTTGTGGGGCGTGGTCCGAAGACCCATGCAGAGCTCTTAAACGATTCTACTGGCGGTACAGCTACTATTGAAAGGTATGATACGTCCTTGCAAGAGGCTGAGGCTGTGACAGTGCAGCATAAGATTGTTCTCCAGCGCGGAAAGGCGACTGTTGCTCGCATTCTAACTCTTCCACAAGGTGGCTGCGTGGTTGCCTGGATGGAGGACGGGCAGAATATCTGGAAGGTCATGGAGATCAACAACGGGCTTCTGATGTTTGCTGGGAAGATAGCAAATGCAGAGGACATTAGTCTCCTTCCGACCTTCTGATCCAACCCGGGACGGACTTAGAATTTACTACCTGTGAATACCGTTTTTGCGTTATCTAAGTGTCATGTTTTGAACGGTGTTTCCGACTTCGCGTGCTAGGCGACTGTCCTCGGTGTCTCCATCACCTGCAAGTGTATGAAGAAGACTGGAAAGAAATTCGCCCGTTCTCTGCGAAAAGGACTGATTCGCCTTTGCAAGGATTCGTGTCAGATTGAATACCTCCTTGCAAATGGTGTGCTTTGCTGTGCACATCTTTGAATTTTTCAGATAACCCATGATTGTCTGTGTAGATGGATCGGAGTCTAAAGATTCTACAATATAGGCCCCCAAAATCCTCACCAAGCACTTAGCAATTAGACAGCAGTCCTGCCAAGAGGCCATATTGGAGTTTATATATTGTTGGAAGCGTGGCAGGATATCACTGGTGAACTTGTTCAATCCGTAGGCCAAAAACATCAACGACAAAAGCGTGGCAGTGCGGTCGCGGACCAAGTCAGACGTGTCCTGGAGCCAGATCGGGAAATTAGTTAGAATATGATTGTAGATGTTGGGATGCTTTACCTGTACCAGTCGCTCAACAGATTCTATCAATGTGAGCCGTGTTCTCCACTGAATTTCCGTGTTGGTCATTTTGCAATGATTGTGTATGATTTTAGCAGCAACCTCCTGGAGACGATAGTCGACAGTTGAGTCTAGATACGCGTCTGTCAAAGCAACTAGCGCATGAGAGTGCACATCGATGTTAGCATCCATTGATAGCTTGAGCGCCATGTCGCATATTGTCGCCATCAGATTTTTGAGCTCCTCTGGCTGGAGACCTTTCTCCTGGATTGCTTTTGTTACCGGGTAGATACAGTGATCTGCAAGGCTGCACCTTGTCGCTGTGTCTGAGTCTGTAATGCGCTGGGCTAGGGCTGGCAGCATAGATTTCTGGAGAGAAGACGCATCCAAATAAGGTATTACGCTAGGAGCGAGACTCAGGGTGAGAGCCCGGATCTCTGGCTCATTGTCTTCGGATAATAGACGATACATGACTGCGCAGTCGGAAGTATCCAGCTTTTTATGCATCTGTGCAAAAAAGAGCGGCATGATTTCTGCCGTATTTTTACGTACCAGCCAGTGACGATCGGTGGTGGCACGGGACACCGTCTTTATCAAAGCGGGCAACACTTCCTTGAGGTCTCGGGCCTCCTTTTGAAGAGACTGGTTTGTTGAGGACTGCCCCTTAATTAGGACCGCCAGCTTGAGGAGGAGAAGTCCATTGATGACATTGACTGCACGCACATGGTCAATGGCGTCGAGGGCGAGACGCTCATAGCATCTGAACAAAAATGACAGCTTTTGTATATGCTCATCACTCTCCTTCTGCTCAATTGTCAGTTCGATAAACTTCCTGAGGGAGTGGGCACCAACCCGACGAACTACGGAATCAGCATCCTGCACCCTGTCAGAGAAGATGGTCAGGACATGATTCAAGACTTGGCCCGCGTTAGCCATATTGGACTTCTTAATGTACTGATAGAGGTAGGGGATCGACATAACCGAGAACTCTCTCTGTGGCGAGTACTGGGAAATTGCCAGAGTTGATAGAATGTGTGTGATAATTGGAGCCATATCCCCCGTGTAGTAACTCAAGAAGTGCTCGATGGATATGCTCAGTGCATTGTGAATATGAGGAGCTGTAAACGCCGAAAGCTCTGTAAAGCAGTTGATGAAGAGCTGAACTGCGGTAGGATCGAGAGTCTGCGTCGCCGATGACAGGCGTACCACTTCTGCAATTCGCTTAGCCAACGCAACGAGCACCTCTTCAGAGGTTTCCGGAATAATGTTTGTCAGAAAGGGTAAGAGGCGCTTTAGCGTATCTTCTGGTCCGATAGCACGGGCGAGTATAACGACGTTCTGCATGGCAGCAACGCGCACATCCAAGTTCAGAACGGCAAGCTCAGTGGCAAAAAAGGCGATGGGATCGAACGACAGGCCAACAGATGACGCCATTTTCTCGGTTCGGCGAACACTGTCAATTGAATATAAACCATGCGGTTTACACATTGAAATTGCAAACAAATCCTAACAAATTTAAATTCAAATCAGAATTGAGGGGAGCAAAAGTATCGATGAACGTGGATCTTCTCTACCCCGACCCCGTCGAAGAGCAGCGCAAACACAAGCTGAAGCGCCTGGTACAGGGGCCAAACTCGTATTTCTTGGAGATAAAGTGTGCAGGCTGCCAGGACATCGTGGTTGTGTACTCTCATGCGAACACTCCTGTCTTCTGCCCTGGCTGCACATCACAGATTTCTATCCCCACAGGTGGGAAGTGCGCGTTCACGTCCCAGGTAGAGAGGTACAGACAGAAGTAGAGCCCGTTCTCCAGTAAATCTGCAGCTCAGACACTTAAGCGCTAGATCCTCGGTGGGTCGGCGGTGAGGAGCGCGAACGCAGCACCCAGAGAGAGGCAGAGGCTCCCGAAGCCTACCAGTTCTGCGAAGGAATGACTGTCGAGGTCGATGAAGATGAGCTGCCGCGCAGACGCCATGATCCCTATGAGAATAATGGACCGGATGTGATCATACCCCGTACTGATCTGTGTGAGGAGGGAGTCAAACAGTTCGGCCACAAGCAGGACCAGCGTAATACTTCGGATCACCTCTAGGTACTGCACCGTGTCCAGGACCATGTGTGGATACTCCATGTAGGCCCTTACCATGGAATGTCCTACATGGATAATGGACATGACAGAGACAACCACCATGATAACTCCTGCAGGAAGCAAGACATACTTGTCATATATAAAGAGCATAACCAGAACCATGCGGAAATAGCATCTGTGCGCCCGGGAGGTGGAAAGGATCTTGTTTGCATCATCAGTAATTGTTGGAAGATGAGATGGTAAAAGTGTGCGGCCCTGGACTATGTGCTCCCTTCGCATCCGGTGTATCGTATTTATTGCTAAACTAGTGAGCACCTTGATGGACTGTAACTTCTGAGAAAGCCTGTTCATTTGAGGAGAACCTGCAGGTGAGTATTGCTGCCTCCGCTTATGCGAAGGAAAGAGCATATCTGGAGAGGCGATCACTAAAGACTCATCATGAATATCCAGAGATATTTCATCTGTAGCCTCCTGTATTGCAAGCTCTTCCTTCGCAAAGTCAATTATCTGGGTGTGCCCAGATGCCGTCTCGCCGCCCAAGTCCAACGACAAGACATCCGTGCCGCTCATTGCACTTTGCCAGCTGCGCTGTGCATACTGTAATAAAACTTTGAATTCAAAAGCAATTGTCAATTTACTAAATGGCAAAGATTGATAAAATATGTTATAATAAATTATGTCGAATGAAAAAGTTCATGTACCCCACCATTGTTAGCACAGAATGGCTAGGGGACCACGTGCAAAAGAGTGCAGTTCGTCTATTTGATTGCACACTCTATTCTGGCATTTCAGCCGCAGAGGCATCAGAGAGGTTCAGCAAGGCTCACATTCCCACAGCGGCACAATTTCGCGTACAGCTAGATATAGATGTCGATCTGGATGAATATACCATCATCCCTAAGCCGAACATCTTTGCTAAGTATGTAACCATGGCAGGACTGTCAAGGGGACTGCACTGTGTGTTATATGATACAGATGGAAAGAGCGCATATAGAATATGGTGGCTTTTAAATTTCTTCTCCCATCCTAAAGTGTCGATCTATCCTGGCGGTCTTAAGGAGTGGATCGAGAAAGGAATGCCCATAGACTCCAAGCGGAAAGTACAGCAAATCTCGGTGCCAAAAACCGCCTTTTCTTCACACCCTCGTTTTGAAATGATTGTTAAACCGTCCGATATACGTCGATTTGTCTTACAGAATATCAGTGATAAAACCGATGTTGTTTCCACCCTGTATCCAAGATTCTTTACAATGATAGAAGAGATTGACATGGCCCTTGACTCTAAGTCCTTTGTATCGCGACTCGAAATTGGTGACACAAGCTCATCTTCTAGTCCTACAGAGAATACTGTTAGACAATTGGTTGATGTCCGTGCAATAAGACGAGATGAACATCCCTGTCAAATAGATTGCAATTACGTTGATCAAGATGAAAGCGGGGATCCTTGTAGTACATCAACGAGCGGAGAGGGAAGCCTGCACGAAAAAGATCTGCAGGCACTGCATCATACACCACAGACACAGCAAGCACGGTTAGAGTCCATTCCCTTTTCTCTTATAATGCCATATACCAGCTTCTTGGATGAAAGTGGTGTGATAGTAGGTAGTTCCGCTGTTCTCAGATCCAAGTTCCGCTCAGCAGGGATAGACATAACAAAGCCGGTGACATTTTACGGAGATAGTGGATATGAAACTTCTGTTGCTGTATTGGCAGCTGTGTTAGCCAGCGGACAAAGCCCCAGTATCTATAGCATACTAAAGGATCCACTCCTTAGGTTTTGGTCAGTGTACGGAGGCTCACTAAATACTGCCCACTCCGATGATAAGTGACCTCAACCTGATCATCGTACACCCCCATAAATATTACATATTCCTCTCCACCAATATTTAATAATTCTATTGCACCATATTTTCGTCTGATGGCAGTGATTCTAAGAGTTCAGGTAGTATAGGCAGGTATGTAAGCAGTGATCCGTTGGATGCTGTAACAACCATGGAAGTGCCCGGTACAAACCTGAAACACTTTCGGACCATTTGGCCACACTTAGCTACACTCCCGGGACTCCATATTACACCATCAATATCGCATGCTTCTTGGTGGTCTGATGGGGGTGTCGACCTATTCGATATGTCCCAATATATCGAGTCTCCTATTCCGTTGAGGCTAGCCAGTACTACCACGTTATCATCCGGGCTCCACTCAATGTACTGGTTACTAACGAAAGTAAAGATGTGTGAGAAGCAGAGACGTCCATCTGGTTGCTTCTTAAAAGAGTCTGCTATCTGTCTACAAGTACCCAAATCAAAATCTATTAGGATATAAGGAGTCGTGTTATTCCTAGCTGCTGACTCATTTGTTCGCATAAATACATCCAGGAGATGGGGTATTTCTGGAAAGTGGAGTCGAGCAATCAGTCTGGCTTCCTGAGCAGATCCCCTGGCTATCAGATGAGCAGAGGGGCCAGAAGAGGCCGTAGAGACGCGAGGTACAAATCCTTGATCAATTAGGTATACTGCCATGTGAGTTTTAAACGCTAAAAGTAGCTTAGTGCCATCGTTAGAAATAGATACTCTCTGTATTCCTTTACATTCTCTGGCCTCATCAAATGATAGAACCTTTATTATGGAGGGCTCAAGGCTGTGCCTACTTGCATGTGAAGCGCCTCTCTGCCCCATCGCCGAGGTATGCTCTGTCACTATCTTTTCATCGATGTGGATGAAGTAAACCCTTGTACCAGATGCAACAGCAATTGTGCCGTGTTTGGGGGTAGTAGCAACAGATATTAAGTTCGGAAAGGCTATCCTCGCTGGCTTGATCGAGCGAGTGCCTGAAATACTATTCAATTGACATACTGTAAGGGTTCGAGGTTCTACAAGATAGATGAACGATGTCCCAGACTTCATTGCAGCACCTTGCTGGTTAGACGGATCAGATTTCACCGCCGCTGAACCAACTGATGAGAACGGGTGACTTTCACTAATAATCTCAACAGGCTCACAAGAGCAGAAAACGCGCTTAACTGATATGCATGCACGTTTGTAATCCGTGGGGATCTCTACTACTATTATGTAATGAGGTGCCTCTTCTGTCACTATCAAGACGCTCAATACAGGGGTCGATACTTCATACAATGGTTGCTGTCCGAACGGGGTTTTTAATTGCAATTCAGAGCAGATACAAGCGCTTCGCACTGTGAATCTCTCGCCCATTCCCTGAGCTTGTTGGTCCTGCTTTGGTACTATCTCGATAATAGATAAACAATCGCCGCTAAGAGCGTTATAGATATACAAAAGTGGCCCAGCAATTACAATCATGAAGTCTGGAAAGCGTGGATGAAAACCGATAAAGGAAATATCTGCGTTAGTGGAGAGTGCTCGCAACTTGAGCTCTTCAGAGATTTGCTTAGATAGGGCAGTATCATGATAGGGCAACCATCCAGATCCTTCGGCTATAGGGCGCCCTACTTGGCGCATCTTCTCCATCACGCCTCCATCCATGGATATCAGAGGCCCAGGCATGGAGTTTCAAATTTAATTTGTGCTACTGATTCTTATATATGTGAAGAATTTACTACGCTTCAGGGGAGCGGTCTTGCTCGCCACTACTGAGCCACGTGGACATGTGGAAACTAGCAACTTGGTAACTATACAAAGATGTGGATCGATAGGCCATATGGAATCAGACCTTACAAGTGAACCTCGGCACCAGATGCAAGAGGATGGAGTGAAACTGGATAGGAATAATGGGGCTACCCATATGCTCTGATATTTCAGAGTATCTGAAACCACTACTCAATTATCACAATAGAACCTTAAGCTATATAAGCTCATTATAAATATATATGCCAATACCCTACTACTACTGTATGATTCCTATAGCACAATATGAAAGACACTATCGAAGAAAAATTAAGCAGACCCATCAATTCAAGTCAGTAGTACTATAGCCATAATGATATAGTAAGTATTCCTTCAAGTGGCCTCACGGTAAATAGGTACTAGTAATAGGCTTCAGTAATAATCCTGCATTGCAAGACGACCTGCTAATGCTGATAAGAGCATGTAGCACACTCTATTATAAGCATCGCTTCCACTGGCAGCGACAACTGGAAAATTCATCGATAGGCCGTCTGTTTTCCTTCTGGACAAACCGTGACCCTCCGGGACAAATTTGATATGTCGTGTCAGTATCCCAGTGAGCTCCGATTGATTGCTCATGATAGTATGTGTTTGACCCCTGCTCTGCTGTTTCATGACCCTGTGCGACTCCATGCAGATCTCCTGTGTGTGTCCTTCACGGCTATCTGGGCATAGTCGCCACGGTCTCTCGTAGTTCTGTTCCCTACTGTTACAGGCCACATGCTAGCCGCCTACACAATACTAGAGCAGCTGTAGACAAGACCGGGGCGGATCGATGAACCAGTGTGTCTGGCTTCCCCTCTGGCTGTATCTTCTATTTAGTTCAACACTCTCAGATAGCATCCTTTACATAACAGATTTTGTTAAGTACATGGATTCATTCTTAACCTTCCACTGTTACTACAGACGACCGAGCTGTTTGGCTGATGCATGCCTCTGTAGACGGTATTATTCTAAACTATACAATTTACAGGGGTAGGCAGAGAGTATGAGGACCGAAGAGAAGGGAACTCAGATAGAGTCCTAGCTCAGCGGGATAGTGTCATCGTGGTCACGTTATCAATGAGTGGCAGGCTTACACATATAGAAACCCTTTGGTACATATTGTGCTACACTTTATGAAAAACGCTAAATGCTCGGCCTTCTGCCGCTGGCTCTCCTTGCTTCTCTTTGCAAAAGTTCAAGAGATGTGTATTACAACAAGTTCGGCGTGGGATGTGAGGGCAAGCAGGAGAATTGCGCCCAGGATAGATGTATCTTACTAGGATCAGATCAATTGTGCACCCAGTGCGTTCCTGGGTATGTTCCAATAGATGGAAAATGCCAGAAATACCCAGGAGCTAGCTCCCCTCCATGTACTCCGGATGACCCTGCATCGCCGACTCGGTGTATTGCATGCAAACAGGAAACAAACATATTTTTATTCTATGGCAGCTGCTATAAAATTACAACAACACAGGACAGAAATCTGGGCAATTTCTTGTGCTCTGAAGCATCGAATGGAGTGTGTACTGAATGCTATAAAAATAACACTGAAATGTATGTTTTCACCAATCCAGACACAAGTGCAGCTGAGAAGTGCATCCTGTGCTCCGACACGGTCGGGTTCAATGGGTACAAGGGTGCCTCTGGGTGCCTAGATTGCCTTCCCCCCATCACTGATAAAATAGGCATCGCTCTGTGTGTTAAATGTCACTATACTGACAAGGATAGACATTTTTATCCGATTGACTATCAATGCCAAGCCAAAGGGCCTCACAATTGCGTCAATGGTTACTGCACGTCATGCTACAAGACACATTTGTTCTATGAGTATGGATGCTACAGCCGACACAGTTCGACTGGATTTGCCATCTGTGTAGAAGCCAACCAGTACGAACTAGATAATGTTACTATCTGCAAAGAGTGCGCAAATGCATCATACGCACCCAGGAACGGAGCATGCATTCTTATCAAGGAAAATCCATCTATTGAAGAGATCGCTTTTAAGTGCACAAAGGATCCAACTAAGGGACTATGCACGGCCTGTCCCGCTTCTGCGAAGTCCTTCCTCTTCTACGGCGGCTGCTACGACGAGGACGCCCATATTAGCTCAAGACTCTGTTCAAGAATTGGATCAAATGCCTGTGAACAATGGAATAGTGCTTTCAAATGGATCTTCTCTAAGAATGGCGATAACAATAAAAATGGATATCTGTGTGGCGATATTGCAAACGGTGGCATCTCTGGCTGTGCTACGTGTAACTATGCCAGCGGTGCTGTCACTTGCACGCGGTGCTCGGCAGGGTGCCTAGGAGTGGACGGGAAGTCCTGCAGTGAAGGCTGCAGCGGAGACACTCGGGGAGTGTGCACGAAGGTAGCAGAGGGGAGCGAGTCAACTGAAGTGTCGTGTCGATGCGTCTGCAAGCCGACGTTCTACAACAGCTCCGGAACGTGCATATCATGCACGGACTCGTGCGCTGTCTGCAAGGATGGCACACTAACCGGCTGTCAGCAGTGCAGCCCCGGCAAGATCCTGAACTTCTCGATCGTCTCTAGCGAGAGTGCAGACTGCATCAATCAGTGTTCTGTTAGTAGTGAGTGTGCAGAGTGCGGCATCACCATCGACGGCAGCAGGTACTGCACGCGCTGCAAGGACGCAAGCACGTATCCGTTCAACGGGGTGTGTATTCCGAACACACAAAGAGACGCGTACTGTACCAGCACGGCAAATGGTGCTTGTACTACATGCTCAGGAGCGGCCTTCCTGATGAACGGGGGCTGCTACACAACGGAGCACTATCCGGGAAGCACTATCTGTGACAAGCAGTCAAATGGAAAGTGTGAGAAGACCAAGGAGGGGTACGGGATATCGGACGATGGAAAGCTGCTGGAGTGCGATCCGACATGTCTGGCGTGCACTGCCCCTGGCCCCGGCCACTGCACCAGGTGCCCCTCTGGAGCGCTCCTGAAGAGGGCCTCGGGTGCCGCCACCGGGAGCTGCGTCGACCCCGGCGCCTGTGGGGACGGGTACTACGCATACGGAGACGCGTGCCTGCCCTGCGCCACTCCGGGGTGCAAGACCTGCGGGCATGCCTCCTTCTGCACAGAGTGCGCGGGGGAGCTCTTCGTGAGCCTGGACGGGCAGTCGTGCCTGGGGGAGTGCACCGGGGACAAGGTGGTGGGAGAGGTGTCCGGCGGCGTGCGGAGGTGCTGGTGCGAGCGGGGCTTCCTGCCGGCGCTGGACAGGTCCGGGTGTGTGCTCCCAACCGAGTGTCCCCCTGACATGCCGTTGTGTGCTGCCTGCGATGAGTCGGGTAGGTGCCTCTTGTGTGTCACCTCGGGCCACAACGTCCAAGTAGACCAGCGGACGTGTGCAGAGGGGTGCGGTGCCAGGGCCTCATCGAACCAGGGGCTGTGCATGTGCGAGCTCGACGCGGTCCTCACGAAGGGCGTCTGTGTCCCAGCCAAGGAGCTGGCCAGGAAGAGGACGGCGGCGATCGCAGGAGGAACAGTGGCCGGGGTAGCTGTCATCGGTGTTTTGGTTGGTTTCCTTTGCTGGTGGTTCCTTTGTAGAGGCAAGCGCATCGGCGCTTCTCCGAGTACCACGGCGCTTGTTCGCCCGAAGTCCGTATAACAATTCCAACAGCTTGCGATACGGATATCTACAATAGGGCCGTGCTCGCGGTGTGCTGAGCACTATTCTCGGTGTCCTTCCACAGTGAACGACTTGATCTGCATCCGCGCTGTCTTGCTGCGGCGCCTCTGGGTGCGCTCCAGCTAGCGGATAGAAAGGCAGCCTGCCCACACCGCCCGCCCGGGAGCCCGGCCGGCCCGGGAGCTTTCCATAAAATACTTCGGCGGCCGCGGGCATGCGCTATGCGTTCATCGACACCGGCCTTGTCGAGGAGGTCCAGCTCTCCATAAGCGTCTCGGCGGTCCCCGTCCCGGTCTGGTGCTGGGTGAGCCGCAGCCGCCGCCTGGCCGAGGAGGACCTGCGCAAGACGGCCCAGGCCATCAAGCTCGCCTTCGACGACGAGCTCGCGCTGGCGGGGAGCGCGCGCCCCGGGCTCTGGCGGGTGAAGGAGCTCGGGGCCACGGAGGCGGCCGGCAGCGTCTACGTCGGAACCCTGTGCTCGCTCCCCCGCCCGGCCCGGCCGCGCCTGCTGGGGCCCGCCCCGCCCTCCAGGGCCCCGTCCGTGCACGACCGCGTGAACGAGTTCCTCTTCAACGAGGTGCACAACTTTGACGTCGGCGCCGCCCGGGCGTTTCCCCTCTCCGAGCACCTGCAGCACAGCCCGGGGCCCCACTCGTACGCCGTCTCCCTGCTCTTCGCGGCCGGGGCATTGGGCGGGGGGCTGTACGGCGCCGCGAACAACCTGGCCCGGAGCTTCCTCGCCAGCGTCGAGGGCCACCTCCGCGGCCTCCGCCCCGGGACCGTGGCCGCGGTGAGGGACCTCGTCTCCCAGGAGATCCACCACCTTCTCTGCTCCCTCTCGCAGCTCGCGCCGCCCCGCAGCCTGCCCGCCGCCCGGCCGTCGAGCCCCCTGCAGCCCCCTCCTCTCCCGGGCGCCTTCCGCGACCTCCAGGCCGAGTACGGGGGCAGTCCGGCGCCGGGGCTCGCAGACGCCCTTGCTCCCCCCGCCCCCGCGGGCCTCGGCGCCACGCTGCTCTCCTTCGCGTCCGAGCAGGACCTGCGCTCGCACCTCCGCGCGCTGGAGCAGGACGTCGTTGCGGGCCACTACCTGAGGCTGGAGCCGGCCTCGCAGGGCATCCGGCCCCCGGGAGGCCAGGCCGCCTGCAGGTACTGCGTGCTGCGCTACACGGAGGAGCAGCACCGGGCGGCCTCGCGGCTCCTCAACGTCTACCGCAGGGAGGGCGCGCGGTTCGTGAACCTGGTCCTGAGCAACCTCTGCTGCGCCGACTTCAGGATCGCCTACCTCGGCCCGTACCCGCTGGCCCGGCTGCTGGACGACACCGTCGCCGCGCTGCTTCCCGAGCACAGGCGGCAGCTCTTCAGGGCCCGCGCCGCCCACACGCCCCTGGACGCCGCCTACTGCACCTGCGCGGGCTCCCCCTGCACGCTCCTCCTGGAGCACAGGCCGGCGGTTTCGGCCTTCAACGTGCTCTACAGCGCGGCCCCGGACCCGCCCGGGCACACCGGCAGGCAGGCAGAGGACGGCCAGGGCGGCGCGGAGCCTTCTTCGGAGCCCGTCTCTCGTGGGAGGTCGTGCCAGCGGTGCGGCAGGCCGCTCTACGTGCCGCGGCTCCACCTCGACGCCTCGTCCCAGGTGCTCTCCGCAGACCCGGGCTCCGGCTGCCTTGCGCTGCAGCAGTTCTGCGCCGCCACGGGGAGGCCCCTCTGCGTCGTCAACCTCCTGGCCGACGACGTCGAGGGCGGCTGCTTCGTCGCCTCTCTCTCCGCGGTGCCGCACCTCCAGAGGCTCCCCGCGCCGCGCGCCGAGAAGATCCTCCCCTCGAGGCGGAGCCCCCTGCTGCTCGCCTCCGGCAGGGCGCCGGGGCTCTACTGCGACGACGGCTCTGCCTTCTACGGCCACCTCCTCCGGCGGCTCCTGGCGGCGCCCCGCGCTGCGCGGAGGTTCGTGCTCGGCTGCCGGCTCCTGCGCCTCCAGTACTACTTTTCGTCCGTCGCGGAGCTGGGGCTGCTGGACTACCTCCGGCTCGCGGCGCAGACGCCCCCCGGCCCCTCTGCGCCGAGGAGGGCCCAGGGCCGGCTGGCGGACATCCGCTCGCTCTCCGAGCTGGCCAGCGCCCCGCCCGCCGGCCCGCTCTACCTGGCCCTCCCGATCTCGCGGGAGCGGATCGCCTCTGTCTGCGGCCTGCTGGAGCACAGCCTCTGCAGCCTGAACGGTGCGTTCACCCTGCGAGACAGCGCGAACAGGGAGGAGCCCCTCATCCACGTCCTGCTGGCGAACGGGTTCCGGGCCGTCGGGCTCCCGGACGTCTGCCTCCCCGTCAGCGACGCGGCCAAGTGGGCGCAGATCTGCGCGGGGGCGTTCGGCGCCTCCGGGCTGTCCTGCCTGGTCCGGCTGCGGAGCAACGGCCAGGTCATCACGTCGGACCTCGTCCCGTTCGGGGCCGCGACGGTGACGAACCACCGCGTGGTCGCCGACGGGGACGAGTTCCCGCACGCGTCGCTGGCCATGAAGTGCGGCATTCTGGGGGCATAGGCCCTCCTTAAAATGTCCGCGGGCCCCGCCGGTGCCGCCCTCTCCCCGCCGGCCGTGCCAGGGGACGGGGCGCACGCGCTGTACGCCGCCCGGGTCCGTAAATGCATGCTGAGTGTGAACGTGCGCCTCGAGCAGAGGACCTTTCTGGCGTTCTTCGGGCTGGCGGCCCGCACCCTGGAGCTCACGGGGGACCCGGACGTCCTGGCCGACACCATCCAGAGGAGCCTGTGCGTCGAGGAGGGGCGGGCCGCGGCGCTGGGGGACGGCGTGGCGAGGGGCCGCCGGGAGGCCGAGGCCCGGGGGAGCCGCCCGCTCGACCCGAGGGAGCGCCGGCTGCTCGAGCGGTACGGGCCCGGCGGGGCTGCAGAGAAGCCGGCCTGCGAGCCGCCGCGCACCCCCCTGCCGGCCGCGGGCGCCATCGCGGGCTCCCTGGTCGAGGTCTCGCTCAGCAGCCTCGGCGCCCTCTCGTCCCTCCCGCAGTCCCACGAGGCCCACGGCACGCTCTGGGTCGTGCCCCGCGCCCCCGGGTCCGGGGACGGCCTGCTGGCAGACCTCGCGGTCTTCGCCGAGGGCGTCTCCCTCTCCGAGTTCGTCCTCGGGGAGGGCGCGCGGGCGCTGCGGGGCTATGCGGCCCGCTTCCCCACCGCCCATGCCGCGTGCCTCTGCGCCTACTCCGTCTGCCAGCGGAACTTCCTCGTGGGGCCGGCCCTCCGGCGCAGCAGCGTCTACGCATACGCAGAGGCCCCCGGGCGCGACCTCCGCACGCTGTCGGAGCGCGTGGACGGGACGCCCGCCGTGAGCGACGTCGAGCTCTCCGGCTCCTCCGATGGGACGGGAGAGCCTCCAGACGAGCCGCCCATCAAGAGGGCCCAGCGGCGCGTCGTGCTCAACACCGACGTCGGGACCACGAGGACCAAGGCCCGGGCGGGCGCGTCCTTCGGCGACCCGGCCTGCGTCGTGCGGCTCACAGGCATCCCCGACGCGTACCGGGGGGCCGGCTTCCGGGGGCTGGGGGTCCTGAAGGGGAAGACGCCCCCGGACCGCGTCCTGCACGGCGAGGAGGCCGGGGAGTACGTGATGTACATCGGCTTCAGGCACGCCGCGCCCCTGCAGAAGTTCGCCGAGGCCTGCAGAAGGGCCCGCGACCGGGGCGTCGGGATCCGGGCCGTCCAGGGGCGCGTGCCCGGCGACTGCTCCGGCCTCGCGGCCCTCGACCCCGGGGACGTCTGGTGCGGCGCCGGGGGCCCTGCAGAGGCGGCCCAGGGCCCCGTCGTGGAGGTCGCCCACCTGCCCGAGGCCTACCGAGATCTCGGGCGGCGCGAGGGCTTCTGGTGCGGCGAGGACCGCCCGCTGCTGTGGTGGAACCTGCTGAGCCGGGTCGTGCAGAACGAGGGGGGCGGGGGGACCCTCTACTTCTGCTTCAAGTACCGGGAGGGCAAGGAGGCCAGCTCCGCCAAGTGGTTCAGGAAGCGCCTGGCCAGCGCGCTGCGCGAGGAGGGCGTGAGCGGCGTATCTGTCGCCGTCCTCGACCGCGTGCCCCCCGGGCTCGAGGGCCGCGACGTGGAGCTCCCCGCTCCCAGGCAATAGGTCTGCGGCCGCGAGCAGGACCCGCTGATGGCAATTTACTACCTAGGCCCGCAGGCGCTCGAGCCGACCGCAGAGTGCCAGCCCACCGGAGCACGGCGTGAAGCAGGTGGAGACGACAGAGGATCCTTCAAGACGCTTGATCTGCCGCAAACCGAAAACTCAATATGCTCCTGCAAGCTTCTGATAGCAATGTCTAGTTGCTTTAATACTGGCAATGCTTGACATGCTCTTTATGGTACAGGCTCCTTCGAGCTGAAAAGAGGATGCTAAACCTCTCAGTTTCTTCCTAGCAAAACAATCCGTAACAGTGACAAAGGTGTTGTACACGAGTACGGAATAACATATAATGGAACTCGCTACGGGTGCCTGAAGGACTGTGCAGTGTTTAATGATGGGATATGGCTCCTGCAACCGTGACTTCTACCCGGAAGAGGGGGTACAAAACACATCGCGAGGCGAGCCCTGAGCTCGCTCTCTCAATAGGAGCCATCTGGCATCCTCATCGTCAGCACCGTGACAGTTGTCTTAGTCTAGCTTTTCGTTTTCGAAAGAGAGCTGAGCATCTATGGCTCTGTGGTTACTTGTATAAAGGTTTTAAAAAGTTGGTGACTGCAAATTAAGAAGTGCGATTATGGCTGTGGTTTTATAGATGTAAGTGAGCCTTATAATGTCTTTTATCCTAATAAAGTTCTGTGTGAGACTCCAGCACTATTCTGGGTAGTCAGTATGTCACTAGAGTGTTTTACATTGTTACGATTGTTATGCTTATGATCAGCACCATTGTCTTAGACAACGTCTTAAGGACTCTGAACTATACTGCTGCACTGTCATGGAGCCAGAAACATACTAGAGCAAACAAGAAGTAAGTAAAGGGGGACATTGAGTTTAGAGGCCATGCAATTGTAAGTGTTATTTCCTGCTCACTGAACGTGCACTGATAAACTAAACCACAACCCGTAGAGCAGACGAAACTGATATCACTCTATCCACTAGATTAATTGTCTCGGACACCATCTCGATCTGCTTGTAGAGTAACATTTTGTGGCACGATAGCTCATTAAAGAGTGCATGGTACATTTGTTAGATATGCATTCAAATAAAACACTAAAAGCATCTGCAAGATTAAAATGTGCTAATACTTTGGTCCCTTGTGAGAGCTCGTTTTTAATTCACCGATCAAGACCCAGATAAGCGAGAAACATATGAGCCTAAAAAATAAACTTGGGACGTTCTGTTCCCCTCTTTTCCTCCTCCAAGTTCTTTATCTCAGGTCAGATCCCAATTCTATAGCAATACCTATCTATACATCTGTACAGATAAATCATTTCGCTGTTCCTTTAAGACTGGATGGCTGAATTTACGGAGATAATGGATCTGCAACGTTGCGTTGAGGCATTTGGCAACGAGTTGGCCTCACCAATAAATCCTCTCACCTTCAAAAGCTTTCAAGGAGCCTTGCTTCTTAGTTATGCGTTTACTTGCTCGGCCAATTTCATTCCAGCTTGTACTCCTTCCCAGGGGGAATGCTCTCTGCCCTGGGCTGTTGTTATGCTGTTTTATAGCTGTGTCGAGACATCCACTATGTACTTAAACCGTGTACACAGCTTCTTTATCCAATACTTTCGAGACACTCGGGCCTTTTACGAGCTTGACATTAAGCATGATCCCTCGATCTATTTACAGTTTACAAACATATACCGAGGCGCCCGTGAATCCAAATATCTCACAGAGTTGCATCGGTATATAGAAGCCATTCAAGAGGACGAGGCGTGGAATGACCTTTTGTTTCAAATATCATACACACCGTCCACGTCAATCCCCTGCTGCTACTTTGTTTTTGCTCTAGGCTGTCTTTGGGAATCCATAGCCGTTAATGTGCACACCATTCTTCCGTTTTCAAATATGAAAGTAATCGATCTCAGGGTACACGGAGAACGGGATCTGTTATTGGCCAAGAGTATGCTTCAGACACCACCAGGCGGACTCCAGGAAGACTTCGCGTACGGGCAAGAAGAACCATACAACCCCCTATTGCAAGCATGCCCCCTCCTGTTCTTGAAGGAGGGTGACGTAAAAACTCCACGCATCATTCAATTACTCACCGTAGTGCTCAAAATGATTAACCAGTTCGCACCTGCCCTGAGCCTTCATCGCAGAATAAACCGGTGTATCTTCAGACTAAGCTCCCTCAAGAAATTTCTACACGACAGCTATGAGCTATGCATAAGCGATACTTTTAGGCGCAAAATGGAAGTAAAGTTCGGCCTCTGTATCAACGCGGTGGAAAGCAGGAATCAAAAGAGATCAAAGTCTAATCGTCACAATGCAACAACCCACAAGTGGATAGGCAGTGCTCTCAAGACAGACATATACAAGAACCACTTGGAGTACCTCCCAGAGCTAGAGCGATTCATTACTGATGATTCGTGCGGACCTGCCTCGGTGCCGTCAAATCTCAGTTATAGCGAAGAAACATGACTTGCATCCAGGTTCCATCTTTTGGCAAACGCAGAATTATACTCTATTTTAGCTATAAAGTACGGCTGTCCACTTTGAAGTAGCATTCTGTCTTTGGAGCGCCTGGACTTAAACTGATTAGCCTCCACTGCAATGTACACTAGAGTGCTTTCGATCCATTTGAGAGAATTGGCGCAGTATCTGGAGGTACATATACGCAGATTGTTTTCACAGTCCTCTCTTGTGATCTCATTGGTTAGCGCACTTAGGATGAAATTCTTGTGCACAGAGGGTACAGAAGATATGCGAATTTCTGAGGGAGATAAGATGTTCAATGCTCTATGGTTTATAGTGGGCAGATGCATAGTGCTTGCTGTTTCTGGCAAACCCTTTTGCTTTAGGTTATCGAAAAGTTGCAAACAGGACACGCCTCCAGCTTCCTTTGCCTGAGCATCCAATTTCCGTGTGGCCCAATTAGAGATTGTCCGGTAGCAATTGATATTTATCTTGCTTAGAGCGTTGCATGTATTCAATACGTGATTTCTCATTACATCGTGGATCATCACACTGCTAGTCCTGCTCATGTGTATTCCCACACGGGACATCTCTAGAGTCCGCATTGCGGTGGCTGCCAAGCTCCCGGCAACGACACCATTAAACGCCATATGTTCGATTGCCACATAGTACTTACCATCCTCTGGAGATTGCTGGCGTGCTCCACAGAGAATTACGTGTACAAAGAGGGCCCCAGGTATGGATGAGGGAAGACTCAAGCACTGCACCTCATCGGTGTTACTGATGGGAAAGGGGTCGGATTCATAGACATACCCGTTCTTCAGAAGAGGGGTGAACGACATATATAGCTTGACAAACTTAGGTGGATATGTGGGCGACCCTATGTGACTGGTTATCCGCTTGAGCTTAATGTATATGTGCCAAAGATAAGAGAGAGGAGGACATAGGGAGACTGTGAACAGTAAGATTCCTGTTGGCGTATCCATCGGTGAGGATATGAAGTACTTATCTGGACTGCTCAAAAGAACATACTCGACTTTGCTGTGCTTGGAAGACTTTGATTTTAGTGGGGAATAGATGCTCTTGGCAACGTTTTGCATGCTTCCTGCGTTCAACAGAAGACCGGAGATATTTGATATCGTGTCTAGATATTGCTCTGGGGCTACGATGGGGGCGGGCTCATCGGGCAAGTAGCAGAACCCACCCTTCGTATAAGCCAGAAGCTTGCCTAGATATGCCAGTGCAACCTGGTGAGGGTGCTGCTGGCTGATTGTGCGGTACTGGTAGAGAAGGGGGTCAGCAGACATGGCTTTTTTATTTACAGAGAAAAAGTAAACACCTTTTCCTCACAGACTGTGGACCCATCGACCCGCAGCACTCCACACATCACTGCAAGTTTAGCTCATCGGTTCTATTTTCAATCTTTTCAGAAATGGTATCCAGAGTCTCTCGAAGAATGGCAGAGAACTCTCTGCTCAGCTGATCAAGTCTGTTTTTCAGGTCTAGTATCTCATTATCCTTACGCTGGATAAGCTCGTCCCGCTCTCGTAGGTCCGACTCTAACTGAATCTTCTCCTTGGCATTTTGCGCACGGACAACTTCTATCCCCCTTTCCCTATCGATAATGTCCTTAAGAAGCTCGTCCTGCATGCTTTTAAACTGACGAGTCATGTCTACAGCAACGTCGTGTCTGTCTGCACGCTCACGCTCTATGTCCGAGGAGAGCTGTTTCACCTGAGCTTCAAATATCCTTATTTCAGATATTAATCGTGCGTTTTCCTCTGTCTTCATTAGAATCTCTCGTTCCAAAGATTCAATGCGTGCAGCAGCTTGCTTAAGCTTTTCTTGCAGCTCAAACTCCTCCGCCTCTTGCTTCTTCTTGTCTCCTGCCCCAGATTTCGGTGGCATTTTTTACTTATGGAGACTACCGATTTAGCTCCCGCAAGTGACAGCTTTACCACAGCATATTTTGAGGGCCAGGATACCCTTGTTACTGTGTCCATGCGAGGGACTATTCGCGAGACCATCAATCTTCTAAACCTTCAGATACACGGGCTTCATTGCTATCGAAGCGCAGAGGTTCCACTCTACCTTGCTCTGCAGCTCTTTGATACACAGCAGGCTACAATATGCATGCCAGAGTGGTTGAAACTGGATAGAACGCGCACTTATATCAATAATGAGATGGAGAACCCTGGTCTCCAGGAGTTACAGCCACACTTCTTTGAGGTTTCGAGAAGACTGCTTATAGTATTTCGAGAGCACCCCGACGAGCATGCATCTGCTGACCTTTCGGGAAGCGCCACACTGCTGGCAATTGAGTTCAATCTCAACAATCTCTTTGATATCCGTCGGCAGAAACTGAAGGACATCATCGACACAGCCATAGGAAACCGTCTGGCTCCAAATCTTACTAATGCCACCAAGTTCGAGCTGATTGGCTTAAACACTTACAAACAATTCTCAGACAGTTTCTCGGAAATTCACCACTTGTCCCTCTATGACTCTGCAAACAGTGCCTAGCCGTGTAGCCCTGATGCTACTTTGATTATACCAGCCCTGCTCTGTGTTTACTTGTTCTAAGTGCCGTGCGCACACTGAGAAAGACCTTGGCCCAAAGCTGTAACTTCAGCCCTAGCTCGCACCCCCGTGTCACCCCCGTATCAAAATTCGTCCGACTCAATGAAGGGCACCAACTGGGACGGCTGCTTGGGAGCCCACTGATGCAGATACTTTAGAAACCTGCGGTAAAGAAACCTTTTCTTCTCAAACTCTACAAATATGTCCTTATGGTGAAAATATGCATGAGCCAGGATTCTGTATGATCGTCGCTCCAAGAAACTGTATGTTTTCTGTGCCTCCTGTACCATCTGCTTGTTTCCAGGAGGCAAAAAGTCAGCTGAGCAGTTCTTCACGAAGCTCGGCTCTCCCGAATCTAGAAGATGGGAACAATAACTAATTGCGCAACAATCCTGGGGGTCTGTGGAGTGCACTGTGCACAGAAACTTCCACTCTGCAGTGGCAAGCATGGTCGGGCACGTCTTGCTATCACAACTGTCTGCCAAATAGAAGAGCAAATGAGACATCTCCTGAAGAATCAGCCTCATGTTTTCATATCGCAAAATCTTCATGTTTATCGCTGAGCCCAAAGTGCGAAGCTCGAAGAAGAGATCCAGCTGATCAGGGCAAGCCCGGACGATGCTGTCCAGATAGTCCCTTATTCCCATCTGCATAACTCGGACGTCCGAAGTTGTGCCGACAACCTTGCTTAGTTTTAGTACCTTTCGTTCGTCATAATAGCTTGTGGGATAGGGTTGAGGATCTGGAAGGCCAGCCTCCACTACAAACTGCATTTTGATTTTTCACTTTTCATCTTTCATTTTAGATTTAGTATCTTCCCTTTTTAATTAAAATTGCAAAAACAAAAACAAATCGCGGTTTGGCCCAGCCAGCTTATCTGACAGTTTAACCAAGTCGGATTTGAATATAAGTATCTATGGAGCCGTCGCATGGGCCGAATCCAGAACTCTACAGAGTAACCGATCTTCATGTTGATCTCATCGAGAAATACAAGCAATCCAAGGGACTGGGAGAAAAGAAAAATAAAGTTTACGCTGCGTTCAAGACACTCTATGAGCTCTTAGAAAGATCTCCCTACGAGACACAAACAGGCCTTCTTCACGATTTAGCCATCATGGTGGACCTCCTATGTCTGGAGTCTGGCCTTCTTTCTGTCCGCAGCTCGTGCGAGCTATTCAAGGCCTTTGTTGTTCGAAAGATGGGAGAAGTGACGTCTCAAAATACATTACAAAAAGTCAAGCAAGAAATTCTGGCAGGTAGCCAAGCCGTCCTCCACAATCTTGAAATGGCACACGACAGAATTGCCGTCAATGCATTTCCATACATAGTTGATGGAAGCACTATTGGTATTTTCGGAGAGTCCTCATGTGTACTTTCAGTTCTGAAGTACGCTAGCACACGTAGGCGAAATTTGTCCGTTATTATTATTGCAACTTTCACAATGCGAGCAGAGGACGCTACGTTTCTAGAGCTGGCTCGGGTTCTCTCTAGTCATAACGTTAACGTTATGATTATGTCCGAGGGCGCCCTTATTTCACGCATTCATAGTGTTTCTTTCTTCTTGCTCGGAGCAGATATGCTGAGCAAGAATGGAGGATTGGTTAACAACATAGGGACCAAGAACATAGCAATCGTGGCAAAGTCGTATCGAAAGCCCATATACGTGGCCACAGAGACCGTTAAGTTCAGCAACATATACATGCTGACAAACGATGACATCCCCAAGACCGGTAGCAGGGCTCGGTACAGCATTGGTAATGAGTCTAAGCTGGTAGTTTCCCGTATGGGTATAGCTTTCGATGACTCCACACACGATCTCACAGAACCGGAGAATATTTCTCTTATCTTTACCGATGAAGGCGTACACACTCCTGAGTCTATGGCTGGGAGCATTATCAGAGCGCTCTACTCGTAACTGTATGGCTATGGCTGTGAATTTTATTACTTTCACGTTTAGTAGATATCATTTATCACGACTTGGGCAGGTCTGATGACTGTGCCCTTATGGAGGAGACCAGGCTGCAGTGTTTCGCAAACAGTATTGGACGGAAGCGAAGAATCTTCTATGACACGAACAGCATTATGAAGACTAGAGTCGAACATATCTAGGCGATTGGGTGCTATTCTTTGGGCTTCCAAAGTGTCTAGTACTTGATCAGCTAGGGAGTGGGTCGCAGCGATACTTTCTTGGATCTCGTGGAGATGTTTGGTAAGTGCCCCACGAGACTTTGGATGGGATTTTGCTTGGGCATGTAATCCATCCACCGCATCTAGAATCTTAAGTAGTTCACGAAGGCACCGCTGCGTTGCTTCTATCCTTGCTTCTGCCACAGCATCTGCCTGGGCCTCTGCTGCGGATTGCCGTTCTGCCAAGAGAAGCTTGAGCTGCTGTTCAATGGTAGATGAAGATGGCTTCACAAGTCCTCTCATCAACCTCATAAGGACGCTAGTACCAGCCATACTCGAAGGACTAAGTGCAGAAAGCGCCATCTAGCCCTGAAAGCCTTTAATAATTATAAGGCTAGACTTTGGTTTCATGACGAGTTTTACGAAAGACCTAACCATAAACACTATAGCGCGTTTCTCATGAACCCCTTAGTGTCAAGGTAACATTGATGGTTCTGCTCGTTTCATTTTTCAAATCCAAACAATTCCATACAGAGTGTACTTTCTTCGGTGAAAGTGCGGCGAAAAATGGATTGCCTCATTGTCAAAGAGGTAATTCCATGTCTTAGATAAGAGGATTATCTTTCTCTTTTTCTCAAGGAGCTCCTTAATGAACTGAATGTACTTTCAAGGTGGTGAGAAAAGACTGAAAGGCTGTTATCCTGCTTTCAGAGGACCTGGTTTGGTGTATATCGGTGACACATCACAGTTATGTTGAATAACACGGAGGTATCGATGAGTGGACGCACAAGGATTGAAGGCGATGAGCCACAGGGGCTTCTATGAACTGCTCACGGTGAGTGGAAGTACCGTAGATACCTTCGCTACGGTGGGCGGGCGGCTTGCAGGGTGGAATTGGCAGCCTGGACGAATCAAGGGCGGCGGATATGTTGCCGTCTCATTCCATCAATAGCATGGTTGGCTTGCGAGATGGAAGCAGTGGCTGCGGCGAAGGCACGTGAGGCGTCCAGATGAGGTGCGCAATGCAAGGGACATCAGCACTCCAACTGCGCAACCGGTCAGTGCAGGGCGGTCCGCGGCGTCGAGGTCTGTATGAGGTGCCATCGCGGACATCGCTGTAGTTGCTGTCATCGTCGTTGGGGAGCTTATTGGGTTCCTCTGCCGAGGCAGGGCGTAGACTTAGATAGTAAACGCGCCGACTGGTGCGGTGTCAGACTCTTCTGTGCTTAGTGTAGCTCCACGAACCACTGGACCTATGCACAGAGTCGTCTACTCAGCCGCAGCTGACAAGCTTACTTTGCTGAAGTAAAGCAGGCTCCAAAGAAAATAAAATGGGCCTCAAGTTTCTGACGACAATGAGCCAGTTGCATGACCACTATGCAAATAACCCGACAGAAGAATTTGCAGCCTTTGTGATATTTTCAGATGGCTACAATGCCACACCAATCGGAACTAACGAGGGGGAAGTCCTCGATTTATCTGATTTTACTCGTTATGGGAATGGGGAGCCCAATACGACTTGCCTACTGATTGGCAACATGGAGAACCGGAGCGTCAGTATAATACCATTTGATAACGTCCCGTCCCTGGCTTCCATCAATGAGTTCGCTGCTCTGACCACCATGGAGCAATTTCATTGTCTATTTGCAGGAATAGGAGGTTAATTTACTCTTTGCTGCTTTGGGAGCTATCCTCGTCCTCGTCCTCATCTGTATACTCTTCATCATCCAGCTCTTCTTCTAATTCACCTTCACCTTCACCCTCACCTTCATCTTCACTTATTTCATCTACTTCATCTATTTCATTAGTAGGCTGAGGCGGCCTCTTGGGTGCCATAAAGTATTTGCCATCGTGTCCACCATAAATGTCTACAGTGGAGATCTTTCCATAAACCTCTTCAAATCCTTCGCGTGAAAGAGCCAGGTCAATAGGATCGACTGGTAAAGTTTTATCCCTTTGATTATATATTTCCTTCTCCCGTAGCTTTTGTTGTTGCTGCTTAAATTCTCTTGCACGCTGTTGCTTGGCCCTCTCTCCTGGGCTAACGTAGTTCTCGTTTCTCCATAGTATGTCTCCACACATTACAGAAGATAGAATCTGGAAAGGTATAAGTACGAATGAAGGGCCGGTCTCCGCGAGGCTATATTGATCTGCACCCTGTTTAATGTTTGTGTTCTTTTGAATAGAATAAACCCGGAAATCTATGGAAATGCCATCTTCGCGTACGCGAAATGCTATTACGTGATCCACAAATGGAACGCTCTTGTGGTGGAGGTGCGGTGTTGCAAATATGCGCTTCATCAGCTCTTTAATAATCCGGAGCTCGTACTTTTCTGGTTGGTCAAACTCGTGAGAAAATGATAATATTGGGCGAGTAAATCTATGAAAGTTTCCCTGGTAGCGCATCCGATCACTAGTTAGTAGGTTGGCTACCTGGAACTTGACGGTTGGCCCTTCGGGGTAAGATGTAGCCCAAAGGATGAGCTCAGTGCGCTGTCGCATCTCCCAATACAGCGCGTGGTCACATGTTCTGAGCCTTATCACCTCCATCAAGGCAGACACCGGCAGTGCTGTGTTAAATTTGCTCTCTTTCTTATTGTGAGGAATGAGCCTCTCCAAGTCTGTTTTCATCTTACTGAACATCCCCGTGGTCCCTTTGCACGTTATCATCATAACCTTGTGGCGTGGGTAGACATGCTTGTCTGCAGGCATCGAATTAAATGCAAATCGGCAGATTGTAATAAAGTAGCATTTTCAATTGAATTGCTTTCACTTAAGTAATTAAGAATTTCTGAACTGCATGACCAGCAACGCCATCTTCTTGCCAGGTGAACTCAACTCAGGAAACAGTGTGCGTAAGGAGAATATTTCTGCAACCACTGCATTAGCAGGGATCATCCGGACGACCTTAGGCCCAACCGGGATGGACAAAATGTTGATAGATAGCATGGGCGAAGTCACAGTCACCAACGATGGTGCGACCATTCTGCAAAAGCTCAACGTTGCCCATCCTGCGGCAAAGATCCTGGTGGAGCTTTCTTCCCTTCAGGATAGGGAAGTTGGTGATGGCACCACCAGTGTGGTCATCTTTGCATCGGAATTCCTTAAGGAGGCAGACGAGCTTATCGGCCGTAACATGCACCCCACAATTGTGATTGAGGGCTATCAACTGGCCCTAAAGAAAGCATTGAACTATATAGAGAAACGCCTCAAGGTCAACGCCTCTGCATTGACACGCGAGAATTTTCTGAACGTTGCCCTCACATCACTGTCTTCGAAGATTGTCAGTCTAACCGCAGAGCACTTCGCCAACATCGTCGTTGACGCTGTTTTTGCCGTCAAGCACATCACAGAGGCAGGCGTCACTAAATATCCAATAAAGTCTATTGGAATTCTGAAGGCTCATGGAGGCGCTGCGCGAGAGTCTTATCTTGTCAAGGGCTTTGCTCTGCACCAATCCAGGGCTTCCTTGCAGATGCCGAGTTCTGTCAGGGCGGCGAAGATAGCTCTTTTGGACTTCAATCTTCAGCAGCAACGCCTTGCTGTGGGGACTCAGATTCTTATCACCGATGCATCAAAGATGGAGGGCGTGCGCCAAATGGAAAACGACATAGTTAAGAAGCGCATTGAGGTGCTCCTGGCAGCAGGGGCAACGGTTGTCTTCACCACAGGAGGAATTGATGATATGGCGCAAAAATACCTTGTGGAGCAGGGCATAATGGGCGTACGACGTATACCAGCAGACGACATGAAGCGCATAGCGAAGGTGACTGGTGGAGAGATACTGGGGACTCTTGCAGACCTCGACGGGGAGGAGACTCTACCTCCTTCTTGCCTTGGGTTTGCCGAGGAAGTAATAGAGGAACGCATTGCTGATGATAATATCATCTTCATACGAGGCGGGAAAGGAAGAGCGACAGGTTCCATTATTCTCCGCGGGCCAAATATCCACATGGTGGAAGAGATGGAGAGGTCCATACACGACGCTCTGTGTGCTGTCTCGAAGACCCTGGAGTCGGATGCCGTGGTCGCAGGTGGAGGGTGCATTGAAACCGCGCTGAGTGCTTATCTGGAGGAGGTCGCACGGTCTATCGATAATAAAACACAGCTTGCTGTGATGGCCTTCTCTCGTGCCCTTTTAGCCATTCCGCGGCAACTGGCGGTGAATTCTGCCCTGGATGCAACCAAACTTATTGCAGAGCTGCGCGCAGTTCATGCCAGAGCCATACTCAAAGAAACTCCTGCTGAGGAGAAAGAAAAACTTAGGCATTATGGTCTGGATCTTCAGAACGGCGTCATATGTGACAACGTCCAGGCAGGAGTTCTGGAGCCTATGTCTAACAAACTTAAGAGTCTTTCCTTTGCGGTGGAAGCTGCTGTGACGATTCTCAGGATAGATGACAGCATAAGATTGAATCCAGAGCAGCAGCAATCCGTCCAGGATCACCATTAACCAGTAAACATCCTGTCTCATATGTTCTGGTCCCGACCCAGCCAAAAATCTCCAACCAAAAATTTAAATGGCTACTAGAGCATACACGACCCAAGGCGGACGCAGCGATCCAGCGATTGAAACCAAGTACAAGGACCTTGATGCAAAATACAAGCTTTTGGTCAATGATCGGAAGGCCATTCACGAGACTGCTGAAAATAAAATCGCCCAAAATAATGCCATCATAGACGCTCTCACCCAAGAAAACAAGACCTTAAAGAAGACTCTGATTTCTATTAGCAAGGCGCCACCCCCACGCCCAAATACAACTCCTGCTGGGGCTAGATTACAAAAGCAGACCCAAAAGAAGGTAGATGAGCGTGACCAGCTGAGCGCAGCATGCACAGACACAGGTATTCAAGTTCTTCGCGTGGAAGTCAACAAGCTCAAGTTGCGCCTCGATGAGGCTAGGCATCAATATAACACCAAGAGCAACCTTTTAGAACAGCGAGAAGACGCACTAGCACTCATACAAAAGGAAATAGACAGACCAGAGCCTGTCGTGGAGGCTGGAATGGAACGAATTCGGGACTTGGAAAATAGATATGATGATGCCTGTATCAAAGAGCGAGAAGCTACGTCTGTCCGCAACACCTACAACGCAATTCTCGCGAGATTGAAAGAAGAAAAGATATATTTCAACACCCAGATATCAAACATCACTGCTATGAACAGGAATAGAGACGCGGACATCAAGCAGCTTGATACTTATCTGCAGGAGGCCATAGCAGCGTCCTCCCTCGTATACAACGAGTACGAAGAGTACAAAGAGTACTGCGAGGTCGACAAGCAATCCCGCAGAGCTGCTTTGATGCGAAGGAGACAGGAGGTAGAAGCTGCTGTAGAGGATGAGCGACGCCTTGAGAAGCAACGCCTTGAATCCCGCCTCTCAGAGGAGGCAGAACTTAAAGCAGCTGCGGAAGCGGCTGGAAACATCAAACTTGACGAGGCGTCTAGTGACTACGACGACGATGATCTCGGAACAGTGGGGACAATCCACTGCAAGCGCCGTGCAAAACTAGAATACTTTAAGACAGTACTTTCTAAACTCAAGGAAAACACTGGAATATCAGATATCAAAGAGTTTGTTGACAAGTGCATCAACCAGCCTATTAATAGAAGTTCTCTGCAGAACCTAACCATTGAGTTCAATCAGAAGCTAACAGGGGTTGCTCAGGATATCGCATACCACAGAACCCTGAACTCGGACGCTCAGTTCACTGCGGACACATCCGGATCTCGTCGTGTCGTGGATCGTTTAGAGTTCAATATTAGTGAGGAAAAGTTCCGCAATTCTAGTCTTCAGCAGCGCTACAAATTTACTCTCGATATACTAGGACAGCTGGCCAGGGGAGCACAGCACATCTGTGAGCTTCTGCTCCTAGTGAAGGATGACTCTACTATCGAAGCCAACCTCCTCCCCATGCCAATGGCGATAGACGGCGATTTACAGACTCAGGAAAAAGCTGTGGACGCTGTCATTACAAAGCTCGAGACCATACGCAACAAAATCCGCGTTTTGGCGACTGCTGTGAAGATTACAGATATACCGAGCTCCACTATGCGTATTACTCAGCGAGAACAGTGCGCTATAGTGAAGGGAGATGAGGAGCCCTTCAACCTTGTCGACGGGAGCTTAGTAAAGGCTCCAGATGAGGAGGGTGACACACAGGTCAACACAGAAATAATGATTGACTTACCGGGTGTTGGTCAGAGAAGAGACGAGTTTGACTTTACAACATCCAACCAACCAGAGGTAGACACGATCACCACCACCGAACGGTCTGCCATCAAGCGACGCTCGGAACTCTTTGCCTATCGTGCACGTCAAAAAGCACAGGAAAATTCATATTAATATTATGTTTCTACATTACTAATTCCATTGTGATCCAAGGATTGGTAAAATAGTAAATCTCCGATTAAAAATCTTCATGGTCAAAGAGGCTAGTGCACGGAAACCGCCGCCCCGCACACAAGCACGCGAGGGGCGTGGCAGCTGGGCGGGGCTTGCTATACAAACTTACAAGCGTGATGGATCTCTGAATATTATGCTCAAGCCTATGATCCTTGGATTACTAAGCTCTATTCAAGAAATACCTCCTCTATTCTATCACCCACATTCGCAACTTACAGGAAGTCGTCGCAAAGGGATAGATCCCGAGTCCTTTTGGCTCAAGATTCAAGACATGGTGATATTCGACCCAGACCCCCAGGCCCCGTCATACTCACTCCGTGCTCCACTGATCAACAAGGATCTTGCAGCAGATCGCATAGGTGCAGGGTCAAAGTATCATTTGGCACTCCAAAAGACACTGCAGCCAGAGTATGTTAACCTGGGTCAGAGGGTTCAGCGAGAGAACATAGAAGAGATTGCTGATGCGCTCTGCTATGGACTAGAGCCAGCGTTAAGTAACTCGTTTAAATGCATTAGGATTACCGCCTCCATATGCTTAAGTGGATTTATGATTGGACTGTCTTCTACTAGTACAGCATCGAGCTACGTACTGACCAACTACATGCAGGATAAATTTCTCAGGACCATGCTCTACGATATTTGCGATATAGTTCGCTACGTAGCATGCACAACCGTTACTAGTCTACTTTCTCCTTCCAACGCATCACCAAGTATTCTTAGCACCCTACAAGCAGTGGCAAAAAATAATATTACAGATCCTTCTCCATCCATTCGCATTTCTGGATTTGTCCTTATTATGAAAGTGTTAGGTCTCAGTAGCAGTTTAATGACCTCGGCGTCAAAGGCTGACAAAAACAAATTAGTCGCCCTCGTAGCACAAAATTGGCAACAACACAGTCAATTGTATTGCAATCTTTTTAAGGATGAATGCCCAGAGTCAGCTGCGTTGGCCGTCCTCACTGTCCACACATTTCTTCGTCTTCTTCCTGTATTCGGGCAATCGCCTAGTGCAGATAAAATCCATGAGCTTACTAGGCATATGATGTCTGTCACATTTTCGACAGAGCGGACTCTGCGTAGAGTGGCAGGATTGGCCTATCTTGGCTTTTTCTCAGAGATTGCTAGCGACTCAAATTCAGGCACACTTGATCCAGTGACTCATTATCCACAGGCATTTTTCGATAGTGTATATGCAAGCACGCTGAAAGAATCGCCGACAAAGGTCAGCCTTACATGCATAGCGGAGTCTCTTGTCGATATACTTGCATCACTTCCTCAAAGCAGCTTACCTAAGGACTTCTTTTCAAGCTTGCTTTTGCATTTGGTGGACACTCTTAGTAATGAAGCCTTTCTTCATACAATTACTTTTGTATCTGCATGCCTTATGCAGTCCTACCATGGAAGGATCCCTCTATTTGATCACGTAGTTTTGCAGCCCGTGGAGAGCGTCTTCTATGATGAAGCCTTGGATACTCTTAAACATCTGCCTGAACTCTTTGCACAGGAACAGGATAAGATACCCTACCAGTATATCTACAAAGTCCTGTTGGACGAGGAGGACACTTTTCTTGCAGAGGCAAACTATACTGCTATATCCGAATGTATTCTGAGCCCTGTGCCCATTTTTCCCTCTAGCACCACTACAGATACATCACCTCAACAAGGTGCCAAGCCCAGCTTTTCATTGACATCACTTTATCGTAGGTTTACTTCTGTTTTTGATTCGTTTAGAGCAGATAATCTGACCAACAAGCTTGAGGACGTATGTACTGCATTTCTTTATTTACTGTACCTCCTTGTTAATCAAAACAATGTCTTACCTACTGACGGCAGTCCCAATTTAATATCTGACACGTTTCGGAAAGAGCTGGAGGTGGTTTACGAAGGCCTCTTCACCACAATCTTCCCTAGCATGAATTCGGCACTCTATCATAGCATTTCTAATAACGCACTAATCTATCAGTCCAATGCATCTGACAAGGGCGATAATTCGCTGCGACACGTAAAGTTAATTCCGAAGCTCATTGCTCAGTATTTGCAACTGAGTGGAGGTGCTGCGCAATCTCTTCTATCAACCCTCATTCGAGAGCAACTTATGAGCATCTATTCCACCTTACTTAGGCGCGAGCTTCCCTCGCTGCAATATGGCTTCTTGGCCGACATAGTGAGCTGCGTGACCCCAGCAGACCTGACTCTTTATGATAACACAGTCTCGTTGCTCAAGCTAGACCCTTTGCACCTCCAATCAGCAGCATATTATGAGCTCGACGCACTTCTTCGGATCTTCCTTGTTTCACTGATATGGCTCAAAGGTTCCTCACGCGTATCAGAGGGGATTCTGGACAACTTTCTGTTCAACTTGCTTATGCCAATTACCTTCGTCACTCTTCGTTCCTGTATCTACCTTATGGCCGAAATAAAGAAAGGTATCCGTATCTTAGCCATTCAAAGACACCTCTTACAGCATCCCGGCCTGCTGTCTCTGATATCTACTGTCATGCAGACATGCCTTGTCCTTTACACATCCTTCTCCGACTACTATAATAACCAAAACACAGATCGATCGAAGATGGAGAACCTTTCTGATTTGATTCTACACATGTACTTTTGTGCACACTTCCTCGGGAAAGAGTTTTTGAGTGCACGAGATGATTGCATATCTGATCTAAAACTTCTCACAACAGCAAGAAGAGCTGATACAGCTAGTCTAGTGGAACAGAATCCTAACATCACAAAATCAACATATTATCTACTTGTGAAGGCAGATAAATCTACTAAATCTTTAATAGAACTAGCCTTTCAAACAACCTTCACAATCTTTCGAGATAGTCTTTGCTATTATGTATATCTCTATGCTAATCTATTTAGTATGACTCTGGGAAACAGGTTTCTTTTGAATAACAGGTTTACCAACTTGTCCTGTCCTTCGATGTTTAGTAGCCAAGCAGGAGCCATCAAGGTCATCCCGGCATATGCAAATCAGTTCGTAGGCTTTTTGGAGGTGTCGAGGCTGTCTACTATGCTTCTGCAGGATGAATTTGACCTGTACAAGAGCCTTTTGCCCAATTATGGGACGATTGAGGAGATCACCACCAAGTACTGTAGTTTGGTGTATGGGGCATATGCTACTCTTAAGAAGCACGCACGCACACGGCAGCAAGCAGCCAAAGATTACGTCATCTTATGTTCTATATTGCGGATACTTGAGGCAACTGAGGGCCTCACGTATCCTAAAGCCCTTCTGGAGGAAGCTCTTAGCCCAGAGGAAACAAGGATATTAGAGCAGAACATCTCTCAGCTTCTCAGCGAAGACAAAGACAAAGGTAAAGACACAAGCAAAGACATAGACGGTGCTCACGAAGATCCACACGCATCATATTCCAGTCATCAAGTTATCGCAGATGTGCCTATTCTTGGAAAGGCATACTTCTCGTCACAGCCCCCCTTAGATCTCTTCCAGACTAAGGCACCAATCACAAACGCTACTCCTAGCATTAATGAAGCGATGAGGATAGAGCCACAGAACTTGGCACCATTAAGCGATGGAGCAGAGCCTCGGACCTCCCCTTCGAATAGTTCAGTGGATACTCCTAGCAGCGCAGGCGGGATATCTCAAAAGGATCCCTTGACAATCGATTTCTTGCTTAGCCAAGCGACGTTGGCTGCAAACAGCGGCCTACTAGATAGCCCAGACGAGCAATCTGTTAACGGTGGCCTCAGCGACCTAAGAGACATGTTAGAGTAACACGAACATTTACTTCTTACCAACTGTCAAGGGTGTACGGATCCGGCTTGGTGACATATACAGCGGAAATAACGACGTCCTCAAGAGGTCTATCTTGCGGGTCCTTCTTAACGTTTTCAATGGTCTTGACAACAGTCATGCCATCAACTACATGTCCAAAGACAACATGCTTGCCGTTGAGCCAGGGGGTAACCACTGTGCATATAAAGAACTGCGACCCGTTAGTATTACGGCCTCTGTTCGCCATGGAAAGTGAGCCTATCCGATGCTCCAGCTGAAAATTCTCGTCATCAAACTCCGACCCATAGATAGAGTATCCTCCACGGCCGTCCCCGCGCTCGAAGTCTCCCCCCTGAATCATGAAGTTGGCAATGACTCTGTGAAACTTAGATCCCTCGTAGCTGTATCCATGGCTTCCCTTTGAAATCTCCACAAAGTTTGTCACTGTCTTTGGGGCCACCTTCCCAAAGAGCCCCAGAGTGATGTTACCAAGAGTAGCAGATCCCTGCCTCACTTCAAAGATTACATGGTCTGTGATCTCAGGGGACTTCTTAGCTAGCACGACGAGCAGACAGACAAAAAAGAGAAGCATCTCCCCCCAGCCTAAATTTATTACGAAAGACCTCTCTATATCATTTTTTGATTTTGTACAGTTTTGTAGATACTTCCTCAGTAACGGCTGTGATGAAGGGCCAGAATCACTAAGCACCGTTAATAGGATAGGAATTGTATAGATGTGTACAGTGTTATTCTTATGCTAGTGGTAATTCTACGATATCCAGAGGAGCACTAGGGGTGAGATAGATAGAAGTGTCGCTTTCTAGCTTAGTAGCTGCGGTAGAAAAGCTTACGTTCTTTTCTTGAGAGCTAATGGAGGCGGTCTCTGGTTCCTCAAATTGTGGCCCAAATGCGGCTTCACAGCCCATAAGAGCGAGGTCTTCTGTTCCAGCAACACCGTCGCCTATTATACATGTTCGCAGGATCCGAATGGCATAATGAACAGTATTTGGCTCGCTGAGCACAAGCCCCAGGGAGCCTATCACAGATTGAACAGATACAGCCACCAGCGAGATATCAGGCAGAACTTCTGTGGTAAATTGGATATCAAACTTAAACATCCTCTGAATGACTTGCATAATTCCACAGACAACGAACTGCTCACAATACAGACTCCTTAGGCTTGCGAGTGTGCTTGGATATAGAACTGTAGCCATGCCGAGAACTCTAAAGTCTTGGTTAGCGGATTTAACTGCTTGCTTGTGAAGCTGAAACATCTTGACTAGAAGCTCCTGATATGAACAGGACGCGGCCACCATTGTATCCATCAACTTCTTGTATTCGACCAAATATGCATCTAGAGCACAGTTATAACACGATACAAGCCTGTTTGCAGTACTGAATCTACACTCTTCTGTAATCTCATTAAGCTCTTCGACTGCTTTGTTCAAAGCTGCCCGCTTCTCTGCGGCTCGTTTGAGCCCTGAATCAATCATTTTATGATGATACTTCTGTGCACCTTCATAATTGCGCATGACTGTGGAAAGTTTTGTCAGTAGAATGCTAATGCTCTCTAGGCGGGAAGCCATGTTATGGAGTCTGCTCAGTTCATTATCAATGTACAACTGACAAACCGCCGTTGCAACAGTTTTATTTAAGCCTCCTATCACTAATTGCTCATATGCAGGCTGGGCAGCGAGTGTAGAGCTATAGACAGCACTCAGTGTCAGCATATCTTTTTCATGAGACTCCAACACGCTATATAAATGGTGGCATGCCCAAATATTGAAAGGTGTGAACGGTGGAGATGCATCTTTTTCCTTTTTGCGTTGCACCACAAGCAAGGCTTCAGAAAATAGCTTGTCTGCATGTGGCGGTCTCTGAGGCGTAACATACTCTATAGAGTCTTGGGACAGCCCTTTCTCGTCCTCGATTAGTCCTTGACTTGCCAACATGAATATTTAATTTCTAGTAAGGTATATTAATGTCCGAAGGATGTGAGGCTAGTATTGGTATTATTTTATATCCATCGCAGAAACCCTCGCCGCGACCTTTAGTGCACGCAGAAGATCGTCCTTAGATTCTGCTAACGGTATCTGTAATGTATTGGTACAGGTATGGCCCATGGGAAGTCTATCTTTTGAGCAGGGCCGCAATGTGAAGGGAAGTGGATGCTGACCCAGGAATAAGGGCTGACCAAGATTACAAAAGCCCTCTTGTGGGGGAACGCTTATCCCACAAGAAAAGCGAAGGATACCAACAGCAAGTTCAGGATTTTCCCTAAGGAGTTCCCAAAACCATTCAACTACTTCTGGATTCGACCAGCATCCATCTACTACAGAGTGCTCCCGCCAGTCGTCGATAGAAATAGAGGGTGCACCCACAACGATCGCATGTACAAGAGAAACATCAATGAAGTAACACCCAGGTGCAGGAATAGCCGTTCGAAAGCCACTCCGAAGATAGTGCAGTGCTTTAGAACTGCGGGGATATAGATACGAAACAATGACCTTCTCCAAGTTGATTCTTCTGAAGCATAGGCGCTTCTTTTTATTGTTAAAGTTTGCGCAGAACTTAAACGACTTGTACCAGCAAGACGTGTTAGAGAGTGCTGGAATAGATTCTTTCAGGATTGCAAGCGAATGATCGTCTTTTTCAGCCTCCGCAATAAGGTTCCCCAGCCCCGGTTCAAAGTGTATAATGTCTGCGAGGGTCGGCGAAACATTCATAGCTAAGCTTATAAACAATCTACTAAGCTGTGAAGACAGAGATATGCCATAGCATAGGCAGCGGCCAATGAGCCAGCCCATGCAGAAGGCGTCCAAGGGGAGAACGGTAGGGGACATAGTAAGCTCATTTGACGATTCCGACACAATCATATTCGGTGCCAATCCGTCGTGTGATAGGGCAGAAAATAATATGTCCCCAACCATAGTAAATAGCTCCCTTTTTAATCCGCCTATATCGATTGCCTCCTCGCCTGCGAAGGATACTAGGATTTCCCTTCGTATCAGTTCCCTTCCTTCAACAGCAAAAATTCTTCGGAAGTCATTGTAAAAAGACGTGCGGGATACGATCATTCTATACGGTGGGGATTGTATGTAAATGGAATCTGTCCAATACCGCATGAGACGTAGCCTAGTAAGAGCTTGAATACTAGGGCGCTCAGATGAGTTGAATGCCCTCAGGAACAGGTTCTCCGTCGGTGAGTGGGAAAGGATGGAGGAAGCAGATGCAATACTAAGTATCTTGGAGAGAGAAAGAGGTTCTATAGTGTATGTTTCAGAGGAAAAATGGGCCGAAGCTGTTATCTCCTTAACGCCAATGACCATCTTCAGCCTACAGAGGCACGTAAGAGTCTTCTCCCGTAGTCCTTCACCATACAACTCCACGCTTTCATCATCAGTACGGCTGAATGATAAAGCATATTTGAGAGAGTTGACAGTAGTTTGAGCAAAGTATGGCAAATTTGTGACACGTGAAAATAGAGCACAAAGTCTGAAACCATACACCTTTTGACGAATCATCTCCTGAGTTGTCCAGAGAGCAACTGTAGAGTCACTAAGCGGATAGACTCGAGGGGCAGGTAGATATCGATAGGCAATAATCTCTGTTTTCCCTTCAAGAGATATTCCATTCAGCTGCTCAGTCAATCGCTGAGTGAAGTGACGATACCAACGCAATAGAATGAAGAGAGAAAGGGCATGTGATAGAGCAAATAGAACGTATGGAATCAATATTCCCAAGATAAGCACAACAGTGTGATACACTCGTGCATAGAAAGGTATAATGAAGAGGAACACAAGACACAGAAAACAAGATACGGAATAGGAAACAATTGCCACCAACCATCTGTGTGGCTTCCAAGAAATCCCGAAAAGCGAGGGAAGAGTCGTCAAAGTAACAACAATATAAGATACGCCTATCCCATACTTGCCGCTAATTATGCAAAAGAGCCAAGAGATCAGGAGCAGAACGGAAGCAATGGGAGAGCATATGCACAGGAAAAGGATGGGTTTCTGATGTATGAGCAGGGATGCCATGCTTACAGTGATGACAGCGATCACTGGGAACAGCGGCATGGCTATAGTTGTTGCGACCTCCCTTGGTCCCAGAGGGATGCCATCATGCATTTGATCATTTTTGGTAAAAGAAAGAAGTGCATTTACATTCAAACCAAGAAGCATATCAGAGTGTCCCCAGCGACATGATATCGACAACTGTGCTGTTGTCAACCAGCTTTCCACATTGGTGGGCAAAATTTGATAAAATAGTAGCGGGTTCGCGTATGTCCTGTTGCCCAACTAGTCGGACCTCCCGCAGGAGTTGATAACTGTACTGTAAGACGAGGTTGAGGTGATCCTTAATTATCTGTGGAAGTACGCTCACACTGGTGTGCAGTATTCCAGAGTGGCTGAACGCAGCCACTGCCTGCTCCATGTTCTTGTACCCTAGCAACTGCACCTTACTGTCTAGCAGATAAGAAGCAAAGGAAAGGATCTGGTGGAGCTCGTTCAACGGCAACTTTCCTTGTAGACCTTCAGATAGGGTCTGAACCTTCTTGTATTCTTCTTGTGATATCGAGATGCTTGGTGAAAGACTCTCAAGCATGTACTTTGCATGCGAGTAAGCTGCAAGCTCGTAAAATTCCCCTCCATAGTATAGCTGAGTAGTAGTAAGGCGAGATTCTTTGTGATACTCGACGGTAAGGGCACCAATCAGATAAAACAGCGGAAGCATGTCTTTAGCCGAACTACTCTCAAGCCACTTATGGACAAATTTGCAGGATGGAAGCGTTTCGTGGATAAGCAATCCAAGCATGATGACCTGATCCGCATCAGTTAGCAACCGTGCAATCGAAAGGTGAGATTCGGTGATGGTTGTTTCACCTGACAGGTCCAGATAGTATCGGAGGGTGGAAAGGAGCAACGCGACAGCGCTGACACGACCATCTGGTGAGATAAGGTTCTTCACTGAGGTGGCGTCTATGAGAGCAGCAATGTTCTCTACATAAAACTGTGTGTGTCGTAGACGGCCCTGCGCATCAACGTTGTAGTATGTAGAAAGGTCAACATAAACATCTTTGAAAAGAGAGGGACACCGAGTCTCTAAAATGCGCAAACAGACAAATGCAGTGAAGGGCTCTATCTGTGTTTGATGAGCACGCAACAAGAGGCCAAGGTAGGATGGGATGTCCATGAGCAAGAGGCTGCTGTATGCCGTCTCGCCGACCACAAGCTTACTGACTTGATTCTTCGACATGAGCAAGTGGTTTCTAGAAGCGGCTGCTGTAGAAATCATTGTTGAGATAATGGTCTCTTTTTCGAGGGGATCGGTGGTAAGGATACGAGAGATGACCCGACCGAAAAGTTCCGTAAGCAGCGGCTTGTTATCTTGAGAGTCTCCCAAAATATCGAACAAGAACAGCTTGTATGTCTCCTCTACGCCTTCGTAATCAGGGTTGTTAGTGATTTCAGCTACTACACGCTCGTACTCATGCATAAGGCTAGAGACATTAGCCCTCAAGTAAAAGTGAATATCGTTGTCCAAAGGGACTGACTCGGCGACTGTTAGTTCCATCGCCTTTGCAAACCGCACAAGACACTCCTTAAGAGACGGGAACATGGCGAAGTCATCGGCCTTGGCGTTAATCAAGTAAGCAAGATCTCTATAGAACCCAGCCATGAACAGCGATAGGCATATACTATAGATAGTCACAACTGGGGTATCCAGTATGCCTGCCAGTGTGGTTGAGCCCTTGGTGGCAAAGGTCGAAGCTGCATTCAGCTTAGTTAATGAACTGGCTCCGGGCCCTTTTAGCTGCGTCAAGAAGCGTGCTATGTACTGAATGTTTGGATGCTCACGCCACTCTAAGTACGATGCCCCTGTGCCAGCAATGGTAGCTTGAATCATATGTCTGTACTTCTCATTCAGATAACATAAACTGGGTATATAGCGCCCCGCGGGCGTGAGCAGCTTATGCCATTTCTGCGTACATAAAAACATGATGAATCCAAGCGAGTCAAGGAAGTTTAGAGACAGGGCCTGGCCGTGCGAAGACCATTCAGAAAGAGAGTCAATAAGGCTGCTGATAAGCCCAACCCCTGTGTCTTGATTGAGGCTGGAATAAGTGCCAGAAAAATACGCCACAGAGTCACGGATAATTTTTAAAACAACGCCGGTTTGGTACTTAATATCGCTATTCATGGTAGTGGGAACACGGCTGTGCCTTTGGCCAGAAGGACCCAAGTGGTGGGTATTGAGGACTTCAGTAAACGACTTTGTCGTGACACTGGCTGTGAACCCTAGTGCTTGATCTATTTCGGCGCGCCTATTCATCCACGCATCATAGCTGACTTCTGAAGACTGCCTGTGAATAGACTTTAGTGTCATAGAGGACGCTTCCTCGATAATGCTATTCTCTATTACGTTTGTCTGCTCCAATTGAAGGTCCTTGAGAAGACGCATTGCCTTTGGACAGATAGTTGAAAGCCCAGCGGCGCCAGCAGGACCCGCCTCGGTAATAGAGTGGTTCCTGCTTTGATTGTGTGGCTCGGTCCCTCTTCGATAGAGGGACAAGCGCTTTAAGATCTCTCGCGAAGACTCACTATTGTAGTCTACACGTGGTTGCTTTGTGGAAAGAAATTGATGCTTTGGAGCCGGAATAGTCGCTATTGTGGCATGGAAGCTACTCAGCAGCTCAGAGTTTAGCATTAATGGCCAGAGGGCAACCAAGAGAAAACTAAATTTTTACCCTCTTCACCTTCATTTTTGCTAACTGTATTTCTGGATGTAGCCTCCTGATATGGTTGGTTAGAAAAGTAGCTGCAGAAAGTTCTTTGTGACAAACGGGGCACTCGAATTTGGGACGTTGATCCTTCTCTGCAGAATTGCTTTGAGAGGACTTGGCTATCATGTTCTCCTTCCGAGCAAGCTGCTTAGCCTTTATCTTGGCGTATGTAATATTTGATGGGGCAGCTATTGTGGTATCTTTAATCATCAAGTTCTGATAAACCTCTGGATAGCAGGCCTTGACGTGCCGATTGAACCGTCCCAATGTATCAAATTGTCGGCCACAGCAAGGAGCAATGCGGTATATTTGAAACATGTCTATATGTCTGATCTTGGCCTTGCTAATGCCTAGGATGGAGTAGAACGTGTCTATCTCCGCAGCCACTAGAGAACTACTGCGCGGAGAGAATAGCTTGTGCAGAACAACCTTCGACGGTTTGTTCATTGTGATCATGTCACAAGGCTCACAGAGCTTAGGGATTAGGGCGGGGTCAAGCTTGTAGCTGCCAGTGAGTCCTCGTTTTGCCATAATGTCAGCTATGTTATCAGCGGAGTGTTCCGCATGCAGCCCCTCTAAGAGATTGAACTTGCGAAGAAGCTCAGGGACTTGATTCCTATGCAGACTGTTAGCATGACTGTGCAGATAGAGAGTGCACGGCGGTAGGTTAACCGATTGTGTTGACAAGCACATGGGACAACGGGCCTTGGTGTGAAGGCGTTCGTGAGCCGCCGCCTTAGTTGTAGAAGCAAACAGCTCAGGGCAAAAGGAACATCGAATAGGGTCTCCTGCCTGTGGGTGCGTGTGTGCGAGGTGCGCTCTAAGTTGTCTCTCGTTGGAATAAGCCATTTCGCAGTGGCCGCACTCAAACATCAGTGCTCCCGCGTGGATGTTGAGATGGATCTCCAGTTTCATTGGATCATCGACTTCTAGGCCACAAATATAGCATGAGAAGCCATAGCTTGCCATATGTTGACCGGTCACTTTTTGTGCACAGGATAGGTTGATCATGCTTCTGGCACATGTGCATGCATAGAACTTCTAATGACCCTTTCCTTTTTGTGCATTCTTGAGTAGTATCGCAATACGGTGAACGGCCTCCTCATTGTGGACACGTTTAGCATGTGCCAAGGCATCATCTCCATTGACATCCCGACAAGCCACCTCCCCAGCGAAAAGGTAGATACGCTTGTACCACCCATTCCTTACGTAGTGCATGAGCGCCGTTTGGCCTAATGTGTCTTGCTGGCCGACAAGATGGCGCAGCTGCTCTAGTTCCCAGTCATTTCCCGTTGCAGCGAAGCCAATCCAGGCATCTATGTCACTAGATAACGAGCTCTTATCGGTGTTGCTCATTGTTAAACCATAAATTTTAACCTCAGCGGTACTCTAGCCTCGATCAGCACTCAGCCTTACATACATGCACAGTTGCAATCTTCTTTCTTTTCTGTTTATAATTGGCTCCATTTTCATGCAGTCCGAAGAACAGCATAAGGAGGTTATCGGTAGGGTGTTGGGACTTTTCTCTGAGTTGACTGCAATGCAAGATTTCTCTGAGACATATATGCAGGACTTCTACAAGGACCAGAACAATAGCTGGATACCCGAGTTTAACGACAACATGTTCCATGAAATATATAGCTATATCTTAGATAAAATGAATATGATGCAAGAAATCCAGCAACTACTTACCAACCCCTTAAAGAATATCGTCGCAGAGAGCGTCGTTGAGCCCTTTGTCCCTCCTATTTTTGAGAATCATCGGTCTTTGACCAGCAACAAGCATCGCACCTATGCCTACTCCTACCCTACCAGTGTTGATATCTCCCGGAGCTGTATACTGTACCCTCCCCCTACTCTCTGGAAAGGACAGTCTTTGTACCTAAATATCATGCGTCCCTTCAAGCAGCTGATCTCCAACGACATATCTTCCTTTCTAAGTGTGGGGGAGCAGGCCTTCATCATCGGGGCAGAAGGCGACGTGCGTATTTACCCCTGCCAATCACACACATATAGAAATGATGGTCGTTATACAACGCTATTTAGAAGCATCTACACCCTGAACACCTCCAAGTATTTAGATGTGCTGATAGATTCTAGCATCTTAGCCGGTAAAAGGCGGCGCCTTGTCAGCCGTCTCATAGCTGCCACTATTATTAATAGTTTCCGCGAAGGTACGAAGATACGAATCTTTACTATCAGTGATAAACTCACTAAGATTTACGAGGGGTCGAATACACTATTAAATATTTCGCTACTCTGTGACTACGACCATGTCGACGGATACTATGTAAAGCACTCCATCCTACTAGCGTATCTGTCGGAGCTCACATCTCAAACAGAGTTAGTGACAGTAATCATCTCTGGCGTCTATAGCCGCTCCCGTAGATTTCTTAGGTTTACTGTCCCTCCAAACTTGGACATCTGTCTCATTCAGACCCAATCTAATTTAGAAATAGACTGGCTTTACAATGCAGAGACCATGCAATTTCTTGCCAGGTACAACTTTTCTACTAACGGCTATAGCGCGCCCTCAAATATCTCTCAAGAAATAGCTCTAACCTGTAAGTTTTTGCTTGATCTTTCTAAAGGCCAAGGTTACACTTATAGCGACAGAATTAATGAAGAACTTAAACGCATCTCTTATCAATCAACAGAGTGGTTGAAGGTGTTCTACAACCAGACTTCCTTCACCGTGCTCAACTTCACACGCATTACGCACGAGTGCATCACCTCCAACAAGTGCGAGTATCGAACAGCCCTAGAACCTGTCCTCGCACGCTACCGTGCTACCCACACTGTACTGACGCCGCCTACATCAATTTCTAGTGCCCATAATTATCAATTTATGCCGTTCATTGTCACCCCGCTAATGTTCGGCGGAGACTTTATTGGCATTGTAGCGTGTTCTCTCAATATGGATGCTCTCATCTCTCTCTCTAAGCTGAGTCTGTTTTATTACCTCTATGGCTCCATCAATCTCATCAACTTTGCTTCCCAATCTATCATTTACACCAGTGACTACGGTGATTGGGGCCTGCTAAGAAACTACACAGATATCTACAGCTCCAAAACGCTCATCAATCCTAAGTTTTCCAAGACAAGTCAGGTGTCCCAGCTATTCAGCGTCTTCTTGCAAGCTCAGCAATATGCATCGGTGGATCTCAAATTAGAATCGGCATTTGTCTCAGGCATAAGTCTAGACTCGTTCCTCTCTAGTCCTGCAGAGAAATCAACAGCGTCTAGGTGCTACTCTAGTGTTCTTTATGATTCAGATTTGTATACAGATCCCAAGATCATTTACGATCGATCATCCAAATTAGTAGTTGAGGACCAAGGCAGGTACGAGTCTATCGAGCAGAAGAGTTCTGTAAGCAGTTACAATTATGTCTACTTTGTTTGTCACCTCTTCAGTCCACTCTCGCATAATATAGATAGCACCATTTCCTTATTCTTCATTACATCCACCGTTAACTTTCTGCCCAATACTTTGAAAAGAAATGTGCAAGTCCAGGATCTAAATATATCTACTATGAATGATCTCCTGAAGAAGATTGCGTTGAGTTCGGAGCAGGAACAGAAGTTCACAAACGGCTTATCATTTGAGCTATCTACCGACTTGATTGAAGTGTTTATTAACGGAACCCCGCTCTATGCGCATAACTTCCTTGCAACATATAGGAATACTTCCAGAATAATCAGCGCCTTAAAGAATATCATCCTAAAGCCAGACGTTACAACGCAAATTCTTACAGAAGGCATTGAGCTTAGCGTTAAAGAGTATGTCTATAGCTACATGCGGTTAACGCTCCTGTACCTCAAAAGCATCTTTTCTCAGTATGTCAGCAGCAATGCCTTCCAAACAACTTATAGCAACATACCAGAGAAGATATGCTCATCATACTTTTGGTTTGGCAGACTTTGCGTCTCCTTGGGTACGGATTCAAGCGCATTTGTCCGCACGCCTTTGATGATCTCTAAGTTACAGAAGGCCGCGATAACAAAGGGCCCCATAAGCTTCTACACAGGCAACCCAGCTCTCTACTCTGTAGAGACATGTTTCATCACAGTGTATCCAGATGCGTCCATTGAACGGGGTATCACTATCGGGCGAGGTCCTTACTTTGATTTCGGTAAGATTAAATACACACCTACCTTACTCTCGTATCTGAACAGGACTATCAGGACCGCAATACAGGCAAACGGTGGCCAATCAAGATGCGTTTTTGATTGTGTTGCTGAAAAGGAACTCCAGAGCTTTAATCCGGCAGACTTTAACGCAGACAGCATGGTGCTAAACGCGTGTGTTGGAAGTGACCTCATCTTGAGACTGGACAAGTATGGTACCATTGGTTCTCCGGGGTTTGCTTATGAAACAGTGTACTTAACAGATCAGAATACCGTGTACGATTCATTTATAATATATTTAAAACATTCTCACCCATTCACAGGCCACTTGCACATAATGAGCACCTTGCATATTAACTCTCTTAAGTTTTATAATACAATGAACAAAGGTCTTGCAGCAGAGAATCAATGCAACTATCCTAATTGTAGTATTGTTCTTTTGAATGATAACTTATACGCAGTGTACAATAAAGAAATAACTAGTGTACCTAAGTCAAAATTGTATAGCCACACACGCAGTGCAGAGGTTGCAAACGTATTCTGTAGGAACGGTGTATATGACTTGTCGTTTAACGGAGTTGCATTCAACAGTGGAGTGGGGTATATAACACCATTACTATGCTCTGGCAACATCTGTGTGCAGTACGCCATGACCCCCGACATACTGACCTATGCTATCAATCTGTCAGTTCTCGGATTGAACAAGATTGATCGCGTCTTGGGAATAAGCAAGACGGGCCTTTACTTATACTATTCCAGTAACGACAAGACATCAGTTATTAAGCGCTACGGTCAAACGCTGTGCCTGAAGTCCTACACAGTCCTTGAGGATACTCTTGCATCACTCCTATCCAGTGCCCACGAGTTTAAGTACAGTAATAAAAACATCACCATCACAGGGTACAGAATAAGCGACACAATCTCTGGCAGCATGGAGCACATCCCATACTCTCTCTACATTTCATACTCGTCCGTTAAAAGTATCGCATTTACTGCCATTATGACACTGATTGGGCTCATACTTGCACTGCTAAGCACTCAAACGATGATGAGAATATCTGTAGACGGCATTCGTCTACACATGTACTTAAATAGCCTTATAGAGCAATAGTACTCTACTCGTTGTCCTCTGATGGCGGAGGCAGTGAGACTGGGGTTACATGGTTTTTGAAGTGTCTTCCTGCGATAGGTGCATCGTTTCCGAAGCTATTAGAAAGCAAAAGCCCGTTCCACACTGCAAACTCCGCTATCCTGCCAGTGAGATCTATAGAGCTTGTTATAGTAATTCGGGAGTCGGAATGTATATTCTTAAGCACCTTTTTCCACAATATAAGCCGGATGACACGCGGGTAACTGGCTAAAAAGAGATCTCTAAGTTGCACGAGCGTCACTGCTGCGAATCCTGGAAGCTTTGCATCACCAGGCTTCGCCACCTGAAGCATATCTACCTTATAATCGTGGAGATATGTCTTGATGCGCCTTGCAATGTACCCAGCAATGACGTATACTCCTATCTTTGTTGCTATGTAGAGTGAGCCAGCAATGGATACCGTGCATTGAAGTATTTTTCCTAGAGCAGCAGCGGGATCTCTATGAAACCAAAACTTGAACTTGCATTCTAGACTAAATCGTGGCAACGAGTGCGTGAAAACGTTTGTATTGGATAAAATATAGATGTATTGCTTATGCATGCAGTCCTGGAAGGAGTCATCTGAGTCACACTGGACTACACTGCGTATATTTCTGGCTTCTTCCGGAAGACGGAACTTTATATTTGGTGGTAGATATACTTCATTGTCTGTTCCTTCGTGCAAAATAGCCTGTGTAAGAGCCTCAAGTACATCGTTTTGAAGGATATCAGTATAGGTTGTCACCAGATCCTTCAAGGAATCTGCGCTAAGTATGCCATTTGTGCTTGTTTGATTGACCACCGAAAATATCAGTGAGTTGCGACGGAGAAATCTGCTGATGGTCCTAGTCTGTAGTAGAGGTAGACTAGTGTCCACTGTGATTTTGCGGCCTCTAGACCTGCAAAACAGGCTGCCCTTGTATGCCTGAAGCTCATGATCAAGAGCCTGGAGAAGAGAAGATAGTTTTGTAGTCACCCCACTTGCTCGCTGGCAACGCATACGCCTACGCAGAACAGGGGCGCGTGTCATAAAGCCATAGCTATACTGTATTTGAGATAAGCTATAGCTATCATCACCGTTGATGTCTGATGACCGTGATGCAGCGTCACTCATATGTTTGTACGCACCTGGCATCCAGCGAGCCATGGCGTTGTTACCAATTGCACTGAAGAAGTTTCGTGCGGAAACAAAGGAGACTTGGGGGTAAAATGAATTATTGGAAGGGGCCCTTTGATAGCCAGGCATGCAAGACGTCAGGAGTCCACCTGAGCAGGTGCCAAAGGTCGGACATGGCTCTGTAATACCATACTGAGCAGATGTGTGTGTCAATGTCTCTGTGTATACCGGACCAGAGAAAATGCATGCGAAAAGTACGCTGATTACGTGCGAAATGACGGGTATCTGTGGCTTTACCGGGTCTGAGGCAAGGGAGAACAACTGATATGATACAACTAGTAAGACGAAAATGAAAGACAATCGAACTAACGTAGGATGTGAGTGTATGGTAGTCTTGAAATTATAGGCATTGTGTTCATCCTCGTACTGTTTGCCTTTATACAGTGGCTGTGTTTCTTGTAAGAGTGTGTCACGTCTCTTGGTTGATTTGTGTGTAAGATTCTTGTCTGGAACGTGCACGGTTGACCCACGGTGACTATGTACACTTCTCTCCAGCTGCACACGTCCATATGCAGTGTGAGAAGCATCCCTAGGTATAGATGATGATCCTATGTGAGGGTACGGGTTTGTAGGTGCCTCTATTCTGATGGTGGGGGTTTTGACCGGAAACTGCCCGGCACCTTCACTCTTGCACAACTCCTTCTGGCTCTCGACACGTTTTTCTTTACTTTTACTTCTGTGCCTCTCGCTACTTTTATGCTTTTTGGTTGTGTTCTTGGAACTGTGCTTCATCTCTGCATGGACTTGCATCTGAGAGCTAGAGTGCTTATCCCTACCTTTATCTATATATGATGATTTGCGGAGCACAGACCTTGCTATCTCTTGTTGGTCAACAGGAGATACTGTCAGAGTTGTTTTAGATTTCTCAGTCTGAGACTTTCCATCTAGTTTAGAAGAACCAGTAGAAGGTGCTGAAGCTGTACTATCCTTTCGCTCCCCTGGAGTCCGCTCAACTCCGTACGGATTTTTCATCCTTTTCAAAGGTGACACGGGCTTGGCAGCATCTACTTCGTTTTCACGGACAAGTTGCTCATGTAATGCATAATCGTTGAAGGCTCCTGTGAAGTCAAAGGCAGACTGCGTGAGATCACCTCTCCCCACTTTGCTATAGTTTAAGTTCTGATTTACGGCAACAAGCTGTTCATCGATAGCATCTACAAACCCTCCGATATCAAAAGATTCTGATTGCGGACGGCTTCGTGGCCCCCTACTAACAGTTCGTAAGTAGTTTGAGCGAAGCTGAGCAAACTGCTTTATTAGGGTCGCCTTGGTTGCGCGCTCCTCAGGGACTCCACCAAACTCGGTAATAGCCCTCTTGAGGTCAATGACACGGAGCCGAGATGGATCTGTGTTGAGGTAGTCGTTGGGGTCCATGACGTCTTTTTGCTTATGGTTTACAAAGAGATGTTTCGCTTATGATTTGCGAGGTTTAGGAGTCTTGTTGAAGATCGGTATCTAAAACATCTACTGCGTCTGTATATCCTCTCTTTAAAGCCCAGTCTCTAGCACTCTTAAGATCAGCAAACTGTGCATGCTTGGAAATCTTGGCAACAATATCTTTGCTACATCGTGCTATTGCCCGTAGAAGAGTAAGGGGAGCGGAACACTCCTCGGGGACATGCAAAAGAAGATCGATGGCAGCTGGATTCTGGCAATCGAGCCCCCATGTCAGGGCAGTCCAACCCATGAAACAGCGAATGCCAACTTCGTGTTCTAGAAGCAATGAAATAATGTCTACACTTCCGCGTTTGGCTGCATGCATGAGAGCTGTGCAGCCAAAGTTGTCCTGTATCTTGGCTTCACACGGGGCGAGGAGCCGCGTACACTCCAGCTGCTCATTCATGACTGCCAACATGAGCGCAGTATAACCGTGTCTATCCTGCTGCCCCTTTTGTTTGAGGTATCTTTGAACGCTCTTCGCATCTCCTTTTATCGCTGCAGACATCAAGAGCGTATGCTCTGTGGGTGGGACATCATCTTCAAAAATGGACCGCACGACAGCTGCAGTCATGGGCGGCAAAGTTCACTACAATTAATTTTACCGCTCAACTCCAGTCAGCAAAGCGAAGCAAGACAACCGAGAGTTACACATAGCACACACGTTCAGCTACGCATTAGCGTAATGGTACCTAAGTAGATTTAAGTGTAGACCCGTGGACTCAGTCTCTATGGGAACCCTTGTCCTTAACGGCATGCTTCTTTTCGCGCCACTCCCGCATTTTCTCCCGCTTTGCAGCTGTTGTTCGTTCTGTCCGCATCTTTCGCCGCGCCTTTTCTTCCTTACGCTGCCGGTGGTGCTCGTCTCTCTCTGCCTTCAACTCTTTCACAAACTCTGCTCTCTCTGCCTGCCACGCCTCTTCAGTTGCGAAATGTTCTGGGGTCTCCTGATGCGCCATAGCTTCTTCTTCCGTTTTAAACTTCAGCTTGCAAGACTGACAGTAGTAGTACTCATCTTCATCACTATTTTCAAAGAGGTCATTGAATTCATCGAGTATGTAAAGGTGCTTCTCTTCCGCTGTCAAGGTAGCTGGGTCTATCTCGTCATTGCTACTAATGTCGTCACTAATCTCAGGCGTGGGATCTTTAGGTTTGGACAGTTGTTTCCAGAGGGACATTTGAAGCTTGAGTTTTTTGATTTCATTTATTCTACTCAGGCGTCCTACGAGGCAGGGATCTTGGAATATTCAGCCGCATCTCTAACGCTGAACCATATGTTGCAGGTTATAGATATATGTTTAGCTTTTACTGAACGATGTGTTCACTAACTATGCACATAACGGCTAATATTAAGGAAAAGGCATCAAGTATATGAAGTACACCTCAGCGTACTATGCATAGACGCAAAAAGGCTTGCTTCTAAATGCCTACGAGTCTTCTACAAATAAAAGCTCTAAAGTTACCTTGTTACACTTGGGACAAACAGGATTGCTGGCCAGCTTAACAGACCTCTTAGGGTCAATAATCATGTGGCAGCATGGAATGGCGATTGCTACGGGGACCCCCGGCGGAGGCAACACAGGACCCTTAGGTTTAGAAGCGTTGGCATTAAGCTGCTTCATGAGCTTCATGAGCTCATCTGCAGTTTGCTGGCTTGCTGTGCAGCGTATTTGAAGTTCTCTGTGCTCTTGTTCGCATGCCTGGAGTTTTGCTTGGAGCTGGGATATTTCCTGTCGCTGACCTCTTACCTGTGCTATGAGCATAGTGCTTGTCTTGTTCCTTACTGCCTCGTCAATACTGTCCTGCGATGCCTGGGCTGCGTGCTCGTCGAGTAACTTGGTCTTTGTTCTCATGGCGCTCAGTTCATTTTCCTTAAGGATTACACGGCGTTCTAGCGCATAGTTAAGCTCCTCTAGGCCACGTATCTCCAAGTTCATTGCATCTATTTCTCGCTGCTTGTCATCAATTTGCTCTTCAAGAGAGTGCAGCTCTAGAATCCTAGCTTCTGCACTTTGCTTTGTGTGTGTTGCTGCAGTACCCTGTAATTGATATGAGTCGCTGTATATTTGTCTAGTTGTATCGGCACGGCTTAGCTGCGCTCGGTACACTTCGCACTCCTTCTCCTTAATCCGAATCTGGTCAGAAAGCACGGTTAGCTCCTTGATAAGGTCGTGGATATCTGCATTAACTTTGCGTATCTCTTCGCGTGTATTTGTATCTGCCTGTGAGTATGCGTGGCTGAGCATTGACCTTCCATCTGCAGTCACATTGTCTTCTACGGATATGCTCGTCAAAGACGGTGCGTCATCAGCTGGTGGGGCAGGTATGCTGCCTTGCATCTCTGAGCGGGGCTGTGCAACATTTTTATAAACCAGTGGACGGGGCAGTGTTCCTGCGACTGGTGTGTGCTTAATAAAGACATTAGATATTGGGCTGGAAGCTATGCGTGGGTCGTCAATAATGTATGTCACGGGTTTCTCTGCAGTTGCATCACTTTTCTTCGGAGTGGCTTCTGAGCTGAGTGGAGAAAGATACTTTTGGGCTGTCTCCTTCTGCCATGAATACGGCTCATTGAGTGATGGGGTCCCAGTGGCTGACACCTTAGCATTCCAAGAGGAATCGGTGTATTTTTTAGCCAAGCCCACGGCATCTACGGGCTGCAACTTTATGTCAGCTTGCTCTACTTTTTCTACTTGCTCATCCAATGAAGTAATAGGATCAGCCTGCTGAGGGGGGCTCCTATCTTTTGGTTGGGCAAGGATGTAAGGCATAGGTATTCCAGACGATTGTCCCTCCTGCGTTGACACCATAGCATCCGTCATAAAGGAAACAGCAGTTGAGTCTGTAAAGGAGGTTTTAGATAAGTTCATAGATCCTCGTTTGCTGGGTGAAGGATCCCGAATCGCAATGCTCGAATCCCTCGTTCGTGACACGGAAGTTGGTGAATGAGTTCGTGATCGGTCTCGTATTGATGCCCTCTGCCGGACAGTCTGTTCACGCTCAGTCATGGATGAAAATGCAGACGTTGTGCTTGCACCCAGGATGCCAGATGACTCTGCAGCTAGGTGATGTATGATCGCAACATCCTCTCCACCGCTGGAGTCTTGAAGCACAGAGGCAGCAAAACGCCCTTGACCCAATAAGTCCTCTTCCTCGGTAAGGATGGCCATGACGCCACTATGGCCGCCAAGCTCTGCATAGTGGATGGCAGCCTTGCCCTTGTTGTTCGTCATGTGTTTTTCGTACTCTACAAGGGTTGCAACGACGGCATCATGTCCTGCCTCCGCAGCGTACATCATGGCGGTCTTTCCCTCGTCGTTCTGCATGCATTTCTCTAGCTCCACAAGGTCGAGAACGACGTCATAGTGACCCGCTTCTGCTGCATACATCATGGCAGTTTTTCCTCTTTTGTTCAGTAATTTTCCTTCTCGAGAAGCCAGAATGCTTACTATATCTTTAGACCCATTCTTGGCTGCACACATCAGTGCAGTGAGACCTTGTGCATTCACACTTCTCGCCTCTAGAGGAGCCAATATTTCCGCTATCTGAGTGTTACCCGCCTTTGCTGCCAAAATAAGGGCAGTGTTGCCCTTCGAGTCTGCTCCTCCTGCTAGATGCTTGTTCTGTTGAACCTGGTCAACATTCTCAGCTCGAACCGCTTCTATGAGAGGGTTGTCAACTGCGTTCATCCCAGTAACAATTAAGTAAATTCTCTCATTTACTCAAGTATTGTAAAAAGTTCACACTGTGTTTTTGTATTGCTCAACTTTGAGAATGTCGGTCACTCTTGCGTAACACTTGGGGCACCTGTCTCGCTGAGGCACCAGCGGGCTCCCTATTGTGACAATCAGGTGCCTGCATGGCGCTATGAGATAGATGTCCGAGCCGGGTGGCCCGTACATCGTGCTCGATGGTTGAGTCAATACACTACTGAGTTGCGTAATCAGCCCACGGAGCTCTGCTGTGCTTGCTTCGATCCGTTCGGCACTTTGTCGACTGTGCTGAATATCTTTCTGCTTGTCTGCGATGGCTTGCCTCAAGGCCTCTGCTTCCTGCATAAGCGCACTGCTGGTGCTCTGGACCACTTGGTCAGACTCAAGTTCGTGGTGGCGTCTTGCAATCCCAAACCTTGTTGAGATGGACGGGTCATTGTTCTTCAGGGCGTCTGTGATGGAGCTCCCCTTAGCTTCTGAGCCAGAATACTCGGTTGTCTCAGTAATTTCTTCTAGCTGGTTTTTCATGATCTCATTTTTTTCGCGTAATTGTGCCGATATGGCAATCAATCTATCGTACTCTTCGCATTTATTAATGTAAATACCTTCTAGCTCTACCTTTTTGGCTTCGCAATCTGTGATAACCTGTTGGGAGTCCTTTATCGTATCTGAGAGAATGTTGATGGCTTCCTTGACAGGGCTTATCGTATTATTTACCAATAGGAGCTGTGCTCGCAAATCCGACGCAGTAGAGGTTACTTCCTGCAAAGTCTTATTGAGTCTCTTCCTTGTGTCTAAAAGCTGCATCCGCCTAGCGTACTTTTCGTCAAGTTGACTTGCATTGCCACTGATCGTGCTCCCCTGGTCCAACAGTTCAGTAATGCTCATCAAGTTATCACCTTGGCCGTCAAATGTGGATACTGCATACTCCCGAGAGAAGGCTTCGGCCCTTTCGGCCCGATTTGCAACAGTGGCCATATACAACAAATTTTAAAACCTGGCTTTACTAAGAGGACTGGAGGTGAGAAAACATGTCGATGAGTTCATCATTACCAGTGGCATCTGCATAGTATAAAGGCCCATGGCCCTCGTTATCAGCAATATCTCCCTCCACATCTTTCAGTAAGTGCACAACACTTAACTGTTCGTTTTCAATGGCATATAAAAGAGCCGTGTATCCCTCTGGTGTTTGCATTCGGGCCTCTTTTGTCATCAGAAGCTTGACTATGTCAGCATAGCCCGATTCGGCTGCAAGCATTAGTGCAGTTTTCCCATCCAGACAAGTCAACCCAACTTCTCTTTCTAACAGAAGGGATGTAACCTCAATAGAATTAGTATTTGCCGCTTGCATTAGCGCTGTGTAACCGTGCTGATTCTGTATCCCGGCCTCGTGTGGTGCGAGGATCTCGACCACCTCATAGTGCATGTTCATTGCAGCCATGTACAAGGCAGTACTGCCCTCCTTATTTCTCTTCTTTAGACAGCTCTTCTTCTCGACCAGTTTCCTTACTAGCTCTGCATGGCCATTCATTGCGGCACACATCAGAGGGGTGCAACCCATGGAGTCTGCGATGTCCCCTTCCTTTTCAAGAAGTAAGTCCAGGAAGTGATCATAGTTCTTGAGGCAGGCCAGCATGAGAGCGGTGGTACCATCTGTCCTTCTCATCCCGATCTCCATGCGTAGCTTATTAGCGTAGGTAACGTTGTTCTGCTGTACTGCTGCCATAAGTGCAGTTGACCCGTCCTTGCGTGCTCGGCGGTGCTCAAGCGGAAGAAGGAGCTCGAACGCTTCTGGAAAGTCCGACTCAACGGAGATTATCAGTGCAGATACCCCGCTGGAAGACTGCATCTTTGCTTCCTTCTTCAATAGCAAGCTGACCATGTCTAGCTGCTTGGTACTGACTGCGCGCATCAGGGCAGTTGACCCATCAACCATCTGCATGCGGGCCTCCTTGTCAACAAGGATAGACGCCGCCTCTATCTGCTTACCGACGATAGCCATGATCAAGGCAGTAGTTCCGTTGCTCGACTGCATCTTGACCTCTTTTGGGAGAAGGATCTTCATGCATTCCGTATGGCCCTTACTGGCCGCTAACATCAGCGCTGTAAAGCCATCGTTTGTAGTCATCCGGGCCTCGGACTGCACCAAAAGCTGAACACAGGCAATGTGCCCTGTCTGTGCAGCAACCATCAGTGCTGTAAATCCGTTGACGTCGGCCATTCGCGCCTCCTTAGGTATCAAAAGCGAGACAAGGCTGTCATACCCTCTCTCTGCAGCGTAGAATAGAGCTGTTCTCTTTTGTGCGTCCACTTTCCCCAAGCATTGCTGCAGGACCTCCTTAGCATCATCCGGCCTCCCTGCACAAATGAGATCGATGGCGACGGACATGGACGCAACAACCCAAAATGTGAAAGTTATTTACACAAAGGCCTCAGGCATTGGTGCACCTTACTGTGTGGATATCGGGAATATATTTCTTGAACTCCCCAATCACGAAGGTGTTCATTGTGGTAGTGGATTTGGAGCACCCAGAGCAGTTGCCGTGCAACTCAATATAGACTACAAGTCCCTTGTCGGTTACTTCGTGCCGCCTATAGCTACATGACCCGCCATCACGAGCTAAAAACGGATTTATGGCGGCTCTTATCAGGAGTTCAGACGCTCTGCGAATGTTATTGGGTGCCCGTGGTCCAGTGCTTAGCATCTCTTGTATAGCTAATCGTAGCTCATCTGGCGTGTGAGGAGTGCTAGGATCAAAGGCCGCGTAGAGCTTATCCTCTATTGCAGAGCGGACTGATGGCCAAATGCCCTGGCTTCTAACTGTAAGAGTAACTCCAGTAGGGCTGATGGACAGCTTTTTAACACCCTTCACTTTCATCAGATCGTTTTGAAGAGAAGGTGCCTCTGGAACTAGCCCGTCGAACGCCATAATATAGCTTCGTGGTTTGGAGCTTTGAGATGACGTAATAAGCAAGTTCCTGGTTACCAGCCCTAGCATGCTGTGCGTAGGTAGAAGTGACAGCATTGCGTCCTGCGCTCTGTACACTTTGTACACTTTAAAGAAAATCGAAGCTGCCCGTATTTATGAATGTCAAAGCCCTCACCTTCATTTCCAAAAAGGCATGGAATAAGAGCTTGCGATCACGCCACTCAAGGGCGCGCTTCTCTTGAACGCGGTAGATAGCATTCTCACGTGCAGTGCGCTTCCACCTGCGAATGAGACGGTAGAAACGGGTGCGTTGCTGCGTGTCATAGTGCTTATTAAGCATCTTAGCCTGGCACCATGAAGCCATGATGCGCGAAAGAAGGTTACGCTTGTAGTGTTCATGAAGATACCTGTAACACATTTCGAGCCTTTGATGCCGCTCCAGGATAGCTGTATATGCACTTAGCATACGCCGACTGCGCTGCTGCTCTTCTATTAAAAGCAGCCCAGTGGCGAGTGCTCTGGTATGAATGTGCCAAATCCGGATAAGATATCGCTTCTGCAAGGCTTCAGCTTTGATGAGCAGCTCTTCCTGATTAATAATGTACTGATCTCTCCACCCAAAGAAGGCCATTTTCACCAAGACCTTCTCAATCCACATCTCCTGGATGACGCGCCGATTACGCTCTTGTCGAGTTCTCTTCAAGAACGCTCTCAGATAGAAGCGCCTTTGGAATAGCATCACTAATGCACAGTTCTTAGCATCTTGCTCCCGGTAAGCTTCTATCAGTGTTGCAAATATCCTCTTCACAAGAGCGCGATCTTTGGCACGAGCATGCTCAATTGCGATCTTCTCTAAATAGAGGTCCTTATAAGTAGTGCGCAGATGGCGAAGCGCAGTTGTACAGAGACGCCGATCTATATTTTGTTGTAGAATCATATACCTTTTCCGCCTTGCCACAACCAAGTTGTGAAGCATTAGTAGAACGAGACGTGCTCTCCATGCATTCTCCAATCGGGTGTTGGCAATAGAATTCTCAGAGAAAAGAAGGAACCAGTTTCTGAAGGCTACACTGGCCACTCTATGGTTTATCCGGATGGCCAACTCCACTTCTGCCTGATTCAGATGACGCAGACGCCGAGCCCAAGTCCAGAAAGCTCTCCTCTGAAAGTAGCTCTCAAACAGAGCCCGGCTATAGCACACCTCCTCGACAACGCCGGTGTGCCAAGAAGATATGCACCTGTGTAATGTCAGTGAATCCCTTCGCGTTTGAAATTGGAGTACCTTAATCCCGAGTTGAAGATTGGTCAGTGCTCTATGTAAAAGATACCTATTTGAAATACGCGAATCGTTGTTTATAAGCCTTACTGTGAAGAAGTGCCATATCATAAATGCGTGCCTGAGCAACCTAACTCTATGAATGGCATCTCCTTTCTCTAAAGATCGTTGTTCACAAGCCAACGAAAAGATGTGGTGCCAGCGCCAGAAAAAGCGCCTGAATATTCGCTTTTGATGATAGTTTATAGCGTCATTAAGTTGGTCTCGTCGCATAGCATATAGAAACCGCCACCTGCTGAATATATCCGCTACTATAGCCTGGTTTCTATTAAGTTGCCGCGATACACTGCGCTCTCTGAGGCCACTAGCAGCATGGTGGGCCATCAAAGTGCCACGCTGTCCTAACGTGAGACAGTCATCTAGTGCTTCAAACAAGCTTTCCGGACAAGACGGGTCGTTTGTTAATGTGGTGTAGATATGATCAATTATTGCCTGAGGATCTTCATGCTGCCTAAGCATATGCATCACCGAGTCATAGAGGTCCTTGTTATACCGTGGAAGAGTGGCAGCAAACAGATTGAGTCCATTGTATAGAGAGACCCTTAGCTTCCAAGCATCAAACGCCCAAATCAGCAGGTTGACTTGGTGTTTCTCTGCTATGTATTCAATTATTCTTTTCTCCATCAGCTCTCTACGCCACAAGATTAGTGCTTTGTGCTGGAGTCTCTTGAGGAGTACCTCTTGCACGCTCAGTAGGCGGTGAGAACGACGGGCAGCCCACTTGATAGCCTGGAATGCCTTTTGAAGTGCTCTGCGACGATGCTTGGCCTCTAAGTACCGTTGGTTTTTATGCTTATCTGATTCCATTAGGCTGAACAACTGCCATCTTCTGAGGCAATGCATAAGAACATGGTTCTTGCTATCAGGAGCCAACTGAGAGGATAGGTGATCAATATCGACGTCTCTGAGATACTTCAAAGGTCGCTTATCGTGTCGATAGTAGTCAGACAATCCAACAATCTTCTTAATAGTTCGCAGAGTTGGGCAATCGTTGAGAACCTCTGAGCGCATATCTCCAATCATTGCCCCGAGGGCCAAGAGCCCCAGAGCAGCGTAGGTAGGGTGCTGCTTGTTAGGTGGTGCTTTTATGAAGTATGAATTAGAACAGTTGTACGGTGTATCTAACAAAAGACTGAATCTGTATGCTAGGAGCTCACTTCGCCATGCGTTCAAGGACTGGCGCAAAAGGAACTGATTATGTCTACTGGCAGTAACACGCTCCATTCTGCGTAAGAGCAGTGCATATCGCCATTCGCGTAGTATGAGAATCATCCGCCTGTTTTGTAGTATGCCCATAAAGCTATTCCCTAAAGAGTCTGTATAAACGAGCTTTCTATGGAGATCGCTTAATACTACCCGTTGAATTTGAATATTCTTAAAGTGCAGGGAGTCGTGTCTGGCTGTTTCCACAAAGATGATGCATCGCTGTCTCCATGCATTGAATGCCCGAGAAAGAAGCTTATTGGCATCATTAACTGCAAAGCAGGTAAGTAGGGTGTTGTATCCATGAACTTTGCGCCAGGAAAAGAAGGAGATTGACATAAGGAGCCTGTCTCTGATGTGCAGCATTAGGGAAAAGGATAACTCCAAAGACTGAAGTCTGCTCTTCCAGGAAGTCAGCGCTCTCAGAGCTAAGTTGCGCCCCGCAATGGTCTGCATTAGGCAGCCGGCTGAATACATCTGCGAATCCTGTGATGGCAAGTTAGGGTCTAGGTACTTATATGGAGCATTTAATCGCTTGTGAAGATCAAGGTATCGGCTCAGCATAGCATAGAACGCGCACTTCCTAAGATAGCGTACACTCCATTGCCCGTAGTGCAGGTCTGCTAGTGTTGTCTGGGATACAATGGTTTGGTGCTTATCCAGGAGCACATGAAAGATAACGGTAATAACAGTCAGTATCACCCTGTCTCTACGCTCCATCCCGTGGGTATCAAGAACAGGGACAGACATGCGCATGAGCAGTGAACATAGCAGGATGAAGTTCTTATTATGACGCTTGAGTTCTTTATACACCTGCTTGAGCCCTTGCTGTCTAGCCCTCCATGCTTGGAATCCAGATCTCAAAGTGTGCATAACTGCTCTCTGCTTAATAATGCATTCAATGTACAAAAGTCGCTCCGCAGTGCTCTTTTCAAGAATTGCCTTTTGTGAAGCGTACATCTTGTTCTTGTAATTAGCCACAAGCGCATAGAACGCAGTCTTCAAAATGCGAGTATCATCCAACTCAATTAGCATGTTAGACGCGTTAATAAGCATCCGAGGGCCTCGAGTTGAGCTCTTGGGCCTGCCAGGAGAGACGTTGGAAGATTGTGGTTCTTGCTTTACTGTAGCTTCATTAAACAACGCATTCGAACAGGTTTGAAAAGTGACCGTAGATGAAGCTCTTTTACGAGGTAATGACTTGCTGGAAGGATGAGCATTGTAAACCATGTGTGCAGGATATGCAAGAGATGAAAGAGAGGGCGAAGGCGATGGAAGATACGTGCTTGCACTGAAGCTTCTCTGGCAGTTGTTTATGCACTCGGAGTGATCAGAATGAAAACGGACCCCTACTCGCTTTGCAGCTTTTAGCCCTTTCAGCCCTCTAAACAACTTGCGAAGACGACTAAAGATAGCAGCTGCACGAGCATTCATGTACAGATCAAGTGTTTTGCCATATGCCTCTGAAATGTGGTATCCGCGTTTGCCGATATCGATAACAGAGGTTAAAAAGCTAGTGTAGAAGGTGTCAGCGGTGCGCCTCATATTGTGTGTCTGCAAAACAGTCTCGAATGCGTTATTGAAGTCAGTAAACGTGGGATATTTGATTGCTTGTACATGCACGACAAAAGTGTATAAATCGTTCAGGATCTGCTTATCCCCGTGCAGAAGCTCTAGCGTACGGGCGAGAAGGGAAAAGTGGGGTCGAAGATCAGCCGTCCGTGGCTGGTGCATCCTCGCGCCCAAGAAGCGTTTTTTCAGATCATAGTCTTTTTGAAAGAGCTGGGCAAAGTATACGGTAAACAGCATCTACCAGCATCTAGCTGAATGCCGAACTTTCGTCGGTCGATGGCACTTCAATTTACAACCAACGAATAACTACTAAGCAAGTAAGGGTGTGCTATGCCCCAACCCATAGGTTCTTTGTCATACTTTGTATAAAACCATCAAATATGCAGAGTGGCGTCTGTGCCCCTTTTCCAAAACTGAAATTCAAATTACGCTAAAAAACAGATGGCCAACGCAGGCGGACGACAAGCTGCTGGTGGTGTGGGGCAGGCCTTTGGCGCGAAGCCTACTAGTGCGGGAAAGGAGGCAAAGGATGTGCGACAGCAGTATATCTTCCTCAACATCATCGGAAGCGGCTCCTTCGGGAAGGTCCACAAGGTCCAGTCCAGGACGAACGGGCGGATCTTCGCGTGCAAGGAAATCGACTACGCCAAGATGAGCGAGAAGGAGAAGAAGCTCCTCGTCCACGAGGTCAACACGCTCAAGGAGCTCAGCCACGAGAACATCGTCTCCTACATCGACCGCTTTGTCGAGCGCGAGAACGCGAAGATGTTCATCGTCATGGAGTACTGCGAGAATGGAGACCTTGCCAGATACATCAAGCGGCACAAGACAGACAGGCGCTACATCGCTGAGGAGAAGATCTGGTCTGTCTTTGTCCAGCTCCTCCATGCCCTTAACTATTGCCATAGTTTGCACAAGCACGATGATACTGGCACCCACAAAGTTATCCACCGAGATATAAAGCCCGGCAACGTGTTCCTCACACGCGATGGCTCCATCAAATTGGGGGACTTTGGTCTTTGTAGATCATTGGGTGAACTTTCGCAAGCTAAGACAAACGTCGGCACCCCCCTCTACATGGCCATAGAGGTCCTCCAGAAGCAGTCCTACACAGAGAAGGCAGACATATGGTCCCTTGGCTGCGTCATCTACGAGCTCTGTGCCCTGCAGCCCCCATTCGTGGCATCTAACATGGATTCCCTTAAAGCTAAAGTCAAGCAAGGTGCGCGTCCTGCCATACCAGCACATTACTCCAGTGACTTATCAGCTGTCATCGATTCTATGCTCAATTCCAACTTTAACTCGCGACCGTCTGCCGCAGAGCTACTTAATCATCGTAAGATCATTGAGATGTCGGAAAGGATGAAGAACGCTGGGATGACTGGGGCTGGCATGCAAGCTGCAGCCAATCCTCCACCTCCCGTCCAGGCCCCGGTCAGTGCTGCTGCACCACGTGCCGGTGAGGCTCTTGCCGCTCTTAAGAACGAAGCAGCCAATATCGGGAACCCGGTTGACGTAGCTCAGAAGGAACGGGAACTAAAGGAGTGGGAAGAGAGACTTCAGCAGAGAGAACAGCAAATACGAGCCCGTGAAGAGCAAGTCGAGCGCGCTCTTGTTAGTGGCAAGTCCAATGGTGGCGCTTACAAGTATAAGATGTAGATATGTTGTACTGCCTTGCGGTTCGCTATTACTGTAAACAACGCTCGCGAGATATGCGTTCTTGTCGTGTGCAGACCGCAAAAGGGAGAAGCGGACAGTTCAGTTTACAGGTCCGAAATGGAGCTGTCTAGACCCAACTCAGGAAAGTCGCCAACTTCAACGGACAATGGCTTAACAAACGCCCCATATTTCATCTGTGCGTTGAAGTATTTAGTGCCTCCATGAGTCCCGTCGCTGTCACCCACTGGTTCGTCCAAGGTGACTCCGACAAAGTGTCCTTTCCCTAAAGAAGGAACGGGGCCTACAAACGCCACCTCCCCGCGCCTATCTCCAGACAGTCTACAGCGCATCCCAACACCTATCTTCTCTAGAGCTTCTGCCTCCATGGCTACCTCTTTTCGTCTCTGGCGATGCGCATCTAGCACTTGCTTACGGTACTCTGGGTCACTCTTGAATTTCTCTCGGAGATACTGGCGCACGGTCCCGTCTAGCTTGTCATAGACTTCATCAGACATAACGTACTTTTCTATCTGAGAAAGATCGCTTAAGCCTGCTTCTCGAGCGATAGAGAGCGGGTTAGTGTCGTCCACTAGAAGCTCCATCCCATCTCTGGCGTTATAATCTGAAAGAGAAGAAGATGAATCTCCTAAATCTATCACCCGGTCATCTGATACTCTCAGTCGAAGCACCTGATGCTGTGGCATTGTCCCAGTCATCTTATAGATTTGATCTTTGACAGAGCTGAGAGGCTCATTTTCCGCAAACTTGCACTCAAAGAAGCGTTGCTGGAGAAGAGCGTGCCTGACGTGGAGTAAGACCACCATTAATTAAACTTTGGTTCAAAAGTCATTTTATTTATGGTGTGAATCGCTTGCTAGTATTTATAATAATCAGCGATAGGAGTACCCGCTACTGTATGCTAGGCCTTAAGGTACGAGCAGTTTCCAAGCAAATTTTCAAGCCCTAACTTCCGGTAGGAACTCTGCACTGCTTGATGTAATATACTGTTTTGTGTGTGCTAAGCGTGCAGCATCTTCTGTGAGCTAGTCTATTTACATGCAGAACAAGAGAGAAAGAACAGTTTAGTAGAGAAAGACATTCAAGGGAAAAAGCAGAGCAACCAGATCATGACGAGTAATTATCTTTCATATCAACGGTTTCATTAGGACTTAAGTTAGGTGGGCATCAAACTGATTGGTTACCAAGGAAAACTCGAGTCATGGAGGCTAGGGATTAACATCCACCGAAAAATCCCAAGTATCTTTATATCAGCGATACTGTCACTGATCATGCCAAAGACGACTGAGAGTAGAAAAACCTTGTTACCATTTAAGCAAACATACTGGCAATCAATAGCCTAATGGGCAAGTTAGTCATCGCAGGTAAGTGCTCAGCCGCCGATGCAGTGGCAGGATGGTGAGGCACCTCTGGCTGCGTTAAAGATGACAGCGTACAGCAGCTCTAGCCCCTGAAGAAGGCCTTTGAGAGCAACCGAGACTCGGGGGCTGAACAAGGGGCAGCATGGTGCGAAGGGCTAGCAATTTAACCCGGATTGACTCTAGTGCAACACAACAGTTCTCTCGGACCGCTCTTTGCAGTTTGGGATCCTGGGAAGCGAAGAGACCAGGAAGCCGGATCATATCCTTACGACCGCAGGCACAACAGAGGACTGTGCAGGCACCCATTCGTCACACAAGGTAGTAAATCGTCAAGAGGGCTCAAGACAGTTGAATCCCACCAGATCTCTCAGCCGACAGCCAGAATGGCGAGTGTCCCCCTACGTTCCACCAGGCAGCGTCAAACGTAGCAGAGGTCTGCCGGAAATGCGCCAGATGCAGTCAACGCTTTTCTGGGTGTAGTGTTAACAGAATCACACACTACGACGCGTCCCAGACAGGCTCCACCTGGCAGCGGCGCCCCAGAGACGGGCCCCGGGGGACAAAGTATCTTCGGCCCTGTCCCTGCTCCAATGCGAGCGGCCCGCGGACAGAGCCGAGGATGGGGGCCAGTGCTCGGCTTCCTGCTGGTGCGGTAGCGCCGGGAGACCACCGGACCATCGACTCGGCCGCGGCAACCGGCGGAGCGCCCTGGGCTGCTGCTGTGCCCATGCGCCTGGAGCGCGCCGCAGCAGCCCGGGATGGGTCCGCAGACAGGCGTGCCGCCCCAGCCGTCCCGGGGGCCGGCTCCTCGTGGTGGGCGGTCCTGCTCCCTTTGACTTTTCAAATGGAGAACGCAGTTATGGATCCTAGCTCTGCTGCAGAAGGTGCCTTATGAGACGCAGCACAGCTACACCAAGCGGTATCGGGGCTGAACACTCCTTGGGACGGGCTCCTGGCGCATCTGAGAGACGCTCGTTGCTGTGCACTGCCTCTTGGGCTTTGAATGCACGTTGTGCAGAGCTGCAGGGGTCGCCCTTGCAGTTGTCGGTGGACCGTTGATGGGATCATTGAAAGCTCTGGACCGCTACTGGGCCGTGTTGTCCCAGTGCACGTGTGGCAGCTTTGGTTCGCACTGGATGGTCCGCAGAGATTGCAACGGAGCCACGAGGTGCACTAATATGACATACACATTGAGACAACCGCAGTTCTATTCGGCTCAATCCACCTCCTTCTGGCCCTGTGCCGAGATTGCAGATTGCAGAGTAGTGTTCGCGATAGACCCGGTGAGTGTTGATTCCATCAGCGCCTGTGGTCAACGTGTGCCAGAAGGATCAATCAACTGCATCAATCAACGCGGATTGACTGATGTACCGCGAGTATGTTCCTACCAATCTATCAATCGGGCAATGTTTGGCAGTTTTGTTCTCGCGGGGGTACTCGTCCAGATTGCATGGGCAGAAAAAGTAACAGAGCGCGCGGCTCAATGCGCAGATAACACTAATTGCGCAGCAGAAGCATGCAACGTTCTGATCGGTGGTAAATTGTATTGCTCTCAATGTAACACAGGATTTGTTCCTATCAATGGACAATGTGCAGGCAAAGAAGATGCAAAAACCAAGTGTAAAGATACCGATGGAGGCGATACAGCTGATCAGACCTGTGGACAGTGCGCTGAGCAGACTTTCATGTACAAGGGCGGCTGTTACGAAGCAGCCCAGCAGCCCGGACAGACCATATGTCAGGCGGCAGAAAATGGAAAATGCACACAGGCTAAGGCTGGATACTTCGTGCCGCCGGGCGCAGACGCCTCTCACCAATCGGTCATACCGTGCGGAGACGAAGAGGAAATAACGGTTAAGAACGATAAAAAGTACAAGGGCGTAGTGCATTGTACTCAGTGTAACGCTCCCGCAGAAGCAGCAGATGCTAACGCCAAGGCCGCCACATGTACTGCGTGCGGCGATAGCAAGATCGTCAAGACGGCCAAGGACCAAGCCACCTCCTGCGTGACAGAAAAAGAGTGCACGGATGCCCCAGGCTTCTTCGTTGATACGACGAGCGGTAAAAAATGCAGCAAGTGCGCTGAGACATGCAAGACCTGTAAGACCGAGGCTGCGAAGTGCACCTCCTGTAAGGACGACAAGCCGTACCTGAAGAAGGATGACGAGTCCACAACTGGCACGTGCGTTGACGCAAACGGCTGCCCGGCAACTCATTACGTTGATAAGGAAGCAAAGGAGTGCAACACCTGCGTTTCAGGAGGGACGGTGGACTGCACCACTTGTGAGAAAGGCGCCAACGGAGTGGTTTGTAAGACGTGTACGACTGGTACGAAGACCAAGTTTGGCCTTGGAAAGAAGTCATGCGTTGAGAACTGCCCCTCGAACTCCAGCGATGAAAAGACCCCTGGCACCTGTGAGTGCGTCGAGGGCTACGTTCCCGACGACGCGGGCACCGGGTGTACGAAGAAATCCGACCCCCAGTGCAACACCCCCGGCTGCAAGACGTGCAGTGATCCGAAGAAAGACAAGGAGGTGTGCACAGAATGCGAAGACCCCAAGGCCCTCACGCCCACGGGCCAGTGCATCGATAACTGCGGAGATCTGGGAGGCTACTACGAGGGCACCAACGAGGGGGGCAAGAAGGCCTGCAAGAAGTGCGAGGTCGAGAACTGCCTCCTGTGCAATGGGCAGGGACAGTGCGAGACCTGCAAGGACGGGTACTACAAGAGCGGAGCCGCCTGTGCCAAGTGCGATACCTCGTGCAAGACGTGCGCGAACGGGAAGCCCAACGGGTGTACGAGCTGCGAGCCTAAGCAGGTCCTCAGCTACGAAGGGGAGGGCACGGGGACGTACAAACCAGAATGCAAGCCAGTGAGCGGCGGCAAGGATGGAACGTGCAAGAGCTGCGACCTGAGCATAGACGGGACAAGCTACTGTTCTGCCTGTAACGTGGGCACGGAGTATCCAGAGAACGGTGTGTGCGTCAAGAAGTCGGCCCGCACAGCCTCCTGCCAGGTCGAACCGAGCAATGGTGTGTGCGGGACATGTGCAAAGGGCTTCTTCCGCATGAACGGGGGCTGCTACGAAACGACCAAACTCCCTGGAAAGAACGTCTGTGAGGAGGCAGCACCGACCGGCGATACCTGTCAGACTCCGGCCGACGGGTACAAACTGAATAACGGCGCGCTCATCACTTGCTCGGCCGGATGTAAGACGTGCACCAGCCAGGACCAGTGCGACACGTGTAAGGCTGGATATGCTAAGACTGGCGGTAACACTAAGAAGTGCGTTCCCTGCGCCACTGGGTGCTCCGAGTGCAATGCGGACGACGCCACCAAGTGCACGGTGTGCGCTGCAGGGTACTACCTGTCCAAAGAAAAGTGCATAGCATGCGACAAGAGCGACGGCGGATCCATCACCGGCGTCGCCAACTGCGCCAACTGCGCTCCCCCAACCAACAATAAAGGGCCTGTCCTCTGCTACCTCATACAGAACACCAACAGGAGCGGGCTTTCCACGGGGGCCATAGCGGGGATCTCCGTCGCTGTCATCGCTGTCGTGGGGGGCCTCGTGGGCTTCCTCTGCTGGTGGTTCATATGTAGAGGGAAGGCGTGACTTAGGTAGTGAATGCTGTACAGTGATAGTGATAGTGATAGTGCTATGTGGTGTGGGGGTGATAGTGGTGGTGTGGGACTTTTCTTCATGGGCGGGTGCTACAAGACAGAGAGTCAGCCCGGCAGTGACATATGCACAGCAGCCAGTAATGGAGTATGCACTACTTGTAAGGCAGATAACGGCCTGTTCAAGAACCCAGTTACACCTCAGAAGCCTGGTAGCGAGTGCATCCTGTGCTCTGATACTAAGGGAGCAGATGGATATACGGGGGTGGCCAACTGCCTCAAGTGCACAGAACCAACTAATAGTCCAGGAGCTGCCACGTGCACTGAGTGTCAAGAGGGGTACTATAAAGAGAATAACGAATGCAATCAGTGTGATCAGTCCTGTCTGACTTGCAGTGGAAGTGGTCCGAATCATTGCACATCCTGTAAGGAGGGGAAGTATCTGAAAAGCGATAATACCTGTTCACCTACATGTGAAGGAAACACTTATGCTGACCCTGTGACAAGGACATGCAAGGAGTCTGGTATAGCAGATTGCACCGCGTGTGAGTACAACACGACTGTCAGCAAGCCCCAGTGCACCGCCTGTAACAATAAGAAGGTGAAGACAGAGCTGGATGGGACAACCACTTGCGTCGATGATGCTGGGTGCGCAACAGATAACGTCGACGGATCCCACTTTCTGAGTGATGATAGCACCAAGTGCATATTATGCAGTGATACAACAACAGGAACAGAAGCAAACGACAAGGGGATTGCTAATTGTAAAACGTGTAAGAAGAACGGAGCCAAGCCGACCTGCTCAGCTTGCCTCGACGGATACTTTGGTTCTGATACATGCACAGCTTGCGGTGCCAACTGTGCTACATGCTCTGCTGCTGGCAATGATCAGTGCACTAAATGCAAGCCTGGATTCTTCATGAAACAACCCGGCTCTACTGGTGAGTGTGTTGCTTGCGACAGTAAAGCCGACAATGGCATCGAGGGATGCAGTGCATGCACAAACGATGGCGGTGCTTTCAAGTGCACCGATTGCAAGCCCAACTATCGCAAGGAGGGCAGTACTGGCTCTGTCACATGCACCAAGACCTGTGAAGATGATACTACCTGTGGTGGTACCTCTGGCGCCTGTGATGCCATGATAATAGATGATCAGGGCACCACAAAGCACTATTGCTCATACTGTGGGGATAGTTCACAAGCTCCTATCGATGGTCTCTGTGCTACTGATAAGAATGGGAATACTTGTACCAATAATGTCTGTACATCATGTACTCAAGGGTACTTCTTGTACATGGACGGCTGTTATAGTACTCAGAGTCAACCTGGTAACCTCATGTGCAAGACAGCTAACAACGGGGTCTGTACAGCCGTTAATGAGAATAATAAGTACTTCATAGTACCAGAAGCAAAGCCTACTCAGCAGTCTGTACTAGCATGTGGTAACCCATTAGGCACACTAGTAGATACTAAGGCATATGTGGGGGTGGATGGCTGCTCCCAGTGTACAGCCCCAACAGCTCCATCTGAGGGTGGCATGACCCCCGCTGTGTGTACCTCCTGTGACAGTGGTAAGAAGCCCAACAGGGATGGCACTGGGTGTGTGACATGCTCTGACACCAACTGCAAGAGCTGTGCGATGGACGGTGTGTGTGGGGAGTGCAACAGTGGCTTCAGTCTAGACAATGGCAAGTGCGTGTCCACTGGCGCCAACAGGAGCGGGCTCTCCACGGGGGCCATCGCGGGCATCTCCGTCGCCGTGGTCGTCGTCGTGGGGGGCCTCGTGGGCTTCCTCTGCTGGTGGTTCGTGTGCAGGGGGAAGGCGTGACTTGGGTAGTGAATGCTGTACAGTGGGTGATAATGGGTGATAGAAGGTGATAGAGGGTGATAGTGGAGTGAGATATGCACACAGGCTAGTGATGGACTGTGCACTGCTTGTAAGGCAGCTAACCAGTACATATTCCAGAACAGGGCAGAGAGGGTGACCCCTGGTGGGGAGTGCATCCTCTGTCATGATGCCACGGGAGCGAATGAGAACAAAGGAGTGGCTAACTGCCTCAAGTGCACGGCACCAGCTAATAGTCCAGGGGCTGCCACGTGTACTGAGTGCATGTCTGGCTTCTCAGGAGACTCGTGTGCTACTCAATGCGGAGGAGACTGTGCCGCCTGTGATAAGAGTAACCAAAATCAGTGCACCTCTTGTAAGACTGGGAAGTACCTGAAAGAGAATCAATGTGTGGAAAAAAGTGCATGTAACAACAATCACTACCCCGATGACACTAGCATGACCTGCGTCGCCTGTAGCACCATACAAGATTGCACAGCATGCACAATGGACCAGTCCACGGGGAAGCCAAAGTGCACTAACTGCGGTGCCAGTAAGATCCCCAGGACGACTCTCGACGGAACCTCGACCTGCGTGACAAAAGGGTATGATCAGTGTCAAGGCACAGATAAGGAGCTGTTCATGAAGGAGGACCAATCGGCGTGCTTATTATGCGGAGACAATACTGAGGATACATCTGAGTCCAATAAAAACCAGGGAACTCCTAATTGCAAGACCTGTACCAAGACAGCATCCACTAAACCGGTCTGTGAGACGTGCAAGGATGGCTTCTTCTTTAATACTGGTGATAAGACATGTACAAACAAGTGCGATGCCACCTGCAAGACGTGCTCTGCTGCTACAGATGCTAACCGATGCTTAACTTGTATGCCCGGATACTTCCCCATCGATAGTACAGATCAACAAGGGAAGAAGTGCGTCCCATGCGATAGTGTGGACGACAAGGGTCGCGAAGGGTGCAGTGTCTGCTCTAACAATGGTGGATTCAAGTGTACTGAATGTAAGGTGAACTATAAGAAGCAGTCCAATGGAGATGCAGGGGATGACTATACATGTGTGAAGACTTGTGAAGACCCCACGGCTTGTGGTGGGACCTCTGGCGCCTGCGATGCTATAGTAATCGACAATGATGGAGTAGAGCATCATTACTGTTCTTATTGTGGAAATCAAGGAGATGTACCAATCAATGGTATATGCACCAGCTCACTTGCAAGTAATACCTGCGCCGATGGTGTCTGCAAGTCTTGTGCTCAAGGGTACTTTATGTATATGGGAGGGTGCTATGATGTGTCGAAGGCTCCTGGTAGTCACATGTGCAAGAAAGCAGATAACAATGGGATATGCACAGAGGCGGCAAGTAATAGGTACTTCGTAGTCCCTGGGGCACAGACCACTGATCAGTCTGTATTAGCCTGTGGCAACCCCCTAGGCACACTAGTAGGCACTCAAGGTACCGCTAAGGCATACGTGGGGGTGGATGGCTGCTCACAGTGCACAGCCCCAGCAGGTCTGTCTGAGGGTGGCATGACCCCCGCTGTCTGTACCTCCTGTGACAATAGTAAGAAGCCCAACAAGGATGGCAGCGGGTGTGTGCTGTGCTCTGACACCAACTGCAAGAGCTGTGTGATGGACGGTGTGTGTGGGGAGTGCAACAGTGGCTTCAGTCTAGACAATGGTAAGTGTGTGTCCTCTGGCGCCAACAGGAGCGGGCTCAGCACGGGCGCCATCGCGGGGATCTCCGTGGCTGTCATCGCTGTCGTGGGGGGCCTCGTGGGCTTCCTCTGCTGGTGGTTCGTGTGCAGGGGGAAGGCGTGACTTGGGTAGTGAATGCTGTACAGTGGGTGATAATGGGTGATAGAAGGTGATAGAGGGTGATAATGGAGTGTGATATGTACAGCAGCCAGTGATGGAGTGTGCACTGCTTGTAACACAGCTAACCAGTACATATTCCAGAACAAGGCTACGACAGTGACCCCTGGTGGGGAGTGCATCCTCTGTCATGATGCCACGGGAGCGAATGAGAACAAAGGAGTGGCTAACTGCCTCAAGTGCACGGAACCAAGTGGTAGTCCAGGAGCTGCCACGTGTACAGAGTGTCAAGCAGGGTACTATAAAGATGGTAACGGTGCATGTGTCAAATGTAATGAAGCTTGTCTGACTTGCAGCGGTGAGGGCGCAACTAAGTGCACCCTCTGTGCGGGCGAGAAGTATCTCGATGGGAATAATTGTGTAGATGCTAGCAGTTGTAATGGAGATAAGTACCCCAACCCAAGCACTGGGAAGTGCACAGCTTGTAACGCTGGAGCAGATCAGGGGGGCATACCAGAGTGCACTGCTTGCACGTACAATGCAAAGCTACAGAAGCCGGTGTGCAGTGCCTGTAACGGTAAGAAGGTGAAGACAGAGCTGGATGGGACAACAACCTGTGTCGATGATGCTGGGTGCAAAAAAGACAGCACACACTTTGTTGACGATGATAATACTATGTGTGTTCTGTGCAGCGATACCAGCGGAAACGAGCCAAATAAGAACAAGGGACTCAAAGGCTGTAAGGCATGTACTAAGCAGTCCAGTAGTCCCCCCACGTGTACCGGATGCTTACCCGGATATTACGATTCCGGCTCGTTTGTTTGTGAGCTCTGCACAGGGAACTGTGCCACCTGCGAAGGTGCTAATGCTAACCAGTGCCAAACCTGCAAGCCGGGATACTTCCTGAAAGGAGGCCAAGCACCTGCGGAGTGTGTCGCCTGTGATAGCACCGCCGATAACGGAGTCCCCGGCTGCGCAACATGCACCTTTGATACCATACTAACATGCGACTCCTGCAAGCCCGACTACAAGCTAACAGGGACTGGGTGTCAAAAGGTCTGTGAGGACACAACGGGGTGTGGTGGTACCTCTGGCGCTTGTGATGCCACAGTGATCGATGCTAATGGAAAGGAGCTTCACTACTGTTCCTATTGTGGAGAGAGTGGTAAGTATCCTATCGATGGGAAGTGTGTTGATAACGCTCAAAGTAATCAATGCGCTGATGGTGTATGTACACAGTGTGCTCAAGGGTACTTTATGTACATGGGCGGGTGCTATAGCACTACCAATGCTCCTGGTAAGTCCATGTGCAAGACAGCTGAAGGTGGCAAGTGCACAGCTGCTAATGAGAATAATAGGTACTTCGTAGTACCAGGGGCATCCAACACTGATCAGTCTGTACTAGCATGTGGTAACCCATTAGGCACACTAGTAGGCACTAGTAATACTGCTAAGGCATACGTGGGGGTCGAGGGCTGCTCACAGTGTACGGCCCCAGCAGCTCTGTCTGATGGTGGTATGACTGCTGCTATATGCACTTCTTGTGACAATAGTAAGAAGCCCAACAAGGATGGCAGTGGGTGCTTCACATGTACCATCGATGGATGCTCGCACTGCAATAGAGACAACATGTGCGAGGCATGTAGTGATGGTAAGAAGGTGAGCCCTGGGAGGAAGTCATGCGTGGATGGCTGCCCCAGCAACTCCACTGATGATAACTCTGTCTGTGTGTGCAACGATGGGTACAGCCCTGATGATGCTGGGGCCTCCTGTGTGTCCTCTGGCGCCAACAGGAGCGGGCTTTCCACGGGGGCCATAGCGGGGATCTCCGTCGCTGTCATCGCTGTCGTGGGGGGCCTCGTGGGCTTCCTCTGCTGGTGGTTCATATGTAGAGGGAAGGCGTGACTTAGGTAGTGAATGCTGTACAGTGATAGTGATAGTGATAGTGCTATGTGGTGTGGGGGTGATAGTGGTGGTGTGGGACTTTTCTTCATGGGCGGGTGCTACAAGACAGAGAGTCAGCCCGGCAGTGACATATGCACAGCAGCCAGTAATGGAGTATGCACTACTTGTAAGGCAGATAACGGCCTGTTCAAGAACCCAGTTACACCTCAGAAGCCTGGTAGTGAGTGCATCCTGTGCTCTGATACGACAGATAGAAACGGGGTCATGGGAGTCGCTGGATGCTCAGAATGCTCCCACACGGGCACTAGCGGACCGGCCACGTGTACAGAGTGTCAAGCAGGGTTCGTTACGAAGGACAGTGCATGTGTGAAGTGCGGAGACGGCTGCTCTGCTTGCTCAGCTGATACTCCGACTCAGTGTACCGCCTGCGTTGAGGGGAAGTACTTGAAGGGTGGTAACACTTGTGTAGATGCTGGTGGATGTGACAATGGTAACTATGCGGACAAGAAGACCTGGACCTGTAAGGCCTGCAGTGAGATACAAGGATGCACCGCGTGTGCATACGACGACGCCACGGGAAAGCCGAAGTGCACCGACTGCGGTAGTAAGACGGTCAGAGACGAGCTGGATGGGACAACGACCTGTGTTGATGAGGCCGAGTGCAAAGTGGGCAAGACGCACTTCTACGACGCCTCGAAGTGCGTGCAGTGCGGCGACAATGGTAAGGGCGGAGTCCAGAACTGCAAGCTGTGCACCGCAAAAGGCACCTGCGAGGCTTGTGTCGACGGGTATAAAGTCAACGGAAACGCCTGCGAGGCCTGCACAGGAAACTGCGCAGAGTGCGGAACAGCGGGTCAAATCAACACATGTACAAGATGCATGCCGGGGTACTTCCTTAAGGATGGCCCGCCTAAGACATGCGTTCTCTGTGATGACGAGACAAGTGGGATTCCAGGCTGTGCCGAGTGCACAGGCGGCGTGGGGTCCCTCAAATGCACTGAATGTAAGCCCAACTACAGACCCAGCGGAGAACCTAGCGACCTCACATGTACAAAGACCTGCGAGGATGAGACGGCGTGTGGGGGTACCTCTGGCGCTTGTGATGCCACAGTGATCGATGCTAATGGAAAGGAGCTTCATTACTGTTCATACTGTGGAGAGAGTGGTAAGTATCCTATCGATGGGAAGTGTGTTGATAATGCTCAAAGTAATACTTGTAACAACCATGTATGTACATCATGTGCTCAAGGGTACTTCTTGTATATGGGAGGTTGTTACAAGGTTGATACAGTACCTGGCAACTATATGTGCAAGGCATCAAGTAAGGAGGGGATATGCACAGAGGCAGCCAACAATAGGTACTTCGTAGTCCCTGGGGCACAGACCACTGATCAGTCTGTACTAGCATGTGGTAACCCATTAGGCACACTAGTAGGCACTCAAGGTACCGCTAAGGCATACGTGGGGGTGGATGGCTGCTCACAGTGCACAGCCCCAGCAGGTCTGTCTGAGGGTGGCATGACCCCCGCTGTCTGTACCTCCTGTGACAATAGTAAGAAGCCCAACAAGGATGGCAGCGGGTGTGTGCTGTGCTCTGACACCAACTGCAAGAGCTGTGTGATGGACGGTGTGTGTGGGGAGTGCAACAGTGGCTTCAGTCTAGACAATGGTAAGTGTGTGTCCTCTGGCGCCAACAGGAGCGGGCTCAGCACGGGCGCCATCGCGGGCATCTCCGTCGCCGTGGTCGTCGTCGTGGGGGGCCTCGTGGGCTTCCTCTGCTGGTGGTTCGTGTGCAGGGGGAAGGCGTGACTTGGGTAGTGAATGCTGTACAGTGGGTGATAATGGGTGATAGAAGGTGATAGAGGGTGATAGTGGAGTGAGATATGCACACAGGCTAGTGATGGACTGTGCACTGCTTGTAAGGCAGCTAACCAGTACATATTCCAGAACAAGGCTACGACAGTGACCCCTGGTGGGGAGTGCATACTGTGCCATGATGCCACGGGAGCGAATGAGAACAAGGGAGTGGCTAATTGCCTCAAGTGCACGGCACCAGCTAATAGTCCAGGGGCTGCCACGTGTACTGAGTGCATGTCTGGCTTCTCAGGAGACTCGTGTGCTACTCAATGCGGAGGAGACTGTGCCGCCTGTGATAAGAGTAACCAAAATCAGTGCACCTCTTGTAAGACTGGGAAGTACCTGAAAGAGAATCAATGTGTGGAAAAAAGTGCATGTAACAACAATCACTACCCCGATGACACTAGCATGACCTGCGTCGCCTGTAGCACCATACAAGATTGCACAGCATGCACAATGGACCAGTCCACGGGGAAGCCAAAGTGCACTAACTGCGGTGCCAGTAAGATCCCCAGGACGACTCTCGACGGAACCTCGACCTGCGTGACAAAAGGGTATGATCAGTGTCAAGGCACAGATAAGGAGCTGTTCATGAAGGAGGACCAATCGGCGTGCTTATTATGCGGAGACAATACTGAGGATACATCTGAGTCCAATAAAAACCAGGGAACTCCTAATTGCAAGACCTGTACCAAGACAGCATCCACTAAACCGGTCTGTGAGACGTGCAAGGATGGCTTCTTCTTTAATACTGGTGATAAGACATGTACAAACAAGTGCGATGCCACCTGCAAGACGTGCTCTGCTGCTACAGATGCTAACCGATGCTTAACTTGTATGCCCGGATACTTCCCCATCGATAGTACAGATCAACAAGGGAAGAAGTGCGTCCCATGCGATAGTGTGGACGACAAGGGTCGCGAAGGGTGCAGTGTCTGCTCTAACAATGGTGGATTCAAGTGTACTGAATGTAAGGTGAACTATAAGAAGCAGTCCAATGGAGATGCAGGGGATGACTATACATGTGTGAAGACTTGTGAAGACCCCACGGCTTGTGGTGGGACCTCTGGCGCCTGCGATGCTATAGTAATCGACAATGATGGAGTAGAGCATCATTACTGTTCTTATTGTGGAAATCAAGGAGATGTACCAATCAATGGTATATGCACCAGCTCACTTGCAAGTAATACCTGCGCCGATGGTGTCTGCAAGTCTTGTGCTCAAGGGTACTTTATGTATATGGGAGGGTGCTATGATGTGTCGAAGGCTCCTGGTAGTCACATGTGCAAGAAAGCAGATAACAATGGGATATGCACAGAGGCGGCAAGTAATAGGTACTTCGTAGTCCCTGGGGCACAGACCACTGATCAGTCTGTATTAGCCTGTGGCAACCCCCTAGGCACACTAGTAGGCACTCAAGGTACCGCTAAGGCATACGTGGGGGTGGATGGCTGCTCACAGTGCACAGCCCCAGCAGGTCTGTCTGAGGGTGGCATGACCCCCGCTGTCTGTACCTCCTGTGACAATAGTAAGAAGCCCAACAAGGATGGCAGCGGGTGTGTGCTGTGCTCTGACACCAACTGCAAGAGCTGTGTGATGGACGGTGTGTGTGGGGAGTGCAACAGTGGCTTCAGTCTAGACAATGGTAAGTGTGTGTCCTCTGGCGCCAACAGGAGCGGGCTCAGCACGGGCGCCATCGCGGGGATCTCCGTGGCTGTCATCGCTGTCGTGGGGGGCCTCGTGGGCTTCCTCTGCTGGTGGTTCGTGTGTAGAGGGAAGGCGTAGATGTACTTAGGTAGTAAATGCGTCGACCGTGTTCAAGCTGTCAGGTGTTGTGGCATATACTTGTGAAGCTCGTCTGGTACTGGGATTTATAGACTTCCATCTAATTACCACGAACAGATAAATTTCTAAAAAACTCGCCGCTTGGGACTTCGAGGCTTTTATTAGTTAGCTTAGGCATTTCTAGGCAATGGTCAAGATAGCAAGTTGCAATATCAACTACTGGCACGATTACCGTGGAATATATGTCGGAGAGCAGATCGTCTCGTTTCTTTCGTCTGCTGTTTCCTCTACGGATGTGCTGTGCCTTCAGAATGTATCATATACGCAGCGGTACCTTTCTACTGTGCCAGCGCACTTCAGAGAGGTTCAGCTTTGCTGCTCTCACTTTCATGGAGCAATGGTGGTGAAAGCAGACTGCTCATCTATATCTAACTTTGTCTCGTCTTTAAAGCAACACCTTGGCCTCCCATTAACAGCAGTCATCTCTATTTGTTCAGAAGATAAGAAGTTTGTCATTCCAGGTACCCTTTCTCCTGAGAGTCAACAAACACCTGTTCCAGAGTTGTCCTCCATCCTTTTCATCACAATAGTGCATCCCGGATCATGGGCCGGTGCAGCCTCAATTCATACTAGCAGTGCCCTCAATGCCTTAATAGAAGAGCTTAAAATGCCCAATATCTTCTGCTTTCCTGTGGGGACCAATTCAATGGGGACCGTGCTTCTATCGAGGTTCCCAGTAATGAGTATTACCATCCAGAATCTCTTTGTAACCCCTAGTCATCTTCTATCTGTCCCCGTAGTAACTATACAGACTCCAGACAGTGTTCAGTTTAACCTTTTCATTATCTCTCTCACCAGCGACCATGCCACGCGACGCTTAGAATGTAACCAATTGCAACTCTTTCTACAGACATGCAAAGACTTTCAATCTTGCCCCACATTTCTATGTGGAGAATTCAATGCAATCAATCGTAACGAGTACACCAAAACCCAATGGAATCATATCACAAAGCAACATATAGAGAACGGAAGCCCTTTTCTTGATGAGCCAATTTACGATGAGCTCCTTAAAGATGGGTTTATAGACGTGCTTTGGGGAGCTCCGTTGCAGCCGAAAAGTGGTGATATCTTTATCCATAGCGGGAAGAACAGAAGGACTCAGTATATCTTTACTTCTGCACGTCTTCATGGGTGCACATCTAGAGCTTTATTTAGTCATGACGCCACAACGAAGCTGGACTACATAACAGCCGATATACATATGTCCTTGAGAGCATGCTAATTTACAACGATAGTTACTAGTATTAACGCCAAACCGACGCAAACAGAGACTGCGATACTGGTAGAACTAGCGAATGCACTAGTAATGGTGGTACATTGTTCTGTCTTGTGGTCCCATGTACCTTTTTTGCAGAAGCATCCGACGCCTGATTTTCCTGTGGGCCACCTATTACCAGAGGGACACTGCTGACATGTGGATGTTCCCCCCTTGCTATAGCTGTTTCTCTGACACTGAATACATCCAGCATCTATATTGTCTGCATCTCTTAGAACAAAGCCTGGCGCGCACTCACAGTATTCTTCCAAGCGAGCACCGTCGTGCACCGTTGTCTTATTGGGAGGACAGGGTACACATTCGACTTGGCCAACTTCTTCATTGTAGAATCCTATAGGGCACGGGTCGCATTCGGATGCAGCAGTCTTATTTGAATACGTTCCTGCTTCACACGGCGCACATGTGCCAGAACTGGCTTGTCCACGCTCTCCCGGGCCGCAGATAGCACCAAAGGCGACTATGGGGCTAACTTCATCAATATATGGTTCAGAACTAGGCTCTGCCACTACTTGATCAGGGAACAGTGTTTCCAAGACACTGTATGAAAACAGCTCAACCCCACTATTAGAGATAGAGGTTACAACATCTCCATTGACACTGTTGTAGAACCCTGTATCAAGGCTAGACTCTCGGTTATATAATAGAATAGTCTTTATCACAGCAGCGCTGCCTTCAGTTCTATCCATGTGCTCATGTGCAGTTTCTACAAATTCTTCCAGCCACATGCTCTTTGCCTTCGTGCTGCTAACCATTTCCCCGTGCCCATCATCCACCATGCTTGAGGTTCCACCTATGAGCATGACAGGTTTCCCTGGAGCGAGACTAGACGCAACCCCCATCCCTACCTGAATCGGCTCCCTTGGATCTACCCAGTTATGTATGTCATCGTTGATGAGCTGCAATGCTATCCAATTAACGTAAGATTCTCCCGGGAAATACTCAGACGGTGTATGGACAAGATTGGTAGTATCCAAAGCATACGGATTGCCCTCGACTGCCTTAAACTTTGTAATATCAATATTCCACCCCCAGATAATCCTGTCTGCAACTCCAGCTGCCTTCCCTTTAAGGTGAAGCCTCTTGTAAACCCTGACATACAGCTCTGGGTCTTCCGACCAGTACACGCCATTTGAATTGCAGGTTGTGCCAAAGAAGAGCACACAATAGGATTTCTGCACTGTTCCATTCAGTAGTGTGAAAAAAGCGTCAATTATGTCGTCATGCAATCCATCCTCTATTGCCTGCAATGTGTCCCGATACGTGTCACTTAGTAAGGGGTTCCAGTTGATAACAGGAATTGCGTTCACAGATACGATTGCATTGATCTCGTCTTCAACACTTTTTAACGTTGCACTGGTTGTGGTCCAAGCCACGTCCAATGCTCTAAATACAAGCCGCTTTCCCAAGAAAAGCTCAGTATCAAATGTCTCATTAATAGGAAACCACCCACTGACACTTCCCAACACTGCAGCGCCTGCAAAGACAGGATGGAAAAGCCAGACACATACAAAGGCGATGCTTAGAAGCATAGGTACGTGGATGTTACTGTACATGCTCCGCGTTTTACCTTTATTTTGGCTGATCTACAGCTCCATCACAAAGGACAGAAAGTTGTAAAAAAGAATGTCAGACAAGTTCTTTGGCGGGCCTTTCTTCTATGAGAATTCGATCATTAGTGGAGCACTACTGGTGACCGTTCTACTTCTCGGACTTGTTCCCGTTATCTTCGATGTGTCATCACTATTTCTTCTTAATCCATCCATGATGTTGGAGCAGAACCAATGGTGGCGGCTAGTAACGGGGTTTCTTGTTACAACGAATCCAGACATCCTTTGTCTCCTGGTGTACCTTCTTTACGTTGGAAGGGCCTATGAAGCGGCAAGTGGACGCTGGGCCTGCGCAAATCTGCTTTTGATAGCAGCTCTGGTATCCTGCGGTATAGCCTCTGCCCTCTGCTTCTGGAGCTACTATAGGTCGTACTACATTCCTCAATATGCTTTTGGGCTGGGGGCGGCATTTGGAACAGCCTCGATCTTGACTAACAAGGGTAAGTGGCAGGCCCCAGTGTTTTCAAAGCTCATGATTTACAATAGCACAGGAACCTATGTGGCACTTGTTATGGCTTTCTTGAACAGATTTGCCCTTGAGTCTGCCCTGTTCACTGCTGGTGGAATGTTGGCCGGCTTTTTGGTCGCCAAAAAGGTTCCGCCATTTTATATGTGCTGCAAGTGTTCTCATAGAAGAACAGCTCACGATGTTGATGCTGCGACGAATCTGGTGGAGACTACTACTGAATCTATACTTCAGTAGTGGCATCTCCATGTTAACTATCGATCGGGCATCCGAGAAGTAACAGTCTGCATATTAATATTTTTCCAGTATTTTTGATTGTAAATCAATCTTATCGTTATGATTAAAGATTGTACTCTTTTAATCGGTAAATCAACTTGTCCTTTTACTTTGTGGACGTTGCAAGCTAGTCTTCGTCGTGGCCATAAATAAAAAAGGGTCCATGCCAGGCTGCATTTTATGCCACAAAGAGGCAGAATCATGTTGTACCTTGTGTTTCTCTCCCCTATGTGAAGATCACCTCTTACCCTTGTCTCTACATAAGCAGCAATGCTCAGCTATCCTTCTCAAACGATTTACTGAAGCTGCTGCTCAAAGGGAGGTCAGTGACAATGCATCTCCAATGTATCACGATCTTCATAAATTATATATAGAGTGGGAGCAGGCTGCCACCAGGGTCATGCAGGCCGATGATTGCCTCACTAAGATAGACGCGCTGCTCCAGACACTTTGTCTTAGTAACACCCTATTTGGAAGTGGTCATCCTGTGCCACAGGACGCCCTTGTTAGGTTACTTTCTCTTCTATCAGAAAGATATGTAGATGCCAAGGTGGTCATTGAAGTGCTTGACAACTTGGCCGAGTATCCGTTGAAAATGACGTCGAAAATAAGGTACCTATACAACCTTTTCATTCTATCGTCCGGGTGTGTGCCCTCTAATTTAAAGGTCATAGGCAGTGATAGATACCTGACGGTCAAGCGGAACATAAATCAAGCGATTTTTCTTCTCCTAAATGGTGAAGGGTGTTCAGCTCAGGCTTTGCTAGGAGACTTATTTCACCGTGACCGTTCACCAATTGAAACAGTGGTTTTGCGTTATGCATGGAGCTGCACTCAAACCAACAACAAAAACCGGCAAACCACTCTTTATTCGGTAACCGAAAAAGATCTGGAACAATCTTTTCCTAGGCAGTGTGAGGATGGCCATGTCACTATCTTTTTCATGCAACTGCTGCTTTACTTTACATATTATAATAGCCCATCCAACTACTCTAGTAAAACAGTGCATGACAAGATGGTGCTTGCCAAGTCTATGTTACGAGATACGCTGTATATGCTGCAAGGTGTTTGCACACTGAGCACTAGCATGTTGGCTGCTCTCTACATTCGAATTCTGGCTGTGCTTGTGGAAACATCATCGCTAAATAGTCTCATATATGAGTACGGCAGAGAAGCCAGCAGAATCTTCGCGCAGTTTCTGCTACCTCCGAAGGAGTCGTCCGCACCAGACCAAACGGTAGAAGAGCCTGCTGGTTCCTCCGAGCGAGAATTAGTCATAGATGATCTGGATATGACACCGCCTGTACGCAGAAAGATACATCACAGGCTGTGCTTCTTCCCCAGCGACTCCCTTCCGCCCATGCTAATCACAACAGTACCAAATAACCCCTGTCTACAGGCAGAGCTAGCCTTCAATGTGACTAGGACTATGAAGTCGATACGTGCCTCAATCTCTAAACGGCAGAAAGAACGGTCGCTAGCACGACGCGTAGCCTCGTCCTTTGTCGACCAGCGCATTTTGCCTCTCCATCACAAGAGCCCAAAGGTGAAAGCAATCTCCCAGCATCAAAGTGCACTCATACCTGCCAGCAATTTACAAAAAGGAGGAGTGGGTTGTGAAATGCTTGGTGGAAGCTCATCCAGGGGAAGAGCGGAGGCAAACCTAAGAGTACACGAAATCCTTGCAGACATGAGGCAGGCATACAGAGAGCGTACTAAGGCTTGCAACCTATCGGAAAAAATGACACTTGTATCTAACGATATAGACTTGGACTTCTTAGAACATAAATTGTACAGCTCTAGAATTGAAAGCTTTATCAAAAGCCCCGGAGACCAATACATTGCAACTCTTACTAAGGAAGTACTCTCCCCGTACTCTAAGCAATCTCTTTGTAAGTTTTCAAAAGAGCTGGCTCGTAGTAGAGAGACAAGAAACCCTGATAGACTGATAAGTAGAAATCTTTGCTCTGTGGATATATCCTCTCCAGAATCAAAAGAGGCTTTCTCTGAACCACTTAAAACAATGAAGGGCAGTACATGGATTGCAGAGGTAGACGGGTTATTGGCAGCAACAACTGATGTTATCAATGAGCTCAATGCTTACGAGATTGACGAGTTGAAGTCCGGTTGCGCACAGGTTTAGGGGAAGAGCTATCATCACTGGGCTCCGAGTCGCTGTTACTAACGGTGCTGCTAGAAACTTCCTCAAGGTCTTGGCTTGTTTCAGCACTCTTTTCATCCTGATCATCACCTTGTGAACTTTCAAAGCGAACAGACTCACAAATGGCTAGATACTCATTATCTGTCAAGGCGGCGATGCCACGCACTAACAGTAGCAAATTACCAATCAGCTTTTCACAGAACTCTGCACATATTGCTATTGTTTGATCGCCGTTAAAGGAGTCCCAGTTTCCAGCGATGATACGGATGTCATTAATTAGTGATCTAAAACATGTATAGTAGCCAGTGGCAATGCGGTGCATAATTAAGTTAAACCATAATGGATGAGCCACTACCCCAGCATATCTCTTTATTCTACCACATGGGTTGGCAAACGTTTCAAGTAAAATGTCCCGATAGGCAGAGGTGGTTAAAGTAATGTTTATGGCCTCAACAAGTACCAAGAATAGCCTCATTCGTGAAAGTATGGACATGGGATTAAATATTCCATCAAATGTGAGAGCATGCTCCTGTCTTGACCTCGAAGATTTGCGCAGTCCAGTATGGGTTCCGGACATGTTGCCAGGTTTGATTCCAAATGGTCTAACGGTCAAGCTTCTGATTATTTGAGCAAAGGTAATACTCTCATCGTTATTGGTGCTGCATGATGAGTCAGCTGTACTTACTGTAGTGCTCTGTGGTGATACAAACGAAAAGTCCAAGTTTGTGTGTGTAATTTCATTAGCTTCTAACGCATAGGGGACTAACTCGGTTACCAGGGATGAGTACAAAGGCGACACCGGTGATTGCGAAGAGGAAGATTCAATCCCAGAGGCATTAAGTGATAGGGAGAATAGACTGGCGGGTATATATGTCAAAATATTTGTATCGCGAATATATAGATCCTCCAAAATACTGAAGATACGTGCACACGTCTCTGCTGAAAACGTAGCAGACTGTGCATCTATGTTATCCCATACAGATGCTTGTTTGACGATTTCTTCTTGGGCTTGGTCTCTTGGAACTTGCATGTCTTCAGTAAAGTAGTAAAGGCCTGAGGCAAAGGTATTGTCTCTGTAAAGTTGGTAGCACACACTTACCAAATAAGACTTTGATTCTTCCAACTCTAGTTTGCTCAATTGTCGCTTTGTCAGATTATCAGATGGTGCATCAGGGAAGAATGTGTCCAGCACGTGCTCTCTGAACAGTGCTTCTGCTGAGTAAATTTTGAGTGTGTCAGTGCGGGTTGTAGCTTTCAGGAATAGGTGATATAATAGACCAAATGCGTGAGGAATATAATGGTCGCCCCATCGCTTTGGAGATCCATTTCTTACAGCAGTTTGAACCATGAGAAGCCGGGGCGTGGATCGGGGAGAGTAAAAATAAGGTGTCTTCTTGATTGTGTCGTTAAAGAAGGCCGACATGTGTTGAACTGAAGAGAGGACAAGCTTCCTGATGTATCCATGCTTGCGCTGGAAGCGAGTATCCTCAGATTCGTAGCTTGAGTCAGATTCTGTGTCTGAAGCAGAACTTGAGCTTGAGTTTTGCTTGGTCTTGTTACTCGTTTTCGACTCAGACGCCTTCTTAGAGGCAGTATTGGCGCGTAGGACAACATTCCCCCTGCTTGTTAAGGCAAAGAGCTGTGGATGAAGCACGTGCTCCGGAGCAGGGGCAAAAGGGACCGTTCTATGATAAGCTTCGAGCGGAAATGAGTCTGATATAGTCTTTATTTTCCTAATGTCTTGAATGGCAGCGGGAGGAAGTACAGATAGCTTTATTGGATAACTGAGACATTCCGCAAGAAGGGTGTCCTCCAGAAGATCACAATATTCTAGGCCATGATGGCAATAGAAGTCACTGGTGAAGGTCAATGATGGAAACGATGCCTTAAAGCATTTGGCTACCTGTTCCGATGCACAAGGCCCCTCCCGAATGTATTTTATCCATTGTCCCAGGACCTTCGATAGCGTCCTCAAGTGGTAGGCGCCAGACCAGTAAGGCAATATCGGAAACTCAGGTATCAGGTTCCGTGGCTCCAGTAGAAGTGAGTGCGACAGAGGAAGGATTACAAGGTCGTGACTTTTAGTTATCTGCAGATTGTACGTATTTTTTGTGCGCTCATTTGCTAAAAGCTTGTCCAGAAGTTCATAATCTGGGGTTATCAAGGGAGTTATTTGATCTATGCTGGTTACTGGTTTAATGAGAATGGTAAGTAACGTAAGAGGCATTCCCACAAAAGGGGGTCTACCCTTGTCTATCTGCCAATACTGAGGGTAAATGTCCTTGATGATTGCAAGGTATGGCTTATTATTGGGGTTTTCGGGGGCGTCTCCATAAAACCCTGTTTCTGGAGGCGGCCCTATAAGTCGATCTAAGACTGTAATGGTGCTACCAGTTATTCTTTTATCGAAGAAGGAGTCGATGAATTGGATGGAGTATCGATAATGAACAGGCAACACCAAAATGGCGTCTCCCACCTGGGGTATTGCGTATGAGTTTGCTTTACCTGCAACCAGCGGGGTTGATGATGCAAAATCCTTCATGAACTCTATATTTCTCTTAATAAGTGTCTTGTATTGTAAACTGAGAAAGACCTTCGTATACTTTACCAGAGCTGTTGCACTTGTTACCTTTTCAATATATCTCTTTAAAGGTGGTTCCGACTTGGATTGTTCAACGGTTTCTTTTTTCGTATTCTTTTCCAAAACGAACTCTTCTGTTGTCTCTATCTCTTCACTATACGCTACGCTGTCAGATCCGCTGCTAGAATAGACAAATGAGTCGGTATCCTGCATGTCTTTTATTCGCTTCTTTTTTCTTCTGCCAGGGTTTTCTAATGACTCCTCGGAGTCGTTGTCCTTAGTAGATCTTTCATAAGCACCGGATTCGCTAGCTGATGACGAAATCGATGCAGAAGATTCCTCCTCCTGTTCCTGCACGTCAGATTCAGACTCAAAGGCGAGCTCATCTGCTCCCAAACTAGAGATGCTGAGGAGAGACCCTTCTGATTCTCCGGGTCCCGATTTATTAATGAGGTGTCGCCGTGGATTCCTGATGCGGCGCGGGACAGAAGGAACAACATGACTCGAGATTGCTTCCTCAATACGTGCGATACAATTATCCATATCGTCGAAAACATCAGTGTTATCATCCTGTATTTCCTTGACTTGTTTGGTCTGTAATTCTATATTCGAAGAAGCAACGAAGCCAGAGACATCTGTTGCAAAGAGGGGTTCAGATGTATTGAGCAGGTCCGAGATCAGCTCTATCTTCTCTCGTTGCTTGACATCCTTAAGCGTTGTTACATTCTCTAAAAGCAGAAACTTTGATGAAGCACGATCAAGCAAAAATTCAGCCGCTGGTTGACAAAGAATCATAGCATTTAAAGAAGCGCACTTGGGGGTGATGATCCCCAGGTCTAAATAGGATAGTTCATTGATTGATCTCATCGAAATAATGCTCTCATAAAATCCATGATAACAATGCTTCTGAGCCTTCTCATAATAACGAGCTAACTCTTCCAGGTAAGAGGGTAATGACTGCCTTTGCCGGCTCTCTTCCAGCGATGCAGGAATGAAGTAAACAGTACCATAAAATGAGCAGATTGCTAGTGGGTTTTCATAATTAGCTAGATATCTCACCGTGTCATATACAGACAGTCCTGTAAACATACTCTTGGGTGCTTTAATGCTGAGCTTGAGCATGTGGTCGGTAGTAAGAGTTCTTAGATCAAGGTTGGGCAGACGGGTGATCAAGGCATTGTGTAGAGTGTACCGGAAAATGGTATCTATCCTTCCGATGCAATAGACAGAAACCACAAAGTGACCCTCCGCCTGCTTGGCCTCAAGTTTAGAAATCAATTGCTTAAGTTGGTTTGGCGAGTCGAATAGTAGACAGCTATCATCAGAAAAATGACACTCCACAGCTAACTCCTCTGACAGAATTTTTGATATGCTAGTGCTTAACTCTTCGTGAAACATCTTCATTCCTGTGACGTTCAGGATCGCCTTGGCCCCTTTGATCATTAATGGTTGAGTTGTAGGTGAAGATAGTTGCTCTGTAGGCAGCAAAGATGATGCCGTGAGTGCAGAGTTAACAGACTCATCTGGATCTGTCCCATATCGAGCGCTAAAGATCCCTGGTAGCTCAAAGAACAGGAACTGCTCTTGAGGAGAAATATAGCTCGGTGGAAATGTTGCCCCAATACCAATGGACATTATCTGGCCAGTGACATTCGAGACGAATAGCTCTCCGGTCTCTGAACTAAGGCAGATATCGCTAAAGACCAAACCCTCATTGTCTTGAGAAGAACATGGCATGCGGATGTTCCAGACATTCTGGGTGCCATCGGGAGAGAGAAAGAAAAGGAAGAGATCCAAAGGAGATATGGTTAAGGGCAGTTCCTCGCCAGTTCGTTCCAGAAAGCGCAGACCAGTATTTTCCAGGTTCATGGTATCACTGACAACCCAAACATATGGAAGAGATGAGGATGAAGTGGCAGGGACGGCGCAGTTGAAGTAGGGATGATTGGATAAGTCAAGACAGCAGATTGAGATACCGAAACCACAACCACACAGTATAACACGCGAAGTAGGTGATACCTTACGCTCAATAAAGGACTCGTCTGCCCCTAGGGGAAACTCATTTGCTCTATCGTGAGCCTCATCAGTAACCATTTGCTGTTCTAGCAAAGCTAGAGAAGGTGCGGCCGAAATATACGTATACAGTAAAGCTAGTTCAAAGAACACGAGATAATTCTTACTAAACTTAGTGTTAGAGCACTTAACTTGTGCTGCAAGATAACGACTGTCGGGACTGATAAAGAACGATGTACAAGACCAGTAACTGGTGTTTGCCTCGCAGTATGATACGACTGACACAGAAATAAGCGTAAGACACCATGGCTTAAGATCCCGAACCATTGGAAATGGAAGAATTCGATATCCGCTGGTGTCAGACCCTGAAGACGCTAAGTTGGCGTCTTCAAAAGAGCCAGTATCTAGTTTTGCAAAAGAACCTCTATACTCAGATGTGCTATAGGCTAACAAGCAAGACATGTTATGAAAGCTTACGACGAGGAGAAGGTCGTTTGGAGCGTACTGAATGTACTTAGGAAAAATGAGAACGGTGCTGAGACCCCATTCTGTCTGTGGAGCTTCAATACAAAAGTGCATTAGATGCATCCCGCACACTTCTCCCCTGATTAGTGTCTGCCCATCGATAGAAATGTACTTCCATGGAAGCAAAGAGAAAGATCCGTTATCAGTGTATACCTCTTTAATATTGCTCGTCCTGAGAATGGTTATAAATGGCAGCCCATTTGCTGTCCAGGCGATGGCTAATTCAGTGGATGACTCATTAAGACAAGCCCAAACAATCCGGTTGTTCTCGGCATCAGTTGAGGAGGCTGTGAGCTCCATTATGATGGCTGCATCACCTGTCGCGATGCATACTAGAAAGATGATTGCAGAAGATTGTACAATAGCAAAGGGGCTATTCTTAATGGTTAGAAGCTTCTCCAGCTGGTTTACGTAAAGGCTACTGCTCTTCTTTCCCACTGGCTGGGTTGTTCGTAGATAGCTTGAAGAAATATACGTGCAACTGCAGTAAAGTTCAGGTCCGTCCGCGATATCCAACGGAATGTCCCACACTATTACCACGTCCATCCACATGGCAACGACATAGCGCTCCTGGCTGATGGCCAGGTCGATTATCCGACTATGGTGTTCTACTGGAGAAATTAAATAACCGACTAAACGGACCACAGGGCCTTGAACATACCAAAGTTTTACTGCCCCGTCGTCAGATGCACTCACAAGATAGTGCTTTCTAAGAAGCTGAAGAGGAGTAAAGCCAACCCCATGGATCTGATGCCCATGGACAATAAAATTTCTTACAATCACGCCACTAAAGTCATGAAAAGCATCTAGGTCTTGACAAGAAAGACCCCTGCGCTGTAGCATTCGCGGAGAAGTGAAAAATGTGGTGGTAATATCTGTAAGCGCTTTGGACGCTCGTACTCCTCTGGTAGCAAGGTTATTAAGTGTCTGTATCTGTGTGTTAGGCTGTTGGGAAAAAATAAATCATACGATAGTATATGTGCTTGCCTTGATCTGTGGCCAGGAACGGATGGTCTGGAGCAGCTCGAGTGTTTGGGCTTCTGGTACACCTTCTTCGCGAAGGGCCGCAAGAAAAAGAGAGATCACAGAATCCAGCATTTTTTAATCTGAAGAGTTCTAACCCTGGAACCACGTCTCCATGCGTTTACCTAGTAAAGTACTTAGCGAGAGATGTGGATAGCTGTCCCACCTGGGGACCTTCCACGAGTGCAAAAGGTGAACAATGAAGTTTTCTCTTACAGAGGAATCTAGGGGGTGTAGATGTGGGGAAAAGTTTGCTTTGGCGCTACTAATAGAACTGTCCCTACTATTACGTGAGCTCCTATCGTCTGGGCCAGTTATGAAGATACTACATTGCCGCTTGTTGCCGCTGAGGATCGTCTGCAGCTTGCTCTCCCACATGCTGATTTCGCTTGACGACCACAGTAGTCCTACAAAGAAGCATACATATGTACGACTAAGGGCAAAACATATGGATACAGCGTCGTCTATGCACACCAAGGCGGCTAGCTCGCCGCTTTGGAGCCTGTGTATGCTGTCTAAAGAGGCATTCATATTTCTTTTCTCACTAATGCTTTCTACTTTCAATCCGTTGTTGCGTAGAGCATCTGCTAATAAGTCTCCTGTCTCTTTTCCATGTACGATAACTATGAACTGTATTGAATTAAGAGAATAGAATCCCGCAAGCGTATCTGCTAGAAGCATCACAGCTACTTCGGAGTCACGCACCTCAATAAGCATGTCATTGTCTGTGCTTCTGTTAGTCCGCGTGTCCCTTTCACCTTCTAAATATAGGATAAAGCGTTGTTTAGGCCCAACGTACCTTTCAGACAATCTGCTGAGGCAACATATACCAAATATATACGCTAATTCATCTTGCATGCTTACTCCTGATGCTGTCGTAATAACTTTTCCGCTTCTTAATTCTCGCTTTTTCAGCTCACAATAACGTGCAAGAAACTCCATCCTTCCGAGAGATAAGCCTAGTATGATTAGTTGTGGATGTAGGACTTTCAAAAGGCTCACACAGGCAATAGAGATGCATGTTATTACACGGGAGCAAGTAGATAAGATTAGAGAGAGCTCTTTGGTACGCTTTGAAGACATATCTTTGTAATCTTGGGCGTCCGATAATATAAACGTTGACGATTGAGTGTGAATTAGGCCATTTTTATAGAGAGTCAGAAAGTTTTGTGCTGTAAGGACGATAATCATCCGTCTTCTACAAACAGTAACGCCTTCGAAGCATGTCTGAACTGCGTGCGTGTATACTTGTGAAAAGGCACCACGAGATGTGATGTCCTCATACCCTAGAGCGTAGATAGCAGAGGCACTATCTGGGTTGATGTTATACTCACATGGCAGCTCATAAACCCGTCTGAGCCTCGTTCGCTTCATCACTTTGACTTCAGATCCTGAAGACCGCTTTAGAGCCACCTTTTTCAGACTATTTGTCTTTGCCTCATGCGCGTCCTTCTCTTTCAACCACTGCGACATACAACTACGCCGCGCTGGCTCGGTATTGTACCACAGATACACCTGTTCTTTCCAGTATGAAATAGAGTTTGTATGCACGATTATGAACAGCGGGAAGCTGTCCTTGTACTGGTATGTGCTAAGAAGAGCCTGCGCAGCAACACCCATCTCTGGAGGATCTGCCAGGATGCACTTCCCTCCACGTAAAAGGTAAAACTCTATTGCTTCCCTCTGCCATGGCCGCAGACTGTACAAGTTTGGAGTGGATGGATCAATACTATACTTATAACTCTTGTGCTCTTCTCGTTTTATTCTATTGTTGGTTATAATTACAGGGAGAGACCAGTTTAGTAAGGCCAGCGGAATGCATACATTAGCTCTAACGAGCACTCCGTTTAATCGTTCCGCGGTAAAATTGCGAGTCTTTTTCTCTATATCTTTAATGTGCTGGTTGTACTCTAATACCGAAACAGTGTATGCTGTGCGAGAACGGGGTACTTTGTTTGAAAGAGTAGGGCAGTCTATAGATGCTGTTTGGATTCGCTTTGCGGTGGAGCAACTGTCAATGGCGGTTTGTATAGATTGTGGCACGGAAGGTGTGCTTGATAGACTTTGAACAAATACCACGTCGATCCTAACAACAGTAACTTCAATTAGTTGACACGTTAGATCTATTATCGCCTTTATTTCTGGTTGTTGCATATGGATTGCTGTCACCTTTCCTTTGCGGATATCTCTGGATTGGCTTTTGTTGGGAGTACTTTCAGTACCACATAAGGGGCACTTGGTTTGCACAATAATGGAAGTAAATGAAGTGGCAGAAGCTTTCTTGTCTTCAGGTAGATCCTCTGCTGTGAGTGTTGCTGGTTGAGAAGGTGATACGAGGAATGGACCGGGACTTTTAAGAGGTGGTTCAGTAGCCGCCACATTGTCAACGCTGTGCTTACTATCAGTAAGAGCATCTCTTATTGATCGAATAAACGGACATGGACGAAAGGGTTTTGGCTGGGGGATTTGCTCACCTGGAGAGGACATGTATAGGGACAGAATGAAAGTACAGACAGAGTAGGGTAAATTCTGAAGTAGTAAACCTTGATAGCTTGGTGCACAGAATCGTGAGTGTTGCTGTGTCTTCTGAATGTTAACGCAATGCTCTCTCCAAATAATTGAAATCGAGGCCACGATGACTCTGACTCCCCTGCAGTCTGCGCGCATCATCCTCGCAGACGACGTTGGATTTGTGCGCGTTATGTACCCTATGCTTCCAAATCTCAATGGGGGACAGGCTCATCGAATAAATTCGGTCTCCAGATACTCTGTCCCCATAACAGCAATGTGCTACGGTGAGACAGAAGAGACAGTCATTATGGCATACAAAGACGGGAAAGTTGAAATATACCATATACCTCTGAAATTCACCGCGTATACCAATGGTACATACAAATTTGACGAGCCGAAGCTTATAACGTATACAAATATCTCTGTTGTTGTTGATGTTGCAGAGCACCGTGTCTACCGAGAAACAGTGGATGATAAGGATCAGGCGCTTAGACAGCGCATTAGTCCACGGGAAATTCGTGCCATAGCATTTGCTAAGCCTAACAATTTGGTGATGATAACGTCCAATTCGAAAGTGCACAGATTCATTTTAGAAAACAATGATAACGGAAAGCCATCAATCACCTTTATGTCTTCTTTCCAAATGAGTCTAAACATTCAGGCACCAAGGCCCCTTCCAGCTCCGACGTTGGGCGATTTTGTGCAGGAAGAGCCGCCTCCAGAACTGCGCAACGCTTCTTCTGAGGCATATATCCTTATACCTATAGGGCAGAAAATATATGCTGCATGCGGTGGATGGGGTCATGCCCCACGAATTTACGACTCTGCTTCTGGGAAGGTGGTCTATGTGCCCCGCGACCCTCCTCCCTCCTTTCCAGCTCGTGCCGCTCTTCGATTCATAGCTACTTGTTTCTGCTATGATGAGAAGGATGGCATCTTTGTTGTTGGTGACATGGACGGATGGATACACTGTTATAAGACAGGTCTCTGGGGGCCTGCAGTGCCCATTGCAGAACGACCGGAAAATATCAGTGGCTGGAACGAGCCGCAAGAGCTTAAGAAGCGCAAAGGACGGCCAATCCAGAGTGTCTCAGAGCTGGTTCCACACAACGTGGTCGACGACGTACACAAGCAGCCCTATCAGCTTTCCGAGGGGGTAATAAGTAGTGCAGCATTGTGGTATAACCGCAATTTTGAGAGGAAGGTATGTGCAGTTAGTATTGTGACAGTACGTTTGGACGACGGTATTGGGAAGTATCTTTGTGCTTCAAATGGCGAGGGAACATGCGACCTCCTTTCTTTAGAGTCAGGGAAGCTTTGCAGGCGCTTTAACAAGCACGGAGGTGCAGTGAAGTGTTTCGCTAGTCTCCGACTTAATGAAGTATTAGCAGCTCATATGAACAAAAGCTTTTCTAGGAAGATACAAAGACTCAATGACGACCAATCAGCTGATAGCGACTCTACTGACTCCACAAGCAATAGTCTATCTTCGGAGATTTCTGAAGATGATGCCGACCAAAAGTCTGTTGCAGCGGTCGTGCTGGGGAACTCCTCAACAGCTCACAAGGATATGAAGACAACTGACACGCTGATATTCACTGGATGCTTGGACAAGTTCCTACGAGTGTATATACCTGGATCTAGAGAGCCCCTGTGCAGCCATTATGTTGTCAATAGCCCACTAGTTCTGTTGGCTTCATTTGGTAAGATGCGTTATGAGCGGGCTCTAGAAGAGTCAGGAGATTCACCTGAAGAAGCTACATCCTCAGAATCAGAAAGTTTTGACGATGAAACAAAACGGCCTGCGGACCTCCCAGAAGACTCCATTGATAACATAGACCTAAACCTTAATATTACGACGTCCGTTTTGCAAAAGAAGAACACGCAAAAGGTTATTAAGCGATGAACTGGCTTCGCTAAACTAATCTGCAACTGGCTCGTGCTTAGATAGGAGTTCTTGGTACTCAGCAGGCTCGTTATCCAGTACAGTCGGGTCTATAGCCACAGCGCTGAATAAAAATTCAAGCGCCTCCTCTATCTGCCCTAGCTTGAAGCAACTCTGCCCCAGACGCATGTTGATATGGGCGTCAATAATGCCCCCGGGAGATGAAATTGCCCACCTGAAGAATTCGTCTGACGCCTCATAATCCTTCTGCTGAAAGTATAGCTCGCCTGTGTTCGCAAAAAGCCAGCAGGATATTCCCCATTCCTCACGCGGATCTGGGAGGAGTTGAATAGCCTGTTCCCATGAGTAAATGGCCTCGTCAAGGTCATTCTTCCCCTTGTCTTCGAGTCCCTTCTTGCACAGCTCCTTGATACGCTTCAAAACGTCACTGGGAAGGTCATTGAACGTGTCATCTGGCTGCATTAGCGAATAAAAAATACAAAAGAGATGAGCGGCCTTGAAGCAAAGCTCCAGGGTATGCTGGCTAGCGCGTGCCAACGCTCTGTAAGGGTGTCTGCTACAGATCAAAAACCAAGTTCTCCGCGACGCAGTACGCGTATATCGGGTATTCGGCCCTTTCTTCCCGGAGACACCTCCAGACAAATTCCAGGGTATATGCTCCCGCGAGAAACTGTCCAGCAGCGTGAGGAGCGACTCGAAGCACTCAAAGCAGAGCGAGAGGCGCAGGAGCTGGCCGAATGTACCTTCCGGCCTGCAATTAACCCAGAGAGTGTCTACTACGCAGGAGAAAGATCTGGGCCAGCATATGAAAGGCTATATAACCATGCACTAGATAAGCAAGAACGAGAGCAGGATTTATTTGAGATGGGCGACGTCCTTGACGAAACAGTCTACACATTCAAACCTCAGCTCAAGGCTAAGTACGTACCCAAGTCAGATAGCTCCAAAGTGGTAATACGTATGGCCGATGTTCCCAGTGAGATGAAGCAGTGCGTTTTCAAGCCAAAGCTATCCCCGACCAGCGAGAGAATATGCAAGAGAAAGTTTGGAGACACACCGGTTTTTGAGCGTCTTACACGACCACCCGAGCGGCCCGCCAGTGCGTCAGATAAGTGCCCGTCAAGTGCAAACACTAGTATAAATGGATGTACAAGTCCAGATACAATTGAGAAGACGGGTACGAGAGGGGCCTCTGGAGGACCTAAGAGGAGGTCAACCGTTGAATCTTTCAACGAATTCCTCAGCAGACAAGAATATATAGTGGCCAAAAAGCAGTTGACTGCATCTCGAGTCAATAAGGAGGAGCTTCGCGAGTGTACATTCAAGCCAAAGATCAGTGAAACAAGCAAGCTTATAGCTCAAACTATTGGAGCACGTGACCCTCTCTATGAACGTACATATTCTGCTGATACCAGAGGCTCAAGCCCAAGAAGGACTGCTGGGACGTATCCTTCGCTAGACGACCAAGACACCTTCATACCCCATATAAATGAAAGATCAAAGAGAATTATGTCCGCCAAGTGTGACATACCTGTATATGACCGGCTCTACCAGGATTCAGAGACGCAGCACCGCTTAGAGCTCTTGAAGAAACAGCAGGACCAGCTTAGTGCAGATGGATGCACATTTCAACCTGCCAAGATTGCCAATCAGCCCGAGCACATAGCAAGTACCATTAAAAACCTTGACGAATACATGGAGGAGCGAAAGCAGATGCGCCTCAGGATGGAGCAGGAGCGGCAAGCCAGAGCTGACCAGCGGGAGGATTTCGGAGAGTGCACCTTTAAACCCAAAATTATTAAAGCACCATCCTCCATCCGCAAAATAGTTTCTGAATTAAGGAAAAATGATATTCACGCACGCCTGTAGAGATAGCTAAAAGGGCTTTTGTGTAAATTTTAATGACCAATGCAGGGTTTTATCGCACTCTATGGAAGACAGGCCTCTTTGACACTGACATGCTGAAGCGGCAAGTCCAAGAAAAAGACGAGGATGTTCAGCTCTGGAGTAGTGCGGAGCTGCTATTAGATCTTATCAGATCTGATAGACCACGTCCCCCCTTTACCAAAGTCAGTGCAGAGATCTTTTTTGATGGCTCCCAATCCGCAGAAGCTGATGAGAAACCTTCCATAGACGTTAAAGGGGCCACTTTGAACCTTTTCTTTGACATCTTACATCAGTCGTCAATCTTGACCAGTAGCCTAGTTCAATACTTGACCACCAAACTACTCCTTAATTGGAGTGATGTGGATACAATTTCAGCGTCCCTAGATCCTGTGGGATACGTTTGTTTACTGCTGGTTTACCACTCAATGGTCTCATCAGATTCGGCACTCGTCCTTTTAATAGAGAAGTTAATTACGGCAACTATCCATTCAATCAGTAATAAGCGCTTCAATGAGACTTTAGGAACGTTTTTGGTCATTTGTCGGGGAACTCTAGTTGACATTGAGGAGCTAATAATACGTCACTCCATCTCTCTGCAAAACCTTGCACAGTATGAGAGGAATCTTGCCTTTCTTTCAGGGATGGCACACGGGTACACATACCTGCAAATAGAGTCCCATAAGTTCGCTGTTTTAAGCAAGCACTGCGGCTTCTCTCGCGGGGATACATTCGCTCTATCACAATCACTAATGAAAGTGCTGCCGGCAAACCAGTGTTTGTTACAATATCAATATATGGATCTCCTTGCTATTGTTCTGTCCGTCAATCTGTGGCAACCTCAAGCGTGCAGCACTCTTACCGATTTCCTAAATCACATTCAGGCATTAAGTCATCAAGCAGGCTATAAATTAAAGACTGCAATGCGCATCAATCCCCATAGCTTCTTAGCTGTTTCTATTATCCGTCTATGCTCACGACTTAAAAGCTTTGTCAATGGATCTCTTGAGCAATTGCAAGTGAAGACTCCAGCGCAACAAAATATTCTCGTCACGCTGCGCACGCTGCTGCAGCGGATGCAGCTATTGATCACTGATGCCCTCAACGGACAGGCAACCGTGGCAGCTAAGAGCAATATTTTTCTGAAGGACCTTCGATCAACGTTCCCGACCATGTACAGTGAGTTTATACGGCCATATTGTTGCGCATTTATAGTACTGCTTGATGTATGTGCATATTTGAATAAGAGAGGCGTAGAGATCGGACTCGACACGACAGACATGCAAGAGTCTTTGCTTATCATCTGGAGGTCACTTATTGTCTTGGATGCTCCTTATCTGGGCCATAAAGACACCAAGAAAGGCCTTTACTTCCATCTCTCCTCGGGCTTCTATTGTGATTCCCTGTTAGACTTTCTACTAGAACATCTCAACATTTCTACGTCAGACAACAATTTCTTCAGTAAGTTAACTGAGGTAAATTGGTCCACACTATTCAAGCACCTTGCCTTTCATACAGAGCCAGTTCCGTTTGTCTTTTCTTCCGATAGGAAATATAGTTTAGAGGAGGAAATGCCGGCCGGAAGTCTGCATCACCTACGTGAGTCCCTGATAGCCGAGCTTAACTCCCGGTCGTTGTCTCATCGGAAGACGCGAGATGCGGTTAACTCCATTCCTGATGGATACATCTGTGGGCTCTACGCTCTCACTCTCATTGAGATTTATTCTGCGCTTTGGTCTGGACGAGGTTCATTGAGTCTAGCGTTCAACAAGAAAGAGAAATCCGTAGTGGGCAGACTTAGTCGATATAATATCTATGGATACTTGCCTAAAGAACCTTTCAATGAGCTTATTAATTTTGAAAAGGAGATTGTAAGGCAGAAGTCCGAGGATAAAGGTGGTATCTACCTCCTCAATGAATCAGCAGGAGATGTTCCACTATACTTTTCATCTTCTAGCCCGTTAGATGCAGAGAACTGCATTGTCTCTGTAGGGCCCATACCAGATGAGCCCCTTACAAATAATAAGAGCTCTGCAGGGATTTCTTCAACAAACTTTTTTAAGTTCTATGCCGAGCTTTTCTGTTCGGTGTATGAACAGCTCTCTTCATACACGTTTTTGGAAGAGCTTATCATTCACCAAGAAGTAGCACACAAATGGACTTCAATTTGCTTTGCTAGTAATCCTAAGACACACACTCGCACAATCCCTGTCTTTCTTGTTAAGGACGTGGACATCCCTGACCCTCTGCCAGACCTTTTATTTCGCAAGATTGTTTTTGAAATTGTCAATCTTCTTGTGAGCGCAGAAGACTCTATGTCGCTCACTGAAATTAATATCTATCTCGACTTCGCAGGCACACTATTGCAGAAGCTTCCCAATATAAAGCTTAGCCCGTCTATACTCAGTCAATATATTCAAACAGGGGTTTCAATTTATAACAAATTTAATTTCATATTTGGTGTCACGGCAGATTATTTTGCATCCATTATGTCGAATTCTTTCTTTTTTGAACAGCTCTTAACGAGTGCATTTATCTGCAATGACAGACAGAAGATGCTCATGGTGGTACCAGCCATTAATGAATTTTTCTCGAAGCTTTTCTCACACAATCGTTTTATCTCCGTCCTGTATGCACATGCTATTAATCATGCTGCCCTGAAACACTCAGATGTTAATTTTTCCACTGCAAACTTGCCCACTACCCTGTCGATAATTTTAAGCAACATATTCCTGAAGTTTACTCGTAACTCCTTCTTAGTCCAGCAACCTCAAGTTCACAGTACTGAGGAATCCAACCAAGAGGGGTACAGATACATAGTTACAAGTCAGATTGAGTTCTCTTGTCTCATGACGGAGCTCAGAGAGCACTTGTGTAGCCTGCCCATTTGGGAGTACAAGCAGACGGCTATTGCGTGCCTAGAGTCCATGCTTGATATGCTGACAACTCCGCCCATAGCCCTAAACTTGGGCTCTAGCAAACAGGCTTGCCGATATATATCTGTAGAGGACCATTTCCTTGCTAAATATATTCCTGATACCTTCTATCTTCTGAATCAGAAGCGGTTGTCTGTGTTAGTGCCCACAGACTTCGGATTTACCGAACTGACAACAACCATGCACGGAATCTGTATCGATGGACATACAAAGAAGTGTGGTATACAGCTCACCCTTTACTTTTCATCGCATTTGATGCGTCTCATTGTTATGATGAAGCGGGGAGCAAGCCCACTTTTACGCCCGATCATAAAGGGGCAAAATTGTACTCTTGAAACGAGCATGACGCAGATTCAGCAGCCTGCAGAGGCTGATGTCAATCCTCTGCTGATAGATCTTGACGAGGGTTGTGAGTTACTCAATGCCCTTCTGATATTTGCAAGCAATGAGCTAGATTTCGACCTTGCAGTGCGAGCCTCAATCTTTTGCAGCGACTTCATATATGTTTTAGCATCCACCTGGCCTGTTATGCTCTTCATTCAAAAGTTTTCAACAAACATGTTTCTTTCCCACTCGTCTTCAAATGTAAAGCCGTCTATGGTACTGCCACTAATCTCATTAAAAGATACAGGTATGTCAGGGTATACACTACTGACAACTTTGCGCACATTGCAAATAATTTTATACTTTAATCAATTTTTTATGTACAATTCAACCAATCTTCATCTTAGAACAAAGTACAGATTTCAGCTGTATAGATATTCTTATAAAACGGTGGTTGAGTTGAACAGTATCTGGACAAAACCGTCTCGTTCATCAAAAGGCCCCAGCAAGCGAGGATTCGACTCGTCCCTAATAGCCTGTTACTTGGCCTTCTACTACACAAAGGCAATTATTGCTAAGCTACTGATCAATCTTGTATTCCTTTTGCGTTGTGACAAGTCTAACCTTCTGACCTACACTGATAGATACTTTGCTGATTGTCTTTCTGAGCTGCACCAGATTGTCCCATACTTTTGTGATGTACAACGCAATGAGGCATCGGTAAGGTCTGCCCTGGATAATCGTCAACACTCTGACCGCAAGACCACAATGGATCACGGCTTTTCATTGAATACAAATAGGTTTTCTCGTGAGCTATCGTTCTATGTTTCAAATATTATGCCACTTATTGCCGAAATATCTCATTGCAGCATCGCAAATCCGGCGTCTCTATATACCAATCAAACAGGAGCCAGTGGTTTTAGAGTCTTGGAAGACGACACAATCTCAACCTCCATCCTGAAGATCGTCGCCTTGCTCGGTCGAAGACATGGAGAAACCTTAGACGCGAGTCTCCAACTCATGCGGAACTTTATCCCGCTTATGGATGGAGCCAAGATTGCAATAGGCTGGCTTGTGGACGTCCTTCAGACATACCTAAATCCTCTTCGGGCTATTCTACCAAAGAATAGTAAGGTATTTACATTAGCCTCAAACATTAATCGCTCCTGTAATAGCCTGCCCAACTTTGCTCCAATGTGCGCTGAAACAGGTAGTGAAGCACGCCATATGACGGCAGCGACAGGCCTGTTATGGTCTTATCAGCGCCAAGATACTCTTTTTGCCCAGTACTGCGTGTGCAAGAATGCCTTCGTTAACACACTTTATGAGAATATGTTCAGCAAGGAAACCATTTCCGCACTCATTCATACCACTTGCTACATGGATAACCGGGACTATCAAAAGTATATGAATCCATATTACATTTCTCGATCACGGTCAGGACTTGAACAGCAGTACCAACAAAAGTACGAGCATGACCATTTTCTAAAAATCACCACACCGGCCATTTTACCTGATAGAATCCCTTTATCTGCCGATATTATAACCAATTCATCATTTGTCATGACGATTCTTCAAATATTAGCGTCTGCTGATCTCATTAATGCGAATATACTAGCTTCTTTTGCAGATATGATAAATAAGAAAAGCGTCTTCACAGAGCTGTCAAACTACACGGAAAGCTGCTTGCTACCGTCTAATAAAGAGAGTGCACGGTACCCAACCGCTGCCATAGAGCTCCATGCTCATCCTTCCAAAAAGATCCATACAGCCCGCCAGCTTCTCTGCATGGCGGTTCCATCAATATCCATTGCGTGTTCCCTCCTCAATAGCTACTCCTGCCAAGAGATCCGCTACGTAGCTGCTCTAAAATTCTATTACCTCTCGCACATAGGGAAAAGCAAAACAATCCTGGCATACCTTCTTTTCCTCACCAATGCATTACACTTCGACATGTACTCCGGTGATTTGCTCATCAACATAGCCTCTCATTCGCGTCTTTTTGGGCTCTACACGTTGATTCAGCTTAGCTCTTTATATTCTCAGTTTCTCACACAACAGCACAGTGAGATCTTTCTCAGTGTTGCAGTTGGCGGAGCTGTTGCAGAAGAGCTGCTATCAATTATAAAAAGTATGACATTAGACAAGCTGGTTGTGTACATCCACGGTAATCCATTTTCCAAGCAGATCGAGCAACAGAAATATTTAGCGTTGCAGGAGGTAATAACGAAGAAGCTTTCTAGTAAAGGAGTCACTCTACAGACCATAAGAACTAATCTGATGACATTCTTTGGCTATACGAAAGCAGGGGCTGCTCCAGATAACGGTCCCATCTATGCGCTCTATCAGCAACTAATGCTTTCGATACCAGATACGAATCATATTGTTATTCGTGCATATCTATTGTACCTCCTTATCCTAACATCAGGTTCTAAGGAAGATGCCCTATTTTATATAGCCAATCTTCATTTTTATGATACTATGACGAACTATTCCGCTGAGTTACTACGAATAAATGCCGGAAACAGGGATCCAGTCCTGGCCCAGAAGCTGAAGGAGTTCAGTGCAGTACTAAATGCAAAGAGCAACATCGTGCTACTTAGCGACCCTGATTACACAATAACAGGGATTTGCTATCAGAAAGCGAAGTGCTTGAAATCTCATGCAAAGGCACCCTATCTGGTGTTCTTTAACACTCTAAAGACCAACGCCACCCACAAAGCAGCTGTTAAGGGAGGAATATTCAAAGCAGGAGACGATGTCTCGCAAGATCAGCTAACAATGGTGTTGATCTCGCTGTTCAAACAGGTCTTCGAGCCATTGAAGATGTGGCTTTCTCCTTACATTGCACTTCCAATAGGAAAGGACTACGGCTTCATAGAGCTTTTAAACAAGGCCAGCAGCCTTGACCAGATAGGTGCAACTTCGGACAACTTCTTAGTGGGATACATAAGTAGCATTACCGAAGCCAGTAGAGAGGAAGCTACTGGCACCCCGCACGCTTCACAAAAGCTAAGTCTTACCGTCGCCAAACGGCGCTTTCTATTATCTTACGCTGGGTACTCAATTCTTAGCTATCTATTATCATTCAAAGATAGACACAACGGAAACATCATGATTAACGAGTACTGCAACGTAATTCATATAGATTTTGGGTTTCTTTTGGAAATAGCCCCTGGGGGAAAGTTTAATACTGAAAGCGCACCATTCAAGCTGACAAAGGCGTTTAAAACGATATTAGGTGGCGAAGAATCAACGTCATATACACTGTTTCAGCACATCTTCGTTAGAGGCCTGCTCTTGTCTAAAATATTTGGGAAGGATATTTCTTATTTAATTGAAGCCATGCTGAAGTCAAATCTCCCTGCAATCAAGGGCAGTGGGTCCATCACACAGTTCAGACAAAGGATGTTCCTGGAAGATTCGTTTGGGTCTGCTGCGGAGCAGGCAGTTCAGCTAATCAACGAGAGTTCTAAGAAAGGGTATGGGGCGTATGATAAGTTCCAGAGCTGGCAGAACAATATAACCTATGGCTAGGTTCTACTTAGTGCTCTTGGGTGCACGGTGCTTTGGCATGGTCTCTACTCCGGCTATGCGTGCAGCAAATTTGAGAGAGCTTACAGCCTCCTGGTAGTTGCTCTCCTCTGGGGCCAGAGTGACAACGACCATTGTCTTGCTGTCCCCGGAGAGCGATGGCTGCAATATACTTGTTAGTTTAGAGTCTCTATAAGGAACATGAGGGGTCTTTGTAACCAGACTACATATAACACTAGAAAGTGCAGTTAGTGACTTGTTGATAGCAATTGCCTCTGCAAGGCGCTCTTCCTTTGCCCCGCTCTTCTCGACATTCTCGCTCCCAGCCAGATCTATGAGATTGAGCTGTCCGTGCAATTGCTGATTGTGTTCTTCGTTAGACGCGTTGATGTCCAGCTGAAAAATCGCATGTGAACGTGACGAGCGCGCATTCATATCCGTAGAACCAACTGCCCTATTATCAAAAGCTTGGCATAGGAGCCAGTTGAGCTCTTCTGGTGATGCTACATTTTTCTTGAAGAGGTTGTCGACGTATGCGTTCCCATTAGCATCTCGCATTATCTGGCACTTCTTCCCCGTGTTGCTGCCTGACTTTTGAACAAGAAGATCCTGTACTGTGTCATTGTATATCTCAAAGAATGAGGCGGTTAGCTCGTACGACCACTTATCCCGCGCCGTCTCACTAGCAAACAGGAAGATCTGCTCTACTGCACGAGGCATGATGCCCTTGTCTTCCGGAGCCATGGTTGCCCACGATCCAGAGCTAGGACCAAGCATTGTATGTGTTTTACCCGAAGCTGTCTGGCCATAAGCAAATATGCAGACTCTGAAGCCATCTAGTGCCGACTGCACTAACTCACTGACATCGTTCCAGATGTCCTGCTGTGTTGCATCCATGGAGTACACTCGGTCAAATTCATAAGAATGCTCTGCTCTTCTGACCTTCATGCCATCAAGTGATTTTTCTGCTCTACCAAAGAGTGAAATTAGCCGCTTATCTGTTGCACTATCTGGGAACTCAAACCGTATGCCGCCATCTGTACCACCTGGAGACGTGACAGCCGTACTGGGTCGGAGCCGAACCGCAACACGAATGGCGCCTCGCAGATCTTGTATAATGTTGTGAAGCCGTCGGCGTTCTTGCATATCTAATTGACGCTGAGCGAGAAGGTGGCGTGTTTCTTCACGCAGCTCTTCTAGCTGAGCGACTATGGTCCCCTTCTCCTGAGAGGATGTGGCCAAGTGTGTCTCCATCATGCGCTCCCGCTCCAGAAGCCTCTGGTTGTCGTCTTTCAACGTTGCATTTGTGGCCTGTAATACAGCTATTTGTTCCTGCAAACTTTCTACGTCCACGTTACCAATGGCCAACAGTTTGGTGTGCTCGGTCTGGAGTTCAGTAAGCCGTTGCACCATGCTTGCCAGCTGTTGCTCCAAAGCATCCTTCTCAGCTGTTAAATTACATGTTACCTGTTCTTGAGCCCGAAGTTGTCCTTTAAGCCTGGCAATCTCATCATTAGCTCTATCGGATAGTTGAATAAGGGGTCTAGAAAAGTCTGTCGCATTCAGCTGTTCAATAAGCGCTTTTGCCTTGGAGTTTGTGGTCACCGCATCCTCTGTCGTCTTCATGATGTCTCGTAAAGCTTGCTTCTTACTCCCCCTGGTAGAATGCCTATCATGCTCAATGCTGTGAATTTCACTCAAAGATGCTCCAGCTAGGGTCTTTGTGGCAGTCTTGCCTAGGGTACTCATCATCTTTGCTGTCTTGTGAGAAAATAGAGCTTGACTTGACTTCTTCATGACCGACGGACTTACACCGGATTCCCTGGTTTCGCTACGCACGCCACTTTCTACAAAAGAGCGAGATCCGCGGAGCGAATTCGGCATGGGAAATCAAAAGTTTTAGCAAAGTTTTAGATCTGGGAATTTACTATCACTTGTCCAACTTCTTCAGCAGCTCACTGTTTTCACGCGTAAGACGCTTAACTGTATTCATTAGCTCTGTACGCGCAGCTATGGAGTAGATCTCTCCCTGAGGCATGCCTTCTACCTCAAAACTATAGAGAAAATCGTCAATTCGAATCCTTTTATAGTCAAGCATGTAGAATGCTCTGATCATTCCGAAGAGCTCCATAAACGCTCTGAGCCGCTTTTCCTTGTCCTCTGCATGGTTGACGCCAATCTTGACTCTTCTTCGACTTTCATTAGCAAAGATTGAAAGCGTACTCGACGAATTGGGTAGTGGTACGGGATTTAGAATATATCGTATCAATGATATTGTGCTTATTTCGGCCATAACATTCCTCTCAATGGATGCATCACGTGACTGATCCCCTTTCGCAAACACATCTGAGAGTGCTGCATACTCCTTGGTAAGCTTCCCAAACTTTTCCTTAAGTACCTGGTATTCCATATATACTTTTCTAAACTCTTCTACAGTAAGCCCGCTATCCTTTTCACTTTGTTTGTATAACAGATCCCTCTCTTGACGCAACCGATCTGCGTCTTCCTTTAGTGCACAGTTCTTGTCTGTCAGTTTCCTATTTTCTGCTTTCAAAATGATATTAGATTTTTGTAACTCTGCAATGGTACGTTGCATAGTGTCTTGCCTCGTCTCCATCTCCTTGATAAGAAGAGTGAGACTGCTTTCCTTTTTGTCCATCTCGAGCTTTAGCTGCTCCGCTACTTCGACAGACATATGTGTGGCAGAAGTTAAGGCGGTCGTAATTCCACTAGCAGCTGTGGAAGAGCTGATGAGTTGATCTATGTTACCATCTGGCCGGCTACTCTTGTTCAGCTCGGCACGAAGCTTCTCGTTTTCATTCTTCAGTGCCATATATGCGGAGACAGAGACATTGGGTACCGATTGGAGACTTGCTTCCTCTAGAGTACGCTGGGTTGCGTGTAGCTGCTCAGATTTTTGGATGACTTCCTTTTCCAATGCATCTATTCTTTCCAGCAAGCGTTCATAGGCCAAAGGTAGCTCTGTTTGAAGAGCGGAACTAGACGGTGTACCAGGAGAAGTGTAGCTTTTTTGTCCATGTTCATGCAGATGCGTACGTGTTCCCTTCTCTTTTGTGGTGATGCTGCCGTTCCTGGTTGCATCAGGTGACTCTCCCGTGCTACCAGACTCTAGCGTGCTATTCCCCAGAGATGCCAAAGCAGCCACACTGAGAGGCGACTCTTCAAATAGTTGCTTACAGTTCAAACAGATCGCTTTTCCATTTAGAAACCGGGACATAGTCATCGCCAGCTCATTTATAAAGTTCTTTACCTGGCGCAATGTCTCGTTAGACTCATTAATCCCGTTCATAATGTAATCCTGATCAGACTTGGCGTGAAATGAGAGCTGAAGAAGTTCGGTGAGCATGTGGATGGGGTCTTCTGCTAGACTAGTGGCCTGTGGTTTGGCATGTGACTCATCTCGACCCGAATTGAGGCGCATTAAAGAGTCAGATTGATTTAGACGCGTGCTGTTGTGTGGACTATGTAACTCTGTAATAAGCTGATCTTGAATGCAGTCTCTAACCAGTGCGCTGGCAGCGGAGTAAGTTACCTCGTCAAGAGAAAGGTCTTGCAACAACGTGTCGTTGTGGGCTATTAGCGTCAAGAAAATGTGCCGCTGTACAGTCCTGTTGGGAGACGAATCCATGGAGAATCTGTGTGGGCATGTTATAATGTGGTCATTATATAATTTAAATAGGGTATCTGAAAATGTGCAGCCCTTCTGTGCATAAGGACAGCGGGTTATCAATCTTGTTTGTGTTTCTTCTAAAAGTATGGCGTCAACTAGGGCCAGACCTATTCTGTCTGTACAAGCAGGGCACGAAAAAGATCGCTGATCAATGGAGGCAACCCCCTTCTCAATGCAAGTGGAACATACAACGTGGGTGCACGGATAGATAATTATGGGCACAAACAGGATCTCTTTGCAATGAGCACATCGAGCTAGGGAAGCCTCGGTGTCATGCGATTCTGATAGTAAAGCATCATGCTTTAAAGGACCAGAAGAAAGAGACATGGGATCTGCTCCTTCTTGATTCAGAGGTACTCCAGCTGAGGTAGTACATTCACTAGAAACAACCGTTTCCGTATTTAACGCCACAGGTTGCACATCCCCCCTCAGATGGTAAAGCAAATAGTCGTTTGGGAGCATGATCAGTGGGTTGAACCTACCATCATTGAGTAGGCAAACGAAGTATTTGAGGACTTGGGATAGATGAGCCATCACTTGCTGGTCCACTTCAAAAGTCCGAATGGCTCCCGTGCATTTCATGATAAGAGTCTGAATACAATGGGACTCGACGTTACTATCGCCTTCTATCCCTAGTGCAGACAAAATACCGAATGCAGACATGAAAATCCAGAACCCTGTCGATCTATTTTTAACTTTGGAATTTGCCTTTCTGTCTTTCGCTTTTTGGATGTCCTTCAATCTTATTTCAAAGAGCTCTCAAACATGTACGCGTCCGCTGGCAACCTTTTAGGATACGTTAGTCTGGTCACAAATCTTTAGCATCAAATTTGAGTGTCTGGCTTGCATAGAGAAAAAATGGCGCTCAGCTCGTCCCAAGTAGCCATTCTGAAGGAAGTCTTTTATATTTATGAAGATCCCGCTAAGCGTAGTGGTCCTGTTCGGGATGATAGTGTAGACCCTACTGGACGAATACGAAAGTCTGACCTTCTCCGCTTCCTACGTGCTCTGGGGTTGCCATTTACTCTTAAAGATGTTGCTGATTATACTAGTCAATACTCAATAACTGGTAACTCTATATCGTTTACGGATGCTGTTACATTGGTGACGGCTTGGAAGCGCTCCAGCCACCCTGATCCCTCTGATGCCGTCTCTGTCATCTTCAATGCATGTACTCCACGAGACGGTGTAATTACAATTCAAAAGTTGAAATCTGTCATTTGCAGTTCAGCCTTGGAAGATGGCATCACGCCTATGGACTTTGATCTTTTGATCTCCGATCACGGGTTTTCTGGGAATTCAGTGCTTACGCTCCCGGATCTCGTGAAGCTTCTTGGGCCTCCTACTCCGTTGATATAGAACCTTTGTTAAACCTAAAAAGTAAACGATGGACGAGAACGGCCGTAAAATACGTCCGTTCCCGCCCACGGGAATAGGTGCAGACTCTCGGCAAGGATCCATTAGTAGCACAGGACCAGGACAGCGGTCACGGGGTGCATGGCCCCACGTTTCTCAATACTCTACCACATATCCAGATGCTGCTTCTGCCTCCCTTTGCAACCCCTATCAGACGAACTTTACGTCATCTCAAGCTGGGCAACCCAGATATTCAGAGCACAGCGTCTATCCTAATACTCTAATTTGGACCCCTTCTACCAGCTCTTTGAATCAGGAAATACCCAATGTTGAGCAGCAGCAACAGCAGCAGTACGTGCCAAAAGATCGAACAGCTCTTCCACGACACTCCTTGCAGCCAGGTCAATCACATTTTGTGGGGCCTTTTCAAGATCCATCATCCTATACAATCTCGTCATTTGAGAACAATCCACAGTTTCAACCGAATAACCCCAGTGCATATCCACAGTCTCAGACACCGATAAGTAACATTATCACACAGACCCCCAGTCTAATGTATCATCCCCAAGCCTATGTCCCCGTGCCATCCATGTCCATGCCTCCGCAGTTGTACTCACACCCCCCTGCCTTGGCTGACCAGCAATCGATCGGCTATGACACAATTAGTATGGGATCCGTGCAGCCAGTTGCGTCCAATTCCTTGATACAAGAGATTCTTGCCCGCATGCGAATTCTTTACACCTCTCTCTTTAATCTATACACAAATTCTAATAAGGTTATGCTAGCATATCGGAATTCTCAGGTGTTTCAGGTATATTACGACATATCTATGACGATGTGGTATCTTGGGAAGACTACTTCAGAGATAATTCAGCTAATCACTAGTTCTATCGCGTCCTCGTCAACGTTGCCTCTTTCCATGGACGCAAATTTGGGCCTTGGCAGCACCTCAAATTCTATATCTCGCTTGGCAAATCCTCGGACCAAGGAGGACTCTGTAATAGAGACGGAGCCCAAGGCCACTATCGACGCCTTTGCCTCAATCATCACCCATACAAAAGACTTTCTTGGATCAGACCCGGTTTATCCGCATGCAGAAATTACATTCGAAAAGAAGTCCACTGAGGACCGGATTGCAGAGTTAGAGTCTAACTTACGAAGGATGATTAAGCACATCTATGGCGAATTAGACGTTGATGCAGTGCTGGAAGCAGCCGGGTTAGCCTCGCTTGTTGCCGAGAAGGCTACCCCTAGTGCAACTATAGGTTATCTCACAGGAGCTGATGAGGAACCGGTTTATTCTAAGGATGTCCTCTTGGCAATGGATAAGAGCCAATTGGTAGAACGGATAGAGGCGCAGAATGCAATCATTGACACTCTACGACACACTTTTAGTCTAGTAACTGCAAATATTACGACGCTATCTCGAGCCTCAGTTCCTTCGAACGCGATGGGCGCGACTGATGAGCTGAGCAATACTACACCACCTGCTGTCAGCACATTAATGAAACAGTTAACTGAGCGCACTACGCAGTTGGCATCTGCCCAGAGACGGCTCTTGACAGCAGAAGCAGAGCTACGGTGCCTTAGAGCTGAACGTGAGCAGCAGCACCCAGTGTCTACAAGCTAGCTTTGCTGACGAGAAAGTGCTTATCATGACATGCATGATTATCTAGTATAGCTGTATCAGCAGTACTGTTAGGTTCTTCTTGTATCATGGAAAGAAGGCGGTTGGTAAAAAATAATTGTTATGGCCAGTCGTCAGACTCAGTTTGCCTTAGAGAAAATGGTACCAGAGTTCACCGCATACAAGCGGGCTAAGGTGTTCCAGCCAGAGGAGTTGGTCAAACTCGTTCGTCGGCGAAAGGAATTTGAAGAAAAACTTAATGCAGATCTGCCCCCCTTAAGGCTCTTCCTCCAGTATATTATGCATCTGCACTCTACATACAAGCTTGCGGCAGATCGATGGGTACAGCTAGGAAACTCGAAAGAGGAGCTATTTGAGGAGGCCCGGAGTGTTTATGTTAGGGCAAGCGGAGTAGTGGATCTCGCCATTAGACGTTATAGAGGGAACCCAGAAGCGTGGCAGGCTCTTCTAGAGCTACTTGGACGTATCAAAATGTTGGATAAGCGAGCCACTGTTGCTCAGCTTTATCTGCAGACTTTTCCATCAGATGCCGAGCCTTGGATCTTGGCGGCCCATATTGCTGAAGAGACTGAGGGCGTCACTCATGCACGTAGTATTTACCAGCAGGCAGTCAAGTCGATTGGCTTACTCTCCGGAGTCACACTGAATGGCCGATACCATGGATCGGGACGCTCAGGAATCGCCAACACAGAAACAAACAAGCGCATTGTTGAGGTTGCTATCCGCAGGAAATTGGATTCTGTTCGAGCAAGTACAGACCCCCAATTGATGCTGTCTCCCTGGAAGCGATATTCTTCACTTATCATCAATTGGGCCTGCTTCGAGGTGCGGCATATAGCAGCGTTACGCGGAAAACACAACGAGAAAAACTACCTCTCTGATTACATCATTGATAAAAGATTTGATGGGTCTCCATATATGCAGAAGATACTTCAAGGGGAATTGGTTGCCATCGTCCTGAGACGAGGAATTATCGCCGCCTTAAGTGTTACTAAGCTACCAGGCATACCCGATAGCATTGAATTTGATCTTCTAAGTGCGTATGAGCAGGGGAAAATGCCATACCTAGATCACCCGACAGAGTATAGAGCGATTTGCTACACGAGTATTGACAGGATATTGAGCTCTCCACTTGTTGAGGCCTTTCTGAAAGATGTGTATGAAGCACTAGAGCCCATTTGTGTGCAGAACAAATGGGTGTCTTGGTGGACCGATAGAGTGCTGAATTGGGCTCTGCAGAAGACAGCGGCAACGCTTCAAAGAGCCATTGAAACAGAGGAGCTTTCTGTTTTGAAGAGGTATCAGGTTGAGACCAGCGCTGTTCATCAGTCTGCGTTTGACTGGTTAAGACATCTTAATAACGATGATTATAGTAACGATCCGCTCAGAAATGTAGCTGATTCTATCTCCCTGGAGGACCTTCAGCGTTTGCAGGAGAGGATCAGCACTGCAATGTTAGACTTGACCGAGACACAACACAAAGACCTCGATGTACAAAATCTCGAATAGTGTAAAGTAAATCCCTCTGGGTTTAAGGATTTTGTACGCGCCCGTTAAGATATTAGCGGAAAGAAATGCCCACTGCCCTCGGACAGGTGGGACTGAGTCATGAGGGCAATGTACGGTGAGGATCCAACAGCAGTATGTTGTTGCCAACAAAAGAAACACAACAGCGGGAGACATAAAATGGGCATTGACACCCGCCTGGGATGGGAAGTAGAAGAGACAAAGTAGGACTAGGATCATTAGATGTTTCAGGTTCTTATTAGAATGATCTTGGGCTATTGTGAATATAAGCTGCGTGAGCACATGTAGCGGGAAGTACCCTAGCAGCGCAGCCCATGGTCCTGCAAATCTCAGTACTGGGTTCTGCGGATAAAATGATAAAATCACCTGGTTTAATCCCATCAATGTACCTATACATAATAGGCTTTGGGTTCTTTTTAGACGCTTTGCCAGGAAACCGAGGACGCGCACCAAAAGCATTGTTAGAAAGGAGTTCCAATATGGACCGTACTCTTCCTTATCAGCGCCTGGAAGATAGAAGCCAATACAAACCCGCACGATCCCTGCAACTAAAAGATATAGTTGTCCCTTCCAGTATGGACAAGAGCGATTGATAGAGCTCAGTGAATCACTAATTATGAAGTAACCTAGACCTGTATCCATTAAGCTTAACTGGCCTGCTTCCCAAGTGCTTTTTCTATGTTTTGCTGGAAGAATTCCCGTATCAATCTCATGAATACAGACGGCCGTAAAGCCAAGGGTTGCTAATCTTAATGCTCGTCTAAAGTTACTGGAAGTAGAGGCGGTTGCAATTTCAGTTCCTGTACAGTGCGATCGAAAGTACCTGGTTACCGCATATAACGCTATACATTCAATGGCTCCCCCATAGGAGGAAAGTAGTGTCAGAGTTACAAGAACGCAGAGCCGTCCGCGAGGAGCAACTAGAACGACCATGTATCCAGAGATCACAGTAGTTATTGTGTCAACAGTCTTAAGTACCGGTGGAGAAACGTATAACAAGGAACCTACCCACGCCATTTCTATTGCTCACTGACTGTAGAGAGCAGACTGTTTAGCCTAGAACCATATTATTCAGTAGTCAAGTTCACTCAATCAGGGGGCACCTGACCCCAGGGCGGCCCGCAGGCCCGCGACCTCCCCCCGGAGCCGGGCGACCTCGTCCTCCAGGGCCTTGAAGCGCAGGGCCGTCGCGACCGCAGGCGCCCCGCCCTCTGCGTCGAGGAGCTCCACGAGGGCCGCGGCGGTGAGGCGGCGCTCCGGCTCCAGGACGAGGAGGTGGGCGAGGACGCCCCGGACGACGGGGTCCCCGACCGCGCCCAGGTCCGGCCGCCAGCCCGCGACGTAGACCTCCGCGGGGGCCCGCCCGGAGAGGAACGGGGGCCTGCCGCCCGCCGCGAGCTCGTAGGCGACCATCCCGAGGCTCCACATGTCCGCGGCCGGCGTGTGGCTCCCGCCCCGCAGGACCTCCGGCGCGGCGTAGACGGGGACGGCCATGGAGGCGAGCCCCCCGGGGCCCTCCCTGCAGAGCCCGAAGTCGGAGATGGCGAACTCCGCCCCGGCCTCGTCGAGGAGGACGTTCGCGGGCCGCAGGTCGCAGTGCGTGAGGGCGGGGAGCGGGGCGCCCGCGGCGTCGGTCTTCCCGGGCCGGTGGAGGTAGGCGAGCCCCGCGCCCACCTGGCGGAGGACGGCGACGACCATCTCGCGCGGGGCGAGCTGCCTTCTGCGGCGGAGGCTCCGGATGGCCCCGTCGAGGGAGCCTGCGTAGCGCCGCATCTCGACGTAGATGTAGCCCTCGTGCCGGACGACGCGCCCGTACTCGACGACGTTCGGGTGGCGGAGGCGCGGGAGGGTCCGGAGCTCGAGCTCGAGCGAGGCCTGCGCGTCGGGGGGCAGCCCGTCGGTCGGGATCTCCTTGACCGCCCGGTCGGGGGCGCTCTTCAGGCCGTAGACGGTCCCGTGGGCCCCGCTCCCGAGCTCTGCGCCCAGGTCTTCGAGGAGGGCGTCGATGGCCTCGGACATCTTTTTAATCCGCGACTGGGCGATTGGGTGGGCTCAATCGCTTGGGCTCAGATCGGGGCCTGTATAGGTCTACAATGGTCACCGTGGCAGTCGTTGTCTCCCTTCTCATCATAGCGGCCGTCGCCCTCACATGCTGGCTCGTCCTGCGGAGGCGGCGGGGATCGAAGCCGATCTCGAAGAAGAGGGCAGCGGCCGAGAACGTGGAGCTCATGGGGACGGTGGACGAGTTCTAGCTCTGCGGCTGGCGGGCCGCAGCTCATAGAGAGTGAATGCTTAGGGCCCGGATCATCCCCTGGACTGACGCCCAGCCCCTTGCAAGCGCCTCCCGGACCGCCAGATCGTGGCCTGCCCCCAGCGGGTGGGTGCCACCGGCCTCTCAGTGCACAAACCTCAAGCTAGGGTGCAGGTAAGAAGACAACTTTGGTCATCGCGCCTCAGATGACCATACTGCTGCCACAGCAGCGAAGCTGAGAGTGTACTAGGTACTATGTTGCCACGTTCCTGGTCGAGAGGCCAGCCGTGATATCCATAGGACCGGACTCTCAGGGACTGACTAATACTTGATTCAGCCAACGGATTGTATTGGACGTAAAGAGGTAGCGGACATCTACCTTTACGACTCACTATAGATCAAGATACAGGAACCCATTGGGCTGATCCTTGGTTTCGCACGTAGCTGACGGTGAAGTACACGATGGATACCGCGACAGTCGAGAAGAGAGAGTATTGCTGTAGATTGTATTGTGATTGAGATACACAATCAGCAGGGCAAAAATCTGCAAATAAGGAGCACAATATGATACAGAAGTAACAGAGATTGCAGGGAGCAGTACTACTTAAACACCTTGTAAATGGATTGGACAATATCAGGATTTTCAATTTCAATTCATAGATCCTCGTATGTAATGTTGTGGATTTACTCAAGTTTCCCAAAAACTAGTATCAGCATCCAATAATATGGTAAAAAGATACACAGCAGTATTATTCAGCACTATTAAGGTCAAAGATTTTCTAATGGATTTATTATTAAGCAAGACAACAATTTCTCTGAATGCTGGTCTTATTACTTCTCTCCGCCATTTTATCATGTGACATGAATACACCTTTCACTGAGGAGCCCAGCCATGGGATGGGTGTGCGTTTCACTCAGCGTGGATTGGAGAAGTTTTGTCAGAAAGGTTATGCTATTATTCCTGATATCATCTCTGCAATGCCTTCACTTCAGGTCCCAGAAGTAACTGTTGGACCTCTCAAGTTTACTTTGTCAAATGTCAAACCTCGCGCAGCGCGCGTCTCGACTATGAAGGTTCATTTGCAGGACAACAACTTTGTCAAGATGGAGGCCCGGGACGGCATCATGCAGATCTCGATGCGGCTTAAAACTACCATCACTGGGATCACCGGGACCGTCGACTGCACCTTCACCCTCAAAGACTTCGGGGCAGACATCTCCCTGAGGATCGGAGATGACCCCACCTGTCCCTATCACTTCGGGCTCTTCGAAATATTGAATGTCATATACTCGTCTGGGCTCGACATCGATGCCATCGGACTCGACACAGGCGGATCTGTCCTTGCAACTGCCATCCAGGGCATGGCGCCCACGTTGGAGACCTTAATAAAGGACACCGTACTGCAGTTCCTCTTAGATACCATCTTTAAGTCGATAAAACAGTCAATGCTTAATTTGGGCCTTGTTGCTTATGTTGGTAATTATTGCACTGATCAGCGTTATATCGGCGGGATCAATATCATCGACAACAAGATAGTGGCAAACCAAGGAGGATATTCTATGATTGAAGATCCAATGGATTGGCCCATCCAAAAAGTCTATCCAAACAAGATCACCTCTCCTCCTCCAAAAACAGTCTACACTAATCGAGACTATGAGTTCTATCTTGACAGAGAGTCTTTTAACTCTTACTTATACATCTGGCATACGAAGTACGACAAGTTCAAGGCAGACGGTCTCACTGTTCCGTACAGCACCATCAGGGCGCAGAACATACCCGGCCTTGCAGAGGCTCTTGTGGAGGCCGGACTACTAAACAATGTTAACGACCTTGGACTCGGGGTCACCTTGACTCTGTCGGTCAGCCCCTCCAAGGACACTGCTCCCCACATACCGTGGATCGGGGCGGCTGCACTACCGGTCAACCTCACGGGGGCACTCGTTGTGACAGCCAGCAAGGCTTCCACCTCTGCTTCTAAACTGTTGGTTAGTGCAGAAGGCAATGTGCTCTTCTCTGCTCGACCTCGACTGAGAAAGCACACGTATGGGTTTAACAACGACCAAGCCCGTGCATACTTAGAACTCACTGAGCTAGCTAATATCACCATAACTAAGGAGGATAGAGGAGCCATGCATGAGTCCGAGCCCCTGCTGAAGTATCTAGTTCTAAACAAGTACCTCCCTTTTGTCAACAGCATTCTCATTGACCCAGGAGTATGCCTCATGAACGGGAACTTCATTGATCTTGCTAGCGTCACTCCTGTTCAGTTGTGCGACGAGGACAGGGTGCTTTTCGTCGCCGACATTGAGAAGAATCAGTACTTCACTTGAGTATTCATATTTATCCCATCTGGCACATACACAAGGAACCAAGCTATATCCGCGAACGGCCTCCTTTGAATAAAGAACGCCATCTCCGGTTTAGTTTTTAATGTAAACTCTTGTGCAGACTCTCGAGCGTGTGCTGACCACGGCAGCCGGTACCGTTGTCTAGCAGTCTCATACTAGAATGCAGGGTCATGCATTGTTTCAATAGCAGGTATGAGCAATACCGCACTGAGAACTGCACAGGCCAGAAAGATGATGGTAGCTAGCGAAGATGCTCAGTGTTTAATAAGGCCTCGTACTCACAGACCATGGTCCACACCAATACGTGGCTAAGATATACACAGATCGATGACTTCTCAGGAGAGAACTAGACAAACTAGTGAGCAGGAGCACAGCAGTGTACGGTTAGCATTGCACAAGCAAGGTAGCAGACAACACAATGGAGTCGGTGAGAATGGCGTCTAAAAGGGAGATGGTGCATGCAGGACCGATACACGAGCGCGCAGGATAGCGCAATCCTTCTAACAAAACTCGAGACGCTTGGGACCGAGCAAGAACTGGAGATGGCCATGCATGAAGTTCAGCTCCCTTGCGGCTATGGAAGGACAGTAGCATGCTAGTCGTTACATACACGTTCCCAAAGGTTGTGATATCACGATGCATACAACCAGCAGATCAATAGGATGGTTTGCTGGACAAAGTGCCTTCCCATCGTATTGAGAACTTCAGTGTGCAGATGAAGCAACGAGGCGCACATCCCCACACTATAGGTGACGGATGGACGAGACGATATGAGAGCCTGAGGAGAGGCAGCAAATAAGTGCCCGGTGGTATTAGCAATACCATTAGTCTCTATGCCCATAGTAGCGTTCTACAGTGGAAGGACCAGATGTTCATGGTACTAACGGGCAGTGGCTCGATGGGTAGATCAGTCGTAGCTTGTAGACTCCTAAGGCTATCCAGGTGGAGCGGTGGGTCAAGGCAAGGACAACTCCAAGCTGTACTAGAAGGTAGCGCTGGGTACCATTCCAACCCTCGGAGGATGCTTCCAAAACGACTGCACAACTCGACGAGGAGACACGTAGTCGTGCTAGAAGTTGCTGGTCCAGGCTGGTAGCTCTGGATAAGAAGTTGTCTCCCAGTGTTGTCTGCAGCAATAAGATGGACCTCGAGTGCGCGCACGCTGCCGCGGACTGTCGCCCTGCCACTCGGAGGGATGCGGTGGACCCGCTCGTGGTAGAAGGCAGCGAGGGCCTACGACGTCCTTCCAGTGGGCGCAGGAGTGGCCAGCGTCAGCTGTGGGGCCGCTCGAACAGGCTCAGCCCTCGTACCGGCTCCTCCCCGGCCGCTTCATTCACGGTGCCACCGAGAAGACGCGTGCCCTGACTCGCGAACCAAGGCGCTGACCATGGAGCAGCGACATGCGGTAAGTAGAGTACAAAAAATCCACAACACCGGCAAGCGATGCACTCGGGCAAAGGTGCCTCCTGCCTCGGGAGATCATGCATCTAGACACCGATGCTGCTCTTCCGTTGCTGCGGCTCCAGGCTTCCAGATAGTCCGGCCCTTTCCAGTATCACACATCCTCTTCTATCTGACATGAGACCAGGACTACGGTGCTCTGAGCTCTGAACGTCGCCCTATGGGTGTGGCGGAATTTTACAGCCCTCACTGTCGAGCGGCCTTACCCATAGGCATCCCCACAGCTCAGGGCCAGCAGGCGTAGGTGGCGCCCTTGCAGTGAGCCCCAGAGAACAGCCAGCGCGGAGTTTGATACGATCCTTATCATACCTCGCCAGACCTGGTCGAGAGCGCCCCCATTTTCCATAGAATGGCCCCCAACACAGTCCCAAGGCTGGGCGTAATGGGCAGCCTTTGGATTGCAGGGCGACACAGTGGATACTAGTGCACCCCGGCGAGACCTTGTGACCTGCTTCAGAGGTTGCAAGAAATGCCCGTCTCTGGCCTACGTTTGTGCTAACGCTACGGTTTCAGAACGAAGCGAGGGAAGAACGCCTTGCCAGGCTCCGTGGTAGCCCGTCTGTTTGGGAGACTGCAGATTACTGACTTGTGCGAGGCAACCGGAGGAGCCTGCTAGGCCAGACTACGAGGACTATGAGAGCCGCGGACATAGCAGCCACACGGCCCCTACCTTCTTTCGGCTTCTCGAATCTCAGTTGGCGCATCTGGCTGTGCACGACTCTATTTCCCTTTGTCAGGTGCATGGCGCGAGGGTAGAGCAGCCCAGTCACAGCGTTCAACGCGTCTACTGCTGGATGGGCCCGAATAGTAGAAGAATGCCTATGGGTGTAATGACAGCGGCGATTCACGGGCAGTCCACGATTGTACGTTCCACAGCCACCGACCGGAGTAGCCTTCGACTGGGCGTGTCTATACTAAGCCGTGGGCTGCTCTTCGAGGCTCTAGATGCGTTTGATCCCTGCTCATGCATCCTGGCCTTATGCCTGCGGGTCTTTGGCTCGCAGCTATCTGGGCTTTGTCTACCATGGACCGTTCGCTATGTATCCTTGTTCCTGGAAAGCCCTCTAATGGCTGACAGAACAGGATCACAGGCTCCTGTGTCGCCGCAGTACGTGTCCGTTTCCTTCACCAGGTGATCGTACTCTCGCAAATGACTCTGCCACCGGCTCTGTCGTCTTGGAAGAGTCTATACTGCAGGACTTCCCGTGAACTGTTTCTATGCAGATTAGAAATCTTACGTGCTTACCAACGTAGGGATCCAATAACATGGCGCCATGCTCACAGTCCCAGGGTCACCAGACAATGGAGCACGGGGCTGAGAAACTCAGATTGCAGCAGTCCAGCTCTTGAGAATCCCTGCATATATTAGGACAGAGTGACTGGGCTAGCACACAGTGACATATTGAACCAGCCAGAGAGGCAAACAATCTCCTCTCATGTAAGACCCCTGTATATCTAGGGCGCCCAGACCATCTGAACTCGTAGGCATGCATCCAGTTCAATATCGGTAATCTAAGCACTGATAGACCGGTTGTGAGGCAGAGCCAGTGCCGACCCCAAGAGCTCAACTGCTCTGAGGCAGCACATTGTAGGCTATAACATTCTACACACTTCTGCTGATCGACCTCGCGCTCCAGCTGGCGGCAGAGGAGTGCACAGAAGTAGCTGATGGCCGCCACAGCCACTGCACGGGCCTCCAGGGCAGGGGGTCTCTCTGCCACTGCAATCTGCAGCAGCGTGGGGGCCGCCCCGTGTGCTGCCCCCTCTGCCGTAGCGGGGCTTCAGGCATGCCATCGGGACTGTCCGACGGTCGCCGGTTGGGCCCTGTGTGACAGCAACAGACGAGAAGACTGTCCCACAACGACATGCCCTCGCTGGAGGACTGTCAGCAGGGCGGGGGAAGCTGCGGCCCACTGGGCGGGTGAACGATCTCCGTGGGTCCAGGCGCACTTCACTGCGGGTCTGTCGGCTCAGGCTCTGATGGGCGCCGCGATCGCTCTGCCCGGTCTGGCAGATCACGGGGGACCTGAGGCCGGCCTATTGGGAGGAGGACCGGGACCCTCGCTGATGGTCGAGCAGAGTCACCACAGGGGGGCATGAGCTCGAGTGAATGAGGGCCCTCTTAGCAGCGCGCATGTCAACCGAGCAAGGAGAATGACATAGCAGACACCAAAGGAGCCATGACCTTCTGAGCCCTCTGAGGTTTGTACTAGGCTCGCTGGGCTTATCAATCTCAGGCTCTGGTTCGCTCGAGTGAGCACTGCAAGGGTGGGAAGGGAACCTAAATGGAGATAAGCCTCCACAAGTGGCGGACAGAGTATCTGTGATCGACACTTGCCACTGATGCTGTCTGGCAACTTGGCTTCGAGAGGCCCATTGAGTAGGCACTCCAGGCAGTAACAACGCAGTCAGCTAGCCACTGCTCTAGACTGCTCCTGGAGACCTGCAGCGAGGAAAGGCGAAGTCCCTAGAGCTTACCGATGCAGTGCCAGAGCTTATGCTCTTCTTCGATGATCTGCTGAGGCTATCTCAACGGCTCCAAGATTATGGAGAGGGAAGCTTGATAGTAGGAATTCATAATCAGTGCTGCTCAGGACCCAGTAAGCCCTCCTCTCCAGTCATGGCGAGCTGCCGGGCCCTGGGAACGTCAGATGGCCTTGCCGATGTGCATGGGCGGTGGGTAAGAGTTCCTCAAATGTCTACGGTTCACCGGAGCTGTTTTACTACAGGCTGTCAGGCTTCTTCCATGACATCACAGGGTTTTTGAAGCAGAGGCCCGGCAGAAAGAAGGTGGTGATAAGATAGCCAGGTCTCCAGCAGTGCAACAGAGAAGACCCTTGCTCTATTAACCACGACTCGCTTCTGTTTCTGGACACAATCGAGCATTGACTGAAGTTACTCACGGGATCCTTGGGGTGTGCTCGTAGGCAAGGGTCCTAGCAGCACAACGCTGAAGATGACTGGTAGACGGAATGAAGAAGTCCGAAGCTCTAGTGCCCACCCTGCACTGGTGCCCAGCCGGCTACAACCCCACAATTGAAGTCATCTCTCATTGGGCACTTGCCACACAAGGCAAGAAGAGCAGAGGGGATCCAGGGCGTACAATCCGTGTTTGGTGCGCTATCTGGATGATCTGTAAACAATACCGTGAATCGCAAGCTTACCAGTACACGCGTTTCCTTTGTGACCATGGAATAAAAATGTCGTCTACAGATTATTCAGGTCAATTCCTTCAGGAGCACGACTGCGCCCCACCCCTCATGTCTGAGAAGAACACCGACGATGAGTATACGAGCGAAGACAGTCCCACCGAGTCTTCAGAGATGGATGGTGAAGATGGCGTGGACGAGGACGGCGTCACTGAGCTCATGAAGGCGGCCAGACGAAACGACGTAGATGCAGTGAAGCGCTATATTCCTCAGCAGGCGGGAATGGTGGCGAAGTTTTTCAGGGCAAGGATGGTAGATATACACGGGGGGACGGCCCTGATGGTCGCCGCGGTGCTTGGACACGCTGAGGTGGTGAAGCTGCTGATGAAGCACGAGAGCCGCATGAGGAGCAGCAATGAGTACACGGCCCTCATGTGGGCGACAGCCAACGAGCGTATCGAGGTTGTGAGGCTACTCCTGGATGCTGAGGGCTGCATGGAGAGGGACAGGGGCTTTACTGCCCTCACAATTGCAGCATACTTTGGTTGTTTGGACTGTGTCAAAGTGCTGTTGGAGAAGGAGAAGTACATAAGCAGCAGGTCTGCTCTTTGCGTAGCTGATATGAATGGTCACCCCGAGGTGGTGTCTCTTCTCAAGAGTGAAGGCGTTGGACTGGAGGAGCCCCGTCTACGGATGCCGCCCAGAAAGCCCGTGAGTGAACGCGCCTAACTGTTGATTGCATCCGACGATGGACTAGAATCTCCCTCAGCTGTGCAGCAAACAGACACCTCAATGAAGTGGTGGCTGTCAGTGGATCACGCAGCTGCCCGTTTCCGCAGAGGCCAGGGAGAGCAGGCCTCCTTGCCCCTGGCCAGCACTGGAACGCCGGTGGGTGAAACGGTCGCACGGGTGGCCTTCTCGCTCCTGATGCAGTAGTCCTCCGCAAGCATTGGTCACTACAGATCTGTAGACATAAACCTCTGTGGAAACAGATCGTTTCCAAAACGGTAGATTACCAAAATAATACCAGGATGGACACTGCCTTGTCTGGGTCTGCAACAACAGCTGTCAGTGTCCCACCGTTCACCCCTAGGGAGGTTCATGAGCGGTTAGGTGATGTGCTTAATGAAAACACCATGGGGACAGTCTACTCTCTCAAAGCTATCTGGGCCTCGCTGTAAAGGTCATTCAGCTTGGAGACCTGGACAAGGATGACGTGGAAATCATCAGACTAGAGCTGACCACCCTCCCCGACCTCTCCAACCCAGGGGTTCTCAGGCACCACCAGGTGCTTACGGACGAGGGCTTCACCTACATCGTCATAGACCGCCACGACAAGACCCTCGAGCGCCTCCTTATAGAGCACAAACGAAGGAAGACTCTCATCCCTATCGCTGTGATCCTCTCCGCCATGAAGCAGGTCGCTGCCGCCCTCGCCTACCTCCACGGCCTCAGCGAGGTAAGTGCTAACAGGCTTGTCCACCGCGACCTCAGGCCTACCAGCATCCTTATCAGCGCAGACGGAGAGCGCTTCGTCATTGCTGATTTCGGCCTCTGTAAGGACGCCCTGTGGAGTGGGAGCACTCTCATGGGAATAATGGCGTACATGGCCCCCGAGGTGCTCCTCCGTAATGAGACCAGCCCTGCTTCCGACGTGTGGAGCCTCGGGGTCATCCTCTACGAGATGGCCACTCTAAGGAAACCGGACTTCCTAGAAGGTAAAGACCCAGCAGAGGTCTTCGTGACGGGTGGAGGCCGGACCTGAGCGGTGTCACTGATGGCTTCATAAAGAGTGTTCTGGAGAGGATACTCGTGCTGGAGCCAGAGAGGAGGCCGATGGTCAGGGAGCTGCACGAGACGCTCGCTACATTCGACATCCCAGTTAGTGAGCTGGGGCATCGGTGTGTGGCGCTAGAGGACAAGTGCAGCGCCTTGGAGACTGCGATGAGTAATATTAATGACAGGATTGCTATTCTTGAGGCGGCCCTCGAGAGCAAGCCGACCAGGGACCGCGCCGAGCTCTGGATGCATCGATGGAGAGGAGCTCTTAGTATGTTATCCACAACCAGCCATCGTCTCCGGACGGTCGAGAAGTGGGCGCAGCTTACCCATGAGACCTCTGAGCGCACCTGCAGGCGGGCCCAGCGATACAGCGACAGCAATGTACAGGAGTGCGCCCCGAACAATCACTCCACAAAGGTGCGTTCTGAGTCTGGCCCTCACCGATCCTGTTCCTATCGAAGCCAGGGGGAACTGCGCTATCAGCCGACCTCTGGTGGGTGTGCTCCTATCTTGTCCTTCTCCAGTACAACTGATCAAGGAGAGTAAGAGCGGCTGTCTCTCACTGCTCGCGGCAACACACCAGCCTGACGGAAGAGCAGTGGCACGTGTACTCCGGCTAATGTTGGTAGGATTTCTCCTAGTTTGTGCAACCGTGCTGGCAAAGGACACCGGGAAGACCGCATGCGAGCTTTCCAACACAGAATGCGCCCAAAACCTGAAGGACGCGGGCTGCAAGACGTGCGTCGGGACGGAGCCTGACCAGACGTGCACTGAGTGTACAGATCCCTCCCACAATGTACAGATTGACAAGAAGAGTTGCGACGCCAACTGCCCGGAGCACGCCGCGGCCAACTCGAAAGTGTGCGGGTGCGTCGCTGGGTACCAGCCGACTCCCGGGCAGAACCAGTGCGAGCTTTCCAACACAGAATGCGCCCAAAACCTGAAGGACGCGGGCTGCAAGACGTGCGTCGGGACGGAGCCTGACCAGACGTGCACTGAGTGTACAGATCCCTCCCACAATGTACAGATTGACAAGAAGAGTTGCGACGCCAACTGCCCGGAGCACGCCGCGGCCAACTCGAAAGTGTGCGGGTGCGTCGCTGGGTACCAGCCGACTCCCGGGCAGAACCAGTGCGAGCTTTCCAACACAGAATGCGCCCAAAACCTGAAGGACGCGGGCTGCAAGACGTGCGTCGGGACGGAGCCTGACCAGACGTGCACTGAGTGTACAGATCCCTCCCACAATGTACAGATTGACAAGAAGAGTTGCGACGCCAACTGCCCGGAGCACGCCGCGGCCAACTCGAAAGTGTGCGGGTGCGTCGCTGGGTACCAGCCGACTCCCGGGCAGAACCAGTGCGAGCTTTCCAACACAGAATGCGCCCAAAACCTGAAGGACGCGGGCTGCAAGACGTGCGTCGGGACGGAGCCTGACCAGACGTGCACTGAGTGTACAGATCCCTCCCACAATGTACAGATTGACAAGAAGAGTTGCGACGCCAACTGCCCGGAGCACGCCGCGGCCAACTCGAAAGTGTGCGGGTGCGTCGCTGGGTACCAGCCGACTCCCGGGCAGAACCAGTGCGAGCTTTCCAACACAGAATGCGCCCAAAACCTGAAGGACGCGGGCTGCAAGACGTGCGTCGGGACGGAGCCTGACCAGACGTGCACTGAGTGTACAGATCCCTCCCACAATGTACAGATTGACAAGAAGAGTTGCGACGCCAACTGCCCGGAGCACGCCGCGGCCAACTCGAAAGTGTGCGGGTGCGTCGCTGGGTACCAGCCGACTCCCGGGCAGAACCAGTGCGAGCTTTCCAACACAGAATGCGCCCAAAACCTGAAGGACGCGGGCTGCAAGACGTGCGTCGGGACGGAGCCTGACCAGACGTGCACTGAGTGTACAGATCCCTCCCACAATGTACAGATTGACAAGAAGAGTTGCGACGCCAACTGCCCGGAGCACGCCGCGGCCAACTCGAAAGTGTGCGGGTGCGTCGCTGGGTACCAGCCGACTCCCGGGCAGAACCAGTGCGAGAAGGCCCCTAACACGCAGTGCAATACTCCCAACTGCAAGACCTGTGACAACCCCAAAACAGACAACGAAATCTGCACCGAATGTAATGATGGCAACTACCTCACCCCGACAAAGCAGTGCACGCAGAGCTGCGGAACAATAGGAAGCTACTATGATGGAGACAAAGCGTGCGAGCCTTGTGATCCTAGCTGTGCTGGGTGCACCACAAAGGGGCCAGCGAAGTGCACGCTGTGTCCTCCCGGGAAGAGGCTCCAGTACACCAATGATGATCCTAATCAAGGTGGATCTTGTGTAGATGAGTGCAAAGCAGAGATGGACGGGTGTGCAGAGTGTGGAGCGATAATCGGCGGTACGAAGTACTGTTCAAAATGCAAGGAAGATAAGTGGGCACCTCAGAATGGCGTGTGCGCTAATTCAGTAACAAGGAATTCATTCTGCACGAACGCAGCAGGTGGTGTATGCACTCAGTGTGCTGCAGATCATTTCCTTCAAGATGGCGGTTGCTACAAACTCGGCAGACAGCCTGGTGTCCAGATATGTGCAGCGGCGGGTCCCAATAGCCTGTGTACTACGTGCGTAAATGGACAGAGACCAGATACCAATACTGGAGCCTGTCCTGTGTGTCCAACAGGCTGTGACACATGTACAGGGACATCCTCGCGGGCGCCCGAATGCCAATCTTGCCTTCTGGGATACTATTTCGATTCTGATAAAAAACTGTGTGTGAAATGTACCGAGAATAGTAGTGCTATTCAAGGTGTTAGCAGCTGTGTGAGCTGCGCTCCTCCATCTAACAATCAAGGATCTGTCGTCTGCTACCTCATAAATGATAGCGGTAGCACAAACAAGAGTAGCGGGCTCTCCACGGGGGCCATAGCGGGGATCTCCGTTGCTGTGGTCGTTGTTGTGGGGGGTCTCGTAGGGTTCCTTTGCTGGTGGTTCCTCTGCCGGGGCAAGGCGTGACTTAGGTAGTGAATGCTGTACAATGTGTGATAGAAGGTGATAGTGGGTGATAGTGTGATAATGGAGTGTGATATGTACAGCAGCCAGTGATGGAGTGTGCACTGCTTGTAACACAGCTAACCAGTACATATTCCAGAACAAGGCTACGACAGTGACCCCTGGTGGGGAGTGCATACTGTGCCATGATGCCACGGGAGCGAATGAGAACAAGGGAGTGGCTAATTGCCTCAAGTGCACGGCACCAGCTAATAGTCCAGGGGCTGCCACGTGTACTGAGTGCATGTCTGGCTTCTCAGGAGACTCGTGTGCTACTCAATGCGGAGGAGACTGTGCCGCCTGTGATAAGAGTAACCAAAATCAGTGCACCTCTTGTAAGACTGGGAAGTACCTGAAAGAGAATCAATGTGTGGAAAAAAGTGCATGTAACAACAATCACTACCCCGATGACACTAGCATGACCTGCGTCGCCTGTAGCACCATACAAGATTGCACAGCATGCACAATGGACCAGTCCACGGGGAAGCCAAAGTGCACTAACTGCGGTGCCAGTAAGATCCCCAGGACGACTCTCGACGGAACCTCGACCTGCGTGACAAAAGGGTATGATCAGTGTCAAGGCACAGATAAGGAGCTGTTCATGAAGGAGGACCAATCGGCGTGCTTATTATGCGGAGACAATACTGAGGATACATCTGAGTCCAATAAAAACCAGGGAACTCCTAATTGCAAGACCTGTACCAAGACAGCATCCACTAAACCGGTCTGTGAGACGTGCAAGGATGGCTTCTTCTTTAATACTGGTGATAAGACATGTACAAACAAGTGCGATGCCACCTGCAAGACGTGCTCTGCTGCTACAGATGCTAACCGATGCTTAACTTGTATGCCCGGATACTTCCCCATCGATAGTACAGATCAACAAGGGAAGAAGTGCGTCCCATGCGATAGTGTGGACGACAAGGGTCGCGAAGGGTGCAGTGTCTGCTCTAACACTGGTGGATTCAAGTGTACTGAATGTAAGGTGAACTATAAGAAGCAGTCCAATGGAGATGCAGGGGATGACTATACATGTGTGAAGACCTGCGAGGATGAGACTGCCTGCGGGGGTACTTCTGGGGCTTGCGATGCAATAGTGATTGATGCTAATGGAAAGGAGCTTCACTATTGTTCTTATTGTGGAGAAGCTAATACGTATCCTATAGATGGGAAGTGTAATAGTGCTAAAGCAAATAATCAATGTGATCAAGGTGTATGTACACAATGCACCAACAATTACTTCCTGTATATGAATGGTTGTTACAAGGTTAATACAGAACCAGGTAGCCTCATGTGCAAGACATCAAGTAAGGAGGGTGTCTGTACAGAAGCAGCCAACAATAAGTACTTCCTGGTCCCAGGGGCATCCAACACTGATCAATCCGTGCTAGCTTGTAGTAATCCTCTAGGCACACTAATAGGCACTGATAGTACCGCTAAGGCATACGTGGGAGTATATGGCTGCTCCCAGTGTACAGCCCCAGTAGCTCCATCTGAGACTGGTATGACCCCCGCTGTCTGTACCTCCTGTGACAGTGATAAGAAGCCCAACAGGGATGGCACTGGGTGTGTGCTGTGCTCTGACACCAACTGCAAGAGCTGTGTGGTGGACGGTGTGTGTGGGGAGTGCAGTGATGGGTACAGTCTAGAGGGTGGCAAGTGCGTGTCCACTGGCGCCAACAGGGGCGGGCTCTCCACGGGGGCCATCGCGGGGATCTCCGTCGCTGTGGTCGTCGTCGTGGGGGGCCTCGTGGGCTTCCTCTGCTGGTGGTTCGTGTGCAGGGGGAAGGCGTAGGTACTTAGGTAGTGAATGCTATACAATGGGTGATAGTGTGATGATAGTATGATAGTGGAGTGTGATATGCACAGCAGCCAAGGATGGAGTATGCACTGCTTGTAATACAGATAGTCAGTACATATTCCAGAACAAGGCAGACAAGGTGACCCCTGGTAATGAGTGCATCCTGTGCTCTGATACTAAGGGAGCAGATGGATATACGGGAGTGGCCAACTGCGCCACATGTACAGCGCCAGCTAGTAGTACAGGACCTGCCACGTGTACAGAGTGCCAAGCAGGGTTCGTTAAGAAGGGTGATGCATGTGAGAAGTGTGATCCGTCCTGTCTGACCTGTGAGACATCGGCGGCCCAGTGCACATCGTGTCCAGAGGGGAAGTACCTCAATGGGAATCAATGTGCTGATAACTGTGGTAATGATAAGTATGCTGATCCAGAGTCGGGAACGTGCAAGGCATGTAGTACAATAACTGATTGCACAGAATGCTCCTTTGACGAAGCTAAGGGGAAGCCGAAGTGCACAGCCTGCGGTAGTCAGAAGATCCCCAGGACGGCCCTCGACGGGACCTCGACCTGCGTCGATAAAACGCTTGAAGGATGCAAGGGCACTGACAAGGAGCTGTTCATAAAGGAGGACCAATCGGCGTGCTTATTATGCGGAGATACTACAGGAACTAACAACGATAAGGGGATTGCTAATTGTAAGACATGCACTAAAACACAAGCTAACGCCGCACCTGTCTGTGAGACGTGCAAGGAGGGATACATTAAGAAGGGAGCTGATGCGGCCGCCACGTGTGAGGCTTGTCATCAGAACTGTGCCACATGTTCTGAAGCTACGACAGAAAATAAGTGCCTGACCTGCAAGGAGGGGTTCTTCCTGGCCGGCACCGGCGAAGGAAAGTGCATCTCGTGCAAAGACGGGGCAGAAGGATCGTACAAGGGAGTCCCTGGATGCGCTCGCTGCGACGCCCCGTCTGCTGCTGGACCAGCTGTGTGCAAAGCCTGTGACCACGGGTACTCTTTACAGGGAACAACGTGTGTGAAGACTTGTGAGGACCCCACGGCTTGTGGCGGGACAGCTGGAGCCTGCGATGCTATAGTAATCGACAATGATGGAGTAGAGCATCATTACTGTTCCTATTGTGGAGAGAGTGGTAAGTATCCTATCGATGGTCTCTGTGTTGATTCAAATGGAAAGCAAGGAAATACTTGTAACAACCATGTCTGTGAGTCTTGTACTACGGGGTACTTCCTATACATGAACGGCTGCTATGATGTGTCGAAGGCTCCTGGCAACCTCATGTGCAAGACAGCAGCCAACGGGGTCTGTACTACTCCCAATGCCAACAATAGATACTTCATAGTACCAGAGGCACAGGCTACTGATCAGTCCGTGCTAGCCTGTGGCAACCCATTAGGCACATTGATAGGTACTGATAGTACCGCTAAGGCATACGTGGGAGTGGATGGCTGCTCCCAGTGTAAAGCGCCAACACAGCTAGACACTCCTGGTATGGCTGCTGCTGTGTGTACCTCTTGTGACAGTAGTAAGAAGCCCAACAAGGACGGCAGTGGGTGCTTCACATGTGCCGTTAGTGGATGCTCGCACTGCAACAGAGACAACATGTGCGAGGCATGTAGTAGTGGTAAGAAGGTGAGCCCTGGGAGGAAGTCATGCGTGGATGGCTGTCCCAGCAACTCCACTGACACCGACTCTGTCTGTGTGTGCAGTGATGGATACAGCCCTGATGATGCTGGGACCTCCTGTGTGTCCTCTGGCGCCAACAGGAGCGGGCTCTCCACGGGGGCCATCGCGGGCATCTCCGTGGCTGTCATCGCTGTCGTGGGGGGCCTCGTCGGCTTCCTCTGCTGGTGGTTCCTCTGCCGGGGGAAGGCATAAGTACTTAGGTAGTAAATGCGTCACTAGTGGTGCAGCTGCCTGACAAGCGGGTATGCCTCATATACTTCACCAGCCAGCCTGCAACTGGGAGCAGGGGTGGCCGCTCCCCTGCCCCCGAGCGTGCTCTGCACAGCGCCGTTGACACCGTCATGGCCGGGGACGGTGCACTCGATATTCCGTGTTCGCTCTTGACGAGCTGCATCGATGCGAGGAGGGGTGCTTGATGTGGGCAGTTTTGGTACTGTCCATGCGATAGGTAGCTATCCAAGACTCAGAGTAGGAAGCTCACGGAGGCCACTGAAGTTGCGCTGGCCACCATTTCCAGACGCTCACACCCAGGCGTCATTAGGCACTACCGGATGCTCAGAGACGCTCACTCCATCGTCATCGTCATGGACCGCTGGGATCGGTGCCTCAAGATGTGATTGCCGATTGTGCAAGAACCGGTAACCCTACCGATACAGTGCTCTCCATCATGGAGCAGATCGCCATCATCCTCGCCTACCTTCACGACCCCGACAAGGTCGATGCCAGTAGAGATGGCAGGCTCAGCTCTTGCGGACTTCGGGCTCTGAAGGATGTCCTGCACAATGGGAGTGCCATTTTGGGAACCAAGCATACATGGCCCCCAAGACCCACCTCAGGGGCGAGGCCGGCCCTACGTCAGACGTCGAGTCTTCGGTGCTATTGCCTATGAGCTCTTCACTTTCAAATGCCTGATCTCCTGGGAGCAGCACCCGAGGAATGTCTTCGTTAATGGGTGGAAGCTCAGACTGAGTGCAGTTGAAGATGAGTTCACAAGAGCCTCGAGAAAGTGCTCACCAGACTATTCTAGGCATTCAGTTCCTCTGCTAGTAGATGTAGTACTCGAGACGTGGACCGGGAATACAGGTCACTCGATTGCACCTTGTATAGTACCAGTCATGAGGCTGACCCTCCTAAACACTGGTTTATCAGTAATAAAGAGCAAGCCTTCCAGGAACCTACACCGAGCAATCCCACACTCACAAAGGCTCTCTCACAAGCATGGCTCTAGCTGCTAGAAGTTGCGTTATCAGACTTTCTAACTCTAGAGCTCGTCAAGCTATAGGTAGTTAGAATTCATTGGGGTTAAGGAGCAAACCATTAAAAGCAACAAAGTGATTGAGCTCTACTAACAGTTCACCAGCTCAGAGGGAGGTTAGATGGGTGTAGAGCATTAGGGAGGCTAATCGATAAAGAGCTCATTCGGAAATGAACACCTGGCAAAGGACGTTACATACCAACTGGCCCGTAGTCGTTGAGAACAGTGGCGCTAACGTCTTAAGAGCGAAAAGTAAATCTTCTACAAATGTACATGCTGGCATTCATTAGCTGTGTCCAATGAATAATTAATAAATGACAAATCAACTTGTAATGATTCTAAATCAATTGTCCCTCAAAAACAAATGCACCATCCGACGATCTACTGGGCGCAACGCAAGGACGTTGTCTACATGAGGCTCTCTGTATCCTCTGCCACAGACGTGAAGTTCAAGATCGCCGAGGAAACGATTCACTTTGCTTGCAAGAGTGGTGGGAATGACTATGCCTGCAAGCTCACTCTTTTTGCACCGATCAATCCGGACGAGTCCAAATATAAAGTGACTGGCCCCTGCATAGAGTCGATTCTTCAGAAGAAAGAGGCGAGCGATGAGTTTTGGACTAGTTTGACAAAGACCAAGCTGCCTTACGTGCGCATCGATTGGGACCGCTGGGTCGACGAGGGCGAGGACGAGAACACCGCAGGGGCGCTCCCCAACCCCAACGACATGGATTTTGCTAGTATGATGAAGAACATGGGCGGTGGAATGCCCGGCCTGGACGGGATGAACTTCGATCCCAGCAACTTCAAGATGCCGGAGGGTGCCGACTTCGGAGATGAGGAGGACGACGACAACAAAGACGAAGAGGACGGGCCCGACGAGGAGAAGAAGGAGTCTGGCGAAGAGAAGGCAGAGGAGTAAATGCCTGGCAATTATTTACTTGTGCTTGGGACCCGATCAGAGCTTCAAGTTGAGGGGCCCCTTCCTTGAGATCCTGTGGGCGTTATTCCCGTCATACTGGAGCTCTCCCCTCTCCCTCAAGTCCTCATACTCCTCCTTCGTGAACTCTGTGAAGCCCCAGTTCCTGGACTCGACGATGGCCTGGCGACCCGGGATCTTGAACTTGGCACGCCTGAGCGCATCCTTTACATAGTCCTTGGCGCTGGCCCTGCACCTAACCGAGAGCAGAGGCTGGCCGATGGAGACTCGCGCAACAGTGCCTTGGGGCTTCCCCCACGCTCCACGCATCCCCGTCTGCAAGCGATCGGCGCCAGCGCACGAGAGCATCTTGTTGATGCGGATCACGTGGAACGGGTGGACACGAATGCGGAGGTGGAACGAATCTTTCCCTGCCTTCTTTGCGATGTACTTGTTGCAGGCAATACGACACGCCTCCAAAGCTTCCGAGGAGACCTGCTCCTTCTCTCCTGAAAGAAGGTGGAAGCAGTACGGGAAGTCGTTAACCTTCGCCCTGCGGTTTCCGAGGTCAAAGTATCGGATTTTTGGGTCAGGAACCCCACGGCAGAAGCGCGACTTGGGGTACGGCTTGTTCTTCTGATAGCGGTAGCAACGTGCTGGTCTGCGTCCCATCTCGGGGGAGTCTTATAAACTCGTATGAAAGTGAATTTAAATTTGTTTACAATTCTTGGAGAGGTGTCGAACAGATGAAGATAGATGAACATGCTAGAGAGGAATGGCACCATACTTTTTTCCGAGATTGACGATCGCTTAACTAGTCAGCAAATTCGGGAGGCCCTGTTTGTCGCGTGCAGTAGTTTTGGCCCTGTTCTCCGTGTCTCGTCGAACCGTAAAGCTCTTCGTGGCAAGGCATTTGTCGTCTTTCTTTGCTTTCCAGACGCCGTGGCCTGTGCCGCACGGCTCCATGGCACTTCGTTCTTGTCAGCCTCTCTCAATGCACAAATAGTCTAGCATTACCGGATTATGTTTCGTTGCTTTTGAGTATTGCTGCTGCATATGCTACGCCAAGCAGTCCGGCTGCACCATATGTGATCATTGTGAAGGTAATAATATAATATACCTTCCCGCCATGGAAATCTAGCAAGATAAAGTCCCAGATAAGGCCTAGACAGATGGGAATGACGACTGAACGGATGGACATGGTTGCCAAGAATATCGTTAAGGGCTCTGGAGGCGTCGGAATCTCAAGCCTGCGCAAACACTGATTGGTTCTTTTCCTGGTGAAGTATGTTGTGATGGATATGACGACGGCGTTGAATAGAGAGACACCGATGATGACAATTAACGCTATAGGAATGCTATATTTAATATACCCAGTCAACTCATTCTGCAGGAAGTTATTAGTTAGTCCGAAGTATGCCAATATGAACAGCGCATTGCTACTTAGGAGGTTATCTAGTCTAGCTACTGTGATCAGCTCCTGGTGCTCAATCCTCTCTATCGTCCACTTTGCAGTGTGAATCTGCATTTTCCACCCCTAGACGCATCTACAGCGAAGGGCACCTGTTTACTTCTCCTTACCAACTGATCACTGTACAGCAACTTACAGTGCCTTACTCCACAATCTCCTCGTACACTTTGCACCACTCTTTCATACGCTCCAAGAAGGGAGCACTTGTAATAGCCTTCTTAGCTTCCCCGACAAGGTCAGGTGCGTATTTGGCTGGATCTGTTACTTTGAAGGTGAACTCCCAATCTTCTGGCTCCGTGTCACAAAACGGCTCGAGGACAGCAGTTCCCTCCAGGGGATCTTTGTCTGCAGCCTTGTAGGTCACATTCATCTTAATCTTGAAGTCATAGGAAGATCTCAGCTTCCCCTTGCGCACATTCTTGAAGGCCTCACCTTTCGCCTCCGTAACAGACACATCAATGACTTCTGTCCCACTCAACGTGTGCTGGAACGTGAGTCGCTTCTTTATCTCTGTAATAGCCCAATCAGTAAAATCCTTCTCAGACCAATGCCACCCGTTGATGTTGTGAGCACTAGGACTAGCCATCAATTTTCCTTTAATTGATCTTAGCATCCATCTAATGTTGTGCCAAATAAATTAAAATATGGAATGCTGAAAAGTTCCAAGATCTAAATTCCTAAGCCCGGGACCTAAATTCCAACCAATGCCTTTTACAACGAAGAGTATCGTGCATGAGACAATGATGGCCCCCGGGGTCGAAAACCGCCAGCATGCCTTCGGCGTGTTCATGGACACATTCAATGCGATGAGGAACTACTTTTTGGAGCACTATGAGAAGGGCATAGGGATGTTCATTCCTAGCCTTGGTGCCTTTTTCTTTGATAACATCCACGACGCTAGAACAGACCGCCCAGCCAGAATCCCCCGCTTCGTATTTCTTTCACATTTTCTCACCCGATCGGGGTTGCAGTGTCCCAAAGATCAGAACGCAGACACGCTCAATCTCAACATGGGTAGCCTCTTTGAAACAAAGGGTCCGATGCATCGTATAAACTGGACAACTGTGGCCGGAAAGGCAGGCCTCACCCCTGCAGATTGCAAGGAAGCGTGGGACCTCTTATTGAAGACTCTACAAAGTAATATCCTTTCCGGGGTAGATGGCTCTATAGATTTCGGCATTGGAACCTTTACAACAACCAATTTCAGAGGGGGTATGAAGCTTAAGAAGTGGGTGCAAGCAGACCTTTGCAACAATGGAACCCTGGGCGTTGTTAAAACTAACCAGGCCATGACAACATTGGGGACATTCAGGGTTACTGAACAGCTTCCTCGTGGGACGACCATAATTCGCAAATAACTCTGCTTGAAGGCGTGAAGAAGGAAACGATCTTTATATGTTTGTAGATTGGGACTTAGATTGGGCTTTGGACCTTGACCGCTGCTTTTTTGTGCCATACATGCATTGCTTGATCTGGACAGCAGACTCTTCGCAACTTCGTAACTCACCCAGGGTAAGCTTGTCCCATTGATCGAATGTTAACAAAATCTGCGCAAACTGATCTTTGAGACTTGTCTTGAGTTGGGTGATTAAATGTCGCTGAATAAACTGGCGAATGATGTTGGATTCTTTGTTATAGATTATCTCTACTGTAGTGCATGACACATTTGATTCGGCTCCGCAGATCCAGTCGTGGGGGATTTTGAGTGTAAGTTCGTCTCTTTGTCGCTTTCTCAAGCAATCTGCGGGTACATCAACGGTCTCCAAATGTTCATTGTCTAACCAATTTGGCGCCGGCTCCCCACAATAGCAATCCTGAAAATGGAACCTCATTTCTACTGTGACCCGAGGGTTTCCATAAGGACTCCTTGCCACATAGATTGAATAGGGAAACTCAGTAGTGGAATAAATCTTTGTCTTGATCCCTTGATACGCTAAAGGCAGATTGATGTACTCTGGAATATCCTTGAAATGGACCCGGCTTGCTGAGATTACTCCAGATTGACTTCCAGGCAGATGCTGAATTAGCAGAAGGCGCCTTTGATCCCCAGGAAAGCCTCTGGCTGTAACAAAGCGGAGCCCTATACTAGTTTGTAACGCAGTGAGGGGCATCAGAAAAGAAATGGCCTGTGTTTGCATTTTAAAATCCTGACGTGAAATGTTACAGGGAAGGATTACCAATGGTTTACCAGAGAGATTGCGAACCAATACGCAGGGAAAGAGGATTGTAGAAAATAAAAAGTAAGCAACCCAATCTGGTTTGAGTCAAGCTAGGCTTATCTATTTCGTTTGTGCATGGTGGTAATTATTCCCATTTGTACACCGCTAGCCAAGACGACGAGGGCAATTTCGATGATGACAAATATCCATAAGCGACGGGAAACAGATTTGAGGCCGCCGATAAGCCTATTTTCTCTATACTTAGAATACCTCTGGTCAGCCTGAACATTGGACATAAGTTTGTGTGCTTGATCCACAGTTACCGTGTATCGATCAACCGACGCAGAGCTAGACGCTCTAGCCACATCTATTCCAAAGTCGCAAGTTGCTACCGTCTCCTTTATACTTGCAGCTCGCGGTTGTGCACCAGTAGTATTGGTCTCAGGAGCTTCCTTTAAGATTACCTCAAAACAAAAATGGTACGTCCCTGGCTTTGTGACAGAGATAGCATAGGCTTCGCTGTCAGTGATGCTTGAGTATATAGGAGCCTTGATGCTGGGGGTGTTGATTGAAAACCGTACCTGGTAAAGGGCTGACGGATTGATGGCAACTCGCCCAGAGACTTCATCACCAGCAGCCAAGTTCTCGTGCATGCAGAACCGCTTCTTCGGCTTCAAAAAGAAGCTGAGTTCGTCGCAAAGCACCGAACTTATAACTGCAAATATGGTTAAAATCATTGCTAAGATTTTTTTTCAGACTACGAATAAAGTGATGCGATTCAGTGATCAGTTTCTTGCTCGGGTGGCTTCCCAGCTGGACCTGAAGCTCCTCTTTAGGTTCCAGGGCTTGTCACAAAGAACATACGAGGCCGGTTATCAAGTTACGGCACTCAACAATGTTGATCTGCATTATCCGGGGCTGAATAAGGTCTTGATAAAATACAGAAAGGTTCAGCAGGCATCGATAATAAGCCTCTACTCGGCTCCTGCTCGCCCCATTGGGGTCTTATTTTATCGATATTGGGTTGATCTCAAGTCTCTTTCGTTCACCTTTCAACGCTGCGACATCTTCGTTAACTTTATAAGTACTTCGCTGATTAAAGGAAAGGATGAGACGGAATCGGAGAAGAGCTTTCTGGCGTTAACAGACCTCAGCATTACTATCTACACTACAGGAGATTCCAAATACTGTTCGCCGCTAAGTGTCTTTCCTCCTGTGCATGCAGCAAAAATCAGAAGGCTGGTTTATGATTGCAAGTTTGAAACAAGAATTCCTACCGCCTTCAAGAACTTTACTGCGATTCAAGACCTTACCCTCTACGGACCAAGCGAGCCCAACTTTAGACTAATTAACATGCCAAGCCTTAGAAACTTAAGACACTTTATTGTTCATAAGGCGAACTTATATCCTGTTGAGATTCTTGCTATCCTAAAGAGTAATCCAACAATAGAGATTCTTGAGATCTATGCTATTTCTCTGGACCCTCCCCAAGACGATGGCTTTTCCTTAGTGACAATTTGTTCGGATTTAGAGCGGAAAGATGGTACTTTATGCGATGAACAAGACAGTCAATACAAACAAACCTTCCGGAAAAAGTACAGACTGAATCCGTACAAGACTGTCACCAACCTGAAAAGCATTATGATAAGCACTGCATCCCAGGTCCCTCTCGACATCGTTACCCTTGTTACTGCGTGCAGTCCCCACTTGATCAAGTTGTCTATCAGCAATTCTGTCTTTATATCGCGTCACTTTATTAAAGAAACTCGCTTCCTAGACATTCTCAAAGAAAACTTCACGTGTCATAGCGTTCTATCTCTTGCATGTACTACAGATAAGAAGCAGGAAGAGGAGGAAGAACGAGAACGCAGCAAGTGCCCAGCAGCTTTGCCTGCAGATAAAAATCGTTCTAAGCCTAAGTTACTACAGCAAAATGATGTGCCACCGGATGCTGATTTGAGTGGAATCAAGCTCGTTACCCCAACAACAACAACAGCGTCACTATCATCTGGTCAGTCGTCTATGTATTCTGGTCTAAGCTCTAACACAGACATTGTTAAGCGTCCGCCCTTCTCGTCAACAATTAAGACATGCTGTCAAGATGCTCGGATGACAACTGATAGCATGTCTACGCCTGAGCTGACATCCTCAGTAATATTTGAACAGAACGATATGTCTAAGGATGATTTAAAATCCACCTCTCTAAAGAGCTATCTTCCCTGCATTGTTACTGACGCTCTCGCGCAGATTAAAACAGATTATCGAAATGATGCTGACCTTTCTTCGGAGGACACTATACCGCCTTCTCTCTTCAAGCATAACGTTGCAGACAGCTCTCTACCTAGTTTTCAAATTAGATACTCTGAGTCTCAGCCTCATCTGGTAACGTACTCTGCACCCTACTCTTCAATTTCTACTACAACATATGTCGACAACATCCCTGATTCTACATTCAGTTTTCAATCTTCTGTATACTCAATGAGTGCAATGCTCCACAACCCCAGCCTCACTATAGATGGATATCCCAGGAAATACTATGATAGCCATCTTGCCAGAAATAGAAGTAGACTATCATCAGCTACAAATGGTATTCAAAGTACTTACAATGATATTTACAATAGTGACCAAGATAGCACCAGATCATATGTTCTAGTGAACGATGAGCCTTACAGCAGGTCTCCATCAGATGACTCTGACAACTCTGGTACAAATCAAGAACTAGATAGAGAGCAAGATTTGGACCTGGTCAGCTTTCATCATCCTCGAAACATTGTTTCCAACAAGAATGTATACTCCGGCGCTCTACCTCATCTGTCTAACAATTCTCATCAAATAACATGGAACTTCTATCCGTTTTTGAATCCTCAAGAACGGATGTTGTCTCACACCCAGAGTCCGTGGCATGCAGATGATCCTATTCATAAAAGATACCCGTTTGTTGGCCAGCTTTCCTCTCAGAAGAAGGAGCTCCCCTTTCTTAGCAAGCAGTTACAACCACCATATTACTTCAATGATCCTGCACTAGGTCACAGAACCTCTAATAAGGATGGGGATAGACACGGAGGAAAGTGCTCACAACGTCCAAACTCCGTAGGAAAGTGTTCCGGTACATCTGTAAGATTTTTCACGAAATGCCAAGACGCAACTGCCCATAAGCAACGGAGTAATGAAAGTAGCCAGCTCTCGCCGCTCAGGCCTGAATCGTGTGCTCGAAGAGCGAGGATGCACATGCGCGTATATAGTTCAATGAATGATTACAGTGGCTACGGAGTATTTACTACTTCTAGTACACGTACAGACGCATCACTAAATAATTCTGATACTGCCTCTGTCAGATCAGTGCAGTCAGGTACTCATTTGGATGCCAGTTCAGACGAGAAAGCCAGCTCGTTACCTCCAGCTAACCTAGATACTAATTTTTCCTGTAGTGCTTCATTGCCTAGCTACAAAAAGACCTGTACTATTCCATTACAGACTGAAGAAGAGCCTCTGAACAACCTAGGAAAGAACTTACTTGATGGCATTCCAAACAACCCGCTGCTGATAGCAACTGCCAAGGAATCGCCTCACGCAAACACAGCTCCGTCACCTCCTGTTAATTCACTGAGCTTGGAGCAACCATATCAGCCCTTGCAGATAAATCTATCAAAAACTACCAACGCTTCAGACTCCAGCTTTGAGAAATATGTGACGATGGTAACAGGCGTTTCTGCGAAGAAAAATAAGCTCTCTAGTCTTAGTCAGACCTTGAGCCTTTTCGGTGGCTCTTTGCCTGAGGACCTCGAGAGTAATGCTACCGCAAAACTGATACCAGGAAATACTCAGAATGCTCAAGAGCAGCAAACTACAGAAGGCCAGATAGACGAGGGTTTTAAGCCATATGCCTCGACAACAGATCTAACTTCTCGAGAAACGTCCATGATAATACCTCATAATCCAGGACTAACCAATACTTCTACATTCTCTGTGACTAGGAATATCAATTCCTTGTTGCAGAATATGTGCATTCCTCAAGACAGTGAAGAGGACCTAGATGATGCTGAGGAGGTAATGCCACAACTACTAGTATCACACCTTAGAGCCATTTCCACTCCTATAGTACATCTTCACGAATTTGAACAATCAACCCGCAACGCGCTGATTTCGGAACGAGTCCATAATACAAAGTGTTTTACCAGTCACGACGATGCTTGGTCATACATTGGCAAGTGCATGGAGTGGACTGAAGAAGATAAGATAATAGCAGGGGGCTTCTACCAACAAACTGCCTGGAAAAATGCTGCATTTATGTGTCAGCGGTACGAGAAAACATATATGGACATGGCCCGCAGTGCGGGGGTGCTAGATGGCAGCACAGATGAGGCCAGCTTCCAACCTATCATCAAGTGGCTTCATCAAGGTATAAGGTTAAAGGGACCAAAGCAGCTGAAGACAGCATATTTATGGTCCAACTACCATATGTTATCACCAATATACGACGATTGCAAGTTCACCATCAGAGATATGCAGAATGAGCTCTTTCAAGCCAAGATGAACTCACAGCTCGCTGCTATTGAGCCTTTCTTTAACACCAATATCTCGGGAAAGCCATTTTATCAGACGAAAACGGCTAATACGGGATATGTAGAGAAGATTATTCTTACGAGCAATAAGCTGCGGGCGTCCATGACCGTTGTTGCTAACGCCTCTGTCAGTACAAAGGAGCGAGGAGTGGATGCCCAAGGCGAGAAGGCAATTGCAGGTCTAAGCTTGACCTCATTATCCGGTTCTTCACAAAGCATAACGGCACCAGCTATCTCAGATAAGCAAGCAAACGAGAAAATCAAGTCGATACCTGAAAGCGAAAGCACTAAGCCCTCTAAAAAGAATTCTAGCGGATCTAGAAATGAGCAGTCAATAGGGGCCAGTAAGCTTTCGAGCCTGTTGGCCGTCATAAGAAATTACAATAAAACAGCGGGTGTGTCACCGAAAGCCGCTAAAACCCAAGCTAAGAATCCGACTCTCATTGACAGCTCTAATCCAGATCTGATTCAGGAATCAAGCAATACAAAAACAAATCCATCAGCATCTTCTTCAACTGGCAACTTGGATCAAAGCAAAGAAAATAGAAAAGTATCGGAGCAGCAAAATACGTCGCAGCTTTTGGACATATTCCGTAAAGACATACAGCTTATCGATTTACACGAAGTTCATGATGTATATAGTCTACCATTTAATAAAAATTTAGTTGCCGAGCCAGATAAGATGCTCTACTTCGACATGAGGATAAACCCTTGTGTCGATCAAATAATAGGACAAATAATAACACATGACATGCTAGAGCAGGACAAGAAGGAGCATGTGCAAAAGGTCGGGGATTCCTTCGATGGATTCAGCCAGACCAAGAACAATACCTTATTTTGCAACATTCTGCTTATTTCGACTCTTTCTAGATGCATTACAAGGATACATATGCCGTCAATCCATTTGTCGGTAGATGATATAATATTAATGGCTACTAGGTTTAAAAACCTGAGATCGTTAGAGATAGGATCACTGCCCACTCCAACATCTGACTTCCGGGACGCTCTTTCCGTTAGGGACACAACAGACGACGGCCTTGAGCAGAGACCTCGTGCAAAGAGCGACGGAGGTGCACCAGCCTTAGATGGGGCCCAAAACTCCTCAGTTGAAGCGACAATGGGCTTTATGGTACCAGCATCCTTTTCTAGAACAATCATATCCTTTCCAAGCATGACAGAACTTTTCCTTCGCAACGGCTACATGGTTGATATTCTTCTTATTCTTCAGCTATTTCCTAATCTCAAGTGCCTCCAGCTTGAAAACTGCATTCTCTTGAACACCGTTACAAATGAAATGGCCTTTTGCTCTACCAACGAATTTCGCAAGCAATTTGTTTTAGAAGAACTAACTGTCATTGGCAGTTTGAAGACAGATCGTATGACTCTCCGCAATATAATGCTGCTGTTACGCGATACTCTTACAACTGTCTATTTGAACAGGACGAGAATACCATTGCATAATATCTGGAGAAACAATGTAGTGTATATGCCCAGACTGCGGCATGTAACCCTGCAGTCAGCCATCTACGATGAGACTACTGAGATGGACGAGTACATAGCACGTTATCCAAAGATGGCCAACTATGGGCGCTGTAGCCTATCGTTGCTCGACCTTTTAGCAGTTATAGCCTGCTATCCTAATTTGGAGACTCTGTCCTTCTCACAGCTCCACACGTTTGACTACGGTGGAGTGCATGAGGCTGTTAGTAGCGCTATAATACTACGAATACTCGACCATCTTTCCGAAGCAGATGGCACTTACTGTCTAAAGCGTCTGAGAACACTGTCACTTAGGGGCGCTTCAGAAGGCGATGTTGACGTGTTTATATTGACAATGGCTAAGATCTGTGACATGAAGAGTCTGACACGTGTGTCGCTAGAGCTTTTGTTCTGGAATGGCGACATTTTGAAACCAGCTAGTCTCCAGGAATCAAAGCTTTTCTCAGATGGTTGCTCTATTTCTATAGTGTTAGATCAGACTAAGGAAACGCAGTGAGGTATAAAGTAAATGGCCGCTGAGGCCCAAAGCCAGACGGAAGGGGTGGCCGAAAGAGCAAGCTACTACAAAAAATAAAAACGATGCAACTCAATCAGTCTTTCTACTTCTCCATGGAGTCGCTATTCAAAGACTTAACCGACGTGCCGGGTGCAGTTGAGCGTTTCAAAACCATATATGAAAACACAAAGCTAGAAGGCTATAGCTACTTTGTAATAGCTGGTCTTTCACTGCTACTCAACTTGCCCCAGGTTCATCCCGATTATCCCGCATTACAACTCTTTTTTGAAGTCTCCCGTTTCGTCTTGGAGACCATGGAAGCATTACAACAGTACGTTCGTACAATCCATTACTTTATAAGCAATTCCTTTATAAGTAATTCCTCTGCTCCAGGGACTGTGGCTCAGCGCATATTGGACCTAACTCGTTTAGATACTCAAGTCCCAAATATAGGCGTCATCACCGAATATTTGATGATGGTAATCTCCATTCCTGACTTCCGCTCTCAGACCTCGTCCGAGCAGGCCCACGCAGCTATTACCAGCTTACGCTCCCAGGGAGAGGTGCTGGCCTATTTGTTCTATGTTGTGTACTGTCATAGGGATTCATATTCTATTCAATGCGGAGAGCTTTTGAAGAGCTATATGAGCCGTGGAATGCAGCCGTCGCCTTACTTGAATAATCTTCTGACGCATGCCATTAATTACTACGTTGGACCAAACTACCAGATTCAGCAGGGGATGGCTATTTCACCGGCTTATTCTCAGTCAAGTCCGATGGGAATGCAGCAGCGCCAGCTCCAGTGTACTCCACAATTCAGCAACGCCTTGTATAACAAGGATATTGCCATCATCGTGCTCAATGTGGGACCAATTTCTATCAATGATCGTCACTTCCTTCAATATGTATTAAACATTTGTCAGCCAATTACGACAGTGAAGCTCGTACATCTTATTATGGCTTTATCCTCTGTTGCTGGTGATCCTTGCAAGTACATCAATCAGTTGAATATGGCGTACTTCATCCAGACCTATCTTTCATCTGTGAAGATGGACCAGGCATACAAAGAGTCACTGCTTAAGCAGCAATACAGCCAGTATCATATCAATGCCATCTTTTCTGTTCTCAGAAACGGCAAGGTGGATGTTCAGTGGAAAGACATTCTAAGTATTTTAGAGCAACAAGTCACGACAATAGATACGTATCTTGCACAGACCATTATCACCGCCTATATTGGCTATTATATCGATAGCAATCCGAACATATGTCTTTGTGCAAGTTGTGCGAGTACATTCGGCTCTCCTTCTTGTGGTAACAATGCTTCTAACAACGTCTACATTCCCCCGCGAGCACGCCAAGCAATTGATAAGCCTTCTTACTCTCCGGTTTTCGGCCTATTTGACTATGTCTTTCGAGATACCGATCGCGGTGCAAACTACCTATACTATTTTGAAGCCAATTTCTTCATAGGTTCAATTATCTACTTCAACCAGTTGGTTAGAGTGTTCAATAAGATGCTTCTTACCGACGTGATCCCATATTTGAAGGAAGGAAAGGAACTCCCGCCTCAGTTTGAGCAACAGTATATCCCTTATTGCAAGGTATTCTTTATTTTTTCGCAGATTTGCTCGCCTAGGGTTACCATCGAAAAGGGGAACATTCATCTTGTCAAGGGATTTCCCATTCTAGCTGCTATGGATATGCTTTACTACGCATTCAAGCCACAGAGCAACTTATTTCATCCTTGTCTATCTCAGAAAAGCGGCGGGATATTTACACCAGACCTTCTAGAGTATATCTATGATGTCTTTAACCCGATCAACTTAACTTACCCTGGCAATCCGCACCTTACTCCGGCATCTTCTCAATCCTATAATTCGCGCGCGTCGAGACCAGAATCGTGGATCTGGTCTTCTCCCAATTTGGTTAAATCAATCTTCCGGATTTATCCACTGGTTGCGCCTCAGGTGAGAACCGTTTTTAACGACATTTTGGGTCTCAATGGCAATCGATCTCAGTATGGTCCAGATCCAATTTCCCGCTGTCCAGATCAGTTGCTTGTTACACTCACTTTTGCTGACATGGATATGTTGCCTGTTCTACAAGATTCTGACCGGCAACAACAGCAGGTCAAGAAGCCTATTGCCCCCCTATACCTTCTCGCCAAACCACACGAACTAATCACAAAAGCGATGCTTCGCGTTTGTACCACATTCCTCTTACAAAAGTATCTCTTCAAGGCAACAAAGCAGCAGACAAATCAAGGGTATATCGACGCCATCGTTGCAACAAACCCAGACATAGTTCTTTTTGCCTGCGAAGTTTTTTGGAGACGGAACCCAAATAATATGGGGAAGGTTATTGATGTTATTCAAGAGCTGCGTCTCATTGAGCCAATTGTACGCACCTGGCGGTCGTTTGAATTTGTCTGCGATGCTGCAGCATTTGCTTCCGGGCGCGAGTTTCTCAATCCAGCCCTTTTCATAATTAATGCAATGCAGACGTACGGGCGCACGTTCGCTGAAGAGTTCTTAATTTTCATTCTGAAGAAATCCTTGCGGACGCTACGGAACATTGATGGAAAGACTATGCGTGAAATGTGCTTGCTCCTTACTGAAGAGGATGTCAAACTTTGTAGCATGGTGCTGCTTCCCTACGCCGGGGATCAGTCTAGATGCAGGCAGAACATTACTGATGCCACCATAAGTTGGAATGGCAATTTATTGGAAATCTTGGACATCTTAGCCAAGAAAGAGTACAGTGACCAGGCTGCAAAGCTCCGTTTAATGGGTTTGTTAACTGAACCGCTAGTGATCACTGCGCAAGGTAATAGCCTGCAGACTTATCATGACATGAACTTCTTGGACATAGCGCTTACTGCCGTGTTGCCTACGGCGTACAATCAATACAAACTTAGAGCTGAGCAGTATATGCTATCGTCTTCTCCAATAACAGAGTCTATGCAGCTTGTTTTCTTCAAATTTTCCTATGCATACAGAACATATTTCAAACTAGCTTTTCCCGAAGACACTTATTTGGAATCTTTGTTCAGGCTAGTTGAAAAGGTCATTAAACATTGCCTTCCCGAAGCAGAGATTATAGAGAAAAGCCCCATGGGCGTTTTCTTCGATGTCTCCACCACCGAGCAGAACATTTGGAACGAAGCTACTACCACCCTCCAGAAGTATCTACAAGGACGGCTAAGCTCTGACGAGATGGTAACGATGGCTGCTACTAGGCAGAAAAACTCCTGTTCCACATTGGCCTATCAGATGTCGTATTGTACGCTTATGCACACGATTATTGAGCTACTCGATACGCCGGTACGATGTGCGGAACTTCTCGGCATAGGTGAACATGATGCCATGCTAGCTACAAACGCTAGTCGGGACGAGCTGGGTGTTATGCAGGAAACTCCCCTTCTTCGGGCAGAATTATCTCTGGCAGCGCTCGGTGGTCTGCTGATGGGCTCTGGGGTCCTGTCTGATGTCTTTGTTCCGCGCTTGTGCACACTGTTACTCAAGCATCTTAACTCCACCGTCCCCTTTTTTAATGAAGTAGGCATGGAACTGTTATGCTGCTTCTACAAAGAGGTTGATGCGGTGGAAAAGGACTCTGTGCGTTCGCCAAAACGATGGACAGCTACCTTTTCACATATTTATAACACTAGGTATTTCACCGAATTGTCTGCAAAGAGATATGTACCGCTTTCGGCCGAAAAGCAGAAGTATTGCGAGAAGATAGAATCCGAGCGCTTTGGTATAATTGAGGAGACCCCCATTGACGTGATCATCGATCGGCTCTTCGGTGATAAAAAGGCTGCGGATTATGATCTGACCAAAGTGTACCAGACATTCATGTCTGGAACATCTCTCAATGCACCGACCACACAGGGTCATGCTCCTCAGGTGCTTTATTCTTCTGCTTCCCAAAATCTATCCATTCATAGGGAGCAGGACAAATCTGTGCCGCATCTGCCCGCACAGAACTGCTTTGCAGGCTTACTTTCGCGATACAGGCACCGTATCTCCCCCACCTTGGTTAAAGCCATGGACGACATCTCAGCCATGTCTGTAGTTGTTGCAAAGCAAAAGTACGCCCAGTTTGTCACAAGCTTGTTGGGGGTTCTGTCAAACGGCTCACAGACTTCTCTGGGAGAGCTCGTTGCGCGTCTTCGGGAGGACGTGGTATTTCAGCAGATTCTGTCCTATTATCTTGTGTCCACCTCTTTGTCCTCTAATGATGGAAGCGCCGTTGGCGTCAGCTATCGTTCAGGATCCTTTTCTGCTCAGGCATCTCTTTCGACTGTCTCTCTAATCACTGATATAAATCTATATCTAAGGAATGACGCACTCATAGACAATCTCGCTAATGTAGCCATTTTATCCAGTCGGTTAGTCGATTTGTATGAAGCCTCTTCTGTGAAACAGAGAGTCAGCCTCAAGACAATGCTTTTCCACTATTCGTTGGTTATGTTGTGGGATCTGGTTGACTCCATATTGGAAGCGGATGAATCGGGTATTCATAGTGAAAGCTTGGGTAGAAACGTCGGCACTTTAGCACCTGTTGAGAGGCAGCATGCACACGTGGCACTATTGGCCAAGCGATATAAGAGAGCAATAACCTTGGGGCACTGGCTGGGATTTCTTGTGTTTGGAGCAAGATATGCTCCTCTAAAGCAAGACATTAACTTTCTAGAGCTCATAGATATTAGCGCCCATAGAGGGACCTTTATTCTTCTGGTGGTTTTCTTCCGTAGCTTCCTCCGCCACTCTCTCGATTCCCCCGGTCTCCCAGCGACCTCTGGGCTTGTGATCATGATAATCTCAAAGCTCTATGACACACTATGTAATATTAACCGGTTGACAATCAGGTATCCTGTCTATCAACTCGAGATTGCTACGGCTTTAATTGGAGATTTCCAGGAGGAGGCGTACACGTGCCTTGAACACACTAAGTTGTATCAGCACAACATCACACACAATTCGTCTCTTCAAGGCCTGTTTTCTTCTTCTGAACTCATCTGTACCTCTCATGTCAACGGTGACAGGACAGAATTGGCTCTCAAGCCTCCTCCGTTCAAGTATATTGACCCCGCTGCAAAGACGCGCCAGGCAAGCAGCATCAATGGCTTGAACATGCTACGCTTAGAAAGGTCCTTTAACCCTCTATCTGATACTCCCTGTCAAGCATATTGCATTCCTCCACACATCTTTCGATCAGAAATGCGGCTTGGCGTTCTTTGCGAGATACAGCGTAATGAAGATCCTCAGCAGACGCCTTTTCCTCTCATCCTCTCTTTCCTAACTGCAAATCCGTCTCTTTACGCCTTTTTTGAGCGTGCTGTTCAGATTATTTGCAACATGCCCGAGCTGGTTGAGGGAAAGAGACGTGCATGTTTCCATGCTCGTAACTTAGTATATACATTGCTCCAGGAGTCGTCCCTTTCTATATGCTCACGTGGGTCGTCAACGCCATCTATGGCATCTATCAAGTCGCAGACAGGGCCTTCCTCTTCTTCTGGAAAGTCCTCTCATCTTCCGACGGTAGCGTCCAATATTTCGCTAAAGAATGCTAGCTCAGATGAGACAAACCCCAATTTTGCATACGTAGCAACAACTTATATAGCGACCTCTCTCTTTCGAGCGTCTGCATATACAATTATTTGCTCAAAGATCCGACTTCTGCTGCATAAATCCTTCTATTGGGTGCCTACAGCAAGAGAGGAAGATTTGCGCTTACAAAGGCTACTCGAAGACACAATTATAGAGGGACTGATCCGTCTCGCCGCAGAGTATGCGCTGAGTCTCTTGCACAAGCAGATTAGGGATTTTAGCGAGGTCATTCTAACATCTAAGAAAGATCGCCAAATGAAGTTTACGAATGCATGCAACACCTCAACTCAGAATCAAGAGGACTCCGAGTACAGTGAGCTATCTTACCAACAAGGAGATACATTCTCATTGCAATTTCTTGCCCCGCGCGCTGACACCGCCTTTACGACAAATAGCACACCTCTTTGCTGTGAATCAACTCAGAAATTCTCAACGACCTCAGTAGTCAGTACCGTTAACAAACCGGCCCTGTCCTCAGATCTATTGAGAAACTTATGCAGCATGTATGAGCAATTGGATAGCTGTCATAGACTGAAGGGTGATATGACGATTTTACGTGACTTAGCCCCTTCTATGGGCCACAGAGTCACCACCCTGTATCCTTACGTTATTAAGGGGGATTCTGTCATGTTCTCCGTTCCATACTCCTACTTTCAGTTGTATCCTGTTGAAGCCCCTTCTTTAATGAGGGGGGTGTTCAGCCACAAGGATATAGAGCTTATTCTTTCAGTTGTCTTCGGATATAAAATTAATGTACTATCGAGCAAACCCATATCTTTGAGCTCTCCTGATTCTGCCAAACCAGATGCTCATCAAATGCTTCACTTGCAGGTAGTGGCAAACAGTTTGGCTGCGAAAATGAGCACCCACTTTTCCTCACTCAAGTGGACCGACTCTCGCGTGATCAATGGGATTTTGCTCAGTACGTATTCACAGGCAGCTTCTATGTTTACGGCTATAAATGACCAGGTTCCATTACTGCCACATTTGGAAGGGGGCTCGCGGAGTACCTCGGGCTTTACTAAAACAGATATGCAACTCAGTATGTACAGCAGCCTGCTTGTGCTCGGGCAATCCATTTCACAAAGCATGGAGAATATGCCATTGGACGGCTTGCCAGATATTTATTCTCTACAGATTGATCATCCTGTCTTGATACCCTTACATAGCATCCGTGCAGCTGCCAGCCTTTATGGTCGGAACATGTCGACGCAGACGAGGGGAGCGTTTGTCTCTTTTATTCTTTCCTTCGGAGAATGGGCTATTTCTCATGTTAGTCTAGATACATCGATGGGGATAGCTGAAGGATCTGGTGACTGGAAGCCTGCCTTCGATATTGCCAATGCCTTTCAAATGAGTACGGTCATCTCCTCTAAATCTGATCTTCAGTCCTTGGTGTTTAAGGATATTAGCTACTCAGAGATTCTAGACCCTCTCCTGAGTAGCTTTGCAAAGGTGGCCACACCGTCTTTAGAGCAGGTAGCAGGTAAAGGCTATCGTCCCTTTTTTGACCTACGCTCCTACTATAGCCAGGTACAGTTTATCGATTTAATTTGCACAAGCACTAATGATGCTGCGGCTCGGCTCAGGCGACACTTTTTAGATATAGAAAAGCCTCATTCCGAAGAGCTTCTGAGTCTGAATTTCTTCAAGCATATATGCACATATAATTTGACGACAGACGTTGCTTCTTATTCCTTAAATAGCTCCCTGCCGGTGGGACTATTTAAGATCTTATTGACCGTTGCATTTGATTTAGATATCCCAGAGCTATGTCTTAAGCTCCTAACCCTGGTTAAACTCCGCCTAGTAACCACCATAGCACATGCGATGCTTTGGGAGCTGTTTCTCGCTGGTATCAATAAGGGGGAACAGTGTAGGACTGTCGATTCAACCCGGTTTTGGTTTGCAGATGTGCTAGCTATCTTTGGCCTAAATCTAGTTAAGTGTAGAATAATTCCAGAGAAGATTCTTGATACAACCATTTCTGGTGCGTTTAAATACATATGTAACTATCTGAATAGACACTACGAGAAACGACTCTCATCTTCTAACAGAGCTTATTTGGCTATAATCCTGACAAAGCTAACCTCGGAATCTGGAGTGTACTTAGCAACATGTTGCCACGACCTTGTTTCTGCTATTTCCAAGATAGTCTTGGGTCTCTGCTTCACCGGCTCCATCACCTATCTACCTTCTTGCTGCAATGCCTCAAGCCTTCCGATGATTTGCCACTTTTTAGCTGAATCCTACATCAACACGCTTGAGACCATCTCCTTGCTCCAAGCACAAGAAGACCAAGCCTTGGGTGTGCTCTCCTGCTCCAAACTACCACCAGCCTTAGAGCGCTTGATGCGGCTCTTTGACATGGTAGGTGATTGTTCCTCAGAAGAGGACGATTATCTAAACCTCTATAGACTATTGATATCGACAGGGTACAATCCTTTTTCGGCACACGGATTTTCTAGCAATCAATCTGACTTCTTACGGGTGCTTATCAAAACCCCTTCTTCAGACGGTGCAGAAAAGTGTACTATTGAATCACAGGTTCTCGATCAGTTTTCGCATCTCGAACATCTCCACAACGCCATCCTGGAAGATATGGACCTGACCCAACACTCTGCGCCTCTTTCTCTTTCAGTGCTGGCCTATAAAATGCTTACGCACCTGATTACAGTGGTTGTCCCTCAGCTTTCTGACACACTTTCCAAAGAGGACGAGTACAGCCTTATGAGCCATTACATTGCACGCTTCAATGCGTTGGGATACTTTATGGGAGATACAATCTCCAGCCTTCTTATTGATGCGGTGCTGCACAAGTTGTTGAAGCGCAGCAAGGGAAATAAGCTGTGCAACATGGCCAATGGCCTGGGTGTCTTCATCTGCTACCTCATCTACGCCTGCCCAGAGCACAACCTTTCATGCAGCTACAACAAGTCGGCCGTGCTGGCACATTTCCTTGAGAGGCTTTTGCGGTTTACTTCCTACTTAACGAGCTTTAAGTATAAAAACTCTTACAAGCTGCAGGGGCTTATGAATTTTAGAAGTCTTGACCTTTTACCAAACATGACATTACGGACAGACAGTGGCAAGGCAGAGTCTCAGGATGTCGTTGTCGACTCTGCCTGCATTACACTCTATAGAATCCTCACAGTTTTGTCGGCTAATTTATTTAGTAAGAGCTCGCCTGTATTCGCTTACAGACACGATTTTATCTATGTATTGACTCACTACCTTCTTTATATAAGTCCCCAACAGAGCATTTTGTTCAATAACCTGTTCCTTGCAATCATCTCAGAGTCATCGTTTATCGATGCTGCCCTCTCGATGTCAGATCTCGATGCTCTCTCGTACTGCAGCTTTAGCTTAGAGTACGCAATACATTATGCTGCAAGCACCATACCGTCAACCCTCAACAATGTCGGCAGTCCAATAGCTGCGTCCTCAGCGGCAGCAGAGGTGACTAAGGAACTATGGAATATCTGCGCTGACGTGGGGATAGAGTACCTACCCGGCTCGTCTACATCATCCGGACACGCAGAGTTACTGCTAAGCTCATCGGCACAGCACCACCTTCTACAAATGAAATCAGATCTTTCCGTTATGAGCCTCAACGCCATCCCGTTGTCCCTTAACCCTGTGTACAACCAGTTCTTTACTGTCCAAGTGGGGAATCCATCATGGAAGCACTATCTGCGACTTCTTTGTGAGGCACTTGAGTTTATTCAATTGACCCCCCAGATCCTGCGCCAACTCAATACCACCGACGTGTACAATGCAAACAACTGCTTTGTTAAGAGTACACTGCGGTTACTTGAGCTCTTAAGACACGATTTTCCTTCATTTATTAGCTTCTACAAAATGCACCTTGCCTCTCGGATTTCGTCCAATCACAAAGCACTTCGGTGTTTCATACTCTCTGTGCCAGGCTCACCATTAACACACTATCAGATTGCTAACTCAATGGATTTGGATGTTGTCCGAGATGTTAAAGAGATTTGCCTTGCCCCGCCGCTTGCGGGCTTTCACACCGGGCTCGCCACCGTTCGTTCTCCGAGCCAAGTCATTGCGGAGTTCTCTCACAGTATCGTGCCGGTAAAGTATACGATGCAGCGCCATGCTCACCCAGCCGCTGCAGCACACGATTCCTTCGTCATTCGGTTGCGTGAAACTGGAGCGTTGGCCCAAATCAATGAGCTCAGAAAGCTTGCAGCAAAGGGGACTCAGTTTCTGAGGACGGGTAGTGTGAGCGATCTACAAGAAACTAAGAATAAGCTAAACAGAGAACAGGCCTCAGCACTTATAGAAAAGCTGTGTGCGATCTTTGTAGCTAACGCCGCTGATCAATCCGGGATTAGAGATATGGTGTTCATATACTCGTTTGTCTTCTATGCCTGTAGTGAGCTCTTGAGTTGCATTTTAGCTAGCCAGCGCGCCCTTTCTGCCCCTGGGGAGATGGTAGTATTTCAGCTCTTTGAGCGTCTGCTCCAACACCAGAGCGTTAGAGAGTATCACCTGAAGCACGTTCTTCATACGCTCCTGATTCATCTAGGGGAGCCGAATCGTATATCCTATATGTTTGCCTTACTCCTTCGACACTTGATAACAGTTGATCTTCAGCTACGGAGAACCTTAAAGGAATGTGTCGAAGAGATAAAGCCCGCGGATCCTCCGTGGGCCTTACGGATACTAAAACAAGTAATAAGTGAGGGCGGATCTTAATGTGGCAAGAGATATGGAGTGAATTTAAAAGGAGCATGATAAGTGTAGTGTGTCGTAGCATTGCTAGAATGTAAGCGTGGAAGCTTGACTTCGAGGTCTCCAATAAGATATACTTCTGTGAGCACACAAAGATGATATGTATCAGTGAGCTCAGTACTCATCAGCACATAAAGAATCTCACCCAAAGCAAGCCCTATGAGTCGCTCTAGTGTTTCACCTTGTTTCCCACCGCCAACAACCAAATCTGAAAGATCCGCGGACAGCGCATAGAGTAAACAAATCTGTTCACTCCAGCACCATTCCTGCGTCTCCTGTGAGGTGGAGCCGCTTAACACACGTGTTGCACTCAAATGCTTTTTGGCCGCCTGGAGGAGATTGCTGCGAAACTACCAGAATTGGCGGTTGCTTTACAGGCTCTGCGTTAAGGAATACGCTTCGTGAGGACACAGTTCCTTCTTCTGCCGTTACCTCCAGCCGTGTCTCTGCTTTAACTTCGATCCGTGCGTAGCCCCTGTCATTCATGACCAGCCTGATGTTGGTGAGCTTTCCTTGGGCCCCCTTTTTCGACAGCAGACCGACCTCCTCCTCGCTCAGCATGATGAGCATAGGCTCGCACCGCTGGACGTCAGTCTGAGGGAAATCATATCTGTACATAAAATTTACAAAAAAGTTAACATTGAATTATTAATTGGTTGCTTCAGCTAGTAATGAGCAGAAAAAATCCATTCTCCACTTACTCAGCAGAAGATACTTTAGTAGGCTGGAAGTGGCAGTGCCGCTCGATCAACTGGACACTGAAGGGTCTCGTCCATCCAGCGGCGTAGACAGGCAGCATGAAAGATGTGTCCGCATGGGGTAGTCCAGAGATCCCGATCAGAATCAGCTGACGACTTCTGCTGAGGTGGCTCTTCCTCTCCTGACAACTTTCCTGATGTGTTTATGTCTTCCAATATATCTTTTATCGCTTGCGCGTCCAACTCGTGTGCCTTTTTCGATGACTCAGAGAAAAGGTTAATGTGCTTTTCTGTGAGGGTGATATAATCAAAGCAAATACTGCAAATAACACATTCAGATACGTCTTTCGGTTTCACCATGTAGAAGCAGTTCATGAGGCTGCCTTCAGGATCCCTGACATCAGTGTACAAAAGAGCTTGCTGACAGGATAGTCGAGACTGTAAGTACGTAGTACACGAGGCAAGGGCAGCCACAGTCATATCTTCTGAGTATAGAGAGCTGTGCTTATGTAAAGGATTCATGCAATAATGCTGATAAAACTCGCTCTCTAGCTGTAACTCCTCACTTGATGGTAAAACAGTAACTGTTGCTTGGTTAGAGTATGCACGAATGGTAGAGCTAGGCTTCTGGAAATATGACATAACAAACGGAAAGGACTGCCCGGCATCTGATTCAAGTCGCGCCAAAAACTCACGTGGCGTCTCTGCTTCTCTCCGCTGATTGCTTACGTGGTCAACGTAGTCAAAGTCTGTAAGAACATGCTGTGAAAGAAGCTTATTAGTGTATGTGTATATGGAGTGAGACCCTTTGGCGACAAACGCTTTGTATCGATTCTTGTGTGTAGCCATAAGGGCCAGCATTATAGTGAGCTGTAGAAAGACCCAGAAAAATAGAAGATACTGGTAGAACGAAACGGTTTCGTACCCTAGAAAGTTCTTCGGATAACAGTAGAAGTACCATATTGGAACCACGCGAAGGATTGTTGTGAAAACTACGTACGTGTACGTGTATCCCATTGTAGGAGATCGTATTTTATACATATGATAGCACTGTGGGACCCAATAAGATGACAAGAGAAGAAAGAAGTAAAAGAGAAACTTAAACGGGATGTACGAGCTCACAATCATAGATCCGAGCATAACCAGGTAGAATATGCAATATATTTTTATTCCAATCTGTGGATTCTGACCTCTGTTTCTATCTATCATCATCTGCCGCTGTTTGAGCATAAGAAGCTGGATGTCGATGATGAGACATATGATAAAGAAAGCGACCGCTGCAAGAAGCAGAGGACCTAGTGAGTTCTGAAATTCAAACGCGTAGTTGACCCCGTTGATAGCTAGAAGTGCATCAATCGTCGTTTGCATCACAATGGATGCCATAGTCAGCTGAGCAAGTCGTACTGGAGAAACCAATTTTGTCAATGAATGTGCACTAAGAACGGCTGTGAGAATGGCAAAGATGGACACCACTCCTCCGTAGACCATCGCCTGAGTCATTTCTTGAGCCGAGTTATAAATAAGAGAGCGTGTCTGCATATCAACACAGCACTTCGCTGAATAAAGCCGATATTCTATTAAGGGAACTATCTCCTCAGTGGTACTACCGGCAAGAGGTCTGCCTTCCTGCCGAATCTGGGCCGCGAAATCCGGTGGATAAGTGTGGCCTTTTATCGGCCTTGTTGTGTTAGAAATGCTGAAAAATAAGTAATAGTCGCATGCATTTGGGCGTTCCAAATCAGACGAATTCGAAGTCGTACAAGTCTCATTAAATTTGAACTCTCCTAGCATATCATCACTTGTCACATATGATGGCCATGGTTCATCACCATTAATATAAGCATCCACTTCTGTAATATTCAAATCAAGAGCTGGCTGCTTTGATAGTGACGGTATAATCAGCTTTATCAGGCCTTTCTGCTGAGACGGATAGTAGTATCCATAGCCCACAAAATAGTGTGAATCGCTGTTTATGTAGGATCCGTTCATCAAATAGATAGCCGCACTAACGTTGCGGGGTTGTGTGAGAAGCTCGCCACTGTCTTTTTTCTGCGAATAGTACTCAGTTGTCCACGTCAAGTCGAAGATACTCGCAAGCATCATTCCACCAGCTGCCCTATCCGGACTGGGGGTATATAGTCTCAGAGAGCCAGAGTTTCCTTGGGCAACGCTCCAATTTCCCCTATATGAGGTTGTTGCCGGCCCCAGCTTCACATCTATATAGTCAGGTGGGCTACTAGGTATCTCTCCCTCTTCCTGTAATGCAGAAGAGCGGCTAATAAAGAAGGGCTTCTGAGAATGGTAATAATCGTGTGAGCCAAGTCTACAATACGAAGGGTTAAAGAAATATGGAGCTCTCTGCACAACGCTGTGGATTCTGGAGTATATAGTTCGGAGAGAGCCTGTCCACCGAGACTGATTAACCACGTTTAGGTGCCTCTTGGAAAGCGAACTTGTTATAAGCAGCTCTGTCCGAATCGGGTCTGCAGAACGCATTGCCAACGTGCCCAGTATTCCAAAGGAAATAAGGTAGACAAGCATTTAAGTCAGACGTTTACCCTTTTTTGGAGCTTGAAGCCAGCAAATTATTTCTTTGTTTTACAAGATTGGACGTTCATAGACCCTGGTATCCCTAGTACTATGGCGTGCTCTGGAATCTGCTTGATGCAGAGCTGCTCGTAGCGGGAGAGCTCCAATCCCTTGTCATCCAAAAGCATCTTCTGCACTAAACGATGGGTCTTTCCCTTTGTTATGTCACCAGGAATTATTCGAATGACACCGAAGAAGCGCTCCACTACAGAATAAGGAGCTATCATAACAACCAATCCTGGCAGCTCACCCTCGGCAGGCCTTTTCGTGCTAATCATAGCAGACACGCTTAGCGAGGTCACGTTTTGCTCCCCATTGCCCTTGTCGATATGCTTTTGAAAGCCGTCTTGATCTTCTTCTAACAAAACCTCACCTGAATGAATAACTGTGTCACCAGTAGTATAGGTAAACGGCGGAATAGAAGCGACGCTTTTCCACATAGTGGCTAATACAGGCGAAATGTGTGCGTCAAATAGAGTCTTATAGTCCTTACTCATAGAGCTGGTAGTACAGGTGTTCTTATTGTGACCTAGAATGCCACAGAGACAACAAAAGTCCGAAGAACAGATACTTCCCTCATCCCCGGTATCGTCCTGGGAATCCTCACCTCGCTGAGCCGATATCATTTTCTTGTAACTTTCAGCCTCTTCCAAACGACCTTCTGATATGAGGCGCTTTATCTTCGCTTGCTGCTTCTGTACCCTGATTTTGGCTTGTCGCTCCTTTTGGAGTCGCTTTCTCTCATCCTTGTTGCTGTCTTTTAGTACTTGCTCCGCAGTGGTAACCTGAGATTTCTGCTTTTGAGTGCTAAGAACCAAGAGCTTACCGGACTCGTCAACTGTCTGCCCTGCGTCTTCCGTAGTACAGATTATGGATTCATTTTTATCGCTATATGCTACCTGCCATGGCGGCGGTGCCTCTGAGGCCGGATCCATGACATTTGCAGTATCGTACCTCCACAAAAGTGCCACACCCAGTTCTAGGGGCTGTTGGGGGATGAAGTTTCGCTTTCCACGTATGACAAATGATCCCGTTCCAATATACATGCCGGCCGGGGCTGTCTTAGAGACCTGGTCCGCATACACCCAGTAAGACTGTGTCCCGACCTTCTGTGCCCACATTTTACTATGAATAACTGTAAACGCCCCAGCTTCCAGCATTGTCTGCACTGGAGGTACCCATCTTAAGACCGTATTCTGCTGAGGTATATCTGTGGTGGTAAGTCGAGGAGCTTTGACGATGGTGCAGGCTGCTCCATGAGCTTCAGAGTGGACAAATATATCGTTTGATGACATGAACTTTTTAACCAGCAACTCATTGGATTGAGCATCCCTGCCCGATAAAACCAGATATCCATCAGTGCTAAAGAACCAGTGAAACTTTTCAAACCAGAGTGGTGATCGCTGATGCTGCAGAGCGATTAGCTCTGCATCAGTCTCTTTCATAACACTATCTATATCCGCAGTAGCCTTCTTTTCTACTTTATCAAAGTAGGCTGATGAGTGCCCGAGGGTTCTCTTACACTTCTCCTCTGCAGCTTTTGCTGCCTCGAAGAGTGTTTTAGCTATTATGTGAGCGGTGGTTCCTGCTGCTCCCTTAAAGGGAACATCTACAGAGATAACTATGGGTTCCGTGGGATCTGACACTATCTTAGTATCTCCACACGAGCCGCACACTTGCTGCTCGTTATTGTCTTCGGTCTCATTACTAGCCTCTAAATCTAAGATCCCTTGCTTTTCTGTTGCTCTAAATTTGCTTAGGGCTAAGAATGGTGTACAATCCGTGTAGCACATATTATGAATATCAGATGCAAAAATAGATATATTAAAAGAAACAAGCTTCCGGACTACATCTATTGAAGAAATAGCCTCCAAAAGCGGGATGTCCGTACTACCACAATTCATCCAAGCGATGACATCGTTCCATGTAATGCGTCCAGTCTTAAAGAGGAACTCCATTTGTTTAGTGAGATAGTCAATCTCAGTGGCCTTCCAAAGAATGCACTCCGCCAAAAGGCGTTTCTGTGTCGCTGAGTTGAGCAGAGAGGCCATGCGGTCCTCTGTCGTGTCTTGTGCATGAGCTATTGTCGACTTGGCCTTTTGAATCAGTTGAGCTCTATTTTGATAAGCCCTTGCAGTCACTAAGAAAGAATTATATTCATCCAAGGTCTTGTTATAGGACTCATACTCCCTTATATCTTCGGCTCTGTACAGCGCTCCCTCCTGGTAGATGGAGCGTATATCAAAAATATGATATTCTGCTACACGTATAGCGGTCATGATAGTATCATCCAAGTCCCCCTCACCCGTGTCAACGATGGCCAACTCGTCCTCCCGATAAAAGTAGATATATCCTTTTGATAAGAGAGAATCAAAAGATGATTTGGCGGCCTCAATAAGACATTTCAGAACGCCTTCGCAAACCTTCCAAAGCTTTATCACAAGCTGCTCGTCCTCTTGGACTGCTTTTGCCTTGATGCTAGTTTTGCAATTAACTGCCCGCAGAACAATGGCCGATGCAGATCCGCCAAGAAAGAAGTCCTTTGCAAGCGCCGCGCGAAAAGATGCATTCTGGCCCTTCTGCTTGCTGGCTTTGGCAATGATTTGTCTGAAGTGATCAAGTGTGCAGAGCTTCTCTATGTCCATAAGAATAACGCGATCATCTCCATGCATACTAAAATAGTTTCCACCCACGTGCTGCCCAGGCATTTTGGATTGTGTTACCAGAACCTTATAAGCCTCATCTGTCAAAATCAAATTTCCGCGTCCGTACAACTCAACTATCAAGTATCTTTTCAAGTCGCTGTTATATCGGCTAAACTCCAGGATGATTACACGATCAAAGTAGAACTGACTGACTCCTGTGCATATCATATTGCATATTTCTGTTCTGAGCCTATTTGAGAACGCCGTAGGCGGTATCGCCTTGCTCCAGTCAAAGCGTGTAGCATGCATATAAAACCCCGGCTCTATTATGATTGACGGCTTCGAGTATGTATCTATTAGTGTCTGATTCTTTGTTTGGCACTGATCAATGACTGTAGTGGATGCATGAAACCGAAGAAGATAGGTGGTCTTGGAGAGATTTGTAACAGAATTAAGGCGTGTATTAACCAGAATAGCCGAAAGCTCTTTAGCCAAAACAGCTACATCAAAGGATGACGGGGTAAGTTTACGCGAGACAGACATAAATTATCTCAATTTTTTAACACGTTAAGATGTTTGCCTTTGTGCGGGTCGCCAATAGTGCCATTGCACATGTAAGACCATACGGAGACATTAGCTATGTCGGAAGAGAGAAAAGCAGTAGAGGCAAAAGTTTTATTTGCGACAAGAAGGCAGATCAAGCGTCCTGAGGGATCCTCTGTCGTCTCCACCTGCTTCACGCCGTGCTCCGGTGGGCTGGCACTCTGCGGTCGGCTCGAGCGCCTGCGGGCCTAGGTAGTAAATTGCCATCAGCGGGTCCTGCTCGCGGCCGCAGACCTATTGCCTGGGAGCGGGGAGCTCCACGTCGCGGCCCTCGAGCCCGGGGGGCACGCGGTCGAGGACGGCGACAGATACGCCGCTCACGCCCTCCTCGCGCAGCGCGCTGGCCAGGCGCTTCCTGAACCACTTGGCGGAGCTGGCCTCCTTGCCCTCCCGGTACTTGAAGCAGAAGTAGAGGGTCCCCCCGCCCCCCTCGTCCTGCACGACCCGGCTCAGCAGGTTCCACCACAGCAGCGGGCGGTCCTCGCCGCACCAGAAGCCCTCGCGCCGCCCGAGATCTCGGTAGGCCTCGGGCAGGTGGGCGACCTCCACGACGGGGCCCTGGGCCGCCTCTGCAGGGCCCCCGGCGCCGCACCAGACGTCCCCGGGGTCGAGGGCCGCGAGGCCGGAGCAGTCGCCGGGCACGCGCCCCTGGACGGCCCGGATCCCGACGCCCCGGTCGCGGGCCCTTCTGCAGGCCTCGGCGAACTTCTGCAGGGGCGCGGCGTGCCTGAAGCCGATGTACATCACGTACTCCCCGGCCTCCTCGCCGTGCAGGACGCGGTCCGGGGGCGTCTTCCCCTTCAGGACCCCCAGCCCCCGGAAGCCGGCCCCCCGGTACGCGTCGGGGATGCCTGTGAGCCGCACGACGCAGGCCGGGTCGCCGAAGGGCGCGCCCGCCCGGACCTTGGTCCTCGTGGTCCCGTCGTCGGTGTTGAGCACGACGCGCCGCTGGGCCCTCTTGATGGGCGGCTCGTCTGGAGGCTCTCCCGTCCCATCGGAGGAGCCGGAGAGCTCGACGTCGCTCACGGCGGGCGTCCCATCCACGCGCTCCGACAGCGTGCGGAGGTCGCGCCCGGGGGCCTCTGCGTATGCGTAGACGCTGCTGCGCCGGAGGGCCGGCCCCACGAGGAAGTTCCGCTGGCAGACGGAGTAGGCGCAGAGGCACGCGGCGTGGGCGGTGGGGAAGCGGGCCGCATAGCCCCGCAGCGCCCGCGCGCCCTCCCCGAGGACGAACTCGGAGAGGGAGACGCCCTCGGCGAAGACCGCGAGGTCTGCCAGCAGGCCGTCCCCGGACCCGGGGGCGCGGGGCACGACCCAGAGCGTGCCGTGGGCCTCGTGGGACTGCGGGAGGGACGAGAGGGCGCCGAGGCTGCTGAGCGAGACCTCGACCAGGGAGCCCGCGATGGCGCCCGCGGCCGGCAGGGGGGTGCGCGGCGGCTCGCAGGCCGGCTTCTCTGCATCCCCACCGGGCCCGTACCGCTCGAGCAGCCGGCGCTCCCTCGGGTCGAGCGGGCGGCTCCCCCGGGCCTCGGCCTCCCGGCGGCCCCTCGCCACGCCGTCCCCCAGCGCCGCGGCCCGCCCCTCCTCGACGCACAGGCTCCTCTGGATGGTGTCGGCCAGGACGTCCGGGTCCCCCGTGAGCTCCAGGGTGCGGGCCGCCAGCCCGAAGAACGCCAGAAAGGTCCTCTGCTCGAGGCGCACGTTCACACTCAGCATGCATTTACGGACCCGGGCGGCGTACAGCGCGTGCGCCCCGTCCCCTGGCACGGCCGGCGGGGAGAGGGCGGCACCGGCGGGGCCCGCGGACATTTTAAGGAGGGCCTATGCCCCCAGAATGCCGCACTTCATGGCCAGCGACGCGTGCGGGAACTCGTCCCCGTCGGCGACCACGCGGTGGTTCGTCACCGTCGCGACCCCGAACGGGACGAGGTCCGACGTGATGACCTGGCCGTTGCTCCGCAGCCGGACCAGGCAGGACAGCCCGGAGGCGCCGAACGCCCCCGCGCAGATCTGCGCCCACTTGGCCGCGTCGCTGACGGGGAGGCAGACGTCCGGGAGCCCGACGGCCCGGAACCCGTTCGCCAGCAGGACGTGGATGAGGGGCTCCTCCCTGTTCGCGCTGTCTCGCAGGGTGAACGCACCGTTCAGGCTGCAGAGGCTGTGCTCCAGCAGGCCGCAGACAGAGGCGATCCGCTCCCGCGAGATCGGGAGGGCCAGGTAGAGCGGGCCGGCGGGCGGGGCGCTGGCCAGCTCGGAGAGCGAGCGGATGTCCGCCAGCCGGCCCTGGGCCCTCCTCGGCGCAGAGGGGTCGGGGGGCGTCTGCGCCGCGAGCCGGAGGTAGTCCAGCAGCCCCAGCTCCGCGACGGACGAAAAGTAGTACTGGAGGCGCAGGAGCCGGCAGCCGAGCACGAACCTCCGCGCAGCGCGGGGCGCCGCCAGGAGCCGCCGGAGGAGGTGGCCGTAGAAGGCAGAGCCGTCGTCGCAGTAGAGCCCCGGCGCCCTGCCGGAGGCGAGCAGCAGGGGGCTCCGCCTCGAGGGGAGGATCTTCTCGGCGCGCGGGGCGGGGAGCCTCTGGAGGTGCGGCACCGCGGAGAGAGAGGCGACGAAGCAGCCGCCCTCGACGTCATCGGCCAGGAGGTTGACGACGCAGAGGGGCCTCCCCGTGGCGGCGCAGAACTGCTGCAGCGCAAGGCAGCCGGAGCCCGGGTCTGCGGAGAGCACCTGGGACGAGGCGTCGAGGTGGAGCCGCGGCACGTAGAGCGGCCTGCCGCACCGTTGGCACGCCCTCCCGCGAGAGACGGGCTCCGAAGAAGGCTCCGCGCCGCCCTGGCCGTCCTCTGCCTGTCTGCCGGTGTGTCCGGGCGGGTCCGGGGCCGCGCTGTAGAGCACGTTGAAGGCCGAAACCGCCGGCCTGTGCTCCAGGAGGAGCGTGCAGGGGGAGCCCGCGCAGGTGCAGTAGGCGACGTCCAGGGGCGTGTGGGCGGCGCGGGCCCTGAAGAGCTGCCGCCTGTGCTCGGGAAGCAGCGCGGCGACGGTGTCGTCCAGCAGCCGGGCCAGCGGGTACGGGCCGAGGTAGGCGATCCTGAAGTCGGCGCAGCAGAGGTTGCTCAGGACCAGGTTCACGAACCGCGCGCCCTCCCTGCGGTAGACGTTGAGGAGCCGCGAGGCCGCCCGGTGCTGCTCCTCCGTGTAGCGCAGCACGCAGTACCTGCAGGCGGCCTGGCCTCCCGGGGGCCGGATGCCCTGCGAGGCCGGCTCCAGCCTCAGGTAGTGGCCCGCAACGACGTCCTGCTCCAGCGCGCGGAGGTGCGAGCGCAGGTCCTGCTCGGACGCGAAGGAGAGCAGCGTGGCGCCGAGGCCCGCGGGGGCGGGGGGAGCAAGGGCGTCTGCGAGCCCCGGCGCCGGACTGCCCCCGTACTCGGCCTGGAGGTCGCGGAAGGCGCCCGGGAGAGGAGGGGGCTGCAGGGGGCTCGACGGCCGGGCGGCGGGCAGGCTACGGGGCGGCGCGAGCTGCGAGAGGGAGCAGAGAAGGTGGTGGATCTCCTGGGAGACGAGGTCCCTCACCGCGGCCACGGTCCCGGGGCGGAGGCCGCGGAGGTGGCCCTCGACGCTGGCGAGGAAGCTCCGGGCCAGGTTGTTCGCGGCGCCGTACAGCCCCCCGCCCAATGCCCCGGCCGCGAAGAGCAGGGAGACGGCGTACGAGTGGGGCCCCGGGCTGTGCTGCAGGTGCTCGGAGAGGGGAAACGCCCGGGCGGCGCCGACGTCAAAGTTGTGCACCTCGTTGAAGAGGAACTCGTTCACGCGGTCGTGCACGGACGGGGCCCTGGAGGGCGGGGCGGGCCCCAGCAGGCGCGGCCGGGCCGGGCGGGGGAGCGAGCACAGGGTTCCGACGTAGACGCTGCCGGCCGCCCCCGTGGCCCCGAGCTCCTTCACCCGCCAGAGCCCGGGGCGCGCGCTCCCCGCCAGCGCGAGCTCGTCGTCGAAGGCGAGCTTGATGGCCTGGGCCGTCTTGCGCAGGTCCTCCTCGGCCAGGCGGCGGCTGCGGCTCACCCAGCACCAGACCGGGACGGGGACCGCCGAGACGCTTATGGAGAGCTGGACCTCCTCGACAAGGCCGGTGTCGATGAACGCATAGCGCATGCCCGCGGCCGCCGAAGTATTTTATGGAAAGCTCCCGGGCCGGCCGGGCTCCCGGGCGGGCGGTGTGGGCAGGCTGCCTTTCTATCCGCTAGCTGGAGCGCACCCAGAGGCGCCGCAGCAAGACAGCGCGGATGCAGATCAAGTCGTTCACTGTGGAAGGACACCGAGAATAGTGCTCAACGCAGTGTGTATCTGAGTTCCTGTCGCACTTCTTTGTATCAGTGTTGAGGGTGTAGCCCGGGAAGCATGTGTCCTTCCCGCTGTCCTTTGCCAGCACGGTTGCACAAACTAGGAGAAATCCTACCAACATTAGCCGGAGTACACGTGCCACTGCTCTTCCGTCAGGCTGATGTGTTGCCGCGAGCAGTGAGAGACAGCCGCTCTTGCTCTCCTTGACCAGTTGTACTAGAGAAGAACGAGATAAGAGCACACCCACCGGAGGCCAGCTGATGGCACGATTCCCCCTGGCTTCGATAGGAACAGGATGAGTGGGGGTCAGATTCAGACCGTGCCTCTCTTGTGGAGTGATTGTTTGGGATGCATTCCTATACATTGCTGTCGCTGTGCTCGTCGGCTTCCTCTGCAGAGGCAGGCATCTCGGTAATAAACGCGTCATTGGTGAGTTCTACTGATAGCGCCTAGATGTCATTAGTCCACGAATGTCCTGTTAATCATCCCAGAGAGCATGCCCTAAAATGTGACTTGCTTGGGCTCTGGCAGAATTGTGAATAAGCCAACTTAAACGTGTAAGTTTGTGCTATTGAAATTAGGAAAGAAGCGGTTCTCTTTCTCTAGCGAAGGACTAATAGAGAGCAAACCTCTAACTCTGCATATTGACAAAAGATTAAGAGTGATTCATAGCCTCGAAGATCAAAGCAAATGCCACAGTAGATACAATCTGATAATTTACTTTGCTATACAAACTATCAATAGTTGGAGTACTAAATTCTACAAAAAGTGAAGGAGTACAGCACGAGATTAGGCCTCCTGATCAACTGGAAGAGCACTATCTGCTGGTTGCTCATTAGCTGACTCGATCTGAGACTGGTTACTAACATCTTCCAATTGCTCCCTAGGTATCTGGGGCTTATCTGCATCGACCTGGGGAGGATGGCTAGTCGTGACTGGACATGAATTTTCAGGGGATCTGGGGGATTCAAGGCCTCCTTCAGCCTGCATTAGAGGATCCGGAAGAGAGGCCACATACGCTGCAAATGCCTCCATAATGGATACTGACTTGTCAGACTTGGCACGTTGATCAAGCGCAGCAGAAAGGCTGCTTACCTCTGCGTTGAGCTTGATGAAGTAGTCACCCATGCAACTGGTTAACTCGGCAATGAGGCTCATTGTAGTCCAGTCGATCTTCTCGAGGCTCGCGTGCTGATTAGCCATATGTTCCTTGTATGCTGTCTCGTCCACCTCCCAAGAGCGCTTCAACTTCTGCATTTTAGCTGTTGTTTGCGATATTGCTTTAACCATCTTGTTTCCGCTAGAGCCTAGTTTCATATTCAAGATATCAAAGTCCAAATCATCGTACTGGCGCTTCTTCAAAAGGATTCCTTGTCGTTCCTTGTCAAGCTTTGTCATGCACCCACTCACAGTACGAAATGGCTTAACAACACGCTCCTGAAAGCTCTGAGCGAGGTTGGCTACCGTAGAAACCAAGCCAGTATTGAGCGTGTTGACCGCTGAGATGAAGTCCTCGAGACTCTTAACATAGGGAGCACACTCAAAAGGTAAGAGATCCGGGCTTGGTGGGTTGCGCGACTTCAGGAGGGCCTTCTGCAGGTTCTTGGCAAACCCTTGGCCGATGACTCTCAAGTGTACAGAGAGCTTCTGGATCCACTCGAAGTTGTCGATGAGCTCATCAATACGTATCATCTCTGCGCGCTCGTAGAGGCGCACCTTGTTGGAGAAGTCGAAGTCAGGTTTAACCACGTCCATTTTTAAAAGCACTTTAAGACACAACTAAATCAGACAACTTCACAATGGGCTGTGGCTGGCATCAGATTGTGCTAAAACAATTGGACTCTGTCTGCGTCTCATACCTACTCTCTGGAGCAACACCCCCAAAAAGTTTACAATCAAAACGTCTGAAAAACTGCTAAAATTGGAATCCTTAATTTACCCATTTAATGGGCTTTCCCCTCTGCGCTCTCCTCGTCCGCGGCTATTAGAACTTGCTGGACATTTCGCTTCCCCATCTTAACTAAGAAAAATGTCAATCCCAAAATTCCTGTTACAAGAGAAATTCCGGCCATTTTTTCAAATGTAGCTTTATCGGAGTCAAGGATGATTATCTTCCGTGCGACCGCAGTTATCGCGACTAAAATGATTATTTCTACATGAGCATCTGATGTTTCTATGTGCACAGCCACGCTCTGCATCAGCTCAAGTCCAATGAGGACATAAAAGAATGAACTAAAAAGGCTTCCATACTGGGATGTCCCAAATATGAGATTTGGCGGTGTTGCAAAGCTGTTATACAGGGAGTACCCGCACTCTATAAGGGACGTCAAAATGAATATAGCTAACAACAGTGCCAAAATAACTATGACGTACTTTTCAAAGATGAGCATGGCGACAATGTACCGCTTCAAAAACTGGTTAGAACATGATTCTCTCCGATTAGCTATCTCTGCTGACTCCTGTGCTATCGTCGGCTTTTGCTCCGGCATGTCCGCTGGCAAGAAAACGCCTCTATCGAGAGCGATAGACCGCCGCGTTGCAGAGGGCTGCATGGCTACAATACCAAAGTTAGCTTTACTGGGTACAGAGGCCAAGTTGTCGCCATTCATTTTTAAATCTTGACGGTGAAACTTGTCTTGCTACAAGCAGAATGGTCAGCTTGGATACTTTTCATTGAGCTTCTTCTGTGCCTCCCACTCCTTCACCAACTTCTTGTATCGGCTTTTTGGTATGGGCAAAGGATTACCGTCAGGCCCCGTCTCGGCCAAGTGAGTGGGAATCCCACGCTCATCAAAAGCTGAGAACTCCACGTTCTCTAGAAACATCTTCTCGGCTGGAATTAGGGCCTTTTCGCGCTCTAAACGCTGCTTCTCAAGCTTTTCCTGCTGCACCTTCTCTTGTTGAAGCCTTTTGGCTTCTGCTAAATCCAGTTCTCTTTGGCGTTGGACCTTCCACTCCTCAACGTTTATCGGCTTAATATAAGACTCCTTGTCTGCATCTTCGATAGCAAATCCTGTCAATGGTAGGTGCTCATCTCTGAGCCTGTCACACAACCCTAGAAGCATCTTCTTTAGAGTCTTGGTATCTGTCTCAGCAGTATTAGTGGTTGAGGCCATCAATAGATCCTTTATTTCTCTCCTGAAGTTACAGACGACTCTAGCGACTTGCAAGGCGTTTTCTGCCGTTGAAGTTTCACCTCTTGCATACGAGAAACCCATAATTGAGAGGACATGTACAATTTTATCCCGTGCATTAGATAGGAGAAACGTGCTGACCTGCCTGCCTTCTGTCTGGCATGCAAAGATGTATGCCTTGCAGTTATCGATCAACAACATCACATGACTCATAGCGGAAACAATGTTTATATCGTTGCGGAAGGCCGTATCCACGTTGGAGAGGAACTCTATGGTCTGCGCTTCAAGAGCCTCTTCCGTTGTACTGTATCTAAGGTTCTTGATTGGCTCAGAAAGCTCTTCCTCGTGCTGAATGATCTGGCGACAATTGGACAGGAAACTGGTGATTTTTTTGTCCTTGGCAACTGCAGCATCCATCATCGAGATGCTGTAATCCAGCGACGCGCTGTATGGAACCATGCAAAAAAGCATGCGAACTTGGTTTGCCGTAAAGATGCTAAGAATCTCACGCACGGTTTTAAAGTTCTTTTTAGACTTTGACATAACATCCCCTGCTATCTTCAAGTGCCCACTGTGCAGGAAGCATCCTATCATGTTCTTTTTCCCGGCCCAGGTCTCCAACTGGATCAGCTCATTGTCGTGGTGAGGGAATTGTAGGTCACAGCCACCCAAGTGGAGATCAAACGCCCCTCCAGTGTCCTTCCCTAACACAGCTGCCGCCATCGCGGAGCACTCTATGTGCCAGCCAGGCCGTCCGGGCAGGGTGATCAGTTCCGAGACAGCGCCATTTTTGTGGGAAAAGGTTGCATCCCACTTGGCATCCTCTGGTTCTGTTTCTTTCCATGCCTTCCAGAGTGCGAAATCTGAGGCTGAGCGCTTTTCTGAGACGCGATTCTTGCTGTCCATCCCATCTGCATTCTGGATCAGGAGCTGGAGCTCGTCAGAACTACTGCCCAGAGGCCGAAGCTTGGGATAGGAGTACCCAGCGCTGCGGGCTGCGGCCACGTCAAAGTAAACAGACCCCGCGCTCACATATGCAAATCCGTTGTCCATGATCTTCTGGATGAAGAGAATGATGTCGGCCATGTACTCGGTTACGCGAGTGACCACTGTGAAGGGACGAACTGAGAGGGTGTGCATGTCGGAAAGGAACTCCTGCTCGTATTTACGGCAGATGTCGAAGATGGACGAGCCCCTCTCTACGGCGCGGGCGATGATCTTATCGTCGACGTCCGTGATGTTGCACTGGTAGCGAACGCGCAGCCCGAAGTAGTCCTCGAGGATGCGGCGGACGACGTCGAAGGTGACGTATGTGCGCGCGTGGCCCAGGTGGGTCGAGTCGTAGACCGTGGGGCCGCAGATGTAGGCCAGGACTGTGCTGGGTGCGTGGGTCCTGAGCTCCTCGAGGCGCCCGGTGAGGCTGTTGGTGAGCCAGACGGAGGTCGGGAACGCGGCCATTTATCGGCGCCGGGCGGAGGCAAAAAGGGCCTGACCGGATTTGAACCGATGACCACTCGGACTGCAGCCGAGCGCTCTACCCCTGAGCTACAGACCCCTGCTGCGAGCCGGAAGGGATGAACATGCATCCTCGTGTAGCTTTGTGGCTCTTCCGAAAGCAATGGCGTTCCAGACCCTCGACGCGATCAACGAGCTGGCCGCGCAGGCCGCCCGGGTGGCCGGTCCGGCGCAGCCCCCGCCGAAGGCCCCGCAGCTCGCAAGCCGGGCCTGCGACACCCCCGGGACGGCCGAGGAGACAGACAACGAGGACCTCGACGACGTCCCGGCCGGCGAGCTCGAATGCAAGGTGTACAGCGAGGAGCATCGGAAGGCCGTTCGGAAAGAGATACAGCGGACCATCAAGAGCGGGATCGTCATCACCATCATCAGCGTCGTCATGGTCCTCGTCCTCACCTGGTTCATTGTAAGTAGATTCCCGCTGGTCCTGGTCATCGTCTGGGCCTCTATGACCGCCGTCCTCACGATCCTTGGTGTGGCTGCCTGGATATGGGTCTGTGCACGGTTCAAAAAGGCACGTGCAGAGACATAGCCTGGCGCGCTCTTATGGAAATAGAAACAGTTCGGCAAGTAAACAGTTGTTAGCAAGGCATGTATGTTCATGGTTCCATCGGGTAAACAGGGCATGTAGTGTACACGTTCTTAAAAGCTAATTCTCGAGTGCCTTGTTTATGACCGAATGCCTGGAGAGTAATGAATACTGTATTTGCACGCCAACAGCAGATAATAGCGTAGTTATATGTAAGTGCAAGGAGGGATATGTTAGTAGAGACAACCAGTGCTACAGCAAAGAATGTTATGACAGTCTCACAGACAGCTTTTGTGGAAACTTAGGCTTTGCTACATGCGATAATAGTGCACAGAAGTGTAACTGTGGCAATACAGGCCTTACTCTAATGTCCTTTCATGGGCGATGCGTAACAGAGAATTGTTTAATTGGAAAAGAGCCTAGCCGGACTGAGTGTTGGAATAGAGGGTACTGTCAAATTAACTTAGCTGGAGGGATATGTCGTTGTTACTCTGCATACTTAAACGACACTGGGTGTACTAAGTGCAATCCAGAAACATCCCTGGAGAAGAAGGTATCAAATGGAGTTGAGTGCATTCCAAAAACGTGCATGGATAAGGAGAATCCTAGCGTCGATCTTGTATGTAATAACATCGGAACGTGTACTCCCTTTGTCAACTCAGAGTCAACCATGCTGTACATATGTAAGTGCAATAGCCATGCTTTCAGTGTAGGAGACTCATGCTATCCAAAGGAGTGTGTGATTACAGACCCTCTTGTCTCCAACAGCCTCACTGTCTGCAACTCAAAGGGATCTTGCGATTTCAAAACAAGTAGATGCAACTGCATCGCACCTTACACAGGAAGATTCTGCCGGTCTTGCTTACCGGAATATATCCACCAATATATTGCAACCGAGAACGGCTTTCTCTTTCTCTGCGTCCACGAGAACTGCTGGGATGAGTCGCTTAATACGCACTGCAGTGGTCACGGGAACTGTACAATGGATGCCGTGTCTAAGGTCTATAAGTGCTCATGTGAGCAAGGATACAATCTTGTGAAGGGCACGTACAACATTTGTGCGTCAAACACCGTCCGTAAGCGTAATCGGCAAGGCTACCTTCTGCTGTCTGACGTCTTGTTTGTCGCGCTCTTTGCCGTGGCCATTCTTGGAATAGGTGTATATCTCCTTGTGAAGCTTTTGTCTGAAAAGAAGGCCAAGCGAGACCATGAGCTTTACATCCATCAAGAGAAGATCACAATAGCAAGGAATCTCCATAATGATTTGTCATCAGCTAAGCAGGCGTCTGCTCAATCTAGCGTCCTTTCCACTGCCGAGTACATAGCTTTTCAGCGAAGGTACATGTAGTGCTCACACTGTATGTCAGCACCTCTGTTAGGTTCTTCCTGTTTCAGTTTAGTTAGTAAATTAATATGCCTTCAGCGTCTGTACAGCTTGCACAGTGGATTTCTTATCCTTGGCCAAGTCTCAATTAAATCAATAAGCTCATGGGCATAGTTGAGCAAATAGCTGAGGTAAAGACTGAGATGGCACGTACCCAAAAGAACAAGGCCACAGAGCATCATCTAGGACGCCTGAAGGCCAAGCTTGCGCGACTGGAGAGTCAGCTCATCAGCGAGGTCACAAAGAAATCTGGAGGAAAGGGGTCTGGATTTGATGTTGTTAAGCAGGGACAAGCTAGAATTGCACTCGTTGGGTTCCCATCTGTGGGGAAAAGCACCTTTCTCACGCGGTATACCAACGCGGAGTCTGCATCAGCAGCCTATGAATTCACCACTCTTACCTGTGTTCCAGGCACGATGGAGATAAATGGAGCGCCAATACAGATTCTTGACCTCCCAGGAATCATCGAGGGGGCCGCCACGGGCCTAGGGAAAGGACGACAGGTGATTGCAACCGCTAGAACAGCAGACGCCATAATAATGATGCTTAGCGCATGCAACGCAGTCAAGGAGAGGCGGATCCTTACAAAGGAGCTAGAGTCTATGGGAATCCGTCTGAACAAACGCCGACCAAGCATTGAACTACGCCCAGCCTCAATGGGGGGTATACAGGTGCTTTCGGACAATGTATTGACCGTCCTAGATCACGACACAATACGGGCCACTCTTGCAGAGTATAAAATCCACAACTGTCAGGTGCTTCTCCACTGCGATGCAACCGTCGATGACCTAATTGACGTAGTAGAGGGCAACAGAGTTTATATGCCGTGTATCTACGCTATCAACAAAATTGACATGGTAAGTATTCCCGCTGCCGAGTACTATGCAAAGCAGCCGGACACCGTTGTTATTTCAGCAGAGTGCGATCTCAATGTCGATTACCTGAAGCGAATTATCTGGCAGCGGCTGCAGTTAGTACGCATCTATACCAAGAAGCGGAACTGTCCGGCAGATCTTAGTCAAAAGGAAGCGGTTTTTCTCAAACAAGGAGATACAGTCGAGAAGCTTTGTGCAAATATTCACAATGATATGGTATCCAATTTTTCGTATGCAATGGTGTGGGGTAGAAGTGCCCAACACTGTCCTCAGCGAGTCGGAAAAGACCACAAGCTAGCCGACGAAGACGTTGTCCAGATAGTTTTGAGAAAATAGCATAAGCAGGATCAACCAGAACGCCCACGGCTCCCTTCTGCTCCTGGTGACGCACTATTTACTGATGATACTCCGCATACAGAATATCCTCTATCTTCTTCACGACACTCTTAATGTAGAACGGAGAGTCTTCTGGCTCTGCAATCTCCACTTGTGTCATAAGTTCGTTCATTTGATCCATATATATCTCTATTTCATGCAACTTATCAAAGTAAAATTGTGACTCTAGCTGACCCTTTGCAATTTGACGACGTAAGTCCTCAAGCTCCTTAGAGTCAATTGAGGGCCCGGACGTGCTTGAGGCCTTGGGGTTCTGCATGGATGCAGCGGTGCTGCCTGACCTATTTCCTGGTTTTGATGTTTTAGTAACAGCGTTGGCAGATCCAGATTCTGTAGCACCAGACTTGGATCCCTTGTAATTTTGGTCAAAGAACCACTTGAACCATTGGAAGAACTCGAAGTTGTCCATGTACTTCCCTGTGACTAGCTTATTGACGTCAATGCCCTTATCTATATTGTTACGACTCAAAACGTCCTGTATGATCTTAAAATTTTCTGACCTTTCCCACTCGTTGATAGCATTCATGCGAACACGATGCATGTTCACCTGTCCCGGATAAACAAGATTCAGGGCCATACAATAGTGGTGTCCCGATGCCAGGTCCTCAACTTTCTTGACAGGCTCATTAAGCAATTCTGATATCCACTTGAGCAAGGAGACGCGGCCTACAAAGTAGCAGTCAGACACATTTCCGGGTGCTTTTACCGGCGGCATCAAGCGTGAATTTAAATTTTGAGCTTTTACTTACGTTTCTACCCAACTTAGCTCACGCATGCAAGACACAAGGGCTATAATGGAAAGTATCACTCAGTTTGCTCTAGACTTGGAAGCCTTTTTTAGGCCCGAAGAGGAGCGCATTGTCACATGCTTTCATACGCCCATCAACGAAGACCATGATTGTGGTACAGATGGCAGGGGATCACCTGCTACGTTGGCTGCAGCATTTCATGTACGCAAGAACTACTATGAAGACGGTATGATTTCGTCTTCTCCGTCTCCAGTCAGTGTCCATTCCTACCTGGAGGCGCACGATTGGAGCAGTGAAACTGACTCGCATGATGACAAGAGAGGTAGAGAGTATGACCAAGAGTCAGAGGACGGATCTACCGCCGGCACACTAGCCAGTGCGCACTCTTCTCTATTGCTGTCATCGCCAGTAACACCGGACAGGTCTGCTGGAAGTGACAGCGATGTATGGTAGTTTACAGCTGTGTTATTCTCCAAGCAATGCATCAAGCATATGCACAAGTGTCAAATTGTGAGCCAATAGAAACCCCCCATATGTCTGTTCAAGAGCGACCAAGATTTGTTTCTTACATTTCTCTGCGTCTTCCTTCGGCATATGTTCTCCCTCATTTATATCGTTAATATGCAGCCGTTTAAATGCTTTAATATACACATTGCTGTTGTCTTCATCGCACATGGACATAACTTTATAAACAAACCGCTTGAAGAGTATGGGAGAAGCCGCTTTCAAAATGTCTGTGCAGCGCTCTATCCCGAGAAGAACAAACTGCGCCTGTGTAGTCTCGAAGACCTTGATCAGTGAGTAGAACAAAATCACAATAAGTACCCACAGATGTGCATCTGCTTCTGAAGCTTCTTCTAGGCTTCTACTACTTAAGAAGGAAAGGAGATACGGAAACGACCTGCTCACCTTGGTACTATTTTGCCGTGTAGAAAACGATAGCGCCACAATGAGTTGCATAAAGAGCTTCGTGATAAAAGATAGGGGTGACTGCTTAGAATTGATATTGACCGTCACAGAGTCAAGAAGCTTAGTGATTAATTTTCCACAAATGAAGGCACAAAGCGTTGAAATCCTCTGCGTTGAATATAAAATGAGGGGTAGAAGAACTTGGTAGATGAGCTCATTGATGTCTGCCGCAGATAAGTTGAGAAGTAGCTTTAGGTCCTCAGTAGTAAAGAGTTCGATGCTTTCCAGCTGGTCGTTTGAGGAGTCCCCACACTCTCTAAATGCGTTCCAAACAGTTGTTAGAAAGACATTTGACGCAGGAGACAGTGCTTGCGGCGGCGGTGCCATGAAGTAAAGTCCCGAAAGGTAGCGGATGTGTGGCAAGTACGTGCACTGGGCCTTGTTAAAGGTACTATAAAGGCTTTCCAAGAGACCGATGTTCTCCGACGCCTTGGAGGCAAGAGTTGACATGAAGTACAGAAGCTCGTTAACGGTGGAAACGACGAGCTCCGACGTTTGCTCATAGGTCGAGACATTCTTCAATAGTATGGCCCATTTCCAGAAGGCGCCACTAGGTAATGCCTGTAGAAGCGGCAAAAACGTGTCTGGATTAAGCAAGTACGCCGCAAGTGGTTCTGGCATGGAGTAGGTACGTGGACCACAAAGCAGTGGGCATTCTCCTATGCTCTGTATGCATGTATCCGCGAGCATACTGGGAGACTTTCCATTAAGAAGAGACTCCGCTAAGGGAGACATGTCTGCAACTTCAGCGTTTGCTGAAGCGTCCATAAGGTGGGTAATAAGCTCTCTCAAGCAGTACATTGCTGGAAGAGACCCAAACTTCAAGGACCCCATAAGATTTGCAAGCAAATATTGACCGGAAAGATCACTCGATGTTTTGCTAATGGTCCAATCGACATGAATTGTTAATCTGACAGCAACAGAGACATAGTTGCGATAGTAGCTACGGAGCCATCCACTTTCCCGAGATAGGTGATGTCCCGATCTGGCTTGCTGATCTAAGGAGACGTCGTCTAAACACTCATCAGTAATAGATTGTATAATCAGCCAGGTATAAAACTCCTGGACAAGTGGATGTGATGAGATAATAATGCCGCAGAGAAGAGAGCGAATATCCGCCAGCTCGAGACGGCGCTTAACATATTCATGCACAAGAATCAAAGAGGTGGCCGGCAGAGAAGCAATGCTTGACATGACGCCAGAACAGTTTGTCAGACAAAGAACACTGATCAAATACTGTTCGATGAAGGACTTGAGCGTCACATAGTAGAAATTCCTCTTGCACTCTATGCCCGATAAAGCAGCCAGAAAAGAAGGACATTGTTTCACCTTCCTCGCGCAAGCAGAAATGGATGACAGCTCCTCCATGATAGCAGAATATATCTCCCTTCTATGAGTGAACCCCATTGTGCTTAGCTTATCCCACGCGAGAGATAGGGCCTCCTGACAGTACGGGGCAAAGAACAGATTAGCAATGATTTGACCGACAAACCGGTAATCAGATGAATTAATGCTCCCCTCTAAGGCATGAGAATAGGAGTCTAGCGTTGGAAACACAGCCTTGTCTATACAGCATAACGAGAAAGACTGTTCATAAAGAGTTCTAAGTATCCCACAATCCATCAGCCATGGAACTGTTGCATGGGCAAGCTTGAAGTGATCACTAGGAATGATGTTAGCAAGAGAACCATCACCTAATAAAGCGTACATGAGCATGTTGGCCCCTTCAGTTTCATTATGTTTGAGTAATAAGTAGATAAAGTTCAGAAAAACAAACCTCATGTTGTTATGGGAAAGCCAATAGACAGGGAGGTCCAGTAGACAGCTTATTGAGTCGCCCAGGGTTTGATACTTGTGCTTGATGTTCTCGCTTTTCGTGGCGATTTCAGCTGCAAAAGGAGGCGCTTTAGTTGGAAGGTTGCAGGTTGATAAGGGAGTAGAAAAAGTATAGATGTCATACAGCTCGGCAAGGTATGTAGTAAGCTCCCTCTGAACAGACGCTTGCGAGACGCCTTTGCAGAGCTTGATGCAGATGTATTTAAGTAGCTTATCGCATAATATATTTGGGCTGTCTTCACAGTTGAAGCCAGCGGACAAGATAGTTCTAAGTGACATTGACTCTGAAGACGGAGGGTCTTCTCTAACAATAGTGAGCATGGTTAAGATCCGCAGAATAAGTTTCTCTGTAGATAAAATGGAACTAGAGCAGGGTAAATAAAAAGATATAATGTAGTGAAATAGCATGGTAGGAAATGTTATGTCTTCAGCCCACCGAGGGTCGAGAAAAAGAGTAATAAATCCTTTAGACAAGCAGAACCGTAGTACCCCCTGTTGAAGAAATATGCGCATAGTGAACTGCATGCTAATTGGAACGGTACTCATTACCGAATAGAAAAGTGCATTCTTAAGTGCTGCCAGAGCTCGGCTTTGCTCTTCAGAGTCTACTGTCCCAGAGGCCTCTGGAGCTAACAGAAGTGCAATTAACAGGATACGGACAGAAAGAGCCATGTCATGGAACGGTTCAGTCACGAATGTCAGTGCATCAACCTGGGCAGTGCGTAGTTCGTGGTTGCTGTAGACGCGGGCAATGCGCAGCAGAACCTTTTGAGCGTCTGCAGGCAAAGACAGCTCCTTCACAGATGGAATAGCTAGCTCGGCCTGCAGTATATCTAGCGTAGAAACCAACTCTGCGACTCCACGTGAAAGGCCAACAAGGAGTCTGGATGGAGTCATGAGCTTTGTTGAGTGAATAGGTGAAAACCCGATAATTAGTGAGCACAGGAGCGCTACCCATGCTCGGACCCCTGGAGACGACTTCAGGTCGGAGAGTAGCTGGCTTGCTGGTGTATCTGATTGAATCCCTAGAAGTGCCCCAACGGAGAAGATGGCACTGGTAACGGTGCAAAGCCGTTGAATGCTGATGTCTCGTTGATCTAGAATATAGGTATGGATCCGCTTTACAAGATAGTCTAAATCCAGCCTAGCGTGCGGCATCTGGACGCTTCTATCGTGCTTGAAAAATGTGTATCTATTTAGCTCCTGATGAGACGCATTTCCTTCCATTAGAACATACTTCCAAATCAGCGCGACAATTGTCTGACTGGCTGATAAGCTTGTCTGGGCACCAACTGCTCGTTGCAAATCATTGAGGGCCGCGTTGTCAGAGATGTACTTGGGCCCTCCAGGTTTCATTAATTCAAATTAAAATTGTTGGCCGCAAAAAACCCATTATTTGAAAGCTATGGCCGGCGAGATGATCCACCCCCTCCCGCATAAGATCATCATCAAGAAGAGGAAGAACAAATTCATCCGCTTCCAGTCCGAGCGCTTCGTCCGCGTCAAGCCTTCGTGGAGAAAGCCCCGTGGGATAGACTCTCCGATGCGCCACCAGTACAGGGGTCAGCGCCCCATGGTTTCCATCGGCTACGGTTCCGATAAGGAGACGCGTTTCATGCTCCCCTGCGGCTTCTTCAAGCACAGGATATCCACTGTCCACGAGCTCAAGACCCTCTTCATGAACAACAAGACGCACGCTGCACAGATTGCACACGGCGTTTCTGCGAGGTCGCGCAAGCAGATCCTTGAGGAGGCCAAAAAGATGGGCGTGCGTGTCCTCAACGCCGACGCCAAGCTGCGCAAGGAAGAACTGTAAGGGGCTCTCCCGGCTTCTCGAGTAAACAGCAAGACGTTGGTGTGCTCTAGATTTACTGAGCCTAATGGCCAGCCGCGTGGGCACCTATGCGTGCATGTGCAGGAGGCTGCCGTCTCCAGTAAGCTCGTAAGCGGTGACTGTGCTCGTACAATCAAGAAGCAGGGCCCGCCTCTGGCCCCATGCTATGGAACGTACGGAGAGATCTGCTTCTTGCTGCTCATCAGAGTCTGCTCCGCTGGGGGTATCACTGCCTTTAGTATTGGTAACTCCCGCCGGGGATAACTCTGGACGTGTGCCTCGCTCTGCTTGCGTGCTGGAAATAGGTAACGAGAAAACAGCATGTCTAGTGAAAACCCCGTCGGAGAACTTAAACACCGTTACGGAGCCACTGAACTTCCCGCATGTCACAAAAACAGAGTCCTCTGCCTTGTGCACGCTAAGAATATAGTCATGCGACTTAGTAAGGGAACGGATATCCATGTTCTGGTAGAAGATAGCTCCATCTTCAGGATCTGCCAGAGCCATTCCCATGGACCCCGTCGTCAAGCATAAAGACTCGGTGGAGTAATAAACAACACCGAGCGGAAACGGATACGCCGATCCGAAAATAAATATGTCATCAGAAACATCTTCAGAGTTCCCAAAGAGCACCTCCCGCTGAGGCCCGGAAGCGTCGAGATTCAGAAAGCCCAACTCACTCACTGCGTTAATGAATAAAAGCTCTGTCGGCCGATTCCTGCAAAAGGACAGATCTGCAATATTAGATGTGCTTAGCTTGATAGGCGCCTGGAGCCCAGAAGTATCACCAGCCAACAATGGGCCCAGCTCATACGCACAGATGAAAGTCCCAATAGACGCTACCAGGACTGCTCCATTAGTGGCCAAACAACTTACTGGGCCCACAAGGGCCAGCTCTGCTACTGCATTAACCCAAAGATTTTTCTTGTTGTTTTTGTCAATTGTTACGGTGTAGACACAGACGATATTGCCAGCTGCAGCAAGGATTATGCAGAACGGCTCTGTGCCTGTCTTAGTAGCCTCCGGATCTGTCTGTAACAGTGACCACCGGGGGGTGCCAGGATCAGATAGGGAGAGGACAGTGAACACTTCGCACTTGGGGATTTCTCCAACCTGAGAGATGTGCCCCGCTTCATTAAGCAAGTATAGACGGAGGTATCCAGAAGATACGTGCACATAAAAGTAGCTATCACCGCCATCTAAGAAGCCAACAGACGTCCCCACTATAGCAGCACCCTGCCCAACGGAGTACGGCCGGTACAGGGGCGCGAGCATATACATGGTGCACGGTCTAATAAATGTAAATTACTAAAAGCAAATAGGACAGATTTTTTTAAAAGTATGTCGATCAGTCTTGTATTCGTCAGCAGCGAGCAGGCCCCTGTGTTCACCGGCCAGATGCTTTTTAATGGGAACTGGATGCCAATAGATGTCAAAGTGGAGATGTTCCTATTTTCGCTTCTGGATTTGGTTTATGCAAACCTTGCCAAGCAGATGGAGCAACCCACCGTAGATTGTCTCATGCTAAAGATTGCAGAATCGTTGGGCTATGTGGCCCATGCATATGTAACCGTTGACAGGTCCATACTCTTAATGTTAATTCCTGTAGAAGCCAAATGCAATTCTAATCAATTAAAGCTTTTTTTCCTTGCCGCAGAGGCTCTCCTTGCAGCCGAATCCATGAATCCGTTTTACAAGCGCTCGACACACGTTATGGATGAACCCTTCTGCTTTGCTTTAGCCCAGAAGCTTCACGCCCATTTACTTAATAAAACTTGGGGTTAAATTTTGAAATTAAAAAGACTCCCTCATGTATAATGCCAATCCAAAGCCTTCACAGCAGGGTGGAGCCCGCGAAAGCAGAGATTCTAGGGATGTGCGACAGCAGTATATCTTCCTCAACATCATCGGAAGCGGCTCCTTCGGGAAGGTCCACAAGGTCCAGTCCAGGACGAACGGGCGGATCTTCGCGTGCAAGGAAATCGACTACGCCAAGATGAGCGAGAAGGAGAAGAAGCTCCTCGTCCACGAGGTCAACACGCTCAAGGAGCTCAGCCACGAGAACATCGTCTCCTACATCGACCGCTTTGTCGAGCGCGAGAACGCGAAGATGTTCATCGTCATGGAGTACTGCGAGAATGGAGACCTCGCAAAGTACATCAAGCGGCACAAGACAGACAGGCGCTACATCGCTGAGGAGAAGATCTGGTCTGTCTTTGTCCAGCTCCTCCATGCCCTTAACTATTGCCATAGCATCCATAGTGAAGACGAGTCAGGTGTCCACAAAGTTATCCACCGGGATATAAAGCCCGGTAACGTGTTCCTCACTCAAGATGGCTCCATCAAGCTGGGAGACTTTGGTCTCTGCCGTACCCTCGGAGAAGATTCTGTGGCCCAGACAAACGTCGGCACCCCCCTCTACATGGCCATAGAGGTCCTCCAGAAGCAGTCCTACACAGAGAAGGCAGACATATGGTCCCTCGGCTGCGTCATCTACGAGCTCTGTGCCCTGCAGCCCCCATTCGTGGCATCTAACATAGAGTCCCTCAAGACGAAGGTTAAGCAGGGTGCACGCCCTGCCATACCGTCTCACTACTCTAGCGATTTGTCAGCTGCAATCGACTTAATGCTCAACCCCAATCCTTCAGCACGACCATCTGCAACAGATATCCTTCAGCACAGTCGTATCATTGAGATGAATGAGAGAATAAAAGCTATGCCTGCATATGCTGCACAGGCGCCGCCTGAAATACCAAAGAGTGCTCCACCAGGCGGTGGACATGCCCAACGTGAACGTGAACTTCGTGAGTGGGAAGAACGCCTGAACACGAAGGAGCAGTCCCTACGAGCACGTGAGGAGCACGTTGACCGCACACTAGCAGCTCTGAACGCCGGAACATATAAAGGCTATTAACCAAATGATAGTTTTTCCTTGATTTACAACGTGGCAGTAAACACATGTATAATCCGTATGTTAGAAGCTATGGGAGAAAAGCTTGGTGCCCTACGTGCCAGCGCTGTGGTTCTTATTATCTAAACGACGTTTGTCCCGTTCCTCGTGACTTTCCAGCAATGGGATAAAACGAGAGACAACATATCCTTCACAGTTGGTTGCCTGCTGGTTATCGAGACGGAGAATATTCCAAATATTGCGACGGAAGACCTCCAGCAGCCCAGCTATACTCGCTATCCAAAAGTCCCGTAGAGACGGATGTGGAATAACTAAAGATATAGGCAAATAAATGCGGATTGCTATATTAAGAAAGAAGCAGAAGTACAGAGTTGGAATACTAAACAGAGATGATCGTTGCAAAATCCCTTTCCGGTATGCTTTCGAGTCTGAATGGATTTGCTTGAAAAGTAAGGCGCCCGAGCCCCCGCTGAATAATGCCCAATCCTCCACTGTATCCCAGTAAAGTTTATAAATTATCTCAACCCAACGGATAGAGTATAGCGTATACTTGATGCCCGATATTTTGACCAAAGCAGAGACCTCCATAAAGCAGCCTGGGATTGAAACCAAATACTTCAGCATATTGTGGATATTCGGATAGGCATTCCCGGACTCCTTATATCTACGCCCACACTGCATGGCTCGGATGATATTGAATGTCGTCAGAAAGCATGCAGTAATGTAGTCCGGTATATAACCACCAGATAGGACGTAACACAAATCTATAATCATCACAGAAAGAGAAACACACTGATCCATGAAGAAGAATTGGGGAAAATTGATCCGTCGTACGCGGGGATTCAAGCAGCGGAGGAAGACCATCAAACAGTAATGCCTTAATTTGTGCCTTTTGGAGAAAAAGATGGCGGTTACGAGCCAGTAGAAGTAGAAGGCGAAAGGTATGCACAGCCAAAGCTCGTAAGGAGTCAACTGTGCAAGAGCTGCCAAGTATTTACCAAATGGATAGGGAAGAGGTTCCGAAAAGGCCGGCTGGCCATGACTTGAGAGAGAGGTGTATGCACTGGCGGTGCCCATCACGATCGCAATGCAGTGGATCGTTGAAAACCAAAGTGCACGGATAGCAATGGTGTTGGCCCCTGCAACCATATTCGCAGAGGGCAGCTCCAAGATGAGAACATAGTTGATACGCTTAACCTCATAGATAGCAAAAACCATAGCTAGGGAAAGGCTGTATATTACTATGCTTAAGTGAAAACGATTCAAGTGTCTGCAGATTGGAGGTAAATCTATTAAGTAGTGCTTTGACATGATTATGTTCAAGACAATATCCACCAGCATCAATGCTATGGGGACGAAGAATCCTAGGCTGACCCCTGTGTGCAGGGCTAGGCGCTCTCTTTGTCTGGAAAGATCCCCCATCGGAGTACAATAGGAGACCAGCGTTTTCTTTGCGCCCTTTCCTTTTGTATCATAGTGTTGGCCGTATACTCGTTCAATGTCGTCCTCAAAGTCACTCAAAGCGGACTGAGATGCAAAGCTGGTCTTGATCAGTAACTCCTTTATTCTTTCGGTGCAGAATGCAGACGTGGGAAACATTTTGTCATGCTTCTTAGCTATCTTGATAAAGCCTGTTTCATTGAGAGAGGTAAATTCCTTGAGCATGCGGACGCTCTTGTATAATTCAAAGATGTTCTCCTCCACGTCTTTAAGCTCTGATCTGGTAAGCTTGGGGTGGCTGCGTTTCTTTTTGCTCTCTTTAATAGCTCGATCTTTTCTGCTATGCCTGCTGAGACTTTTGTTGGTGATCACAAACTCCTTGGCTACTTTCAAAGACGACGTCTCAATGTCTTCTGATGGGGCTCCTGCATCTTTTTCAGATCCTGCATTATTAGCGCCGTCACTATTGTGCACTGAAACAAGTGGCTCTGGTGATAGGTGTCCTGCTTCTGAAGAAAGAATTGCTTGAATCGATTTCCACAGATTTTTGTATTCGCGGCATTTGCTCTGGTAAAAGCTCTCAACTTGTCCCACTGATAAGCGTAGTTTTTCATAGAAAGCCTCTGAAAACCCAGTCCTGTTCCACTCGCTACGCTCGGCTTCAAGCCGATCGTTGACCGGGAGAAGACGCTCTGAGTCGTTTACGTGCTCGTCGAGCAACTTCTTAAAGCCATTATAATCTAAATAGTGCTGTCTCCACTCTGGAATGAGCGTACTTACAAGACGTTCGCCAAACTTCATGCCCAGGATGTTTATCTTCGCCGATCACAAATTAGTACGAATTGGGGTCTACACACGATTTACAATACAAAGAGATTACCAAGAATTAAGTAATAGACAGATTGATAGAGTCAAATATCATAGATTGACCAGTCCCTGAAGCGCCTGCAAGTAATTCTGTTGTTGAGCCGGGGAGATGCATACACCTGGTTCTGCTGAGTTTCCTTGCAGACAAAAGCTTCCAGAGAAGAATGCCCAAGGCAATAAGAAGAAGAGCCACTGCAGTGACTGATAACCCTATGGTTAGCGACAGACGGGCGTTTGAGGCTGGGGGTACAACTGGCACGTATGGACCAGCTTCAGAAAGACATAAAATCGGTCCCGGAACTGCTGGGCCAACGCATGATAGGCATCCTTGCATTCCAACATATCCGTTTTTCCCTTCTTCGTCAGAGCATGCCACACAGTGAGAGGGATCAAAGACCTCATAATCAGTGGCTGCAAAGTATCCTTCTGCGCACTGGGTACACTGAAGATTACTCTTACAAGATGCACAGGTCTTGGGACACTGGACACAGCTATCCCCATAGTAGCCGTCGGAGCACACGGTGCATATATTGCTGGAGTACTCGCACGCCTGACAGTTTGTGCTCTCACACGGTGTACAGGATCCAGAGAGCGGTCCATATCCTAGCTGACACTTGCTGCATACGCCCAACCCCTCGTCAGTAGCAGACTGGGCGCAGACGTACGAGCCTGGAAGTCTGTCCGACTGATAACACCCACCGGAATACAGGAAATATCCTGGAGCACAGTGGGTGCAGATACCATTCTTTCCATTCAAGCAGATGAGATCTCTTGCGGCCATGTGGCAGTCCCCATTGATAGGATAGTGACCAGATGTACACTGTGAACAGTACGCAGTGCCGAAAATTACTGCATTGCATAGAAGACAATTTCGGGAATTCTCGACACACGCGTCAGTACAAGTACTCGACCCTGTCCCAGCAGAGTGCGCCTTTCCCTTGATACACGTCAAACAGTCGCTCTCCCCTGGTCCAGAGCAGGTTAAGCATGTGCTGTGACAAGCTACACAGGTACCCTCTACCAAGTGGTAGCCAATCTTGCACCTACTACAGTTATCAGCCAAGTCTGTGCATTCCAAACAATTTTGATCAGTACATAAAACACAATGCTTGGAGGATGAGCTGACGCCGAAGCTAGGTACAGCACATTTAGGAACACACGATGATCCCGCGGGGTCCACTACGTACGCCTTAATGGTACAAAGCTCACAGATAGTAGGATCAGATACGCATTTAGCACATCCGCTTACCTTGCACAGAACGCACTCGTCTTTCTGCAAACTGTATCCATCGTGACATGCAGTACAGTAGCCTCTGAGAGAGGCCACACATATCCCATTGCCAGGGACGGCTGCTATGCTGTAGCATCCGTTGCCGTGGAAAAAGTAACCAGCTGTACACTCAATGCACCTACCAGCTAAGCAGTTATTTCCACGAGGATCCGATGTGCACAGACCATTAATTGGAAACTCCGATAGCACCGAGCAACGCATGCACGCCCCCGTTTGCATATCGCATGAGCCTATCGCGCACTTTCCTGAACCCTCGCCTTCTGTACACATATTGTAACACTTTCCCATGCTCATAATCGACCCTGATTGACACTCTAAGCAGAGTCCAGGGTTTTCTGAGGAGCAAGTTAAACAATTACCTCCACATGGCTGACACATTGGGCCATAGAAACCCTTTTCACAAACGGTGCACTTACCCAATGCGTTGCAAGTTCTGCAATGAGGAATAGCGCACGCTCTGCATTTTTTAGTGCTCATGCACTTTGTACAGGTGTTTAGCAAACCGCACTCAGCACACTCCAAGGAGCTGCATGAGATGCATTCATTTTCCCATAGATAATAGTCATGGACACACACTTCACACACTGTCTTATCGGCATTGCACTGCATACAATTATTTGTTAGGCATTTAACACAGTGAGAACCTGTGTCATGAGTGCCACTGGGACAAGTCTTCATACAGTGGACAACTCCGTTGGAATCGTATAGCTTGTAATTGGGAAGACATTCGCTGCATAATATCGTGTCCTCAACCAGCCGACAGATCTTACATCCGGTCGTCGTCTGGTCCCCCTGAGAATCCGTAGTAAGTGCGCAGCTATGGCAACGGCCACTATCGGTCCTATCGGGGTCCTTCTCAAAGAATCCGTCCGCACATCCACTGCACACAGGAGCTGATTCACAGATACACCCTAGAGGACATACCTTTGGCTCCTCAACACAGAGTCTTGCCTCCAGCTCAGGAGTATAACCATTGTTACACACACAGCGAGAAGCATTGCTATCAGATACCGGGGTGGAGTGAGAAGGGCACTCCGTATCACAGGAGACTCCATCAATACTTACAAAGTGTGCAGTGTTGCTGCACTCAATACACATGCTCTCGTTGCATACTTTGCACCCCGATCCACACTGGATACATGTACCGGAAGACGATAGCCTAAATCCATACTGACATCCAGTACACACAGCAGCATCATTAGCACACGTCAAACAGTTCTCATCGGAGCATCTGGCACATTTTAGGTCGGCCGTCAGCCTAAAACCTTCTTGACATATATCGCAAAAGTTATGTCCGGCTTGAGCACAAGACACACAGTTGTCAGCGCACACGGGTGGTGGGCACTCAACCGCCCCATCCGCTTTAGTTCCATAGAAACACTCTGTGCAAACGCTTGGATCTTCTGCGCACAACTTGCAATATCTGTCACTGCAGTTCATGCAAGCATTCTTATTCTCTGCTAGACCATATCCAAAATCACATATGCATTTTGTTGGGGTACTAGTGTCGGGTTTGGAACCAGTCGGACAGGCAGCAATACACTCTGTTCCTGCCAAATTCATGTAGGGTGTTTCCGGTAAGCACATTTCACAGGTATCTCCAGCATATCCAGAAGTGCACCTGCTACAACCTGAAACCTTACAGGGCACGCATGACATAAAGCCAGGATAATATCCAGGAGTGCACTCAGTACAGCTGTGAGAGCTTTCGCATATCTTGCAGTTTGCTGAGCAGGATCTACAAGACATCGAATAGGCATCACCGTATGTGCCAATGGGGCATGCAGCGTAGCAACTGACAAAACCAGTTGCAGAGTCGGTAAGACTATAGTAATTCTGGAAGCACTTGTGACACTGCACTGGACCCGGTGTCGATGGAAGAGTACATTGGGAGCAGAACTCTATACCTAAATATCCTTCGTGCTGAGAGCTAGTATCTCCGCACCCAATGCATACTCTTTTAGATCCGATCATCAGCTCTTGCGCGTTCGCTCGGCACTTGTCACAGTCGTCTTTAGAAGAACAGACAGCACAGTGATGCCTGCACAGCATGCACACGCCTGTGCTATCAAGGAAAAAGCCCTCCTTGCAGCTTGAGCATGTGCTCTTGCCATTTGGACACGAGCTACAGTTAGGAACCTCGCAAGGAATGCACATTCCGGTTGCATCAGTGGAAAATCCGTCGGCACACTGTGTGCATTTGCCATCACTCACAGTACCTGCACAGACAAGCTTTCCGAGACTAGAGCTCTTGGAGACACAACCACCATTGAACAGGAAGGAGGAAAACCCGCACTTGGTGCACACGTTATTGGCACAGGTATCGAACGGATTTGCACTATCACAAATGCCATTGACCGGCACATAATCCAAATATGCACACTGCGAACAATACGTGGCGCCCCCCAGAACATATCGATTTTCAACTGCACATATTAGTGGCGCATACTTTCCATTGAGATCGTAACAGCCGTCTTCAAACAGCATATAGTCTGAGGTGCACGATCCGCACTTAGTATTATAGCCCTGCAAGGTGATGCATATGTTAGGGTCATCGGGAACACATATACCGTTAATAGGAACGGTATTGAAGGTCATGCAATCAGTACAGACTGTGTCTTCTCCTAGCTTAAGAGAATGGTAACACTTTAAATCAGAAGTAGCTGTTTCCACAGAAGAAAAACCCTTTATGCGAGCAATCCGAAGGGCTAGTAATCCAACGGAGAAGACCAGCATTTTATTTTCATCTTTTCATAAAATTAGCAATAGCTGTTGCATAGTGTAACCGGAGTTGTAAGCAGTGATTCACTACCCCTGCTTCCAAATACAGCAGTAAATACCGGAACGCTTAAGCATGCCTTTTTTCCAGGCAGTAGCCAGATTTCAAGAGTGTTATGTTCCAGCGGATATTCCGTCATGCGCTAGCTGGCATGGAGCGATGGACACGCCAACGTTGCTGTCGGCTTGGGGCGAGACGTCCATCCAATCAATCCTCAAACTGACTGACTTTAGAGTCAGTCGTCTCACGGAGCAGTGGTTGCACTGTGTCTTTTATATGTGTCTGCACCAAGGAGGGTGTGGTTGAAAGGCCCAAAAAACAATGATAAATTTCCAGGCTGATGAGAGCGCATTTAACCAGCGATGCTTTCTTAATCCGCCTTATATGGTTAAGCCAGTGACTGAAGTCGCTCTTCCTCAGGGTGCAAGTGTGATAGAGCAGCAACTGCAGAAAGCACGAGGCCCCCGTGTTACGCTTGAAACGCCTGCTGCGGCGAACCATAACGGTTCACATAATAATTCAGCAGATAAAGAGCCAGCAAGCACTGCCCCCACATTTGTGACTTTTGAGGCGGCCCAGACTGTTTCCAATCCGCCCAAAGTGAAGTCTATGCAGCCCGAGAATCTGGGGCAAGAGGACGCCGCAGATATCTTTATGGATGTATTCCAGAGCGCAGCAGAGTCTCTGAATCCGGTCGCCCACATTGAGAGGCCACTTATAGATGAGCCCTTTGCAAACCTCATTCCTGCAAATGTTGAGCAAAATAAGCGAGGGGCGAACCCATATAACAGCCGTACAAATGCATCCGTAAACTATGAAACGCTTCGGCCACGCGGACTTGTCAACTCCCTTTCCAAGCTTATCTTTGTTCGCACTGGCAATCTACGGACGATGTCTGACACCGACTTCAAGCTTTATGTAGCTAACTTGGGAGGCACGGTAACTACGGCTGTCAGTGGGCGGACAAGTTACCTAGTCGTCGGAGATGATCCTGGTGTAACAAAAATTAGGGACGCAAAGGCCAAATTTGTACGTATTATTTCAGAAAAGGAGTTTTATGATCTTGTTGTGAAGAAGAGCGGCGTTCCCGATTGGGTACCTTGGGTATCCTTCACTGAGAGCCTCCAACCTCTTACTACAGACGAACTTGCAGATGTTATTGCAGAGCACAATAAGCAGTACGAGTCTTCTGGTCAGGGCGGAGCAGGAGAAGAGCTGGTTGCCTTAGGAGCTATAGCAAGTTCTTCTATTGGTGATTCCGCCACCTCTACTGTAAAAGCAGAAAACTTTGACCAGCCTGAAAAGAAAACTACTGGTGTTCAGGGATCCACGGCTAGCAGAGAAGAGCATGAAAAGCATAAAGAGCTTGTCCGCTTCCAAACACCTATGTCTGAACTAGATTGGTTGATGAAGCATACACCTACTCGCATTTCTGCGGTTGTTGGGAACAATATAATGATCAATCAGCTTAGGCTTTGGCTTACAGACTGGGCGGATGTCTTCATAAACAAAGTGCCGGTGGAGTCTGTCCTCTCTTCAGAAGGGTATGCGAGGTACAACAAGGGCATGGGAGAACGCTTTCAGTTCAAGGCAGCTCTGGTTTCGGGGCCTTCGGGTATTGGAAAGACCCTCGCCGTTAATCTTATCGTCAAGGAGAGTAGCTACTCTCCTTATTACCTGAGTGTCGCCGAGCAGCGCAGCAAGCTTTCACTCCAGGAGGCGCTATCCGATGTCTTTGAGAGCTGTGGGATCATTAGGTTCTTAGGCGGGGCACAGAGGTTGAGCAGGTCGACAAGCAACGATAGTAAGACAGGCCTATGCTTAATAATCGACGAGTGTGAGAGTATGGACGCTGGAGGTGCTAGTTACTTGCTCTCAGTAATGAACAAGGAGTCTAACCGTGTCCCCATAATCTTTATCTGTAACAATGCGCACGACCAGAAGCTGAAGACCCTACGTAGCAAATGTGCACTGTTCCCCTTTGAGCGACCTCAGAAGGACATGATCGGGAAGTTTCTTTTGTCTGTTGCCGAAGCAGAGAACGTGTCTCTCCAATCTGGTCATGCAAGTCTTATTGCAGAGCGTGTGCGCAGTGACGTCCGCTATGCCATCAATGAGCTGCAGTTCAGGACAGCAGGTAGCAAAGATTCGTCATACTCAGCGAAAGCGTTGTCGTCACTTCATATTGTCACGGCAGCACCAACGATGTTTGAAACCTGGAATCTCATTCTCGACTACCGCGTGCTCAAGCAGTGGGTTGCCAACACAAAGCAGGATGGCTGCTATCGATCTCTTATAACGCTCCACATGGGAGACCCTTCTTTGAATACTGCGGGGATATTCCAGAACTATCGCACGAAGACAGCCGGGCTCTTGAGCTACACCTCTGTCCTGTCCGACTTGCTATCCACGAGCGAGACCATGCTGGCTAGGATGATGTCTGTTGGTGACTGGTCGTGTAGCCGCGATCAGGCCGTGTTTTCTGCTGTACTGCCGAACCTCATACTTTCTACCCTTGATCTCACAGGAACAGGAAGCTTTGGAACCTTTCGCCAAAATACTTTCCCAGGAATGGTGTTGAATGCAGTGAGTTCTGCTAAGTCGGCAGCTGCAAAGGTGGACGAGTTTTGGACAAGGTCGGCTAGGCTAGGCACCTCGGGGAGGGGCAGTATACTAGCGTCAAACATGCCCATGTTTGCGTCTTTAATTGCTAATGGATGGGAGCTTTGTGGAGACGCTCTTTTGCAACATATGAAAAAAGGAAGAGAGCTCGCTCCAGATGAAGACTGCTTTGCTTCTCTGCTAACGGACACATTTAGCGGCGTTTCTATGGATACGTGGAAAGAGTTCAAAGAGATTCAGGAGATACCTCTCGTCAGTGGGAAGTCGCAGACAGCCCTCACCAGCTACCTTCAAGGCATTATGGACTACGACTATCGGTCTATAGCGCCTTCCTCTAAAAAGAATCCTCGTGCCCGAAAAGTAAAGCAGTAGTTCTTACGTAAAACATTTAAATGATTAATTTGAGGGTAGAAGAGATCTATGAGCGGCTTGCCTCCGTAATGGCCGCTCTGCCGCTGCATGTGGCCGTGCGCCCCCATGGGATAAGTAAGCATATGCTCCTCGAACGTTTCGAGAACAACAGAAAGGCTGACAGCGAGCTTTTCAAGAAGCAAGAGCAGACACAGCCAGCGTTCACGGAAGAGGCCTCAGATGATACCTCGTCCAGTGCCTCTCCTGAAAGTGACACCGACGACATCCAGGCAGCTAATCTTGGCGCAGTTGGGAGCGAAAAAGTCCAGATACTCGACGGCATCCCCCGGTCCCGCAAGGCTGCTGATAAGCGTGCTTTGAAGGAGGCCATTGCAGCTAAGAAGGAACGGGAACAGGCGATTGCTGCGGCCGCTAAGGGAGACCGGGCCGCGATGGACAGCGTCGTTGACAAAGAGTACGACGTGGCAATGCGGCGGGCGTCTGGTAAAAAGGTGCGCGACGACCCCGCGCGGATTCGTAAGTCGATGAGGAACAATCAAGGCAGGCGGCCCCGGGGGAAAGCAGCTTCAAAGCCCCAGAAGCCGAAGTTCCCCATGAAGTCCCAGGCGGGGTTCGGAAGAGGCCCGAAGTGAGACGTAAATGCTGATCGATTTACTTCGCATGCCCCTTGCCGGCGGTCTGCTTGGCCGTCTTAGCTGTCTGAGCGGCGATTTCCCTCAGAGCCTGGTTCTCTTCATTGAGGAACGACTCCAAGATGTGAGCACGGAGCGCAGACCCGCAGAGCTTGCCGCCGTAGGGACGCGAGACTTTTCGCTGCTGGCGCGTGAGGTGCTGGGGGATCACACGGGGAATGCCGTGGATCTGTTTGCCGGTCTCTGCGCAATGGGGGGCATTCGGCAGCTTCTTAACGCGGAGGGACGTCAGCCTGTTCCCGGGAGTGCGCTTGTAACGCACGATCTTCGAGCGAGTCCTGTATGTGGAGTGGAAGCGGCAAGTGACGCGACAGTCGGCCATCTCGGGCGGGCAGCTCTTTAGTAATTAAAAGCCAATTTAAAATTCTTTCTATTTTTAAAACGAGAATGTATCGAGCGAGCCTCGGAGGAACCAGAGAGGGGTAGTGATAGCGGAGACCGTGTCCCGGCCAGCGTGCAAGCGAGCCTTTGTGTACGATAACAGAGAAAATTATATCTTACAATGACGTCAAATCGCGATTTAAACGAAATAAAATGATCACTCCTCTGCTCCTTGTGCTCTCCCTCGGCAAGGTTGTCGAGTTAGGCAAAGATGAATTCAACACGCTGCGCAATTCCGGCGCCTCCATGTCTGTTGTCTTCTATGCCCCGTGGTGTGGACACTGCAAGAATCTGAAGCCAGAGTACGCTAAGGCCGGGGCAGAGCTGGATGGTGTTGTGGACCTTTACATGGTTGACTGCACCAATGAGAGCAACGGGGGGAAGGATCTCTGTGGGGAGTTCGACGTTCAGGGCTTTCCCACGATAAAGATGATAAACACTGAGAAGGATAGTGTGCTCGACTATAACGGCGCAAGGGAGGCGAAGGCTCTTCGCTCGTTTGTCCTCTATAACATGAAGAAGCCGTTCAGGGACCATAGGACTCCAAAGGCCTTCCTGGAAGCCGTGAAAGCAGCGAAGGAGGACGGAAAGCTGCACCTGTTTATAGTCACTGAGAGCAAGGCAGCCAGCAGCTATCTCTTCAAGCTGGCCAAGAAGGTGTCCGAGAAGATGTCTATTCACGTGCTCCTCAACAGTACGGCGGACAAGATCAAAGAGCTCACCGAGGGCGGCTTGGAGAAGCACATCTCTGCTGGAAAGCTCTCCCTCTTCACTGTCAAGAAGAGTGCCACGGAGTCCTTCAGCGGGGCCAACACACCTGGCGAGATAGAGAAGTGGCTCCATAACCACGCCAAGTGAATGTAAACGTTTACTGCGGGTCTAGTAGATTTGTTCCAGGACCTGTAAGGATGACGCTACTCTGTCCGGAGGTGATGGCTGGGTCGCTGGGAATGGCGGCTGTTTTGACCGACAGCATAGTCCAGTGTGCCTTGCTGGGCATTTCTGGAAGAGCGCTAGCCGACTTTCTGTTGTATCCCGGCGGGGCCCTCGAATATGCGTCACTGTTACACGCGTGCTTCTCCATCAGTAACCAGGTGTACAATATCCGCAAGAGAGATGGCAACAGCTGGGCCGATGTCACACGGCTAGGCCTCCAGTTGTGTGTCAGTGCCCTGTCAACAGGAGTCAGTGCGCTGCTTGTAGGTGAGCGATACTCGATACAGTTGACCCTCTCCGCCGTCGCTTTTGCACTGATGATTGGGTTGCTAGGACTGACGGAGGCGCTATTCCAAAGGATGCTGCTGTGGAGGGCCGCAGTAGGGCTGCAAGTCGTCAGCCTACTGTACCGTCTGATAATGCACTCTGTGCTGTATGCAAAGCGTGTCCACTGGGAGCTGGATGTCGAGTACTATCACGTCCAGGAGTACAATCTGTGCATAGCCATTTTTGTGACCTGTAGCACGCTCATATCCATTTCAACGAGCAACCCTGGGGCTGCAGTCTGCGCTGTCGCAGTATTGCTTGGCTTAACGATTCGAAGTACGCTGAAATGGCAGTTGGGGGCTTTTAGAAACATGTGCATTGGCTGCCTAGTCCTTGCTATTGTCAATGCCGCCCAAGTAGTCTATAACACGGAGGTCCGACACCCTGTCCAAAAATCGCAGCAAAGCAAATTAATTAAAAATGGCACGTGAACGCACCTTTCTCATGGTGAAGCCGGACGGTGTCCAGCGCGGCCTCGTCGGCGAGATAATCTCCCGCTTCGAGCGCAGGGGCTTCAAGCTGGTCGCCATGAAGTTCTTTGTGCCTTCGAAGAACCTTGTCGAGGAGCACTACAAGGAGCACGCCGCCAGGCCTTTCTTCGCCGGGCTCTGCAAGTTCTTGTCCAGCGGCCCCGTCTGCGCCATGGTCTGGGAGGGCGCCAATGTGGTGAGCATATCCCGCACCATGATGGGGGTCACGAAGCCGGCCGAGTCTGCTCCCGGCACGATACGCGGGGACTTCGGCATTGACGTCGGGAGGAACATCATTCACGGCTCTGCCAATCTCGATGATGCGGCGCGTGAGATAGCTCTCTGGTTCAAGCCAGAGGAGGTGGCCTCGTGGAGCTGCTCTCTCGAGAGCCACATCTATGAGTGAACCCATTTGGCCGTTCCTAATTAGTGACCAGAAACTCTCATTGTGGTTTTGGTATTTCTCCAAAACCAAAGATTGGACTGGGTGAGTGTGTATTAGAACTTACGCACGACGCGCTCCTCGCTCCTGCGGCCCACTTATTTATCTGCTCATAACTAGAACACCGCGTGGGATGCTCCTTTCGGCCGGCATTCTCCCTTCGCTTATCTCAAGTTACGTTGGACAGACTCTACGACCGACGTCCCTGAAAAGGCCAGTCAATCAGCCTATTATGGGCATCAAGTGCTGGGGCCTGGCGTCAAGCTGCTCCTTCTTGAGTCTCAGCGGAGATGCGCTTTACTGTAGTGGAGTTGTCGGTCAATATTTTTCTGTAGGTACACTGAAAGCTATTGACTAGAGAGGATCCTTATCTGGGGGTTCTGATTCCAGCCACACCTCAGCGTGGGTTTTGAGAAAACACTGCGGGGGCGTCTTTTTCCGCCGGTCAACATTTTCACAGAGCTCGTTTTAAAATATCAAGGTATACATGCAAGTCGAAGACCCTGGTGCGCGTAGCACAGTTCTCACAGAGGTATCCGTGCAGGGCGCCGTGGAGGATGGATCTGCAGCCCAGCAGCAGGCCGCCAAATCTGCACCTCCGAAGAAGGCTGGATCGCATCTCTATTCGTACGGGACGATGATCGGCATCGCTATAAACTACATTATAGGAACTGGCGCTCTATCTCTTTCTGTTACCATGGGGAGTGCAGGCGTTCTCATGACAGTCATAATCCTCATCATTGGCTCGGGAATCACTCTCTTTCTTGCGATCTACTTCACAGAGGTTTTGGCGCGTGCGTATGCTCTGGCCAGAGGCGGATTTGCTCCCGAAGACATCCTTAACAAGCTGCACGAGTACGAAAATCCCGTCTCGGCCACTGCCTCTGCCGAGGGCTCCAACGCAAGCGCTGCCATTGGGAACGCTACTATTGAGGGCGGTAAGGCCTGCAACACACTCTCTCCCGATTACTCTCTTTCCACAGAATGCGAGTTTTGCATTTCTGAGCTCATGAAGATGTTCTATGGGAAGCCAGGCTTCTACATCTATCAGGTTTCTAATTTGATCTACTTCTTCGGGACGGTCTGGAGCTACGGAAACGTCGTCGCATCGTCTCTGACTTCCATTATTCCGATGTACAGTCTTCCGGGTAGTCCTAAGACGTGGGAGTGTGATGTTAATAAGATGAGTAAGTTAGGTGATCCTTGTTATACCGCTTACTGGATTTGGCTGTGTATTGCCATGGTCATCGCTTGTATTCTGATATTCTTTGATTTGAGTCAGCAAAAGGTCCTGCAAACAATCTTCACTGGGTGCCGATTTGCTACCATTGCACTGGTTCTTCTTTTTACGATTGTGGGATATTCCAGGGGGCCATATTCTAAAACCTATTCTAAAGGAAATGCTAGCTCAGCCATAAGAATATTGGAAACGGATATATACTGGATTGCTAATCAGTTTTCATCCATTGTATTCTGCCAGGTTTGCCACCATTCCATTCCGGAAATCATCCGACCAGTCAAGAAGGAGCACCACGGGAAAATTAACTTCGGATTCACAATCACCTATATGGTCATCTTTGTCATAACGTCGCTTATTTTGTTCATGTGTGGATCGTACTTTGGGACGCTTGGTGAGGGGTTATTGACGCTGAACTTTGGTCAATGGCACGGTACAGACTGGAATCTCTGTGCTAAAGACAAAACAGGTGGTGCAGAGATGGTTCTTGGCTATATTGTGCGTGTGCTGCCGCCTATATACGTGACGACAGCAATCCCCATCAATGCGCTTACAATGTCCAATAATCTTTTGTCGCTTTTCCCTCTGAGGCTCCAAAAGCATCTTGCTTTGGTCGTTTTTGCTAAGCTCATCTCTATCATTCCGGCTATGATGATGGCTGGGCTCGTTAAGGACCTGAACAAGATTGTCGGCTTCTCTGGACTGACGGGTTTTGTTATTATCAGCGTGTCTGCTCTCATGATCATCAAGGGTAGAAAGCTTTGCAAGCAGCACTTTGGAGACGCCAACCTAAGAACGCCGTTCAACTCGTGGTCTTCCCACATCGCTATAATATATACGATACTTGTGATAACTGGCGTTGGGTTCATATTGACAACTTATTCCGTCGTTGCGGATGCAATAGGTAAGGCAAGTCCAAGGTATGTTAGTGAATACCCTGATTGCAAAAATAACACGGGTACCACGTCCTTGTCTCTTGTTTCCACTACTGTTGATAATTGTCCGTACAATAAAAAATAAATAGTCAAGACGTTTTTCTTTTGCTATGACGACCCTCCGCATCGATAACCTTACGCAGGAGGAGGCGGAACTCGTGCTGGCCACTGTCATGCAGGCACTACGGCCAGTGAAGGAGCTGCGCTCATATTGTGCGGTTGCCCTTTTCACCCCGTGCTCGTCGTCCCAGAGCCGCCTTTTGGCATTTTCCATGGACCTCACTGCCACCATTGTTTCTCAGGATGGTTCGACGCCCCCTGTGGTGCTGGCCATTCCACCACTTCCGCACTATCTGCTGGGCGGCGTCAAGTACGCAACGGCTATTTCGTGCATGGCGTTTACCACACTTCTGCACCAAGATGGCCCTCCAGTGTTAATTATTGGGCTGAGCAACGGTGCCTGGGGCGTGTTTGACCTCGGCGGCTGCCTGCTTTTTCCATACATAGGAGACTCGAGATCTGGCTTATCAATTACAGCCGAACCTGTGATTGAGATTGTAACCCCAGAGAGCTACGATCTCTCGCCATCTGTTCACTTAACGGTCCGTCAGTATAGTCGCGTGCTCCATGTCACTCTTGAGGACCTCACTGCAGCCATTGCACGGAACATAGAAGCGGCTGGCTTTCAAGCTTGTTCATTTAGAGACGCAGATCTTGAAACTAGCCAGCTTCCAGTCTCCGTTCACGACCAGAACCTATTCGCAATTGAACTGATGGACTCTGTAACTATGGAGGCGTTGCGTCCCATTGGAAAGCTTAAGATAACCTATAAGTCTGTGGTGTACTACTACTCTGATGCCGTGTCCTTTATCGTGGTAGACCTTACCCAGTTCCATCCGTCGTGCAATCTGAATCTGAAAGAGCCGCGAATACTTAGCGTCCCTGAGGATCAAGACACACAGAAGTTACTTGCATGTCCACTTCGAATAAATAGTATGCTTATTGATGGGAGTCACTGCCTCATTGTAGGCCCCAATCCGTTTATTGTCCGCATCTCACCGGTCACTGTCGATATAGGCGCCATCAATCTACCAAGGGCCTTTCTGGACACCATGGCCACCACTGTACTGCTACCAGACCAGGTGATATCCTTTTCTTCTAACGTCTTCAAAGTGGAGGTGCACGGATGTACACGCGAGCAAGCGGCGGTGTATGCCGCGCAATACATAGGTGGTAGCCTAGTAGATCAGGTCAACTACAGCATGGGATATCTCCGCGGCGATTTCAGAGCTGATGACCAAGACGTAGGTTGTGCCAGTGCCTGGGCATTGACAACAATGGATAACGTAGTACCGGAAATATGTAGCCCCATCTCAGACTTGGCTCTGGTACTCGACAAGGCAAAGGATGCTATGGAGGAATTTGCTTCAAATAGATCAAAAGAGATTCAGAATGTATTTAGCTCGTATTTCCGTGTCCCATTCAGCATTTGGTGTGACAGCATGGAAGCCCCACACATCGTTGCACTGAGTGATGCCGGGCAAGTACTGTGCATGTCCCTTCGCTCCTTTGAAATCTGCGGGTCGCGATTTTTGTCCTTGCCTGCCACCTCCTCTGATCTGTCCGGAGAACACTCATTCACTATCGCGGTGACCAGAGATGCTGGAGGGGCGCGCCTCCGTGTGTGGGCGTGGAAGCCAGACTTATCCAATTTCTCCCAGACATATGAATGGGTCATTGCGTTACCGGGCCTAGAAATAATATCGGAAGGCATTCCTGATGGTCAGTGTCTGGTCCAGTCCAGAAGAACTGCTTATGCTGTTAAGGTAATACCCCAGGGTACACTCTACTCTTTAGAGTGGACCGTATTGGATAAGGGTTGACGTTTTCGTTACACCTTTAAAAATAAACAAACATTATGAGCATAAGTCAAGGGGCAAGCGCCTTCAGCGATCAACCTAGTGATCTTCCTGCTGTGCTGCGCAAGAATGAAGTGAGCGCAGAGCACCCCAAGATTAGCGTGTTCTATGACTCTTTACGGCTACGCGAGGGCTATCAAAGCAACCCGGTTCAGCGCGAGGTCCATATCCTCTTTAACAGTTGGGTTGGAATCTCTAAGCCGCCCCCCTTGCTTCCCCCATCGAAAGATCTTTCTCAACCATTTGGGTGCGACGTTCTTTTCGACTCTATCTCCAGCTCACCGTCCACCCCTGTTATGTCCTCTGATCTCTCAACCCCGGGGTGTACATCGTTTAACACAGGATATTGTGAGCTTTCGTATTTGGACAGTCTGAACGAGTCTAGCCAAAGTGCATCTATAAATGCTGACCCCCACTCCAAAGACCTCACATTTCCTGGCCCTGCTCTTATCCAGCCACTGACACGGGACACCCTCACACGTACTAATACTTCCGGCCTGACTGCTGTTCCTGATTTGCCAACGCTCCCAGGTCTGTCTAATCTGCAGACTCTAAAAGTAGTTCCGAGTGACCTCACGCCACCTATAGTCTCTATACAATCGGCGCCTGTTCTAAACACTTGGGCTGCCCGGTCTCGTTCAGAAGTGACCAGTGGCGTCTCTCACACCGGCACGGCAAATCCATCCCAGGCCGACTCACAGACGACAAGTTCCTCCGGCACACGGCGTCAAAAGACTATGGAGCTCACCAACGCAGAAACGGGGATGCATGTTGTTGTTATCAAACCAGCAGTCAAGTCGCGTACCAAAAAACAGAAGAGAGAGACTGCACAAAACAGAAGCGGCAGCGAGAAGTTACATGCCAACCCCGAAGACGCTCCTCGACGGGTTGTCCAATCTTCTTCGGATACAACACAGATATTTCTTCCTGCCACTGTTACTCCAACTGCTCAATCATGTGCAGATTCTAAGAGTGATCCCCGCACAGTTATAGGTCTGACGTTTGAGTCAGAGCACAACAGATGTGAAGCTGATTTTGAGCCGTCCCCACGGAAAAGCAATCCCGATGGCTCATCCCCGGACACATCGCCCCTCAGTGCTATTGCAGACGATTTGAATCCCCCAATTTTCAATGGCCTGCTTAATGATGCTCTTCTAGATCCGAGGGAGCTGGAAGCAAATTATCTCATCTCAAAGAATGACATCGCACTCGACATGGGAGGAGACGGTACCTACTCTGCTACTGATCCAGCGCACTTGCTGGGCTCTCCCCAAAACTGCACGGAGGTCATCTCAGACTTTTCAAGCACTGAAGTTACATATGAAACACCCCTAAGCGACCGACACCTCAAGTGGCGCAAGTCTGCGACGAAGGACGCTGTTCTTCTCCATCATACTCAAAGGACCCTGCTGTCTACTTCGGAGGGAAAGGGCTATACATACCAAGGCCGCACCAATTCAAGCACTCATGAACATTGCTTTATGGCTGACTTCGACATTTTTCAACCATACAATGCTGCAGGCGTAGAGAGTGTTCTGCAGGCAAAGCGTACACGTAGGGACATTCTGAGTTTGTTGCTCTCTACTGGCTGTGGCGTAGCGATGAGACTAGGTTCATGGATGGTTACCATCTTATTGTTTGTAGCTTACCTTTTTGCTACGGGGGTGCTATTTGCCGTCAATAGGCTTTCATCGTTCATGCTCATGTCTCTTAGGGATCCTGTCCGTATCCTGCTACCCTTTGTATTGGTCACTTTCCTTAAGCGCTTGCTGTTTATCATTCCCTTTATTTCTCATTATGTGGTGGAGTGGTTCTACCCCAGCATTATCGACGAAGCCCTGCTGGCCAATGGAAGCTACTACGGAGAGGGCAAAGTGCCAGATAAACGAGTGCTACCCACATATCTTTCATTGGATAGATCGTACAAAGACTTCTTCCCACCCATCTTTGTTCACTCCTCCAAAAAGAAAACAGGTTTTCTCGAGTATCTCAAAGTGGTGATGGGGTCCATCCCAGTGAGCGATGTCCTACATAATATGCTCGACCAGACGTTTCAGTTGCGCCTTTACGCCCTCTATGGACAACCGGGACTGCGCCACGATGTTGGACTGTCCTCCAGCCTGAGCATAGCAACTCAAGACTATTTCGAGGTTCCTCTCAGCAGTTACAAGCTTTTTCATGACACCCCTAATGGAAGATTGCCACACAGTGGGAAGCAGCAGCTTAGTCGCTACTTTAACAGCTACCTCCCGATACAGGAGCACCATGTGAAGCCAATGACTTTTAGTTCCGAATACACTCTGGTCGGTAATGACCACTTAACTGAGAATGAGTATCGTCGAGCAAGTCTAAAGATGTACGATGTTGGTGAAAGGTTTAGACAGCCAGAAGGCAAGGATTATCAGGATATTTATTCTCACTACGGATTGCTAGCCGATCCCCATTCTATATATGAGCGACCGGGGGATGACATACGCTCTAAGAACTATCGCTACAGAAGAATCATGGCCGGAGAGTACTTAGTTGTCGTTTCAGGGTCTGTTTCGGACTCCTTCTCGCCCACAGGTACGTCCGCAGATGCAGCAACGGTCCGGAAGTGGTTGGCCTATGGCTTTGTTCTTTTCGGCAGATCCAGCGTCTATGGGCCATTTATGGCCAAGGACACACATTACATAGTTAACCGAAGAATCATTAATAATGACCATACAACGCTAACGGTCTCAGACAATACTGGAAACATTGTACGAATAACGTTGGAAGATCCTAACTTCACCCTTTACTGCCGCTCTCTGACACCAAGGCATTTGGAGATATCCAAGACTGCTAATGCAAGGGGCGACAACGACTCTATTCATGGAACCTTTGATAATTGTAATTTCAACGATTTAATCATTTACTATAATCGCCCATTTACGTTTGATGAGAAGCCAGCGTTTATAAAGTTTGACACATTCGAGACTCTTGACGCCAGAGTGGCCCCCATTGCAGAGCGTAAGATCAAAGGCGAAGAGCGCTTGTTAACGGAGGACCTGCGGGTCACTCTTATAGACCCTACCTTCCCCCGCCTCTCCAAGGTCAACAACTCTGCCACACTGATCACCATCAACCCAAAAGTCCACATAAACGTGCTCTTTCAGAGCAGCAAGGTCCCCCTAGATAGAGTTGTAGAGTGCAGTGGTCGTGACTGCTCGAATAAGCTCTTGGCCGCGCCAGAGTATCTCCAATACTTTCGACCTGTGTCTGATGATTATCTCAGTTACCTTTCTATTAAGCCCCTTGTGGCGCCTGTGCCAGTGACACAGAACAGCCTATGGCCTTTCACAGATACTCAACTGGCATATTTCTATAAGGAATTAACGTTTTCCAGAGCACAGGTCACAAGGCAACTTGAAAGCTGCAGAAATAAAGATAAGAATAGCCACGGAGGCATCGACGAGTCCCAAAGGGATACGGGAATCTCCTCCATTCTCCAGCCGACTAAACATTCTCGGCATCGGTGCTCGCATTCATATATGGCTGACCTGCAGAACAACCTGAAGGTAATAGATTTGCAGATCCAGGACGTTGTTGCGTCTCAACAAGGCTATACAGTCCTTACCTGTCTTTCAAACCGGAGCACAGACGAGCTGAAGACGACAACGCGGAGCCTGCGGACCATGGAGTGCACATTTCTTTTCCAGCGGATCGTCATTTCGCTTTTTTGTAGCTGGATTCTTTCGTGTGCGATCCACACTCATGCGAAGATTTTTTATGGTCTGGTTCATCAGGTGCAGAAGGGCACCTCACCTAAGAACAAGTCTAGTGCACATAGCGGCATTGCTGTGTCGTCGTATACGATGCTGTTTATTTCGCTGTGCTCTGGGATTCTCCGCCTCATCGACGCGTCAAGGAAGGGTGTTCGGAAGCGTACCGCCGTAGACTTTGCCACTTATCTTTTTGCACAAGCAATCAAGAGCTTCATCACCTTCTATCCGATGTACCTCATCTATGTGAATGCGCCCAGATTGCTGGCGGCGCTGTACCTATCCAATCTACAGTATCGCTTGATAATAGCGTACGTCGTTGTGATGCTTCTTTCTGGTCAGTTCTTTGCCCACTTTGGGCTCTATAATCCTGCCAGCGGCCACCTCCCATATAGACTGCTCAAGAGCTTTAGTGAGAAGGTTGGCACGTTGACTCTGACCGTGGCCAAGAGTACAGCGTTTCGGTCCTTTTCGTTGTTATTATTGCGTGTACTTAACACAGAGCTTCTTCTTGTCGCCCCTGCGCTTATGTGGTTGTTCACTTCCGTTGTATTCCGGGTTATGTACCATCTTTCCATCGAGGGGATTTATGGGGGTGAGGAGCGGTTTTCGCACTCTCTCTACCGCGTGACTTTTAGTACTTTTGATTTTGTGATCCACCCTTCTCTATATTCCTCTTCGCTTTGTGTTTTACTGCTAAGTCTATTTCTGCTTCTTTCGTGTGATACGTTCGTTACTAACTGGAAGCTAACGTACTCTTTGCGACACATGCCCTCTTACACATCACCTGATCAGCAGCTGCCATCATCGTATCTTACTTCTACCTTTTCACAAAAGCCGTTTATCCTTTTCGATACTGATTCCGCCCGCTTTGTTGACGAAGTGCGCAAGATCTATCCTGATCTGTTTAATGTGCAACTTGGGGCACAGCCCAAGCGGAAAAGCGCGCCATCTTCACGCCGGCATTCTGCAGCTTCACCAAGCACCTCCTCTGCCTCCAGCAGCGATGTCTTTTACTTCCGCCCCATCGAGGCTGTTACACCTATTTATTATCTGGAAGAGTTGGGGCCTTGGTCACCCAAGATCTATCTTTACGGTAGCGCAGTGTATAAGAAGTTGTTTTCAGTGCCAGGCGTCTATGGATCCCTAGTTGCCACGACAATCTGGGTTTCTCCTCATGAACCTTATGTTTCGAGTGCGTGTCCAGCTAGTGATGCGTCCTGCACCTTTGCAAATGATATGTATCAGGATATAAACTCTCTTCTGGCCCGGCCTCTTCGGTCATATCTCCAGGATTCGCGAAGGTTTTCGACAGTGATGTATGATCAGCCAGCAGATTTTCCGGGTAAGCATCAGCTGCAGAGCATATTGCATACTAGGGCAACTCTTTTCATTCGAACCACGAAGCGAATGGCGAGAACAGTGAGGCTGCAGTGCGCCACGCTCCCATGGTCTGTCTTTCTTCCAACCTATGAGTTTAAGATATCGCGATTTGTAATGCCATCCCAAATGCTTCATGCATTGGTATTCAACAATGCTCCTGGACAGCCCATTGATCCTGTGATGAGCCTCGCCCTTTTCTTCAATGGAATAACTTTACCCTCGGCTCTGCTTCACCAAATGGTTCCGATGCAGTACACCTTCACCGCTTCTCCTGAAGCAATACTCAAGTTGCAAAATTCTTTTGGGCACAGTCTTGTCAAGTATCTGCTTCTTCCTGTGAGTGGATATATGGTGACCAGAGGCTCGTCAGTTTCTCCGCCGAGCTTCCATTTGAACATTGTCGATCGCCCAGTCAGGCACGTTATCAATAGCGGAAGTGAGCAAGTGGAGACGGCCAGGTTCTTGTTAACTGACGACGAGGTGAACAGGGCAGTCAGCCTGGGAAACAACTTACTCGGAGGGCTCAAGGAGGTGCTCACTATTGACCAAGGAGAGCAACTGAGCAAGACCTCCGCTCCTCTGGGTGCCATAGTTCGTGACGACATGATTCCGAGGCTTACGCCACAAGATCTGCTGTTTGTGCTCTCGGTGTCGTTTTTGGATTACTTTACAGTCGGCCACTTGCATCAAAGTCCTGATTCTCTGTCGCAAGATTTTCTACTACATTGCCCCAGCGACCTTGTACGCGCGAAGGACACAAGCCGGCACCGTGAGCATTCTGGAACCACAGACTCGCTGGGGAATCATATACCTTCTATCCGTGGTGGTATATATAATAATTATTTTCGACACGAGCTGAAGTGCTTGCGCTCAGACTATTCTCGACTTTTGCAGTACATCTGCCGGAAGGATGCCACCGAGTGTGGATATCTTCCTTTAGATCTCAGTGTGTATCGCCTCGTCTCCATCTTGGGGCGTCTGCCTCTTTTCAATCAGGGTTCTGTGTTAAGCCAGGGCACCCTATTCAACTTCAATCACTGCAATCTGCTGACCTGGATCGATGGAGTGCTAGAGAAGGTTGCGGGTCATCGGGAAGTTCACAGCTGCTGTGCAGGGTTTGCTTCTGTGGTTTTCGAGGCATCCTCTGCGAGTCTCAGGTTCTTCGGACTAAATAAGAAAACAGTATCTGCCTTTCTTAGTAGGTTGGAACAGCCAGAGGAATACGTAGATACGGAGTTAGAGCGTGCCACATTTACTGAAGATAAAGACTTAGATAGTACCTTGCTGGATTCCATTAACTTCGTCATCAACAGAATATATTTGCGCGTGCTGGAGCTTTCTGTCCTCAGCGTAGTTAGTCGTGCTGTCAGCACCATGTACCACTTTGTTCTTCAGGCATCCGGTTACACCACTGGTTCTTTGGAGCATCTCGCAGACGGGTTTAGGCGTGGAGAGGTCTACACATCCTTCTTTATGGCGCTCCCGTCTTCTGTACGTCAGCTTTATAACGAAGAGCACAACCTGTTTTGCAATACATGTAACAGGGAGCTTCTAGAAATGTTTCGGCTTTCAGACGCGCACAGACTTGTAGCAGACTATGCCATGCAGAACCAGCTTTGTTCCTCGTGCTTTGCAAGCTATTACACCAACATTGTCTATCCTCTTGCTTCTTATGAGAGCGACATCACTTCGTTTCTCTTTAAGCGAATTGCAAAACAATTTACCAAGGCTTGGTGCTGTGAAGATGTGCTTTCGCTAATATATCATGCTGGCTTTGTTTCCGATGAGTACTTCCTCAAGCAGCTGTGCCACGAAGCTAATGCATTCATCAAAAAGGCACCTCCAAGCGCATATGCAATCACCACCAGTGGATGCGTAGTAATAAGCTCTGGTGAGCTAAGTGAGGAGACACGCATTCTGAGACTGCATAAAGTATCCGAGGCCCTCTTGAGTGCGTTGCTGCAGATCCAAAGGATGCGTCATGTCTGCATGTTTAAGGCGCAGACATATCAAACTTGTGTCCCGTATGCTACATATTGCGAGTCTCGGTTATACGTCGAGGACTCGCAACACCTAGCCTTGTTACACACTCTCTTAAACAACGAGAAGGAGCATGCGGGTGCTAAGGATATGTTCCTATATTCATCTAAACATGAACCACTAGGTCGTGCATGTAAGCAAGGGCTACGCACAGATTGGTATTATGCTCTCATCCAAAGCTGTAGCAAATCTTAGTTTTCTACCTGGACAAGTATTCATTACTTCATTAGATGGCCATAGAAATAACTACTTGTACACAAATGGACCTAGAAGTGGTGCTGAAAGACGCGCCCGCCCGGCCCTTGACCCTCGTGGCCCCGTCGTCGGTGTTGGGCACGACGCGCCGCTGGGCCCTCTTGATGGGCGACTCGTCCGGAGGCTCTCCCGTCCACGTACTTAGCACTATCCACGAGTTCACTTGTGATAAGAGGGCAAACAGTGAGGCTTGGTCATAAAAATGGAAATTCATGTGGTTATCGATAGTGGACAGGCATACCTAGAGCCGTCACGCAAGTATTCTGCCTCATATAGGAAAGATCCTAGGCCAGAAATGGCCGAATGCGAGGGCTGGTCTGTATTTGCGGAACTGTCTCAGTTGTTGCGGAAAGCTGAGGAAGACGGCTTTCCTCTGCTCTAAAAAGTCCCCTTAGTGGCTATGGGCGGCATAGACAACTATCCTTTCAGCGACAACTAGGTTTTAGTAAATCTTTGAGCTCAACACCGGGAATCTTGACTTCAGTAAAATTTCCAGGTAAATGCACAAGCCGCACACAACGTCCAAGTACAGGAAGGAAAGTGCTAGGCGTGTAGGGGAGGGAGGTACTGGGGGAATATATATGGCACGGAACATAGCCACTGGGGAGCGCGTTATTCTTAAGGAAATAAAGTTAAGCAGTGCCGACGAGGGACTAGCAATATCAGGTCTTCGGGAGAGCTGCATATTATCTTCGTGCAGACACGAAAACATCATCAGAATTATCGAGACCTATTACTGGCGGAAAAACATCATCCTTGTGTTAGAGCTCTGTGAAAGGGACATCGGCGCTGTACTGAACGATGGATATACCATTCCAAAGGAGTTCCGCCAGTCCATTTTCTTTATGGCTCTACGGGGGTTGCATTACCTCCACAGTAAGTGGATTTTGCACCGTGACATAAAACTGTCGAACATCTTGATTGCACACGACGGAACAATAAAGCTGACTGACTTTGGTCTGAGCAGGTATTACAAATATAATGGCTTTGACACTGGCAATGTAGGAACACAGACATATAGAGCACCCGAGCTAATTTTGAAGGGGCAGCAATCCACACCTGCATCCGATGTGTGGAGCATGGGCATCTGCTTCTGTGAAATCATTTTTGGGTGCGATGGATCAAACTACACGTTCTATGATATGGTCTCTTACGAGTTGAGCATGATGACGCATGAACCTGGCGGCAGCGGCTGCCAGCGCCATAAGGCAATCAACGCCAAAGATTTTAGGGAAGAAATACCGAAGTCTCACGGGGACGTACGCGACACAACAATGCTCACTACTCTAAAGGAAGCCCTTGGCTATCCATCTTTGGAGGAGCGACAAGGTCTTTCACAAAATGACATTTATCGTGTGATATTCCCGGACGAGAAACATAACAAGGAAAGCAACCATGCGCCGAGCAATCCTTCCAGACTACTTAGAGATATACTGCACAAACATGGCGGGTCTGAAGAGGAAATAGACCTCATTCTTCACATGCTGAATTGGTCGCCCTATATAAGGTACACCTCAGATCAGTGTCTTAGTCACCACATGTTCGCTAATATTTACTCCAGTTCCAAAGTAGATTGTACAAATAAAGTTGATAGCCAAATTATTCACAGTAGCCCTTCTGTTGTGAAGCACAGATTATCAGAGTTTCCTCGCAACAACCACCTAACCACACGGCCAGATCAGAAACACAAGCAAGTCGCTATACCACGACTCAATACGCACAGCATAGTTCAAGACCATGTCCTCGACTTTGACGCACAGGTGCAGTTTCATAGTATTGACGGTCAGCGAGACCTTTCGTATTCCTTTTTGCTTGGTGCCTCTATGCTTGGTGAAAACTCTAACACGCCCCACTGTGGTCGGCACGAGTCTAACAAGCAGGAGAACGGTGTGCTCTCCAGGTTGCCCCTTCCACTAGAGTGTTCGGACGACAGTTCATGCGTAGTGTCATCAAAGAGATCCCACCCGCCGGTATGTCGCGAACAGGACCAAGAAGACCCAGTGCTACTCAACATGCTCAACAGCCTTACAGGTGGGTGTAATGAAGATCAGCTAGAAAGCGTGCATCGAAGTAGTCCTTTTGGATGTTTGTCTAGAAATTGGCAACAGAGCGCGTTTCATCAAGAAGCCACCAATGTAGACAATTCTTGGGATGATGCTAGTTAGCGTGCCTCACTTACTCACGTTATTATTCAGATAACTTCTGCTCTATCGCAGCCTGCCGCACGTCATCATAAAATATTCTTACTTTCTTCCATGTGTCAAAGCGGGTGAACTCACAGTCGTTGAATAGCTCTGATAGATTGCACGTTTCCCATATTTCCTTGCAGTTCATGATACTATAGGGATAGCCCTGGTTGTAGCTAAGGTATGTGCGACGCTCAGCCGCGGTGTGTTGCTCATTTGTGTCCTCAGAAACCAAAATGTAAAAGTACGCGTTCTGGTCACCTGATTTCGGCCGTGATATCCTTCCCATTCGCTGGGCTTCTTGACGTCTGCTTCTTTCCTGCCAATCCAACTCGATAATTACATTGGCGTCAGGTAAGTCGAGGGATGTATCTCCAACGGATGATAGCATGAGACAGCTGATCGTTCTGGTGGCAAACGCATTTACAAGGCACTCCCTCTCATCGTCACTGCAAGCGCCCATGATAAACGGGACATCGAACATACGTGCGTACATCTTTGCCGCCATAATAGTATCGCAGAAGAGAAGCACTTGATCTCCCCGCCGGGTGTGGTACTCCTTCAGGTACCACGCAGTTTGGACCTTGTACGGATTGAGGATCGTCAAGTACTTCATGTACGTCTTGCGTGTGATCATCACGTCGTTGACGCACACAGTAGTTCTGTCTTGATTGGTCGCCTGAGCTGTGTTTTGGTCTAGCCAGTCATCGTAAAAGATATGGTGCATTGGACAACGTATTTCAGCGCACTGCAATTTTGCGATAAAGCCGCGCTTTGCAAGATCAGACCAGTTGGATTCGTAGAGCTTATTCCCGAGGAGATACAGATTTGTCATCTCGTCATCTTCTCGAAGAGGCGTCGCAGTGAGCCCTATTTTGCAGTATGACCGCAGGAAAAGATTTGCCTTGGTGTTAACATTGTCTGTAACAAACAAGGTCCTGTAGGTCTCTGCCATCACCTGATGCGCCTCATCAAACAAAACAATCCCCCACATAAGTGAATGCACCTTGTTGAGCGTTTCTTTACTCTTAGCGCTCTTTGCATTAGTGAGCATCTGGTAGGTGCTTATGAATACGATATGGTACCCTGGGATAAACTCAGTCTCCTCGTCTTTGTTTGCCGAAAAAATATAGACACGATCGCTCTCGACTGTGGAGAATTGCAGAAACTGACTCTTCCACTGTTTAGACGACAGATTTCCGTTAGTGACTACTATGCAGGAGTGCCCAAGACGACACGCACAAGCAACACCCAAGAGAGACTTTCCTGCGCCACATGGCAGAACGACTAACCCAGAATTACAGCGCTTAACGATCTGCGACGTGTCTAGCTGCACCTCAGATATGACTTTCTTTGAAGCATGGTCTTGGTAATCCCGTAGGTCGGTAGTGGGTTTTAGCTGTGCATTGATTTGAGGTGCTTTTACTTGGTATGCCTTTGCAAACTCCTCTTTGATCTTCTTAAGTTCGCACATTTCTGCCTCTGTATTGATCTCCGCGGCCATAAGAGACTGTAACCGCTGAACTTGCTCATTGCGAACGGCATCGATGCCCTCGTCAAGAAGAAGATATTCCTCTATGGTAATTAAAGAGCGCGTACCGCTCAGTGGGTCCCGCATTTCTTTTAGCTTCTTTCGAATACTAGTGAGTGCTTCGAGTGGAAAAAAGTATCGCTTCAATTTAGGAATGCTTGCGATCTTAAACGACTGTGTGTACCACAACGATTGGTCAGATTGCACACCTTGCTCGTGAGTCTTAAGCTCGCGTTTCTGCAGCTCCTCTGCAGTATCGTTCCGCTTTTTGCGCAGGAGCTCTTCGAAAAGCGTGTCAGCCACATTGTCAGAGGCATCCTCCAGAAGGTCCTTGATATCAGGGGTCAGGTCTAGGGTCTGGGGAACACGTAAAAGGAATCGGTTGCTGTCATAAATGGAAAAGCTAATGGTGCCTTGATTGTTAGCTAAGCGTCGCAGCGCAGAGAGAAGCGTGGGGGGAAGGCGGCGATACTTAGAGTAGTAGCCGAGCCGGATCTCTATCTCCGTTGCCGTGTATCCCAGAGAGAGACCTATGTGGAGTGACTCTTCTGTGATTCGATACTCGTGTACATAGGTCGGCCGTGTTTCGGCTTCTGCAAGGCTAACAAGGAAGTTGTAAGCCTCATCATACATCGGGGAAAACGTCTCCAAGAGTACAACATGATCGGCACTTAAAGCATTCGTTGAATAAGGAAAGACCGAAAGAGGCCTTTTGTGGTGATCGGGCTTTAGGTCTTCGAACGAGAGAGGAGCATCTTTGCTGCTCATCAAAAGCTTTTTAAAAAGAAATGCAAATTGACCCCAGAGCCATTCCGTTTGCCAATGAAGAGCTGTCGCTAGAGCTTTTGAATTTAGTAAAGCACGGGGCTAGCTTACAGGCAATAAAGCGTGGGGCCAATGAGGCGTTAAAACAGGTGAATAGAGGAAAGGCAGAGCTTGTAATCATCGCTGCCGATGCAGATCCCATTGAAATAGTTTTGCACTTACCACTTGCATGTGAAGATAAGGGGGTACCATATGTTTTTATCGGGTCAAAGAACGCGCTTGGACGTGCCTGCAATGTATCTGTCCCTACCATAGTGGCCAGCATTGGTAAGCACGATGCTCTCGGCAATGTGGTGGCAGAGATAGTAGGGAAAGTGGAGGCACTGGTATGACGGGAGTGCGTTTACAGTGCAAGCATCACTAGTAAATGCTCACCGGTACATGCTACACACTACTAGTATTTGGAGTGCACTATATACGAAGGCTAGGTTCTGCAGGCATGCATTTCTAGACAAGTCGGCTTCCAAATTCTTAAGGCCGAGACAAGCTGCGACATGCCGGCCAGAAAGCCCAGACGCCAACAATCCGTTAATTCTATCGATGAGGTCACGAAAAGGCACGTCCTTTAAAGAGATCACTTCGCCGTGTTGAGAATTAGGAACTGAGACCGTTGATGAGTCCGGAATGCCTTGCTTAGCTACGATGACTGCTATCTTCGGGAACGAACCACACGTGGCTTTCAGGCTGTCGAAGAAGGAGCAAACTCCGCCCGGAAGTAACCTGAGTAGAGTGACGCAGGATGGATGAAGACCTATGGCCCGAACCATGAGTTCAAGAAGCTCCTGCTGATCAGCTGTTAAATCTGTAGCTGTATTGGCATCATTACTACGTAAATATGCCACAGGGTCAACGTATTCTAAACTTAAACCTAATAGCTCAAAGAGGTTCTCTGGCAAGTAGGCTAAGATATCTTCCAAAATACGTGTGGATAGAAGCTGATGAAAAATGGGGTATTGAAGACACATCTCCAGGTACAGCTTGTTCGAAAAGGTGTGGCAGATTGATGCCCCTGTGCACGCTATCAACAGAAGCAATAAATCACCAGCCGGAAGATGTGATAAAAAGCACTGTACTAGCAGCGCAAATGAGATTGCGACAGGTGTATAGTCAGCGTCCTCCAAACCTACGACGTAGCGGGCCTGACCTAATTCAGAAATAGCAGTCAACAGAAGAGACAGCTCATGTGGAAGGTAAAAGCCAGGAAAGAGTAGACACTTCAATGACAGGCTTTGCTGCTGGTGAAACGCAAGCAGGGTAGGGTCAACGAAATTGAGGTTCCACTGTGGCGCAGGATAGGGTTGTGAACACTGGGCAAAGTGTTTGAAAACAAACGAGGGAAGATCAGCCTTATGTAATGACTGGAGGGAGTCCAAGACTACGGCAAGACTCAGGATATCGTCGCTTGCAACAGGATGGTCCTCGTTACTTGGGAAAGAGCTTGGTGTAACACTGTTCTCCTCTAAAGTGGTGCTGCCTACATCGTCTCGGCGGCTCTCTATTTTAGAGTCTACCTCCTCCGCAGTATTATCTGAGGAATGCTGCATGATTAGGTCTCCACCAAAGACATAAGGTTCTTCTTGGATATCTCTAGGCAACACAGACGCATCTTTCTTGGAGGGAGATTTAGCCCAAAGGGGAGAGAAATCCAAGGTTGAAAGGTCTGCATCAAAAAGAGTTATCAATCGTAGCATAAGGGCGCGCAGAACTGCGCTTCTTACACAGTCCTTGAATGTAAAGTCAACAGCAACTGGAAGCAAGCTCTGTGAAAAGAGGTCTAGTATGCCAAGTGAGCACGACTTGTATGTGCGCTGGACACGAAGCTCTAGCTCGTCTGCCAGCCGATTGGATTCAGCAATGTACTTGCGTATGTATGCAAAGTCAATTGAGTTAAAAAGCTGATTGTTATGAAGATACTTGTCTGGGAGGACTTTTGAGGTGAGTATTTTCTCTATTACTGATATGTTCCCGTGAGCACGACATATAACCATGTTGTACACTACACGATAAAGAAGATAGATGGCGAGATTTTCTTCGCGGATGGGATCTAGAGTATAAATGCTTTTGTGTCGCAGATAGATGCATGTCCATGACTGCTGTACTTCCTTGAGAACTGACCACCTTGAAGAAATGTCTTCAAGGGGTACACTGTCTTTATTTGCTGGGGCTGATTGTGCCTGTGATATGCGATAAGCAAAGCGAGCAGAGGCTTTATTGGAACCATCAAGGGGGAGGGGTAGAGGAACGATCAAGGTCTTGGCAGCACTTACTGCATAAATACAGGATTCCACATCATGTGGTCCTGCTGTCTGTTTATAGAACTTAACGTCAGGTAGCAAGCTCTGCAAATATTTCACAACATAAGGGAGGTCTGAAGAAGGGATACTCTTTGAAATAATTGGCTTTGTAGAGTCTTGTTCATATGCACGTAAAAGAACTGTTAGATTATAAAAGTAGAATATGACAGGGTGAGAGCTGTGTAAGATATGCACGAGCTGATCAAGCTTGCGTGTCGGGACTCCTCTTTGAATGGCCCACTGTGCCTCTTCGCGCATAAATTGGGTGTAGAAAATCTGGAGTGTGCGTGTAAGGATGAGCTTAGTAAGGTCTTGAGCATTTTTTGCAGCCTCCGGTGAAATTACTGCATCTTCCTCGAAGACGGAATCTAATTCAAAAGTGTCCACACAATCTTTGTAATTCATATGCGTGATAAAGAACATATCCAAGACATCTACCTTTAGTTGACCCGATGCTAAAAACCTAGCAAAACTGTCAACTACAAGAAGGAACATACGCCATGACGGGGTGTGAGACAAGCGTGCCGTCATTCTCGAGAATGTTGTCGACGGGTCTGACATCAGTGGTTCTGGGGTATTAACGTACAGTTGATAGTCAGCGATAACCCGTAAATACACCATGAAAGATATAGCTATGTGCAAGAGCAACTTAACCAGTACTTTGGAGTGTGCTGGTAGGCGAGAAAGCACGCCGCGAACAATCAACGTTGAAAAATACCTGCTGGCATTTGCTGGAATAGCTAGAGGCTGAGATTGGGGAGATTGCTTAAAATAAATCTTTTCTTTAAAGATCTCTAGATTGAAGATGTCATTTAGTTGAGCTTCGAAGATATCATCTAGCTGCTCGGGACTCTTGTTCTGGCAGTTGCTGACCTCTTTCAGACACTGCTCATAGAATTGCATGAATCTATTATAGATTGCAGAATAGACCAGCCCCTTGTTAACGTCTCGAACTATTATATAATCCAGTACATGCCTTATGAGGATGTATATCGACTGGTCCCAGTGGAGGCCTGGAGCCGAGGATGGACTTAAAAACGTTAACATCTCATAAGGAACATATGAATATGCGCATGTTCTCCTCTTCGTTGCAGTAGAAGAAGGTTGTGGGCCCACTAAATAGATGCTTTCAAGGAGCACTCGAATGAAGATGACTTCCGACGAGAGAGGGAGGATGGAGCGTTGCACAACAGTTAGCTGTGTCTGTAGGTCGCGTCCTATTATGTTCTTAACAGGCGGAAAGGCCTCAATGACATCTTTGTACGGGCTTTGATTGATGAATGGATTCTTCTCTAGGAATTCTAACAGCTCGTGGGTCATGACAGCGTCGGCAGCTGCTCCGCGCCAATAGTAACCGGAAATCATAACAATGTTAGTATCCCTCTCTGCTTCTGCTTCTGCTTCTGCCGCTTCCTCAACCTCTGTTTCTGCCCTCAGTCTTACTTCAGTTCCCAGATCAGTAGTCACGCAGTTGGTAAGACACAGAGCTGCGTAGTCCTCAAGCGTAAGCGGTGATAGTGTCGCCAACGTAGGAGATGACCAGTCAGCAATGGAGGAATACTCATTGAAAATGCCCGAACTAAGAAACCAGATAAAGAGGGGATGTATAGACGTGTGTAGCTCATCGATGGGTGGCACAGAAAATGTGATATTCTGTATCATGTACATAATTAGCTTAGAGAAGAGGGCGTCGACATTCGAGGCACGGATTGTTGAAAGCTGGCCAGTCTGAAGCGAACTGAGTGGTAAGGTGGGGGGTAGACTAAAGAGCCAGTCCAAATATGCTAGCGATAGAATAAATTCATCTCCAATGGAGCACACAGGTTGAGCATCGAGAACGGCCATCTCCGCTGACAGAAAGAGTCTGTTGAGCTCTGTATGAGAATTAGAGCGTAGAATGCTTTTCTGGATAAATGGTAATAGCTTTTCGGTTAGGTTATCAAGTAGATTTCTGCCCGAGTTGATACGTGAAAACAAATCCATCACAAAGCTCTTCTCTTTTGGCCTTTTGGACACAGGTAGTTCTTCCAGTGCTTTTTCAATGATATAAACCTCATAAATTTCCTGATAAAGGGGAAGCATGTGGCCCATATCACGGAGAGACTTAACTCCTTTCAGATTGATGTGGAGATCTTCCTCGTAAAGCACACTTAAGACATCATCTGATCGCACACTGTATAAGAAATCTTTGTGAGACTTTGGGAGCCTCTTATAGTAGGTGAGGAGTAGCTTTTCTGAATAGTAGAAGGTGCCCCAGTCAGAAAGCTCACCAGAGGGGGTCCCCAATTCATTAGTTTGGAGCATCATGCCATCATCGAAATGCGCATTTATCGGTGAAAACTCTGGCTTTTCTCCGCCAACAACTGTCCTCATCAGATGTTTAAACCATTTTCTAAATGATATCTCGTACATGGTGTCACTAGTTAAGGAACGCATGGGGAGCTTCATATCCGTATCATGAAGATGCTGAGATCCACTAAGAACAGATTTGTCCAGTTCAACTAGGTTATTAAAAATGAGGTCGGCTGCAATCTTTTTTAGCTTGGGGCTTGGCAACCTATCTACTTGCTCTGGTTCTGATGCTACTATATTGAGCTGAGGGTTATCTAAGGGAGTACTAGAGGGCACAGCTATCGGGGAGTCTGGGTTCATTTTTTGATGGGCACCTTTGATACTTGCTACGGAGACTTACTGGACTATGCTGCCAAGGGATGTTTTGATGTGATTGTTCACGGGTGCAATTGCTTCTGTACAATGGGCGGTGGAATCGCAGCCTCTATTAGTTCCCGCTTTCCGGCTGCACTGAAGGCCGACAGTGAGACTGCTGAGGGGGATAGGAGCAAGCTGGGATCATATACTTCGGCCACCGTTGCTATAGGCTCCACAACAAAGACAAATCGAATGGCTCTTACCGTCGTGAATGCTTATACGCAATACATGTACAGGCCAACCAGAGAAACGCCCATTCCATGCGACTATGATGCAATTGATAAGGTAATGGCGCGCATCAATCAAGATTTTGCCGGAAAGTCCATCGGTCTACCACAGTTAGGGGCAGGGCTCGCGGGTGGCGACTGGAAGACAATTGAGGAAATTATTAGGAAGCGATTGCATTCCTGTCACATAACTATTGTGTTGTTTAAAGCGTCGCAGACGCCCTCTGAGTGAACTTCTGCTGAGTTTCTGGTTTGAAGAATTCAAAAAGTTTAGCTTTGATCGGTACTTGTACTTTCCAATGGGCAACCTTACTCTCGATGACTGGTTCGATGCAGTTACCAATGCAGATATCTTCAAGATCAATGTCATGTTTGGTAAGTACGCTTGTAGCCGTGACGCTAATGGAGACACTGCACTTCTGCGGGCTGTCCGGGCAGGAAATGAGACGCTTGTGAAACTATTGTTAGCAAAGGAGGGTGAGATGGTCGATAAGAACGGCTTTGGCGCTTTACTTTTGGCTGCGCAGCTGGACCGCGCCCGCATAGCGATTCTTTTAGCGAAAGTAATACCTGACCAGACAACACCGGATGGGATGAATGCGTTAATGGTTGCTGCAGCCAATTCATCCATGAACACTGCTCAGGCCATTCTGCCGCATTTCGCCAACGTAGCAGATGACAATGGTTTGTTTGCCGTGAACCACGCAGTATCATCCGGCTCTCTGGAGATGGTTAAGCTTATCTGCAAGCGGTTTCCCCCAGCAGGTGATGCTCTACACAGAGCACTTAATCTTGCACGTACAGCGGCATACATTGAAATTACACACTACTTAGAAGGATTTGTACAATCAAGTACAGCCTCGTCTATCGGCCCCAGTGTTTGCTTGTCATCTAGCAATGTCTCAATGCCATTTGGGACCGTTATCAACGGGGTATATGATGCAAGTCAACCCAGTGTAATTAATGATATGAGAGACCAGTTGAATCACATGAACGTCAGCATTTCCAGACTTGCCGAGCCGAACTCTGTCTCAGAAAGCTCTCTACTATCCACTCTTCTTCTCTCGACTGGTGGTGCACCCGTGGATGCGTGGGCCTCTCTCAACACTGCTCCACAGTTTCTGGATGCACTCACTGGCGCAGCTGTGCTTACCACTGATAATGGGACAGTCATAACAGCGGGGGAGCTCTTAAAGGAGCTAAATTCACTGCATATGGAGCTCGAAAAAAAGGACCTGGCACTAGCACGACAGGGTATGGAGGTAGAGTCTCTACGAGAGCAGCTTAATCAACTTGCGACCAAAACGGGGTCCGCTGACCTTTCAGAGTTTTTGTCGCACTTTGACCAGAGACTTTTTCAGGAGTCTGCTGAAGGAACGCTTCCATTGTCAACTGAACAAGAACTTTTATCGGAACTGAAGCAGCACATTAATAGTCTTGCAGTGTCAGCTGACTCATTGGCCTTGAAGTACGTATCAACTAAGCTTCCGGGTCATATGAAGGAAGAATCCAATCAGGAGCTTGATAAAGATATGCACGAGCTCAACCAGCACACAGCAGAAGCCTTAGAGGCCATCGATATGTTGCAGTGTAGTCCTGGTTCCAGACACGGTAGCTCCCTGCTTGGTATCGATGGAACTTGTCTTAGAGCCTCCGGGCTTACACCTCTCATGCGAGCAGTTATTTCTGGTAAAGATCTCGACCCGATAAAAATGCAAGAGTTTGCAGGAAAGGTCACTAGCGACGGAACCACTGCACTCATGCTTGCCGTGCAGTGTGGCAACATAGGCGCTGTGACAGCGTTAGCTTCCTTAGAAGCAGGCATGGTGCGTGCAGATAAAAAGACTGCTCTGGCGTTAGCTATTCAGAATGACTTCTATGAAGCAATCAAAATACTTCTGCCTTTGGAAGGCATAGACATTTCGCAAAACAATGTAATAGCGACTGATAACCAGAAGAATCCACTGACGCTTGCTGCAGAGCAAGGGGACATTATAGCAGTCTATTGCTATCGAAGCCTATTCGCTCGTCTGCACGATGAGTATGGTCAGACAGCTCTCATGCATGCAGCCAGTGTCGGAGAAGAGAGGGTAATAGATTTGCTTATTGACTATGAGTGCGGAATGCAGACACCAGAGGGCATCACTGCACTGATGTTAGCTGCTCAGCGCGGGCACATCGGCTGTGTCGAAAGGCTTCTTCCGCATGAGCGTAATTTGCGTGACAATAATGGTAATACTGCTTTACACTACGCCACGAAGTTGGCTCAGTATGACAGGACAGACGCTGAGCTACACAGTTCCTTAGTGAGTCTCCTGAGCGAGAATACTGATTCCACCGTAAATTAGCGACATCACTTGCATTTTCACATTCATGTAAACTGTCCTAGGTAGTGAAGGAAGAAGTTCGCATGGACGGTAGCTAGGACTATGTGCTGAGGGGTCTGACTACTCAGGGTGCTTTTCTGATCCTCTCGTCCATCAACGATGCGGCAGCCACCCTTCCTACCCTTTGCTTCCCGAGAGAAAATTCAAAAATACAACAATTCGCATGCAGTCATCAAACTACACAGAGCCAAACATAGACAGTTGTGATGAGGTCTCTATGGAGGGTGACGATAGCACTACCGAATATGTTTCGTATCGCGACGAAGAGACTTTACAAGAGTCGCGCTTTAGCACAGAGGGATATGAAGTCAGTCCCAGCCGCCAGCAGCCAGAGAGTTTATTGACATCCTTGTGCCCATATAGTGCAGCTGCGCTCGATATCTCTGGAAGCTGCGCAACCCACTCGGTAACAAACACATATCTGGACGCGCCCATGACCTCGATTCTCGAAAAACTGCAGCAAGTATCTCATGAATATTCTATACCAGAGCTACCCTTACTACTAGATGCATATACTATGCACATTCTCGCAGAAGATAGAAGCTCTGGCTCTTATTCGGAACTCAGAGCTCTGCAGGAGGAAAACGAGGCGCTTAAACGGCAGCTTGAGGCACCATTCAATTCGCGACATACTGAAGAATTAGCACTTATAGTTGCCTTTAAGCAGGTGATGGAAGAGAAGGATAATGAGATAAGTGCCTTGAAGTTGAGACTTAGCGAGTTAAGTAGCCAGGCTATTAGCTCAAACGGTTGTGCTCCAAGTGCAGTGAAGGAGGATCCTTCTATTACTTCTGTTAACTATATCTCTCCGCCGGGTTTACTAGCAGACGAGCAGAGCTCAGCGGTGTTGCTGAGCGCCCTTGAACAACTGGCTTTTGTGCAATCTGATATCATTGGGTGGATGGATTCCATTCCGCAGCAATTTGCAGACACAGTAGCTGACCCTCTTAAGTCAAGCGTTGAGGCATTGCTCCATAGTTTGAATCTGTCATGTGAAGGCACCAATTCCATGATGGGTCTAATCGCCCTTTTGCTCGACACTGTTTCGCAGAAGCCACAAGGCGTAACTATGGAAGAAATAGCGCATGGATTTGAGCAGTATATTAGCGCGTCCAGAGCCCTGACGCAACATCTTCGGGTGTTCACGAACGTCTCAAATGCATCCTCGCCTATTCCAACGAATGCTGATGTAGAAAGGGAGATGGACGAGGCCAAGCACCTTAAAAAGATGGCAATTATGGCACTAGTAGAAGCGCAGAATGCTAGGAAGGCCATTGAGGATAAACAAAAGGAGTTGGCCACAAAGGAAGAAGAGCTCGAGGCTGCCCACGCATCTGCGTCTGCACTGCTCCAGGCCGCACAGTTAAAGCAGCCTTCTGAGATGCCGTTACCAACACCACCACTAGAACAGACAGCGGCAAGTGACAGAGAAAATTGCAAGACGCCTACTGAGGATAACTGGGTAGAAAAAGCTGCTGAGGGTTCACTGACTGAATCTGAACAGTATTCTGGCTACCTCAAAGACATGGATGTCATTCTGGACTTGATACTCTGTATTCGAGATGCACTTTTCTCAGATAATGCTGTGCAGGCCCGGCTATCCGAAGCTTCTATTGTAGACCAATCTTACTCTAAAGATCCTCTGCAGCAATCTATTGATTCTGCATCAGCCATGCTCCTGTCTATTTTTAAGGCCCTTACTTCCGATATACCTGACCAACGCTCTACGCAAAGCAGCAGTGCCTCTGAGATAGATGAGGAGTGCATGCAGTCACTTGGAAAGAGGCCTACAATGGCGTCCGAAATGATCTCAACTATCTCTAAGGTTTCTCAACAAAACCTAGAGGTTGCCGTGCCTTACACATGCGCCGCTAAGCCTGAGACAGTTAGCGAAGAGCTAGACGAGGTTATTCTATTGAAGAAGGAGCTTCTATCACGTAACGAGGTTATCCAATTAATGATACAAAAGCTTGAACAAAAGGACAGAGATATTAGTCGACTAACGCAGCAACTAACAGCCTCTGCTGATGGGCTAACACGGAGTCTCAGTGTTGAGCGCTTTGGGGAGCCCATTTCGCTAGAACCCAACAAAAGCACTGATGACTTAATCAATGAATTTACTCTTGCCACAGACACGGCCTCTACCAGTTCTACACTAGTGAAACTACGGTTTGATGTGACGGCCAAGCTATCTATGATGGAAAAGCTGATGAATTCTCAGGGTATAACGGATAAGGGCTCTCTATTTTCACTGGTTAACCACTATCTGAGTCTAATAGAGGCGTCTGATAACCCTCAGTATGCTCTTCCTATAGATGGTGGGCTAGATAAAGCCACTGAAAAGCAGCCTCTTGACAATTTTGTGTGCTGGACTGAAGTTGAATCTCCAGTGGCTTCTATTCCAACAAACTTCAGGGCCGCGCTGGGTCCAGCAAATGAGCATACCATTGATGAAGTAGGATATGCAGCCCTTAACTCCAGAGTTGGGAAGATGCACGAATGGCACATTCCTATCCGCTGTGACAAAGGTACAGACCCTGACGGAGACTTTGTCGATGCCGATACACCAATCTCTACAAACCCCACTGTGGACTGGCAAACACATCAGAAGCAGCTTAGCGATTTGAAAGAACAAATTGCTCTACTCCAAGGAAAGGTTGACTCTGCAAACGAACGGGCCCATCAGGCAGAGCTTAAACTAGAGAGCGATTCTCGATTTGTTGACACAGCCACATCTGATCTTATATCTTCCTCCATTGACAATTATAAGAGAGAAATTGAACAGAAAAATGCACGAATACATTACCTTCAAGCAGCATTGGCTGAATTTACGAGCAAAGAGACTAACAAGACACCCAATCCTGACAGTGGACTACTAGTACAACTAGAAACGATGAAGCAGCTCTTGGCAACGCAAACAGCGGATTTGAAGAAAGCAAATACAATGTTGGAGATGGAGCAAGAGAAGGCAGCGGACTTATCTGCTAAATTGGTTGCAGCCGAGTTACTATCCAGTGAAAAGGAGGACGAATTGGCTAAACACAGATTAAATGAAGATAAATTATTAACGAAGCTTCACGAAAGTGAGGAGCGTGAACTGCTCATTGAGAAGCAGACAGCTGAGATAGCTGACCAACGAACAGACCTTTGTGAGCAGACTCGTGAAGTGCAACGTCTGAAGCTTTTGCTATTAGATAGAGACAGTCAAATTCAGCGGGTAAGAGATATCAACGAACGACTTGCCGAGAATATTGCTGCTTTAAGAATAGATTTGGAACAGCAGAGACACCTTGGTGGGCCGCAGACGTCCGAGTCAAGACTCGACTCTTCATACAGGTTGACCTCACAAATCGAAGACTTGAAGCTTGATATTCAGAGGGTTCAAATGGAGCTTACCAGAATGGATAGAAGCACACAAAACGGTGCCCTGCCTGGGGAGTCTAACGATGATTCTTGGAACAGTGACTTTGTCTCTCGTGAACAGCTGATACAGATGTTAGTTGAGCGTGATATGAAGATTGCCGCAATATTAGAGGAAAAGGCATCTCAAGAAACACCCAATACCATAGAGCCATCCGACGTGCAGATCAATAAACCAAAAATACGTTCTCGCCCCCAAAGCTCCAAACGCCCGCTCCAAAACACTCAATTGTCCCAGACCCTGAAGCAGCGGCCTGTATCCTCAAGTTCAACTGCTAATCTATCTCTAACACAACACGGTAAAAAGGATGCAACAATTAATTCATTAAAGCACCAGCTAATAGCAGCAGAGAAGTCTATTTTTTCTCTAAAGCAGGAGCTGACATCTGTGAACACCAAGCTTTCACAGGCAAAGGCAGCAGAAATAGCTCTCAAGAAGCTGTTGCATGAAAAGCAGAAGGAAATAGAGGACTTGAAGATTCAGAATACAACATTAACTCAAAGGTTGGATAAATGTGACAGGAAAGTAGCTGCTCTGGAAAGCGATAAGTGTGATTTAATGGCGAGGTTAGTCAACGCTACTGACAACAGCGATAGCTCACCCCAGGCGCGCCTTCAAAAGCTTCTGAATTCTACGCTCAATAGCAAGGAGGAGCACTTCAGAAGTGAAGGAGGCACGGCGGGGACAGAAGCGACTGACACTACGCGCCGTGCTAAGATTGGATTCACCCCGCTGATGCACGCGATAACAACGGGCAATCCCGATGAAGTGACGTCTAATCTGGCTTATGCCGGATACCATACAACTAACGGAACGACTGCACTAATGTTAGCAGTTGAGTATAATAACGTACAGGCCATTAAGCTATTGTCTCGGATAGAAGCACGGATGACTCGGGAAGCAGGGGAAACTGCACTTGCAATCGCTCTGGCTAAGGGTAACCTCGCAGCCGCTAAGCTCCTCACGGAAACAGAAGGTTTAAACACAAGTCACATCAGTCGAACAGGAGGAACAATAACTGAGCTCATGAAGGCGGCGGCAGATAATAATCTCGTCGCAACGTGGTGTTATCTCCCTATTCAGGGAGGTCTGCATGATCAAGATGGATGTACGGCCCTTATGCATGCTGCAAAAAAGGGAAGCGTAGGAGCTGCACGGTTACTTTGTGATAAGGAGGCAAGAGCACAGTCAAAACAAGGAGAGACTGCACTGATGTTTGCTGCGATTAACGGGTATACGGAACTGGTTAGAATGCTAAAGGACAGAGAGTGGGGGATGTATAATATTCACGGAACTACTGCGCTAATGTTCGCGGCACAGTATAATAGGCCACAAATTGTTTCTCTACTCATTGATAAAGAGGCAAGGATGCTAACAAAACGCATTCATGAGCACGGCGCCGGGTTCTGTGCCCTAATGGCAGCGAGTCATTACGGAAACATAGAGTGCGCGAAGCTCTTGCTGCCGAAAGAAGCGGATATGAAGCAGCCAAACGGCAAGACTGCGCTGTCGTATGCCCAAAGTGATGAAATGTGGAACCTGATTAAACATTATAGAAAAGCCCAGATTTGAAAGCTTGGTCTACAATCAATGCTTTAGTAGGCTTTATTGATATTGTCAACTAAATCTTTGCTGTAATTGGCCGTTAATTCTGACAGCATTGTAGGGAAAAATTTAATCGATGTATTATCAACTTTTAATGCTTCTGTCACGATGCTTGCTCCGTCATGCTCCTTGTTTCTTCGCCTCCATGAGACAAAAGAGTCAAGGCCAGTAACATTCTTTTGAATGTCACAATTCTTTTCCAGGGGCGCTATGTCCCTCTTTGTAATTACCTCACCCATAGCAAGCTCATCATATACCTGTATTTTATCTACTGAGCCCACTATTTGGTGTGTCTCTCCATATGAATCCTTTTTCCGCGGTATTGCACTATTAACTGCAAACTCATGATCAATAAGCGTGCTTGCAGGTTGACGCACAAAGGATAATCCAGTGTAAAGACTCTTGCTATTTGGATACTCTTCTAAATCTAGCCCGGCCAAATTGGTCAAAGGAGTGCACGTCGTGGTGGGTGCGTTGTTGAACTTGTGTTCAGCGGTAACCACTGACTTGAGTGACCTAATTATTGGCCTTGCAGATCCATGGGCAACATACTTACTAAAAGGTAATAGCCTCTTCGTGGATTCCTGAGTCATTTTGCTAGGAAAATATGCATCAGGCGATGTGCACGAGTCATTTTGTGAAGAAGGACTTTCACGTAACTTGGTCAGAAGTCGTGAAAATGGTGCTTTTCGAGTTTTAGGCCCATTTGGAGAGTCGAAGCCAGTCTCGTCAAGTACTTCTAGGGTCTTTTTTACCTCTTTATCAATAGAATCGTTTATTGCGGCTGCAGCAGCTGCTAGGGACTTCTTTTCAGCAGTGAGATAATCGCTGGGCGCTAAGCTGCCCTTTAATCTTATTAAAAGCGACGGCTTTAGAGCAGGAACAGAAAGAGAAGTATCTGCCGAGGCCGACTGCTCAATGGTGAATTGTGTGGTGTCAGATACTCTTCGCTGTCTAATAGCGTTTTCTAAGCCTTTGGTCGGAGCCTTATTTTCAATAAAGGGCTTGCAGGGGCCTTTCTGTCGCAGCATAGCTACACTCTTCTTCCACTCTGCTGGCGGTTCTTGCGGGTTTAGCAAACGAAGGATGTCTGTCGAAAGGTCTGCGGACATCTGGGATATCTCGGATTGTATTGGAGGCGCGCTTGGTGATGCTGCTTTAGGGGATGCAAGAGAGCTTTTCAGTTTCCTTCCTACCGTTCTAAGAAGCTGTAGTGTCACAGGAGGAGACTCCATAGAGTCTGGAGGAAAGGAAATGCCGCGTGTTTTTTACCAATCTCGCGGAGAAGGAAGTGGTAGATCAGCAATAGTTATTCACTTTATGCACCACATGATTGACTTCTAATCTTCTTCAAGCGTGCCAAGCAAGAAGAAATAAGCATAATGTGCCGCAAAATGCAGGATACAGGCTATTCTGGAATTATATCTGTATGGATCATCAGATAACCATTGAGTTCCTGCATAGCACAGGTGAACTGCTCATCAACGTTCTGGTTATCTCCTAATGGATCCACCTTTGCTTCTGGGGCAGGAAGAGAATCCGAAGATATCACTTTGGGGGCATCCTCCTTATCGAGTGCGGGATCAACAACAGATTTATCAATCATATTCTCGTCAAGGAATTGCTGAAGCCTAACCAGGAGCTCCTCTCTATACAACCCTACATTGTCATGGACCATTTCCAACTCATCGACAATCTCCACCGGTTTGTCCATCAGAGAAAGTACGTAGACAAAAGATACTTGATTCGGAAGAGAAATTTCAACGTTGATGCGAGACGTGAGACTAGACTTGGTTGGTCTGCGCTTAATTACAACTGAAGAGGCTGTATCTAAATTGGCAGGAACATGGAGAATAGAGCCTGACTGATCAGTGGACACAGTCTCAGAAGCAAGCACATGGCTCAAAGAGTTTGTCACTGCTGTAGTGGGCACAGCAACATTAACAACACTAACGCCCATGCTCGCCGGGCACACAGGCTTAGATAAAGACTGTGGAATGTGGGACTGCTGAGGACCACGTGGCGAAGAAATTGGTAGAGAGGATTGCTGTGGAAGTTTTAGAGCTGTCTGAGCCGCGTTAACAGCAGTATGGCCTGTTGACTGCATAGTTTGTTCATGTGTTCCAAGAGATACTTGTGCAGAGGGTCCATGGTCCTTTGCATCGGTGGTGAGCTTTCCTGTGTCGGACATATTTGACAGAAAGGGCTTGCTTAGCAACTCGCGTGCACTCGGGCGAGCAGAGGGATCCTTATTAATACATAGCAATATAAGGTCCTTCATCTCCTTGTGAACAACTTTATTTAGCCCGTTCGGTGGGATATTGCCCTCGACCTTCTTGAGCACATCAACTATATTCGCACACTCTAGGTATGGGGTATCGCGCGTAATAAGTTCCAACAGCAACATACCGAATGCATAGATATCCACCTTCTCATCATAGTGTGCATTGCTGTATGTTTCAGGCGCCATAAACTCAGGTGTCCCTATGCAACTGACTGCTGTAGATTGAAGGCCTAGCGAAGCGCACAGACCCAGATCCCCGACCTTAACAACACCAGTGGCCCCGTTAATAAATATATTTTGTGCCTTAATGTCGCGATGGATTATCTTTGGTTGACACGTGTGCATGTAGTTTAGGGCTTCTAAGATCTGAAGGGCCCAACTCTTAAGCACAGGGGTTGTCAGGGCTGTGGGGTTCTTCTTCAAGTACTTCTTTAGGCACCCAGACGGCATGAGCTCAGTCGTGAAGATGAGCAGATTGCTACCTTCGAACCAATGATCATAGAGCTTAATTATATTCTCGTGGTCAACATCTTTGAGAGCCTTGATCTCCTGAAATAGCTTGCTTGATGCCATTGGCTCCAGAGTGTCGAGGACGACCTCGTTCCAAGCCACCTCTCGGCCTGCTATCAAATCAAACGCCCTATAGACAGTTTTGAACGCGCCTTTTCCCAAAACATCCCCCGAGTACTTCAAGTAACGGTCGGACGGCCCAAGAGTATCGGAGAATGGATTGTAATAAACGCCTTCGTTACGGAGCGGAGAGGATTCTACCTCAGGATACGGCTGATTCTGGGTGCCCGCAAATACACTGAGTGGAGCAACAATCTCCATGATGGGGTAGTAGTAGTCTTACTAAAGAGGTAGGCTGTACGGATGTCCGCTCTTTTGTACCAACTTAATTTTTCGCATTAAATGTTAGTATTTTTTAATTTCTATACTTCAGCCCTCTGATTTACACGTCAACATGTGCATATTCTGCTCCATTGTTGCCCGCGATGTCCCTTCTGAAGCCGTTTATGAAGACGAGCACGTTCTTGCCTTTTTGGATATTATGCCGAGCGCCCCGGGTCACTGTGTAGTCATACCGAAGTATCACGCGGCCCTTTTCCATGAGCTCCCCCCTGCCTCCGCAGCTGCTCTAGGCGCTGCTCTTGTCAAGGTGTCTGGCGCGTTAATTAAGGCCATGGAATGCTCGTGTTACAATATTGTCAACAATAACGGGCCAGAGGCAGGACAGGAGGTTCCACATGTTCATTTCCACATCATTCCTCGTAAGGCCGGCGACGGTCTTGGGTACAAGTTCTCTCCGCAGAGTGGAGGAGACCTCTCTAAGATTGCAGCTCGCATAAGAGAATGTATGGAGTGACTCAGCTGTCGCTAATTCCTGTCTACTATGAGCTCCAGTAATAACCAGGACTGCAGACGATCACTGAGCATCTGTAGAGCTGTGACTAAAAGAGGAGCATAGCTGTTTCTACCAACTTAATGTATATAGGCTCTATGAGATCAATCTGATCGTTTATCCGCTGCACCTGATTGCTGGCTAATAGGGTAAATTGGAGTTCTTCAATTTGTTTCAATTTGCTCCTCATGTTATAGAGACAAGTAAAGGCTGCGTTGGCAGCCACGGAGGAGAAATTGGGGTTAGTGCTATACAGGAAGTAGCTCGTTTCAACCTTTGGTTCTGCACTGGTGGACAGCATGGTTATCTGCAGGTACCCCTCTGTGCATAGTGTTGTGAGGAGCGAGACGGCCTGAGACCGTGGAATCATCCCCTCGGCAGCCACAACTGACGCCTCCATCATCCCTCTTGCTCGTATGATGTTGAACATGCGACGGGCCATGGGGCCATGGCGCTCCGCAACGATGCGTAGAAGCACTGCCATCTGCATGCGCTCTATTGCTGCATCTATGTCTACAATGTATTGCCCATCACTGGTCATGTGCATCATGGCTTTAGGTTCTGAAACGTACAGCTTGAGCACTGACGCACAAAAGGAAAGCGTGAAGTTGCTTCCTGTAGCATTTAGACTGTATTGTGCATTCATCAATGCGTCGTGCAGTTGCTCCAAGTTAAAAGAGCGCGTACTGGGTCGCACATCTGCTGGAGAAAATGGACAAAATCCTAGAGCCTGAAAGGAGTTGGAGATGAAAAGGGCTGCACGAAAAACAGTGCCCATATCTCTGTCATAGACAGTACAGACGTAGTCTGCCAGCTCCTCTTCCTGAAAGAGCGCGATAAGCTGCTCAACGCTCACGCAGTATGACTCTCCACTATCAGATACATTATCAGACTCCAGACTGTGCAAGCCATGGGAATGCTTCCGTGGGGGCTCTGTGGACTCGGGACCTTTGACGTTGTGACTCTGATGGTGATGTGCATAGTAAACCGAGGTAAGAAGATTCTGACAGCGTTCTCTGAGTTCTGAACTGCGTTGAACGACTCCGCGAGATAAGAGAGTGGATAAGGTTTCCAACAGACGTGGAAGCCCTACGTCTACGCCCATGGTGCGAAGAACCTCCAAGATCTCTGGTGCTGTCATGGAGCCACCCAGAGTGAGGGCGGCTAGTAGCTGATCCCCCAGACCATCAAGGTCAGAAACCCGGGGCAGAACAATGGGGCAGAACATTCGCACCATTGCTTGCTCAGAAAAAACACCATAGACCATGTGCTTTCTGCTCAACTCATGTCCATTGCGAATAACCGGAAGTTCCACAAAAAAAGCGATATTGTGCCTCAAGAGGGCCATCATGGATGTCTTGATGATGTCAGGCGGCAATCTAACGGCGGTAACAAGGTCATTGAGCGTGCCGAAAGCCACCTCCATGAGATATTGCACAATAGCGACCGCTGTGGTGTCAAAGTACTCCTCGACGCAGGAGAGGACAACACTTTTGAATCCTGAAAAGTGCATGTGTTTAGAGCCTGGCGCAGACCTGGGACGAAAAGGCAGACAACCCTCACCGACAGAATTCAAAAAATGGATATACGTACACTTAACGTTTTACTCAAAGACGTCGTCTCTTTTGTGGAGCGTGTCCTACTACACGAGCCCTCTCTTTATCGTATACCGGGTCCAGACACAGAGGCACGAGCCATGCTTAACAAATATTTGATGGGGGAGCGGCCTAATCTGGACACTGAGCTTGTCGATCCATTCACCGCCACAACACTGTTAAAGTATGCCATTAAGAACCTTGACAAACCCCTCATCGCGAGAGAATTTTATCCTGCCCTAAAAATGATCTTGTACTTTGAGGAAAAATTGGGGCACGCTCCGGAACGGGCCCTCACCCGTGTATACGATAGCTTTCTGGACCAGGATAGAAGAGAGTTCTTCGAAGTCTTTGCCAAGCATTTACTGAAAGTAGCTGGGGAGCCAGAAAATAACATGACACTGATAAACCTTGTAACGGTATTTGGCCCAACATGCATCTTGCCGTACCGGGAGATGCAGCTTGAGCAGATGCGTACGGGCCCAGCAATCCTCTTGTACATTATAAACTTTGCTGCCAAGAGAGCAGGCGTGGCACAAGTCTGCACTACATGATTAGTAGGGCTGGATCTGCGAGGAAACAGACAGAATTAAAAGAATCCTTTCTTGCGTGCAACGTGAACAAGGATAGTCTTAATTACATAGCTGCCAAGCACCAATATATTAGCCACAAGCAGAGGTGTGTGCATGCGCAGAGATTGGCTCTTCTGAACGACCTTACTAGAGCCTAAGGTGTTGTGAATGTGTGTTATGTTTCTATTTGTATGACTTCGAAGATGAGATAGACGCCTTTCAGCCTCCTCTATAGACCGCTCCAGGGTGTTAATAGTAATTTCTAAGCGCCTATCCTCTCGAGCAAGCGCCAAGGCACGCGTGTAGCAGGCGTGTGCTTGGGTTGCTATCTCTGCTAAAGTCTCCATTTTTATTAAGATAAGTTGGGGCTGACGGACAGAGCAAGGGTCGTACCAGGTATCTAAGGGCCTGTGGATAAAGGTAGATAGAACCAAGAAAGACAATAAGCTATTGCATTATTGCATAATGCTCGATTGAAGAACTTGGAGGAGAAGAATGCACACTATTGCTACTAGCGAACAACAATTGACAAACAACACAGTGCTGTGAGCAGCACCTGTGAGCTTGAGTCGAAGAAATATGACCTCGCCATTTTTGTCCCTCCGCACGACATCAGCTTCTGTTCTTTTCCTCAATTGGTTCAACCTTGTTGTAAACGTATCGATAAGCTCCTGCATCTCGCCTATTCGTTCGTCCAGCTGCTGTATTTCATTGTTGAGGCGAATGCCCTCCATATAAAGACTCTGTGCTTGGTCTTCGATCAACGCCAGCATCTATTTTTTCTCTTAAGCAATGATACAATTAACTCTACGAACAGATGCTATTGAAGGACTCTGTGCTGCTATCTCCTACTTCATAGATGCAATGGCTGTATTCAAAGAGATTAATATGTGCTTCCTCTTTGAAAAGGCTCCTGCAAACCAGGCTATTCACATTTTTGCAGCCACCACTGGCATTGACCCAAGCGGCGGCACTGCCTCTTTCCTCATTGACTCACCATTCATTGACATTGTCAACACGCCAGATCCGGCTCGAAGAGGAGATAATTCGTCAATCTTATTATCTGTCTATTCCTCTACCTTGGTTCCTCTTAAAACTCTGTTGGAGCATCACGGGGAGTACCCTCTAGTGATAGAGTTTAATGTTGTTGACGGTACCAGCTATGCCGTTTTCTTGAGGTACCTCTCGTTAATGAAGTTCAAGCAAGCGTTTGACAGTATGTATGTTTCCTCTCAGATCCATCTGAGTCTGATCAGCGTTACATATGGACTTACGCCTCTACAATATTTAGTAGCTATTACATCTATTTTTCAATCTACTTACCCAATTAGATTGCACGCACAAAAAAATGGTGGGCAGAATCCGCTGGCAAGCGCTCTTACAATTCGGCTTTTAATGAATAGTTGCTGTAGTCTAGTCTATGGATTGCCAGCATTTTATCCTAGAGTGCATTTACCCATCTTTTCCGTTGACGCATCTGACGCAAGTTCATTCCTGCGTCTTTTACGCAAATCTAGTGGCCATTCTGATGGAAATCACCTTTCACTATCAACAAGCATTTGTAGGACAGCAGAGGCAGAGTTTGAGCAGCTTCAAACGTCCATCAAAGACAAGGTACCAGAGGTGCTTGATTTACTACATTGTCCGCATACATCTCATGCACAACAACTGGCTGGCCTTGTTTGGGGTACACTCAATACATCCCTTCTGACTCTTATGCATTGCCCCAAGCTCCTTGTCCAGCTGGGAGGTGCCACAACCAAGGCGATGCTGAATGCAGTCACCACTCAGACCAAGCCAATGCTTCAAGCGTCAGTGGATGTGGACCAGATTGCATCGTGCATTGCAGCAGCTCAGGGCCCTGAAGAATGCTACTGTGCATCCGATCTTTTCACATACTTTCAGTCTTCGCTTAAGTATGCATCTGCGTGCATGTATCTTCAAGGAGAAACAGCGCTGCGGTCGTTTCTTGATCTACAAACGCAGTACCCATCCATCTCCTATGAAGTAGTATTGAGTGCTTCTAGCCAGGAGGTCCTGGCCAGAGATCTTCAAAGCACAACTGGGGTCTTTGCATCATCTCTACCTGGAGTAGAGCTTCATGTAATGCGGCGCCTGGGACCACAAACATATGCAGTGGTGACAACCAAAGACCTTGTCAATCAGTTTTTTTTCGCTTTTTCTGGTGCTTTCTTCCCCTCGTCACCTCCCACACAAAAGGATAAAGCGACGATGGACTATAAGCAAGGGTACGATAATTATACAGTTCCATCTCTGAGTATGCAATGCACGTCCAGTGGCAGCGGTGGACAGCAGATTAGACTTAATGTCAATCCGCAGCCGATTAACTATGTACACTCGCAATCTCCTGTGGTTACCAGTATAGAGCTGCAGCGGACCAAAAATACTCCACAGGTAAAAGAGACTTCACCAACCAGCATGTTTGGTGTCAGGACTCCACCTACCCCAAAGGATGGTTCACCCATCCTTGACGACGGTTCTGTCAAACTAGTGGACCAAACACCAATCTACCTATCGCAGCAAAGCCCCAGTTCTAAGGATATTTGTCTAGATGCCTCTGGGAGTATAGTTGCCACATGCTTGAACAGTGTTGCCCAAGTATCATTAGGGAAAACTGCGGATGATGGTAATAGTATGACCCCTTTTCAATCTACCCTCCTTACCAGAGACAAGTCATTGCCCTCAACCAATCAACAAGCAGGTTCTGTTGTATCGACCCACCTATCAGATTGTCAATCCGAACATAATCTTATTTCCTATATTCTAGGGACGGACAGCGACAGTGGCATTAGTGGGGATATTGAGTTCATAATGGATGCACTGTTGTAGTAAGCTCGTGTTCGTAAACAAAAAAGGATGGGGTGGGATCTGCCAATTGATGGGCTTCCTTCACCAGCTACAAGTCCTGGCCGTAAGTATTTAGAAAGTGACTACAAAATGAACAATAGCTTTCTGTGCGAACCGGAGTGTGAGGCGCCAGAACCCCATGCTGGGTACCATACTAATACTGATTCTAGACAGGCTCCTATTGACACACCCGTAGAATTTCGCTATGTAAATGTTACAAATCCGCGGCAAACAAGCATAGAAACAGGCACATTCACGGTTAACACCCCCTCTGTCCCATGTATTACGGAATCCATAATTGATGATCAGGAGCTGGAGGGCCCCGCTGTTTGGCAGAAAAAGCAGCACGTAGGTATTCACTCAAGTTGTGGCAGCGACGATGATCTGTCTTTGAAGAAACCTGATCAACCAAAGATGATCAAGCCAGACTACACGTATCAGACCATGTCGTCTAACTTGCCTAAGATACCCACGGACGAGGAGCTGAACACGCTGATAGCTACAGAGACACACAAAACCAATATTCCTAAAAAGCGCCCTGTAAGCAATTTTGCCAAGACTGTTGAGAAAAAGGCACAATTGGCCCCTAAATCTGGCGTAGGAAGGGACGTAATAATGCGGAAACTTGGAGCCCTTCTTACAGACACTCCAAGCGACGTTCCAGTTTACTCTATGGACGACAAGACTCTAGTTGCTCTCACCGAACAAGCTCTAATGAGCTTCAGTGACTCTCTTTATAAGTGGTAAACCATATCACCAACGCATGCAGAGACGTCAAAGGTTTGAAGAGTCCGTAGAGTACTAGATTGCCCCAAAGACTAAAATTCAGAAATTAAAAACATTAAATGGTCAAAGGACTGGCGAAGGAGCAGAAGGTGCGTCTCTACCTTGGTGGACTGAAGAATGTAGAGCAGCTAATGAAAGGGGATGTTTTGATGGGCGACGACGGGAATCCACGTACCATCAGTGCTGTGCATTCGTCAATGTCCAAAACGTACACCATTACCTATTCGTCCTATTTGGATGTTAAGGACGACCGGAGTTTTGTCTGTGGAGATGATGCTGTTCTTATTTTAATCCCCGATGGGAACCGAGAGGTGAATAGAATTATTAATACCGGAGCAGACAACCAATATGTGGTTGAGTTTGTTGAGCCTGTCACGGACGCAATGAAGTCCATCTCTGGCGTCAAGCTGCAGTGGAAAGTCTTTGCACAAGCTGACGACGCGCTTTCATATGTGGATCGTAGTCTCCCGAATTTTCTCTATGAATCTAAGTTGAGCGACTTCATCAAGTTAGAGCCTAAGCTTCAGCGCATGTTCAAGCTTGTTCGTCCGCTTCTTCCAATACGTTTTGTTGACGCAGTAACGGTGATTCAAGATGAAACCAAAACAGACGTTGATATCTTGAAGAATATGGATATTCGCCCAACAGACCTGCCATGGTTGTGTGGCCTCTATCTGATTACCGGGATATGTATTGATGAGAGGTCGTTCCGCTTCCACTTGAAGGAGCTCAATAGTAACATTGCGGGAGAGGTTAAGCGTATATTCCGCTGTTTGAATTCCTATTATGAAATACAATTTGATGAGGCTTCGGAGAATTACACCATTAGGTTCCAAGGTGCCAGTGAGACAAACGACTTTTTCAAGCGGTTTATGATCCAGTTTGGAATGTATGACGCTCGTACGAAGCGATACGTGAAGGATTCATTGAACCCACAGGTGTATCTTGAGAGCTTCAGTAGAATACGGGGCCCTTTTCTAGCAGGGATCCTCGATGGTAGCTCTGGGTACGGATTATCGGACATAAACCATGGACTGGAGTGTTATATTAGAGGGATCTCATCACCGGCGACACGGGAGGTGGTCGCTGACCTTGCCCGTTCGTGCTCTCTTAGCGCTGTTGTTGACCAGAGTGACAATAATACGCTAATCTTAGCAGGCGGAATGCTCTTCCGTGTACCGTGTGTCTCCACAATTCCTAAGGACTTTCCAGGGCTAGTGTCCCTCACATCCTACCCCAACCCAGACGGGAGCTCTGTTCTGCTTGGCATGCCTATGCCATTCTCCATAAAAGAGTCTGGCACGCGCGAATGCTATTTCTTGGACATCCAGGAGCCGAACAAGCGGTGCCTTCTCTCCGACTACACCGTTGTTCATCTCTAGAGGTTAGAAATCCATCAGAGTAAATTTACTCACTATGAGGGACGGCTGAAGCAGTGGGTGGATGGAGGCTTGCGCTTGTGGATAAAGCGCTACCAGTCACTTCCCGGTGCTTCTTCAGAGGAATATATTTGGCAGCATCCTCAATCTCGTCCTTCGTAAGAAACGTGAGATTCTGTGGTTTCTCGGGGACATCACAGCGATCACACTCCGTGAGGTGCTCAACAAAGTTCACGTCTTCGTCAACTGGATTCATCTTCGAGATCATGCGCTCAAGCTCCTGGTTCACGCGCTTGGCTTCTAAGTCGTCATCATACCCTTGTCTCAGAGTGTTGCGTAGGTTACTTCTATTGAGCTCATCCTCCCTTCGCTGAGCCTCATCAAGCTCCTTTAATCGGGCAGCATTGGCACGCTCGCGCTCTATCTCCTCTCTACGCTGCCGCTCGGCTTGTTCCTTCTGGTTTTTGATTTCGTCCGCCAAGTCTTTCGCCATCTGCCTATTGTGCTTTCGTGTCTCCTCTGCCAGTCGTGCATTTTCAGCGGCTATTTGATCGTGTAGCTTCCTTGCTATTTCCTTTTCACGCTCGCGCTCCTCTGTCTCCTTGGCCAATTGCTCGTCTTTAAGACGTTTTTGTTCTGCAGCAAAGTCATTTAGTTCAGCGAGTTTTCTAAGTCTCTCAGCTTCAGTTTCTTCCTGCCTTCCTACGGGCCCAATATAATCGTTTATCGCTGCCTTCTCCTCCTCGCGTCGCCTATCAGCCTCCTCCTTGCGCCTACGGATGTCAGCCTCGTGGTCACGTTTCTGTTGGTCGGCAAAAGCACGCTGGCGTTCCAGTTCTCGCTGAGCATACTCCTGTGCCTCTCGACGTGCAGCCTCTTGTTGTTCCTTTTCGCGTTCTAACTCGCGCTGCATAGCCTCCCGTGCAGCTTGACGTGCCTTCTCACTCGCTCTAATTGCGGCCTGGGCATCATCTTGCACCCGCTTTCTCTGCAAACGTTCAAGAGCAGCCTCGATATCAGCCAACTTTTTAGCATCATCTGCCTGTTGCTTGGCCGTCTTCTTTTCTTTGTCGCGTTCCATCTCTTCCAATAGCTTCCTCTTCGCCATATTTAGCTCATTGATGCATGTTGGACACCATGCATCCTCGCAGCGATCAACAACAATTCCAGATTTCATTGGATCATTGTGCCTGCAGTGAAGCGCCTTCTGCTCATTATAGTCTTTCATAGCAGCAAGAAGGTCCTTCTTTTCATCCAAGCTCATTGCTGCTAGTTGTGCAGTGGTGACGTAGGGTGCTGCTTTGGGCTGAATCCGAGAGCTGCCAGCAGAACCAGTGCTTGATCGAAGACAGCCTTCTTGTGGAGTCCTCTTTGCAGACGAGTTACCCACTGGAGTCATGGAGCCAGAGGGCGCCAAATCGTCCAACTTCAGATCACGCGGCTTAGCAGCTGGACTCACCACAGGTGGCTTCTCGCGGGGAGCCACAACCTTAAGCTCAGTGGAGCGGCTGATGGGATGGATGGGCTCGCTGGGAATGCTAACACCCAGGCTTCCCAGAATATCAAAGTCTGTCATTTTTTTATCGAGTTTTGCGGATCATTTTTGCATGACGGGCGGAACAGATCTTCCGCGACGCGACTGGCGAGAAAGCGAAGACGAGGTGCGGCTCCCTTCTTTGTCTTTTCACGTGAGCGACGAATACTTAGGAAGCGCTAGTGTCCAAGCTTCAGAGATATCGATTATTGCATTAGTCTCGAAACCGCTAATCAACACATTTCTAGAGGACGGACGAAAAGGGCAATTGGTTGTCATTATTCCATCGCAATATACGTCTGCCACATCATTTCTTTCTCTCTTACAGAGGATGCTTGAGTCTATGGTTCTCTTGGAGGCACTCACAGCGACTCGTGTGATACTGCGCATACTCCCGTTGTCTCTCAATGGATCGGAACTTTCATGGCTTCATCTGGCCGGCATGTTGGCCTTAGTTGATTCAGGAATTCCATTACGTTATCTCAGCACGATGGTAGGAGTTGGACTGTCATACAATAAGCACGATGCATCCCAGAAGATAGTCCTTGATCCATACGGTGGAGAAGCAGACGCAACTCTCTATGTGGAGGCAGCCATAGATTCAATAGATGTAGAATGTAAGGAAGCTCCTGCAACAAGCGTTATAGCAAACCACACAAGAAGTACAGCTCCCAAGAATATCATTAGAACAGTGGCTAATGGTCCTCTTCTTGTTTCCCACCTTGACCTGTGTATATGCAAAGCCATGAGTGCTTTAGAGCCACTTAACAGATGTATCCTACAAGCAATAGCTTAGCTACTCAACTAGGTATTAACCTCATCTTTAGATGAAGTTTCTATCGGTCATTTGTGTAAATTTGTCAATGTACCAGTGCGTCAAATTGTACTTTGCGGCAAAGGGCTGCTTTCGCAGTGCCCAGAAAACAGAGAGGCACAAAGGATTTCGCATAAATGACAGACTATCCAAATCACTAATGGTATTAAAGGAGATTGCAGAGCGAATAGTCCTTATGAGAAAACCGGCGCAATAATGCTTGAGAATAATATGCTGAGCTGGAAGACTCTCTGGGGGAAGAATAAAGTCTAGACGACCGTAAATATGTCGTATGTCATGCAGGAGGATATACGGTGGGACAAGTCCGTAGAGATCTTGAGACGGCGAAGCATAGATGCAGGTCAAGCCGTACTCACGCACTTCTGAATCCAGGTCCAGCTCTTTATCATCAAGAAAATACGGTAGCAGAAGAAGAAGCATGCGTATGCAGTAGCTTTGAAGACAGGTTAGATCGTAAATAGCCTCCTTAGTTTCTGGATTCATCTTCTCTGCGGTGCTAGAAAGCAAACTAAGCTTGAGTTGTTCTTGTGCTAGCTTCTTGTCCAACAGAATACCCAATATTGATCCTATTGCGTAAAGAAGATTGGTAACCAAAAATGGATCTTTAATACTTAGCTTACCAGACTTAAGCACGATAACTGGTTGAGGGTCTGTATACTCCTGAGTACCTGGAGTGTGTATGTTTGAGAGAACGTAGCCGTGTAATAAATGAATTAAAAGAATCAATAGAAATTTCAATCGACGAAGATTGGAAAGTAAAATACTTATATGTGAATTTTGTATGAGAAGCCCAAGTGCCTCAAAAAGGCGAAAATCAATGGTTATTTGCAGACCGATGAGCCATTGAAAGGTGGTGAAATGGGTCCCGATAGAAGGGCTTGTTTCTGCATATTGCTCAGTAAACTGGATTGGAAGATCTGCAGTGAAAATCTCAAAGATGCTCCCAGTCTGCCAGTTAGGTGGCCCGGGGTGGGCAGATGATGCTGAAGGAGATGTCTCGGAAATTGAAGGGCTGTGTCTATCTTCGTAGCGTTTATATGTGCTAAGAAGAATATAGGTTGCTTCGTAGATAGAATAATTTAGAATCAGGGTATACAACAGGCTCTCTTTGCAGTCAATAATGTTGAATATTCCATCAGCGCAACGGCCAGTGAATACAGCAAGGCTGATGAGGTAAGAAACGTCTCCATATGGTGTCCATGAAATGATGGGGTGACTATCCTCATTAGCAAAAAGGATACGATAACATAATTTGAAAGCTAACTCCCAGGAAAGACCTACTTCCCATATGTTAATATCACTGAATGAATCTGCAAAGGATTGAATCGTGAACAACATGTACAGATCAAAGAATCGCTTGTTGACACAGTCATTCAACACGGTAGCTGCTCTATCCATCAATCCGCTATTAGATAGATCTACAAATAGGCTGCGTATCTTTAAAATGGGGATTTCAGTCTTATTTATGACCGGGTTGTCTGCTGAAAGAATGCACGGAGGATCATTCATCAAGTCAAAAGTTGGTTGAGCTCGTTGTGAATGCTCCTGAAGCATAAGAGCTAGAACCTGGGGAAAGTATGTGTCCATGTCCAGATGAAAATCAACAATATACAGGAAGCTTCTGGCAAGAGATAATGTCTCAAACAATGTGCCCATGCGACACTCATGCAGAGAAGCGTTGCAGTATGAGATTATTGAATGAGATACACCGTAGCTGTGTGATACTGGTTGCTGAACATGTGTTAGGATTGCTTCTATCAAAGAGTAATCGTTGCTTTGTGTATTATAGTGTCCTCCTTCTTCGGCAATCTGGTATGGATAGGTGTTATGGTGATGTATCCGTCTGAGGCCTCTGTATCTTCTAGTTGTATCCACTGCTTTACAATCGGCATAGTATTGTCTATACAAGAGAGTTAGCATATGCTGGGCTTCTTCGTTACTTAGATAAGTATGGGAACACTCTGCCTTGCACTGATTGCTAACTGAGCGTCCAATTGCTTCAACATATCCTAGCTTTTCATTAATACTGTAGTATTCGTTTAGCTCTGATATCACCGAAACACTCTGTGACAAGGAGCTACTGGACTTGAAGCAGGAGAAATCGGGAATAAAATGTGTTACTTTTGACTTTCGTCGTCGTGATGTTGAGAATTCTCCAAATGACCGGGCTTTCCTTAGTTTGGCATCTTTTGCCACTTGGCGCAGTTCGTGTTCTTCACAGACAAGGTTTAGTGGTTGAGATTTGTAATCAGAAGTAGCTTTTCGCGAAGGAGACACAAAAGATGATGGCGACGTTTTAGCTGTCATGCTTTCAAGCTTCAGTAAAGGCTGCTTATTGATACTTGGACCCTTTTTAGGAAGAGAAAACGATCGAGAGAATAACTCACGACGCTTTTGGACTAGAGAGTCAAAGTTTAGATCTAAATCGGAGGAAGAGCTTAGTTCTGACTCACTGCTAGACAGATCCTTTGGAGGAGGTAACGCTGCATCCAGCAGTCGATATTCTACATGTCTTTTTCTTGACAATAAGCAACCTGTGGAAGAACTTTGCAAAAACCTATCTGATTGCAAGCGAGTCAGCGAAGCCTTCTCAGTCGCTACACATGTGACTGAAGATTTTGGCTGTGCTTTATTTGGCCAAACATGAGATAGTCTTTTCACATCCTTGAAAGCAGGTCCATCCAGGACGGTATCAGTGTTATCGGTTTCACTAAAGACGGGTGCAGATAACTCTCGTATGACATGTGCTGGGGCTATTTCAGAAAATGTACTGCAGCTAAGGGATGTTGCTGATTCTTCTACGTTACAAGTAAGCCTTGCTGCATTAGGATTGATACTGGATCGATTCTTTTTATAGTGCTTCATCTCATTAGCTAGTATTCGTGGCGAAAATCCACCTATTTCTAGGAAGAGCATAGCGGCATTTTGTACCCTGCGAGAGTGATAGTTCTTGGATATGATGTTACAAAGAGCGCTATGCAAAATGTCAGACCGACTCCTTTGCGCATCAAGTGCAGCACACCTAAGCTCTACTGAGGGCTTAAATATCTGTGACACTTGTGACAGGGGAGATTGCATGATAAAGGCCTCATGCTCTTTGATCTTTTCCATGTTGGTCATGTGTGTAGCAAGAATAGTAGGCGCTGTTTGTTTTGAAATAGGTTGGCAGACGATAGAACTAGGAGATCGCTCATGACATTGAGCCTGCGGGCGAAGAGTTACTCCTACGGGTGAAGCGTAAGTCTTGGGGAATACAGTCGCACGGTTAATTGGGGACGACTGTGCTGTCGGATCGATGCTATGATTTGCTTTAGATGGGCGCATTTTAATGGAGTTATACTCAGCTATGGCATCTGCTGAATATGGAACAACCGGGACACGGCCTTTTGTACTAGCTGCCAAGCGACTAGAAAAAAGATACCCGTGAGAACTGTGTTGCCTTCCATTTGATATCTCATGAGCTTTGTGTGACGAAGCTGTGGCTACAGTCGACCTGGCACAATTCAAAGGTGGCTCGTGGGCTGCATTACGCCGGGAGAGCTTCTCTTCAACCTTTACTTTAATAAAAGGCACCGGCACCATCCACTTATAGCTGGTAAATATGAAAACCAAATATGCTCTGAACACGAAGACTTAAAATGTAACTCATATTTACCAATCACAGTATAGCCATCTTACTCATTACAAGTTCTCCAATATCTTAATTGTTATTGTGTGCTATTAAGGTAAGCAGCTGCTTCACTCATCGTTCGAGAGTATGCCATTTACCAACCAAAGGACTGCTTCTTTATGCCCGCAAAAGTGCACACTGGAGCCACAAGCGGCGGGAACAGTAACTATGGCTGATGCCCCCATGTGATAACTTTAAAAATGCAGCTACCTAAGGTTTATCGGAAGTGCAAAACATGTCTAGTAGGAAATAGTCTGCTCCATTGCGTCGCCGAATCACTCACTGTACAAGGTCTGACTCCTGAAAAACTAATCTCACTAGCCAAGCGGCTAGTAAGCAAGTGCTCTGGGGTGGGTCACGCTTTGATTTCATACTATAGCGTGACTATAAAAGGTGTTAGCACAATAGAGTTTATATCTCCATATGTAGGATGGTCCATAGAAGACTATCTCATGCTTACACTATATGAGGGAAGGACCATTCCAGAGGAACAAGTATATAGATTTATGGCCGCCATCATTTGGATACTTAACCAGCTCGTGCACATATGCAGAACCTCACTTCTTATGTGGATCTTTCTTGGATACGCCAATCTATCACTAAATAATTTCTGCCTAGATGAGTTTGGAGCAATACGTTTCCGCTTAGATCTAGGTCACACGCTAAAGAACATGATACTGGTCGATGAACGACTTGCGGACTGGCCACGGATCAAAGGGAGTGAGTTAGGTGTTCATCTTAAACTGCATATAATACAGTGCATCTTACGTCTAGCGTTTCCCCTTAACAATTTAGAAATAAATGGAATTGATCCGTACTCGGGCGCATTTTCTCGAGTATTTAAAGACTCGGAACGAAGCAAGGTGTTTTGCAGTCGCATGGAGCGTTTAATTTATTTATTTCAAAAAGAAGACATAACGTTAAGTCATATATTACATACAAACTTATTCAAAACAGAATTAGAAAAGTACTGGCAATCCTTGGGCATAACAGCAGATGACGATGCATCAACGCCTCTCATCGACTCTGTGCGTGCAAACGATATACAAAAAATATACAATTTTTATGGACGGCAGGCTGGAATGATGACTTCTTCTGGTAAAACTGCACTTATGATAGCAGCTTCCAGAGGAGACACACGCGTGACCACACTCTTAGCGACACGGGAAGCTAACTACAGAGACATTTATGGAAACTATGCAACTCTGCTGGCAATCAAGAATGGATACAAAAATGTGGCGTTGCACCTTGCAGCGTATGAGTCCATGGTTCTTCAAGAGGATGGTATCACCCCGTTAATGCTTCACGTTATCGGCAAAAATCTACAAGTCCCATTTCAAGAACTGATACAGGATGCGGGGAAGCAAATGAAAAATGGATTTTCTGCTCTTATGATTGCTTCCTTGACTAATGATCTGGACTATTCAATGGTACTCGCAAAGAAAGAGGCAGGATTGTGTAACGCAGAAGGGAAGACAGCAGGAACACTAGCTAACGAGCAAGGAAATACACAAATTTCACAATTCTTGGCTCGTTATGAAATAGTAATGGGAGTTGATGGAGAAACACAGCTTCATCAAGCAGTATTAGCGGGTGATCTGCGCGCAGTGGAAGCTTATGTACATGCTGCACGTTCATATAATAAGGCTGGCTATACAGCGTTAGGATTAGCAGCAAAGTTCAATCATACTGATATCATAAAAACTCTGATTCCCCACGAAGCTGGGATGCGGTGTAAAGTTAGCTTCGAGGCATGCGGCAGGACGTTTCAGGATCCAACGGCTTTGGCCATAGCAGTCTATCATAATAACGAGCAGGCAGTGAATCTTTTAAAACGGTATGAGGCAGGATTGGGAATGAAGCCCCTCCAAACTACTGCCATGATGCTTGCAGCAGCGTGCGGATATAGCGGACTTATATCTCTTCTGCGAACTCGAGAAGAAAAGATGCAAGACACACACGGCAACACCGCGCTGATGTACGCCGTGAATAGCTCTTCCCTAGACGCAGTTTATAAACTAATGAAATACGAATCTCGAATACAAAATACAGAAGGATACACTGCACTTATGTATGCTGCCTTCCACAATAAGGTACAAATTGTTGCTGCTCTTATGAAACTGGAAGAGGGGATGATCAATGTGCAAGGCGAACCGGCTATTATCTGTGCTATCAAGGCAGAAGCTAAAGAGTGTATAAGTATACTTGTTCGAGGATCAGAGGTGTCGTATTCTAAACAGTGTATTGAAATGATTAAATCCAGTGCTACACTGACTTGCGCTATGAAGAGAGTTATGTTGAGGTATTTTAAAGAGGAGAAATTTCATTGAATACCAAACCTTTGTGATAGTTTTCTTGCCCGTTCCATGTCCATGCTTAGTACAGTTGATAGTCCTTTCCAAATGACAGGGTCGAACTCATGTTGGTAAGCAGAATCTACTTGATCATCTGATTGCTGCGTATCCGAAAAACAAATTGTTGACCTAACATATAAAGACTCATATTCGTGCTTATTAAGGTCTATTTGTAGACCATGAATTGCGTAAAGTCGTTGCTGTTCTATCTTATCTGTGTATCTTCTTATCGTAATTAATCCTTCTGCATACAATTGCGCTATATCAAAGATAGCATGCACCGTTCGAGTAAAGTCTGTTGGGCTGAGAAATACGAAGGCCAGGGGGTAGAAGCCGCGGCGCGAGAGCTCCGTGACCCGCGCGAGGAGCCCCTGCTTCCGGCGCTCCTGGAGCTCGGCGCCGCACATCGCGAGGGCCTCGTAGCGCCGCCGCTCGACGGCCTGCGCGCCGGAGGGCTCTGCCTCCCGGGGCCGCGGGGGAGCCCTGGGGGCTGCGGGCCCTGCGGTGCCGGCGGCGCACCCCGCGTACAGCGAGGCCGCGAGCTCGGGCGGGAAGCGGGCGGCGTACCCGGCCTGGAACGCGTCGGCGAGGAGGCGCAGGTCGACGCGCGGCGGGTCTGCAGGGGCCCCGGCCCGGGGGAGGAGCCGCAGCTGGCCGCGGAGGAAGCCGGCGCCCTGGTCCTCGGCCGCCCGGGCCACCCGCGCCTCCAGGCTCCGGGCAGACAGGCGCACCGTGGCGGACAGCGCGGCCTCCGTCTGCAGCATCAGGCCGACGTCCCCCCGGGGCTGGGCGGCGTAGGACTCGTAGCCGTCCCGGAGCTCGGCCAGGAGCGCCGTGACCGCCGCGTGGTCCCGGGCCTGCGCGGCCGCCTGCACCCGGGCGGAGACGCTCGCGAGGCGCGCACGGGGCTCCATCGGACGGGGCGGAATTTTGCCGGCCGGCCAAAAATTCACTCGATGGACTGCATCGGCCGCGGCGTCCTCCTCCCCCCGGGCGGGGCGTGCTCGTGCGGGGCGCTTCTGGCGGAGCTGCAGCGGGTCTGCCCCCTCCTCGCCGCCTCCCCGGGGGTCTGCGCCGCGCCCCGGGCCCTTGCGTGCTGCCACCAGCCCCCGTGCCTCGAGATCGCGCCGGCGCCGGCCACCCCGCGCAGCGCCGTCCGGGTCCCTGGGTCCGCGTGCACGGCTCCACCGCCCGCCGCAGGGCCCCCGGAGGCCGCCCCGGCCGAGAGCGTCCAGGTGACCCTCAGCGCCCAGCGCGAGTCGTTCGTGATGCAGACGATGCGGCAGGCGCACTACGGCGGCGGAGAGGCCCCCGCGAGGGCGGAGAGCGCCCGCCTGCCCGCCCCGCAGGCCTCGGACCCGAGGGAGGCCCGGCGGAGCCACGCGTCCCGCCCGCGGACGGCCGGCCCCCGCCTCCCCGCCTGCCCCGAGGAGCCCCCCGGCAGGGTCCAGTTCCGGGGCGCCCCCGAGGCCCCGCCCCTGCGCTGCGAGCCGGCCCCGCCCTCCGAGTTCAGCGACTTCGGGTGCGAGCTGCTCGCGGCGGGCCAGCCCGAGGACCGGCGGGTCTGCGGCGCCCCGTGGGTGGACGCGCAGGACCTGCTGAGCGACGGCTCCGAGCACAGCGAGTTCTACCGCCTCGTCGAGAGGGAGCTCGCGCGGCTTCCGGAGCCCGCGGCCCCGGCCCTCCCGGAGAGCGAGCCCTCGCTGGACGCGCTGCCCGTGCACGCCTCGCCCCGGGGCCCGCAGATCATCGAGCCCACGCCGGCCGCCCTGCAGGAGCCAGAGGAGCCCGCGCCCCCGCAGCCCCCCACGCCGGGCCGCTCCGACAGCGTCTCGGCAGACATCACGGAGTCGCTCCTCGTGGAGGGCCGGCCCCTGCCCGACCGCCCCCCGGGCCCGGAGCCGTCCGAGGGCAGCGCCGGGTACAGCGGAGAGGCCTTCGACAGCTCCGGCTCGCCCCGGGGCCTGACCGACGAGGCCGCGGGGTCTGCGGGCCTGGACGAGGAGGACCTGCTGGGGTCCGTCGGCGGGGACCTGCGGGCGCTGCTCATGGACAGCGGGTCCGGGTCGCTGTCTGCGGGGGCCTGGCCGGAGTGAACTCGGGAGAGCCTTTTTATTGAATGGATTCTGCGCCACTCGCCGTCGCGATCCGGGAGCACGTCCCGGGCCCGAGGCCCCCGCCGCGGCCGTCCGGGGGGCGGTCCCTCTTCGCGCAGGCCGTGGCCGCCGGGGCCGGACAGACCGGGAGGCCCTTCGCCCTCGGGCAGCCCCCGCCGCGCGCCCCGGCCCCAGCGCCGCCCCGGGGCCCCCCACCGCCCCCCGCCGCAGAGGACCCGGGCGGGCCCCTCCTCGGGTACGGGGGCGCCGCAGACCCGGAGGCCGTCCCGTTCTGCAGCGCGGCGGACATCGGGCTCCTCTGCCGGTCGACGAACCCCGCCCAGCGCGAGTACGGGCTCCGGATGCTCGCGAACGCCGTCGCGCTCCGGCGCGTCCGGGACGGCGGCGCCCCCGACCCCGTCCTCGAGGCCCTGCTCTGCCTCCCCGCCGACCCGCACGCGTGCCCCTCGTCTGCCGGCCACCTCCTCCTCCTGGGCCTGCGGGACGCCCTGGAGTCCGGGAGCCCCGGCCTCCTCGACGCCGCCCTCTCCGGCCTCGCCACGGTCTTCGTCGCCGACGAGGGCTTCCTCAGCGAGACCGTCCACGTCGGGGCCGCGCTGCTCGGGCTGACGTCCAGCTCGGTCGCCTTCCCCCTCGGCTCCCTGCTGCGGCGGCTCGTCGAGCACGGGCTCCCGGGGCTCCTGGGCCAGGCCCTCGACGCCGCCGCGCGCGCAGACGAGCGGCGCCGGGAGCGGCTCGCCCACAGCGCGTACCTGCTGGCCGAGCGCGTGCTCATCGGCTGCTGCCCCGCAGACGAGCCCCCGGAGACCGCCGCCGGCCTGCGGGCCCTCGCGGAGCGGCTCCTCGCGGCGCTCCTGGGCGAGCTCGCCGGGCTGGCGGAGACGGGGGCCTTCCTGACGACCGCCTCCCGCGTCGCCCTCCGGACGCTCTGCTACGACCACGTCCTCGACGGCCACGCGCTCGGCCGGGACGCCGTCGCCCTCCTCGTCGAGTCCCTCGAGGCGTTCGTCGGGGCGCTCCCCGGCCAGGACGAGGCGGTCCGCACAGAGCTCCTCTCGGCCGCCACGCTCCACTACCTCCTCGTCGCCCGGGTCCTGCGGGGGAGCCCCGAGCTCTGCGCCCTGCACGCGGCCGTCTCTGCGACGTGCGCCGCCGCCCTGGAGCGCCACGCCCCGGCCGCCCCCGCGGAGCTCAGCGCGCTCCTCGTCCTGCTCCGGATCCTCCGGGCCCGGGCCGCCGTCCCCCGCGCGCGCCTGGGGCTCTCGGAGGCATGCTTCCGGCGGCTGGTCGACTGGCGGGCCCCGCCCGAGGCCGGGGGCTTCGCGCTGCCCCAGGGGCCCTCCGCGGCGTTCGCCCCGTTCTACGCCCTCGCGGCCGTCCAGTGGCGCGGCCCGGGCGAGTGGGGCGCGGCGGAGGCCTGGGTCGGCTGCGTGATGGACGTCCTCGCCAGCGGGCCCCCGGTCGCGCGCTGGGCGCCCCCGGCCGTCGACGCCCACCGGCGGGCAGGCGTGCTCCCGTGCGCGGTGACCGACGCAGGGGTCGCCCTCGCGCTCCTCGTCGCGGCCCTGGCGGCCGTCTGGGGCCCCGGGCTCCCGTTTGCCGCCGGCCTCGCCGAGCGGGTCGGGGAGCGCCTGGCAGGGCTCCCGGCCGAGTTCCGGTTCGTCGTCGCGTTCCCGCTCGCCCGGCTCCTCCCCCCGCTGCCCGCTATCGAGTGCGGGCTCTACCCGAACGCGGCGCTCCTCGGGGCGCTCCGGGCCGTCACGGGCCACCCGGGCTACGACCCCGCGGCAGAGGCGCTTGCGCACGTCGACGCCCGCTGCCCGTGCCCCGCGCTCGCGGCCCTCCACGCGGCGTGCGTGCTCGCCTCGGACGGGATGCGGCGCGACGGGGCGTGGCGGCTCGCGGTCCTCCGGCTCGCGCTGCAGCGCCTGGCCGGGCTGGAGACCGCAGGGGCCGCCCGGGGCCGCGTCCTCGCGTACGGGCTCCTCTGCGTCCTCGACACGCTGACGGGCGTCTGTCGCCTCCCCCCGGACGCCGCGGCCCTCCTCGCGGAGACGCTCGCCGGGGTCCTCCGCCTCGCCCGCGCAGGCCCCGCCCCCGCCGCCGAGCTCCTCTACGCAGCGCCCGCCGGGGGGCTCCGGACGCTCGACGCCGCCGCCGGCGCGTTTGTCGAGGGCCTCCACGGGGGCGCGGCGGTGCTCCCCGAGGCCCCGCTCGTCTACCTCGCGCTCCTCCACCCGCAGCTCGTCCCGGACCCCCGCCGCCGGGCAGAGCTCTGGTCCGGGCTCGCGCTCCTGCGGCTCGACTTCGCGGCGCTCGACGGGGGCCTCCTCGCGGGGCTCTGCGAAGACGACCCCGCGCCCGTCCTCGCGTGCCTCGCGTGCTACGAGCGCCGCGCAGAGACCGCCCTGTCGCGCCGCGTCCTCGCCCGGTACGCAGAGGCCCACCGGGGGCAGAGGCCCGACCGGGTCGTCGTCGCGGCCGTCGAGGAGGCCCTCCGACCAGCGGGCTAGCGTTCACTCAATCAGGGGCACCTGACCCCAGGGCGGCCCGCAGGCCCGCGACCTCCCCCCGGAGCCGGGCGACCTCGTCCTCCAGGGCCTTGAAGCGCAGGGCCGTCGCGACCGCAGGCGCCCCGCCCTCTGCGTCGAGGAGCTCCACGAGGGCCGCGGCGGTGAGGCGGCGCTCCGGCTCCAGGACGAGGAGGTGGGCGAGGACGCCCCGGACGACGGGGTCCCCGACCGCGCCCAGGTCCGGCCGCCAGCCCGCGACGTAGACCTCCGCGGGGGCCCGCCCGGAGAGGAACGGGGGCCTGCCGCCCGCCGCGAGCTCGTAGGCGACCATCCCGAGGCTCCACATGTCCGCGGCCGGCGTGTGGCTCCCGCCCCGCAGGACCTCCGGCGCGGCGTAGACGGGGACGGCCATGGAGGCGAGCCCCCCGGGGCCCTCCCTGCAGAGCCCGAAGTCGGAGATGGCGAACTCCGCCCCGGCCTCGTCGAGGAGGACGTTCGCGGGCCGCAGGTCGCAGTGCGTGAGGGCGGGGAGCGGGGCGCCCGCGGCGTCGGTCTTCCCGGGCCGGTGGAGGTAGGCGAGCCCCGCGCCCACCTGGCGGAGGACGGCGACGACCATCTCGCGCGGGGCGAGCTGCCTTCTGCGGCGGAGGCTCCGGATGGCCCCGTCGAGGGAGCCTGCGTAGCGCCGCATCTCGACGTAGATGTAGCCCTCGTGCCGGACGACGCGCCCGTACTCGACGACGTTCGGGTGGCGGAGGCGCGGGAGGGTCCGGAGCTCGAGCTCGAGCGAGGCCTGCGCGTCGGGGGGCAGCCCGTCGGTCGGGATCTCCTTGACCGCCCTGTCGGGGGCGCTCTTCAGGCCGTAGACGGTCCCGTGGGCCCCGCTCCCGAGCTCTGCGCCCAGGTCTTCGAGGAGGGCGTCGATGGCCTCGGACATCTTTTTAATCCGCGACTGGGCGATTGGGTGGGCTCAATCGCTTGGGCTCAGATCGGGGCCTGTATAGATTCACCGAACAGATATGACAATTAGCGCACTTACTACCTAAGTTACGTCTTCCTGCAGCAGAAAAATCCAATGAGACCACCGCGCTCTTAGTAATATTAGAATTTGCGCATTTTGTCTTATCGTTATTAGAGTCAAAGATTTTTATCCTGGCACAATTATTGGATCTGTCCTTGTAGTTAGTAGTGGAAAATCCCACTCCACATGATGTTTGTGCCCATATAAACTGGATAATTAAGGCAACAAACACAAATCTGCCAAGCATTAAGGGATAAGCTGCTGCACAAAGGCCTTAGCTTAAAAGGAATGAAGTTGCTCTCCGTAAATCTCTGACTGAGAGTCTCTCTACCGCGGTCGATCATATCGCTCATTTTCGAAGGTCTGCTTTCCCTATAAATATGTTAATGATACCGTGAAAATTTAGTTTGTTGCAAAATTTGCTTTGAGAGATATGCTGGTCAGGTTCCTTATTCCTTAATTAATCTGTAGCTCAATATCGTATGAATTGCGGGTTAGTAATAAAGCTGATCAAGTGGTAAAATGCATGCATAATCAAGGGAAGCTGTTACGATAGAATCCTGAAAAAAGTGTTATTACACCGTAAGCACCCGATGAAACCAACCAAAGTAGAGAACAACTTGGCTATTTGCTAAATAAAATAGAGGGAGTTCTAAATACATTTAGGTCAGTAACGGATGGAGCTGCTACTCAGAAAAGGGTAGTGATCCCGGGCGCAAAGCTGACAACATAGCTAAAAGTAAAAACGAGGGAAACGTTATTGAAACTGTCGCCGCATACGTTATGATAATGAAGACGCCACCCCCACGTATCATGGCCATGTACTCCAGTCCGGCTATGTCGACCATGAAAATCAAGCTTCCTGTGGAGACAACGCAAAAGGTGCTTCCATTATAAAGGTAGAACCTTTTCTGTGCTTCAGGACCCTGTTGAAAACATCGAAGCAGAGCAAGGATAGATTCTTCAGAGGTCTCCCTTGGTGGCTTGATGACTGATATTCTCACATTTGTTGCGTGGTCTGCATCTGGACCTTCACTCTTTACAAGCTGCTTAGAGGTGTAAACTGGAACCTCCGTCACTATACAGAGCGATGTGAGGAATATACAATGATCCAGAAAGCTCTGGACAAACTTATTATAAACATGACTGACAGATGCCATTTTTCATTAGCCAAAAACAACAACTAATTCACAGAACCATTAGCGTCTATCACGAGCCTGGCCGGAGATCTTACCAGAAAGGAGATGCTTCTGACGTGTTACGGCCGGTTTCTTATAGTCGAAGCGGCCCTTGCCCGTGTAGTGCCTATCCTGGTAGTCAATCTTCCGCATTTGTTCAACAGATACTCCGTCTCTACGTGCCTGCTCCTCCATGCGCTCTTGGAGAGTTCGCCATTTATCCTTCATCGGTCTGTTGGGGTTCGGGAATACAGTCCTTGCCACGCTACTATTGAACTTCTGACCAGTCTTTTTCATGACAAACCTATCCAGTTTTGCACCAGCTGCTGTTCCATGGATCTGAGCTAAGCGCGGCATGGAAGAGCCCAGAAGATCCATTCCCTTGAGAGTTGCTTTTTTAATGCGGCGATTATCAGTCAGCTCGCGGTACAAAGCAAGCTTTTCGAATAACCCTTTGTCATCAAACGCGCTTTCTGCTGCGACCAGTCGCTCTTCTTCTTCCTCAAGTAGCCGGAGCTTTTCATCTATATCCTCGTCAACGGTGATAAAGTCCAGAATGTTTTTACCCTTGTAGAAATATGGAATAGCGTCATATTTCCAGTCGTCATTGCTGAGAAGCCAATTCTTTCGTTCATCAGGCTTGTAAACGCGTGCGCCTCCATTCTCCAATTCAAGAACGCGCTCGCTAATAAACCCATCTTCTATTGTGTGGGCCCGCACAGGCATATGGGCCTCTTGGAGAGCCTTAACTGATTCGGGAATATAAGTGCCTCTCTGCTTACTATCACGCTGGACGGGATTAGCAACGTACTGCCTATCAGCTAGCAGCTCCTGTTTCCTGGCTGTGAACAGCTGAGCTTCTCTAATCCGGAGAAGCTGCTCACACGCGATAGCCATGGCACGCTCAACGCCTTGCATGTTGACTGTGGAGGCTGGGATAAAGAGTGGATCACCTGATGCTGCTTGTGCAAGAATCCTCTGACGCAACTCGTCTTCTTCCTTTACCCGACCCTGGATATTCAGTGAAAGCTCTCCACCACGTGCCAAACAGTCATCGATTTCTGCCTTACTGGGATACAAGACGTCGTATAGCTTCAAAGCTTCTAGGAAGGAGACAGCGGGGGACATGGACTGGAGCAGTTGGATGTCGTCAGCAGAAAGCTGATCAGGTGTCCATGTATCTGCCTTTGAGAGCACAATTACTGTTGGCTTGTTTTGAAAGAAGAGCTTCATCGACTGAAACAGATGAACTTGTTTTTGCAGGTAGTCTCCTCCACAAGAGATATCGATAAGGAAGAGGATGGCAGCGTTTAGGTATGCCAATGCTGCGACAGCTTGGAGCTCTATGTTGTTACGCTCTTCCAGGGGGTGGTCCAGCAGACCTGGGGTATCGATTAGCTGATAGCTGAGCCCCTTATAGTCGGAGTGTCCAACAAAAAGGGACTGGGTCGTGAAATCCCAAGACTCCACCTCCACATTGGCACGGGTTAAAGCATTGAGAAAGCTAGATTTTCCAACAGAAGGGTATCCCGTGAGAAGTAGAGTGCGTGTCGACGGATCGATGGACGGCAACCTACTCATGTGCTGGCGGACCTGTTCCAGATATGCGAGATACTCGTTCTGCTTCCTTAGAAGGGAGATCATTCTTCCAAGGGCTGCACGCTTCAGAGTCTTGCACTGAAAAAGTGAATCTGCGTGCTTAAGAAGCTTTACGTAGTGCTGCCCTACCTTGTCAGTGAGATTCTTACACTGGTGAAGCTGTCCAAGGGCAATCTTGAAATGGTCCTTATCATACATAATGTTGAACCAGTAACGGTAAAATGGGTGGATCTCATCTATCTTTGGAAACTCGTCTACGATAGCACTTATCTTTTGCCCAATAGTGTTCTGGGTAAACTTTACCTTGAGCATATAAAAGGCACGGATGCGGCATATCTTCATGGTTTTTCGAATGACAGTTGGAGTCTTCCTCTGCGTCTTTGAAAGGACAATGTCAACCAGGTCTTTGCCGCTGGGTATAGACCCGATGGTCCGAAAGTCATAGATGGGCATTTGAATTATTTCTCTGGTTTGTTAAGCATTTTTTATCAAAACATTGAAAGTATCGGTTGAAAAACACTTTGCGATTCATATGCTCCCCAAGACAGATGTTACAGGTACAAAAACGAAGCCCTTGAGACCTATGGACCCGGGGCTTCGATACATCCAAGTATCAGCTTTGCCCCTGAGCACACCGATTATTCATTGTGCGCGGCCATTTTCCGCTGATACTAACAGACATCGCATGTCTCCTCTAGCCTTTCATTCCTACCGACATAGTACGCCTCCATCCTCGCGGCAAGTACTCAACATTTCTGCTCCAACGGCGTCTACAAAACCCGATTTACCATACTTTATAGATCCATGCATAGACCAATATGCCAATTTAGATTTGACAGAGCCGTCAAGCCCGCGCCCTTCAAGGACTCCGACTACAAGTGAGGAGCCGATAAGATACAATACATATATCCCACACCCTCGGTTCAGAGGCCCTAATAAGCTAACTCATAACATCAGTGAACCCCGTGACCCTGTTTTAGGAGAGTCTGTACTTTTTAACGAGATTAGTTTGGAGCGAGCACGGATAAATCCGGTAGTCATAACTGGCACCTTTCCATTCAATGAAGATTTGACAGTTTCTCAGTCCCTGCCAACACGAATTCTATCTGCTTCCACCTCCACTGCAGCAGCCCCAAGTCCATATAAAAATTTAGCCACCGCGCGCTCTATACCCATCATTACATTCCCAAAGAAGGAGAATAAGAGCGCCCACCTTGGTGCCTTTCTAGATGTGCCTTTGCTGACAGTAGAGGCAAGCATTTCTAAAGCTCCAAACCCCAAGAGTTATATAGAGCAGGAGATGCTTGGCCTTAAACTAAGCCATACTCCAGATATTCTCCACAAGGAACCTATTAATGAAGTGATTCAACGACGACGTACCCAACTGAAAAAGACCGTCATTGAGACAGTTAGTGACATGAGTCTACACAATGCAAAGTCGCCTCATCTTGATCATCTATCTATCAACAGCGTCAGCAGCCCACAAGAGCAATCCATAATCAAGGAGCAACGAGGGGGGATTCCATCACGCATCACAAACGACACTAGGAGGTATAGAAACGGGTATAGCAGTCAACTATCGCACCGCTCGTTCGCAACAGCTACAGATATATATAGTTCTGAGAGTCTTGCACCAGAAATATCGGTGGATTCGCCACTAACTAAAAACCACATCGATACAGAGGATGATATTAAAATATTCACCACTCGTGCTTCTCCGATTAATGATGAGCTTTCCGGATGTGTAATTGACCAGAAGCAAGTGTCGAGTTCTTATGAACCAAGTAGCGACACACGGCCAAAAACATCTCCAAACATCTGCTGTTTATCTGTCAAGCCATTAACTCAAACAAGTAACATTGATAAATCGCAACGAGAATTGTCTAGTATGCTAGAATTATTAGATAATCGCATGTATCCGCAAAAAAGGCAGTGAGCTTGTCTTCGCTAGGGATACTGCTCTGTTGGTGTAAGAATATACTGTTGGAGTATTTGAATTATGCGGTTTTTGCAAGTAGGATCCACACTCTTATGACAATTGATCGCCCAGTCTAATGCAGTTAGACCGTTTTTATCCACGAGGCTGTGTTCCCTTGGAGCAAGGAGACTAACACACATACCGTACCCATAATAAGCTGCGTACATTAATGCCGTTACGCGGGAGCCGACCAGCCCTGCAGTCTCTACACACATACCGCCTTCTAATTCAATGAGGGCCTCGACAATCATTGGATGGTTGGCTCTTGTTGCAAGCATCAGGGCAGTATGATGCTCCTGATTCCGCATTCGTGCCTCTGCTCCCTTTAGCATGTTGACTGCATCTACCTTGTTGTTCACCGCAGCCAACATAAGTGCTGTAGCTCCTTGAGTATTTGTTATTTTCTTTTCGATGTCTAGTAGGATTCTTATCGTATCTGCATGACCCCTCTCAGCTGCATACATTAGAGCAGTGCACCCACTCATGTCTCGCAATCCGCCTTGTACATGTCTAAAGCAATATACCCGAACTATATCATTGCGCATTGCAGCTTCCATTAGTTCAGTTTTTCTGCCACCAATCCGGACTAATTCTTCTGACGAGTATCCTTCGTATGGAATAAGCATGTCTGCAATAGCATAGTTCTGTGCAGAAATGGCAATATCAATTGCTCTTCGCCCATCTGCACGACTCAGTCCAGCTTCACACTGGATCAGAAGACGCGCAAACTCTGGCTCATTATGCTCAGCTGCAAGCATTAAAGCCGTGACTCCATTCTCCATTGCTTCTCCAGCTAAGCTTAGGTTAGCATAAAATTTCTCTCGGTCACCGTTCACAACCGATGTCATGAGATCTGTAGGCACATTAGATGCATACACCATCGACTTGGTTAGCTTCTCCGACAAGATAGATTCCAATTTGCTCGGAGAAGTGGATACTATTGGCATAGTTGGAAGAGAGCTTATCTGATGATCAAAAGAATTTCTACCAACAGGTTGATAACTACGTGGTATCTGAACAGACTTGACTCCTCTCTCTCTACCACTCCCGCTTGATTGCTTGGCTGAATAGTGTCCACGCTGTACTAGTGGACTAGGGGATCCATCAAGAGAAGGGCTACGCCAAGCTGATGCAACTGTGTGGCTTCTATGTACGTCGCCTTGATTGCCGTCGAGGTTTTCAACTGGTAGAGATATCAGATCAGACATGTTCAGAGATTCTTGCGTAAGCTGCGCAGATCTAGTGACATGTGAACGCGCAAAGGGGTTTATAACTGGTGGTCTGTGAGTTGAATTAATAGTAGACTGGAAGGTTCTATAAGCACGACATGTATTTAGTTCTTTTTCCACCAGCTGATGCTTTAGTTCCAGTTGGGTATAAGCAGCACGTATGGATTCGTATTTATGTAGTAGTACTTTATATTTATTGGCAATATTTTCTTGCTCTATTCTATAACTGCGTTCCACGGATCCATATGAAATCAGGGATCGCTTGATACTCTGCATCTGAGACTCTAGAGCTCTATTCTTCTTTTGTAACAGACTCACTTCTGCATTTGCCGTCTTCATCGTGCGCTCTTCTGATAGAGTACTTTCTAGTGCGGCAATTCTCTCCTGGTAACCAGCAAGCTCTCCCATCATTCTTTTGTTGCTTTCTTCTGCGTTTGCTAGCTTTTGCATTAGTACATTTTGCTCCATCTCCATGGCTACGTACTTTGGCTCGGATTCCATGGCTTTTTTGAGATTTTGTGCTAACAAGGCATTGGAAGACTTCAGCTTGCTTAGCTCATATTCCATAACGCGGACACTTGTCTCTAATACACCATCAGCGGCCGCGTCACGTGTGGAATGTTCTAAATTAGATAATTGTTCCTTCAATGCGGCATTTCTCTGCGACGATTCTGCTAGGCGAGTAGTAAGCTCTTCTATTGTGGCCTTAGATATATTGAGATTTTCCATCAAGTTATCTTCTATGCAATCATGCACCTGTACCCCAGTATTGACATAGGTGATAGAGGTTAATGCATCATCTAGGTTATATTGTGTTGTGACATCTCTTCCTGGTGTGTCTGCCTTTTTCTCTAACATAGAAATCTTATTCTGCTTTTCTCGCAGCCGTTCCTCTAACATAGCAATTTGTACGTCCTTTTCAACGCCTGTGTCATCGCCTACGTATTTTGTGCGTTCCATAATAGTTAGTAGGTCTTCAACATTGTTAATACTCAGCTCTTCATCTCCCATGGAAATTACATTGTTAGACACACTCTCATCAGTACCCTCTGTGATGGCAGCTATCTTGGCCCGAAGGGCTACTCTAAGAACGTAAATTTCCCTTTTCTGATCTTCGATTGTGGACAGTGAGAGCTGCAGCTTTTCACGCATTTCGGCCTTGATTCGTTGGAAGTCCGACAGGTGCTGTTGCATCGTTTCTATAAGATTCTTCTCCTCAGTCTGCTTACTCTTTAGCTCACTGTTTTGGAGCTGTAGTTTGTCAACTAAATCTGACGTGGACGTGCTTGCTATTATCTTTACCAAAGAAGGAGCTCTATCAGGCTTAGGCAAGGGGGCAGACGTCTGGACTTGTAACTTAACGGATGTATCTGTGATTGGAGGAGATATTGTGTCCAATTGTGGGGTCAAATTGTCAGAAAAAATATCAAAAGAGTCTACAGAAGAGTGAGTGTCTGATGCCTCTGGATTAGGTGATTCATTAGTCACCGTAAAGATATGTCCGTTACTATTTTTCTTAATGTATTCTGGCAGTGCTTCACCAAAATGTCGAACAACAAGCTCTTCAAATTCAGCTAAGTTTTGTCGCTTGACAAAAAGGGAAGCTTTGTTTAAGGATTGCCAACTGTATGTAAATTTGCTCATAAGTATCCTTACGGCTTTAAAATGACCTCGTGTTAGAGCTAACTCAAGGGCTGTCTTTCCATCTGCACCACGTACGTCCTCCATGTATTCATTTTCAAGTAAAAAGCGAAGGCAGCGGGGCGCATTATAGGTAATCGATAGAGTTGTAAGGCTTTGGCCTTTAGAAGATAGTTTCTGTTCTAAAGGATACAGGTGAACGAAAATATCTATGTAGTCATTTTTCAAGGAGGCAACCAAGGCCGTCATGCCGTCATTAGAGATAAGTCCTACCTCGTCTGGAAGAAGTAACTCTAGAATTTCTGAGTGTCCCGCCCTGGCCGCATACATCAGTGCCGTTCTACCCCATCTATCAACTGTCTTCCTGAACTTGTTCCGATTAAGTCGTATAAATTCTGTGTCGCCTGAGTATGCTGCTTCGAACCACGCAAGTTTGTCCATGGGCTCCAAGAGGACGATAAGGTTATCAAGCCAATGTGTAGAATTTATTCCTCATCTCATTTGTCTCCTTTGGACGGAAGAAGAAGGTCCAGATAGTCGTCTCTCGTCATACGTCGCACATTAGTCTTGCTAGGCTGGTTATCATAGGCATCCACATGCACCAGATTTCCGAATTCATCACGTCTCTGTCCTCGAAGGACCAACTCTTGGACAATCTCCTTGCTTCTTGCTTTTTCCAATATCTTCTCGTCAATGCTGCCTTCTGTGACAAGCCGATAGATAACGACTGACTTCTTCTGACCTAAACGATGAACCCGGTCCATTGCCTGGGCATCTTGTGTGGGGTTCCAATCATTTTCATAGAAGATAACAGTGCTTGCCCTTGTCAAGTTAAGACCTAAAGATGCTGCCCTTGTGCTCAGTAGGAAAACAAAGATGGTGTCATCCGTCATAAAGCGCTCTACAATCTGCCCTCGCTTATTTACCGCATCACCTCCGTCCAAGCGCACGTAGTTGTAGCGCCTGAAAACTAGGTAGTCCTCTAGAAGATCAAGCATTTTGGTCATCTGACAATAGATCAAAACAGGCTCACGCGTCTTGTACAGGTTGTGCAGAAGTTTATCGAGGGCTGTCAGTTTTCCTGAGTCCTTTATTAGACGGAGAACAGACTTAGAATAAACGGGGCAGTTTAGCAAAGAGTTGCTTACGTACTTTTGATCATATAGCTTAAGAGGAAGGTAGGACTGAGGTGTAATTAGAGATCCCATAAACGTGCTTTCTCGATAAAGCTCCTCGCCTCGCAGGAGAGCCTGTACGTCGTGAGTATGCATCGGTTTAAAGATAGTCGGGATATGGACCTGAGGTTGCAGCCCAAAGACCTTAGGTGCTATAGCATCATAGACCAACAAATGATTGAGATGTTGGCTTTCTAGAAAATCGTTTGCCGCCTTTATCAGCCAATGCTGCTTGAACTGATGCAGCGCCAGGAGATCCCTCTGAGTATACCTTACATGATATTCTTTAGAAAGTGTATTAGTGAAAACACAGCTAGTCTTTTCGATGGCAAAGTGCTCAGCTGAGGTGTCTGATTGGCCGTTTTCAAGGGCATCAGAAACCAAGAGATGAGACATTGGAGAAACTATTAAAAGACTGGAAGGATTAACCAAGATGGATGGCAGCGTTGATGAGAAAGTACTAGAAAGAATCGATCTATCAAAAGACATGAGCTGGCTTCCAATTAGACTATACAGATGTAACACTATAGAAAACCTTGTTTCATACTTCGTGTCGAAGGGGAAATGTGCTATCATCGGGAATAGAGCTGGCCATGCTGCATTGTGTGCAATAAGCAAAGGACAATATGCTAAGAACCCCAAATCCTGAACCGAAAGGGCTAAAAATCTCGAAATTGTCCGCAAAACAGGTACATCAGTATTCCAAATGTTAAAGTATTTTGCTATGGTACACTCTAGGATCTTTTGAGCGAGGTCACTACAGAATCCAAGGAGAACAGGTGAGGGAAGGGAAAGTTCTATGTCACTACATGCGTTCGATGGGTTGATGCGACGTCCAATATAATTGGCGCGTGCTATATCTGGTATTCCTATCTTGACAAAGATATCTGTAAACGCCTCTACATCGCTCTGCGCAGTACGCTTGAAAATTAAATCTCTACGCGCATTAAGCAGCTTACTATTTCCTAAAGAATCGTCTGCTCCTGTAGCTACTAGTGAAGACTGGGAATCAACTGTGGATATCTGGTCTCCATCAAGTTGGAACACTCCAGGAAGATCACTCAACCCAGAAATAAGTGGCATACTAGAAGTCGTAGGAAGCACAGCATCTTGGGCAGCAGGTCCATTGTGAATAGAAGATAGTGATGACACCCCGGCCAGACCAGAGGTCTGACTGGATGTAGATACACGACGCAAGTTTTTCTGCTGCTTCTGGCCAGCTGCCACCAAGCCTGTTGCTGAGGTCACAGTTGATAGTCTGTCATCGTCATCATCAGGGTCTCCCTCCATGTCAGCCTTCATAACCTCTAAGTACTTTGTTCCTTGGCACCATCTAGACTGTGAGATGAAGAAATAAAGCATAAACGGACCCACGGAACTAGTGTGTTCAAAGAGATCTGGATGGCAGCATATTTTTCTCAATTGCATGACAATATTTCTAATGTCTGCGTCATCTTTAGAGCTGCGCATGGTATCTAGGGAAAACTGCTGCTGAACAGTCTTGTACAACCGTGCCTGATGATAGCTCATTGAGCACTTGATAATTATTTCTTTCTTTGATCCCAGATCCTTCTCTACATCTCCTTTTACACGGCGTAAAACAAAGGGTGCAAGGATTCCCTGAAGGCGGCGAAGTTGGTCTGCATTTAACTTGACTGCACCAAGCCTACTAGCTGCAGACTCAATATCTTTACTAAACCACTCTGCAAAGTCATCCTTCCGCTCGAAAAGCTCTGGCATGACAAAGTGCAATAAAGCCCAGAGCTCTTCGAGTGAGTTCTGAATAGGCGTACCACTCAGCAACACCTTGCAGCGCGACTTGTACTTCATGATAGTCCTCCAACGTTGCGTTCCACTGGACTTAATAAGCTGGGCTTCGTCCAGCACTATTGTCTTCCACGGTATCGCTGCAAGGGTCTTTATGTCAGACACTGCTATCTGATATGAAGTTATAACAACATGTAAGATTGAGTCGGATTTCCCCAGGACACTTTCGTTCTTTTCCATGGCAGTATCTATGTTGTGGCCAAAGTTCAGAGTCGTGGCCCATCCACGTTTGATGAGCATCCTTTCCCGCTGGGTTCCCCAATACGGCCACAAAAGTAAACTAGGCACAAACTTCTTAAGCTCCTTTATCCAGTTTATCAGAAGAGAGTTGGGTGCTATGATTAGGAACGGGCCATGATAATGATACTTTTCGACCAGATGTTGAAAAAATGCAATTGTTTGGACAGATTTTCCCAGCCCCATTTCATCTGATAGAATGGAATTTAGTTCCAGTTCAAACCGATTGACAAGCCATGAGAAACCGATAATTTGGTATTTCTTAAGCTTGCCAATAAACTTCGTCGGCTGCTTCTTTAAGTCAATATTGAGCCCGCTTATGTTTAGAGTCCTTGGATTATCCTTTGCCTTTGAAAGCGCCTCTTCTTCGTCAGTGTACTCGTTCTCAAGGTCTTCTCGTAGAATCTTTAGTTTAAACAAATCGGTGCTATCCAGGTTTGCCTTTTCCGCTCCTGTGTTCACCAGAGTCACCCCTGTTTTAGATTTTATATTATCAAATGTGTATTGTTCGGTCTGCCTTATCAAAAAGTCAAGCCTCTCTCTTTGATGCTTCTCCTGTAGTTGCTCTGCTCTTTTAGACTCTAGCTTAACTCGAATTTTAGAGTCTCTGTTGTAAGCGTCGCGTCCCTCTCTCAGTAGCCTCTTATACGTTGATATTTGGTCTTTTACTACGCGACGGATTCTGGCTAACTCTGCGCCAGGCGCGAATGCTTGTTTGTTACTACGAAGACGCTTCATCATGTGCTTTGTGGCATAGGAAATCAACCTGTTCTGGATTGTTGTTGCTGTTATCACATGTGGTGGTAGAAAAGCCTTGTTTCGCTGTAATCGTTCTTCAAATGAATAATTTGTATAGTCGAAGAGGGTTACCGCACTATCGATATATTCGTCTGTATGATTGTATAGCGTCTTAAACTCAGTGGTGCTACCAATTGCTAGTTGACTGAGCGAATTGATCGTGAGTATCCCCCCGTCGGTAGTACCTGGATTTAGACCTAAGGCACTCCCTTGATGGAGGGCGTCTGTCAGAGCCCAGGCTGCGGAGTGACTATTGCCTATATCCTTAAGATCGGAGGACTGGTCATGGCTGCGAGATCTCTTTTGAACGTCTGGTACCGTTCGTCGCTTTGTCCGTGATGATTTCAGGGATGTGTCATGGTGGCGAAGGGTAGAAACACGAAGCGGCTTAAGAGGAATCGAGCGTTGAAGAAAGGTACTGTTACTAAGTGCTTCCTTGGTACAATAAGATGATAGTTGTGGGTCGTAGTGAAACTCCTTCCCTGTATTACTTATCAGAGACGACGGTGTTTCAGTAAGCAATGGATACAGACAAGCATGTGGGGTGATACTGTGTAATCCATAGTCTTCATACCAAGAAAGGCTACCACGACAGAACTGCACCCAAGAGGGATATGGAAGGGCACTTATATTTTGTGAATAGCGCTCTTTGGCATCTATGTAAAGAAGTCGTTGGGAAAATCCACCATAGTTCTTAAGATTAGTGCCCAGCTTCTTGCACAAAGTAAGAGTAAGAAGCAAGGATTCTTCATTGGTCATGACCTCAAGTGTACTAAGAACAGATGAATCAAGTGCAGTAAGACCAACAGCTACATTGGTCTGTAAAATTTGTGACTGAATGGATGTGTCACTGAGAAGAAAAAGCAGCGCGTTGTACGATGTGAATACTTGGCTAAAGTTCTCAAGCAAAGGCAAATGAAGGAATTGCATAGATGTGAGCATGTCTTGATCTTCATGTTCAATGGCAGGTGATTGGAAAAAAGAAATAGAGTGCAAAGTATAAAGATTGCTGAAGTCAGAGACCCTCTCAAATAAGAGCTGGGCTAACCCAATATATGAGGTAAAGAAGAGAGAAAGGAAGCAAAGATAGATATTTGCCGAAAACTGGGAAGACTGGAAGGTCGACGGAACTAACAGAAGATATGCTTGGGGCCGGTCAGTAAGGACCTGCAGAGACCAGAATTCATTGGCTGATAATGTTGCTGCAGTGCTAGTTCTAAAACAAGGAGGAGTGCTGCTATCAAGACCAAAGGAACGTGTCAGCATGGAGCTTGCATGCTTGATACATTGAAACAACAATCTGTGGATGTCAACAAAAATTGTGCTGGTATCACGAGGAACTTTAGAGACTAAATTTGAGGGCAGTGACAGAATATCTGCTATACTTACCTCTGTATATGGTTCTGCACGGTTTGAGGAAAGGTAGAATATACTCCAATCAATACAGCATGGTCTTTGTAGCAAGTTATCAAACGAATATGTTGGGGTAGGAAGTACTGGAGCGGTACCCACGGGAGCGTCCATGACGTCCAAGGATGTATGTACACATGTCAGTAGAAACTTCTCTGTGTCGTCGTTAATTGGAGGAAAAGGATCTTCCATGGGAGCAAGTGCGCGTTCTCCTTGTAGATATTCGCATATTTCAAAGGTACACGAGGAGATAACATCTGCAGAAAGATTCTCGCAATCATATGGTCTCGAGAGAGGAGGCATCGAAAGACGGCCGTAGTGATCAAGAGCTTCCAACTGTATGCGAGATAGGAGCTCTCTCTGCTGGATAGCAATCGAGTGGTAAAGCTCAGTCCAAGTATCTCGATCATAAAAGAGTTGCTGAATGTCCTTAGCTTCCTGCGGTTTCTCTGGAGCAGGGCATGCGGACGTTTCGTTGGAAGGCGCGTGTGATGCAGCATACGCCAAAGAAGGCCCAACCCGCTGCGGGAGAACATACATTTGATAAAGGTGCTGTGCAAGCTCTCTAGGGGACAGTGCAGATGTACCACAAGACTGCGGGGCCACCGAGCTCCTGGAAAGTGGGTCCATACAAGGGGGAAGATCCGTTAACGATCAGCTTTTCCAGATAAAAATCAAAATAGAATGTACTCCAGTGATAGCTCCCTCTAAGCACTAAAACCCGTTATTGGGAGGCCTGAACACGGGAAGCCAGGAGGATCCTCTTCTCCCGCTTTTCAACCACTACTATTTCTCCACTATCGGTGCGTCCTACCTCACGAGTATAATCTTCGGTGATGGCGTTAGGGTTTTCGTGAGGAGCACATACATCTATCATTAGTGCTGTAAATGCGCTCTTGCTCCATCGCTGTTGGATATCGAGCAGTTCAAATGCCCTGTTAAGCGGATTGCTACTCAAATGGGAACGCTCTATGTACATAAACTGAGACTCAACTGAAAGATTGCGCTCTGGTGCCATCCAGCAGGCTGATGTGTCAACGCTCCTTAGGTCCCGTAAACTCCTTGGGGCCAGAAGATCCACATAAGCTATAATGGGCAATGAAAATATCTCGCTGACCTTTTGCGCTAGCTGCTCTCCCAGCATTGCCTCTTCCATGTAAGCCAAAAGGAAGTCGTGAGGAAGAGATATCTCACCCACCTTGGAAACAATAGCTTTAAGTGTGAATTCAATTACGTGAATACCTGCTTTGGTCATGTGTATCCCGGACTGAGTGATAAAGGAGAGTACAATGCTTGCAAGTATCTGCCTGGAACTCAAGCGTATTGCAGTTTGAGGGCTTAAATGTAGACTCGTTGGGTCAGAGACAAACCCAGCCAATTTCTCCAGTGACAGTATACACCCATCGATGGCATTAGAAAGAGATATTATTGCGTGGGCAGCTACTCCCCAGGAGACCCCTGGAAGAACGCGCTGTATGATGTCTACCAGAGCAGCTAGTGGTATTGATGGAGTGCACCAGGATAAAGTGCTTTGATCTGCTCCAAGACCACTCGGATCGCCTCCTAGAAATATGGCCAGTATCTCGGCAACTTTACCGGTATGGAAGCGGGCAAGAGGATACTCCCCATTGGCAGCAAATAGGCAACGCTCTGAATTAGCGTCTAGATCACACGGAAGCATAGCAAGGGATGCCAAGTAGGTACAGACATCTCTCTTTGTGCCAATATAATTAGATTCTGAAAGAAGCCTAGATAGATAGATGGGCGCAACAATGTTGCTTCCCAACTTTTGGGCGACGCAGCGCCTCAGAATACTGTTCACAATTGGTGGGCACGGGTCTAATTCAACAACTGACCCAAATACACACAGAACACCGTATGTCTGTGATGATTCCGAGGCTTCACTGGGGGATGTTATAAGGAATCGTGTATTACTGCTGTCACGAGCAAGAAGCTTGTATATATGTGTGTCTGTGATGTAGTATGCCTGTGAGCCCTCAGACATTGCGACAACTTGACCGTTGCATTCATTTTCTAAATCAGATGGGAGCTGCATAACAATGTACTCTGTTGAGGTATACTCCAGAGTGCTTGGAGCATGGATGAGACAGGTCATACACCCAGTACCAATCAGACTACTGCAGGACACTAGTGGTATAGATGGTAGGCCGACCGGCTAGAGAACGATGCCCTGGAAATTATTAGCAAGGGCACGTGCTTGATGGTTAACATTTCAAATGCTTTTAGATGGTCACTAAGGACTGGGCGTACCATAGACTACATCAGCCCACGACCAAAGTAGTTCCTAAGGTAATGTTGCGTAACATTATGGCAAAGACGTTGGCAAGTGTAACACAATTTACTCTAATTGAAAGCAGAGCTCGCTATCGTGTTGCGTATCGTTACATGGCTATAGCAATTTTCTGTGGCAAGCGAAGTGCAGCAGGGATAGAGCCTACAACCTGATCCACAACACCTTTCTACATAGAGAAAACAATCGGTTAGCATGACCGCAAGCGGGTCACTGCCCTTCATTATGATTCTCTGCCAGGTGATACTGCTCATATTCAAAAACGAGAACCCCTGACAGTAGCTCTAAAAGATCAATAAGCATTTGTTCTTTGTCCGGTCCCTCCTATCTATCTCTGCTTGTGTACTGCTCTAATCTCCACTTATCCTTTCACTATTCTGGCAGTAACGATACTAATAAGGATGATTTTCGCTTTTCTCAATAATTACTTTCAATCTAAGCTCCAGAAACAATGACGCTGGCTCAAAGGATTTAGTGGAATGTTGTGAATGCGAAATAGAAAGGATATAGCTACTCCTATGCACGGACCTTGGGAGGAGACGTTACCATAACACAATGCTGGCGGTCCTGACAAGCGAGCAAATGAAAATTAATGCCAATACGTATCTGGTGCCGCTGCCTCCTAGACTAAGTGATAAAAAGAATAAGACGAATGCTCATATGTTTGAGCTGTCATAACATAGTCACAAATGGGTTTACAAAATGTCGACCCTCGCCTTCCCTATAACGGATGTGATACTGTGGTGAGCACAGAAGTATATCCGTGCCGCTGTTCGAGTCACCGTCATACATTTTTACTGTCACCACACTTTAACCTTTGAAGCTTTGTCTGCGTCTCAAAAAAATGTCTATGCTTTCCTCTCTACTTGTTGGCCTATGGGCGCTCCAGTGCCCACAGGGCATGACAAGCCACGCTGACCGGTGTGTACCACAGTCGTGTATCAACAATAAGACAGTTTGTGGGGCCCATGGGGTCTGTGACAAACACGGCATCTGTAGGTACAAAGACAGGCAAGCCGTTCCACGTGTCGTGAAGGAGCCCCAAGAGTGCATGGACGGCGAGCTCCTCTGCAATGGCCGCGGGCAGTGCGTGCAGCAGCCCGGTGGAAGCTATCAATGCAAGTGTGAGAACGGCTTTTCCCCCTTCGGCTCATCATCGCATTGTGTTCCAGATATATGCATAACCGGCGACAAATTATGTAGTGGCAGAGGAGAGTGTGTGGACGACCGCGAAGCCGATGAGCAGCGATGCAGCTGTGTAGAGCTAGTGACTGGGAACCAGTGCGAATCGTGCGACCAGGACGGCGTTGACGTAGATGGGAAATGCGTTTATAGAGAATGCGTGGTGACGTATCCGGATGGAACCATAGGTGAATGCAATGGGATCGGCGTCTGTGGAAAGCTCGATGGCCGCTATCAATGTATCTGCAGTCAGCTGGACTCATATACAATCGATCGCTTCACGTGCCTGGCCTATGCTTGCTTAGCAAGTGATCTGACAAAAGGAGTGTGTTATCGTCATGGCTTCTGTAAGGGGGGAAAGTGTATTTGCGACGAGGGGCACAGTGGACACCTTTGCGAGATCACCAGTGTGGGCTGCGACGAAGGAGAGACGCAGGTCGGAGAGCGATGCTACCCGACAGGCTGCATCAGTGAAATAGGTGAGACATCTCCTGTCTTATGTAACGCTGCTGGACACTGCAATTACAAAACAGGCGTCTGCGAATGTTCTATAGCGTACGTTGGCAGTCTCTGCACGGAGTGCGCAGATACGGCAATACTGTTCAACGGAGCTTGTGTCGACAAAGCATGCGTCACAGATGAGCCAGATGGGAGCATCAGCGTCTGTAACGGTCATGGAAAGTGCATAGAAGGCCTCGAGGACTCCGTGAAATGTCTTTGCGATCAGGATTATCGCACGATTGGCACACTGCTCTGTTATCCTTCTTCTTGCGTCAGGTTCAACGTTCTCTGCAACAATCGTGGAACCTGTATAGATAAGGAATGTGTCTGCGATGATGATTTCTATGGTGACTATTGTGAGTTTTCTAAGTCATGCCCCGCTGGCCATCAGCTTGTCCTCGGCTACTGTGTGCCAAATGTCTGCGTGACTACTTATTCGGATGGCTCCAAGACCGTCTGCGGAGGCTACGGACACTGTGTCGAGAAGGAAGGCGGCCACACCTGCGAGTGCATTAAGGACGGCCGCTTCATCAACGGCGCTTGCGTCAGTGACGCCTGTATCACTAACAAGATGTACGACGTAGTATGCTCGAATAATGGTCAGTGCAAGGGAGGGGTGTGTTTTTGCAAATACGACAACCCGTCGCCAACCTGCTCGTAGCTTGCGTTGTTCTCATCTTTGGAATTATTCTTTCTTACAGCGAATCCTTACCACTTTGTAACAAGCGCAATCCAAATTAATGTAAATTTGATAGGAAGAAAATAATTGACCGTTGACTAGCTTGTTAAGACGCCGCAGTTTTGCTATGGGGTGCGTGGTGGACTTAGTTATGAAGGGCAGTGCATCGTACAAGAGCCCGGTGAGACAGTTAGTTAAAAAATAATGAACATCACCAACACAACGAAGACGTCTATATACCGCAGAACCGGCTTGAAAAAGCCTAAGGTTCTCTGCATCTACACCGGAGGTACCATAGGAATGAAGAAGGACAGCAGTGGTTCGTATACTCCTGTTCCAGGGTATCTACGGGAAGTGACAGATAGAACTCCGAACTTTAAGGACCCAGAAATGCCCCTCTTTGAGATACTCGAATACTCCACGCTAATTGACTCCTCCAACGTGAAGCCTCAAGATTGGCTCAACATTTGTCAGGACATCGAGGCCAACTACGCTGCTTATGACGGCTTCGTTGTAATTCACGGAACGGACACCTTGTCGTTCACTGCCTCGGCACTGTCATTCTTCCTACGGAATCTCAGCAAGCACGTTGTGCTGACTGGTGCACAAATACCCCTTTCGGAGCTCTACAACGATGGGCTATTCAATCTTATAGGGGCTATATACATGGCCGGGTGGTACGAAATTCCTGAGGTTACGCTCTTCTTTGCAGGCAAGCTCTACCGTGGCAACCGCACGCAAAAGTACTCGTCGTGGGAGCTGACGGCCTTCGACTCTGCGTGCTTCCCTTGTCTGGCCCAGTGGGGCGCGACCATATCTGTACACGATGAATTCGTCATGTATCACAAGGAGTTCCTCGACCTTAAGGAGAACAGCAAAAGCAAGCACATAGGTTCGCTCGAGCAGACAGAGTCGCTGGAGCTCATGGCAGACGATAAGCCCATGGACATCATGACCCACCCAAATGAGGCCCTGATTATCCCAACTAAGGTGTGCAACGACGTGGTGATGATTTACCTCTATCCAGGGATCAGCGGGCAAGACATCCTCGCGGCTGCAGCAAGCAAGCGTGGCGTTATTCTTCTTGCATACGGTGCGGGCAACGGGCCGACAGACGACAAGCACTTTGTATCTGCGATCAAGCTCCTTAAGTCTAAGAACGTTGTGGTCATTGGGGTCACGCAGACACACTGGGGCTTGGTGGATCTCGGGATGTACTCGGCGGGCTTGGGTCGTGCAGGCGCCATCTCGGGCTTCACTATGACACCATCAGCAGCATACACGAAGCTCGTGTACCTGCTCTCCATCGGCTGTAGCTCGCTAGAAGAGATTGAAACGGCTATGTGTACAGACATCCGCGGGGAAATCGAGACCTTCCAGGCATCGACCGCGAGAAGTAACTACTAGTCTCTTTCCGCAGACATATCTAGACGTTTGTAAATCTAATAGGCCAGTGTTCAGCAAAGCATATGGCCTGCCGATTGGTGCGCTGGAAATGTTTATAAAAAGGATTCAATTTAGAATCTGAATTGTCCCTGCAAAAAACGGGTCCTCCGAAGCGTGATGGGTATTGTATATGAGCATACGATCCGCCTCAACAAGGCAGTTCGGGGGAAGCCGAGTAAGAAGGCTGCGCCTATCGCCATCCGCGCCATCCGCGCACAGGTTGAGAAGCTTGCAAAGGTAGAGGACGTTCGCCTTGACCCTTCTGTCAACGTCTTTGTTTGGTCGCGAGGCATTCGCCACGTTCCTCGTAGGATCCGTCTCGAGGTGAGGCTGGAGGGAGACGACGAGCATAAGTTCGCCTACGTCATCAACAAGGACGTGGAGAACTTTAAGCACCTCACTACAGAGAAGAAGGGCAGCGAAGACGGCAGCGAGTAAACTTGTGCACGCTCGCATTTACATATGCTTTTTTGCCGTAAGTGGGTCGTCCTCGGCAGGCGCCGTCTCGACTGGTATCAACACAGGCTCGATCATGGGCTCGGTCAGGGGGCCACTTACATCCGGTGAGACGTGCTCAAAGTCGGGGCAGGTGCCTGGTACGATGGTAGGAGACGCTTGACGCCTCTCTCCGTACATCAAATCGGATATAGAGAGCTTCCCAGGGGTGCGGGTCACCGTTCTCGGATTTGGATCCATCTTGGGGGCATTCAGAACTGATATTTGGAGCGATTGCCCACAGTTCAACGAGCCAGCGGACTTTGGAATGACTGCACTGAGAAAGCTGGGATCATTGGGTTCTTGGATCTGCGTTGTGCTCTGTCGAAATAGTTTGGAAACCTGTCTCCTTGCTCGCGGGCTTCCCCCAGACGCATCTGTATTTAGCTCCAGATCAGTGTAGACGGCATCCACAGCTGCCTTTAGAAGCGGAATAGAGACAACACTCTCCATAGCTTTGTCGCTATTGACTGTTGCTAGCTGCCTTTCTATTCGCTTTGTATAGGTCTCTAAGCATGCGATATGCTTCTGCCGAATGTTCTTAAGGGCCACAGCGGCAGCCTCCTGTGTCTGTGAGTCCGTGCTTCCAATCAAGGTCAGCAATCCATAAATACCGCCGTTCTGTCTGAAGAGAATAGCACACTTCTTGTTCTTAGAAAGCTCTGCAATACAAACAGCAGCTGCCCTGTTGGTGATAATGTAGGGATTATCTGTGGCCTGCGGATCTTTATCAACAGGTGCATTTACGTCAAGGACACTAGATGCTTCCTTGAAGTTGACATAAGACCCATACTGGTTGGGGCATTCAATAACTGGCCCGCCGACGACAGTGGTTTCAGCTTGAGAGATGGGGTCGAAAATAGAAGTGCCGTCTGTTGCTGTTATGAAGCGTACAATGGAAGGTATTGTCCCGAGAGTTGCAATTTCGTTCTTGTTAGGTTCTATCTTGGAGAGAGATGCTAGTGCCAGAGCACACTTTTCACGCACCAGCTGGAAAGCGTGAAAAGCATAAGGATGGTCTACCTTCGCGTCAGACACAGAGTACTGCCGTGTTAAGTCACAGATAACAGGTAACACACCATACTCTGTCAATATCTTCGCATTCTCCTCGTCTCGGCAAAGTTCTGCAACTATTCCTGTCAACCAACCCTTACATTCTAATGTCAGGTACTTACGATATGTATTGTCTGTAATTGAGTCTGTTGAATTCTCGAGGACTGTTGGGCACTTAAGAAGTAAGCTTAGCTGCTCTAGAGACCCATTGATTTGCCGACCAACCACCTGAGCACGACTTTTATCATAGAGCAAAGGCACTAACGCACGAGCTACAGCTGTCACTACAAGAAGATTTGGATGCTTGATAAGGGACCAGAGCTTTTTCAAGCCATCTTGAGCCGTTATCTGTTTGCACGTTTCTGGGTCTCCCTCGGCGCCAGTTCCTAGCGCAAAGCATGTTGCAGTTATAACTTCTGGATCAGCGACATTGATGTGCATAAGTAACGCATTGAAAAGCTGTTTGCTGGCCCTAAATGCAGCGCGACCCTCCTTGGATGATAGAAGAGGGACGAGAGCACGGGTTGCGCTGAGAACCAAGAGTCTCTTTTGCTTTGCAAGGGAAACTTGTATTTGGTCCTTTTCATCAGCACTAGCTGTCACAATCAGATTTGCCGATGGATTTTCGCTGACGCCTAGAACATCTAGGCTCACTTCTATGTGTGCTGCTAGGTTAGTAATGGACTTGTAGCGCACTAAAGCTAGGATGTTTTCATCGTTGCGTGCATTAAAACTAAGATACCCGTTATGAACACCATAGACCATTGAATCATCATAGCTGCCAAAATATGGTCCACTACGACAGACCAGCACAATCGTTTTGCACGCAGATAAAAGGGTATCAACATCTTGGGATAATAAAAGTGAACTGAGCACGGCAAGACCACCAGCTTTTCGTACAGCCGAGTCTACACCGGGATCTTGGGCGCAATTCGCTAAAATGGCAACAGAGCGCTGCCTCACACGTGCACTTTGTGTTTTTTGCAGAAGGGAGCACACCTTAGGGATACCGCCAAAGTGATGTATGTCTTGACGGCCTGCTTTAGATTGAGAAAGGGTCCTGAGAGTAGTGGTTACTGTTTCAAAGAGAAAATCTGGAGGGTTGCCTTCCTTAACAGCGTCTCCAGTCAATTGTGACATATCGTCAGTGATGGGAAACGTAAGGGGCATCTCCGAAATGATCTGAACCAAGACGCTGATGCCATTTTCCAGTCTGAAGGCCTCTCTACACTTTGCAGACCCCATTAGTGAATCTAGCACGGATGCTGTTGCATATAGGATAGAGCCTGCCTCAGGAGATGGTTTTGCTTGGTAGTCTTTCATCGCTTGACGCAGCAATCCAATAATTATAGGGACGGCCCCTATTTTCCGTGCAGTGCGTCGACACTCGGCGTTTAGAAGACAGCCAGCTATCATTCGAAGGGCTCTCGCCTTTATTCCAGCAACAAAGGGTATCTGGGACGAAAACTGTGCTCGAACGACAGACAAGCCAATCTTCAAACCGTCATTATCAATGATCATCTTCCGTGAGTCATGTGTGAGGTCGGCTAAGGAAGCTAGAATGAAGAGACTTTCATAAGCCAACTTTGGATCGCTCCTGATAAGAGTGTCTTGGGTCGCCCCGTCCTCCGCTGGCTTAATAGGATACAGAGATACTGTCGAGACAACGCGGAGCAGTGAAGAAATGCCTCCAGCGGTCAGGAAGAGCTGGCGAGTCTTGAGAACCGTAAAATCAGTCGACTTAAGCGTGGCAACGGCCAAGATTGCTTGCAATCCACTATTATCGTTTATTGCCTGAACCATCCGGACAAAGAGATTGCTTGAACTGGGAGCCACAGAGGGGGTTCCATGCCGCCCATCGTCGATTTGTGCCTTTGGACAACCCTCGCAGTCTTGGTCATCCAGGGATACAGAGTTCATTGAGATATCATCATCGTCTGATATCTCTGGGAATGCCTCTGTAGTAATAATCTCATCACGACCCTTTTGAGATCTGTGCTGCGAATATGCCAGCGAAGACTTAGACAGGCCCACACCACGGGACGCATTCAGCATACCAATGTTTTGGCTTCTTGCTCGGAAAATTCCGCCCAACGGAGTAGAGCCATAGAAATCCGTTGCCTCCTTTGTGGCCATTTTTAAAACTTGGGGCAGAATCTGGGGAGGAATCCCAAAGGGAGGTCTCACAACTCACCGGTTTACTCTGGGTAGTCTGACAGAAAACCTTACGCTAGCCCCATCTTAGAGGCGACGTCCATGGCCTGCACGTCCGGGGCCAGTCTGATAAACGCCTTCTTAAGTCCGAGGGGAGTAATGAGGGTGTTCACGCGGGCAACCTTGGTCTCAAAAACGGTCTCGAAGGCCTTCCTGATCTCGGGCTTTGATGCCCTCCTGTCCACGATAAATACTATGGTGTTGTTCTTCTCGATCTGGGTTGTATTCTCATCTGTCTTAATCGGGTAGCGAAGAAGGTCACACGGATCATCCCAAGACCCCTTCTTGATCGGGTTGCGGGGATAAAGAGGTGCCTTCTTGTGAACCAGGGTCTTGGGGCGGAAGAAGTGAACATTGGTCCTTATCTTCTTCGCCTCGACCCGCGTGCCGTGCAAGATCGCCTTTTGGGCCTTCAGTGCCTGCGCCTTCTCGGACATGTCTCGCCGGCACGAGATATTAGACGGCGAAATTTCAATTTAAAATAGAATCGCCAAGATGCAGGGAAGCATGCCATCCTCCTCCGAAGACGTCACAACCTTGTGCTACCGTGTCACAGGTAAGGTCCAGGGGGTCTTCTTTAGAAAGTATACCAAGAAGGAGGCCGACGCGCTCTCCCTTGTGGGATACGTCACGAACAATGAAGACGGAAGTGTCTCTGGCGTAGTGCAAGGCCCTAAAGAGCAGGTAGACGCATTTGTTAAGTATTTACATAAAGGAAGCCCGAAATCCGTCGTCAAGAAGGTGAGCATACACGCTTCTTCCCGTGTAGATGCAGATGGGTTTGAGATACGGCGCTGATCTGGTGTGGAGACCTCCTAACACAACATGCGTGTCAAAGGATGGTCAGGACAAAGAGGAGAACAGGCTGCATAATCGCCCAAAGAAGCACGAACCAATTCTGAATCGAGATCTGGCGTCTACTGAGATATAGCTCCGACTGAGTAGCCTTTATACAGCCAATTCCGTAAAGAGCCAGGTGAACCCCGAGGGCAACGCCCAACCAGACTAGAGCTATATAGTACAGCACCCGATTGAATATTGAGATAAATGACGCTATCACTGAAACGAATACTTTGTAGCAGGAAAGTGCTATTAGCTCCAGTTTGGGCACCTTAAGGCTTACACTAGAGGAAATGCCGATTACCACGAGTGCTTCCAAGCCAACAATTATAGCTGCAAGTATAACATTCCGTGTAAATAGAGCAGGCCTGAAGCCTCCAGTGGAGAGAATCTCTGTGAATGCCATTATGACACCGTATGCGGCATGTCCCACCAGTGGCATGTAAAGGTCCAACGGTAGGTTTGTCGATCGCTCATTGAACCGCACGTAGGGAAACATCAAAAGGCCAAGACGCTTAAGGAAGGTGGAGGTCGTTATATTGAAGTATGGTCGCAGGCTCCGCCCCAACACACCCTGCTGTTCTTGTGCAAACTTAATAGCAGGCGCAGCTTGAGGAAGCGTAGCGCCTCCCAGCTTAGCCAACTGTGCCGGGTTGAACAAGTTCATGATCCTGTTGAGTTTTTAATGAATCATCCTACATCCAAACCTCCACCTATTTGCATACGACGATTACTGGAAGGCTTGCTGGTTTTTAAAAACATGGATTGTTCTTAAGGTGCTCTCCCTGCGTCTTTCCCTGACTCTTGCCAGCTCAGCTAGCAAAATTGGACAAGAAAATTAATTAAATTCTGCCCGATCCCGATCTATGCAGTCAAACTTCTCTGTCTGCGTGCGCGTCCGGCCTCTTATTGAGCGGGAAATTCGAGCGAGAGAGGAGGAAGTCATTCAGATTAGCGACGAGTCCAAAGTTATCACCATACTGGAGCCCATGATCAGTTCAACAGTGGACACCGCAGCCTACGCTAGGCATAGTTTTACTTTCAACCAGGTCTTTGGGCCAAACGTTTCCCAAGCTCAAGTATATAATCAGCAATGCAAGCAGATAATAGATTCTGTTTTCCGTGGCTTCAATGCGACAATCTTGGCTTACGGACAAACAGGGACAGGAAAATCCTTTACCATTTCTGGAACGCCTACAGAGCCGGGTATCATACCCAGAGCAATAGAGGATATCTTCGCTAAAATACACGAGGCAAAAGACACACAGTTTCTTCTGAGAGCTTCATTTCTGCAACTGTACAAGGAGCAGCTCCAAGACTTGCTGGACACTCGCACAAAGAACTTGCGTATTAGGGAGCAGCAGACCCAAGACGGCGTTCTGATTTATGTAGATAACCTATCGGAGTTTATTGTGCGAAATCCCCAAGAATTGTTTCAGCTTCTAGAGCATGGAGGAAAAAACCGCAAAATAGGACCCACACACATGAACGTAGAGTCGTCGCGTTCACACTCCGTTTTCTCTCTCACAATAGAGCAACGTAGCACCACGTGTGATGGAGGAATCATCTTATCTAAGTTAAATATTGTGGACTTGGCTGGAAGCGAGCGCATTTCAATGACTAAGGTTAATGGAGAGAGGCTTGAGGAGACAAAGAAGATCAACTCCAGTCTTACGGCTCTGGGGAACGTTATTGCCGCGTTAATAGATCTAGAAAAAGGCAAGAGAAGTCACATTCCATACAGAGACTCCAAGCTCACCAAACTTCTCCAGGATTCCTTAGGTGGAAACTGTAAGACAATCTTTATAGCAAATGTCACGCCATCCAGTTCTTCTTATCAGGAAACACTCAACACACTAAAATTTGCAGACAGAGCACGGAAAATCCAGAACAAGGCACACATCAACGAGAAATTCGATTCTAAAGTCATGATAAAGCGTTACGAGAAAGAGATATTACGTTTGCGGCAGGAACTCAAGATGCTACAGAGCTTGGAGGGAAGTCAGTTGGACGGCAATGGTCAGCTGTGCCACCAATCTACGAACATTGTTTCTACAGATAAGTACACGGCTGATCGCACGGCCATTTACAGCGAAATAGAGTCCAAGTCAAGAGAGGTGCTTGAGGAGAAGAGCTTGATAAAGAAGCTGCAAGATCGAATCATATTATTGGAAAGCTATTTACAGGACAACACAGGTCAGACAAGAGCAGTGTCAGATGATGCCAACGACTGGGTTGCCAAGCTGAATCAGATAGAGCTAGAGCGAAACGAGCTTCTTAATGAGAAGCGGCACATTGAGCAGTACAGAGAGATGTTGCTGAAACAGAAAGATATCATTATATCTCTGACAGGAAAGCTCGATGAAAGAGACAAACATCTTAGTGAGCTGAATGAGCAACTAGAGGAGGCCGACGATGAGCAGCAGAACATCGAGGATGAGATAGTGTATCTTCGGCGAGCAGTACGGTTCTTGGCGGGAAAGCTGAAGCTTGGTGTCATCGTCGATGGCGAGGGCAACCTTTCTGACGAGTTCTGCAGGGAAAATAAGATCAAACCCGTGAAGTTTATGCGAGAGCAGCACGTCTTCATGGACTTTACCAGCATTGGGCCCGGACCTAATGTGGGTTTAGCATCTGAATTCCTTGCTGAAATGAAGGAGCACAGCGATACCAGTACAGGATCTACCTGTGATGGACAGACATTAGAACAGGAACGAGTCGCAGGGCTCCAAGAGATTCTATTAGAAAAGCAGTTGGAGGAAGAGGAACTCCGCAACAAAATTCTGGGGCTGAATGCAGAGATAGCGGCCGCAGAAAAAACGCTTTCAGAAGGCATTGAGCAGATCATGGCCACAGAGCTTGCCGACGGGTCTGCGTCTCGGGAGTGGGGGAGTAACTTTGCAAGTACTGACTACCTGAAAGAACGAGAGCGCTATGTTCAAATCTTGAAAGAAGCCAGCCACGAAAGGAGCCTGGTTCTCAAGATCTTTACAACCAAATTAAAGCCCATGCTGGAGTATGTTGGAACACTAATCAAAAGTCCGGATTACAAAAAGAGTGTCTATAAGCAGATGCTTTCCTTTGAGAATTTTGTCCTAGGAACGTCTGAGGCACTGGTAAATTCTACAGTAGCCCAAAAGACTAATAATCTCACCGCAATCCCCAACGCATCCGAAATTGCCCCTGAAATCCAATTGTAGCTCTGCTTTCTTGTGGGCTGCTTCTAGTATAATTTCAAAAAATTATATTTGCTCCGCTTCGTAAAAAACTTCAAAATCAGGGCAAGGTATGAATGTTACACCTCCGCGAGCTTTTGAGAAGAAGATGGAGCAGCAAGCGCCCATGAAGCTTGTTCCAAAAATTAAGCCGGGGACCATAACGGCTCCGAAGCCGCGTCCAGGAAAGCGAACCAGCCCGTTTGAGATTCGCGACATGCCTCCAACAGAGTTTCGTCTCTACTATAACCGCGGAGACATCCCCGCGTCCATCCAGCACGGATCATATAATAACCGCCTCCTTTGGAAGACTGAACTTCATAATTTAGATTATCATCACTACCTTCCGCTCTTCTTCGAGGGCCTCCGTGAGCTTCAGTACCCATACAACATCGTTGCGGAGCAAGGGACGCGAGACCTTTTGATGGCAGGGGGCCAGAGGATAGTTCCAGTCATCCCCCAGCTGATCCTCCCCATCAAGCAGGCTCTTGACACGCGCAATGAGTTTATTATCTGCCGCGTTCTCCGATGCCTGCAGCTTCTTGTAAGTTCGGACGATCTGGTTGGCCCCGCGCTAGTGCCTTACTTCCGCCAGATTCTCCCTGTGTTCAATCTGTTCTACACGAGAAACATAAACATCGGTGACTCTATTTACTATGGTCAAAAGGAGAATAACAATATCGGCGACCTTATTATGGAAACTCTGGAACTGTTTGAGAGGAAGGGTGGCTCGGATGCACTCATCAACATACGGTACATGGTCCCTCAGTACCAGTCCTGCATCTTGTAAACAATTATTTCCGCCTCTTTTATGTGTCCTCTTGTGACCGATAGTTCTCGAGGAGCTCCAGAGTCAGTGCATGGTCTTCATCAGATTCAAACAGCAGGTCTAGGGGGTGAAGCGTGTCATAGAAGTAAAGGCGTATAATGAGGCCTAATGCCTTGAAGTTTGCAAGCGCTCCCATGCTCATCACGAAGTCCTTTTGGTACATGGGATCAATGTTTGCTTGGTTAATGAAGTAAAGCATGTTATTGCTATGCGCAATGAAGCCTACAAACTGCTTGCAGTCATTGATTTCCATGCTGCTGCTGCACGGCACAAGGGTTACCCTGTTCTTTGTGTGCCACAGACACAGCTCTGGGATACGCTCAAGGTCAACGAGGCACGGAATCAGCATCTACGGTCGAAGAACAAGCTCTATAGGGGAAAGAGGACAGGGTTTTTATTTTGCATATCCATCCTGCTACTAGAAACCCCTTGGTAGAACTCAGGCGTTGCTAAAGAGCCCTGTTGGAGCTCGTGCAGACCAGCATCACTCTCTTCAACCAGTACTATTGATTTACCTCGGCGCCCGGCTTCCTTCTGGATAGAGCAATCAGGGACGTCAAGAGGTTCATCCACCACACTGGTCACAACAGTGGACAATGCGAAAGTCGAACTGATAGGGGCTGGTTCTTGCCGAAGGTCGTGTCTTCTATGTATAGATCCGCTAACGTCTGTGGCCGCATCAGCAGAGTAATTAGAATCGGATCGCGAATAGTGAGTGATCGGTGATAGAAGGGCCGCTAGCTCTGTACGCTTGATATATTCTGTAGCCACAGGGTTGAGCATCGCTGAATGCGGCGGAGGAGTAAATATGTGCTCAGAAGACGACGCAGGCTGCCAATCTTCAATGGACGGTTGAGCTATGAGGGAGTAAAATTGGGCAGTAGGAAGCACGCCCTCTGGAAGACCCTTGTAGGAAAAAAGATTGCAGATAGTATCCTCAACAGCAGATAGCGTGTTCCAGCCAGCAGGCAGAAGAAATGTAGTTATTTTAAAGGAAGTAAGAGAGAAAAGGAATGCCATAAACCCGCGTAGGTCATCTAAAAGATCAGCTTCAGAAACAGGGTGCGCAAGCTTTCCTCCAAAACTCAAGAGAATGGAGTATATCACAAGGATGGTTACTGGTGAATACAAGCGGCATGGCACGTCGGAGAGCCGAGAGGCAAGGTCTTTAAAGTTAGAAAGGGAGTCACTTGTCTTGCTAGCCAACAGGAAAAGGGCTTCCGATATATTTGCCTGCTGGTCATGTAACGTACTTGTCTGCGTGGCTTGTGTAGCCTGAGATAGACGAGTTGCTGAATCTACAGACTTTGCTGGCTGATCTCTCTGCAGGGACATTACAGTCGATGGATAGAACGAGGACAGATAATATAGGGGAATAAGTGCTGCGCAGGGCGGTGCAATACTATCCATGCTCTGTGGAAGTAGGGGGATGCCACTGGTGTTAATGAGAAGATGGAATAGTGGCCAAGTTCTGCCATGGGCGACGGCTGATGGCAATCGATCAACGCGCATGGCACCAGAATAAGTTTTTGTGGCTTGGTCGTTCATCAGTTTAAGTAGAAGGTTCTGTATATTGATCGATTGGTTATTGCAGCGCCCCTGGAAGAGGCTAGCAATAACCTGCTCAGCGGCATATGCTTCTGTGCAAGATGCCGCATACATAGAGCAGTTTATCGCTGTGAGAAGTATGCAAGAAGTTGACTCCTCTTCTAGAGCCTGAATGGTGCTTGAATGGAGTTGTGCCTCTTGGGGACTAAGAAAAGACACAAAGCGGATAGTAACGCAGTGATTGCCAATAGTTGTCGTAGCACAGTTCAAAAACTGATCTTGGTAGATGAATGTATCCGTGAGAGACGAGTCGATGCTGGTGAACAAGGCCGTGCAGAGGTCGCGTGCGAGTCTCCACGCATCGTTAAAGAGGAAGAAGGTAAGAATGTGCTCGCTTTCCTGGTCCGAGACCCAGCTTGACGTGGCCAGCTGGGGAATACTGTCTGTCATGTGCTGTACGAGTTTGCCTTTGCATTAAAGAAATGATTTTGAATTGACTTTAGAAGGACAAATTTGAGGTGGGCTGAATGTCTCGCAAAGTAACCTACGCGCCGGAGAATCTTCCAGCGAAGAACAACAACAGCGAGGCCTTCGCTGTGTGCCACATCTACGCGGGCAAGAACGACACATTCATCCATGTGACCGACCTCTCGGGCCGCGAGACCATTGGCCGTGTGTCAGGTGGAATGAAGGTGAAGCGCCACTGTGATGAGCCATCGGCATACGCTGCAATGCAGGCCACCCAGGATCTTATCGAGATCATTACCGACCGCGGTATAACCGCCGTGCACATCAAGATCCGCGCCGACGGCGGCACGGGCAAGCGCGTCTATGGCCAGGGCGGCAGTGCTGCCATCCGCGCCCTTGTGCGCGGTGGGATCAAGATAGGGCGTATAGAAGACTCCACCCCGATACCTACAGATCGCACGCGCCACAAGGGTGGTCGCCGCGGTCGCCGTCTGTAAGCCAGTAAATCGGTACCGAACTCCCTCTATGTTTACATAACACGGCGCTTGTTCGTTTTGGTCACTCCTCCCATCCATCCAGGTTATAGTTGTCCTCTTCATCAGAAGCGGCCTTTTTAGGAGTGCTAAGGCGCTGCATGTCTAGATCTGCAGTTAGTTGACCGCCTTTTTCTGAAGAAACCTTGTCTTGAGGGACAGAATCACCGCGGGCTTGGTCCTGCGGATCTCTGTCAGATTCTCCATTCATCTCGGCAGCCAGATCAAAATGATCATCCTGCTCGCTCATGTTTGCCAATGACTGCGCTTCTTGTCCACTCAGATCCAATTCAGCGTTATGAGTGCGATCAGCAACCGCTGCGTCATCGACGTGAGTCTCTGCCTCGTCAAAATAGTCATCATTGTCAGGCAGACCCTCCTGCTGGGGCTCTGCAATCGTGTCATCGGCTACAATGGTCGTCTGCCTGTAGGTGTCAGTAGGGACAAATGTCCGTGTACCTGCAGCCACGGTGTACTCGTCTGCTATATATTTCTTGAGAATGGATTCTCCATCTAGCGTAAGAATAGTCTTGTTCGCCATCTGTGCGGAATACAGTGCCTCGCCACTCTTGTCTGTAGCCATAATATCCTGTCCGGTTTCGTCGAGACTGAATGGTGAGTCATTAGGAGCTTTCTTTAGCTTCACCATCTCGTGCTTATGCTTCAGAACAATCTCATGCATGATGTTGGTTTGTCTATTGGTCAACTTATCCTTATCCAGCTGATAGGATTCATTCAGTGCCTTTCTGCCGAATTTTATCTTATTCTCAAGTATTTCTGTTTCAACCACTTGGCGAGATTGCATCTTCTTACGTAGTCGCACGATATTCTGATGGGCCTCTAGGCTTCTCTTCTCATCTTCAAGCTGTTGCTGGGCATCTGCTTCTCCCCTCTTCTTCGTAGCATCCTTATATCTTCCTGCACGTAAAAGTTGTGCCTGCGTATACCGCATATCAAGCAGCTTCGAGGAGTATTTAGGGTGAACCTCAGCGTGCTTCTTCTCTAAAGAAGCTGTGTATTCATCTAGTTCTGCCTTTTGCTTATTTGCAAGAGTCTCACGCATGTTCTTGACCTCTGCTTCGAAGTTTATCCTCCGTGTCTTATAGGCCTCTTCAAGTTCCAGCCTTTCCTCCTCAAACTGTGCTTCTACAACGCTGACTTCTAGCTCTTGCTTCCTCTTAAGGCGACCTATTCGCAGCTTCTTGTCCTCAGCAAAAACGGACACCAACTTAAGGCGAATGTTGTCGGCCCGGATATACTCCTCTGCAGCCTCTAAGTCAGCCCGTGCCTGACGCATACGCCGTATCTTATCGTGAAGTGCAAATATCTGATCATCCATTTCGTCCACATATGGAGCGGCTTCTTCAACGGCAAAGGATTCATCGTCATATTTAGCAGTTATTTCACTTATATTCGTTATGCCACCTGGTCCGTCGGTGGTATTGCCGTACGATTTGTTCTGTAAATCATCCGATTGCTGCGATCTAGGTGCCCCGTTTTCCTGGGGTGTGCGTAGCCGCATCAATTCACAGGAGGAGCCTGGTGACTGGATTGTATACTTGTTAGCATCACTTTCAATTTGGTCTTTGGTTGTATCGAAGCCCGGGGTAACAAGGCGCGCCAGTTCAACATCGTTAGCGGCATTCTGGTACATCTTGGGAGGCATATTTTTAGAATTCCGTGGAAGTTTAATTTTTCCGCTATCGCATGAAAGACGCTGGCTTTGACGTCCGGTCGACAGAAGCCACGCATTCTCCTGATGAGGACTTCCCAAAAATGGAAAGCGGCTTTGTGAGCCTTGACCCAGAAGAGGAGAAGCTTTTGGCAGAAATTAGGACAGATCTCGAAGGTATGAAGAAGAAAGAAGCAGCTATGGAGGCGCTTCTTCAAGAGCTTGCAGCGTCTAACAAGATAACTTATGCGGCCATAGCCGCTCACTCGGGTGTTTCTGTCCCAGCTGCTCCTTAGTGTTTTGGTACTGATGGCATTGCTCAGGTTAGGTATACGGGCATCTGCGGGCCAGTGAAAATGACTGCCATCTTCGAGATCAATCTGTGCGGAAGGTGTCGTGTAAACAGATGCATACCAGTAAAGCACATTCTTTTCGCTTCCTTAGTGCGTGAGTTTGTTGGTGAGAAGGTACGGATTCTGATGTTTCTAAGTCAGGGACACTGCTATGAGATATAGGTCTTTATCTAGATAGATGAGTGTTTTCTTGAAATCCCAGGACACTCCTGCCAGCCCTAATTGAACATATTTCAGTATTTATGCTATCAAGCGTTTTTGCCACAGTATGCTCAGAGTCTTGGTCTATCTATTAACACCCATTTACAAAGGCGCTATGTTATGAGAAATTTAAATTAGGTATATAAGAATAGATTAAATGTATAGATAGTTAAGTACAATTGAACACAAAATTTAATTAACTTCAAGAGCTATGACAAACACACCATGAGACTCACTTAGAAGCAACCAAAAAGAAACAAAGAGGAGCATGAGCTAACTATAAGGCTTTCTATAGATGGTTCAAACGTGTAATTCTCGGTATTTAAACTAAAGAGTAAGCTTAAGAAATACGAAGGCCAGGGGGTAGAAGCCGCGGCGCGAGAGCTCCGTGACCCGCGCGAGGAGCCCCTGCTTCCGGCGCTCCTGGAGCTCGGCGCCGCACATCGCGAGGGCCTCGTAGCGCCGCCGCTCGACGGCCTGCGCGCCGGAGGGCTCTGCCTCCCGGGGCCGCGGGGGAGCCCTGGGGGCTGCGGGCCCTGCGGTGCCGGCGGCGCACCCCGCGTACAGCGAGGCCGCGAGCTCGGGCGGGAAGCGGGCGGCGTACCCGGCCTGGAACGCGTCGGCGAGGAGGCGCAGGTCGACGCGCGGCGGGTCTGCAGGGGCCCCGGCCCGGGGGAGGAGCCGCAGCTGGCCGCGGAGGAAGCCGGCGCCCTGGTCCTCGGCCGCCCGGGCCACCCGCGCCTCCAGGCTCCGGGCAGACAGGCGCACCGTGGCGGACAGCGCGGCCTCCGTCTGCAGCATCAGGCCGACGTCCCCCCGGGGCTGGGCGGCGTAGGACTCGTAGCCGTCCCGGAGCTCGGCCAGGAGCGCCGTGACCGCCGCGTGGTCCCGGGCCTGCGCGGCCGCCTGCACCCGGGCGGAGACGCTCGCGAGGCGCGCACGGGGCTCCATCGGACGGGGCGGAATTTTGCCGGCCGGCCAAAAATTCACTCGATGGACTGCATCGGCCGCGGCGTCCTCCTCCCCCCGGGCGGGGCGTGCTCGTGCGGGGCGCTTCTGGCGGAGCTGCAGCGGGTCTGCCCCCTCCTCGCCGCCTCCCCGGAGGTCTGCGCCGCGCCCCGGGCCCTTGTCTGCTGCCGCCAGCCCCCGTGCCTCGAGATCGCGCCGGCGCCGGCCACCCCGAGCAGCGCCGTCCGGGTCCCTGGGTCCGCGTGCACGGCTCCACCGCCCGCCGCAGGGCCCCCGGAGGCCGCCCCGGCCGAGAGCGTCCAGGTGACCCTCAGCGCCCAGCGCGAGTCGTTCGTGATGCAGACGATGCGGCAGGCGCACTACGGCGGCGGAGAGGCCCCCGCGAGGGCGGAGAGCGCCCGCCTGCCCGCCCCGCAGGCCTCGGACCCGAGGGAGGCCCGGCGGAGCCACGCGTCCCGCCCGCGGACGGCCGGCCCCCGCCTCCCCGCCTGCCCCGAGGAGCCCCCCGGCAGGGTCCAGTTCCGGGGCGCCCCCGAGGCCCCGCCCCTGCGCTGCGAGCCGGCCCCGCCCTCCGAGTTCAGCGACTTCGGGTGCGAGCTGCTCGCGGCGGGCCAGCCCGAGGACCGGCGGGTCTGCGGCGCCCCGTGGGTGGACGCGCAGGACCTGCTGAGCGACGGCTCCGAGCACAGCGAGTTCTACCGCCTCGTCGAGAGGGAGCTTGCGCGGCTTCCGGAGCCCGCGGCCCCGGCCCTCCCGGAGAGCGAGCCCTCGCTGGACGCGCTGCCCGTGCACGCCTCGCCCCGGGGCCCGCAGATCATCGAGCCCACGCCGGCCGCCCTGCAGGAGCCAGAGGAGCCCGCGCCCCCGCAGCCCCCCACGCCGGGCCGCTCCGACAGCGTCTCGGCAGACATCACGGAGTCGCTCCTCGTGGAGGGCCGGCCCCTGCCCGACCGCCCCCCGGGCCCGGAGCCGTCCGAGGGCAGCCCCGGGTACAGCGGAGAGGCCTTCGACAGCTCCGGCTCGCCCCGGGGCCTGACCGACGAGGCCGCGGGGTCTGCGGGCCTGGACGAGGAGGACCTGCTGGGGTCCGTCGGCGGGGACCTGCGGGCGCTGCTCATGGACAGCGGGTCCGGGTCGCTGTCTGCGGGGGCCTGGCCGGAGTGAACTCGGGAGAGCCTTTTTATTGAATGGATTCTGCGCCACTCGCCGTCGCGATCCGGGAGCACGTCCCGGGCCCGAGGCCCCCGCCGCGGCCGTCCGGGGGGCGGTCCCTCTTCGCGCAGGCCGTGGCCGCCGGGGCCGGGCAGACCGGAAGGCCCTTCGCCCTCGGGCAGCCCCCGCCGCGCGCCCCGGCCCCAGCGCCGCCCCGGGGCCCCCCACCGCCCCCCGCCGCAGAGGACCCGGGCGGGCCCCTCCTCGGGTACGGGGGCGCCGCAGACCCGGAGGCCGTCCCGTTCTGCAGCGCGGCGGACATCGGGCTCCTCTGCCGGTCGACGAACCCCGCTCAGCGCGAGTACGGGCTCCGGATGCTCGCGAACGCCGTCGCGCTCCGGCGCGTCCGGGACGGCGGCGCCCCCGATCCCGTCCTCGAGGCCCTGCTCTGCCTCCCCGCCGACCCGCACGCGTGCCCCTCGTCTGCCGGCCACCTCCTCCTCCTGGGCCTGCGAGACGCCCTGGAGTCCGGGAGCCCCGGCCTCCTCGACGCCGCCCTCTCCGGCCTCGCCACGGTCTTCGTCGCCGACGAGGGCTTCCTCAGCGAGACCGTCCACGTCGGGGCCGCGCTGCTCGGGCTGACGTCCAGCTCGGTCGCCTTCCCCCTCGGCTCCCTGCTGCGGCGGCTCGTCGAGCACGGGCTCCCGGGGCTCCTGGGCCAGGCCCTCGACGCCGCCGCGCGCGCAGACGAGCGGCGCCGGGAGCGGCTCGCCCACAGCGCGTACCTGCTGGCCGAGCGCGTGCTCATCGGCTGCTGCCCCGCAGACGAGCCCCCGGAGACCGCCGCCGGCCTGCGGGCCCTCGCGGAGCGGCTCCTCGCGGCGCTCCTGGGCGAGCTCGCCGGGCTGGCGGAGACGGGGGCCTTCCTGACGACCGCCTCCCGCGTCGCCCTCCGGACGCTCTGCTACGACCACGTCCTCGACGGCCACGCGCTCGGCCGGGACGCCGTCGCCCTCCTCGTCGAGTCCCTCGAGGCGTTCGTCGGGGCGCTCCCCGGCCAGGACGAGGCGGTCCGCACAGAGCTCCTCTCGGCCGCCACGCTCCACTACCTCCTCGTCGCCCGGGTCCTGCGGGGGAGCCCCGAGCTCTGCGCCCTGCACGCGGCCGTCTCTGCGACGTGCGCCGCCGCCCTGGAGCGCCACGCCCCGGCCGCCCCCGCGGAGCTCAGCGCGCTCCTCGTCCTGCTCCGGATCCTCCGGGCCCGGGCCGCCGTCCCCCGCGCGCGCCTGGGGCTCTCGGAGGCATGCTTCCGGCGGCTGGTCGACTGGCGGGCCCCGCCCGAGGCCGGGGGCTTCGCGCTGCCTCGGGGGCCCTCCGCGGCGTTCGCCCCGTTCTACGCCCTCGCGGCCGTCCAGTGGCGCGGCCCGGGCGAGTGGGGCGCGGCGGAGGCCTGGGTCGGCTGCGTGATGGACGTCCTCGCCAGCGGGCCCCCGGTCGCGCGCTGGGCGCCCCCGGCCGTCGACGCCCACCGGCGGGCAGGCGTGCTCCCGTGCGCGGTGACCGACGCAGGGGTCGCCCTCGCGCTCCTCGTCGCGGCCCTGGCGGCCGTCTGGGGCCCCGGGCTCCCGTTTGCCGCCGGCCTCGCCGAGCGGGTCGGGGAGCGCCTGGCAGGGCTCCCGGCCGAGTTCCGGTTCGTCGTCGCGTTCCCGCTCGCCCGGCTCCTCCCCCCGCTGCCCGCTATCGAGTGCGGGCTCTACCCGAACGCGGCGCTCCTCGGGGCGCTCCGGGCCGTCACGGGCCACCCGGGCTACGACCCCGCGGCAGAGGCGCTTGCGCACGTCGACGCCCGCTGCCCGTGCCCCGCGCTCGCGGCCCTCCACGCGGCGTGCGTGCTCGCCTCGGACGGGATGCGGCGCGACGGGGCGTGGCGGCTCGCGGTCCTCCGGCTCGCGCTGCAGCGCCTGGCCGGGCTGGAGACCGCAGGGGCCGCCCGGGGCCGCGTCCTCGCGTACGGGCTCCTCTGCGTCCTCGACACGCTGACGGGCGTCTGTCGCCTCCCCCCGGACGCCGCGGCCCTCCTCGCGGAGACGCTCGCCGGGGTCCTCCGCCTCGCCCGCGCAGGCCCCGCCCCCGCCGCCGAGCTCCTCTACGCAGCGCCCGCCGGGGGGCTCCGGACGCTCGACGCCGCCGCCGGCGCGTTTGTCGAGGGCCTCCACGGGGGCGCGGCGGTGCTCCCCGAGGCCCCGCTCGTCTACCTCGCGCTCCTCCACCCGCAGCTCGTCCCGGACCCCCGCCGCCGGGCAGAGCTCTGGTCCGGGCTCGCGCTCCTGCGGCTCGACTTCGCGGCGCTCGACGGGGGCCTCCTCGCGGGGCTCTGCGAAGACGACCCCGCGCCCGTCCTCGCGTGCCTCGCGTGCTACGAGCGCCGCGCAGAGACCGCCCTGTCGCGCCGCGTCCTCGCCCGGTACGCAGAGGCCCACCGGGGGCAGAGGCCCGACCGGGTCGTCGTCGCGGCCGTCGAGGAGGCCCTCCGACCAGCGGGCTAGCGTTCACTCAATCAGGGGCACCTGACCCCAGGGCGGCCCGCAGGCCCGCGACCTCCCCCCGGAGCCGGGCGACCTCGTCCTCCAGGGCCTTGAAGCGCAGGGCCGTCGCGACCGCAGGCGCCCCGCCCTCTGCGTCGAGGAGCTCCACGAGGGCCGCGGCGGTGAGGCGGCGCTCCGGCTCCAGGACGAGGAGGTGGGCGAGGACGCCCCGGACGACGGGGTCCCCGACCGCGCCCAGGTCCGGCCGCCAGCCCGCGACGTAGACCTCCGCGGGGGCCCGCCCGGAGAGGAACGGGGGCCTGCCGCCCGCCGCGAGCTCGTAGGCGACCATCCCGAGGCTCCACATGTCCGCGGCCGGCGTGTGGCTCCCGCCCCGCAGGACCTCCGGCGCGGCGTAGACGGGGACGGCCATGGAGGCGAGCCCCCCGGGGCCCTCCCTGCAGAGCCCGAAGTCGGAGATGGCGAACTCCGCCCCGGCCTCGTCGAGGAGGACGTTCGCGGGCCGCAGGTCGCAGTGCGTGAGGGCGGGGAGCGGGGCGCCCGCGGCGTCGGTCTTCCCGGGCCGGTGGAGGTAGGCGAGCCCCGCGCCCACCTGGCGGAGGACGGCGACGACCATCTCGCGCAGGGCGAGCTGCCTTCTGCGGCGGAGGCTCCGGATGGCCCCGTCGAGGGAGCCTGCGTAGCGCCGCATCTCGACGTAGATGTAGCCCTCGTGCCGGACGACGCGCCCGTACTCGACGACGTTCGGGTGGCGGAGGCGCGGGAGGGTCCGGAGCTCGAGCTCGAGCGAGGCCTGCGCGTCGGGGGGCAGCCCGTCGGTCGGGATCTCCTTGACCGCCCTGTCGGGGGCGCTCTTCAGGCCGTAGACGGTCCCGTGGGCCCCGCTCCCGAGCTCTGCGCCCAGGTCTTCGAGGAGGGCGTCGATGGCCTCGGACATCTTTTTAATCCGCGACTGGGCGATTGGGTGATTGGGCGGGCTCAATCGCTTGGGCTCAGACTGAGATACCGCCTAGCTGAGCGCCGCTCAATGAGGGTGATCGGGCGGAATTGAACGAAAAGGAAAGGACCCGACCATCGTTCCAGAGATGGCTTGACCGAGTTCGCCTGTCGACTAGGATCAGATCAGGCAGCTAGTACTGGACTACTCACTATCAATATGTATTCTATCACTGGAGTTATGGAACAGCTAAGTGAAGTCTATATTCTTAAGATGAATCTTAATTGTCAATAATTGATGTTTACAAATCTGGAGTCTCTGCATCTTAGGTCAATCCTAAATAGGTAAATATGAGCATGTCCAGATAAAGTTTACTGTCAACCCACATAGTAAGATAAGTTAAAGCAGATTACGACCTCCGAGGTTGAAAGAGGGAATGCTTGTTGATGACCTCATTATGGATGCAGTGACGTATTTTCACTTTTCCGTGAGCGGTCCTTCTTTTTCCCACAGCAAAATATGTAGGACACCAAAGCAATCACTGCAACCAGAATCGGAATAAGTACAAATACAACTATGATACCATTGCTCCTGAGGAAGCTAGATGTCTGAGGGGGGTCAACATCCAAAGCATGCTCATTCCCTCGCTGAAGAATGTCAGTCCAGACGTTGTCTTCAAGTGTGGGTGCTCTATTGGCATACAATTGATTCGCGTCTTTTCCTTTTAAGGGGAAATACTTTGGTATTTCTGAGTACAGTTCCTGTTCGGTGCACAGTGAGTTCTTCCCGATTGGAGCGTAGAAGTGGCCTTTGCTGCCCCAGTCATCGCCCCAGGAGTTGCGAACGATCCAGACGTCAATTCCGTTCCGTTTTCCGTACCCTACTATCGTTACTTGATGATCTATAGTCGTATTTTTGCAAGGAACATCAAGAATGCCTGACTTGTAAGTATGTAGAATCGCTTCAGTTTCTTCTTTTCCATTAGAAATAGTGTTCACAGTAATGACAATGGGGATTCCGCGTGCAAGGAGAGACTTTGCAACCTTAACGGCGTTCTTAAAGCTATTCTTCTCGAGATATTTGTCATAAACACGAATAAGAGCTGTCTGACAATTAGCCGCAGGTACTATGTTACCAGGAAGAAACGCTTTTTTAACCTTCATTGATGTGCTGTTCTCTATGCTAGAAGGATTAGCGGATAAATTAACGGCGGTTAAGGGAAAGTTGGTCAACGACTCAAGCGTATCTAACCCTTGTTGGTTAGCATAGTCACGAGAAACTCTTAGATAATTACCACCTTCGCAATAATGATTGGCTGGATATGACCTGTTCATGATGTACTGCTCTGAAGCCTTGAAGTGAGGGTCCTTGAAGGCATCGTCAATGGTGGAGTCTGACTGAAAGTAATTTCTGGTCAGTCGGACCGATATTTCATAGAACGCAGCAGAAGCCATTGCCCAGCAGCAGCCACAAGAACCCTGATCTCTAGCTAGATCGATCAAGCCGAGTTCTCGCAAGTCGACAGATGGGGGGAGAGAAGACAGTGTAGTCAGGGGATTCTTGCGAGAGAAGGCAAATGTCTTGCAATCATAGTTACTCCTCTGAGAGTTCGCAGAAGTAGAGCGACTAAGTTTGAGCAAGAGCCGCTTGACCGAGAAGGAGAACCGGCGCCAGGGGGTGCTTAGATCAATCATGTCAGCAGGATCAATCGGCACGTACCCATTCTGGCTGATATCGCGGTTAAGAGTGGGGTTGAGGCCGTATTTAACTGACCCCTCTGTGCGCTCGAGAATGTTGCGGAGGTGACTGAGGTTCTGCGCGTGGCCAGCCCCAAGAAGAGCCAGATTCTTGCGAAAGTGCTCCAGCGCCGTCTCATACTCCTCAGCGGACCTGTAGAAGTGGGCAAAGTGTGCGTTAAACTCGTCAAAGAGGGTAGCATCCCCGCGTAGACTATCGATATTTTCGACGCGAGCAAAGGAAACTCCTAGCCAAAAGATTGTTGTGGCACAAAGCATCGACACCATAGCACGCTATCTTTAAAAGTTGTGCAAATTTTACACTTGCTTATAATTGTAAATATAAGCATTTCTTTAATTGTACTGTAAAAGAAGATTTATCGGAAACAGAGCACAGTGGGGTCAAGGAGACGCACAATCAGAGTGGTCATATTTCCTGCAATATTCCATTTTTCCAAGAAAAATCTTGACCAAAACAATGAAGACTGACGTGTAGATAGATCGATTGGAGATTGGGGCCGTTGCAAATCATCACGTGAGCAGAAGCGTGAAGAAGACGTTCCGCTTTCGACAAGTGCAGATTAAAAAAGTCAGGCAGATAGGACCTTTTTGCTGCTTACGTGCTCAGGCTCATGGCTATCAGTTTTCTATGTTACACATCTATCGATGGGCGTATAAAGAGGCTACAATTGGTTTCAAATCAATATTTTTCACAAGAAAAGTCTGTTTTCAATAACGCATGCAAATCTTGAGGATTGGTCTCGACGCTATAGACTCTTCGCTAGTTACTACTTACCTTACTACAGTGGTCGCAAAGATCCTCCAAGATCACACAACACGCTGCCTCTCTACCAGGGTCGTTACACTGCAAACGATGGACTCTTAATACATAAGTACTGGACATGATAACTAGTTAGATATCATGCAGGTGGAGTGCCGCTATGTCCCCAAGCTTGCTTTCTCGACGGACCCGTGTCCGGCATGCCCGTCACAGTGCGACAGCTGCTCTGGTTTAACCTTTCATCTTTCAAGGGAGGAGCTCGGTGTCATTACTTTATAGTCCATTCTTGTAAACGCATAGCAAAGTAGTAATCATCCCAGAGAAAACGGACACACCTCTTACTTCGACTAGCCGCTGTATGGTGCTTTTTTTGGCACTACTGGTGCCCAGGCTGCTAGCCACCTGTTATCAACGAGTAATTACTACTAGTCATAACAGATAGTCAATGCAGAGAAATGCTTGGAAAGTTCAAACAAGTTTAAAAATACAAAGCCGTCCGTGTGCCCATGCTCTTTGGAATCCTTTTGTTGATTTGTGGCATAGCAGAGAACGCCCATCCAGATGGAAGGGACCTACACATTCCACAAAAGTACTCTATGAAGGGCCACTTTGACGTTGTCTTTGGGTCCGTCAGCCAACCGCTTGAAGTGAAGATGGACACGGCCGCCCATCGTCAAGTTATTTCTTTCTTCGATGGGCTGCATAGCACCCTGGTCCGCGACACATTTTATGCCTACGTTTATACGCGCAAGACAGGCCACAGTTGTATGAGCTACAATGCGCCTGCCTTTCTCAGACCAGCACTAACAGACATGCTGCCAGCACTAGCCGATTTTAGCTTCGTTGAAGAGGTCGTTGAGAATGGAATGACCCTGTATCACTACGCCTATGAGCAGGTTTTGCGGCCTTCTGAGGACTACAATGGCACATTTACGTATAGTCGCACCGATCATCAGGACTTTTACTGTCTTCCGCTGAACTTTGTGGATGGAAAGCTTTACTGTCAGCCTAGACGTTGGGAGATGCATGGATACAATCAATGGACAGGCTCACACTTCGACTTCTACGTTCTCAGTTATGATGCATTCGACATCGATCCACTCTTCACTGATGCAGACTTTTCTACTCCCGAGTCCTGCAGTGGGAGGAATTCTGCCACGGACTTCCATCCTCGCAGCTTTATTGAGGACATATTTACCAACTTCCGAGAGCCGCATGGTAGCGACGATCAGCATGACAATATTCGTCTGAATCCGTCGCATACCTTTACTGTATCGCGCACACGGATGTCAGAAACAGATTTTGAGCTGTTTCTGCGCACCAGGACAGGCCTTGTCCGTAAAACAGTGGAGCAGGAAAGGATTGCCAGGGAGACTCAGTACTTCTACGAGGATATTCCCGAGCACAGTGACACGTGGTACTATTCTGAAGAGAACCAGAAGCGAGTTCAATTCCCTCGCCAGCTCGATTGGCGCGTGCGAGGGGTCATTACACCTGTCAAGGACCAGGCTGCGTGTGGGTCTTGCTGGTCGTTCGGTGCTGCAGGAACCATAGAGGGGCGCCTCAACGCGCTTAAGTGGAAGCGTGGAGAGCGTGATACCCCGCTTCTGCGTGTGTCTGAGCAGTCCATCATCTCCTGTGTCTGGAACGAGGACAACAACGGCTGCAATGGAGGGCTTACTTACGAAGCGCTTACCGCGTACATCAACGAGTTTTCTGGGCGGATTGCGTACGAGATGGACTCTCCGTATCTCGGCGTAGAGTCTCTTTGTAACGAAAGCATCTTCACGTCAGACCATGGGCGCATACGCGGGGTAGCCCATGTCAAGGAGTACGACATCGGAGCTATGAAGTATGCGCTTCTAAGCGGGCCTGTCTCCATCGCTGTGGCCGTCACGGAGACCTTCTCCTGGTATAGCGGGGGTGTCTTTAACGACCCTGCCTGTGCAAGTGGCGTCGACGATTTGGCCCACGCTGTTCTACTCGTCGGCTGGGGGACCGATGAGGTTGCAGGGGATTACTGGATTGTCCGCAATAGCTGGTCTAACGCATGGGGCATTGACGGCTATATGTACCTTAGCATGAAGAATAATATTTGTGGCGTCCTCACATGTGCAGACTACGTGATGGTTGAGTAAATTGCCCGGGTTGGTGAATGTGCTCTGGCCTTGGTCAAAAAATGTCCTTGCCAAGTCATAAAAATGAAGACACTGGCTTTGCTTCTTTCTGCAGCAGCCTGGTCCATCCCCAGCACGCCCACTATTTACAAATGCAAGGCAACATTTAGGGCACCCTATGGCAATAACACGCAACACTTTGAGGTTGCTTTTGATCTGTCCCAGAATCGGGAGAGAACAAGCTTCTACAACAAAGATGGAACTTTAATAGATCAGGAAATTATCAACTATGACCACTACTATAATATCCGCACGGAGCGTAACAGAACCGCTTGCTACAAGTCAACCCCGCCCTCTAATATGGCAAAGCCGGTTAGAACAGGTAACCCCCGTCCTCTATCCTATCTTGTTCCCACTCTCACCAATGATTGGGTCGACATGGGGACAGCCATTGTTAATGGCCGCTATGTTAACCACTACAGACTTAACGGAATCGATGAGGCTCAATCAGATCTTCACACGTACATCAGCACACGTGCCTTTCAGCAAGATTTTTACTGCTATAAGGACGAGTCGGTCTGCATTCCTGTAAGATGGACGATGCGCTCGATTTCCGCATTTGGTTCTCACTTTGATCTTTATAGCCTTGACTACACTGCTTGCACAACAGAAGTCGAAGACTCTGATTTCGCAGAGCCGTTTATCTGTAAGTTCATAGAGGATCCCGACTGGGATAACTGGGACAATGACCCAGACAACCCAGTCGGTCCTACATTTGAAGCCCTTAAACGTATTTTTGGCGGCAACACGCTTACTCGTCTTCTCTCAGCATTCTCTAGACAGAGTTCTCCCAAAGAACTTTCTAATGACCACGCGACTGCTTTGAAGGCGAACGTGGAACTCATAGCCAAAATCAATAGCAACAGCAGCTATACATTTACAGCAGCGCCAAACCATTTCAGCCATATTGACATACAGACAGCTCTATCGGCGTTAACTGGCTTCAGACGCACTAAGAGGAGGATTGAAAATGGCAGAAACTACATACAGAGCAGCAGTGGCGAATGGCATGACGTTCCTCTTTTTGACGCAGATCATCTGAAGAATGAAGACCTTCCACAGGAACTTGACTGGAGGGTTCGGGGTATCATGAACATGGCAAAGGATCAGGTGGCTTGTGGATCTTGTTGGACCTTCGGAGCCATTGGTACCATTGAGGGACGCATAAACAAGCTTCGTGTCGTTGAGGAGGGTCTGCGACACGAGCCTCTAAAGGCATACTCCGAGCAATCTATCGTAGACTGCTACTGGGGATTTGGATCGTTCGGCTGTGATGGTGGGGACACCCTTGCAGCTCTCAAGTGGCTAGTCGAGAACAATGGAGGTCGAGTCGCATTCGAGTCGGAATATCCATACCTTGGGCAAAATGATCTATGCAAAGAGGCTCTCTTTGATCACGAATCGTTCTATTTCGTCACAGGTTATAGCGCAGTAAAGCAGTATTCCATTCCAAGCCTCAAGGCAGCGCTCCAGGACGGACCTGTGGCAGTTTCTATTGGTATTACAGAGTCTCTGTTATTTTACTCTGGTGGTGTCTATAACGATCCCGCGTGCCCATACAAGTACGACGACCTTTCACACGCCGTTCTTGCTGTTGGTTATGGGACAGACGACACTTACGGAGACTACTGGATCGTTCGGAACAGCTGGTCGCCACTTTGGGGGATGGATGGCTACTTCTACCTTTCAATGAAGGACAACATCTGTGGAATCCTCACCGACGCCAGCTACGCGGTAGTTAACAAAAGAAAAAGCTAAAGTAAATTCTGTGGACGCTGTCTAATTAGTGCAATCAGGTGACTTGGTGGCGTGGTCTGAAACTTAAAAAATGGCCAGTCCTAATCACGAGTATCTCTTCAAGCTTTTGGTCATTGGAGACTCTGGAGTGGGCAAATCCGCTCTTCTTCTGCGCCTGTGTGATAAGATCTTTAATGCGTCGTACATTACGACGATAGGTGTAGACTTCAAGGTCAAATCGCTAAATATAAAGGACAACACTGTTAAATTACAAATATGGGACACGGCCGGCCAAGAGAAGTTCCGGACCATTACTTCTACGTACTACCGGGGGGCGCATGGGATCATGGTTGTCTACGATGTCACTTCTCGAGAATCATTTGACAATGTGAAGACATGGCTGAAGGAGATTGCAAACAACGCTAGCGATAACGTTGTAAAGTATATTATAGGTTCAAAGAAGGACCTTCGCGATAGTGCGGGTTCCATCAATGCTTCGCACGTCTCCACAGAAGAGGGGAGGAAATTCGCTGAAGAGCTGGGGATCTCTTTCATCGAAACGTCGTCCAAATCCGGAGAGAATGTTGAGCAGGCCTTTGTGGACTTGGCCGTTCGCATTATTGAGACCCAGGGCACGACTGCTCAAGGCGGCGGACGCGTTATAAACAATCCTGCAGTGGTATCTCTGTCCGACCCAGCAACTAAGAAGGACAGCAAGGGGTGCTGCTGATCTCTGACCTGTTTGTGCCTTGATAATATGGTGCCTCGAAATAAATTGTTCATTGATGTTTGCATCGTTTGCGGTGAGCTTGGACGATGGAAGCAGCCTAAATGGCCCCGGGCTCTCCCTCTCCATGCGGCTGAAGCGAGCTGAGGGTAATCAGCTGAGAGTAGAGCTCGAATCCTCTGCCGCACTGACCTCTTGTGAATGCCGGATCAACGAGCCTGAAATGCGGCGTTTAACACACTCCATGCTACCAGAAATGTTAAACCCCAGTTCTGCTTCCATTGCAGGCTCACAACTTACGAGTTCAGCCTATTTTTCTCCAAAGCCTCTTCAGTTGCATGTGAGTAGGCCTTCTGCATACTCTGAGCCCCCAGAACAGACAGTTATCTCTCCGCCAATGATAGTGCAGCAGTCATCGTGCGAGCCGGAGCTGTCGTCGGTCTCAAAGCTTGCCGCAGTCTCATCAACTAATGAGCTAAGTAAGTGCTTCCAATCAGTGGCAAATTCAAGACTTCCACTACCGGGGCCACCTCCTTCGCAAAAGCAACAAGCACCCCCGCTCCTGTCGCCAACCTCCAGCAAGTCAAGTGAGTCAAGTGATGATACAAGCAATAGCATTAACAGCAGCACCTCCTCTGATATGAAATCACGTTCTCGCTCAGCTTCTCTTCCTCCGACTGGACTTCAGGCAAACCCACAACCAGAACAACATCAAGCTTCTACCAACCGACAAGCTGCTGGAAGTGATACTAGTGATAGCGACGACAGTGATAATAACACTAGTAGCGCAGTTAGCGCATTGCTACAGAGGGCAGCCATGCCATATGCGGGTCCAAAGAAGCTGGATGTGAAGCAGGGCATTGATTTCAAGAAACAGCGCGAGAAGCTGTCTCAGGCATCCAGCTTGCCACTAGAGGCTTTGATGTCAGCAGATTTTATGAGTGCAGCCGTTTCCATGGCCAAGCAAAATACCTGAGTTACTACTCAGCTTGCGAAGACTACGAACGTGCATATTTACTATGAATAAAATTAAAATGATGGCAAACAATCCTGAGCTGGACATGTATGATAGCTGGTTTTTAAAGGTGGGAGACGCACCCATAGAGGCTCACAACATGGCTGATCTGTCCTTCACCCTTCAGCAGATAGCTGAGTTACTCAAAGACCGTACAACGGCTATATCTCAGGGCTTTATCAATGGCACACAAAACTACAATATCTTCTATTACGACACTTGGGATAATAATAGACGGATAGTTACAGGACGATCTCATGATTTCAGTGTAGGCCTTTGCTTGGTGGAGGATCCGTCTCTCAATGCCATCTTTTTGGGACTGTTCGCATACCCTATTTTGGTAAGCGAGGCCACGCGCCAAGCTCTTCTTATTCTAGACCTGTGTGCTTCTTAACTCAAAAACCATTGGTTCATTGAGCGACAACTCTGATAGATCTATTGTGATCTCTTTGTCCATTCCCAAGAAGCAATCGGACAATGCGCTGATGCAAAGAGAGGAGACGAACGGAATTATAAACTCCTGTGAGCGTTCTCTTGCAAACCCAGAGAGCCTTTTGTAGTCAATCACTGTATCCGTCTCCGACTCAGATAGCACAAGGAACCATGTATGTGGCTTAGACTTCTTGTAGACTTCTGAGGAAAACTGCTGGGGAAACGGACTAGCTTGTATGCTGGATACGTGCTTGAGAGATATAATAACGCAAACAAACTTTCCAGTATGTTTAGACTTGTCTGGAATATTTGCTGGTCGGTTTATACGCGTTATCGTCGCTCTAATAATTAGATTAGGATATTTCATAAGCTCCTCACATAATTCTTTTCGCTGTATGCCTGAGAGTAGCTGATGTTTTCCTAGAAACTCAGTTAGCTGTTTCCTGCCCAGCTTGTGGAACTCGTCCACTAATTGTTGTAGTGTACTAATGCCGTTGGCACTTAACTTTTGAAATGTTTTCTTATTACTCTGCAGTGCATTACGCAATGAAGAAATAGAGAGCATAGGCTCCATGTTAGGCCACAGACCTTGCACAAGTCCCTGGGAAAGCTGCACCACTGTCTGTACAATGCTGCGCGAGAGGCGCTTTGCTAACGCTATTTCTACGGTTGCAACCGTTATGCGGATTGCTGCATCAATGATGGTCACTAAGTCCAACCAGTAATCAACCACTGGAAGCTCAAATGCTCCCTGCAACGATGAGCGCACAAGTTGTGCTTGAAGAAGAATGTGTGCTTTAAAGCTGGGCTCTGTGCATGTTATGTCGTCAGGCATGTTGTACCGTATTAGAGCACCAGAGAATTCTCGCTTGCCGTCCCAGAGATATTTTTGGAGAAGCAGAGCTGAATCCCGATCTTCGTTATGTCTAATGGGTATTTCCTGGAACTCCTCGCACCGCACCAGCATGTCAAGATACGATTGCAGCGTGTGTGTCTCGCCTGTAAGCCAGGTATTAATAAGAGCTCCTGATCTGGTACGGATATAATAGCGAGAGACAATCTCTCCTAATGGAGTCGGGACAGCCAGGATGTTTTTCACTTTGACATCAATATCCTGAAAATATAGACGTGTGGGTGTGTCCTGGGCCTTGGGAGGCTTTTTGTGTAGTGAAATGAACTTGTTATCTGACAGTTCAAGAAGAGCAGTTTCTATCCATGCATAGATTTCTTGCGTTATTATGAAGTCTCGCAAAGTTTTTCTATTTGCCAGCTTGATGAGATAAACTCCTGTTCTGCAGAATAGTTTAGAGTCACGGCGTGAGACAAGTCTGTGGTCATCAACTGAAGATATGCCTAGATATAGCCGGAAGGCGGCTTCCATCTCTTGTAGTTCTCTCGTGGGAGTGTAGCTTGTGTCCTCGAAGTCGGCCTTCTCTAGCATCTCCTGTAAGTTTTCTACTAGCGGATCTGGAAATATATTGTAGAACAGTGGATTGCGTCTGGCGCGAATGTATAGGAAGCTATTTTGGAGCCAATTTCGCAGTTCAAACATGGTTCTAGATCCAAAGGATGCCACTTCTGCATTGATTATATCAGGAAAGTGTGTTGTCTGGTGCTTAATGTTTGTTGCCTTTTTCTTCATCATAGCAGCTACAATAGGCGAGGTGTTTGTACAACTTATCATGGAGCTCTCGAAAGGAAAGGGCTCGGAGAAGAATTGCTTGTAGAACTCCTTCATACAAGTTTTGCAGAAGATGAAGCACACTGATTGAGGCTCACTTTGGAGTTGGAGCTCTATTCCGTTAATAACATCTCGCACAATGTCCTTGCCCATGTTCTGAATAGAAGGAGCCTGCTCTGTAAAACGCGTTAGTCCATCGACCACCGCTTCCTTGTTTGGAAATCGCCCTCCAGAGCTCATAATGTATGCCTGATCAATTATTTTATTACTCACGAGATAGTCGAAAGCATCCTCTCCAAATATTCCCGTTGCAAACTTGTCCCTAAGACGGTCGAGGGTATACTGGGGGCGTCCTGCACGTCCGGCCATTTGGATAATATCTGTCGTATCATAGTCAACATATCTACTGACAGTGCCGTCAAAGTACTCACAGCCCTTGATTATGGTCATAAAGGCAGGAAGATTGAGTCCCCAAGCCAGAGTACTCGTCGCTACAAGAATGGATATTTTTCGGTTCAGGTACAGCTTTTCTACGGCGGTCCTGTCTGCGTGGGTCATCCCAGCATGGTGGAGACCAACCCCGTGGCCTATAGTAAGCTTACAGTCAGGGTCTTGCACAAAGCTCTGCAAGTACTCACAGTTAGACCCATCAGAGCGCAGACACGGAGGCGCAGAGGAATCCATCTCTGCAAAGGAAATCAGTGCCATTGCAGTTCGTCTAGTTTGTCTGCGAGATGCCACAAATATCAATACAGGAAGTCTGGGACTATACTTCTTAATGGCTGTATAGATCGGTCTGTTCATGGTGGTCATTCGCGGGGAGTAGTGCCAACCGGGGAAGCCTTGAATGTGCGTCTCAAGTTTCACGGGCCGTGCAGCACTGTTGAAATTAAAGATCCCGCTGATATCCTTTACGTTAAGCCAGCGTGCCAGGTCGCCGGTATTAGCAGAGACTGTCGAAAGAGCTATTATCCGTAGCTGAGATGGCTGGTCACTTACTCCACGATCCAGCGCTAATAGCTCCGACAAGTAGCGCATTCTGCAGATTATGGACTCTAATACGTAGCCACGGGTTGTTCCCACAAGGTGTAGCTCGTCGAAGATCATGAGGCCAATCATTTGTATGTATTTTTTCCACTGCCACTGGCGTGAAATGGCATCAAACTTCTCTGGAGTTGCTAGTATAATATCGGCACGGTAAAGAGCCGAGGCAGCTGGTAGCGACTCGCCCGTGATCTCCATGACAGAGAGGTTCATGTCTTTACTGAAGCTTTCTGCCCAATCGTTATATCGTTCCCTGATGAGTGCCTTCATTGGTGCAATATAGACGATCTTTGGATACACCATTGTAGCTTCGTTAGATTTAGCCTGGTATCTGTCGCGAATGTGCTGCAAAATAGCTAGCTCAGAGCATGTTGTTTTTCCAGAGCCGGTAGGACACCCTATAATGACATTTTCTGATGTATAAAACAGTTTGTGAAACATTACCGATTGTAATAGGTTGAAATAGCTAAATCGTCTTCGAAAGTATGACTCCGCCTCGGGCCAATGCAAAGCTTTGATAGACAAGGGTGGAATCAGTGGTATTGGGGTGAAGGATAGATTGGTATCTGTATATAATACTGTTTTCGAGTCGTTAAGCTTGGGATATACAACGCTGCCATCGTTGAAGACTTGATAAGACTCTTCAGTTGCAGTGAGCACAGGCTTCAATGAAACCTCTGTCCTTTGCCTGATTAAATGGCCTCCAAGCCAAAGCTCCGGAAATGTTACGACAACAAGCCTTGCTTCGAGCACCATGGCTTCAGTTGATTGAGTCGCTGTCGCTCTTGGCACGATATCAAGTTCGGCATTATCTTCTAGTTCTCGTGTATATTCGCTGTAGGACTTCACCTCCGTACCAGGTCGTCGCGGCCTCCAACTGCCAACCCTCAAAATCACAGTCGTTATATAGCCGCGAGAATAGGTCTGCTCCGTAAGCGTTACCCGCTCATAATGAACAGCGGAATTGGTAGTCTGACTATACACTATAACTAAGAAATCCATAGACTCTCCGTGGATGGCCCTATTCCACCGAAAAGCCGCAGTGCATGATAGTGAAAGACGGAGAATGCGATTAGATACAGGGTAAAGAGAGGCTTTGGTAATCAGCCTGGGCACGAAGGCTATGCTCTCATGAAGCTTCTTCGCCTGGCTGCGGTCGTATATATATGTGGAGATATCATCAACGGTCATAGAGAAAAATGAGTTGGGAGATGGAAAGTCCTCTGCGTTCTTGTGATGTTCAAAGTCGATGATAAGTTTCTCCGTCAAAATTTCACCCACTCCTTGGCGCTTTCTAACTTCTAATGTCACAAGGTAGTGATTCTTGATATGCTCCATTGATCCAACCGGTGAGCGAACAATTGGCCAAAATGGAAGAGACGTCTGGAACCAGCGCTGGTACTCAATGCTGCTCGCCAGATCATACAGCTTAAGCGCCTCTGAAACCCTCTGAAGCACAAGTGAGGCCTCAGCAAAAGCACGTAGAATCCGAGGAGCGACTGTCACACAAAGGCGTTGGTCTGTTGCTAGACTCTGAACACGAAGCCTCCACTGGGAGATAAAGCTTTGAAGAATAACGTTAACCTTGTAGGGCGCACTGTCAATATCCGCTGTATTCGTAATATTGAGTCTGCAGATGGCTTGTGAGTTGGATTGGCTTTGGAGAGAATCACGAAACTTCCGTAAATCTTTTTGTGAAAATGCCTCCGAAGCAGACACCTTGTTGCTGCGGCGGTCACTGGTTGTGTCGTTGGAATAGAAACCAAGGTATTCGAAGCTGTCCCCACTCAAGAGTGACAGCTCCTCCAGCTCTGACTTGCGCATAATGAACTTTGAAAAGTCTGAGCACTCACAAAGACATCCTAGGAGAGTGTCGTGAGTGACTCTTCCGACGACTGAATCCTTAATGAGTGATATAAATCTGCAAAAGTTTCTGAAGGAGACGTAGTAATAGCTACAAATTCTTCCTATTTCAGTCGGAAATAGATGCTCGTTATCGGTATCAAGTGTTACGACTTTGTTGCTAGCCAAGTTGAGAATTGCGTTCATGACGCACTCCCTTAGAGTATGATCTAAGGATACAGATGTGAATAAGTTTCCATTGCCTCGTGAGTCTGACTTTGTGATCCTGGCGCCATAGAGCCATGGCATGTTGACCACACGAGTAGCTAGGAAGCTGCGTCGTAAAAGCGAAACACAGTCAGTTACAGACGAGACGTTACCCAGGATTACTTCTGCATTGAGGATGTCCGGAAGAGCCTGCTGCATGTGGGATTCAATCGGTGACTCATTATTTAGCAGCCTCACAAACGTGTCCAGCTTTTCTATATCGGTCAATATAATGCCATGGCCTACCTCTCCAGATGCCGTGTACTGGGGGCGCCCAGCACGTCCAAAGATCTGTTGGATATCTAGGACGTCTATATCTGTTGCCTTAGTTATCTGACCAGCGACCCCAGCAGAGAAAATATCTGTGCCTCGTATGATGACGGTGGAACATGGCATATTGACACCCCAAGCGAGAGTAGCAGTGCAGCATACAACGCGGATCTTACTATCTCTGAAGAGTTGCTCAACAGTCTGCCTTTGGCTCTTTTCCATGCCTGCGTTGTGATAGGCAACTCCACAGCCAATAAGTTGGGACAAATCATCTTGCTTGCCACTGGAGATACTCCTCAGGATATTAGAAGAAATATCAGGCGTGGGAATGGCTCCCTGTTGAATCAGTGCGCGGAGCATATCCCCAATCAGTCTGGCAAGGATCTGTGTGCCCATGCGACTGTGGACAAACACAAGAACCTGATTCTGTCTTTGCAATAGCTGCTCCTTAACAAGAGAGACAGTAACAATGTCCATGACGTCGTGAGAGCTGTACCCCCGCATGTTGCTCATAGACCCTGAGGTTGAGGCTTGGGAATCTGTCCTCTTTGATAGCACATGAGTCATCTTGCTCTGGAACTTCTCCAGTATCTCATGCTCAGACTCAACTAGTCCCTTTACTACAGGGAAACAGTGTGGTCTGGAAACAGAACAGAAAGCACGCATTTGCTTTGAAAGTGGCTGGTTGTTAAGCTCGTCGGGTGCGTACTTTTGCATGTAATAATAGACGTCTGAGAGTTGCAGAGGATCGCTGGGATCGGAACTGCTTTGAGTGGTCAGACGATTGAGTTTCTCCTGGTTGACTGTGAGCTGAGGCTTTATGCCAATTATTGTCTGTGCCAGCGGAACTGGCCTATACTCTTGACCATAGTACAGAAGGCCTGCTGGGGGGACATGTAGAAACTCTGCCACATCCTTATAGTTAGGAATGGTCGCGGATATGCCGACAATACGCATGAATTTCTGAGTCGTTTCACTGTATTGAAGTGTGCGCATGATAATGGATTCAAGAACCGGTCCTCGCTCAGAAACGCCGAGCAAGTGAATCTCATCGATGATAAGTAGAGTTTGCCGTTGAATCAGGCTAACCTCTCCAACCGGTTTCCTGGTTAAGACGTCCCACTTTTCCGGCGTACAGATCAGCAAATTCGCCTCTAGTAACTTGGCTTGCGGCGGCGCCTCATCACCAGTACACTCTAGTACAGTCAATCCCAGCTTCTCCAGTTGCTCTGTAAATGTTGTAGTCATCTCAGACGCCAGGGCCTTCATGGGTGTTAGATAGACAACCAGTTGGGTACTCTTTGCAGAAGAGGGAGGGGTAGTGGTGGCCTGCTTTGGGATGACGGGTGCATTAGAAAACGTTATGATGTGCTGCGTAGGCTTGGGCTTATCGTCGCTCGGGAGGAGTAAGTCCGATGAGAAAGCACGGAGCATGCAGAGCAAGGCACACACCGTTTTTCCTGCACCAGTAGGCGCACAAAGAAGGACATTGCAACTGTTATTGAAGAGAACCTCATAGCTTTCAGACTGAATACGATTGAAGTGCGTTATTCGCTTGGGAAAAACCTTTTGATACTCTAGGGGCAGATCAGAGACAGGTCGCAGAGACGAAGTAGTGGAAGTAGAGAGCACGGGGACATGGGGTATATAAATGGTTTGTGTGATTGTAGACGGAATGGTTATAAGGGAGGAAAGGTGGGTAGCGTCCTCAAGATTCTCCTCGGAGACATAAGGGTGAACATCTGATTGTTGAGAGGCTTGCTTTGACTTTATATTAATGGATATGCGATTGGGCAGAGTTTCTTGCTTGGCAGCCTGCGTCGAAAGAGCAGCTTGAGTGTCAGAACTAAGCTGTCCTAAGCTAGTACCTGGGCATAACAATGTAAACATCTCGACATAGTCCTCTCGGTTGCTAAGAATGTCATTGAATAAAGGGTCATCTAAGACACTGTATGACAATAATTCAAGCAGGCTGTTCTTGATCTCTTCATTGGAGCTGGGTGAGGCAAGGATCTGCATGACTGCTAGGAGCATCTCCTCGTCCGTGATTTGCATCCTTTGTGCATACGGGGAGAGAAGCTTCAGAAGAGTGTGAGACTCCATTAAGTATTCAAAAAATGAAGCCTCAATCTTTAATCATTAATGCCGATACTTTCTATCGTTGATGCACATATTGACCCAACAGGCTCTGTCCAGGCTGTGATGGAAAAGGTGAGTGATATACCTGATGATTCCTTGGAATTAGAGGCAGAGGCACTAAGCACATACTTGCAGGTCATCTTTAGTGCGGAAAGTGTGCCAAAGGACAGCATACAAAATCTCCTTGTTGCTCTTGATAAGAGGTGCATTGACCTACTGTCCTGTCACATCCGGCTTCCTCTCTGCGTCCAGGCTCTTGGGGAGACGCTACGGGGCGCCTTATCAGAATTGAGCATAGAGCACGGGAGGCCCCGTGATCGTGACATTGACAGCTCAGGACATGCAAGCGAAATCGTTTGCTCTATGCTTTGCTACTCTGTAAGCGCATGTATCTCGCTTTCACAATCTATAGGGCTCAGGGGGCTCATTAGAACCTTAGACAGTTATCTCCCCAAAGGCCCCATTTTTGACTTTATTATTCAGCGCTGCCTTTCTTCCAAGTTCTTCACACCAAATACAGAAACATTGTTAAGCGGCGTGGATACTCTCTGTAGTAGGGGAAAATATGCCACCCTTTCAGCGTCTATCTCCATTAGCAACACTTCTGTAGCCACAGATATTATAGCGCACTTGTTAGCATGCCATTCGCGGGACTTTTTTCGTGTGTTTGCAACCAGCTTAGAAAGTGAGGGCCATCGGGCATCTACACTGCTAGAATCATTTACACTAGAAGTACTTACTCAACGGCTGACAAAAGTTTTTCCCTATGATGCATCCTCTATGCCTACTTCGTGGATAGGTGCCTTTGTCACCTATGTGGTGGAGTCTACTAGTGACCTCACATTCATGGCTGCTTTCTCCAGTTGCTTCTTCACCTGGATCTTCCAGTTTCATTCGATTTCTTCGAGTGACGCAACTGCGCAAGACGTCTGGGCTTTTACACTTTTAGACAGATTGGCTACTGTGATGACAATGTGCACGCGGGCCGCAGAACGATTTCTGCGTGGAATGTGCACGTGCTTAGCTATGCTCACACATGCTGAAGTGCACACTTTCATTTTTAGACAAACCAGCAGGCCACAGTCAGCATCTCTAGGGGCTGAGCTCAACTTGATTATCGCAATACTAACGAAATTAGTTAAGGCAACACGCATGTTCATGCAGGTCTCGCCCGCCTTAGAGTCGAACCAGCTTCTTCTCATTGATACTGCCGTGCCATATCTTCAAGCACTCATTCTCTCGGATAGAGATGCAGCCACCAAGCAGCTGAACACTTTCGCAGATGCACATGCAATTATTAACATAAGTAAAGGCTTTGCCGATTCTCTTGCATCAAGGAGTGATCTTCTGTTGTATATTGTCACCAACAACATCACATTACAAGGAGTTACTGACCAGAGTCAGGAACAAAGCTCTACCCTGGCTTTAACCACGCACACCACCATAACAGAAGACCCGGATAACACAGGTCTTGTTTCAATTGCCAGCACAAGCCGTATCGCCAGTACATCGTTGTCCGGGCTTCTTGCAGATGTTCTCGGCCAAGAACCTATTCCAGGAGATCTGCTATCAAACCTCCACAAATCAATACCAAAGTCTTTGGAGGAGGCCATCTCTCTCTTGCAGTATCCATCTGGGCAGCCGCAGTCTCGCTACTATCACATACTATCCCTTGCATCTCTGCCTCCACTGATTAAAAATACATCTCAGATTATCATCATCAGTAAGGCCCAAGAGCTACTGGACTCCGTTCTTTGGTTAGACGACATAGCCACCTTGCAAACAATCAAGGGTAAGAGTGCGTGGCATGTACTGAAGGCCCGGTCCATCTCTAGCGCAATAGAAAAGGCACCTTATGTGGTGGGTACCACGCTTATCGAGCGCTCTCTTCAGAAGCACAAGGCCACAGTGGGGGGCTTTATAATTGGACTCCGTGCTGTGACTGAAATCTCCCACCGACTCACAGCCAGGCAAGCACTCTGCCTGATAAGTACACTTAACAATCGCAGTCAGATTTTTTTCCATAAGATAGAGCTCACAGAGCCAGTCTTCTTCACCCTCACTAGCCTAGTGGATACCATTTCTAAATCCGCAGACAGGCAGGTTCTGTGTTGTGTTCCTCTATGCTGCGATAGCTATGCTGACCACGTAGTAAGGAAGTGTCTACTTTCTGCAAATGGGTCAGTTAGCGAGTCTGTTACAAAGGGAGAGAAGCTGTTTATAGCCACAGTAATACACGCTTGTGCTCAAACAACAGGTGCTCTGAGGCTCTTGCTCTTTGAATTCTCTAAGCGAAATAATGCACTGAAACAGCCAAATGAGATAGAGGAAAGCTCTTTGCCAGCTTCGCTCCTACTAACAAGCACAGACTCTCTGGGACGAGCTCTTAAGTCATTTTCTGCAGTAACTAAACTTTCGCAGTTGTCAGAAGAAGGATGCGACATATCCATCGGGAATATAATTCATGGTACAAGCGCAGAGCTGGTGGGAAGCCAGATGGACTACTGCCAGTCTCTACAGGGCTTTGATGTGATAGATAAGATAACACAGATGTTCTCGAGTAAGTCATCGATAGATGCCGAATGTAGAACCCTATTGCAGGGAGCTGCAGAGAATATTCTGGGCTTCTTTGGCCTTAAAGAATACGGTGAGCTACTTCTTGAGAAGACTAGCTATCATCAAAGTTAATTTCGCAAACACTCTGCTGAGCGCAATCCGGATCCTCTTTCTCGAAGAAGCTGTCCACCTCCAGACACTCCTTTTGGGGGCACTCCCCATCCTGCACTTGCCAAGGAATAAACTGTCTGGGTCCAGATTGATCCAGCTTCAGAGGAGGACTTGTTGACATTGGTTCTTTCTCCTGTGTGAGCTGGCTGATACAGCATGTGCTTGAATAGCTGTAACAAGTATATTCATTCCGTCTGTGTCTCCTGTGTATATCTTGAGATGCACCTAACCTGTCGCTTTGAGAAAGAGACGATGATAGTGTTGGCGTACTGAAGGTCATATTGGTGCGTGATAACAAACTGTCAAGTATGCTGGCAGAGAAGGGTTTGGAACTTGATGATTGCATGCTCATGGGAACTCCCCAGCGTTTCAGAGTCCAGTCCACGGTGTTAGAGATGTTAACAGAGTAGCTATCTAGCTTGTTGATGGAGGAAACGCCCTGTTCTTGATTAGAGGGGTCTTTGAGCAAACCCAGAGGTCTATCAGAACAATATTTAAATCCAGAGTTATAATAGTTCTCCTCTGACCCTTGAGCTCGCGCTACAGGGCTCTCTGGCCGCTCATCCAACACACATATACTGTCATCCATTGCTACACCATAGAAGGTATTTAGTGTGGGGAGAGATCTGGAAGAGAAAGGGTAGAGAGCCGACATCCCGTGCTGGAATGGACAATTAATCCACTCATAAGCTAATTCAACCGGCGTTTCCCCTAAAGGCTCCATATCATCTTTTGGCCGTTCTGGGACAACAATAATCGGGAACCCACGCTGATCTGTCTCCCGCATACGTGAGTAAGACCCAGCAATCAAGCGGCAATCGTCTATCCAAACAGATCGGGCGCTGTGTCGCGTTGTTATGCGTGAGTAATACTCAAGCACGTAATTATTCCTGCGATTGTAAAAGAAGACAGCATCATTGGATGAAAGTACAGCAAGGTGCGTCTTATTGAACTCTCCCCACAGGACACTGCCGCTTTCCACAGACGGCTCGACTAGGTTACAAAGCAACGAAGTTGATCGAGTATCCCATATCCTAGCCGGGGTGCCTGGCCTTTCTACCGATATAAAGACCTGCTTTGATGTCTCCATGTGTTGCTTTATACACACTTTTGCATTATTGGGGCATTGCTCTATTTTCGGTACACTGTCAAGAGAGTAAGTGCGAGTAGACAGAGAGCCAAATCTATTTATCTCGTGCAACTGAAGCTTGTTAGAGCGGAGGTCTACCCAGCCAAATGTGCCATTTGTGAAGCCTAAAAGAACTGTATTCTGATCGCCCGGAGCAGTAGACAGAGATGAAATAGGAGCGTGAAGTGGAATGTCTTGTGCATGGAGATTGTCCATGCAACACGTCGTAAGCGTGTATCCCCGTGCTGCCAGTATATATCTCCCTAGAGATGCCAGATCAGAAACGGAGGCGGGAGCCAGCGTTCCCGGCTCTGTGAAAGAGGGAAGGGTTAACGCAGGCGTGGGGCTGTTCAAGGAAAGTGCATGGACCGTCCCCTTGCGGGTACCGGCAATAACCAAAGAGTGGCCGGGGTGGGCACTGGTTATAGCTGTGATTGCAAAAGGTGTAGCGGCCGCATAATGAGCAACGTAGCTAGCATGGAGGTGTCTGCAGGCACGCTGGCACTCAGTGAACGCGTCCGCATGAGTCCCGAGAATGTGCTCGATTTGCTGAAGCATCCATTCAAATAAATTATATTTATTAAAATAAGAGGATTGGAGGTTCGTAAGACTAACCAATGCTAGCAAACATCAAAAATCACTCGCTTGCTGATTGCTCCGTCAGGGGCCGTTTGTGTTTGCACCTTGGCCACAATGCAAATAACTTCAAACCGAAAGCGCGCCCTTCGACGAGTCATAATGCGCTTTTCTTCAAGAAACTTTTTGAGCATATTGTTTGGCCGCTTAGATGCAAGTCTATAAATCTCTTCAACCGTCTTGTTGTGTGAAGAAGGGTTCATCAGATAGTACTGGGTATTCCACGACAGATCTGCAATAGATGAGTGCTCATCGCTTTCACTTCCTGACCTCTGCTGATGACTGGAGCCCGGGTAGTCCAAATCTGATGTATCTACCGGTGCGTGGCCATATTCGGCCATGCGCTCCAGATAAAACTCATTGTAACGAAGATATCTGGGAAGGCGAGGTACCGCAAGCGTGCCTCTAGCAGAAGACTTGTAATCTGCATAAGACATGCTTGTGTCAGAGGCTCGGGAGCTCCATGTACTGGTACGGTCGGGATCACTGGCCCCCTTGTTGGAGGCAAGCGTTGACCTCATTCTGTGTCTCTCTGGGTGCATGAGATATTGAGTAAACGAAGCCTTGTCCTGTTCTGTTGGGGTAGATGATCGAAAATAGATGTGACCAGTGGTGCTGGCGCGCATAAGGTGTGCAGCTGCATCTGTAGCTGCATAGGGAGCGTAGTTAGAATTCCTGATGCTCTCCAGGGCTGCCACCGGAGGAAGAATACTCGGAGTGGAATGCTTGGAAGAGCGAACACAACTGGGGCCAGCAGATCTACTTGGAGTGGAGATTGTGGAGGCGTTTGGCAAAGCAAGTGAGCCAATGCGAGAATCAACTATCTTGTTATTTGTCGTCTGATTGAATCTATCAGTGGGCTCCTGTTCAACCTCGAGTAAAGTAAGCTTCACTGTCTCATTGCGCGGTGTTTGTGGTAGCAAGCGATCTTTGTCAGGACTGTGAAACTCAGCAGACACTCCATAGCCTACTTGAGCATCAGATAGACAGTCTGACGAAGGGAGCACTTGAGTTGTATCGGACGTGTCGGTAAGCATGATTGCGTTATCTCCTGCTAACAAATCAAAGCTAGATTCATCACTATTTGTTTCAGATGGCAGCAGAAGAGTGCGTCGCTTATGGTAAGCTCGAGGTGGCTGCTTGACAGAGCTTCTTGCGGTGACCAGGCTTCTAAGCTGACTGTCCTCCCGACCCGCCTTATTTGTTGCTTCTTGTATAAAGGGTATTGCATCCTTACTGTGTGTACATGTACATGAGGAAGACTTTAGACTAGGGTCCTCTGCCAGAGAGGTGGTCCCTTCAGAGAGAAGATCAAGGCACTGTAAAAGCCGTCCAGGGCAGTCGATAGATATGTCTATATGTGAGAGGGGGGAAGAAGATAGATTGACTTCGTGACTCCGCATAGTCTGCTCCAGGGGAGCACTGATAGCTAGAGTAGCCTGCTTAGATAATGCAAAGGGACTAACCACCTTATCGAGTGACTTGCTGGACGTGTGTAGATCATGAAACGGTGATTCTAAGTTCTGGTTATGCTGAGACTTATATTGCTGAAGAATTTTGTATACACTTTCCACAGAAAAGTCCTTATCTTGCAAAGGAGATGATCTACTTCTGCTCTCAAAATGCGTGTAGTTTAATACTTGGCTTCGCTGTTGTGCAGTATTCGATAGTGAGTAAGTAAGTCTTTTTCGGTGAGAAGAGCTCAAAGAAGGGGGGCCATCTGGAGGTGCAGGCGGTCCTACCTCAGTAGCCAGTGAAAAATCACTAGGGTGAGTAGGAGATGAGGAGTAGGGTAGAGCAGGCTGCGAGCCAGACATTATGATATCCCTTATGGCGCGAGTTCGACCCTTACTGATTGTCTGCGGGCCAAATATCCGCGTGACTCTCTCCTGTTGTGTAAGGTTGCTGAGTGAATAACTCATATCCGGTAAAGAAGTGAATAGAGTGGCCATACTCATAGACTTATCTAAAGAAGATTTGACCGATTGATGATGCGACGGAGACAGCTTTGGGTCGGTGCTCTTCCTGTATTCAGTAGACGTTTGCTTTGGGTCAATAGGTGGTATGTCTGTGACAAGAGTGAGAGGAATGCGACCATTGGAATCAGGTTGGCTTACAAGAAGACGTTGCTGTGAAAATTCCGATGATGGTGTATTATTTATCTGTACTGCCGATACGCTGCGAGGTATGTGTTCGTAAATTATACCAGGCATCGCAGTAGCTTTGGAACGCTTTAATAAAATAGTTCTCAGTGGACTCAGAAGCTGGCCCTTACATGCATTGGTTGGGTCAGCAGTTGTATTAGATGGATTGTCGACAAACTGGTTGATACCGTCGTTTACGACTCTCCTTCTAGAGTACTCCCGAATACCAAAGTCACGAACTGTGCAGGAGGTAGTCCACGGGGTCCGGCTCGAGACATCTATCTGAGAGCATCTACAACTTTGTGCATCTTCCTGCTTCTCGCTTAAGTCCCTGGCGGTCTCTCTAATGGGGATATCTAGAGAATCATCACTGTGTGTGCACAAATTGTCCCTCGAACTACTAACAGATTGATCATCTAAAAGGAGAGATACCTCATCAAAAGACTCCTGCTCAGGCCGCTTCTGCTGGTGAACAGGGGGGTAAAAGGTGCCGGGTGAACACTGTCTTTGTACAGAGCAAGCAGCGCTTTTAGCACGATGAGGTACTACCCTACAATGGGTTCGTGAAGGAGGAGGGATACAGTACACACGGAGGGGCGAGCCAACAACTCCTGTGCTCTTCCCTCGAATCAAGGAGGTCATGGTTCTCGCAATTGGTTTCGTTGCCGGAGCCAGGGACATATGGCAAGAAGGCGCTCCACCGTGGGCTCCTTGACTACGGTCAGACAATATCGTTGAGACCACATCCTCAACCGTAGACATCTTCCCCGCAGATCCCGAGGTATCTGACTGGGATAGTGACAGCTTGAAAGAAGGGTCAGTGTGTTGCAAAGTACTGGGAAGGCTAAAGTTCAGCTCCGTGGTGTCCTGCTCAACGCAGAAACGAGGAGGGTTCAAGTATGCAGTGAGTTGTGACGGTTTGTGGCCTAATGTGTACACTGTGTCATCAAAGTGGAATGAGCGAGAAAATGGCTCCCGTTTGATAAACAGGTGCCCATCAGACGTGGTGGTCACCACGGCTAGAGAATGCGGATGGGGGCGAATCTTATCCAAGCCGCTATGGACGGAAATAGATAAGTTCTTATGGATCAGTTGCTCATATATCTTGTGAAAAGGCTTTGTATTGCATCTTCGAGCCGTAGCATGCTTTGCCACATATCCCTTGCGAAGCAGCAATCTATACGCAGCATTTTCTGGCCGCCTTCCAGAAGCTTTGGCCTGCCTGAGCAAGAGAAACAGTCGATGCAATTCAGTTTTTAAAGAACTTTAGAGGAGAAAATTATATTCAGTGGCTGTACTTGCGTGACTACCAGTAACGGAGGAGTACTTGAGCTACTTAGAGGACCGGCATGCAGAGACATTTCTTGTATCCTCCGAGAGAACTGCCGTCCCGTTCCTTACTGCAATTCATGAGTACATCAAAGAGTCGCAAAAGGTGTGAGTTGTACAGGGTTTATAAACACTTGGCACAAGTAACTAGACAGGAAGAGTCTACTTACATTTTATCCGGCTTTCTATCTGCAGACATGGAGCGAGATATATGCGGCTCTGGAGATGAAGCCGTCCTACGCATAACTCACGACGAGGCAGGGAGTGGAGATGACAATGGACACGAAAATACTAACGAAAGTAATGAAAGTAGTAGCCTAGGCCAAGGAGACTACGAAACAAACCACTATGAAGAAGCAGACGACTTGCAAGAGAACGACGATGACTTTGGGATACTCTAACTGTATAATCGCTCAACTGCGCATCTAACAAACTCCTGTGTCTCTTCGCAAAAGAGAGAAAGAATGACGAAGTTCCGCGTAACGACAATAGAGTAGCTCCATCGATATCCCAGGTACATTGCTAAGCTAAAAAGGCGTTCAAAGTTTCGGATGAATTTCTTCGGGTGAACAGTGCATGACACCTGCGATGGTTGGTCCCTCGTTTTCATGGGAACCTTATATCTGAGTGTCGAGGACAGGGAAGAGGACGATAATCCTAGCGCTACTAGCATTGTAGAGCTATCTTCTGCCTTAGTAAAGACAGTGAGGCCTAAACCTTTGTCATCAACCGTCGTGGAAAACGTAGTAAACAACTTTGCCAACAAAGTGTTCGCAGTTGGCACAAGGAAGTCTTTGTATGCAGCCTGCTCTACTGTTTCGCCGTCTACAACGCTATCGGAGATTGAAGGAGACTCCAAGGAATGTGGTAATGAGCTCTGCCGGCCGTTGGTGTCGACGTGCTGACAAGACTGAAGAGATAGATGCATAATGAGGTTGCGCAGCCGCGTGATGACATCGTCTGTCCTGTCATTCTTTCCTTTTGTGTACGTTACCGGGATTTCATAGCGTGTAGAAACTTTAGTGAAGTTCCCTCCTGACTCAAGACCACTGAGAAGAAGGTTCTCTCCTGCACAAAGAACCTGAAGCATGTAGCGGTCCCGCTTCATCAGGTAAAAGTTAAGCCATGAAGACTGACTTCCGCCTGCTTGTTCTATGACGTCCAAAATGTGCTGAGCCATGACATCCATGACAAATACCCCTGTTGCAGCAAAATCCATGGAGGAGAATAGAGAAGTGCGATCCATACGTACATGCGTCTTGCTATGATAGCAGATGAGATCAATTTTAGAATCAGGTACGCCATCATACTGAAGCAGGATTGACCACTGTTCTTCTGGGTGGGTACGGAGAATCGAGTAGAGCAGGCTCCCCTTTCCCGCAGTCAAGGAGAAGCGGAAATGCATTCACGACGGGTGGTTAAAATTTACAGCCACGCAGTTGTCATGTTGGCATTGAGTGAGTAGGGAGCCTCGTCTGATAAAGGCGTGTGTAGATCCGTTTCGTGGATAAGCGCTTCTACGCATTTGGCGAACAGGCTGTGTTCGCACAGTAAGGCGTGGGCCTTAGGATACTTGATATCTTTAGACTCTCGGAACTCTGCGAAGGTTCGGGGTACTAGAACAGGAGCATCTGCATCAGGTATATAATCGTTTAGGCAGTCCATGTCGACAGCGTAATAGTCGTACTTTATGGCCATGAGCATCATGCTATTTACCTTCGTACAGAACCTCATAGTCTCGCGGAATATGGACCTAAGAGCTACCACGTAAGACACGGTCCGGAGCTTAGACTTATCCGCACTGAGCTCACAAGGCACCTCATCTTCGTTCTTTTTCACGTCCTTTAAATAGAACAAACACAAGCGAGTAATGGTGTGTTCTAATAGCGATGTGTTCTTAGGACTCAGGCTCACACCCAGTTCAATAATTCCGCTGATGATCCGCACGCCTACAGATTGAATTACCGTGCTTTCTTTGTAGTTTCTCATGATGTTCAAAATGGTACAGAGCCTGTTTGAGCGCACAATATGACTGTACAGGAAGAACGGAGAAATGATTAAGGGGAGCTGCTTCCAGTTGAGACAGTCCCCATAGTTATAGTTCATGACATCATCCACTGAAAACACCGTATCGGTGTACATGTCGGACCACATAAACTCTCCTATTGACGTCTCCTCCATTAGTACGATCTTTCGTAAAGCAAGGTCGGACTGTACATCATCTGTGTCTCCGGCATCGTCAAAGAACTGCATAACCACCTTGGAAGAGTTCGCTACACCGATCGCATGACTAGTATAGAACAGATAGAGGTACGAGGCGACTTGGAGAGCTCTGCTAACCTGGTCATCCGTAGTAGTTCGGTTCTCTGAGGCGCATCTGTCAATGAACGACAAGGCCTCGGCGAGTGTGGTAACTATAGTAATAAACTTGTGAGTGTATTTTGCCTCAAATTCATCAAGTGCCTCATTATCGTAGTGTTGTAGTTCATATTTGCGCGTTTTAGCGACTAGTGTTTTGCCTCCATCTATATTCTCAGTAGACACAGAGGTGCACTTCACCTCTTCCTCTATAGAGTAAATTAAATGACTAATAGCAGTGTTGAAATAGTCGTTACGCTCCTTGATGAATTCGTCGGATAGCTGGGGTGTGCTATGAATCTTCCTGAATTCCTTGTAGTGAAGTGCGACAGACCGCACCACAAGGTACCTCAACATATGAATGATAACTTGGCCGCATATTTTCAATGTCATTAGCATGTCACTTAGTTCGGTCATACTTTTAGAGCTAGTAGAGATGAACAGATACTTGTCAAGGATGAGGCGGTAGTGGTCAAAAATCTGATCGCATAGATAGGGGACATTACAGCGTAAAATAGTGGCCAATATTGTGGAGTATGCTTCTGCCCGGGTGTAGCTGGATATCTTGTTGCCGATGGCAAGCCTAGAAAAGCTCTTCAGCTTATCCTCCATAGTGGCCTTAGAGCGATCCATATCGTTGTTCTTCGTACCGGCGCTAACAACAGTGCCGGTCATGTCTGGAAGCGTAATACCTGCAACCTCGCGGACAAAGTTTCGTATGACGCAATGGGAGGCACAGAGGTCGGCTATCTTCTTCGTCATCGCATCAGTGCGGGTCTGATAATTCGTCAGGAAGAACAGAAAGACATCCTGGGCCTTACTATTGCATATACAGGCAAGCCACTTATTGAGTAGGGCTTTATCATTAGTAAAGAGATCAATTACAGAGGACAGTCTCTCTTGCTTCTTAAGACCTGTGAGAATGAAAAGAGAAAGTCCGTCGATAAGCTCCTGCCTGCCCTTAAAGACAGCGGAGTTCAAGGCGGGTGAGGCGACGGGAGAGTTCACATAATAATGAAGCAGAGTGAACACTCTTACAAGTATCTCCTCACTACTAAAACATGCATCCATTATAGCAGGGTTGGATGGAAAAGCTGAAAAGATGTCAAAGGCTAACGGCGTCAAATCTGAAGGAGACTCTGGAGGAAAAGCAAGATCTAGAAGCTGTAAGATGTTATCAGGCTTTAGAAACACCTCTGTTGCGACGCGAGTGGACTGGCTTACTTCGTTGGATGTGTTCTTATCACGTACGAGGGTATCGAAGTCAACTATTAGTGGTGGCTCGCCATCGTCACGCAGACCCGACCAGTACACATGCTGATTCATGATAGCATCAACTCTGAGCAAGTGTGCTTGGGGATCTGCTTGGGGAAGCATGGGTTTTTAAAATTCATTGCACAATCAGATTAGTAAAATATTTTTGAAAAGTTAAGAGGAAAAACAGGCGCATCATGGACAGTGATAACATTAAACGCTACCATGTCGTAAGCATGTCTCCAGGAAGCGGTCCTCTGCATAGGGGCGTACCAGAACAGGACTCATTTGTCCAGGGGGGTTCAGGGACCCCGGCTTCGACGTTGCAGAACAAGGTGTCTACGTCCCAGCAAACTAGTGAGATGTACAATCCTCATTTAGTATCGGCGAATGTACAAACATATCGCACTAATACCGTGGCACCAGGTCCGCACAGCCTCAATACCTCCTTTCCAGCGTACACTGGAACACAATCCTATCAGGCCCCTTTGGTACACCCATCATATCAGACAGCTACGCAAGGCAATTATAACACAACAACTATGCGCGAATACAATCCGCACTTGGACAAGGACGCGCGTGTGGTTAGCGAAAACGTTATAGAAGTGCCATCTGGACTTCCCGCGCGCATAGTCAGGGAGGAGCCTGTTGAGTTTGTTAAGGAGATAGTAAGGGAGATCCCGAGGGAATATATTCAACGCACTGTGTTTCAAGAGCCGGTTACATACATACGAGAGGTGACCTATGATGAGCCCGTCCTGGTCATGGAGCAAGTCGTGGAACGGGAGCCATATGCATATTATAAACGAACGGTTGAAAACGTCCAAGGGGGTCAACGTATCATTTCTTCAGGAGGAGCCACTGTGCCAGTACAAAGCTTTCCTCAAACTCAAACCCCCACGCAACACTACCCTGGGCTAGCAGCTGCTCCGGGTCCTTACGCAGCATACCCAACCAATACTCAAATGATCCCAACCACCAATTACGTCCAGGGTGCTCCGCGCACGATCCCGCTGAGTGAGGTTAGCTCACGACCAGTGCCGGTACCGGGCGGTCTTCAGGTCTCTCAGCCACCTCCCTCATTAGTAGCTTCACGGGGTACTATAGGGCAGCAACATTACATGGCCGGGAATTCGCGCCTCAATACCTCACGGGGATAAGCGTTGACAGATTAGAAAGTCGATGAAAACTAGGAGCTCTACCTTCCCAGCTACAAGTACCAAAGGTCTATATAGGAACAGCAGCGGAGGAACAGCGAGTGAATTAACCAAATTATTGAACATAACTGAATTTTGCCTCCTAAATGCTTCTTCCCAAGGCTGGGGTAGAGATTGCAAAGGGTCTGACTGCTGGAGTACGGAGTTCCCTGTCTGTTCTTGCAGATAATATAGTAGAGAGTAGTCTGGCCCTCGCAGATATCTGGCATCATGTACGGGCGGAGGTCCGCAGCCTGGCAAAAGCGCCGAATTGGGCCAAAGTAAGGATAGCTCCCATGCCCTTGTCTCAAGCAAGCCAAATACTAGACATAGAATCTGACACTAGCCTGGACAAGATCAGGGCCCAACGTGATAAGTTGCTCGGACAGCTGTCCCTCAGTCCTTTTCTTCAGGTTAAGGTTAATGAGGCATATGAGCGTATTAAAAAAAGTAAATGCGGGCGTTATGCACACCGCCGGGAAAGCCGCAGGGAACGTTGCAGGGAAAGTAAAATTCAGATTTTAAATAAAAACATATGAGTCATAAAGTGCCGGATGTCCGTGAGCAGGCCGGCGCTGAGGAGTATGACGAGACTATATATGAAACTATATACGAGTCAATATACGAGACCTATTTAGAGGACGATTTGCCTCCTGCCACAGAGCCAGCATTAGAAGCTCAGAGATCCCCTTATACCGACATGGGAAAGCCGCTGGGATCCAGGTCAGATCGCTCCTTAGTTTCATTAGAAGCAATGATTACTAATTCGGATCCTACTACCAAGGCAATGGGATTAGACGCGCTTCGTGACAGCAATGATCATGACACAAGGACAAAGCTTGCATATGCATTCCAGTGTCTTGATGATACTAATATGATTATAACTGATGCCGCTATCCAGCTTTTAAGAGTAACAGTTGAAGATGACCCCCTTCCTCTTTTACAAGATGCTTACGAAACGACTACGAAGGAGTTTCATGACGCAGTAGCACACATAACGTCGGATATCATTTTCAGAAGTCAGAAGATGACTGATGCGTCTATCTCTATACTGTCCATGCTTACTCAGGTGCACCTAGACCTCGCTCTTTTTATATTGACGCAGATGATGAACGGCTTTAGGCAAAAGAATATCAAGAACGTCGAAATAACAAGTACTGCTCTCAGGAAACTAGAACTGTACATAGATCGCGCCATTGATTCCTCTGCACTAGTGGAATTTCCTGGAACGCTGATCAAGAGCATAGCAGACAGCCTTACTGTTGCGTTGAAGACAAAGGGGCTAGGAATCAAAGAGGTGGCTGAGGACTATATACTAAGTCTTACACACATCATTCCTTCGGATCTTCTACTAACTGAGTTTACCAAGAATAAGCTTACCTCTGTGAAAGGATTAACGTCTACGGGAAATACCCCCGGGCCGATTTCGCGCCCCATCACAAGGCCTCCTCCCCGGGCGCAGTCACAACCCAAGAACGCATACCAATCTTCTTCCCACAGAGGGTCCCTCAGTACTCATGAGCCTGATAACTTGTCATCAAGAACTACAGGCTCTGTTTCTGGCAGTGGAGTCGTCGGACAGGAGCACGCCGTGGAGGGCTTAGTCGCCAGCCAACAGTCATTTGAGGAGCAAGTTGCTGGGGGTTCACGGCAATCATTCACTGACCGTGATGACTCTCTTACGCAACCTTCCGACAGTTTCTCGAAAACAGACGAGCTAAAGTATGTCTACACACCGCCCAATTTTGACCCCGACGCCGAGGATTGGATATCTATGATGTACATTCCCCGGTCGATTCTTCCTGGGATCACTGACAGTTCCTGGCAGATCAGAAAAGAAGCACTAGAGACGACCGAGCTTCTCTTCAATCCCTTCATTCCCCATCCTCAGCCGTCGCTCACCCTTGCCCAGTGCGAGAATAGAAAGAATAACAAGACAGTTGCAGAAGAGATACTGATGCGCATCAATGAAGTGGTGATCGGTGATCAGAATATAGCAGTGGTAATAGCTGCCCTTGGAGCTCTTCGGATCATGCTGATGTATCTTCCTTCATCCTATTATAGTTCTCACAGTAAGCGTGAAATAACCGAGTCAATACTGCAGAAACTGAAATCAAGAAAGCCGAGCCTTTTATCGCCTTGCTACAATACCGTTGATGTCATTCTGGGAAGATTTTTGACGCTCGAGGAGTTTATTGAGCTCCCCATCCTCCAGAATGCGCTTCCAGAAGTCCCCAGAGATGTAATTGATAAGATCCCCGCAAATTGCTCGTTTAAGGCATTTATAGATCAAGTTGATGAATATATTAAGAAAGACAAGCGACCAATACCCCCATCCAAATCCGCACTCAATACGTATCTTTATATAGAGTTTTGTCGCCTGCTCCAGCGGCAAATGACATTTCTTCTCTTCTTGCTTCTGGGCGGAATTTATAAGAAGGCTGTCTTACAAAGTGTCATCCCCAGTTCTGTCATGGAGCTTCTGTGCGCATATGCTGCGTCGCCAAATGTCGTAATTAAGTTAGACCTCAGTGAAAGCTTTCAAGCTATGCTAGCTGGGATGGGGACGCCGACTCCTCTGAAGACCAAGGAACTTAGTGGTCCATCTTTTACTCTCCCCCTAAGGATGGAAAGCATTGCAGGCCTGTCCAGTCTTCGATACTATCCACTGAGTTTTGTTGCTCATTTGTGTCGAGGATTTTTCTGTGAAAAGAGCCTCTATACTTTGTCTTTTATAAAAATATGTACCGGTACGTTAATGCGGGACATGTCCTCTGAGGTTAGAAGTGTCAGTAAGGAATTCGATGGCATTCTTAACACGTTCATGTCCCTTCATCGTAGCGCACTCAAGCAAAAATTGGGTGGAGCTTCGCGAGGATCCAGTCCGACAAAGAAGACTGGGCCTCATGCTTCTAACGCTGCCAAAGGCCAGAATTCAGGTCACACCCAGGTAAAGCCTGCGCAAATTGCTGTTCATCCCACCGATTCTGATCTCTTAGACTTTGACCCAAAGAAGCCTTCTACACAGGCCTCTCTGAACGACTCTGATCCTACACTTGGGAAGACTCCAGTCAACACCTCTAATGCTAGCAATGCGTCCCAGAAAAGCGATCCCTTGTCGTCACCAGAAAAGCCTAAGACACCCCAGCATGCAAGTGGAAAGGCTGGAGCCCGGAGTGGAACCCCTGCCAAGATGAAGACACCTGTTCGCTCGGTGCAAAGTCAACCCCCGCAAATCATTGGGACTGCGGGAAAGACCAAGTTCATTTATTACCACGCCTATGATTTTCCTGCTGAGATTTTTCGTACTTGCTCCTTCGACAGTGGCACAAACTTCAAACGCGTCAAGATAATGCTTCGACCACCCTCGTTTTTACTCTACAAGATCGGACCTGTTTGTACATCCGATGACCTGACGTTTGTTGAAACGCTTAACACACCAAAGTACGACTTTTCTTTGATATTCCAGCCAGCACATCCACAAGAATCCCGTGAAGGAACTTTCTATGTATTGCGAGATGAAGAGAAAGCATGTTCATGTGTTGAGCCGTTAGTAGATCAGTTCAGTCTCATTATAACAAAGACATTTATGGCTAGTTCACAAAAGAAACCAACCGACAAAGGCCAAAACTTGGCTTCCACAGTTGTTTCTATATTCAGAATCATCGGTATGTTAATTATGACGTGCAATAATGAGAGCACACTGATAAAGATTCTTCCAGCTGCAGGCATTATTTTGAACACAATTTATAGCAAGGATCTAGGCCTCTATAACACGATAATTTCCGCCTACATCTATCATATTCTGACCTTTATTCCGTACCGCTTTACGAGCAACCCTGCAAAAGTAATCACTGCGTGGAAAAAGCTTCTCACTGTTTCGTTCGATATTCACGGGCTTGTCCCAGTCTACTACACACTATTTGCTATCATGGCAGCTATCTGCAAAGAATTGGAAAACGAAGACGGCGAACTCAACATCCGGAACGGGCAACATGTCCTGACTCTGGGAGAGTACCTACACGAGGTAGTTAAGTTTCTCCACGACAAGTTTGATCCCGTCCATTCTGCAGCAGGGTTCTCTCTTCGGGTAACATCGGAGCTTCTTATTCATATCCTCGAGCTTGGCGCTTACCTCTACGGAGGGTGTCCAGCCCTTACAGGGCCGTCTGGGCTTCTAGTCCGTGTTAGTTCAAAGCTACTGGCTATGCTGGTTTACTTTCTCCGAAATGTTAACGGGTTAGAACAGATGGACCCTGTCTTTCTCAGCAAGGTACTGGACTGTGAAGTAATTCCCACTCTCAAGGGTCTCTATTCATCGGGGGCCTTCGAGGCTGCTTGCATGTACAGCGCACTCAACTGCTTAAGAACGATTAGGGACGCTGATAGCGAGCTGGCGAAGTACATCCAGGCAGTGTTGACATGTTGCAATAAGACGGATTTTCCTCGTTTGACCCTAAGCACGCGTGCACCCAAGACGTGCATGCAGCTAGATGTTGAGGCAGACAGAGGGAAAATACATAATTGTGACTTCAGAAAGCCCACCAATTTGTACACCGTAATCCGCGACCTTAGCGTAAAGAATCCGGGAATTTACGATGCTCTAGCCATACAAGGGCTAGTATCAATACAAAAGTATGCTGTAGCTTCTGATAAATCACTTCAACAGCCTGCAAAGCCTGTGAATGAGCAACGCGACTCCAGAGAGCAGCGAGTTCTTGCGGGAGGAGAGACATTGCACAATGTCTCTTCAGGCTTAGTTGATGGCAGCCTCCAAGATGGACGAAAGCAGCGGTACAGTGTAGATGAGTGTATGACTGCTGAAAGGACATCCCTGGATGGAGACCGGAGCATCAGAGAAAGGCCGCCTTCGTCGCGCCCCTCCAGTGCTAGGTCTCGACGGAGTATCTCGCACAGAGATAGCTCAAGCATGTATGATGATGAGCAAGATACTAGCCAGGCATTTAAGCATGAAAAAGATAGAATCGGGAAGAATGACGCGCACATTCGTCAACGAGCTGTTTTGCACCACACTATAGACTCAGCAATGAAGGCACACCAGTCAGTAGAAAGTCCAGACAATAGCCTGCAGCAGGAGGATACATCTTCTGTTCTGGCATCTGCGGAACGCACCAGTGTTACTGACGGAGATCGTGAACGCTCTACTCTTAAAAAAGCGACCTCCACGCCTTTGCGAAAGATTGCCTCGAGTATGCGGAACAAGTCGTCGACTATCTTGCAGATGAAGCTCTCTAATATTCCAGAGTTTCTCCAGCCATACTATAAGGCTCCTGGTTTTGAACTGCCACTAAGCAAGGTTTTGGGCGTATTGTCTGAATATGAAAGTGCTTTAAGCGCAGAAAAAGATTCCATGATGCGCTCTGACTTAACTATAGCCATGATTCAGGCTCTATCTCTTTATGAGGATCACAGCATTGACAGCACAAAAATAAGCCGCAAGCTTCTCCAATCTATTGATGAAAAGGTACACACAGAATCCAATGCCAATGCAGGAGACTACTACCTTCTCTTGATGACAGAACTAGCCAGGACTGGCACTGTGTTGTCTGTCTTTGAGCAGGCCTGGTCTATTGGTCTGATCAATATGCTGGGGATGACGAGGAGGCCTATCACCAGGAGCTATGCTATTCAGGCGCTAAACATGTGCATGAATAGCCATGTTATATTAACAGCTACCTCCGTAACAAAAAGCTATATGGGTGGATCAATTTTGAAGGCTTTGAATGGAACTTCAGCCAGCTACTCCATTACATCGCCGACAGCAGGGATAATCGCAACCATCAAGCAGGAGACACTTAACTGGATTCTTTCTGACATGCTTCCATCCATCATTTCATTTGTGTCGGAAAGCGAGGTGTTCTACACATTCGAGAGTAGTGCTGTTTTACACCAAATTTGGATACAGTGCGAAGATTTGGCTGCTAACTCCAAATCAACTGCAATGCGCGGAACGGCCAATGAAATACTGCACATGCTCCAACAAGTTCAAGCTGCGTGCAAGGAGCAAGAACCAAAGAAGCCTGTGCGGCCGAGCAAACTGAATAGAGAGGAGATCCTAGGCAAAGAGCTGGCTCAAACAATCAATGAGCTAGAGAAAACAACTCGATATAACAGCAAGAATACAGACGACGTCATAAAGCAGGCCCTTTCTGCGGAGCGCAACAGGCTAGCCCAGCCTCCTCGGGGGAGCAACGATGCTAACACATCGTCTATTTGCTCCGAAGACGGCTTTTCTACGACAGCTATCTACCTTGGCGGACTGTCAACAGTACATGCTTCAGTACCTGATGACCATCAAGGCGCGCCTCAACACAGCACCTCTGCTCGCTCAACTATGTCAAAACCTGCTATTCCTCGACATGGCAACAGTGCCAGACAGAGTCTTGATGTTAATGAGGGTTTTGAAAGCGTTCAGAATCCTGCTGAGGCTGGCCCAGTCCGTAAAGAGTCGACTGATAGCTACATGGTGGACGATCTAAACGAACCGTCTTTTCGCTCTGTCGCGAATAGCTCATTACTAGAGCGACATAGCGAGCCGATGGAATCTAGAAACATCTCGCATTCATCACGGAGCTCTCTTAGCCAGAACCATCCTAGTGAGAGCTTCAATGCCCTGTCTGTTCACGGAGACAGTACCATGGCCAAGTCATCACTGGCTATAATTTTGCACAATGTCTACATACCCTTCAGCGGGCGACACGAGCATCGATTTGCCGCCGCTTGCAAGCTTGTCTGTGACAGCTCTTGCATCATCTCTCTGCTTACTCCGTATATTTTTGAGCGACAGGCATCCATAAGCGCCACAGACATTAGAGTGGTCAGGCATGTCATCAATGAATCTATACTGAATTCAGATATCACAGCACCGATGATAGACCTCAACGGCGTAGACCCCAATAGCCTTATCCCCATTCGCTCTGTCCACTTCAATGAAGAGGACGTACACAACGGCGTTTTGGCAATCCTGAAACAATATAAAATGGAAATTGGAGCTACCGATAAATATTCCAAAGAGAGTATTCAGGCTTTTTCCTCTGTGTCATTGCTCTACTCTGCCCTTGTTCTCTCCAACGATTTCGTCACAGAAGGATGGCGTCCTTTGGCGTCCACCGTTGCCACTGTCTGTAAGTGCATAGGGACTCTGTGCAAGTATATCAAAGACCTAAGGGATTTTAAGATCCTTGTGGGTCCCCTGCTTGTGAGGTTAACTATGCAGCCATCGTATCAAGAAAAGCTGGCCATCCAAAGAACGCTAGACGCTCTCTTTGAACGCCACCAAGCGATTGAGGAAGAGTATCTGAAGACGCCAGGCAAGCGCATTATTCGCCACTTTCTCCAAAATTACATGGAGGTATTCAATGATAACGGAGCAAACATTCACCTAAAGTATACCACCCTGAAGGTTATTACCGAGTATCTTGAGATGATTGTCGAGGGAATAGATGATTTTCAGAAGGTCCAGCCGATTATAGAACCGTGGCTCCCCTCTGTCACTGCCTTCTTCAAGCGTCTATGCATAGTAACGTTTAAGAAGTCCTGCAAGGTCTCGGACGAGTTGGCTGGGAAGGCGTTTATAGACTATGTCAAAACTGAATTCAAGGACCCGGCAATTACAGTGGAATACATAAATAACATTCTTGGCACAAAGGAGAACTTTTTGTTGGCTCTTTATAACCTGTCCGGTACTAAGACTATTAACTCGTTTAGGCATTTCTACCGAGCATTCATAGATAAGTTGAGCCCTGCAGATGCAGACCTCGTATCTACCTGGTTAGAGTCAGTCTTGAATGGGCAGACACTGCGGGTTGACATAAAGGAAGCGACAATGGTGGCAGATATGTTCAGCCCCGGAACCAATGAGTACGTTGAGTACGACATCGTCAGCATTAACGAATCTATGGTAGATGATCTCCCCACCTCTCTTAACGATCCGCAGAATGCAACCTCGAAGCGTGCTGCCCAATCGCAGCTGACACCAACCCTTACCAATTCCATAACCCATGCTAAGGAAGGCGTTCTTTCTAACGATCCCCTCATGGATATCTATAACACTAGTCCACACAAGGGCCAGCGCACTGACATGGATGCCCTTCTGCGAGATGCGGAACAGGTACTAGGGCAATCTTTGCGTCAGTCGCTCTCTGCTCGTGCAGTGGCTGAGAGCATGCGTTCACAGTCAAAGCAACATGATACTCTTGAAGGAGACAACGATATGGTAGAACTTTTTACACGTATGGGGACTTTGGTTACCGATGTGGACGTAGATTTGTTAGATGAGAAGGTTGCCGAGGAGCTCCGTTCTTCTAAACTATATAAGAATCGCAGCCAGCAGAAGGATGTGGGCAGGACACCAGGGACTGCTGCTTCAGTTGAGCGCGATCCCCACGAGTCTGTGGCGTCTGCAGTGCCGCCCCTGCCGGCTGCACTGTCGTCATATACTGTGCCTAGCCTAAGTTTGGATGAGGCAAGCTCGTTCAATGCAGACGCTGAGAAAGGCCTCTACCCTTCAAAGCTGCAAGATGGTCGGGTAGTCAACCATCTAGCGGATGCTATAGCGGATCGAGCTGCCGAGAAGAGCTCTGCCAACCCATCCCCGTCTAAGGAAATATCTGTCGTCAAGCTTCGGGACTTCCCCTCAACTGATAGGTTTGTCAGTCTAGCCAAAAGTACCGAAGGACTACCTCTAGCGGTCGCTGGAGTAGTAGATCAAATAGACTACAAATTCAAGACTTTGGACACTATTGAGCGGCTGCAAAGTGCAGCGCGTCTATCTGACTCTACCCTGACGGAAGCCATGTCTTTTACCCTTAAGAGCCTTACCGATAGCATGACAGGCACCATAATCAAGACCTTCAACAGTGAAAATATGCGGAAGCTTGTCGATACCATGCTCTACATTAAACGACAGCTCACTGTTTCGCTGCAGGATGACACAACCATGATGCTCTTTATCACAAGGATAGTATCCTTCTTACAAAATTACCTATCAAACCCTTCCTTCCGTGGGTTAGTGCAAGCCAAAGAGTTTCACGACTTGCAGGATATACCAGCAGACCTAGGAAAAAACAAGCCATCGTTTTATGGCGAGGACATAGCTTTTGAGGCGATAAAGCAGGTCCAGCGCAGTATCTCGAGCCTCTCAGGGACAGGGCTTGATCCCGTGCGGATATCCATGCTTACTCTCTTGATCGAGGACTGTCTGACACTGCTAACGCTCATAATAGACGGGTCATCAGCGACACACTTGATTAAGGCATTGATTCAGATGTTTACTGTGATCTACGAAGAGGGCCTGCTGGTCTACAGGGCATCCGAGTTCCCTCTCTTGAGACCCTACTATACTACGAGCCATAGTATAGTCCAGAATATCCTGAACAGTCTTTTGGACAAGCTGACCCAGATCGTGGCCCATGCACCACAGGATTTCAGTCAGGACATCATTCGTTTTCACGCAGAGTTCTTAGCCAAGAAGGAAGTTCCTCAAGCCGCCAGTGCCTTTTCCGGAACACTCTTCTCAATATTCTTGATTCTGTCTGGAAGTCTTTCCATGTATCCCAACATTAATAATAAGCAACACTCCAGTTATAATCTCACGTCTGGCCACAGCTCTTGTCCGTCGGAGCTAACTTTCCTTTACCCTCGACCGTGCATCATCACCTGTATCAAGCGGCTGACAGATGATTTGGACACTGCTGCAAGAGACACGCTTTCTACTGTTTGTGGTCTAGAGATCGTTAGCCAGCTTGGCAGCCTTTGATTAGCTAAATTTGTAATATTAGTAAACAGTTGACTTGATGGATTTGGACCAGCTCATCAGTCTGACTGTTGCAGAGCCTCTCACAGCCAATCAGCGCGCCCCCGATGCTGATATTGGTATGTTGGTGAGCCAGCTTGTGTCTCGATTAGAGTCGTCACCTGCCTTGGAGACGCAACTTCACAGTTTAAACGAGCTATCGTTGCTCGCTACAACCAACCCAGGGCCTCTTCTAGTCTGCTTGCCTTCAGTATGCAGACTATTATCGTCTCCCGCTGTGTCTCCTACTATCCTGTCGGCTTTGTTTTCGTTTTTGTGTGCGCTCTTCGCATCCAGCGCTAGAGATCAAGCAGAGGACACACAGCATCGTACAACTGCCAAGGTTAGCTTTCTAAAAGAGTCTACGAATGGGCTATCCCTTGCATTCGCATATAGTACGCAAACCCAAAACGCTGCTACGTCCCCAGCGCTGTCAGTCTTGGTATGGTTACTAACCGACACTGACTCCATGGATCTTGTCGCGAAGATCCTACAGCATAAGATACAGACACCCAGCTTCTCCACAGAAACGTGTCTGGCCGAACGCTTTGTGCAGCTTTTGCGGATTGCGAACCCTGATGCATTTACAGTTGTCGATCTAATCTTGTCCATACCAGGGGCCATGGACGGTCAATCTACCCTCGTAGCATCATGTATTAAAGCAGGTATATTGGAACAAGCACTTAAGAATATAGAAGCAGACAAGGTCACAACCCCTAGGGCGATATCTTCAATGCATATATTAACTAAAAGTGTAAGTCTGGCAGCCAATCTTTCATCGTCGGATGCTACATTTTCCCTATCTCAGGAGGTGATCCAAAGAAACATCATCGGAAGTCTCGGAGACCTTGTCCACGCTTGTACATATTCGCTGATCAATGATCTAGCTAATAAAAAGCCATTTGGAGATGCAGTTGCTACGGTACTGTCAAGGTCCCTTAGTCTGGTCAAGACACTTATTTCATCGGAGACTAAACAAGCCATTCTCGACTCTAAGATTTTCTCATATTCGCTGATGCTTGTGTGCAGCCCGGCAGATGCCGATTTTATTCATAAGGACATACGCTTAGTGTCACTCGACGCAGCAAGTCTTATTATGCAGCTAGTCGGGACTGACCAAGCTTCACATCAAAAGATGGCGAATACGGTTCTTCTGTCTCTCCAACCAGGCGTGCCAATGCGGTCTATCGATGTGCTTACACGTCTGTCCCACATCTTGACCGCTTTAGGAGATAGGGTTGACCCAGAGTTCTATGATGCAGTTCTGCACCTGCTTTTGGGGACATATCAACACAAAGACCTGGTGTCTGGGTGCCTCAATGCAGTGACTAATCCGCTCTTCTCACTCTATAAAACATCGTGGACTGATGGCTTTAAGCTTCTTGCACGTACCTTAGGAATGAAGGCTCCCGAGGATGTGTTAAGAAAGTCTAGCAACGAGCAATTGTATGCACGCTTTTTTGCATATGTACAAGAAGCCCAGAAAAGCTACCGAGCAGTGATCGTTCAGGTGCTTGGGAAAGGTGACCCCGGACCGAAGTGTTCCGTATCAAAGCAGTCGTGTCTCAACTTGATGCAGTGCATGGAAAACAGTGAGTCGTCCCCAACTGTGCTTGCGGCCTCGGCGGCCTGTCTTCTTAGCATAATCACGAATGACAATAGAAATGGCCAATGTCTTGCTCTCAGTGCACTGTCTTGTCCAAAGACTATATATGATATCATACCAACTTTCCTGGGAGCACTTTTTGGGTCGACCGCCCGCGTTCTACTGAATCAGCAACCGGCGGTTAACCTTCTCACTCTTCTCATAGCTTTATTAGACATTCTTAAAAACGAGCACTTCTTCGTAGTCATTTCTTTGTTTTACATTGGTAGCCCAGCAGAGTTGGTGAAGCACCTCAGCACCTTTATAGCTGTATCATTAAAACCCGACACCTCTATACTTGTAAGAGCCATGACTGCATCCATTGTAGCATCTATGCCAGCGTCCTTCTATGCAGCAGTTTCTCCTATGCTTTCGGAGACTTTTACTAACGGTGACTCTCTGAAAACTGCGCTGGAAACTGTACTTGTTCAAGGAAAAGCAGCGCAGCTGCCTGAGTCTCCTATCCTACTTCCGCACTTAGCACGCCTCAAGACCAACATCGATACTATGATAGATACATTAAGGGCACTCCCTCTTGTTCAGAAAGCCCCAACAACAACCCCGGCACTGCCGGTGGTCCACTCTCTGGAGGAGCCAGACCAAACGGTCCTGCCACAACCATCCACATCGCTACCACACCCGTCAGTTGTATCTGTAACTACTTTCACTCAGACAGACTTAGATGTAGACGCCCTTATGGCAGAGCAAGCGTTACTGCGACAGGAGCTTGCCCGGCTCCAAGAAGAGAATGCAAGGCTTACTCAGGAGTTATCTAGACAGATGCAGGCACCTACCTTCGGGGATCAACATACTCACGCTTCTACCAATCCAACCTTAATATTTGAGTCTCAAGCTTTTGAATCTCCTCCCATCGATATTGTAGAGAATAACACAGGTGAGATAAATATACCAGCTATAGCTAAACCCGAGCACTTGACATCAGGAACCGAGGAAAGTGACCATGCAGAAGAGAAGCTGGACAGCGAAATCCCTAATGTAGGCATATCTGACTACTTGCAGCCATTGACAGATGCCACGGCCACAAGTAATCCGGAAAACTTTTTTGATCAGATAGAGTCGCAAGCCTCTTTGACAATCAGCGCTCCGTTCGACCAAAACCCAGAGTTGCTTACCAGTAACATTTCCTTAGCAAACGCAGACCTTGGGCTATCCACACAGCTCTGCCCTGACTTGCATGTCAATCCGAGCCAAGACTTGTCGGATCCTGTCTCGTTACCACTGCCAGATGATTCGCCGACAGTACAGGAGGCTCCGCCTGTCAACGAACAACCGCCTATTCCCATGGTTCCAATGAACATACCCGTTCCAACCAGTAATACAGTGAGCAGTAGAAGGCCAGGTCGAGGGGGGATCAGAGCACGATATGCAACAGGCCTAAGCGAGGACGCACGCAAAAACATTGCTACGGCGGAGCAAACCAGTTAATTGTTGTAGTAGTTCGTTTCCAATATGCCAGCTTTAATAGGCTTTGGCCTTATGGACTTTGTTGAAAGATCACGCACGACCTTGGCTTCCATCCCTAGTCTATCCTTTGAAGCCTTTTAAAGTACTGCAAAATAAAGGCTCCTAAGTTAGGGGAGCATGTATAACTGGGATTTTCAGGTAGCACAAATTGCGAAGCTCAGTGACAACTGCGTAAATCTAAAATGCCTTACTTTTCTTCTGGGATTTGAGAAGGCTATGAAGGCGGAGTTGTTATGAACTCTACACTAACAATACTACAAAAACACGTATTTGTAGCATTTCTAGTTCGTATCACCTAAAAATAAAAGCCAGCGATGTTCAAGCCTTCCTGCGTCTTCGTCATCATGGGGGCATCAGGGGATCTTACTTATAAGAAGCTTATCCCTGCCATCTACAGCCTTGCCTCGGACGGCTACCTTCACAAGGACACTTGCATCCTTGGCGTTGCACGCTCAGACATTAAGCTGGACGCCTTTCATAGTCGTATTAAGGACGGTATAGATAAGTATTCACGCCATGGGACAGGCCCTGGGTCTGCTACAAATCGAGAACCCTGGAGCACCTTTGTGAAGAGACTCAACTACCATCGCATAAACAACATGGAGGCACTGAGTGACTATAAGGCGCTAGCGGAGATTGTACTCTGTAAGGAGCCGTATAAGGACCTTGAGCGCGTTGTCATTTATCTTGCCCTCCCGCCTGGCGCTTTCTATGCCGCAGTCACCAACTTGGGGGAGTCGGGTCTCAATAACAGGAAGTGTACAATAGTAGTGGAGAAGCCCCTCGGGTCAGATCTCCACACAGCCATGGAACTCGAAAAGTTGCTCCACAGCCAGTTCAAAGAAGACCAGATAGCCCGCATTGACCATTATCTGGGGAAGATGCAAGCACTCAATATGATGGGCTTCCGATTCTCCAACGCGTTTGTTGAGCCAATCTGGAATGACAAGTACATAGATCGCATCATCATCACTGCCTCTGAGGAGATAGATGTTAATGGGCGGATCAGCTACTACGACGCCAACGGCATCATTATTGATATGGTTCAATCCCACCTTCTTCAGCTTCTTGCCCTTACGACCATGGAAGCCCCCATAGACATGACCGCAGATGGCATACGCAACGAAAAGGTGAAGCTTCTGAAGTCCGTTGACCCCATTCGTGTCGAGAATGTCCTGACAGCCCAGTACGACGGGTACCTCAAACACGAGGGCGTTCCGGAGGGCTCTCTTGCTCCAACAGCTGTCTGTCTTAGGGTGTCCATCAACAATGCACGCTGGAAAAGGACGCAGTTCATCATCCAGACATGCAAGTGTGGGGCTACGCGCGAGACCCGAATTGATGCTGTCATGCGTCCTTCGGGGTCGCGCATTCTCAATACTGTTAGCATGGTTCCGGATCCTAACATTTTCTCGTTCCTCGTGCACCCCACCGAAGGGATTCAGATCAGTTTCGAAACCATGGTGCCATCAATATCTTCTTCCACTCTTGCGTGCGACAACAGTGGATGCATCGAACGGGAGCCGGGTCCGTTTTTGACCAAGCCCGTGACGCTGGACTTTGACTACCAGAAGTCGCATATCATCACCCAATCAGCATATGAGCGTCTGCTACAAGAGGCGGTTGCAGGGGATCTATCCAACTTTACACGTACTGATGAGGTAGTTGCCCAGTGGAAGATCGTAGCAAACATATTGGATAACAGCAGGAACAAGCCCATCATATACGCTAAGGGCCTTCGTCTTCTTCATCCCATCTGCCTCGACACTTGGAACTACGGAAAGGAGTACATACGTCGCTTAGCATACGGCCATTGCAGGTTGCGTGTTGCTTGGGAAATCACTGCCACGGCAATACTCGCGTGCGAGACCGTCAGTAATAAGGTCATTCACTCCGTCGCACTGTGGGCTGAGACCCACACGCTGAATAATAGCTTTGACATAATTCTCGCCGGTGGCACCACCCCCAAGCATTGCTATGAACACATGAGCCGCCATCTGATCAAGCACTTACCACTGGAGGTGCGGAAGCGCATATTCATCTGGCTTTCAGATGAGCGTGAGGATACGTGTGCCAGGAACAACGGGAAAATGATCAAGGAGTGCTTTAAGGACAGCGGAGTTGTTATCAATGAAATCTATGATGGAAGCAAGAGCTTTGAGACCAGCATCCGAGAGTACTCAAAGAAACTCGAAGGAGTAGAGGTCTTTAGGGCAGCAATTCTGGGGATAGGCACAGATGGCCACATATGCTCACTCTTCCCAGGTTGTCTTCCCACTCTCACCAGCAGAGAAGATCAGTGCATCATGGTTGAAGTCCCTCAGCTGGGAGAGCGGCGAGCAACCATCACTCCTCTGGTCATACAAAGAATTGCAGACGTTATCATCCTTGCCACTGGAGAAGATAAGACCACAGCATTGACTCGACTTGCCTACGCGCCTTTCCAGCCGGCCTTCATTCCTGCACAGTTGGCCACTGCACAGTCTAGCACAACTGTGGTCTGTGATCACACCGCGCGTTCATCTAGGCCAGTGTTCAATTAATGGCTCCACGCAGTAAATTGTGATAACAGACTTTTTTTATTGTCACCAGAAGTTGGTCTACAGGGGTTTGCGGCCCTGTAGTGTGAAAAATAAAACAGGAGCCATGGACATTGGCATCGTGGGGCTGGGTGCAATGGGCAAAAACCTTGCGCTCAATTTCCACCGCAATAAGTTCAAGGTTGCTATCTACAACAGAACGCACTCGAAGGCGAAAGCTGTTGCCGATGAGCTCAAGTCAGAGAGCTTAAAAGCGTACGAGTCCGTCAGTGACTTTGTAGCCTCTTTGGTAAAGCCTCGTGTTATCGTCCTCCTCGTTCAGGCAGATGCTGTCGATTCTGTTGGGGAGATGATGGCTAAATGCATGCAGGAGGATGATATCATTATAGATTCAGGTAACTCTTACTACAAGCTCACAGAGGAGCGTAAGGTTCGCTTTCACAAGAACTTCAAAGTGCATTTTTACGGGATAGGCATTTCGGGCGGTGAAGAAGGCGCCCTCTGGGGGCCTGCGATAATGGTTGGCGGGGACGAAGAGAGCGCAAGAAAGCGCCTCCTTCCACTTCTTGAGAAGGTCTGTGCAGACCCCCAGGTCGAGGGGACTGATGGAAAGAAATGCATATCTTATTGTGGGCCCGGAGGTGCTGGCCACATGGTGAAGATGGTGCACAATGGCTGCGAATACGGCATCATGCAACTTATTTCCGAGGCAATCGCCATCTTTCGCTCGGTCCTCAAGTTTTCCGTGGAACAGGTGGCCGATGTCTTTGCGTTGTATGCAAGGACCGAAGGCTGCTATCTGTTCGAAAATGTCGCCCAGATACTATACAAGAAGGAGGATGACAAGCCTCTTATTGACTTTGTCAAAGACGTGGCCATGCAGAAAGGGACTGGCCGTTGGACGTCTATCGAGGCGCTGAATCTAGGGGTATGCGCGACGATCATTGATGCAGGCGTGGCTGCACGCACGTTCTCGAGCTCAAAGGACCGCTTTCTGATGCATGTCGAGGACTCCACCGCGTTGCTGAAGTCTGTCTTCACACAGGGTCTTTGTAAGGACGCTATCATGCGTTCTCTGCTGGCCGCTATGCTCCTTGCATTCCAACAGTCTATCTGCGTTATTCACGCCCTCTCCGAATCTATGCAATACAACACAAGCATCTTTGAGGCTCTTTGCTCCTGGCGCGGAGGCTGCATAATTCGCATGAATCTTCTTACACCGCTGGCGGACTTCTACAAGCAGAACGCCAACAAGCGTGTACCGCTGATGCATGCAAGCTTTGTGAAGGAAAAGTACATCAATCGTGACGTTGTCTCCCAGCTCAGGTTGCTGGTCTCCTCTGCCGTGAAGGCTGGGCTGCCTATACCGGCTTTTTCGTCTGCTATGACATATCTCGACATGATCCAGACTGAGGTTCTGCCGACCAAGTATATTCAGGGCATGAGGGATAACTTTGGAGCTCACACCTATGAAAGGATTGACAAGGAAGGTGTATTCCACTCTGTCTGGACTGAGAAATAAGGAGTGAATATTGTGTTGTGTATGGGTTGTTGTGTGGAGTAAGGCTTGTGGAACGTAACGTTATCGGCTGTTATGTTCAACACTTTCATGTCAGCTCCACAAGGGCTCTACAACTAGATTGTATCCACGAGCCCTGTGTGTACGTCCACTTGAAACAGGGGAACCTGGGAAAGAAACCAGACATGATCACTCAAAGGAATTCACTGGGAGCTGCTGACTGCACAGGTACGGGACTGGTGGGTCGAGTCACAGCTGCAAACTCCTCCCTTGCACTGGCCATTGTTTGAGCATACTATGTCATTTTCCTTATCAGTGATACAGGCGTCACTGACGCAAGCGCCGTTGATGAAGCGGCCGTCCTTAATGCACTCGCAGGTGTGGCCGCTTTCTTTTTCGACACAGTGTCCGTAGCCTCCGCAGACGGTCTTGGAGCCATCCGAATAAGTAGTCACGCAAACATTTGGCACACAGTAGCCGAGGACATATTGGTAATCTGTGGGACAATTATCGTAGTTCTCACACTGCTTTCCAGAGAATCCGTCCTCGCACTGGCAAGCATCGTTGACACAGAGCCCATGATGACTACAAAGGACAGAAGCGAGACTGACGCAGTCCTTGGATGCGCATGTAAGGGTGTTCACATTCCTGTAGCCTCTGTCACAGCGGCAGCTCACAGATCCAGACTCCCCTTTGACACAACTGCCGTGTCCGTTACAGACACTTACACCACCATCCGACTCGTCTGTAATGCATGCATTATCGATACATGCACCATCCACTCTTGTAGCTCCAGGAGAACAGTCTTCGCACTGTTCTCCGCTGTACTCTGTGGGGCACTTACATTCCTTGCGTCTAAAGTTACAAGTGCCAACATTATTGCAAAGAATAACGGTGGGCCCGGTTGAATCGGTGAGGCACTTAGTAGGGTAGCATGTTCCACCTACCAGAGTCTCATCCTCCTCGCACCCGACTGTCGTGATTTCACAGAGCTTTCCATCGTAACCGTCATCGCAGACACACTTATCCCTCTTACAATACCCGTGTCTATTGCAAACACCTTCACTCAGATTGTCTGAGATGCAATTATTGGAGACACAGGTGAATGGGCCCAGTGTGATCGCATCGAGGGGATCACATCTGCATAGATAGCTCCAATTATAGCTCATGCAGATACCCGCGCCTCCGCACTCGTCTTGGGTGCCGTCCGGATACGTGGTCACGCACTCGTCGTAAATGCAGTTGTCCCCAACAAGAACACCTCGCTTTGCGCATATCTCACACTGATCGCCTTCAGATGTATCATCACATTGGCAGTGCGGTCCTTCCTCGCTATCCACAATACAGATCCCTCTGCCGTTACAGAGCCAAGTTCCAGTGATGCAGATCTCAGGCATGCAGTAGTAGACCGAATTATAGAGCTCATAGCCAGGGTCACACTCGCACTTATAACGACCGTTTGGTTGCTCTCTACACTCTCCGTGACCGTTACAAAGAATCGTCCCGTCTACACATGCAGCCGGCTGGCAGCCACTGTGAGTTGGAGAATACTTTTCATCGCAATTACAAACTCCGTAATCGTCACAGGTTCCATGACCACCACAAATTGTTCCATTAAAGAGACAAGAGCTGGGAATGCAAGAATTTTCATACTCAGTTGTGTCGGGGGGACATTCAAGGCTGTGAAGACTTATCAACAGAAACAGAAGACGAATCATTATTTTTATAATCCATCAAATCCTCAACATCATTCTTACTGTCCTCCTCAAAATTCTGCTCTACTTTTGGAAGACGCTGCAGTGGAATTAAACCAACAGCGCAAAGAGCTGAAAGAGGCGTGATGGCCCCGACAAGGCAATCTATCCATGAGAAAGCACGGTAAAAGGCAGATAATACATAGCCAAGAACGTTCCCCAAAACCATTCCAGCATAGCATAATGCAGTTGCTTCTACGCAGCGTGTCTCCAAATAGAGAATCCCCATTGCTGAAGAAAGCGCGCCCGTTGCCCCCAAGGTCATAGGCCCCATCATGATTGCAGTGCTAAGAAACGTCGATGGGAAACAAAGTGAAAGACCTGAGATGGAAAGGAGGAATGTGGAGATGACTGCGGCTGGTGCTAGAGGGAGGGCTGTAATGAGTCCAGCCAGAGACGACAGAGCCTGTGCTGCGGAGAGGACAATCACCAGAATCTGTTGCTTATCCACTGTGAAGATATCAATCCGCTGATTAAACGTTTGAAAATAATAGCTCTGATTTAGAATCACAATAAGCACCAGCACCGCAGAAATCCAGACTAGCCCTCTATGCAGTACCAGCTTCAGCTGCTGGCATAGCTTCGAAGGTAACACAGGAGCAATCTCAATACGCCACATGGTTAATAGGAAAAATCCCGCTGCAACCCCGTGGAGAATGAGCCAGCATCCCAAGGAGAGCTCTGGTGCAATAGGGATCTGTGTCAACTGGTAAACAAGGATCGAGATTGCAAACCCAATTGTTACGGAGACCCGGATCCGAGAGAGCTTATCTTCAAGTCGGTACGACAAGGTGTACGACCCAACGCAGAAAAAGTTAAGTATGACTTGGCCCAGAAGTATGAATGGAGGAAAAAGCCGGACTCCAAGGATAAGACACGCGATTCCTATTAGCTCTCCACTGAACATCACAAGAAATGCATAAACAAGGCCAAGCGAGACTTCTAAGCGTCTAGCTAGTAAAAGGGACATTAGGAGACCCCCTATTGTGAATGTAAGAAGACCGGTGACGTATGCTGCTGACATGAATCTTGCAGAGCCCCAGTCGTGCCGGGTTGCGCTATTTTCGAAAGCAAACCAACCGAATGTACATCCAGCTGCGGTTGCGTTGATAGATAGAACTGCCAAGTACCGTAGAAATATGCGCCAGCCCATCTTTCGAGCTTTTTTGCCCTACCCTATCCTGCTCTGTTGCTATTGACCCCTTAAAAGGGAAAGGAATGGCATAGACATGAGAGGAAGCAGTAAAGATACCTCTTCTTTCTGCATATTCAACCCATACAAAAGGTCTAACGAAAAATCATCAGATGAATTAAATGGACTTGTCTGAGCAAGAGCGACCAAAGTCAGAGTCAGCGTTGAGACTAGGGGCTACCTGCCAGTCAAGACTTTCGTGCTTTTCAGCTGTACCCACTCCTGGCGGAGATTATATTGCTATGGGGGACGTTGTCATATTCGTCGTCAGTATGGACAAGATTGTAGCGGACAAGATCACTGAGGGAAGGATATACTCATCTGCGTACGGAGAGTTCCATCACAATGATATGGTTGGGAAGCCATATGGAGCCAAACTGTTTTCCAAGACTAAGACGGGGTTTATCTTTGCACTGCGCTTTTCTCCGTCTCTCTGGACCCGCTCAATGGAAAGGCGGACTCAAATTCTATTCATTCCAGATATATCTATCATTCTCACACGATCGAACATACAGCCAGGATCTAGAGTGTGTGAGGCGGGAATCGGGTCAGGGTCATTGACCCATCACTTGCTCCATAGAATCTATCCCGGTGGACGTCTCTTCTGTTGTGACATTGATGAATCTCGCGCGAGGCTTGCACATGAGGACTTGCTGGCTCACTATTCCTCGCCGAGCTTCTCCGAGCATCTGCCTAATGGGCTTGTGGAGTTGGTGGACATCTCTCACCGAGATGTTAGCGTGCATGGCTTTCAGGAAACTGCAGTTGAAATAGACTTCGTCTTTCTAGATATGCCTTGTCCGGAAAAGGTCGTTCCCCATCTGCAACGATCGCTTAGAGTGGGAGCTCTGTGCGCTATCTTTGTTCCTTGCTTGGAGCAGGTTCACACTGCTGTGCAGGCCCTTTGCACACATGGGTTTGGCGCCTTTGAAACAATCAAGTCTTTTTCCATTACATATGAAGCATTTTCACGATCACTTCCCGTCCCTCCGCTACGGAAGCTTACTAAAAATTCTAAAAATGATTCTACTGACGGTTCTCAGCAAAAGCGAGGAGGTGTGAGGGCTCATGTCACTGCGGACGTGGTTGACACCGTAAAATTCAGCGGTCTTACGCCTACAAAGTTTATGCGAACACACACGGGCTTTCTGCTCTTTGCTAATTACTTTGGTTAGAGTATCGAGCAAGAAATTTATAAATGATTGCTCAACGTCTTTCTGAGATTCCTGTCACGGCACTCCCCGCAACACGCATAGACAAGGCCGATGTCTTCGAGCTCACAGTGAATGTCTCGTGGTTTGAAGCGTTGAAGTACATGGTGGAAAAGCGCATCTCAGCAGTACCTGTAAAGGACGGCGACTCGTACATAGGGTATATTGACCGCTTCACCTTCGTGCATTGGGCTGCGCAGTATGCAAAGAAGAGTATGGCGCAACAGGGGGAACACTCCATGGGACCGGCAACACCGAAGGCCATCAGCGATGAAATCACCCAGATCTTTACCACACACCCATTAACACAGTTCGAGCGCACCTGCTTCCACCCTATGGTTCTTATTAAAGAGACCGCAACGGTTAGTGACGTGGCAGACTACCTCAAGAAGCCTGGTGTGTACCGCGTCTATTTAACCACAGAGGACGGTACCATATCGGGGGTGGTGACTCAGCAAAACTTCTTTTCATGGCTTGTCAAGCAGGAGTTTGTCAAGGAGAACCCTAAGTACAAAGCTGCCGTAATCAACGACCTCGTAAACATGGCTGCAGAGCACAAGAAAACCAAGCAATCCTATCGCACATTTGATCTGAACGATAAGACGTACACTGCTATCACCTCACTGAAGCGCAACCCCGACGACAAAGGGATGGCAGATGGCTGCGTCATGCTTGGCGAGGACGACCTCTTGGTTACAGTCCTTAGAAGGAGAGACCTAGACATCCTTGCCAAGATCGATGATCTCACTGTGCTTTGTGCTCCACTTAATCGAATGATCTCCATCGTTCGCAACACTGAAATCAACTGCACCGTCACTGCAATTACTGTTAGCACTGCTACTCCAGTGGAGGCTGTTGCCATGCGCTTGGCAATATCTCGCTTTGAGCACGCCTTTGTGGCGTCTGCAAGCGCCACCACCTGGCACGACATCCAAGACATCATCACCGACGGACGAATCATCCGATTTATCCTTTCTCTCTAGAAGGACTGATGTAGTAGTCGGAAGTGAACATCTTTTACTCTACATTTCGCAAGACTGTCAAGAGAGCCGTCGTGTCCGGGCGAGTTAAGCCAACGATGATGAGTTGCACATTCTCGCCGTCCGCCTGATCGCTGCCCTTCGCTTTCTTTCCTCCCTTCCTAAGAGGAGTCTTTTTCGTCCTGCACGACGAGCATATCTTGGAGACCTCTTGCTCAATAGCTGTGACGTAGCCTGAACTGGGCCCCACGGCAAACACGAATGTCTCCCCAATAAATGCAACTGTTGTCTGCAAGATCCCCTTGTCATCTGCTAGCAGTTTGAGACACGGCTCTCCTGCAGAGCTTAGAAGCAGAGTCGGTGACTCATCTGAAACTTCAAAGACAGTGAGTGCGCTAGAGATCCTCGTCGCTGCATAGGTCAGATTTGAAGTTAGTAGTTCGCCACGCAGCTGGACAGTTAGATTTTCAAGGCGCTTCATTGCTGTAAAGAATTTGTCGCCTGTCTTCACAATTCCAGCCTGATCAACACCCCACCTGTCCATCTGTGTATGCAGAATTTCACTTTGAGTATCAGTGAAGTCGAGAGCCCTTTCTCCCGCGACAAAAGTGAGGCGGACGACACCATCTGATATGCGAGTTGATTTGACGATTCTAATCAGCCCTATCTTTCCGGTATTATCCAAGTGAGTCCCACAACACGCCTCTGTATCATGGTCTGTTATGTCAACGCATCGAACGGTAGATCCAGGAACCACACCACCCTGATACAGCGAAAATCCGTACTTCTTTTCAGCTTCGTTCTTTGGAAGTTGGTACTTTCTTATCGGAATGTTATCGCGGATCATCCTGTTTGCTTCGCGTTCGATGGCACGCTCCTCATCGAAGGTGAGGCTACGATAGTGTGTTATATCCAGAGTGGCCACTTCGGTTGTCTTCTTTGCACCCGCCTGCCAAACATGAGGACCCAGCACCTTGTTAGCGGTAGCGTGGATGACGTGAGCAGCTGTGTGATGACACATCAACTGATCTCTACGCGCAGAGTCGATTGCCATTGAAACACTTGTTCCCTGGACAATTGAGTCAGCAACAGGAGCGTTCAACTCATGCATTACGCAGTGGCCCACCTTTCTTACGTCCACAACGTCATGGATAATCATTTTGCCGTTTCCAAGAAGAAACTTGAGTACGCCGGTATCATGTTGCTGGCCCCCAGAAGTAGGATAAAAGACAGTCTTGTCCAGTATAACAAGGTTCCTCCCCTTAGACTTATCTTCCATGTTGGCAAATATACTGACCACCTTCGCGTCAGCCAACTTACGGAGCTTTTCGCCATATGGTTTAGTATAATAAACGCAATCAGTTGGGGGAAGAGAAACAGTGTCATAAAGCTGTGCAACGGCTACCTTGATGGCGTTTTTCTCCTGCTGCTCAGCAACGTGACTGTACAGATTCTCTGGGACGGGAATTCCAGTCAACTCAGAGACCTGATCCGCATTAAGTCCAAATGTAGTAACAATAGTAACCCAGTCTTCGATGGATAGGTGTCCCTTTCCTTTCTTCAGAAGCTTTTCGACCTTGTCACGAGCGTCCTTATCTGTGGTAGTCCACCGGGTATATTCTAGTTCTAAGACTGCGCGTAAAGGCTTGAAGGGGGGAAACGACCCGGCGCCGTGGACCTCCTCCAAGTCTTGACGATGATAGTCTATGATCTGACAAAGCCCGTCAATGCCTCCTATTGCATCCCACCATCCTCGGCTAACAAGTATGTGAAAGACACGGCGCAGAACGTTGCGTAAGTTATTGCCCCCACCAACATTTGATGGAAGCGCCCCGTCCTGGATTGCAACCATGAGAGAGCGTAGATGATCGAGCACTATATACATCTGCCTAACAGGCTCTATCACGTTGGTGATGTCTTCTGTCGTGAGCCCCGTGCGTTCCTTTATAAGCGCCCATGCCTGAGAGATATCACTGACCTCATCTATGTTAAGCAGGCAGGAATAGCGACCAAAGCGTCTCCACACATCCCCATTGATTACATCATCCGTAATACCAATGAGTTGCGACATTTGCTTAAGGGCAGTTGGGAACGCGGTAATGTAGGAGGTGACGGAGCGATTAAGAAGCCACGGAATCCGTTCTAGACCAATTCCGACGTCCACAACCTGGACAGGAAGGGGCTCAATGGTTCCATCCGCGAACGCCTTGAATTCCATAAAAACCATGTTGCCCACCTCCAAGCCATGCATGAAGTACTCCACACAGGGGCCTAAATTTCCACCACCAGCCCATACGTCTGCTATCAAGGTCACTTCATCCAGGTCTATGCCCATGGTCTGAAGCCATTCGAGGTTGAAGCGTATAATTTCCTCCTTGAAATAAACGTACTTTGTGCTCGTATTGAAGACTTGGATGCCAAGCATAGTGAATCCGGAATAATGACGTCCAGAAAGCCCAATAGAATCAAGATCGTTAAAGCGCAAACAGAGCTGCGGTTGAATCAACGGGTTGGCAGGGGGTTCAATTTCCCCTGTCACACAGAAAGGCTGATAGCATTGAATCCCAGCGGCCGTGAACTCGCAATCATCGCGCCATCTAGCAACGACGGGGTAGCGAGGAACAATAGTATGAGCTGGAGTGGTTTGTGTAAACGATTGGGCAAAAGAGTTCCAGACACGACGCATAGACCAGGGGTCATCCTTACGCTCAGGCTTATCGAAGAAGGAATATTCTCCAAGGCACTCTGAGTCCCCACAGATCGTGCGGAGCTCTGTGCGGCGCCAATATAGTGTGCCGCACTTTGGACATATGTGCCGCTTGAAGCCAAAGTCATCAAAAACCACTCGAGGATAATATCGCTCCGGGTCTTCCCGGAAGCGAGGACGCCAAAGCGCCTTCATCTCCTTCGCCGTAAAGGTGGCCGGCGGATTCTTCTGCGGCGGCATAAATTTTTCTTAGGAATTAATCAATGTCGCTTGCCAGGCATTATATTAAAGAGCGTGGGGTGCAGACTGCTGAGAATGGGGAGACAGTGAGCAGAGGAATAGACACATGTGGCAGGAATGGAGAGACAGGGGGACATGAACTTTTGCTAGATTGTCCACGAGTCGTTATTTTTGGCTCTGGGCCCGGCTCTGTAACGGTTGCAAGAGAACATGCACTCGCTGGACACTACGTCCGGCTTTTCAGGAACCTAACACTCCCACAGCTCTCGTCTGTGCCCCGCCCAGATCTGTATACAACTGCAAATTTTGATAGATTTGACATCGACGAAGAAGTCATTGACTTCCGTAGTCGGCCGGTCAATAGTGTTCTCGATCGCTTCCGAGATACGTATGATTTGTTTTACATAGATGGTGGAAGCTCTCTTGCAGCGGTTTCGGGATCTCTAAAGTCCCCCAAGTTGCCTGTAATCTACACGGTATCATCTTTCAAACGGGCATATCCACATAAGAATACAGGTGAGCTCCATGGCAGTGTTGTAATTGTGTTAGGGTGCGACTCTACATCCCTGCACACTGCAAGATGGGCGCGTGACTTAGGAGCGGCCGTCTCGATCGTATCAGGTAAGCATCCCCACAATCCCGTGAGAGAGCATGGTATTAATTTTGGGATCCTTCATCCTCCCTACAGCATTGGAGAAAAGGATCTGGTTGCTTTCATCCGTAGCGATCGGACAGAGAATGTGGCAGACACAGCAGCTCCCCTATTTTACTACTGTGACATCATCATCATAGGCTCGGGTGTAGAGTCTCTGACAGCTTACGACGAGAGACTGATAGGAACGGACAGTACCTACGTTCAACGGGACACCCTAATAGACCCCACGCTCACGTTAACGGGCCAGTGTCGCTGGACAGCACAACACTATAAGTAGACTACCATTTACAGTCGGTTGCCAATCGATGTGCTTTGAAATCCTTCAATTAGTGACATATACGAAATGTAGTGTAAATACCAACAGTCTCCGACGGCCTAGAGATGCGCACAACATCATTGGGTAGCAAACCGAGGTAGCGGGCCATCGGGTCGGACGATTCTATGATGGGAATCTGTCCTTCTGTGCATCGATACTCTTTGAGGACAACGCTCTTCTCCATTTCCGACAAAAGAACATGCTTGGGGACAAGCACGTGCTTTGTGATATTGATCAGGAGGCGTGTGACGAGAAAGTGCTCTATTACGATGCCGTTAGCGCGTTGTGCTTCGTCGATTCTTGCTTGAATTGTCTTATTCGGTGAGTCAAGCTTCTTACCTTCTCTCCCATAGATAACATATATTACACGGTCCAATGGTCGTGTCTCCCTGTTCTGCGTTTCAACCTTCAATTTATCAATGAGATCTTTATCGATAACAGGCACGGGGCGAACCTTGATTGTTTCCTGATTTAGGCTGTTTGCGCTGCTCTTCCGCAACTTATGGGTTCCCAGGATCTTCCAAGAAAAGGGGGCCGTGTGGAACTCCCCGTCAAAATCCTGAAACGTCTGATTGAGGAGCATCTCGGCAGACCACGGGGACATATCGTCCGACTGCACCATGTAGCCCCGATCTATGAGCATCTCTATAACAGTACGGCGCACCTTAAAACTCTCTGCCGTTCCGTAGACCCTGGCCATCTTCCTCAAAGTAAAAAAGTTCGGGTGATCCTATGGATACAGTCTAACAAGCTTCCATTTAAGTATGCGACAAATGACTGGCCACTACACTTAATGGTCTGGTTCGGTGATGGAATGGGTGGTGCTTACCTCGAGTTAGGACACCCTACTCAAACTGACCTCTGAAGTAACAGTCTTTGGGGTGAAGGACGATTCAGTATCCAGCTGCCTATAAGAATGTGTAAAAGTACAAAGCTTGTATTGATACCGGCAGATGCGTTTACTGCCAAGCGTACGTCTAGGTTCATCCCTTCCCACAGCCAGCGCTAGGCTTCCTCAGTCGTGCTTGCTGAGGGCGGATGCTGCATCAACGGATCTCCGGTGCGGCTCGAGGATGCGATCTCGCTTCCGTTGTCGCTGTGCTCCATTGAATTCCGTGACATGAAGCAGGATCCCGTGCGCCTCTTAATGCAAACCAGAGCGGTGCTGTGTCAGCTTCTGGCCTCAATGTTGGTAGGAATTGGTTTGATTTTTGCAGTCGCACTGACTGAGGTATGCAGTCCATCGATCGATGGATGCGCTGAATGCGATTCAACTGGACAAGGATGCACCAAATGCGACGCAAACGGCAACACGCCCTACCTGAAGAAGACGAATCCCAGCGACCCGACGGGGACGTGCGTCAGCGCGGTCGACTGCCAGGGGAGCGCGGGCTACTACACCGACGACAGCGTTTCCGACGCAAAGGAGTGCAAGAAGTGTGCAGAAGGCCAAAAGCCTAATACTGCAGGTACGCAGTGCTTCTCTTGCTCAGATGCTAACTGTGAACGATGCGATCAGAATGATGTCTGCGCTAGATGCAGTACCGGCGCACCACCAGAGAACGGGAAATGCCCCGCCGCCACGCCGGGGTGCCACTCCAGCTGCGACGGATGCACCGAGAACGCCATGACGAACCAGGCCGACAAGTGCACTGGCTGTAAAGAGGGACGGTATCTAAAGCCAGAGTCTGCAGCTGGGCAATCGGGAACGTGCCTTACTGCTGAAGAGTGCACCTCCGATACGACGCACTTCACCAAAGAGAAGGCCGGTGACTCGAAGGGGATGTGCCTCCCATGCAGCGACGCAACACACGGCATCGCGGGCTGTAAAAAGTGTGCCCTCAAAACGCTCTCTGGAGAAGCAGAATCGACGGTTGTGTGCTCCGAGTGTACAGACAAGTGGCTTACTCCTTCGGGCAATGCATGCTTGGACAACTGTCCTGCTGGAACATATCCTAACGATAACAATCTTTGTACCTCTTGTCATGATACGTGTGAAGAGTGCAATGGCAATGCGGACGCTGCTTCCTGCACGGCCTGCTATCCCGGGTATTCTCTCCTATACGGATCTGGCACAGCCGGAACATGCGTCAAGGAGTGCACTGGTGCGTTCGGCGCCAACTGTGCAGACGGGCAGTGCACGGCTGACGTGGGGGGCGCGAAGTACTGTGCCCAGTGCAAGGACGGGTACGCCCCGATCGACGGAATCTGTACAGCGGTGGCAGCTGCCGGACGAACGAACGTATGCACGGCGGCAGATGGCAAGTGCACCAAATGTGCAGGAGAGTATACTCTCATGTCGGGCGGGTGCTATGGTGTGGCGAAGCTTCCTGGCAAATCGGTTTGCACGCTCGCTAGTAACGGAAAGTGCATTATGTGTGCTGCAAATGGCCAGGCACCTGTGCAAGAGAAGTGTCCGGAGTGCTCTGAAGGCTGTGCAAAATGCAATGATTCTAATGCCTGCACTGAATGCCTTCCTGGATACTACAAAGGTGCCGGTGATAAATGCTTCAAATGTACAGCTAGTAGTGGAAATAACAACCAAATCACTGGTGTCGCTAATTGCGTAAGCTGCGCCCCGCCAGCTGGTGGTAGTGGCTCTGTTACTTGCTATGTCAAAACAGATGGCACTAGTGGTGGTGATGATAACACCGGCGGAAGCGTCAACAAGAGCGGCCTCAGCACTGGCGCCATCGCTGGCATCGCCGTGGCTGTGGTCGTCGTCGTGGGGGGCCTCGTAGGGTTCCTCTGCTGGTGGTTCATCTGTAGAGGGAAGGCGTGACTTAGGTAGTGAATGCTGTACAGTGATAGTGATAGTGCTATGTGTGGTGTGGGGGTGATAGTGATGGTGTGGGACTCCTCTTCATGGGCGGGTGCTACAAGGTAGGACAAGATCCTGGCAACGAGATATGCACAACAGCCAAGGATGGACTGTGCACTGCTTGTAATACAGATAACAAGTACATATTCCAGAATGGGGCAGAGAAGGTGACCCCTGGTAATGAGTGCATACTCTGTCATGATATCAAGGGAGCAGATGGATATACGGGGGTGGCTAACTGCGCCACATGTACAGCGCCAGCTAGTAGTACAGGACCTGTCACATGTACTGCCTGTCAAGATGGGTACTATAAAGATAACGATGCATGTACCAAATGTCATGCCGACTGCGAGACATGCAATGGAGCCGGTCAAAATGCATGCACCCTCTGTGCGAGCGGGAAATATCTCGATGGGAACAATTGTGTAGAGGCTAATCAATGCACTGGAAGTAAGTACCCCGACCCAAGCACCGGCAAGTGCACAGCCTGTAACGGTGCAGCAGAGCAGGGGGGCATACCAGAGTGCACTGCTTGCACGTACGACGCAAAGCTACAGAAGCCGGTGTGCAGCACCTGTGGGGGAGCCAAAAAGGTAAAGACAGAGCTAGATGGAACAACAACCTGTGTCGATGATGCTGGGTGCAAAGACGGCAATACACACTTTGTTGACGATAGTAACACCAAGTGCATATTATGTAGCGATGATAAAGATGGAACCGACAGTAACAAGGGGACTCCTAATTGCAAGACCTGTACCAAGACAGCATCCAATAAACCGGTCTGCTCGGAGTGCCTCGACGGATATTTTGGTTCCTCTTCATGCACAGCCTGTGGTGCCAACTGTGCCACCTGCACTCAAGCTGGCAATGATAAGTGCACTAAATGTAAAGCAGGGTTCTTCATGAAAGGCAGTGGTCCTGGCACATGCGTCCCCTGTGATGACCAAACAGATGGCATCGATGGGTGTGCCGAGTGCACTTTCTCTAACTCGTTGACTTGTGACTCCTGTAAGGTGAACTACAAGCAGAGTGGTGCCAGTACTGGCTCTGTCACATGTACCAAGACTTGTGAAGACGAGACTGCCTGCGGGGGTACCTCTGGCGCCTGCGATGCTATAGTAATCGACAATGATGGAGTAGAGCATCATTACTGTTCTTATTGTGGAAATCAAGGAGATGTACCAATCAATGGTATATGCACCAGCTCACTTGCAAGTAATACCTGCGCCGATGGTGTCTGCAAGTCTTGTGCTCAAGGGTACTTTATGTATATGGGAGGGTGCTATGATGTGTCGAAGGCTCCTGGTAGTCACATGTGCAAGAAAGCAGATAACAATGGGATATGCACAGAGGCGGCAAGTAATAGGTACTTCGTAGTCCCTGGGGCACAGACCACTGATCAGTCTGTACTAGCTTGTGGTAATCCCCTTGGCACACTAGTAGATCCTCAAGGTACCGCTAAGGCATATGTGGGGGTAGATGGCTGCTCCCAGTGCACAGCCCCGACAGCTCTAACAACAGCTGGTATGACCCCCGCTGTCTGTACCTCCTGTGACAGTGATAGGAAGCCCAACAGGGACGGCAGTGGGTGTGTCCTGTGCTCTGTGGGTGGTTGTAAGAGCTGTGTGGTGGATGATGTGTGTGGGGAGTGTGTTGATGGATACAATCTAGAGGGTGATAAGTGTGTGTCCTCTGGCGCCAACAGGAGCGGCCTCTCCACGGGGGCCATCGCGGGGATCTCCGTTGCTGTGATTGTTGTTATCGGGGGCCTCGTGGGCTTCCTCTGCTGGTGGTTCGTGTGTAGGGGGAAGGCGTGACTTAGGTAGTGAATGCTGTACAATGTGTGATAGAAGGTGATAGTGGGTGATAGTGTGATAATGGAGTGTGATATGTACAGCAGCCAGTGATGGAGTGTGCACTGCTTGTAACACAGCTAACCAGTACATATTCCAGAACAAGGCTACGACAGTGACCCCTGGTGGGGAGTGCATACTGTGCCATGATGCCACGGGAGCGAATGAGAACAAGGGAGTGGCTAATTGCCTCAAGTGCACGGCACCAGCTAATAGTCCAGGGGCTGCCACGTGTACTGAGTGCATGTCTGGCTTCTCAGGAGACTCGTGTGCTACTCAATGCGGAGGAGACTGTGCCGCCTGTGATAAGAGTAACCAAAATCAGTGCACCTCTTGTAAGACTGGGAAGTACCTGAAAGAGAATCAATGTGTGGAAAAAAGTGCATGTAACAACAATCACTACCCCGATGACACTAGCATGACCTGCGTCGCCTGTAGCACCATACAAGATTGCACAGCATGCACAATGGACCAGTCCACGGGGAAGCCAAAGTGCACTAACTGCGGTGCCAGTAAGATCCCCAGGACGACTCTCGACGGAACCTCGACCTGCGTGACAAAAGGGTATACAGAATGCCAAGGAGCAGACAAGGAGCTGTTCATGAAGGAGGACCAATCGGCGTGCTTATTATGCGGAGACAATACTGAGGATACATCTGAGTCCAATAAAAACCAGGGAACTCCTAATTGCAAGACCTGTACCAAGACAGCATCCACTAAACCGGTCTGTGAGACGTGCAAGGATGGCTTCTTCTTTAATACTGGTGATAAGACATGTACAAACAAGTGCGATGCCACCTGCAAGACGTGCTCTGCTGCTACAGATGCTAACCGATGCTTAACTTGTATGCCCGGATACTTCCCCATCGATAGTACAGATCAACAAGGGAAGAAGTGCGTCCCATGCGATAGTGTGGACGACAAGGGTCGCGAAGGGTGCAGTGTCTGCTCTAACAATGGTGGATTCAAGTGTACTGAATGTAAGGTGAACTATAAGAAGCAGTCCAATGGAGATGCAGGGGATGACTATACATGTGTGAAGACCTGCGAGGATGAGACTGCCTGCGGGGGTACTTCTGGGGCTTGCGATGCAATAGTGATTGATGCTAATGGAAAGGAGCTTCACTATTGTTCTTATTGTGGAGAAGCTAATACGTATCCTATAGATGGGAAGTGTAATAGTGCTAAAGCAAATAATCAATGTGATCAAGGTGTATGTACACAATGCACTAACAACTACTTCTTGTACATGGGTGGGTGTTATAAGTATGATACAGTACCAGGTAGCCTCATGTGCACTGAAGCAACAACAGCTGGTGTCTGTACTACTCCCAATGCCAACAATAGGTACTTCCTGGTCCCAGGGGCATCCAACACTGATCAGTCTGTACTAGCTTGTGGTAACCCCCTGGGCACACTAGTAGGCACTGGTAATACTGCTAAGGCATATGTGGGGGTGGATGGCTGCTCCCAGTGTACAGCCCCGACAGCTCTAACAACAGTTGGTATGACCCCCGCTGTCTGTACCTCCTGTGACAATAGTAAGAAGCCCAACAGGGATGGCAGTGGGTGTGTAGTATGCTCTGACACCAACTGCAAGAGCTGTGTGATGGACGGTGTGTGTGGGGAGTGTGTTGATGGATACAATCTAGAGGGTGATAAGTGTGTGTCCTCTGGCGCCAACAGGAGCGGGCTCTCCACGGGGGCCATCGCGGGGATCTCCGTTGCTGTGATTGTTGTTATCGGGGGCCTCGTGGGCTTCCTCTGCTGGTGGTTCGTGTGCAGGGGGAAGGCGTGACTTAGGTAGTGAATGCTGTACAATGTGTGATAGAAGGTGATAGTGGGTGATAGTGTGATAATGGAGTGTGATATGTACAGCAGCCAGTGATGGAGTGTGCACTGCTTGTAACACAGCTAACCAGTACATATTCCAGAACAAGGCTACGACAGTGACCCCTGGTGGGGAGTGCATACTGTGCCATGATGCCACGGGAGCGAATGAGAACAAGGGAGTGGCTAATTGCCTCAAGTGCACGGCACCAGCTAATAGTCCAGGGGCTGCCACGTGTACTGAGTGCATGTCTGGCTTCTCAGGAGACTCGTGTGCTACTCAATGCGGAGGAGACTGTGCCGCCTGTGATAAGAGTAACCAAAATCAGTGCACCTCTTGTAAGACTGGGAAGTACCTGAAAGAGAATCAATGTGTGGAAAAAAGTGCATGTAACAACAATCACTACCCCGATGACACTAGCATGACCTGCGTCGCCTGTAGCACCATACAAGATTGCACAGCATGCACAATGGACCAGTCCACGGGGAAGCCAAAGTGCACTAACTGCGGTGCCAGTAAGATCCCCAGGACGACTCTCGACGGAACCTCGACCTGCGTGACAAAAGGGTATACAGAATGCCAAGGAGCAGACAAGGAGCTGTTCATGAAGGAGGACCAATCGGCGTGCTTATTATGCGGAGACAATACTGAGGATACATCTGAGTCCAATAAAAACCAGGGAACTCCTAATTGCAAGACCTGTACCAAGACAGCATCCACTAAACCGGTCTGTGAGACGTGCAAGGATGGCTTCTTCTTTAATACTGGTGATAAGACATGTACAAACAAGTGCGATGCCACCTGCAAGACGTGCTCTGCTGCTACAGATGCTAACCGATGCTTAACTTGTATGCCCGGATACTTCCCCATCGATAGTACAGATCAACAAGGGAAGAAGTGCGTCCCATGCGATAGTGTGGACGACAAGGGTCGCGAAGGGTGCAGTGTCTGCTCTAACACTGGTGGATTCAAGTGTACTGAATGTAAGGTGAACTATAAGAAGCAGTCCAATGGAGATGCAGGGGATGACTATACATGTGTGAAGACCTGCGAGGATGAGACTGCCTGCGGGGGTACTTCTGGGGCTTGCGATGCAATAGTGATTGATGCTAATGGAAAGGAGCTTCACTATTGTTCTTATTGTGGAGAAGCTAATACGTATCCTATAGATGGGAAGTGTAATAGTGCTAAAGCAAATAATCAATGTGATCAAGGTGTATGTACACAATGCACTAACAACTACTTCTTGTACATGGGTGGGTGTTATAAGTATGATA